GGCTTTCGTCGATGGCAATGATCTCGCCCTGCTTGAGCGTCTGGCTTCGGCCGGCTCTTGTAGGTGGGTACTGTCGGTTGTCTGACAGGTTACTTTTCATCAAGAGCTTGGTCGAGTATAGACCGGGTATTGGAGAAGAGGTACGACAGCGGTTGGCATTTTGGCTTGAGGACGCGAGATGGGAGAGGGCAAAGGCCTGCTGTTGGTGGCCAGTCCACCCTTCAGCAGCGCGACAAAATTGCAGCGCGGGAACGATGGAGCTTGGGACGCATCATGCAAAGGAACAACGGAGGGTGAGCACATGCGCGACGAGAGCGCAAGTAGTCAGACCGCCGTGGGCGATTTCTATGAACATATTCTGCACCTCATCTGCGCTGCGTCGTGCTTCCTGTATGCTGTCGCTATCCTGGAAATTTTTGAGAATTTTCAGGACAGCAAAGCTCGAAGCTCGAGTCAGATTTTATCTCCACCCGCACGGGACTCTCGAAATTACCGCCTCAGGTTTTCTGAGAGGCAGAGGGTGGAATTGCGCTGAGCAGTATGGTTGATCAGAGTCCAAGGCCGATGCGACTTGCATCGGCGGCATCTCTGTTGCTAGGTGGATCTGCATCTCTTGAGCGCACGTGTTGAGACGGTCTGGTGTGAACTCCTTGAGTTTTCAACCTGCTTTCTTGCTTCTCCGACTGCCTTCTTTTTTAGTGTCCTTCTTTCCGACGTTCTCTTTATACTCGTTCATTTGCTTGACCGCTTCCTCCTCATCTTTCGCGTCCTGTTCTTCCCGCTTGACCTTCGCGCGATACTCTGCCCCTCTCTTCTCTGCCTCTTCTACCATCTTCTCACTGTACTGCCATAACTTCTTCTGCACATCCTCATCCTCCACATCTTTCCTCAAGAATGTCCTCTCCTTGACCTCTTTGAGCAGTATCCCGCCTTCACTTCGCGCGAACTTCTCCTCCATGCTGGCATAGAGGAAGCTTTGTGCACCAGCGTCGGGCGATTTGAGTATCAACAGCCAGAGTGGGTATGTGATCAGATAGAGAAACAAGCCAAAGAGCGAGCCTCGCGTCATCCATCGTCTCATCCCAGGCGTCCTGCAAAACCCAGGATCTGCCAGAATGACTTTGGCATTGTTTGGAGCTCCATCCGGGCGCTTATATGCAGACAAGTGCTTCTGAAATGCCAGCGCAAAAGTCGTAAGAGCAAGCTTGCTCGTAGCGTACGCATTACCGGGGCTGAACTTGGTAGGCGGTGACGCCGACTTGTCTGATTTCTTCTTGCTGTCCTTGCTCTTGGATTCAGCACCTTGCGTTATATGCAAGAAATCTCCGCCCAGATATGAATTGCACGTCCCAAAGATCACCCTGACATCTCGATCCGGAGGCTGTGCTCTCAATGCCGGACTCAATATGCTCAACAAGTGGAAGTTGCCCAAGTAATTGATCTGCCAATTGACCTCCACGCCCTCATTTGTGCTCTGAATCTTGCTCTTTCCTGGTGTGATTGTGTTCGCGAACAGCATAATCATGTCTAGTCGTCTCGGCGGGGCATTGTCGATCCATTTCGTCGCAAACGTTCGAATGCTATGGAGCGAGGACAGGTCGACTTGTTCGGCAGTGATGAGCTGATTGTCGGTATCTTCGCGCAGGTCCTGAATAAAGTCGACGATGAAGGGATCGGACAAGGAGTGTTGCGTCAAGAGCACAATTTGCGCTCCTCGTGTTGCTAGTGATCGTACTGTAGCTTCTCCGACGCCAGACGTGCCTCCCTACTTCAGCTTAGCAAGTTTCGCGCCAAGGGTGAGAGCAAGGTCATACTGTCACAAGAATGACCTTGCCGTGCATATTCCTCTCGCTCGTGTTCTTTGCGCCCTGAAAGAAAGTTTTGAGCAGCCATAGTAGAAACAGCCACGGAGCTGTCTTGAGCAGCGGCCAGAGGTATGGCACCGAGTCGATGCCATCAAAGAGTGCCTGTGCGGCGATGTAGATGGCCATTGTGAGCGGTAGTGCCCTTCTCGGGCGAGGACGAGTTAGAGGAGCAGTGGAGGTGAACGCGAATGTGAAAGTGGTAAGCTGGACCACTCGGCAGCGAAAACACCCTGCATGAAGTTATCGCCGCTTAAGACCGATACAACAACTGAACGAGGGCAACAGCCAGTATCGATTGCAGCTTCGTAGAAACCCAGCGTGTGTGGTACGATTGATCAGCAGAGAGTGTAGTCACAAAGATAAAACGCTGGACGCTTCAATCTTGGAAATATGTACCTTTCCTTTAAAGTACAGTCTTTCATGCTCCCAGCGCCATGCTTCTCTCATCATCCACAAGGCTCCCAGCCATATGTGCAGACGCATGTGGTCTACTGTGTCCCTGCGGTGCAGCTTTGACCGTCTCCCTCCCAGGTAGGTTCCAGCCTACCCGAGTATGCTCGCCAGAAACTTGCGCCCTCGTCAAAGCAAATGGGTATCCAGAACTCATTCCAAGTTCATTGACGCGAAGCTTCAGCCTCGCTTCATTACACGAATCTTCGTTGATTCATTCATTCATTGTCCATTGCGCCCGTGTCAGGCACTCCTCAGCCCGGCGCACTGTACGACTCTCCAACCGACTGCGAATGAAGAGCCGCCAGCCAGTCGAGAGCTGCTTGCCAGGGTTGATGTGGTTGAGCAGCTGCGGTGAGCACAACAATGCATGTTATTTTTGATGCGACCCACGTGAAAGGCTCTCATTCGATCAATGGTCTTCGCTGCGCGCCGACCATAGTTACACCAAGAGCCCTAAGACCTGCCGGATCATTTGCCTTGATGATGGAAGCTGCAGGCAGCATAGGGTTCTCAGGCGAGATGTGTGCTGCATCCTTCGCTGCCTGCTCGATCGCTTCCATTTCTTCCTTGCAGCCGGCGTGATCGAAGGGACATACAACTATCGGTTGTCGAAGCAAGATATCTCGGGCTGAAGACATTTTTGCCTAGAAAGCAAATCAGCAAAGTCAATGTTGTGAACAAAAAATCAAGCCTTACCTTCACTGTGAGATAGTATTCAATCTTGTACAGCGTTCCAGTGGTCGTGAAACCGCTCACGGCGTACATTGGGAACTCTTTTCGACCTCTTGGTAACACGCCCTCGTTGTCTCTCAGCTCTCTGGCGGGAAACACGAGGCCTAAATTCGTGAAGTAACCTGCTTCGGGTAGTTTGACGCCTACGCTCTGCTTGTGCTTTGCCAACGTCTTCGTCTTCCGTAACGGCTCGTCTCCTTCTGGGTTGTAAATGATCTCTTCGTCAATGCCCACCGTAATGTCCTGTATCGTGACTCGTTTCGCCTTACTCGTCCAGTCAGGATTTGGTGACAGCTTGATGTACACTGAAACTGGATCCAGCGGCCCGTAACTCCATCGCGGGAGACTGATTCCAAGTGTGACGAGGTGGTCTGAGACCTTCTCGGCGCTTTCTGGCCGGTTGTACATGCCGAATGTGCTCAATGTGTCGTAACGAGATATAGGGACTGGGAAGGGGTACTTCCTTTGCTCTTGATGCCCTTGCTGCACAGTGACCACGATCTCGTAGTACGTCTCAGCTGTTCTCTTGTCCAATTGTAGACTCGCTGGAGGTACACGCCGCGCAATCTCCTCTCCTCCACGTCCGTATGGTATGAATATCACAAAGGGTAGATCCATGCAAAGTATCGACTCTGACTCTTTCCCTGGCGGACATCTGAATAGGAGCATCTCTTTCCCCACGATATCTGTGATCTCTTTCCGGTTCGAGGAGTTGAGGTTCCGCACGAAGGAGTCGGCATTTGGCTGAATCGATTCGCGCCGCTGTAGCGACACAGTCACTAGCGACACCTGAACTGGAGCGCTGACTCCGACACCAGGTCGAATCTCAACGCGGCCTTCTATACGAGGCTGCAGCAGAATGTCAGCACCTTCTCTTATGCCATGAAGCGCACAGCACATCCACCTACCAAAGTCGCAGATATGCCTGGATACCCCACCAAGAAGTTGCTGTTGGGCGGTCCAGAAACCCTCACGAACGCGGCCATTGCTCACGAGAGGCGCGAGGAGAACTGCGTGTTCGTCTTGACCGCATATGGTTTACGCCATGCGGCAACCTGGCCGCCTGTGGTTTGCAAATATCCTCTTCGCTCTGCGCTTCCCTCTCCCCGCCTCTGTGATATGCCAATGTCGTTGCTGCTCGACCAGTCCAACGCCGAGCCTGTGAAAGTGCCGCGAGATCGCGGGCGTGAGATACTGTGAATTTGCAGACGGGACAACGCGAGCATGCGTCGCTTGAGCTCGTGCGGGTCGCTCCTAGTTTGTAGTCCGGCGCGCGGGTTTGACGTGCATATGCCAGGCAGAGTAGCGATCAGGGAGGCGCAAGGCTGCGTGCGTGTTCAAGGTAGCGGGCGGGTCCTGCAACGCGGTGAAGGGCGACTCCAAGAGTAACGGTGACGATTCTACGCTCGAAGAAATGCCTGGTAATCGCTCTGTTGCACAACAGCAGCAGCGGCGTAGTGGTGTCGGGATCGCTGGTGTCGACCTCACCAAACATGGGCCGCTAGCTGACCCGTTCGCTCGTGCCGCCAGAGCTGATCTACCCTGATCCCTCCCCATTCGCCGACTCGTCTGCTGCTGGCACGACAACACGTCAGGTCGTTGTACTTTTCAGCTGGCTGGCCACCGACTCTCTTCTGTCGCGATCCCCCACATCCATTCTCCGGCTGACTCTACTGTCATCCATTGTTCTGGACCGATCCAGCTGATGCTCTACGGCTCTCCTTGGCAGGACTGAGCAGGCTGCGCCGAGGTGTGACGAGCTCGCATTGCAGATTCTTGGTCATAGAGCAAACATGTCGGTCACACTGTTCACGACGCACGGCAACATCAAGGTCGAACTCTTCTGCCAGGCTTGCGAGAAGACGACATACAACTTTCTAGCTCTCTGCGCCAGCGGTGCTTACGATGGATCGCCGTTTCACAGATTGATTAAAGATTTCATGATCCAAGGTGGATCTCCCGCCAAGGGAAACACCAAGGAATCGACATCGATCTGGGGCGAGAACTTCGAAGACGAAATCAAGCCCAGTCTACGGCACCATCAAAGAGGAATGCTCTCAATGGCCAACAAAGGACCGGCCACTAACGGTAGCCAATTCTTCATCACTCTCGCCGCAGCTTCACATCTCGACGGCAAGAATACTGTGTTCGGCAGGGTCCTGGAGGGCTGGGACGTACTCGATAAAATGGAAGAAGTACCGGTGGACAAGAAGAGCCGGCCGCAGGAAGCGATCAGGATACAAAGTGTCCAAATACACGCCAATCCTCTAGCAGAACAACAGCGGTGAAGCAGATACGAGCCCGGGCGTTTGCCACGAATATGCACGTTTACAAGGTGACGGTCACCATGCGTGCGAGAAAACACGGACCGGCCTGCCACTGGTACCGTCTTGGTCCAGGCGTACAATCACGACGATATGCAACAAGAAGCCACATTGGATTCGCAGCCGCTATTGGAGCGCAATATGTGTGTGCCACACGCCGCGATGTCACAGCAGCGTGTCGCTTGTCTGCAGAAGTGACCGCAGCTCTGCACAAATGGAGGCTTTCGATGCTTGATCGAAGTTGAAACGTACCTTGCTTGGGCTGCAAGTACACTCTGAGTATTCGACGATTGGAGTCTCGAAGGAAGTTGGTGAAGTCAAGAAGGTAGGAATATCAAAACGCGCATGGGCAATGCGCGAAGTGAAGTCAGAACGCTCCTTCCCTCATCATTTCTTGACACGCGCCTTCCTCCGAAATCTGTCGTTCCCTCAACTGCCTGCACATTCAACGTCGTCTTCACTTCACTTCACCAATCTTCACCTCACACTGGAGCTTTTCCTTTGCGACTCCACCTAAAAACCGCGTTTCTCCTTCATCTCGAGTTTCTCCGCTCTCCGCGCAAAGGCGCGTCACCACGCCACCATGACCGACCTCTGCAAGAATTGCGGTTGCTGTCACCTGGGCATGGATCCGTCGCCGTGTCAGAAGATGCTTGAGTCCTGTCACACCTGCAAGCAATGGGGACACACCACGAACTTCTGTCCTTTGGGCGTGCGCGACGCGAATGGTCAGATCGGACCATTGGTAGGAAGCGCATTTGCTCTTCGAAAAGCGATGGATTCCTGACGTTGCCTAGTATTGGATGATCTGCTCTAACTGCGATCGCTGGCATCTTCCACAGCCATGCGAGTTACCACTCCAGCAATGCACTCAGTGCCACAACTACGGACACATCGCGCATTACTGCCCAGTCAACCCGCTGCCACTGAGACTCATGAGAAACAACGCCCAGGCTCCTCCGCGACAAGCAGCTAGTGCTGATCGCAAACGTAAGCACGAAGACGAGGAGGAGAACGACAGACTGATGGTCAAGCTGCCGTTGGCGGTTCTCGACATCAAACACGTTCACCCATGTGAGTGCAGCTCCACAACAGCTTTGCCGTACCAATTACTGACACTCTTCAGCACTGCTTGCGCAGATTCGTAGGAGTTTAGTGAACGAGGTCACTCAGCTACTCCAGCATCATACGCGCGACGACGTCCTGGCTTTGTTCCTGCACGATGTTCCTCTTCCACCGTCTGCCAGTCGCTTGGAGGGCGGGAATCGCCCTGTCGACCAAATGGGAGCATTCAGACCCAGCAGTCATTATGCTTCGGCGAAGATTCCTGAGCAACAACTTGCCCTGTCGCCATCAGCACAGCAAGTAGCTCGTGTTCCGGTCACACCAATCACTGCAAAGAAGGCTAAGAAAAACACCGGACAGAAGCCATGTGCAGATTGCAAAGCCAGACATCAGAGGTGCAGACACACCATTGCCGACGGTGAACGTCCGTCAGACACTCCCGCTTTGCCAGAGTCTGCCGATCATGCAACGCTGCAGCCAGCTCTTGATCAGCAACTCGCCTTGGATTCCGGGCTTCAGCAAAGTCAAGTCGAAGACGTGTTCACCAATCAGCCGATGCTCTCCGGCGCTGAGCAGATGGGCACAATTTCATCGGATCTTACGCTGAATGCTCCAGCTGTCGGATTTGTTCCCCAGGACACTCACCAAGAGCAGGCATGGATGCTCAACACAACTGTCAGCGATCTCAACATGCTAGCCGAAGCTGCGCAACAGGTGAATGCTCAACTGGAGCAGACGCCATCGAACGATCACGTCGTCGTTCAAGCCGGTGTCGAGATCCACCCTTCGAGTGAGCATTTCAACGCCATGGACTTTAGCCAGCTTCTCAACAGTGACTCCGCGGCTCTTCCCACGAACGGCGATGCCCACGATGGGCAGTTTCATGGTGTGCTTGGTATTCCATCAGAAGCCGACCAGCCGAGAAAGCGTTCCACTCGAAAGAAGAGTAAGTCACGTACGTCCCGCTTCTACGCGCGTACTGACTGATGCCAGAGACGTAGAGATGCTGTGAGACACTGTCTCCGCACGTCAGCCCCAAATATGCTCTCTTCCACCCACACTGCAGCGATGGCATTCTTTTATTGCTCTGTGATTACAGCATTACTTCGACCACGGTGCCATTCTTTGCGTCAAAGGCAATCATCAGCGGCCCAACAGAGCTGAGAAAAAAAGGCCGGCAATAGCTTCAGTCTGTCCGCCATGGACAGCATAATTAATTATAGACGCTGCTCGGAGTAGCGCGCAGACTTACTTGCTTCGAGATAGATGCCGCAGCAGTGAGTGTAATCTGCTTCTGATGCTCCTCCGTAAGGACGCGTATTGCATCGTGTCTGCTGTCGTCTCGGCCATGCAGACCAATGCTCAACAGCATGAATTCTCATGGCATCGCTTTACAAATTTTCGATCGTTGTCAATTTTGCTACGAAGATGTTCCCTCAATGCGGCCTGCGTCATGCTTTCCATGTGTCCGAGTACATAACTTCACGTCAGCGTTGTCGAGCTACTTTGTGTTAACGACTCGTCGCGCATGCAATCCTTCGATTCATAGAGCATTGCACACCCTCGTCGGGGCGATGGATGGAATATCCGCTTGATACCCAAGATGCATGAAGATTCCGCTGGAGTCTTTTCCGAAGTTGTCGGAAACAGCACGCCATTGACGCCGTCCTCGGCAGCAGCCCCGCTCGAGCTCCTCTTCACCAACCAAGACCCCCATGGCGCAAGCATTGGGGGCTATCGAATTCAGGCGCATCTATCTCCCGACGTAGCAAATCTCAGTCATCCTGCTAGAGCAAAACCTGTCAAGATAAGCCAGCTCACCTCTCTTTATGAGTTTCTTCCAGCCCAAACACTTCCTCCGCACACTGAACAGCTTCGCGAAAGCACAATCCGCGACCTCTATCCTCACTCGAGCTACGACACGAAATATGGCTACTGCTATGGGAAAACGCCTTGAAGGCAAGACAATTGTTATCACGGGAGCTTCTTCTGGCATTGGGAAAGCCACCGCGCAAGAGTTCGCTCGCACGTCGCCGAAGAACCTCAAGATCGTCCTTACAGCTCGCCGAGTCGATGCACTGAAGCAATTGGCAGCGGATATCAACAAGGAAGTAGGAGATGGCGTAAAAGTGCTGCCCGTCCAACTAGACGTCAGCAAGCCAGAGGAAGTGAAGCAATTCATCCCAAACCTGCCACAAGAATTCCAGGACATTGATGTCCTGGTCAACAACGCTGGACTCGTGAAGGGCGTGGACAAAGCAGGCGAGATCAAGGACGAGGACATTACTGTGCAATTTGCGACAAACGTGACAGGTCTGATCAACATGACGCAAGAAGTCCTCAAGGTCATGAAGAAGAAGGGAGAGTCCGGAGCAGGAGATATCATCAATATTGGATCGATCGCTGGTCGTGAACCATACCCCGGAGGAAGCATTTACTGCGCTACGAAAGCTGCTGTGCGATCCTTCACAGATGCTATGCGGAAAGAGTTGATCGCGACGAGGATAAGGGTTATCGAGATCGATCCTGGTCAGGTGGAGACGGAGTTCTCGGTCGTGCGATTCTATGGTGATAAGGAGAAGGCCGATGCTGTATACAAGGGTGTCACGCCTTTGACACCAGATGATATTGCTGAGACGATTGTGTTCTCCGCTGGGAGACCTGAGAATGTGGTCATCGCTGACCTGCTCGTGTTCCCTAACCACCAGGTAAGTTTTAACAAACTTTAAAACCGCTTTGGTAGCCTCAAGCATCATGCTGACTGTATGCATAGGCGGCTGCTACAGTCATGCACAGGCGATCGTAGACGTTCTGTTTCTGACATGTGTTTATAGGCTGGTGCAGGTATACTGCACAGGAAACCATCTTCAAAGATTTAGAAGTGTATATACCTCTTTCAACCTGGAGCACTTCTCCTGATTCTCTTCCAAGTCTTGATCTGGTGCTGGTACTGGTGCTCAGTATGTTTGTGGTGCCTGAGGCCATAGCGGAAAGCTTCACTCGGCCGGACCCACTTTTTCTTCTCCTAACGTCCGTGCGCACATCGAAAAACCACCCAACACAGCGCACGCTGCACCGCAGCCACTGAACCAAGTGCAGCACAATGACGGAATGTATCGGAAAGACAGCAGAGAACTGGGCAAGATGTATTCAGATACCTCAAGGCCACCAAAAAGTGGGCCCGCAAGCCAAGCCTCTCCGCTATGGTAAAACATCAATTCTTGCAACATATACCATACCAAAATAAAAGACAAGGCACTAAGGAAAAGCTCTCCACCCGGGTCGAACGAGTGACCTTAGGATATCTTGCATTGACTGCAATCCCACGCTCTACCACTGAGCTAGAACTGTGGAATGTAAGCGTGTGTATGCGCAAATGATGTTTTGTTTGGGCCAACTTACGAGCACGTGATCCATGCTCCCGGAATTGATCGACCGTATATGACCGTCAATTGAGAGATATACAGCAGGCCCTGGGCATAGGATGCGTCTTGGTCTCTACTGGCAGTGAGTTCCACTGTGCGAAATGAAAGTCGGCAACAGCGTTTCGAAATTGCCGCCTTTTGGAGGAAGGAAGCACATCTCTTCGGAATAGAGTTCTGACGCTCAAACATTCCGAGGTTGTTTGAGTTCTTCTAAGCATCCCTCGGCGTCCATGAAAATTCCTGGAAATCGCGGCTACAGCAAGTGAACATAGAATGCTTTTGGTGTGCGTAATGAGCTTGTGAAAGGTGTCGAACGAGGGTTGAGCTCAGCAGTGCTGGCGCATGTATAGTTCCGGTTCATCTTGAGAGAAAATATACTGGAGAATAACTATACGCAGCCAACCTGTGAGCAAATATCCCCGAGCATTGATCAAATTGTCACGCTCCTCTACTTCTTTGCGAAGAAGGACATGATGTTCCCCTGTCCGGGCTTGCCACCCTTCTTTGCGGCGGGCTTGTTTGTCGAGGGGGCTGGCGCAGAGGTCTTTGGCTTCTTTGGTGCAGGCTCTTCCTCTGAGAACGACTCCCATGCAGCTTCTTCTCGGGTGACTAGAGAGTGTTAGCATAAATTCGAAATTGAATACCGAACCAGATGCAACATACCAAGATACCCCTCTTCATCCTTGACAGTCTTTTTCTTCATGACTCTACGTCTGCCTCTTCTCCTGCCATTCTCTACAGTCACCGTCTCCTTCGGCTCCTCCTTGGCAGCAGGCTTGTCAATGGCGCCCTCGTCATGCGCTTCTTCCTCTTCATCCTTCTCGGCTTCTGGCGTGGGCGCGGCGTCTTCCATCGGCTCGTCATCCATATCCATCATTGCCTCAAGATCCGCTTTGCGATCTTTCTTCGTTGGTCCACTTGGTTGTTTCGCTTCCGGCTCTTCGGCCAGACCACTTCCACCATCATCGTCATCATCCTCTGAGAACCCTGTCATATCGACATCTTCAGCTGGAGCAGGTGTGGCTGCCTTTGAGCTCTGCTGAGATTCCGACTTCTTCGCGTTGGCAGAGGCCGCTCCTTTCGCAAAGGACTTGAAGATATTCGATGTATCTTTCTTCGCTGCTGTTGTCTTGCTTGTTGTTGTCTTCGCAGGCTCTGTTGCAGCTTTCGCAGACACATTCGAGGCCGTCGAGGCTTGTTTGGTCAAAGTCGGAGGAGCAGCTGCTTTTACGGGCTCGACCTTCTTCGCCGGGACAGGTGCGGCTGGAGGAGGTCCATTTCGTCTTTCTCTCCTCTTCACGTTCGGGTTCTGTATCACGCCATACTGTTTCCAATTTTTTAGAGGATCCTCCGATGCATAGTCCGTCATGACCTTCCGACTGCATTCGGTTAATGTCTGTATATCGCTTAAGCCGTTGGCCTGCAGACTGTAGATGTGTATCCCTGTAATTGCATCGAACTGTGCTTTCGCCTGTTCCAAATTCTCCTCCTTCACGATCATGATAGTCTTTACCGGTGTCGAATCCCGTTCCTCCTCATCTGGTCTCTGGAAAGAGCTACTGGGCAGCGGTGGACTGCTCTGCATAACAGTGTCTTCCCCATCATTTTGGCTTTGCGTCCCGTTCGTCTGAGTGCTCGATTGTTTCGTGCCCGTGACAAGATATGTTGCGTGTACACTGCCCGGCTTCTTCGTGTTCTGCTTGCGGTGGAACTCATACAGCATCCTGGTCAACATCAGCTCCTTCTCCGTTTCAAGCATCTTGCTCCGATTCCATACTGCTTGGCCAGATTGCTATGCACTTTCAATGCCCGGCTCAGATTGCGATAGCTCACCAACTGTTGCTCATTGAGCACACTGGCTGCGAGGTACTCGTTGTAGTCTTGCGCCATCTTTTCGGAGCTTCCAAATCGCGTGTCTAGAGAACAGACTCGACGACGCTAAAGTGGATGGTGGTCGGTTTCGGAACTTCGGGCGCTAATGAATGTACTCCTGCTTCTCCCACGCACCTCCACGCCAAGACCTTCGACTCTGTCCATCTCCTGTACACTCTGATCATGGACGGCGCTGAAGACGACGACGATCTCAAGCTCATCAAAGCATCGGCTGGGCTACTTGCAGATCTCGAATCCGACCTACCCCAAGTGTTATGGCACAAACTCAAAACCCCATCTGCCAGAAGAAGGGCACACAAATATGTCAAGAGACGTGATCTGAATCGGCTTGTTCAACTTGTATGCCCTCTGGAAGCCAATAGAGGAGCCTCGCTCATGGCTTGGTGTAGATTGAACCATTTCAAGGCGAACCACAGCTTCTCGATGCGAAGTTGAAGACCATCTTGCCACCATTAGTGGATGCCTATCTGGAATACCTTCGATACGGCCCTGTTCAAGCTCCTTCTCATCATGACTTCCAATCTGCTACCTGTACTCTGCTCTACACGCTCTGTAAAGTTCGCGGGTACAAGATCATCGTGGGGTTCTTGAGCAATGAACCAAAATACCTCGAACCGATCTTGGAAAAGCTCGAGCAGACTGTAACTGCAACGAGCGAGGAAGCAAATGCTTGGCAAGTTCCATATGTGCTGCTGCTGTGGTTGTCTCACCTCCTTCTCGCTCCATTCGACTTGAGCTCTATCTCCGCGACAGAACCTCCAGCAGATTCGACAACCTATCTACAGCTCCATCAATTGCCACGGCTAGCGAAAAGAGTTCTTCGGGTTGGACTAATTTATCTCAAGTCTCCCACAAAAGCGCAGGATGCGGCTGCTGCGATGCTCGTGAGGCTTTCTGTGCGGCCTGACATTCTCGATGCACGCCTCGGAAATGCCTTGCTAGATGCGAAGCTGCCACAATTGTCCACGGCCACCGCCAGCACGACTGACACATACGAAGTCTTGGGTGCTTTGAAGCTGCTCGCTGGCATAGCTGCAGCTGCAGAACTCAGTCATCTGGTGCCGGCCATATATCAGGGCTGTGAGGAAGCTTTCGAGGACGAGGCGAACGGTATCCTCAGCTCAAATGCTGTGGCAAAGAAGATTGCAATCAAGACTCTGCGCAACATCGCTATCTTATCACTACGCTCAGCTGGCTCAAATGGGAATTTGCTCGACTTCCTCCAATCCACGGATGTACTCGAGAACGTCATCGACTATCTCTTGCGATCGTTAGCAGACAAGGACACGCCGGTCCGGTATGCCGCCGCCAAAGCTATCAGTCTCCTCGTACTCGAGCTAGATCGTGACATGGGACACGAAGTCATCCAAGCCGTCTTGGACTCGTTCAAGGAGGACCTGCCTAGATCATTGAGTGGCATGGACTTTGCGACTGCCAATCCCTTAAGATGGCATGGACTCACCTTAGCTCTATCGCATACCCTGTTCAAGCGATCTGCTTCGCCAGAGCAGCTCCCCGACATTCTTGACGCACTGATCTCAGCCTTACAGTTTCAACAGCGTACAAGTACAGGTACCATGCTGGGCACCAACATCCGTGACGCTGCAAATTTCGGCATCTGGTCACTTGCCCGAAGATACACCACCGAAGAGCTGTTGTCAGTTTCTGCGAACAGCTTGTTCAAGAGCAACCGAATGGCGGAAGAAGACTCCATTATACAAACTCTGGCAAGTCAGCTCATCCTATCCGCCTGCCTCGACCCGTCCGGCAACATTCGAAGAGGGTCTTCGGCTGCACTGCAAGAAGTGGTTGGCAGGCATCCGAACAAGGTCATTGAAGGAATCTCTCTTGTGCAGATCGTGGACTATCAGGCCGTGAGTCTGAGAAGTCGTGGCATGGTTGATGTGGCCAATAACGCTGCCGCCCTTCATCCTCGCTACTGGCAAGCTGTCCTCGATGGGCTTCTGGGCTGGCGTGGCCTAGGATCTGCCGATGTACTCTCACGCGAGGGTACTGCGGCTTCGGTCACGAGGCTTGCTCTCAACACACCGGGATCGATTTCGACTGATGTACTGCAAGATGTCCTCAAGCTGATTGAGGCGTGTCCGGCTCAAGAGGTAGAACGACTTCATGGTCTAGCTCTCGTTGGTGCGCAAGTTACAGAGGCCCACACACCTTCAGCCATGAGGCACATGGGATCACTTCGAACTGCATTCGGAGCCCTCCAAGCAGCTGCTAAAGATTTCTCGCCGCGCGTACTGCGATCTGAATATCCCGCAGCTCTTGCGCGATACTTGACGGCATTCTGCCATGCACTTGAAATTGATGCAGGTCACAGCTCAGTTTGTGACAAGGTACTCATCGACAGCATAGACGAGACTGCCGACCGGCTTCTCAATCGTCACAATCTGGTTGTCATACCCGATCTCGTTCGCGCCATGCTGAAGCTCAAGCGAGCAGTGCAAGCACCTCTTGGTTGCATAGAAGCTGAAACTTTGGCCCAACCTGTTGCGAAAGATGCGATGAAAAGCACATTGCAGAATGCTGGCCGAGCCATGGCGCTTGGCGCTTTGGCATCGTCTTACGCTCATACTGGGCTTATGGGCAACGAGGCAGTAGTCGCAACCACAACTCTATGTGCACTACTGGATTCTGTCAACGTGGATTGGCGCATCATGGGCGCCCAAGCACTCCATCTGGTGGTACAACGCGTGCAAGACACCGATGTGATTGACCCAAGCATTGCTCAGATGCTCTGTGCCGCGATGCATCGAGGCTTGAATGACTACACCATCGACGAGCGTGGTGACATCGGCTCGTTGGTAAGACTCCAGTGCATTAGTTGCACGTCCCAGGTCTTCGACACTCCGGCTTTCAGCTCGCACGAGCAGGCAATTCAAACTTTGGAAGCGGACATCTATCGATTGTCTTTGGAAAAGCTTGATCGAGTCCGGCTGCAAGCAGCAAAATGCTCCAGTCAGTACCTGATAAAGCAAGTGCCTGCTACAGATGTGGCCAGCGTATCATCACCGGCTTACTTCCAGCTCGTGCTTGCGCCACTTTGGCGACACGACCCTCCAGGATATGTTCAGCAAGCATTGATGCAGGGGTGCATCTCCTGCGCGGGCTCGGGTGCTGAGCCTTTACTCCAAGCTTCACGTCAGGTGCTAGCTAGCGGATTGCAAGCAGCAGATACAACGATACTGGAATGCTTCTTCTCGACTTTCATTACAGTTGTGAAAGAACAGCTTTCTACACCCACGACGAATTTGCAACCTGCACTCGCATTTCTGGCCTTCCTTCTAGATATGCAGCTCTCACAACGTCTTGGCTCGTCTTCAACGTTCAAGTGGCGGAACTTACTCTCCGTTGTGCAGAAGTCGCACCACAAGTCGAACGAAATCCCGAAGATTCTGGCAGCTGTTCATGTGTACACTGGGCTTGCTGATGTGCCAGCGATACGTATGGAGACGATGAAGAAGCTGCTGAGCATGCTGAAGACCAACCCTTATCCCCATGTCAGGATAGCAGTGGCAGAGGCTTTGTATGCCATCACGGCAGATGAGGCTTTGCTGAAGTGCGACTGGGCGAGACCAGCGAAGGAGAATGCACATGCTGTCGAGACTCTTGCGAGGTATGCTCAAGAGACTTGAGCTGCTCTAGTCGACATTATGGGATCTTCAGCTAAACGCGAAAAGTCACTACTACGAGCATGGTCTTCTGAGCCTGGCAACGAGTAATTACGTTTCTTGAAGTGACATCTGAGGTGGGATGCAGGGCCGTCGCCTGAACTGAGACCAGGATTTAAGCTTATTAGAATGCGCGTCTTCAGATGGTTAGACCACGACAGTTGAAGAAACATCTCGAAACATCAAGTGTCGGAAGGAAATGCCATTGAATGAACATGGTCAGCGTGACAGTGCATCACGCGCTCAAGGTGATTCGGCAGGGGTCCATGCGCGCCTCTCGAAGCCACTTTCAACGGCAGCGCTCGAGTGCGTCCAAACAAAATTGCAACCGCCGCATCAACTTCGAGCTTGCAACTTGACATCCACTTTTGAACTACAGTGGCTTTCTAGATTCTCTTCGCCGAATGGAAATGGGCGACCGCCGCCTAGGAAAGGGGTAAATTGTGCTGGAGCGATATCTCGGAAACATGAAGACTGATATCAGGCAGGCCTCCTCTCGTGAAGCATAACCTGCCCGATCCCTTCACAACTGATGCCACGAGAAAGACCCTCGTCGAATCGAACCGACCTTCGATTTTCAGCAATGCTGGCGCATGGCGCCCGTCGCAGAATACACACGCAACGATAGCAGCGCCGCGTCCATCGCCATCGTCCAGCTTGCAGTCAGCGTTCATGAGAGACACCACGCACACCGCACCAACGTCGAGCTACTTCCTTAGAACGCTATATCTTCCCGCAATACAGTGGTCGCTGCCAGCGAGCTACATGTATCCTGACAGCAAGTACAGAGAATATCTACGACAGCGGCAGAATGTGCGCCTCCACATTGACCCCATTCTTGAGGCAAGTAAAACTAGAACCTCCGGCTTCAAACTATCCAGCTACACAGTGCGCTATACAAATGCTGACATTCTCTCCATCAGATCTTCCCTCGCAATACCACGCTTCCAGCCCGCACAGCAGGCTTTCTGGGAACGCGCATCCTAGTACACCTCGACATGAAGACACTCCTTCTCGCCCAACGAGTGTGCCGATACTTCAATAAGCTGATCACTCTGTCGCCTCACCTCCAACGCCGCCTCTGGTTTCAGGGCTGCTCCGAGCAGTTCTTCCCCGACCTTCGAGAAATCGACTTACCGAATTTCCTCGATCCTTTGATCGAGAACATTCGTGCCGAACTCGATTTGTTCTATCACTACGACCCAAAGAACATGATTCAAGTCATACTGTATGCTCCAGCGCGTGAAAAGGTCTCATTGTTCTATGCATTGGAAGCGAGCTGGCAAAAGATGTTGGTAATGAGGAGTGCTGAGAAGAGGAAATACTGGCGCGTTGTGCTCCCACCGTATGGGCATATCAATATGGGCATCTTTGATACTGCGCCGACTTTTGGACAGATCATCGACGCGATTATCGATGTCTTGACGTATGGTGGGCGCAAGTACAAGGTGATCCTCCCGGCATGCGGGTAGACTGCTCTGGGTCTTCGGCAGAATGTGTGCAGGCGGAACAAATGGATAGTTGAGCTGAGGTGCTGAATTGTTGGCGCTTACGACCACCAAAGAAAGGTGATGGAAAAGAAAGGGCAGGGCAAATGATAGAGCTTTGGCTTGGATAGAAATGCTTCGGTTGCTCATCAACACGCGCAAAGCCTCGGAGTACGTCGAGCATCCCTGTGCTAGAGGCTCAATCTGAAATCCAACGCATCGAAGACTGCAGCTCCCAAACTACATGCACTGGCCGCATCGCCTTCCCTGCGACGCGGGTCCGCCTTTCTCCAGGGACACAATGAGAAGTCTGCCATTCAACCTGGCATCGGGTACTAGCTGCGCCTCAGACACTGTGTGAACCACGATGACTGCTTTCTCTCTCTCTCTCTCAGCTAGCAAGAATCAAATCCACCAGAGCTCCCAACGTCACCGTCTGACTCCAGTCCATCGTCATAGGGAACACATCGTAAACGCACGGTGTGTCCTCGTCCTCTACTTGAACGATCAACTCTCCCACTGCCCGCTCGCTGGGCCAAAACACCAGCATATCTCTCCAACTGCCTCGTCCCAGCATCGCCAACTTGTTCTTGCACGCGAACCTGATCACATAGTCCGTGGCGTCCGAATACTCGCGCTTGACCCAAGCATTGATGGCAAGATTTGGATAATAGTAAGTGAAAAATGGGTTGAGGTATGGCCTTGGAAATCGACCTGGTTGAGTCGGTGGCTGGATCCAGAGGTTGCGTCGGGACTGGGCTGAGTTGGAAATCGTTTTCAGCCAAGTTCTGTTGACTCCAGAGCAGTGGAGGAGAGTGCGACTGTTGAGGGAGGATAGGATGTTTGCGAGGAGTTCCGAATTTTCGAGGACATTGTCGACGGCAGACCGAGGCATGCTGATGTTGACTGCGAGGGCAGAGGTTAGTGAGTTATCTGATAGCCAGTGTTACAAGGTATTTACCACTGATCTTGGTCGAAGGTCCTGCGTCGGCTTGATTCTGGGGCTGGTATGTCGGCATTTGGGGCGTATGCTCAGTCCGCAAGCGCAGAGGCATGTTGATGGTCATGGTCATGGTCGCGGTCGTGAGTGCGTGTTCTGGTGATGGAAGCCCGTCTTCAGCAGCATGCAAGGACTTCAGCTGCCGAGCTGAGTCGTGAGAGAGAGAGAGAGAGATGGCGAAGAGCAACATTCAGATGTTTCATGCTTGGTGCAGGGCTCACATCACCAAGAGTGAGTGCGGAAAAGTGGAGAGGTAGCCTGCATTTTCATGTGAGAGCATTGTTGACTCATACGAACGGACGCTCAGTTGATTTCTCTACCCAACCACGTAAGGCTTTGATCCAGGTTTGAACAACAGATGTGGTTTCCTCTCTGCGAGATCCAGAATCGTTTGCGCAAAGACCGAATTCGCCCAGGCAAACCAGCTTCGGGTGTAGTCCTTGATCTTCTCCACGTTGACACTCTCGTGCACCAATCCCAATGGACTCGCCTTCTTGACCGCTTCCAAAAGCTCCGAGATCTCTTCGTCATCATCGCTAGTCATCGCCTGAATAAGCAACGACATCGGCCAAGCATTGTGCAAACCAACATGCGGGCCTCCAATGCCCTTGAGGGCTTTACCCTGCAGAAAGTATGGATTGCCTTCTTTCGACAAGATCATCTTGCGCGTGTTCTGGTACGTTTGTTCTTCTTTCTTGACGAAGCCGAGGTATGGTAGTGCGAGCAGTGAAGGCACATTGGCGTCGTCCATTAGCAGAGAGGAGCCGTAGCCATCGACTTCGAAAGCAAAGACCGAGCCCCACTTCTTGTGCTGAACGACGCCGTGCTCCCATACACCTTTCTCAATCCTTGCGCCTCGTGCTTTAAGCTCTTCGCCAACTTTAGGCTTGCCCGAAGCGGCGATGATATCTGCTGTCTTCTTCAGCTCTACTGCCATCATTGCGTTGGCTGGAATGAAGAAGCCAAAAATCGTGGCGTCATCACTTGGTCTGAAGGCAGAGCGAATCAAACCCGTCCCGTAGTTCAACGGGTTTCCATTCCCTGCCAGGTTCAAAGTCTCAGTGCCAGTATTCGTGTTTCTCTGAAATCGGTACGTTTGCTTGACAAAGGACCCCGTCTTCGGATCGAATGTTGACTGGCTCTGCTGATCAAGCACCTTGAGCAGACTTTCCAATGCATGAAACCAGCGCTGCGTCAAAAACGCTGTGGATCCAGTATGCTCATAGAACTGATTTCCAAGTCTCAGGAAATGTGCCAAGGAGTCCAGCTCATACTTGCACTCGAAAACTTGGCTTGGCTCATATGCTGGGTGCACATTATCGCCTTGTCCATTGTCACTTGGCTTCAGCCTGCTCGGTGGAGGTGGCTGGAACGCATTGCAGTACGGAGATTCAATCACGTACTCCGCTTGGGTATTGATCGCACCCAAAATCAAGTTCTCTATCTTCTTGTTCTTCTTTGCCAGCGGTTGGTACTGTGCCAACTGGTTTGTTGAATCACGGAGCCACGACGCTTGAATATCCCCAGTCACGATGAAGCTCTGTGGTCCCTTCCAAGCATCTGTTTGCCCCAAAAACAATTGTTGCATCTTATTTGATTCCGCCTGCTTCTCTGTGCCATCCACATGCCACTGTACAGTTGTATCGATCGTATTCGGGAATGCGTTCTCGAAGATTCGCGCGAGATCGGGGTCCACTAGGGAGTGACTGAGATCTTTGATGATCTTCTCCACGAGGTCTGATTCGAAAGTTCGGCAGTGTTTCGAGGGTCGCTGAAAGGGAAGAGCCATGGGGCCATCGCTGAGAGGCTGGCTGTGCAACTGTCAGTCTACAGGCTCACATGGTCATTGTAGCTTCGCGAATCTGTGCTTACTGTGGGAAACGCGCATAATGCTCATATGCCGGGCAAGCCTCCTTGTATTTCGCTTTGGGAATACCGCTATCGCTGGTCGCTGCCACCTCGAGGAATGGACTGGTGAGGGCAGCCACTACAGCTGCTATAGTTGTCTTCATGATGCCGCGCTAGCTTTAACAAAGCTTTGGAATGGTCCGAGTATCCAAAGTCAAAGGCTTCAACCAGGTAAAGAGCTGCTCGGCCAGGTTCTGACTCGCTGTTGTATCATGCCTCTGCAATGTACGCCGGTCGGAATGGACGCCGAGGAATTGGCAAGTCGCTGGCTGCGGCGCTTGATTCGGCCTCACGAGAGCAGAAATGGCATCGCCGTTATCTGGAACACACTTTGATGGCGTAAAAAAGGAAGTCGTGGCCTGTCAGGAGCAATGCCTTATCAAGGAAGGAGAGGTGAGGTCCGTTGTTGTGAAGATCGCGGCCCGCTGGCGTTCCCTGCCCTGCACTTCAACAACACCACTGGTGAGACAACAATCTTAACATCGACGTTCAAGAACAAAAAAGAGCTACTCATGAACACGACAACTGTTAGCCTTGGGTCCATATGGTAGTCTCGATACAAGTGCCGATTATCGCATCCCAGGAACAGCCACAAGCTTTGTATGGTACGGCCACGATAGCCATGACCAAATCTGCAAACCCAGCAATAGCCTCTTGCATAATCGCCTGCACACCGGTCTTGGTTGTGTATACGATGCTTATGTAGATAGCAAGCGACTTATCCTGTGCGAGCCTTATCTCACTCTGCTGGCGTCAAGCTCAGCTTGCAAGCTGGTCCATCTTGGCCTCAAACTTGGGCTCGTGATTGCAAAGTCTATATGGCCGCGTTCTCTGTTCGTAATGGTATTCGAAGCAGGAGCTAACCAAGCCCGAATTGGTTCTCAAGTCTTTTCGAAATCGTGGCGACTGCTTGGGATTTGTAGTCACTGTACGATGCGGTACGTCACGCAGCCAGAGGGGCGGCAAAAAAAAAAACGCGACAGAAGCAGGTCGCTGATGTTCCAAATCGTATTTCGACACGTGCCGAAAGATTTCGCCAGTGGTGGCTATGATCAGCGACAGAAGAGCGAGCTCGCATCGGAAACATGCCCCTAAGACATATCCTGCTCGGCCCCCCCTCTACGCTTCTGTCCAAGATCCCTCCACCGGTGGTGTACACTTGTACTCAACTCGCTTCATAGTGAGGCCATACGTCCCAGATAAAATACACCCGGTGAGTGGCAGACCCACGCGGTTCGTTCCCAAGGCCAGGGCCATGAGTTGTTTCCAAGCGCTCCGATAATCCTGCTCATGTCCCACCTCCACACGGCCAATCAGAACTCGAAATCGAGTCGGTATTGAACGGAGCCAGGGCAGAAAGAGGCGCTGGTTCTCGTTGGCGAAGCGGAAGACAGTATCGCGGCCGTAATACTCTTGCGAAATATGTTCTCGAGAAGAGCGGTCGAGCTGAAGGATTGCTGGAGGTCGGTAATACGAGGTTATATCGACCATGAGCTCGGGCTCGATGGCTGTGACCAACTCGTAGATGCGTGAGAAGAGTTCGGGCGGTAAGCTTTGGACTCTGCTCGTCAGGTCGTTCATCTTGCGCGAGAGGTGTGGCGTCGGTTGTTTTGTTGAGATTGCAGATCGACCTCAAGACTGTTTTTGATGTCGGTGTTGGAGGTGCGAGGAGTTGAGAGCGTGGGATTCGATTTGGTGCATGGATGAGTCAAGGTTTTCACCCGTGGTTGTCGCTTCACTTCCAGTTGTTCCAGTTGCAGCCAATCGAGCTTGTTCTCGCGCCACTCGGCTTTTCCTGCGGGAATCACGCTGCTAGTATAAGTACTAGGGAGCAAAGCTGTCATTATCATTGATACCTGTTGGGCGAACGTACGGGCTTGCAACACTGCTCATGAAGTGTAGCTCGCGAAGTAAACGTAGCGAGGTGGGTTCTATCAAGGATATTTTTCTTCACTTCGCTAATCCACTTAGGACGATCGTAGAACAATTTCTTCCGACTAAGATGGAGACTCTCAGCTGATACATCGCATGCAGGCCATGACCCCTTAGACGCGACCCAGATTTCAAACGCGTCACAGCGCACCTTACTGATTGCCTTCGAGCATGTGCACCACTTCTTCAGTCATCGAACGGCCAAGATCTCATCCACGCTGCCCTCTCCTCTTCACTGTGAGCGAATTGCTCAATGACTTGCTCCTTCATCTGCTGCAACGCATCTTTGGCTTCATCATACCGTTCGGATTTCACTATTCCACGCTCTGGGAACAAGTCGCCCAAAGCATCTTTGATCCCAGACATGGCCCGCATGCCCAATGTAGCTGCCTCAATATCTGACATGATCTGCTTCTTCTCCTCTGCAGAGAATGAAATGGGAAGAGTCGTGGATTGATCCTCTACTCCCGAGATAGGCGCGCCGTCCTCTAGCAGCTCAAGTGCATGAGCAAGGTACACGGCTTCTCCGTCTGTCAACAAGTTGCGTGCCGTGAGTATCAAATCGAAAGCGGTAGTCTGGCGGAACTGGAGACATTTCCAGATATCTGGAACCGTTTTGGACACCAGTATGCGATATAACACGCAGAGAGATCGATCAAACAAGAGCTGATCGGCACGCTGCTTTTCCCCAGGCGAAAGCTCGGAGTAATAATCTGGTTTCCGCGGGCGCTCGAGACTGAGTGTGTCGTCACAATCATAATCCATCAAATAGGGCTGTCGGGCATGTATATAGAGTGGAGCGACTTCGCTTGATTGCCAGTCGATTATACTCGTGATACGTGTTGGCTCATCCGGATCAACAAAGATGTTCTCCACGTGGAGATCGCTGTGCCAGATGCACGGTCTGTTGAGGACAGAGTCCGACGGCGAGACAATGTGCAGGAGCTCAAAATAGCAGTCAACAGCTTTGAGTTTGGTTGCGACCTTTGGTTGGTACAGGTTCGGTCCACACAGCGTGATAGGCGATTTGGGTAGGACAGGCATCTGTCGTATACATTCCCGTTCTCGTTTGCCTACCGCTGTGAGGTAGTCAAGAGCAGAAGTCCCTGCGCACGGTCAGCACTGAATCAAATCCGCGCTCTGCATTACTCACATGGACCGCGATCGAACTCGATCAGCATTCTGCCATCATCGATCCAGTCTCGGCCTTCGCTTGGTCCAATCACGAAGGCTGCTCCTGAAAACGACGCCTGAGACTCGCATGGTACGCTGTGAGTATCCGAGCTCAGGTCCGAATCGTAGTAGAGACTGCCGTAAGCAGGAAACGGCGTTGACGCCCAGAGCTTTTGGTATTCAACGAGAGTCTTCATGATAGTCAGTCGGTCTGCAAGCTTCATACGCGGCCAAACAGATTCCAAAGATACACCATTCGCCTTCTCCATGATGATGTATTCGGCGCCAACAGGATTGCTCTCTGCTTTCGAACTCCAGCTGAGCACCTTCGGCACCGGGATTGACATGCAGCTCCGAATAAAATCCAGAGTTGCTACTTCACTGGCAGTAGTAAAATGCGGTCGCCCGGCATTCGGATTGGGCAACTTCACGACGACTTCTTTCCCATCGTCCATCGTCATCAGTAAAGCCTTGTTGTGCAGACCATCTGGAAACTTCTTGACGTGAACACAGCGAGTAGCATTCGCAGCTCGCGCAGCCAGCTTCTCCAATTGTCGCAAGTCGAAGTCTACATGATGCTGTCTCATTTCGTATTCTTCGTTGCACACGAATCGTCCCCTGGTGAAGCGATGTAGGCTCGCATCTCCATGCTTATCTGTCGCATTGTCATGAGCATCGAGTCCGCGCAGGGCATCAGGGAATTCCGCAGTACTTACCAGATTTGAGGACGTTGTCGCCGAGGCACAGCGAGGTGTGAGGTGCTGAAAGTGCGCGAGGAAGGATCTTGGCCACCAAAGCCTTCGCCCTAGTTGACAACATCATGTCGCGTCCAAATTGCTGCAAGCAGCGCCGAATGAATGGTGTGTTGTTGCATCGAGTTGCCGATCAAGGTAATACAAAAAGTGGATTGCATTATGGAGTGAACAGACAAGTTTCATGCACGTGTGGTGCATGTGAATGCGAGTAGCACACCGGCGAACGTGAGCGACTAAGGCATTCCTTGGCAATGGCACGGCCCGATCAGGCACCCCCGGAACACAACTCACGGCGTGGACGTGTCGTGTGCCTTGCTCTGCACATCAGAAACTTCGCGCATACATCAACACCGCAGTGCGGATCATCATTGAAGTGAAAGAGCAGACATCATGTCTCTAGTGAATGGTGACTGGGGCCAACCACAGTCTCCCATCAGCCACCGAGTCAGCGACATGTGAATGGACTGCATGTGACAGCCTGCATCGCAAGGTGAATGCGATGCAGCGCGTGGCACTATGGCTTGTATAAAATCATGATTGGTATTGATGCTGGCAGCGACCGACCATCACAGTCCCTCACTCTCAAGAGCATAACCGCTTCAAAACTCCAAAACTACGCAATCTCAATTGCACTCGTAACAAGATGGTCAAGGCGGCAGTAGAAGCACTCCTCAACGTCAAACACTGGGTCAAGGCGGCACGCTCGCGCATTGTCCGCATGGCATCCGGCGAGGGCACTCCAGGAACTCGACTTGCGCCAATGCAATCTGGCACCAACGACACCAAAATCGGTGGTCGTCTCGATTTCGGCGACAGATTCACCAAAGCCGACGGCAAGGAGTATCGACGTCTCAAGTTTCAGCTCAACAAGAAAGCCGATAACAAGACTGTGGCAGAGCTGGCGGGTCAGGATTCTCACAAAGTCTGGGCCGAAGCAGACGTGCCCATAGGCTCTGATGCAGACGCAGACGAGGTGGTGGAGGATGTGTTCGATGCTCTGGAGACGGACCTGAAGAAGAAGCTGTGAGGTACGCATGGAGATGCAGCCATGTCATTCGGCTAGATGCCTTCGCGGCACTCCAGAACTAGCGGCGCCCATGTGATGGTGTTCGCCGCGCATTGATGGTCCTAGATATCACTAGGTGAGTCAGTCGAGTTCTACATGAATCGACTAGCATCTGCATAGCCAATGTAATGGATATGCGCGACGAAATGAAAATCATTATGGAAATCACAGTCTCAAATGGTGCCAAGACATTGCCCAATCTTTGCCCCACTAGCGTGACTGCCTGAGGGCGGCCTCATAAAGCCCAGGGCGTCACTTCAGCTGGACGTTCTTCTTCATCTTTCTCGATGCAAGTAGCACTTTCGTAGGTCCAACAGGCATTTCGTGCTGCGACAGGCAGTACGCCACGCGAGACACCTCGGCGTAAGTAAGAGCGGTTCCGCTCTCAGCGAGACACGCTTGCGACGTGCAAAAGAGGCTCTGCCGGAACTTGTCCTCCAACGTTGGAATACGGCTCATCCTCAGGCTGCTGCGCCGACCCGTTCCTTAACTGAGCTTGTCGCTACACTTTTCACTCCAGCCTTTGCAAGATCTTTCTCCCAGTCAGCTCAGCAACTCGTCAGGAAAACCGCACAAAAGACCAGCGATCTTGAAGCTGCCTCCCGGACTGTGGCACTTCGATCGGCATCTCCATACCACATACATTCACTGCGCGCACAGAGCCCATTCACCATGGACAACGGCGACGCGCCTAGAAAGCGGCGCCGATCCTCTCGCGCTACACCTCCGACATCTGGGCCGGGTTACAGCGCCAGCGCCAACATTATTGACTTGACAGCCGACTCTCCGCCGACCACATCGGCCACCAAGACAACTGCACCAGCCCGCAGCGCCGGCTACTCTGACTTGATCGACTTGACAGCCGACTTCCCGACGAATGCGCGGCCCACTACGACAACTGCATCACCTCACAGCGGCCTTGCAGATTTTGTCTACTCGATCTTCGAACCCGATTCCATACCTGAGGCCGACAGCATGACCAACGACGAGGCATTTGCGCGCAAGCTCCAGGCGCGTTACGATGCTGAGGTGAGCAATGATCCTTGAGGAAGGAGGCAGCTCCCGCGTCAGGAGCTCAAGGGGCCAATCTGATCAAGAATTCGCCACTTTGGTCCGGCGAGATTTGCACACGCCTGAATTATGTGACTTGCGCTGATACATCATGACTTACTTAGGCATCTGGCTCGAATCCCTCGTCATCTACGGGCAAAGCATCGTCAAGCCGTCGTCGATCGCACAAAGTGGATGATAAGACATTTGCACGCCCACTGAAAACGCACTCGAACGGCGAGGGATCAGCACTACGACATACCTCGACATCAAAGCCTATTGACCTTGGTTCGCCTCCGCCACCTGGATCTAGCAGATCATCTTCCACATTCCACTCGAAACGAGGCACCACAGTGCAGACCGGCGCGCGTTTGTCGCCCAAAGATATCTGCAACGGCATACGCGCGTATCACGCGAAAGTAGCAAACCACAAATGTTCTCATTGCTCAAAGACATTGCTAGGCGGACAAGCGGCTATTCTCACCGTATCTGCCGCTCTCGTGGCGCCTTCGTGGCGCGTCGAACAAGGTACGCATTGCATTTCCCATCACTGCACCGACCTATCGCCTGCGGCTGACTGTGCACGTAGCCATCCCTTGTCCAGGCTGTCGGGCTCCGAACTGGTCCGTCAGCGACAGTATCACTGTCATTTGGGTGCTCCTCTGTGGCTTTGATCACAATTCTGAGTTCAACAATCCTGTGCAGAAGAAGTTGACCCCACCACAACGATTTCCCGGCAGGAGACATGTTCCGAACACTAGTACGGGCACTGGTTACGACAACTCGCGTGACCTTGAGCAATATGCACAACATTTCGCTCTGAGCAACGTATACGGCTCACATTACATGCGCACGCCCTCGGCACCTGCTCTTCTCGACAAGACGGAGACAAATGCAGACGACGAGATGACACAGAGGGTGCTGGATCTCATAGCCAGTCTACTTCCAGCCGCGACGAAGTCAAACTCGTCCCCAGATCGCTTGCGGCATCTATTTTTGGGCAGCTCTATCCTGGACCGTGCTGCTGAGCTTTTCCGAAACAATGACATTGAGAATGTTACTAAGAATGCCAAGCTGTACATGAGTCTTGCACGCTTCACACGGGCTTTAGCACACAATCCTGCTACGGCTGCACTCGTATCGGGCGATCGAATTGTGCGTAACCCAGGAGCCAGCATCTTGCAAATCTCGCTTACCAACGGCAACCTAGCGAAGAACGCGCAGTGGGATACGTCCCAGCCCTTGGCCAACTGCATGAGAGATTTGGCTACGCAATGCAGCATGATGTTGCGCAGCTCCGGGTCAGGGGCGAATGAGGAGCACCTTAGAGTGTTCAGCGCGATCAGAGACTTAAACGCGGCCGTGAATCCCAAAGCTGGCACAAATGGCCAGCCAGACGAGGACTCTTGGCAGAAAGACATGCTTGTATCTGAAGTGGCCGACGAAGAGATTATGTCCAAGCATCATTTTGCGGCAGCCCACTTGGCATTCTCGCCACCAGGACGTATGACCAGAATCATGCAAGAGCTGGCTCGACTGCAGACAAGTCTGCCGAACGGTATCTTCGTCAGATACGCTTCCTCGAGACCTGATCTCATGAAAGTCCTGATCATCGGGCCTAAGGACACTCCATATGAAAATGGACTGTTCGAGTTTGACATGTTCTGCAGCGAGAAATTTCCAAACGAACCGCCAAAGATGCATTTCAGGACTACTGCCGGCGGCACAGTCAGATTCAATCCGAACCTTTATCAGGACGGCAAGTACCATTCGTCACAAATGTTTAGTATTTCACTAGTACTAACGATCACCAGGTAAAATCTGCTTATCGCTCTTGGGGACCTGGGAAGGCGAGCCCTGGAGCACAAAGAGTACTTTGCTACAAGTACTCGTCAGCATCCAATCGATGATATTGTGTGAGAAGCCATTTTACAATGAACCTGGCTACGCCAACCAGCCACAAGCAGAGCCCCAGAGTAAGAAGTACAACGAGGCATTGTACCACCGCACCATAAAGAATGGTATGCTTGATTGGCTCGATCGACGCCGTTATTCTCCAGCCGGCGGGGTCATGGGTGGGTTCTACTCTCGTGCCCGGGACGCTGAGCAGGACACTGGCACTATTGATAAGAGCAAAGACATCTGGGACGACATCGTGAAGAAGCATTTCGCCTCGTGCGAGCAGGAGATCCTCAAAACCGTCAAGAAGTGGATGGCAGAGGTCCATCAAGCCAGCACGGAGCGCCCATCAGGTCCACGGCGACCATCGATCGCACCTTCCGCGCCTTCTCCGGTCTTCTCGAACTTCGGAGCACAAGCTCCATTCGGATACCAGTGGTCATATGACGCGGCTCCGTTGTCCGGGGCCGCTTTTCCGACAGGAACGACGCCGATGAACTATGCACCACAAGGCGCTTATCCGAGTGCAGCATATTCGCCCTCGCCTCTCAACGCGACGGAGCCTGCACCTGCACCTCCAGTGTCCCCTTCGCTTATTCCCTTCCAACCTGGTGCAGCCAATGCGCCGGCCTATTCATCAAGACCGCAGAGGGCGCCTGCTCAGAGCACGCAAGAAATGCCAGAGCTCAACGGGACTGACTTGGCGGCAAAGCTTCACCAGGCCGTGCGGTTTATGAAGAGCAATGTGCCGAGTTACAGGGGAATGGAAATGCATGAATGGTGAAGGTCTAATCGTCAGCTTATTCTGCGAGGTGGCGCCACTCATTCGAACATGATGGATGCACGCGTCACGCGAGGGTTGTGACAAGGACAAAAGTTTAGGAGACGAGTAGCCAAGACAACAAATTCACAGCAGATTGGAAGCGAGCGGTTGGGGTTTTTTTTAGTGAATTGAAACTGAAGTACCAACTATGGCTATCGTTCCTTGTAATGCAGACAGTCTTCCAATACTTCAGCTTTCACGATCCAATCCCTTCGAAATCCAACTGACTCAACATCGAGTCTATACCCTAGTAACGCCGTGCCTTTTCACCAATGTTCCGACTAACGACACAATCTCATCTTAGTTTGAATCTTCCTTTGACTCATCGTCACCGAAATCGCAGAGGGGAGGGATCATGCAAAAATTGAATGGAATTGGAATGAGAGACTGGGGGATCCGTCGGAGCAAAGAGCGGGCAGGGTGAAGCCCGGAAGGCTTGGTCTCCGGTGGGATAGCATGAATGGTCAAGTCGGTAGGATCTGAGCGGTGGAGCTCCTCTGTTGCGGAAGGCTTGCGATCGGTTTGCGAAGAGGTTGGAGTGGGAAGCACGAAAGTCGTGGGGAGTGGGCGGCAGTGGCGGCAGATGGGCTTTCTCCAGTCTGTTGGGAGGCTGGTGGGAAGGCTGGAAGATGGGGTGTCTGGCACGGGGCGGAATGGTTTGCAGCTCCTGTCTTCTGTGTTGCACTCGGCGAAGGCTTTGGCTGCCGGGGCGGTTTTCATGGGGGCTACCGGGGCGTCGAAGTCTGTTGGGATGGTGTCGATAATGTTGTCGAGGCTCAAACTCGCTGTTGGGCGAGGGTGGAGATCTTCTGGTGTGGGAGTCGGAACCCACCAGGGACATCGCTCAGGGAAGACTCCGCAAATCTCCTTGATGAAATCATCCGAATCAGGAAAATGAGGGAGGTCGTGGTTCCGTGGATCAGACTCAGGATCCTGGCGCTCGGATTTCACAGGGACAGTGTTGAGAGCGTCCGCGATGCGCGTGGCATCCGGGCGCATGAGCTCTGTCGCAAGAGGCTTGATATGAGTGTGCGAGGGACCGGTCGCGGAGAAGGCGAGCGTCACGCCTGAAGGCTTGCCTAGTCGTGGTCGGGTCACTGTGACGAAGTTGTCTTCTGCCATGGTTGTTGAAAGGGATACGGCAGTGGCCAGCACGACGGCTGTGGTGGCCTTCATTGCGACGATTCGCTTCTTTTGGTGAGGTTTGATGATGTGGTTGTGCGCTGAAGCGTATGTATACGAAGCTGAATGTATACGCAGATGCTGGAGCTGAGAGTAATTGAAGCTGTGGGAAGCAGTGAGGTTGGAGAGAGGAGAACTTATAGTTGCTTGCGACATGAAAAATCATCAACTTAAACTTCGCTCTCTTACCTACTCCGCTGCACTCATTCGCTGTAGGAGAGAATTCGGAGTGCGTGGAATTTTGTGACCAGCGAACGGTAGCTTCTGTGTGAGTTCACAAATCGGTGGTCCTTGTATCCACTGGCAGCAAATTTTGCAGGATCAACTGGCAATTGAGGCGCCCATGATACGGTGGATGCGACAAGTTCCATGGCGCAAGGAAATCTACCGTCGTTTGAGTAGGCAGAGGAGTTGATGTACAGGTAGAGGAGTAAAGCCTGAGGTGGAGGTGAGGTGGACCGAGCGCTGCTTGCTTGACACATGCGTCAGCTTCAGCGCCGGCCACCTGACTCGTGCTCAAGATGTACTTCACTTTTGCATGCACGCGTTCTTTGCTCGAATCGCATCCTTGATTTGCCGCCGATCGCGTAAACGGCGCCATGGACGATTTGGAGCAGTTGGAAATACTCTCGCTGGTGAGCCGAATCACCAGCGAGATCAACAACCACATGGGCGTCTCCGACAAAACGATTTCCGAGTTCGTCATGGCAGAGCACGCGAAATGTGCAAATCAGTCGGCCTTTCGAGAAAAGATGGCAGACTTCGACTTTCCCGAATCGCTGGCCGATAGCATAGATCGCTTGATCCGGACCATGCATCCACGCTTCAAGAACGCATCGCATTCCAATGGAGGGAACGATGCGACGGAGAAGCCTGCGGACAAGATCCAAAAGTTCAAAGGTCTTGCTATCGCCGATACCGCGCCTGTCGTCGATGACTTGGACGACACATTTGCCGCTCTTGAGTCGCTCGCGGGCCCACCAAAGACAAACGGCCGAAAACGAAGCGTGTCTCCGGTACGATACGATGACGAGAAGCCTTCGAAACGCCACAGACGCTCCCGGTCACGGTCGCGAGAGAAGAAGCGCAATGACGAATACCTTTTCGAAGACGAGTTCGGCCGCACACGAGCACATCGACCAGATCGAGACGACCGAAAGAGACATCGACGAGATTCTCGAGAGCGGGGCAGGAGGAAAGAGCCGCAGCTTGACGATGAACCTGTGCTGTTCAAGATCTACGATGGAAGAGTGACAGGTGTGAAGGACTTTGGCGTTTTTGTCAATCTCTACGGCGTGAAAGGCAAGGTGGATGGCTTGGTCCATATCTCTGCTATGTCGGATCAAAAGGTCAATCACCCGAGTGACTTGGTAGAGCGTAATCAAGAGGTCAAGGTGAAGGTCATGAAGGTACAGGATAAGCGAATCAGTCTGAGCATGGCGGAGGTGGATCAGGAGACTGGAGAAGATCTCGCGCCAGGGAGGAAGGTGCAGACTGGCGCAACAGGCGCGAATTCTATGGGTCTAGGCGGAGCCACGAATTTTGACAGTCTCAAATCTGCGGTGCCGGTCATTGAGACTGGAGCAGCTGGAAAGCGACAACGAAAACGAATGACGAGCCCGGAACGATGGGAGATCCGGCAATTGATAGCTTCAGGAGTGATCAAGGCTAGTGATTATCCGGACCTGGACGAAGACTATAACGCAGCCATGAATGGCGAACAGATAGAAGAGGAGGAAGATGTTGATATCGAGGTTCGTGAGGACGAGCCGCCTTTCTTGGCCGGCCAAACGAAGCAATCTCTAGAATTGTCTCCAATTCGTGTCATCAAAGCTCCAGACGGCAGTATGAACAGGGCTGCGATGCAGGGAGACGTGCTCGCTAAAGAGCGACGGGATATGAGACAGCAGGAAGCACAGGACAAAGCCAAAGCAGAAGCAGCGAAGACTGATCTCAATCAGGAATGGAATGATCCTATGGTCGCGCCTGGAGAGCGTAGGTTCGCTAGCGATTTACGACAGGCTAAGACTGGTAACGGTGAAGTGCCGGAGTGGAAGAAGATCGCCACTGGTCGAGGTGCTGAGATGGGAAAGAGAACGAACATGTCCATCAAGGAGCAACGAGAATCTCTGCCTGCTTACAAAATGCGGAAGCAGTTCTTGGACGCTGTCCGGCAATATCAGCTTATGATTGTAGTCGGAGACACTGGGTCTGGAAAGACAACTCAGCTTACGCAATACCTCGCTGAGGATGGCTTTGCACACGACGGTATGATTGGTTGCACGCAGCCTCGTCGTGTCGCAGCTATGTCTGTCGCAGCCAGAGTGGCAGACGAAGTAGGATGCAGACTTGGCGAGGAGGTTGGCTACACGATCCGATTCGAGGACAAGACCAATGAGAACACAAAGATCAAATACATGACAGACGGTATCATGCAGCGTGAGATTCTGCTGGATCCGGAACTCAATAAGTACAGCGTGATCATGCTTGATGAAGCTCACGAGCGCACTATCGCCACCGACGTGCTCTTCGGCCTCCTCAAGAAGACCTTGAAGAAGCGCCCAGACATGAAGCTCATTGTCACTTCTGCGACACTGGACGCTGAGAAGTTCTCTACATATTTCAACGAATGCCCGATCTTGACAATTCCGGGCAGAACATTCCCAGTAGAGATCATGTACAGTCGGGAGCCGGAGAGCGATTATCTGGATGCAGCTTTGACGACTGTGATGCAGATTCATCTCACTGAGAAGCCTGGTGACATACTGTTGTTCTTAACTGGCAAAGAAGAGATCGACACCAGTTGCGAGATCTTGTTCGAGCGCATGAAAGCACTTGGGCCTTCTGTGCCCGAGCTCGTCATCCTGCCCATCTACGGTGCATTGCCATCTGAGATTGCTTCCAAGATCTTTGAGCCACCTCCTCCTGGTGGTAGGAAGGTGGTCATCGCCACGAACATTGCAGAGACAAGTATCACAATCGACGGCATCTATTTCGTTATCGATCCTGGTTTTGTGAAACAGACTGCGTATGATGCGAAGCTTGGAATGGACCGTCTCCAAGTCACACCTATCTCTCAGGCCCAGGCTAAGCAGCGTGCTGGACGCGCAGGGCGTACAGGTCCTGGAAAGTGCTTCCGGCTGTACACCGAGTCTGCGTTCCAGAACGAGATGCTGCCTACGACGATACCAGAAATTCAACGACAGAACCTGTCCAACACAATTCTCATGCTCAAGGCCATGGGAATCAATGATCTGCTTGGATTCGACTTCATGGATCCACCTCCTACGAATACCATGTTAACAGCTCTCGAAGAGTTGTACGCACTTGGGGCGCTTGATGACGAAGGCCTCTTGACTCGTCTCGGCCGTCGTATGGCTGATTTCCCAATGGATCCAGCTCTTGGAAAAGCTTTGATCACGTCTGTTGACCTTGGCTGTTCCGACGAGATGCTTTCCATTGTCGCACTCATTTCTGCCGTTCAGACAGTTTTCCATCGACCAAAAGAAAAGCAGCAACAGGCGGACCAGAAGAAAGCGCGCTTTCACGATCCGGCAGGCGACCATCTCACCTTGCTTAACGTGTACAACGGATGGAAAGCAGCAGGCAAGAGTGATCCGTGGTGCTTCGAGAATTTCATTCAGCCGCGTAACATCAAACGTGCGGAGGATGTCAGAAAGCAGCTGGTTCAGATCCTGGACCGTCATCGCCTCAAGATCATATCTTGCGGTCGGGATACCACTCGTGTGAGGCAAGCACTGTGCGCCGGCTTCTTCCGCAACTCCGCACGCAAAGATCCTCAAGAAGGGTACAAGACGCTTGTCGAAGGCACTCCTGTCTATATGCATCCTGCAAGCGCTTTGTTCGGCAAGCACGCGGAGCATGTGATCTACCATTCGCTTGTGGAGACCACAAGAGAGTACATGCACAACGTGACTGCCATTGAACCCAAATGGCTCGTTGAAGCAGCTCCTACATTCTTCAAGGTCGCAGGAAAAGATGGTGGCGGGTTGAGCAAGCGCCAACGTGCCGAGAGGATCCAGCCATTGCATAACAAGTTTGCTGGCGAGGATGATTGGCGGTTGAGCGCACAGAGACGACAAGGGCGAGGTGGTGGTGGCACTTGGGGCTAACATGATACGCCTGGTGTCTGCATATATGATGAAACAAGTGTGCTTCGCGGCAGTAACTGAAGTACAACTCCTGTTCCGCAGAGCTACAACATTCGACGATCCCACTATATCTGCAGAGGATCGATCTTCTGAGCCGGCACAGCTGCAGCAGTGGCGGACCGGCCGCAACCGCCTATGGGTGCGGTACCTTTTTAGCTTTCACATGAATGTCCCCCCTTCAGCAAATCTGCATACCCCTCCTCGACTGCTCATGCCAAGCTGCCAGATCATGCGTCGAAGTGATGTTCAAATGCACATGCCCAGTTGCTGCCGTGTCACATCACCCGAAAACGGCCAAGCGTCGGATGCATGCACGAGCTCCGCATCTGCTATGGGATACTGCAGAGTCTGATCTTGGAAGCGATCAACATTGAAAGACTTACACTGCAGAAAAGCTCTCTCGTATCTGCTGTACCTCCATCTGCAACTGAGCTCGCTCGAGCGCTCCTTCTCGATCTGTATGAGATGATATAAGATCACTTTTGACGTCTGGCAAGCCGCTACTTCTTGATTCTTCTTTCCGCAACAGACAAACACCACTCAACACACTCACCACCACCACCACCACTCATCTGAATCACAGCTTCCCTTTAATAATGTGTCGTTGGTTCGCCTACATTTCTCCGTCGGAGCCCACGCTCCTCGCCGATGTGCTCATCACTCCATCCAACGCCATCACCAAGCAATGCTCTGAGCACTACCTCCCATACTTGTTGCCTCATGGCGAAGAGAAAGAACTCGATGATGCTCCAGACGAGCTTCTCCGGATGCGTAACTCCCTTCTCAACATGGACGGTCTCGGTGTCGCCTGGTACACTCCTTCAGCTGCTGCCTATACAAACAAGAAATCCGGAATGAGACCGGCTTTGTACAAAAGTCAATCTCCTCCAACGAACGACTTCAATTTTCGAAGTCTGTGTGAGAATACGGAGAGTAATTGTCTTTTTGCGCACATTCGCGCCACCAGCGGCAGCGTGGTTACGCCAGTGAATAGTCATCCGTTCACCTTTGGACGGCATACTTTTATGCATAATGGTGAGTGATCAGCAACTTCTCGTCGTGCTTGAGATCTTAGACGCTGACGAAAAATTCCTCAGGTGTCATCTCCGACTTCACTCGCGTCCGCCGTGACATGACGGACCTCATGGCTTATGACGCCTACGAGAATGTCCGTGGCAGCACTGACAGTGAGCATGCCGCAGCAATGTACATGACCTTTCTTTGCGGCGGACCTGAGAAATGCACCAAGGACGCCTGGGAGAAGACTTATCCTTTGGACGCCATGCGTTCGGCCCTCCAGTCCACAGTCATCGGCATTCTAGAACAACAAGCCAAAGAGCTCGGCGACAAGAAGACTCCCAACAGTCTCAACTTCTGCGCCACAGACGGAACGCAACTCGTCGCATGTCGTTTCCGGAACAGCTTCTCCCAGCAGCCACCGAGTTTGTACTGGAGTGAATTTGCTGGTCGCACATTGAATCGCAAGTATCCTGGTGACCCCGATGGGTTGAGAGAGAACACGGATCAGAAAGTAGGGGAGGAGGAGAGAATTGGAAAGCACACGATTGTGGCGAGTGAGCCTACGACGTACGATGAGAAGGAGTGGCATTTGATTGGCAGGAATTGTATTTTGCTTGTTGACGAGAAGGGTGTGGAGACGGAGGTGCCGTTGGAGTACGATGAGCAGAAGTTGAATGCGCGAGTTGGTGGAGAAAAGGTCATGTAGGACTCAAGGGATAGGTTGTGATTGATTTGGTCAATGGAAATGGATTCCTCTTGCTCCTTTTGATCGAGTGCTAGTCCAACTTCGTGAGGTTCTCAGAGGCCTGGTCTTTGAGGAGCCAATGTGTACGAACTCGCTGCTCGTGCCACATGTCAAGAGAATAATGTTGGAGTGAGCATGTCGGGAACAGGTGCTTGGGCAGGTTCTTCACATGAGCTTAGTAAGCAGCCAAGTCATTCGTCACGGACCCAACTCCGCTAGCGCGAATCTGCCGCGCCGTGTACTTAACTTCTGACGCTCTCTTCGCAGAACACTTTCTTGGTCACCGTCCCATGGCGACGTGTTTTTCTCCATCAACCTGGCGCTTGCTCCCAAATAACGACAATGTATGCGGCTCTGGTCGACACATACGCATTGCGACGCGGACGCCTTCAATGGCAGTTCTGCAACCGCACCTTCTTCTTGCGTTACCCCGATGCCATCTCGGTACGTAACGCGACATCGTAAAAAGTCAGCCTGTGCCGCCTTTTGAGAGTCTGTGAGAAAATGGATCACCGCCGACCATAGACTTCTTGAAAGGTCATTCTGCGCTGTCCTCGCCCATTCAAATCTCTCGATCGCTGGCCAGCAACCATCGTCACTTGGTCGGCATGAAATGCGGCAACGAGGCTAGAGTGCGATATCGCGCATCAAGCAGGTGAGTGTCTCACTGGAAGAGTCATGTGGCTTCTGACTGATCACAGCTAGCACTCGCATTGGCTTCTGTGCACACTATCGCTGGATACGCTCGGCCGGACAAGCCAAATCTGCACGTCCCGTCACCACCTTTCTCTGTGTCTGGGAGCACTCGGCAATCCGATTGAGAGGTTGGCAAACTGGAAGAAGCGCTTGCAGCCAAAGGCAGTCACACACAGCGACTTCGGCAACAACTCGAGCAGAGCCGAGATACGAGAAGATTTTCGACAACCAACGAGGCGGCTCTCAAGCTTTTGCACAGACACCAGCTTCGACACTGAGACATGGCGACATCGAGCGTGCCACGACGCCTCCCTGCGACCAGCTCTGCAGCGGCCCCTTAGGCTTGAGATTCAGTCAGCACAAACTTTGCCAGTGACAACCAGTGCATCACCAGCTGCAGCGACACTAGGTTCAGCCATCTTATGTGACGATCTATCCGGTGCAGCACCAGTCAAGGCAACCCTCGCAATGAAGCTGATTGCAATTGTCACTCTGCCCATTGACCCACCGCACGAGCCCTTCTCATTCGGCGCGAAATAGCTTCCACCACCTGTCTCCAATTGGGCTATCAAGACGACACGGCAGACAACACGCTCATCGACCCTAGAAGCACTGCGCCTTAGGAATCTCTTCAGCGTTCGCTCATCCTGACAAGCGCCACCAGAGCCCGTCCAGCTATGTCGAAGGCTAAACAACAATCAGAGCTTCAGCTCTTTGGCTGGACCTCAGCCAGATGCTTTTGATCAACGCTCTCGCGGCCAGGTTCGACGCAACTCCGAGGATGCTTCAGCAGCAGTCGATCACAGTCACGATCAACGAGTGACTTGTCTATACGTGCACGCGTAGCTGTATCCCGTCATATCCCGCGCCGTACCGCACGCGCAAGTGCATTTACAGCGAGAGACGCACAAATGTCTCCCCGAGGAAGCTGCAATATGCAGAGATGGTGGGTTGTCACATCGCGTCTCTCCTCGTTCATCGAGGACGCGTGATTCACCTGCAATTCTCGCATGGAAAGGCAAGCTTTCACGTAGCTCAGTATCTGGCAAATGCCTCACTTCCGTTAAAAAGTGATATCAGATTGATCCGAAGACACATGGCGCGTGCCCAGCTCCTGCTATTGCCAAGCACGCCTCGATTGCGGTGAAGGTGTGACTTAACGTATCGCCAGCCGGCCCACGATATCAAATCATCCTAACGAGACGCATTATGCTGTTCCCGCTTGACATCAAGATTGGTGAAACCAGCTCAACAGCAACAATAGTAGAGGGAATGATTTGCAAGAAATACCTTGATCGTGTCTCTTTCATTGCTTCGACCTCAAAGAGGTGCTGAGCTTCGAATCATCACAGCAAATGTAGATTCTTCTTTTCGAGGCACAAGTAGAAACTGTCAGATGAACATCCTTGGTCGTTCCATCATCAGCCAGAATTGTAAAAGAAAACATGTTGTCTTGGCGGTTTGTGATCCATGTTTCCACGCTATTCCGAATAGGGCCGCGCCTTCCTTGACCGCACCCCTTCCATGGTACAGCTGTCTTCTGCAAACTATCAACACATTGGAGGTGCGGCCTCAAAAGTCTTTTGTGTGAGTCTATCGGCACTTTTCACCGACGCCGGCCTCTTCTGAGGGGTCGATCGGAGACGCAGGTATGGGAAAACATGTGTGTCGCTGATGTGGCGGCGGTGACGATGAGGACGTGGAGAGCAGATTGAGAATGAATACTGCTCGCTCAATAGATTCAACAGCCCGCGATCGACGACCTCATAGATAAGAAATGCAATTACGCTCTCACTCACGATGGCCGCCAGATATTTCTCTCTGTCAGCGGTAGAAGCCCCTCCACGGCGAGTCCAGTAGAGGGAAAGCCTTGCAGCGATGGCATTGGAATGTTGGCCCAAGCAATGAAAGAATTAGACATAGGAATTGCACTTCCGGACAGGATACTGAAGTCCTGCCGCCTGGGCTCATCTGGGATGCCAGGCGACAGGTCATTCCTCTCGGGATTGATCATGCCACGAGTATTCGCAAGTCCATGCCCATTATCCGCCGGTACGATCGAGAACGAAGCCGTGAGACACGCTAGACATGATACTACCTCGCAGTGTGTACGTCTTACGCCACCGTCTCTTCTGAAAGCCTACAGATATAGCTTGTCCAATGCTGACCTTACGACTTAGGTTACGAGCTCGCCTTGACAAAGTGCCATGTCCAAGACTCGCCAACCCTGCTGTTCAGCGCTTGATGTGGACGCACTGCTTCGTTAATTGTCCGGAAAAGACTCTTGTTGTTCAAGCTTGCGACAAGAGTGGGTGCTGTTCGACTGTGGTCGATCTGCGCGCGCGGCAGCTTGTTTTCGCTGCAGCTGTATTGTGCTGGCAGACCGCAATACGTGTCGGCAGGGAAGCGAGTGAGCGGGAGGATTTGTGACGGTGGACGTGCAGGATACAGCTTCGGTGAGCACAGCTGAGTTCATGGTATTGTTTCGATTGAATGAAAGGATGTAGAGCGTGGTGTATTCCAGCTGTCTCTTCGTCTTTCACCTTTCTTCGGCTCTCTTCGCGCTTCAAGGTCCTGTCAGCTGACTTGAGCACGATACAGTGTTCTATTGCCATCGTAGAACGTTCCACGCGCTACCCTTGTAGCAAAGCTGCATACAACACGCTCGGCGCAGACTGCAAAGGATGTAGATCGCCAACACGTCGGCTGTGACCATCGAACTCGAATGGTCTCGCAGCCGCGCAGTGCGAGCAATCGAATCTTGCGCAGCGCATGCAGCGTGGCGGAGCCGCTTCGGCGGAGGCTCATCAGGTATGGCGGCGTGCGGCGTGCACGAGGCGGCGGAATGTGTGGGAGCGCATCAGGATCAGGCGGTCAGGGGGGTTGGCGCACTCTTGTCGCGAGTATGACTTCTGTCACGCAGCATCTGGTCGGACTCTGGCGGCCGCAGTCGTTGTGTATTCTGCCGCACTGCGCTCGTGGTCGCGGTCGCTGGCTGCGACAGGTGATTCGCCTGCAGTACCTACGCTGCAGCCGTTGTGCTAGCGCGGTCCTTGGCAGGCGCTTTGACCCCCAGCAGTTATTCGAACATCCGCCTTCTGAACTTGCCAACCACGACACACACTCACTCTTGCTCGTACACAACATCGTTCCACCACCGCCATGGCGCACCTCGCACTTTTCCACGGATGCGCGACGCGCAACTGCACTCGCTGCAGCGCTCAGTTCCTTTCGATTCCTGGTGGCGGCGCTCTCTGCGACCAGTGCCTTCACTTCAACACGACCAACACACAACAGCAATCGTATCAATCGCTCGACGTCTCGGCGCAAGCGCTGCTACTGCCATTGCAGGAATGCATCTGCGGCAACTCCTTCCTCGAGTGGAAGGGCCATCTCGCACATATCGGGCTCTGTCCTGGGTGCACTCGATCCCTGGGCGACGTCGACGCGCATCAGCGAGTTGTTGCTGCCTTCGACCGGTCGTTTCCGCATTACACGCCGCCGGATCAAGAGTGGCTTGTTCTTAACGGATTCAGAGGCCAGGTCACACCAGCGGTGCTGGCGGAGTTCAAACAGAGGGCCTTTGAGTCTCGGCTAGAATTACACCCAGCTTTTCAGCGCCGGCGACATCAGCAGTCGCAGTACACTCAAACACGACCAGTGGGACCTTCGACCCCGAGCGTCAACACTGCGCAGCAGCATTCGAGATCCCACCCCCAGATGTCACCTCCGCAGCCGAACTACCATACCCACGTGACACCGGTCCATACTCCACCTACACACTTCCACTCACCTGCGCACGCAACTCAGACTGACGGAGCGAGACTCGGTCAGTTCCAGTCAGCCACGCGCGGGTCTCACCCGGTTGGCAGCACCCCCTTTCCATCACATTTCCGACCTGCACACCTCGGGGGAAACGCTTCACGTACGCAGTCGCAGTCGCCGTCACCTGCGACCCACGCGACCGTCAATGCTCCGCAAGGTTTGGACGGCAATGGCGCACAACTCGCAGCAGTTCGTGCTCAAAAGCGTCACGAACTTGAGCGCGCTCAACAACCTCGATTCCCCGGCAATGCGAGATCTACTCCGACCGCCGCCTCGTCCAGCGGAATAACCAAGGCCAAGCCTGGGCGACTCATCTGTTCCTTGTGCAAGAAGGACAAACCCATCATCAAGGACAGGAACGACGGAAAACTCTGTACACCTTGCTTCAAAGACTGCCGTCGAGAGGGCGACCAGCTGCGCACCCTTGCTGAACAGGAAAAGCAACAAGAACAGCAAAAGCAGCAAGCACAGCAAGAACAACAAAAGCAGCAAGTCAATCAACTGCAGACACCCAGTTCAGCAGAGCGCGCACCTGCACCTTCTACAAACCGGCCACAAACTCCGGTGCCTACTCAGAGCGTCATCGCCACGCCTAGTACCTCATCCAGTCCGAGCGCAATCCCCTCACAATGCTCGTCCGAATATGCCAGATCGCAACCGCAAACTCCGAACCTTGCACTAAGCGTCGCCATCACCCCCAGCACGACGCCAAGCCTGAGCGAACCGGACCCGCAAGAACAGCAGAGCAGTCGATCACACACTCCGACTCCATCACAGCGCCCAACCAATATGTCGACTGACCCAGCGCAATCCTCGGGCACCACCTTTGATGTCCCGAATACTCAGACTACCATACCTGGGATACCACAAGCAACTGTCGATCTTGCGATAAAAGAGAATATGCTCGACTTGGTAATTGCGGTGCACCGAATGCGAGAGGAGGAAGCTGCAAGGGAATCGAGCGATCAAGGATACACTGTGCAGTAGATCGGTGCAGCGGCGTGCATCGTCAGACATTGGATAAAACCTGGTCCAGGGTCTTATCTTGGGCGTTTTATTGACGACCCAAATACCATATCGAAGGTGAGTGCACATTCATGACTATACGATCCCGCTGCACTCCACGAGATTGCACAATCCAGTATGAGAAGGCTGACATCTTCTCTCAAGCTAGGGGAGGTCCCTCGGAGGAGTCGCTCCGAAGCCATAGCTGTAAAGCAAAAATTTCAGAGCAACCTGGGTCATTCAGCAGCTCCATCAAGGAGTTCCATGCCTCAACAAAAATGGCGCCTCTTGCCCCCAATTGTTGCTGCGCTGTCCCATAGGAGACAGCCCTAAGGAAAATGCCTTTGTTTCTTTTCCCAGGCACGGGGCTATTCACCATGGGTAGAGTGGAATATGGCGCATTAACGAGCTGATATCAACAACACCTTTGTGCAATCACTCAAATAGTACGTTTCACTCGCTTGTACAGTATCATAGGAATTTCACTAGTCGAGCCACTGCCTTCTCGAGCCCAACTTATGCTACATCAATCATACCTTTGACTTTTCCAACAATTTCCAAACAAGTACGAATAGAACAGAAGTGGAGAGACTCCAAGCAACACTACACAGAGATCTCGACTCGAATCGTCTAGGACATTGATCTGAATCAAACACAGGTCGCAGACTCGATTCGCCTCAGACCATGACAATGGCGAACACACGTGGCTTCCAAGACATGGAGGACATGCAAGACATACTAGGCATCAACAACATAAATGAAATGCCCGATGTCACTGCAGACTGGACAGACAAAGATTGGACCGATTTCCACAGCGCGTTCGAAAACACCACGGAACACGACCTCGAACAACTCACCAATCCCATGCGAACCGACAAGACACCTCCCTATCAGCCCTCTGGAAACAACAATTTTCCACAGCATGTGCCATCAGACCAGCTGCCGGAATATTTCCATGGCCTTCCGAATGAGTTCGATCTCTACCAGACACCACAGAATGGGGTAGAGATAGCACATGAAGCACTTCAGAATGCTGTCTACGAGCAGTATCCCTACACAACAGCCGATGCACAAGCATACTGGCCAGTTGCAACAGCATACACCACTCAAACCTTTGGCCCAGGCATCAAGCAGGAGTCTTTCGATAACTCAGATTATGCTGCCATCCCTCCGCTCGGCAACAACGTCCAAACACCTCTCCCTAAATCGACAGCATACCGAGGATTCTGCGCTGACATCGCCGCCGCCCACACTCTCCTCGCCGAAACAGATGCAATGATCCCACTCGGCGTCCAAAACGACGACTGGCAAATCGTCAAAGCTTCAGGAGTACACTACTACGGTGCCCGCCTCTTCGACGCACTCTCAATCCCCGCCACCGAAGTCCCCAAACCAATCGAAAACGATTTCCTCAAGGACTATTGGCGTTCCCATCAAGCCAAACAACTCATCGACATCCAAAACACTATTTTCACGCAACCAGCCAAAGCAGAAGCACAAGTTCTCATCCTCATCGACGAAGTCCTGAAACTTCATGAGTTTGGCGTTCCGGCTTCTGTCGCGGCTTACAAGTCTCTGAAAGAAGGCTACCGACTCGAGGCGAATTTGATAGCTTCTGATCGTTTGGAACTCATCATTGCGAATGCTGCGGCAGACAAGTATATTGCTTGGGACGTTTTGAATGGGAATAATGTTCTCGCTCTGATTCGTTCTCCTGCGATGTATTTGAGTCGGAAGATTAGCAATAGCAAGGTTAATGGGAAGAAGGCGTTGGATAAGACGAATGCTGATCGAGCGATGGGTACGACGCCAGCGACTTCAAAGGCAGGATCGAAGAAGAAGGGAGGAAAGAAGGCACAGGCTGCTGCTGAGAATGCAGCATATCCCACTCCGGATGCGGATTCGCCTGCCACTCAGAGCGTCTTTGGCGGGCCGGCCCCTCGTTTCTCGCTGGGTGGTCGTGGTGAAGGCACGAGAGATTACTCGGCGAGCCAGAATGGGTTTGGCAACGTTTTCGGATATGAGTAGGCGGGTGAGCGGACTGATCGATCTGATTGACAGACAGAATGGCGTTTGGATTGTTGGGCTTATGGGAACGCAGCGGTTGGGCTGCAGGCTGTACATTATGGATTGAGTTTGTCTAGCAGAACTGGCGGGAATCTCCAGTCGCGTGTGCATTGCAGTGCATTGCAGCGCATAGCAAGACTGCAATTGGATAGAGACCTGCATGATTTGTCTCTGAGCTATGGGAAATCTCTGACCCATGTATAGCATCACTGAATGTGACAATGGTCTTTCATCATATCTTCCACTCTCCCTCCTCATTGATCCAACTGTCTTCATGCGAAATATGCGTGGCAATAGACACTTCTGCTCCCTGCTGTGTCATGCAAGAGCTGGTACGAAAGTCCTTAGATTGTCATAGAATGCAGCGATTTGGTGACCCCAAGCTTCCTCTTTTTCGACCCCAGTACCCAAGCTCGCCCACGGACTGATGTGATTATGCCCAGGCATGAAATCTGTAGCTAGTGACTGCCTTGCAAGTTTCGAATCGGCAGCGAGCCATTGCTTGATGAAGTCGTCCCGTGGTATCAGGATCTCGTCTTCAGGATCCAAGTCTCCGTTGAGTACGAGCGTACGAACTCCAGCTTCGATGAAATCGATCTGACCTTCACTCTGCCTTGTTCTCAGCAGTCCCAGCGGAGAATGCGTATCGACCTCGTCACCATAATATGCCTTGTTCACCCCAGCTCTACTCTCGTGTGCGAGTTGGAAATGGAACGGTACGGATAAGAAGACAACACCTCTCAGTCGCAGTATGTCGTCCGAGAGTACTGCTTTCCTCGTGATCGCGAAACTCTCATGTAGCAAGAAAGTAGAAAGATGAACACCGCCGGCCGAATTTCCCATGATGAGCAGATTCAGAGGTTCCGGTCCAAGGTTTGCGGCATTGTCACGTGTCCATTGCACGGCGAGACAAACATCTTCGCCTCCAGATGGGAACTTGGCGTCGTGTGTTCCGACCAGTCTGTAATCTGGAATGACGACTGTGTAGCCATGTTTGAGTGCGAAGAACGAGGCAATGTTGGCATGGCAGAGCTGGTCGGCTACACCTGGTAGAGTTTTGTGGCCCATCGTCAGACCGCCGCCATAGAGGAACATGAGAACTGGTCTTCGGCCATTCTTGATGCTCGCTTTTGGGGCTCTGTAGACATCTAGCTGCTGTCGTTCATGAGAACCATACGAGAATGTTTCGCAAGGCACGGAGCGGATCAATTCGGCGTTCTGGAGCAGGAGTGGTTCGTAGAGCTTGATTGTTGGCTTTACAATGTCGCGAATCGCTGTGCCGAGTGCTGGCAAGTGCTCCATCTCGGGACTGAGAGGTGGGTATATTGTGCTATTGCGGGAGGGGACGATGTGTGCGATCAAAGACGTGATAGATGGAGAAGGAGAGGCGAGACGCCATACTGATGTCTCGGAAGAGCCAACACTGGCGTGAATTCCAGCTGCCACATCCCGAAACCTCGGAGGAAGCAGCTGTTTGGCCTGCGCCTGTGTCTAGTGTGTGCATCAGAGCCGGCAAGACTGATCGGGAGGTGGCATCGTCATTCTTTTCAGCTTCGATGGTGGACCTGCCCTTCATTAGCTCCCATGGACGTTGGGCGAATCTAGCTTCTAGGTCAGTCGACCAAACAAATCCGGACTTCGTACGACATTTCTATCGATGTAGCAGGGTCGGGACTTCGGTCAAATAGAGGTCCCGAACAGCATGGGTCAAACCTTCTCCGCTCACTAGAGCAGACTTAGGGCTTCGGCCGAGGTGCCGGCCTTCTGTGCCGGCGGAGAGTGTGGAGTGTCCACATCACCCGTGCCCTCCATTAGGACTGCTGTAGCGATAGATCAAGATCACCAAGGCACATACTAAAGACACAAGCTTAAGCTCCCCTAGCTCTTCACCTTCCTCGCGTCTGTCTGCTTTCTCTTTCTTCATTATTCTTGCAATTCATCAACAATATAACTACAGAACATATTTACCTCCACTCAGTATGGGAGACACCAATACTGCTCCTCATGTGAACGGCAAAAACAGCAATACATTGACCACAATAGACTTGCCACCCAGCGTCCCGGGTCGACCATACGTTATTTCTTCCCAAGAAGGAGAGATCATTTACATTCCACTTTCGAAATCCGCAACACGACTTCTTGTGACAGGCAAGGAAACCGATAATGCATTCGCTGTCGTTGGCAGCAGTGGGAGTCAAAGTGATCCCATAGGCTTCCATTACCATCGACATACCCATGACGTCTTCTTATGTCTCAAGGGTAAAGTCAATGTCTGGGCGAACGACCAAGCACGTACCATGGAAGCAGGGGATTTCGCCAGTGTACCCCCGGTATGTTTCCGAGCCTCGAATGTATATTTGTAGGATACAGCAGCTGAATGATTCCGCAGGGTACGATTCACCAATACCAGATCCTGGGAGACCATTCTGAAATGGTCGGGTTGATCGTTCCAGGAGGCTGGGAGGAGTTCTTCCGATTCATCGGCGAACCTTACGATGGACCAACATGGCCACTGGACGACCAGAGGAATGTTTTCGAGGTACTGATACCGAAGTTGAAAGCCGCTTCCGAACGATTCGATATGATTCCATGCCCTCAGAATAAGCAGTTTGGACCTTCGCCATGGCAAGATGATGAAAACCAATTACCGGGAAAGCTGGAGCCATATTTTCTAAAGAATGCCACCGGTCCAGCATATCTTGCAGGTGGCACTGTTTGTCGACCTCTTATCACTACTGCGGAGTCCGATGGAAAGTTTGTGATTGGTAGTATCGAAGGCTCGAAGCAACATCGACAGGAAGATATAATCGGTGACAGCCGCCGACTGAAGTTTGCGGATACTCATCATGCTTTCCAGGTTGTTGAGGGCGCGATCGACTTCCATATATCTTCGTCTCAGACCACATCATTACATGCAGGGGAGATCATATATGTTCCGCGAGGGACAGCTTTCAGCTACCACTTTCGCTCCAGATATGCGAAGATGTACTGCTTCGCCAGTGGGAAGGGTGTCGTCGAGCTGTTGTGCAAGATTGGCGAAGCATATGCGGCACCAGTGCCTCCGGAAAAGGCGGCGAATTTGAAGGTAGCAGAGGTACAATCTGTTGCGATCGAGTGCTCGGGCGAGTTCTGCTGATTAGCGTTAGCAAGCACAGAGCAATAATCATAGTAGAATCGAGTTGGCTCAATGTCGTGATACGAGCCTTTCCTGCCATTTTTGTTGTGTTGCCGCTGTAAATCAAATGTACAGGATGAGAATAGGGACAAGCAACAGTAGTCCTAATCCCAGCTTCGAGATAGTCTCCAAGCTGGCCGGAATCGCACTTTCTGGTAGATCAAAGACGATCGGAGCGCTCAAAGCAGTAGCGCACGCTGTCAAAAGCACCATGGTCAAGAACAGTGCTCACCTGGTCAAGCCTCTCGAGGCTAATTTCTTGAAGTGATTTTCCATGTCTTTTGCATCATTGAGTCTAGGAAATGGGACATCTGGTATAGTTTTGTCCAAAGCCTAACGAAGCACATTATCAGCCTGCTGGGCGCTGTAACATTTTTGCCCGCACAGGTACTTACTTTGCAAAGTGGCTCCCAACCCTCTTTGACATCGAAAAAGAAGAGCTGACCTTCCGGTACAGTCTTCTTCAGCTGCTCAATGTGTTTATTCCAGGTTGTAATGAAGGTTTCTCGGTCTTCCATCTCCACGCCGAATTTTGTGTAGAACAAATGGGTCATATGCTCAGCAAGCTTCGGCAGCCAGCGCACACTTGGTACCCACCAGAAGATGAAAGTCGCCAGCTTGGGCTGAGAAAGCTTGATAACCTCCGCTATAGACCTCATCCACGGCTCTTGGTCTCGAACTGTTACGATGACCTTGGCATCCGGACAGAGTTTGAGGAGCTCTGGGTAGAGCACGGAGAGCGGAGGATCTGCCACTGCAACATAGCCATCGAGTGTCTCGTGAAGTGTTTTTGCGACGGATGGCCATGTTGATGAGTTGTAGGGATATTCGGCCGATGCTTTCATCATGGCTTTGATGTGCTTCTCATCGCCGGCACCTTCTGCAGCATATTGGACGCCAGAATGATAGCAAGGCCCATCGAGAAGGATTTCAAGTGCAGCGCAGAATGAGTTCGTGCCTGTCCGTGGCAAGCCTGTCTTAAGTCAAAATGTGTCCCAACAACGACTGCATTCAGTGATGCGAACCGGCTCCAATGACCTGAAGCTTTGCGCCTGGCTTGGGCCCCTTGAAACGGATTGTAGACATGCTGAGAGCAAGTGTTATCCTTTGTTGTCAGCCTAGGTAACCACCTCAGAACTTGTGCCAAAGTTAACATCGAAGGAAGTCTTTCATAAGAAGCTGAAAACCTACAGTTCGGAAGTACGCAGATCGAAGGATCAGCCACAATGCTTAGGGGGGAAGATCTGTCTGAATCAATTCTGCTTCAAAGGGGCTGCTAAAGCTAGCCATGTGATAAACATGCTGACTGTATTAGGCGGTGATCCTCCTAGCTAGCATAATTGCTGCGCTCCAGATGGCAAACATTATTGAGACTGCCAAAGTAAGACTTTCCGCCAGCTCTGCCAATTGGCAGAGCATTGTGTATCCTGTAATTAGTGCTCACCAGGACTCACTCAGTGACCTCGGGCCAGATTCGTATCAACCACGGGCAGGATAGTGGTCAACACTGAACAGTGAGGACGGCGGCCGCGCTGGCCGTTGCCCCTGTGCCCTAAACCGGACATGCTTGTGCGTGAGCCCTTTTGCACACAGAGCCTGGCAGGAAGTGAATGAGGCGATATTCGTACCAGTTCGCATCGTTCAATAACGGAACAGATGGCTGTGCATGCTGAAAGATGTGAAGAGGTGCGGTCTGAGAGAAAACTTCGATCGGTACAAGGGGATGCATGTTTTTGGTACTTTCTACGCTGTCGCCCGCCGTATTCTCAGTCTCCACTTGCCTCTTGCCTCATTGTCTCGGCGCAGCTGCGCCACGCAATGCCTACGCAGCAGGAGCGTTTTGCATATTCCAATGTCTATTTCCTCCAACATCCATCGTGCGAATGTCAACAACCAAAGAGTCTCATGGTCAGCGCACAGAGTTCATAATTCCAAGGTCGGATCCCGGAATCCCTCGTGCTCGTGGTTCGCAGACTGGCCAATCTGTGCCAAGAGCCCCTGCAGAAAGACAACATGGCATCCCGACTTCAATCCTCGTACAGGCAGACGACATCTCCTACATATGTTGAGCGACTGAGCGGTTCCTGGATCCTTCCGACTTCAGCGCTCGCAGCAATACGGGCATTCATAAGCCTCTACGTCTTTGTAGTCCAATTCTTTATCATTGGCTACAGATGCTCCACTGGTAGATGCGATACTGCTGGAAGATCATTCAGCTATTTCACTGGCCTGGGATACTGGGGTCTAGGATTCTACTACGCTTTTGCGGCTGCTCACACCTTTAGCTATTCCTTTCGTGGAAAGCCTTGGCTCAGCAGCTGGCCCGCTTGGCTGAGGTGGCTGCACAGTGTGCTTTATGCCAGCATTACTATTTTCCCATTCATCGTGACAGGTGAGCATAGAAGTTATCTTGCTACATATCATAAATCACTAATATCTGGACCAGCTGTGTACTGGGCTGGTCTGAACGACAAATCTTTCACGACACCATTCCGATCGTGGTCAAACATCTCACAGCACGCTCTAAACTCCGTCTTCGCATTCTCGGAAATTGTACTACCGCGATCTGATCCACATCCTTGGATAAATGTGTTACCGCTGGTGTTCCTAGGCTGCTGCTACATAGGCCTGGCATACCTGACTCATGCTACGCAAGGCTTCTATGTGTACGACTTTTTAGATCCGTAAGTCTACTTCATCAATTACTTCCACTATGTTGCTGACCGATACAAGTAACGAGAACGGGTCCGGATCAGTTGTTGGCTACTGCATTGGTATCCTGGCCGCTTGCGTGATCCTGTTCGTGGTGGTTCGATATGCCCAATGGGCCCGCCGATGGCTCACGGAAGTCAAGTTTGGTCGTGCTGGCCCTCAAACGCATCACGACACCACGCCTCGCCATTTGAAGAAGTCTTCCAGTCTTGAGCATGAGTTAGATCAAGCTGCGTTGTCAGACACAAGGCGCCATGATTTTTAAACCAGGTGCACCGGAATTTCGCTGCGCACAGCATGGAGCCAGGCACTTGGACCATTTGCTTGTTCCTCTCGTTTGACACGCGAAGAGACAACGAGGACATCATCAACATGGAGGGCACTGTGACAAGAAAGCGAACCAAACTGTGTTTATCACGTAGCCGGTGGTCTTCCATAAAGGTGCGCTGCTCACCTTCACCATCTCAAACAGCTGCGAGCCTGCCGGCCGGCTTCCTGTTGGCATTCTGCGATTGAGATCGATCAAGTATCCGAAGCGCCCGCAGCTATATGTTCAAGTCACAAGCTATATCTGCATGTGGCAAACCCCATGCTTTGCCTTCAGCATCGACATCAGCCCTATCTTCCGCGGACTCGAAGGCTCCAATCAGGCTGACTACTGAGGCACGACTTCACGATTCACCTACAACCTGGAATTCCAAATCAATGCCCCACACGAATTGCTGCGCCTGTGAGTGAAGACGCGAGTCCGCACTTGTCCCCCGCAACCCGCCTCACCGCAGTCCTCGTGCACCGACCAGAACAACAATACACACAAGGGTCAATGCGCGTGAAGTTGGAGCATGGCCAATCAGATCGTCCAGGTCGAGGTGAACAACATCTTCCGAAGTCCGTGTCTATCCATTTTGGGCAGGAAGAGGCCATGATTTCGCATGTGTAAGGTGTGCATGTGCATCGCAATGGAAGGCTTCGCGCATAGGATTTGAACTTCAATCTCTGCGAGCAACTTCTTCTTCTTTGCCAACATCCGCCACCTCTTGGGCATACTAGATACTGGACACAACTCCCTGAAGTCGGTGGTAAACAGTATCGATGGCCGCCTCTGATCAGCTGCCCGAGCGCGATACATACAATGCTCGTAGCGCACCTCACCCGGAGCCTCCTGCATTTGCAGGCAAGTTTGTCCCTTACAAGTACTTTTGACCACAGCTAAGACCATAACAGACACGGCTCCGCACGGGCAACTCCCGACAAGCATGCAAAACCATGCACCTGCGACGCCATACTTCTATACGCAGTCAGCCACACCTTCACACAGCTTCCATACGCCAGTCAGCCAAGACTACGGGCAGAATTTCCAGTATCGAACATTCGTGGGCCCAGATGTGCCATTTCAGTGGTACACAGAGAGTGTCGGGATGAATCAAAGTGCATGGCAGGCACAAGGACCTGAATGCACAACGACTCCCTTCGATTTCTCTGCTCCGATCGCGCCTGCAGCAGCTGGAGTGAGCGACACATACTCTTACAGAACCACGGCCGAGCAGCTACGTGGAAACCGTCCTGGCACTTTTGACCGAATGGCTTTCGCTCAAGTGCCTGGTGAGCTCGACCAAAATCCTGCAGCGCCTGGGCAGCACATAGGTCATCCTCTCGCTGCTGGTCCGAGCCAATACGACGCTTGGCCCTCCCAACCTATGTGGCCGTCCACTCCCTCAACACCGCAGAATCATATGGACACCTCTGTCCCCGGCTCATCCCACACGCGTCCGGGCACCTCCGGGCGGCGCAAAACGAGGCAACCTGTCGCACGCCCGGCGCCGCTTGTTACACCCAGTCCACTTCGCTCCAAACGCTCTCAGGCAAGCCAAGACAGCATGGTTAGGAGAGTGGCTCCCAAGTCACGATTGCGGGGAGCTAAGAACATGAGCAAGCTAGTCACTCATCTGGGCTCTGCAGATGCGCATGCCCTGATCGATGCCAAGAAGTCGATCGCAATCGCTGCCGATAAGCGATACGTGGACCAGTTCCAGAGCAAGCAAGAGGCTTTGGATCATCTGAGCCGAATCACTGGTAACCTCCAGTATCACCAGCTTTCCGCTCAAGTTCAGATCAAGACAGGCGATATAGATTCCCAGAGCCGCCGTGCGATTCGACAATACTTCCTCGACGCCATTCGCGAGGCGCCAGATCGCAATGAGCTCCCTCATTATTTCGCGGACGAACATGAGAAACAGAATTACGTGCGCAAAAACCATGAGCAATATCAGCAATGTCTACAAAAACTGGAGAATCTCACAGACAGCAGCGCCTGTGTCTTTCTGCTCTTGCAGGTGCTCATTGACGTCTACGACGAAGATAAAGGCATTCCCAAAAGCGATCTCGACTCGGGTTTGCGAACTTCTCGTGGAAATCACAAACTGGAGATAGACATAACCTTCTACCAGAAAGTTGCCTTGATTGGTGACATTCTCAAGAAGTACAAGTGGGTAGGCAAGGATGTGTTGAACAACAACAACATCCTTCTCATTGTGGTTGCCACAGAGACTTTTCTCAGAACTAAACTCAACAATTGCGACAGCAATGCCACCCGCCAAGATTGGAAGGACGAGGAGATGGAGAGCAAGGGCGTGACTAAGCCGAAGCTGAAGGCGAAGACTGTCAGACCTTCTGGTTCACACAACCCCAACGCGACTCTGCCCGTATCGCAAGATGGTCCTGCCTCTGGTCTGAGCACCATACCCAGTGTCTAGGAAGCATCTGGTCGCCCGGATGCTCAGACTACATCAGGCGCTTCCAATCTGCATTCTGACACACGAGCAACCACGGCTTCCGCCTTGCAGCCTCTCATGAACGACCTCTCTTACAACCACAGCCATTCAAGCGAGGCGACTGTACCTCAACCATTGAACGAAGGCAGCGTCCACTCGAACGCGTCGCACCTTGCAGACGGTTACCTCTGCATGAACTGCTTCGATCTAGGCTGCCAGTTATGCGGTGCCTTCTGATCGTCAACAAGTCAGCACCGAAGAGCGAAAGGAACATCGGCAGGCCATTCTGATACTTTCAGAATTTTCGCCACGCTCAACCACGCCCGCCGCGCTGTTGGTACGACCCGACTCGACACACTCACAATCTCATCGAGATAGACCTTAGCGATAGAGAAAATTTTCTAAAGGTTCCCGAGAATGAATCATAATTGAGGCAAAGCAGGCAGCAAACATACATCATACAAGGAGCGATACATCAAAGCTTCCTGGTGAGGACTTTCGTTTGAGCGGCTATGAATTCGATTGCGTTTTTAAAAATTGGCACCATGTACAAATAATTGCCTTTTGCGCTTGCTGACTTCCACTTACAAAAGGCTCCGAACGAACGCACACGCATCAGACACGACCGAGTACTCATGCGACTTCCATCTAACCTATATCTCAAGACTCCTCTGGAACGTATAATGCGCCAACATCACTGAGGTCCACAGCCTCCTTTATAGCATATCCATACCATCGATCCGGCCTTCTATTCGGCCACAGAATCCTTTGCGCCACAGATTTCGTGGCATACCTTGCACCAGATTTTGTGCAATACCAATTATCCCAACGCAGCATTCAGCATCCAACCGGCTGCCAACGCGTCGACTGGAGTTTCATCAGACCCAGATTCGACAACGCCACCAAGAGTCACCAAACGCAAGAAGGGTGGCGAGAGAGCCGCGAGAAATCCAGCGCCGCCATGAAAGGCCAAAGGCAAGAAGGACTTCTATGTCTTGACCAGCCACACATGGGCGAGGCACAAGCAACAAACATGATCGAGGGCCGTTCATGAGAACGACAGAACTTGCTTCTTAGAACTTCAAGTACAACGAGAACTTCCAAGGCACAACTTTGGACGTTGCAACAAAGATGTCTCGACACGGCCACCCGCCTCGACCCTCGATGGGCACAACAGACACTGACGACTCTTTCGAGTCTGCGTCAGCAGAGAATTTTGCTGCTGCCGCGATCATGATGTTTCAACGACCAACGCCTTCCGCTCCTGCGCCCAGGGCGTCTGATCAATATCCAACAACCAATCTAGGCCACACTTACGTGCCTCACACGCAGTGCAACAGACAGTACACCACGCAAAATCCTCTCGCCAGCTTTTACGTGGTTTTCACCTGTTGATTGCAAATGTTGTTTCGCTTACATTCTAAAGTCCTCTTCTTACAGCAGCAACGTGTCGCAGCCTCTCAACACCTTCGATCCTTTCCATACGGCCACGACATCATCAGGAATTCTGCCACACACAGTCCACCAAGGACAAAGTCAGTCGCTGAGATGGGACCAGACAGCGCAAGGAGACTTCCAAGGACAGCATGTGCTGGAGCGCATGCAAGCACAGCCGGCTAGTTCGCAACAGCCAAGCCTAGCTTCAATCGTCCACACTTATGCTCGGGTGCCTGGTGGTGGTTATCCCAACCCTGCCTATGCTCAGCAACTACCCGAAAGGCAAACTTATACTGCCAATTACTGTCAGCAGTTCCGAGAGCCTTCTAACCCAGCCGATCAAAGCTGGCTCACACCTCAGACATTTGACAATACCATACCGACTCGTTCGACACTCAACACGACGATTCGTCCCCGCAACTGCCGACTCGGCGGTCTACACGTACCTCCAACAGCATCAAGCACACACAATTTTCGCCACTGGCGCAAGCATTTATGCCAACCAAAGTGGTAAAGCGCAGAACCAACGAGGATCGCGTTACAAGGAAGCCAGTGCCTCCTCGCAAGTGCAAAATCGTGAAGGATGTGAACTCTCTGGCCAGTTTCGTGGATGACCGAGACGTGTTGGCTCTCATCCAGCGTTCCGCAGCACAGCGGAGCCAAATGAGAGGTGGACGCTCCTGCAGCTCGATCGTTCACTGGAATTTGCATCCAATTAAACGGTACCCAACCTGCAGACAGTTAATTCTGCACGGACTGCTTTGATTTGGGGTGCCAGTCATGCGGTGCCTTCTGACTGCACACAGATCAGTGCCCAGGAGCGAGAGTGGGGTTGGTAGGCCGTTCTATTACAACTCGGAGTTTCTGGCACGACCAAGCAGGTCCACTGCAGCTGGTTCAAGACGCCGATGGCGCAATCGAGAGGGACTCTAGCAATGCCTAGCATGAGGCAAAGCAGGAAGCAAGCGTGAGCAATATAAAGAATTGCTACATACATATGCCGTGAAGAGTAGTATCAGATTAGCGGCGACAAAATCCACCGCATGCTCATATAGACTTGAACACATTCTGCGCTCGCTGACGACTAGATATAATAGACTAGCACCAGCACACGATCAAGAGCCGTGGCCAAGAATTCGATTGGCAGTGAGCAATATCCCAGGATCTGGACCTACGTATAATTTGACAGCATTAATGACCCGAGCAATACTTCACAAGATTCTTCAAGCCTGTCAGTGAAGGAGCGAGAAGATGCTCGTTCACCACACTTCACGCGCGCGTCCGTGTCCTGGGATCTGGCCCATCAGAGCACTCAATCGAGTGAACGGTTTTCAAAGTTTGCGCTTGTCCTGTTCAGGTCAGGTCGAGTGAATACGCCGCTGCACGGACTTGACAAACAAGCCTTGGTCAGAGGTCTTCGACTGCAACTTCTTACTCAATTGTCTCAATACCAGCAAACCAAGTCGACAGATAAAGGTGGTACCAGGCCTTGCGCAGTCGACCAACAACTTTTCCCTTCATCACAGAACGACGGTACCGGGCTTCGTGTTATCAACCAACATCTTCCTCATTCGCCACAAAACAGCACAATGTCCGCGAACTCGAGTCGCGGGCTCTCGCGCTCGCCACATCGTCAACGAGGGTCACGCGAATATGACCCGACGGCTCAGTCTTTCGTGCCTGCGACGCCGCAACAGGCACATGCCCAACGCTATCAAGCACCACATGGGTTTCACAACTCGCTGTCAGCACCTCTTCACCCACACGCCCACTTCCCTGCCCCCGGAAATTATGCCTCGAGCTTTCAGCCGGTAATTATCTCTGCCACCTGTCTCTGTAACCTGCTCAACTGACAAATGGTAGATGAATGGCTATCACCACTTGCAAGCAGGTGGAGGCGCTTTTTTTCCAAGTTATGCAACTCTCATACCCTTGAATGCCTATCAGCCCTTCAATCAACCTTTTTCCATGGCAAGCGTGCCCGCCCCGCCATCGCGCATGCAGACACTGCAGCAGGACTACCGGCAATTACGCTAGGCAGACCCGCGTCGTCAACGAGAGATGTTAGGTCACGGCAGCGCCTCAATGGAATCTAGCACCTTTCAGCGAACGTTCCCAGCCCACAATGAGACATACGGTCCAAGACTACAAATACGTCGAGGCATAGCTCCAGCACCGATAAGTTTCACTGGCAGAAATCAGGCTTCGCAAGGTCCAGGGACTAGAGCCGAAGCCAGTGCTCCGAAGACGCCCAACTCGGTCCAACGGGGAGCCAGTTCTTCGCATGGTACCGCTACATCTCCATCTGATCAAGATAGTCCACAGTCACCTCAGGGTGGCAAGCGCAAGATGGGCGGCAAGCGAGTCGCACGAAATCCAGCGCGACCACGCAAGGTTAAAGGCAAGCAGGATTTCGATGCCATGACGGAGCACATGACGGATGAAGACTCTACCAATTTGATTGGCCTTCGTTCTGGTGTCCAGCCTCATGGGGCTCCGCTTTACCAGGATACCTTCAGGGGCAAACAAGCTGCCATTGATCACTTGCTGCGTACCGGCACCACGATCGAGTACTGGTGTCTACCACAGCGCCTACTCATCAAAGAGGCTGACCTCCCTGCTGCCGCACGTCTGACACTACAGCAACTCACTCTGGAGGCGGCATCAGAGGCACCGCGGGTGGACCTTGTTCCTGCATTCGCAGTGAGTGCGAAAGACAAGCAGAGCTTCATTGACAAAAACCAGTACCAATACGACATCGTGCGCAAGCAGCTCAGCGACGCGCGGGATAGCAGTGCTTGCGTTTGTATCCTGATTGCAACCATATTCGATCTTCATGATGAGGACAAAGGCATTCCTATCAACGATCTGGATCTGTCTGACCAATTGCAATCGGACATTGACGCCAAAACGCTGGTATCTGCCAACTTGACCACCAAGAAAGGCAAATACCCTCTGGAGCTCGATCTCACCTTGCTGCAGCGCACAACATTGATCATCGACATTGTGAAGAAGTTCAAATGGGTCGCCAAGGATGTCCTACAGAACACCAACATTCTCGATCTCGTGGTAGCTCCGCGCCACTATCTAGCAACGAAGCTGCACAATGTCAACACTGCGAAGACGCGCCAGGAACGCTGGAATGAGGATCAAGTGCGTCGCGGCACCAAGAAGCCGAAGAAGAATGGCAACACGCAACCGGACGCTGGCAGAAATCTACCTAGCCCATCGCCACAAGCACCATAGGACGGGCTTGTGAATGCCGGGCGACAGCAGATGATGCCACTTGCTACGATGAATCAAAACGCACAAACCACGCAACCTACCAACGATGGCCGTTCCGGCTTCCTTGATCTACCCACGCAAGGCACTGGCGGTGCTCCTCCCAACATTCTTTCTCCTATCACGCAAAGCAACGACGATGGCCTTTTCAACTTCCCCGGCCTTCCCATGGAAAGAACTCACGATAACTTCTCCGGCATCCCACTAGATGGCGTGACTGACCCGTGGCCCACCTACGAGACTGGCGAGTTCCTTCAGTCCGAACAGTCGTCCGACCCAAGCCTGTTTCCAAACGGCTCGTTCTTTTCTTAGACTGCGTGCGAGACTCTATCTGCATCAAAGCTGGTGTTCTTAGCCAGGCTGATGGAGGCATTGAAGTTTCGTTGATTATGAGTGGCGATTTGAGTATGATATTGAAGCCTGAAAACCAACCAAAAAAAAATCCCATACCGTATGGGGTGAGCAACGCAGCAAAGCGAAGATTGAAAGTCGAGCACAGGCTGCTCAGATTTCTGCACCAGCGAGGTAGCCCCAGGCCTCGAGTTTGCGAGAAGTCTCTGCGTTGTCGTTATCCTTCGCAGAATAGCTAGTTCCACGCATTAATGACACAAGATTGCTCTTGCTTTGGTACCACAGTTTCAAGATAATCTCGCACTATAGCAATCAGGTCAGAACATTTGCTAACCCATGTTTAGCGCAGGTATGTGATCCCGTTTGAACTGTTTGCTCGTGCGAATCTCGGTAGTCGTTCAACGCAGCTGCGAGATCGTAACTGTGATGCCCTTCATATGACACATCTGAGATACACGATTGCCTGGATGTCAGTACAGCGAGTATATCACAATGTGGGCTGTGCACAGTGTCAGTTAAACGCTAGGATGATCCTCTGGCTGTTGGTCATGGAGATAAATTAAGTGTCTCTCTGCTTACAGCAGGAATCCTCCAACGGCAGTCGGCCTGTCTAAGACATCAGCTTACCATCTCATTTCTTTGTCTCTATTTATCGATGATGTCCAGCCTCGGAGCAGCCACCGCGAGTCAGCAATCGCATGGCAAAGAAGTGGATCGGCTTCGGCTGCAGCGTCGCCGAATTGCGCTTCTTGGAAATGGTGCCACAATAAGCTAGAAGGCTCGTCATCGCACAAACAATCCCAGACTTCACCTTCGTACAGACAAACGTCCCTTTGTGCAAACCAACCAGCAAATTCTCCCCCCACAAAGGCAAACGCGCGCCATCGAAGATGTCATTGCCGACGGATCAGCGCAGCCGTAACACTTGGCAAGTCTTGGTATGCAGCAAAAGAAGGCGCGCCAGGAGCCGCTGCACTGAGCGACGCGCGGTAGGTGGCGGCGAGTCGTACAGCCATTTGCTCTCATAATAATCATCGACCTCTTTTCATTGACACTTAACTTCTGCATCTCGACGCCACTCCAGGTTTCGTCGAGTGTCCGCATTTCTTTTCGTATTTCTTCGGAGGCTCCGTTGAGCGTTGTTGTTTGGGATCGTCCTTGGCCATGAAATTCTCCACAGCAACCGCGGCCGGATTGGCGGCCGGGACATTGGGAGTGGAAGCGCTGCAGTTTGCGCAACGTTCGGGAACAGGGGCGCGCGTGGTACACCAGCAGATTCGAAGAAAACATGTCGAAGACCCAGTGGCCAGAGACCGGAGACGATGGCTCGCGAAACGACAATCTGGCACGCTCAATGTTCCGCTCACGAATCAAGTCCTGCTTTATTACATGAACATCACAGTCGGGAACAACGAACAGCAATTCGAAGTTCACCTGGACACCGGCAGCTCGGATCTATGGCTCAACACGGGCGAGAGTCGATATTGCTCGTCTGTCCAGAATCCATGTGTTACAGGAACATACGATGCGAATAGTTCCTCGACCTACTCTTATGTCAACTCCGAGTTCGAAATCGGATACGTGGATGGAACTGGGTCGCAGGGAGACTACGTCACTGACACAGTGCGTTTTGCTGGCGCGGAACTGGAGGACCAGCAATTCGGCATTGGATATCTTTCATCTACGCCAGATGGTATCATGGGAATTGGCTATGGAAGGAATGTCGCCTCAGCGACTGCTCGTGGAGGTGTTTACAGCAATGTCCCGCAAAGCTTAGTGAATTCTGGTCGGATCAGCACGTTGGCGTACAGCATGTGGCTGAACGATCTCGATGCCGCTGAAGGGGATCTGCTGTTTGGAGGCGTCAACACAGAGAAGTAAGTATTGCTGGTCATGCTTCGCTGAGCGCAAACTGACCAAGTGTCGTTTATCAGGTACCAAGGAGAGCTTGAGACTATCCCAATCGTCCCGTACGAAGATGGCTCGTATCGACAGGTCACCATTCCTCTCCGAGGAGTCGGCAGGAACGGCGAAGATGCGTCTATTCAAAGTCTGGACAACCTGGAAGTGCATCTCGACTCTGGCGCAAGCTTGACATACCTACCCGATACTCTTGTTAGGAGGATCTACAATGCCGTTGGCGCGCAATACAGCAGTGTCGAGGGAGTTCCTTTCATCGACTGCGACCGCGCGGACGATCGTGAGACGCTGGACTTCAAATTCACCGACCAAAAGACAATCCAAGTTCCCATGAACGAGATGGTGATAAGATATCCACGAAACGTTTGTGTCTTCGGTATCCTTCCGTCTGGTGACTCATCGTTCGAGGAATCTTACTACATCTTGGGAGATACATTTCTTCGCTCAGCATACGTGGTGTACGACCTGGCAAGGAACGAAATCAGTCTCGCGCAGACAGTTTTCAACTCGACGGACGACAATATTGTCGAGCTTACGAACAACACCGAGGTGCCATCCGAGGCTGGCAACGGGGGAGAGACTATTGCAGCGACTGCAGTCGGCGCCTCGAATACCGGCAGCCCAGGTGAGTGATTGCGTTGATGTGTTTTGCTGGTGCGTTTTGTTCGACTTTGCTTACCACGGTCCACTAGGACCGTTGCTGAGCTCCACGACACGACCAAGCGCTAACCCATCTCCCACAGGAGGAGACAATGAGTCGTCTGCCGTGAGCACAGCAGCTCTGAGCGGCTCGATGTTGGCATTGCTTGCTGGCACTGTCGGCGGCATATTGCTTGTTTAGATGACTGTCTCGTAGTCTTACGCGAAATGAAAACCGCTTGAAAGCAACATGCTTCGACTTCTCATGTACGCCCTTGCTCGCAAGGAATTGAAGTGATCGCTGCTAGGCATTGAGACAATACATCAATCCCTGCTGCGTGGTTTCCAGGACATCGAGCTTTACTAACTTTCAGCATTTTGACGCTTCCTGGGCTGTAGTACCATGCTTCTGAGCGACGAAGTGTGCAGTAAGCAGAAGACGTGAAGTCGAAATACCCATGCCTTGTCAAAGTCCAAGCTCGAAGATGCTGGTCTATCTCTATCGACACCATTTTTCCGTTTTAACCGCAAAGCCGGAGTGCACTCCGCGACGCGCCAAGTCTCACTTCCGCTCCTCCTTCCACTTCTTGCCCTCCTCTTTCAACTGTTTATCATCAGGTCTATCAAGTTCAACTTGCGGCATCAACACGAAGCACAAGACAAAAGCGAGCGCCGCTAATGATGCGCCGATCAAGAAAATGATGCGAAAGCCTTGCCTGTAGGCTGGAATGATGACTTCGCGAACCCGATTCGCGTCCAAATGTTGGCGATCATTCAGATACGCCTGCGGGCTTTTCAACAATGCCGTGGTATCTTGCTCGTCAAGGTTGAGAGAGCGCACGCCTGATGCGACCAGGTTGTTCAAGATTGTGCCTGCGACTGCCAGTCCGATTGTTCCACCAAAATTCCTGGCAAAGTTGCGGAAAGATGTCACAATGGCCATATCTTTGCGGGACACGCCGGCTTGGACTGCAATCAATGCTGGCTGTAGAGTGTTGCCACAACCAATACCTGTCAGGATGGCGTAGCCGATCTGCTTTCCCAGACCATCATTCTCATCAAGCGTGGAGTAGAGACCTAGCCCGACAGCCCAACACGCCCAACCGAAGAGAATGGCTTCCCGGTAACGGCCTGTCCAATGCACAACTAGACCTGACACGGTACTAGCTGCTGTCTGAAACAGTGTGATCGGCAGCAGGAGCGATGCAGAACGCACTGCGGAATAGTTGTAGACCAGCTGATAGAAAGACGGAATGTAGTACATTTGGACCAGGAAGTTCCATCCGTTGATGGCCATGGTGAGGCAGGCGCCATTCACAATCCGGCGCTTGAAGACATGAAGCGGCACCAGAGGGTAGCGTGGACCTTTCCATTGCCAGAGCACAAAAGCAGCCGATGTGCAGAATCCCACGACCAGAGGAGCGATCACGGCTGCAGAATTCCAGGCGTACTGAGAGCCGGCCCATGTCAAGCCCAGGACTAGCACCACGGTGCCACCGAGTGCGAGGAAAGCTCCGAAGAAATCGATGGCTTTGAGCTTCAATCTCCAATCGCCTTCCACTTTCTTGAGCGGCATCAAGAACATGGCACACAGTGTCGTGATGGCAGTCAACGGAAGGTTGAGTCTGAAAATCCATCGCCATCCTTGTCTGCCGGTTTCTGCCAAAGCTCCGCCGACGATTGGACCTATTCCGTGGGCCAAAGCAACGACGGATCCGAGGATGCCTTGGTACTTGCCTCTTTCTCTCAACGGCACGACATCAGAGACGATCATCTGAGCGACTGTCATCATTCCGCCACCAGCAATACCGGTCAATGCACGGAATACGATCAGCTGAATCGAAGTCTGTGCCAGAGATGCGCCGAGAGATCCAATGAAGAAGATGAAGAGGCCGATATACAATATGACCTTCCTTGACCAGATGTCTGAGAGTCTTCCATAGAGGAGCTGGAAGCATGTTGATGTCCTGGAACAATGTCAGCGTTGCATTCGAGGAGCGCTGTCCCTGAGAAGTACTGACACAAAGTAGGCTCCTGCTATCCACGCCTGCTCGTCGCCGGCGTTCAATGCATTGCTCACAATGGTCAAACTGGCTGCGAGCGTTGTTTGATCCATAAGAGCCAGGAAATCTACGCTTGCTGCTGCCAGAAATATTGTGATGATGGTGCTGACCGGGACATAGTGAGTCTGTTCGTTGAATTCATGCTTCGCGTTTTTCGGCTTCTCGTCTGTACTGTCGATATCGCTGGTGGATGCTGATTTTGAATCTACCACCTGAGCTGTCTGAGCTTCTGGTCCTGCTTCTACTCGCACATCTTTGTCCATGTCTGGGATGTTCCTGGTTGTCGAGCCACGTGGAGTTCTCGAGGTTATGTGAGGGACAACGAACCATGAGTGGGATGGCAGAAGGTTAGAAACGGATATTCTGACAACTCAAAATGAGGCAATGCCTCCCACGCTGACTAGGAAATAGTCTCTTTCTACTAGTGGCATGGCACGGCGAAAGCCTCGCTCGTCGATGAATGCAGATCACCGCCACTTTTACCCTCGGTCAAGACCGGCCACACTTGTCGTAAACGCGCACATGCGGAACCACGAACGACGTCTCACGATGACCCACTTACGTCTACCTTTGGACCCCACGCTGTTATATGGCGTGCCTGGCTAGAGGAGAAATGCGAGGGTTCGTCCCCCCATGCAGGGTAAAGCCGCTGATCACATACCACTTATGGCGCTAGTTTCAGCGCATACTTGCTCATCAAGGTCTTACAGCCCAGCTTCGCCAATGCGCAGTCGAACATCACACCTTGCTGAACTGTGCAATTTATTGACACAACGCCGAAGCCGCTTGCGTTTGCCAATGCTCCAGCCGCATGTTCATGCACCTATCGCACGCGACTCCATTGTTGTAGGAAGGTGCCATGATGATCATTGAAAAAAGTCCAGCTTGACAGGTTGTTATTACTGAACGGCAATACCTTGATGATCGAACCGTTCGGCGACAGAAACAACGATGCGCCAACTCGCTCGCCAATCCTAGGCGTACCTGCGACGGTGTCGCCACTAGATGGTAGTATCTGTTACTGGCAGCTGTCATGTGGGAGGACATCTCCCACATGTTTAGGCTACGACAAGCTTAGGCTTGCCGGACTTGGAAGGTAGGTGCCCCCATCCTTTTCTCGCGTATTACTGTTCCTGTGCTGCCAAGCAGGGCCTTTATAATATCTCAGCCACCAGCCATTGCTCCGAAGGCATTCGCATTCTCTCTCACTCGATCTTTGCCGTGCCACTGCACTGTCGTCTATCATGGCCACGGACAATATCACGAATGTCTACACTGGACCAGACTCACTGAAACACTACTTCGACCCGGATCATGCTCCACCACTTCCTCTCGTCGAGCTCCCAGCACATCTCAACCCGTACTACGGAGATGGTGTCCGGATATACGCCAAGATGATGTCTTGTCATCCAGCCAACAACGTCAAATGCATGCCAGGTGAGCATCGTAGCACCTAGTCAAACAGCTTCTACTGACGCAGTCAGCAATGAACCTTCTGTCAAAAGAAGTCGTGCCAAACAAAACCAAGACGATCGTCGAATACAGCAGTGGCTCCACAGTCATTTCGATGTCAATGGTAGCACGAGTCTTCCACAATATCAACGACACCCACGCCTATCTCAGCAACAAGACGAGTGAAGCGAAGCTGCGACTGATGCAGTTCTTCGGTTTGAAGCTGACACTCTTCGGCGGACCGTCACAGCCTGAGCCGACAGACGAACGAGGCGGGATTCAGAGCGCACGGATGCAGTCGCAGCAGTCGGAGTCGATCATCAACCCCAATCAGTATGAGAATGATGGTAACTGGCAATCACACGTACGATGGACAGGACCACAAATCCTTCGACAACTTCCGGAAATAACCCTCATTTGTGCTGGTATGGGGACTTCGGGCACGATGACTGGTCTGGGGACGTACTTCAAGCAAGCGAAGCCCTCTGTCTTCCGCCTCGGCGTTGTGACTGCGGCTGGCGATCGTGTTCCTGGACCTCGATCATATGCACTTCTGGCACCAGTCGAATTCCCTTGGAAAGAAGCCATTGATCACGTCGAGCATGTCGGTTCGCACGATTCATTCGCTCTGTCGCTTGAGCTCTGCAGAAATGGATTACTCTGTGGCCCATCATCTGGTTTCAACCTCAAAGGCCTTTTCAATCTCCTCGAAAAGCGTAAAGCGGATGGCACGTTGAGCGACCTACGAGCGGAAGACGGCCTCGTACACAGCGTCTTCCTCTGCTGCGATCTTCCATACCAATACATGCAAGAATACTTCGACAAACTCGGTCCACAGAGTTTTCCGCCCATCACAAACGAAGTAAGTCCCACCTCTTCCCTACCTATCCCATCCCAAAAAGAACCCCAACTAACCACCCTCCCTCCCAGCACCTCACAAAAGTCGACCTCTACCGCTACGACGAAGCCTGGGAACTCCCCCCCACCACAGCCCTAATAACTCCCCTCTCAAACCCCTCCACCCTAATAATCGACTTCCGCCGCCAATCCGNTTCTTCACCCCGGACCTCCTATCGACCCAATGGCGCGAACTCGAATCTTTATTCTCAGAATCATATCTCCAATCACAATTCCAAAATCGAAAGATTCTCTGTCTTTGCTATGATGGAGATACGGCGAGAGTGGCGACTAGTGTTTTGCGAGCAAAGGGGTTCGAAGCGGAGAGTGTGAAGGGTGGGCATAGAGCTCTTGAGAAAACACAAGAGTTTCAGAAAATGTATGAGGAGGAGCAGAAGGGGAAAGAGGTTGCGAGGCAAGATAGGCAGAGGAAAGCGGATTCGGTGATTGATGGGAAAAGTGAACGGTCTTCTGCTTCGTCTTCGGCGGCGGTGAGCGATGAGAGTGAGTCTGAGGGGGAGAAGAAGGACGGAGAATGATACTGAGAGGGAAAAATTATTCTTTTCTGTCAATATATCTTTTTTTGCGTTGTCGATGCGAGATAGATTGCACCGTCGCCGGACGTTCGGCATTGGGAAAAGGGAAAGCAAAAGGGTGTCTCGTGATAGAGCAGACTTTATCGTCTGCATTGTTCGAATTATGATTTTGGTTTCTTATGTCTCCTTGCGGCTGGAATACTGAAACCCCATCTGATTCCCATCCCACTCCAATGGCTATACGCCATCTAGCACAAATTCAGCGCTACCATCAATGTACATGTTAAAAAGGCGCCACTCATGGCGCAAAAATCATCATCATCATCATACACCATGCAGGCATGAAAGCCCTTCGAAAGAGAAAAAGTAGAACGCCAACCCAAATGTCCTATCCCATTCTGTCGTTCTTCGTTATACGTCACTCGCACTCCCATTCCCATTCTCTTCCTCCACAGTCTTCAAAATTTTCGTAAGATCTCTCGGCCTCACAGGTTTAGTCAAAAACATATCAAAGCCACACGCCACGGCTTCTTGTTTCGCCGCTTCGGAACCAAGACACGTCAAAGCAATAAGAATTGTAGGAGATACTTGAGCTTCTTTTTCGAAAGCTCGGATTTGTCGCGCGGCTTGGAAGCCGTCCAATACGGGCATGTTAATGTCGAGAAAGACGACTTCGGGTCGAGCTCTGTCGCTGGGGATGGAAGCGGCGGCTTTGTAGGCTTCGACGGCTTCTTGGCCGTTTGTGGCTGCGAGTCGGGGGTGTTTGTTCTTGTCGGCGTATGTCGTGAGTAATCGGAGGTTTAGTGGATTATCGTCTACGAGTAGCAAGGAGAGTTTGTGAGAGGTTGGCGAGCCGGGTGGTTCCGGTGTAGACGGTTGCTCGGATGAAGAGGCTTCGACCTCTTTCGTGTTGATGAGAAGAGGTCCTTTTTCGTCGACGCGCAATGTTAGTGTCGTGGGTGGCGATTCTTCATTGTCGGTTTGCGCTTCGACAAGAGCCACATCAGATAGATCTGTCGACGTTGCGTTCGCGATTGGGTCGCCAGCTTCTGAATGAGGCGGTGCCAGAAGGCAATTGGCAATTGCTGCACTGATCCGATCAGGCCCGAACGGTTGCGGGACGAACTCGATATGGCTAACATTCGCCAAGGGTCGTCGTAGCTTCTGGCGTCCATACGTCCCTATTGGATCCCGACACAGTACTATCAAATGCGCTCCATCGGGATGACCAGAGAGTTGATCTGCCTCGGTGAGCAGTGGTATATCGTCTTCGAACACCATGTTGACGATCGCGTTTTCCGAAGAAGTCAGAAGCGCACCCGCACGCCTGCAAGCATTTTGTACTCCAAGCACCTGCAAAGATCGTCCTCCGTTCACTTTGTTATCGTCGTCGTTGTCGTCTCCAGAACTAATTGGCCGCAGGATGCCCACAGGTACAGAATCCTGCCCTTCGTGTTGTTCTTCTATTGTCTCATCGCGAGGCAAAGCATCAATGGGTATCATGACTGTGACCGTGGTTCCTATGCCTTTCTTGCTCTGCACGTCAATTTTGCCGCCCAGGCCTTTCACCAGCTTCGCTACCACACTCAACCCCAATCCAGTTCCAGGAGTAAGCTGGTTCTCTTGCGAAAACGCGCGGAAGATACCACTATCGATGAATTCTGGCGACATGCCACATCCAGTATCGTCAACTGTCAGAATAGCCACAGGTCGTTTCCGCTTGCGAGAAAGTGATTTGAGCGAGACCGCAACATGTCCAGATCTGGTAAACTTGAGCGCATTACCGATCAGATTAACGCACAGCCGCTTCCAGGCTCCCACCATGTCACAAACATGGAAATCCGCAGTTGGTGATATGTCCAGCGCAAAGTCCACCTTGCTACTAGCTTCCTCGCTGGTGCCGCAGCAATGTGAGTAGTACGTCGCATCGGCGACTTCCTCTGTCAGACGAGCTAGCGAGTGCGCTCCCTGCTCGCTTGCGGTGCTACGAGTAACAGAATCCACTGATGGTTGTCTTTCCAACAATTTCAACTGCCTTCTTCGCATCTTCGGTCTCGAGACGTGATGGTTGATCTTCGCGAAATCCAGGAGATGATCAATTACATCGGTGAGTGTCGAAGTGCACTTCTCCATTTGAGCTATCAATGCTCGGTCTCCGTTGTCCTCGCGATCATGCAGAAGTTCCAGACTTCCAACAATGCCGTGCAACGGCGAGCGCAATTCGTGAGATACCGACTCGATGAAGTCCGTTTTGGCCCGATCAGTGGACTTTGCTTCCAGACGTGCAAGTTTGGCCATGACCACATCGCAGAATGCAATCATGTATGCAAGTTCCCCTTCCTGCGAGAAAACCCGTAGTGGACTGTGAGTCCACATGATGCCTCCGGCAAACCATCTATGTCGGACCGGATCCCACATTCCCACGACGCACACAGCCCTAGCCCCAGGAAAGAGGCGCAGCATTTCAGCAGCCTCGCCTGACTTTCGATTTCGATTGGATGTCCGGCCCTTCGAAGCGGGTACGATGTCTCCCTTTCTGGTAGACCCATCATCTGAAGAACTCGATTCAGTTGAGCTCACCTCTCCCTCTGAATTAAACGTCCAGATCTTCCCTTCGGGATATTTCCGCAGCAAGCCTTTCAAAAATTTGCTAGACATTGGGATGGTGGCCTGTTCCTGAGCATCACCTTTCCGGGCTGAAGACCCTAGTCTCCGACATGTATCATTCTTGGCCTTTTCCAGTGAGTCGTCAGAGCCAACGTCCGATACTGTAGTCCCGGTCTCAGTGCCAGAGCCTTGACAGCTGCCTGTCCCCTCGGGTCCATTCGGTGCAGCATCCAGAAAGAGAACGCCGTCAGCATCGATAGCGCGCTGTATGAGGTCTGCTGCTCGCTGCAGGGTGTTCTTCGCGCCCGTCGCAGGATCCTTGTCGAGCTGTGTATCCAGTCTTCTCTGTGCTTGGACCACAGAGCGCCGGTCAGGTTTATCTTGCTCACTCTCCGAAACATAGTCATAAACATCTGTATTCCTCAAGTCCTCGTGGGAGCGTCTCTCGCGCCATTTGGCGTCGCTTCGAGAGCCTAATGGAACTCCAGGTGCAGATTTTGGTCTCCCAGTAGCCGACTCGCTGCTGTGTGTTGACGAGTCAGCCAATTTCGGCCTTGGTGCAGGTGGAGGTCCTTTCTGAACAAACGTCCCCAAGCCAGCCAGCATTCGACTCTGTCTGCCTAGCTCCGCTTGCGCATGGATCATGCCCAAATGGCTCATAGTCATTGTCGCCATTTCCTTCATGAAGTCCTTTTCGACATCAGACAGGCCATCTCGTGGTTCGTCGTCCATGACGGCATACACGCCAATCCTGACTCCAGTAGGTGTAGTCAACGGCACACCAGCATAAAACCGAGCTTTAGGGCCTCCAGTAACGAAAGGTCTGTCGCAGAAAAGTGATGATTCTTTCAAGTCGTTGATAATCAGCATTTCGCCAGCACTGGAATCAGAGCTGTTCGACCCGGTATTAGAGGCCGGCACATTCATGGCGTGCTCGCATATTGTGAGGCCCCGTGGAGCAATGGTATGGCCGAGCCACAGCGCGTCCTCGGGGTCCTGGTGAACCTCATGGTCGAGCAACGACAGCGTCCGGGTAGCTTCGGCAAGCACGAACGCATCCTTGCGATCGAAAAAGAACAACAACGAGCGTCTCGCAGCAAGTCTCAGCGCGCCCAACTGGCAAAACGCGGTCAAGGCCAGGTTCGGTCCTGCTCGAGGCACATGTCGTTCCAGCGCCTCAGCATCCTGGAGGTCGAGTCTTGTCGGCTCCGCATCACTCAGTTCTTGAAGCGGGTTGTAGTATCTGTAACCAGGTCAGCGAACGTCGGTTCTGCCCACGGCGACGCACTTGTAAAATTCGCGCTCACGGGTCCGCTCGGTATGCAGATGCGTATTAGTGCCCATCGTCGATGAGGCAGTGGATTATGGAGCGCCAAGAACGGCTGTCTCGAAGGGAAAGGAAAGGCAACAGAGCCTCATGTCAAGAGTGATGATGTTGGTGGCAGCAGTAGACAACAGTCAGTGTGAGAAGCAAGGAAGAGAGGCAGCAAGACCAGACCCTGCTGCTGCGCGGCGCTGGCGGACAGCATCAGCAGCAGAGCAGCAGATTGGCGCGCGTGTGATCCGTCCGGAGGGTCTCGCGTGGCCATGATGCGAGAGCAGCGGAAGTGGCTGAAACTCTCTGCACGAAATGCTCCCGAGGATCGCAGCTGTGGTGAAGCATCCCCCCACCGCTCTTGGGCCCTCGACAACCATATCGACGCAGATGATTCATGGTTCTGCTGTCGTTGCTGCGCGGTGAGGCTCTTTTGACGCGTTCTCTGCGGCGATCGCTGAGACGCTTGTTCACGCGTTCCGTGGCGGGTGCGCGAACAGGTTGTCAGCCTGTCAGCAGGAAAAACAGAACAAGATCGCGATGACAGCACCAGGGTCGGAAGCAGGTCCGCGAGGCTTGCTTAGCTTAGCCCTGTTTTCTGCACAATTTATCTTCATGCCCACAAATCCGCACGATGGCTGTCCGGCATATCATCTCCACTGGCGGGGCTGCGAGCTCTCCTCCATTCTAGACCGCGAGCTGTGCAGCACCGAGCAACACTGCACCTTTGGCGACAATTCGGACGGCGGCATCGAGATCTGTCTTCACTATGCAATCCTTGCTCCCCGCTGGGAAGCGCTTGTGCCTATTGGCTTGCATTCTGGAAGTTGGTCTGAAATGGTGTAGCGCAAATTAGTGCAAGACTAGGTGCGACCTCTTCACAACCACTCTTCACACGTATCGCGATCGTGTCTCGTCACACCATCATCACCTCACCCTTCTCAAGCCTTCTACCAGTTCTTTCAGGCCCTCGGTGTCCAGTCCACCGCCCAAGTCCTTCACCACCTCTGCCTGAAGCTCCGCGCTCAAATACAAAAATTGCTCGACGAGCTCGCCGTCTACAAACCTCACTGGCCCCTCTTCGCCCATGTCTCGCACTTGCGTCTTGAACCCTCGATACTTGGCAAACCTCACGTGTCCAGGAGATTTCACCATATCTGCAAGTTTTCCTTGTAATCTCATCAATAGATCCTGTTGCTCTTGCACAATCGTCGCGAATACATAAACGCTGCCTTCCACTGTCGCGATGAACGCCTTGGGAACGACGACGGCGTTGGCTGTAGGGGTGACGTTGATGGGCCGGATGCGGTTGACCATTTCCCCGAGGCACATTTCGGACGTGACCCGGAGGCGCCTTCGGTCTTCCGCTGAGAAGCCCGAGACGTCGTGTTCGAGGACGATGAGGTTCCCTTCGGCATCGGATTGAATGTACGAGTTTTGATCAATAGGTGCAACCGCCGTGCCCCAAAGTGTCTCGAAGTGGCGGGCCAGCTCAGTGAGTGAGTCTGACATGCCTTCCCGACCGGGCGTATATTTGATAAGGCTGAGGGACTTCATGAGGTCGGACACGGCAATGGTATCGCCTGTAACCGAGATATCAATGGGCGCGGTAGCGGTGCGGTAGGAAGCCTTCTTCACGAGGAGTGGAGACGACTTGGGGGGAGCATATTCGTAGGCGAGGATAACAACCTGTGGAGCACGTGTCAGCTATGCACGAACAAGGAATGCCAAGAATGCTCATCGTGTTACTTACTGTCTTGACGAGTGCGGCCACAATACGGCCCTGGCATGTTGCCAGACACCGGCACGCTCCCTTCACAGCCAGCTCTGTTACGAGCTTGATTTTGCGATCCTCCGTCACTTCCAATACAATGATGCGCCCTCGTGCTGAGTTGGGGTCCTCGTCGTCGAGATATGCAGTGCCGACGACAAATCGCTCCGCCTGATCGCCAGTTCCGTCGTCGAGTTGACATCGTATCACACTTTCGACCAACTCATCCTCATTGAGCGCCCAAGAGTCTAGCTCCTTGAAGGCAACCTCGTCCACAAGCTTGAAATGACTTTGCACTTCTTCCACTCCTGCAGTTAGCGTCCGCTTGATGCAGCCGAGGCCAAAAGCTTTCAGCTCAGCGGAATATGCTATACGTCGGACCGTCTCGTGTACAGGCAGATCCTGTACATGAGTAGTCCTCTCCTCATCAACCGACGCAAGCTTCAGTTCAGACCTGGTCGCGATAGCTATACTATTCGCATAATCTCCAAACGAGTCAAAAGAACAGATACTCGTTGCACTGTCTGCAGTGACTGCCGAATACACCATCCGCCCCTCACTGCCGTATATGAGGGAAGGGTGCTCGCATGTTGCGAAGACGTTCTGTAGACCGTCCGCGCGAGGCAAGACTGCGAAGTTGGCTTGCTGGGTTCCAAGAATGATGCTTTTCCGGGCGGAGAAGGGCTTTTGCGGCGATGATATGCTGTACGTCACCACGTTGCCATCCGCAAGGCCGATGAAAAGTGTCGCTGGCTGACGAGGCAAGATGTTGGCAACTGTCACAGAACGTGGCACTGCAAGGCTGTCATCTTCGGCTACTCGCTCTGTTGCGATGGGCTGTAGGTCAGACAATGCAAGCACCGATACCTTGCTGTCCTTCCATAATCCAGCAACACATGCTCCAGGTAAAGATGGCGACAAAGCGATACACGAGACCTGCTCGTCACTGCCGAAGTCTCGCTGCGCCTGCACAGCGATGCTAGCTCCAGACAGATCCAGCACGACCAGCGCGGCGCCGCCAAGCGAGACAAGCACTTTGTCACCCTCGACAGACACCGCTGATATAGATGACCCGGCTGGCGCCTCCCATCGATCAGAGACCATACTGCCATCGGCGTCAGCCAAAAGCACGCCAGAGCTGGTCACTTGTACAGCTCGCGCATTTGACACATTGCCAGCATACAATGTGCACTGTGACAAATCAAAGCCTCGGAAGTCTTCTCTAGCCTCAATGTCGCCATCTTCGCTGAAGACAATGGCACTCGAGTGGCTGACGAAGCTGGCAATCAGCGTGTCGACTGTACCAGCAGTGCCGCTACTGCGCAGGCTGAAGACATCTGAGATTGGTTCGCCCAGGTCTCCCAAGCTGCCCTTGTCTTCTAAGCCAACTCCAGACCGCACTGATCTCAGACTGCCATCCTTAAAGGCACCGGATCCAGTGACAATTCTGGCTTGCCCGCTCGAGAACTCGTTAACGGGTGCGTCGGCGCTTCTGTTGCCCATGTCCATAACCGTAAAGTCCAGTATGGGTGCAATGTTGGAGAACGTCTGCACCACTTCAATCTGTTTTGGCGAGATCTGAATAATCTGACTGTCTCCTTGGTGGCTGCCGACGAACACTCGGCCTTCGTCGAGGTAGACCAACGTACTAGCTCGACTTGTTTCACCCAGCACATCGATCTGGTGACTCTGGTATTCGCCGTCTGCTTTCTGATGCACCATTAAGAGGTACAGCTTCCCATAGTCGTCCGCTAGCACAAATCTTTGCTCGTCGATCTGACACCAAGCCACAAATATCGTGGCCTCGTCCAGAGGTTGTGTATCGATGATTTCGTACTTCCATTCGTCCACGTACGATATACTGGTCTCGCCAATGATCAGAAATCCGTATATCGGAGCGGGTAGTGGTATCAGGTGGCTTGCGCCAATTTCTATCGTCCCTTCCACCTCCTGCCCTTTCTCCAGCTCTGCCGTCGCCGGCTCCTCGTTCGGTCGTAATGAAGGTTGGTACTCTAGCTCGCAAACCTTCACGCGTAATTTGTTCTGGCTGTCCTCATGAAGAACTGCAAACACTGGATCCGCGAGTTTTGTTCCAGCTTGTCGCTTATGTAGAAAACAGCTACTTCGGACAAACAGCTCCGGTATCCGTACTGGTATGGGATCCCCCAGCTCTCCAATCTCGTGGTCAGCCGCCTTCCTCTTGCCTTTTCCAGCATGCGCTATCGGCAGGACATTGACTACGCCTTCGTAGCACTCCAATGTCATGAAGCGCGCAGTTGGATCAATATGCACTCTATCTCCAGTTTGACTGTCTCTGGCACTCTTCTCCGCAATGTCAACCATGCTCTTCTCCGTTCGCAATTGATTCTTCTCGGCATCCCAACTCAAAGTGAAGTAATGATATCGATCGGTGCCGACGAACAGGTGATCTGTCTGGCTCGTCGCGGGCTTCAGCTTTTGCAGCATTGTGATCTTGCCATAGATGGCTCGTGTGTGCTGGAGGACCAGAGTGGGGTCTCCTGGCTGCTGGGGGCTGGGAGACCATATTTCCAATCGATTCGCTTTGGCCACAATCAAGTCTTCTGAGTTTGGAGCAGTGAACGACAGCTTGATGGCGTGCCGGACACTCGATGGGCGGTGGATGGGTGCGAGATAAGCCATGGTGATGGCGGATGAAGTGCACTTGTGGCAATCGGGTGGTGTGCCTTATGGGATGTGATTCTTTCGTGATTAGCAGTCATCCAATCATTCTGGTGTCGTTGGCAGTGGTGTCGGCGTTCAATGGAGATGTGCCTGAGGAAGTCGATATGTCATCGTCACGAACCGGACACTTCTGGAGCTTGACGCGGAGCATCGCCTCGCGTTCGTGATGTCGCAAACGTGGGGCCGAGGTGAGCTTCACAACTTTTCTGCGACAAATCAACCATCCACCACATCTTTTGCACACACTGCTGCCTACGCTCAGCGACATGGCGCGTAAGTCGCCCTCGCACGCGTCAATTGCTCAGTCTCTGCGGAAGAGACTTTTGTGGCCCATTGACTAACTCGTTCGCACAGCAACCAAAGAGGAAGAAGATCCAGTCATCGCCGAGTACGATGTCTTCCTCACGCCGGCACTGGAAGAGCAGATTCTACTGCTGCAGTATCCCAACCGACCGCGCAACCGACCCTACAACAGCCAATATGGTGCGACGCCCCACGACATGCGCATCAAGCCCAAAGCTGGGTTCGTCGAAGTTGACGTCAAGCTGAACACCAACCACAATTTCAACAAGTACATGGGTTTGAAGTGGGGAGATGCAACGGCCACATCGAAGCAGGTGCACAACGCCTCGGGCACATATGGCCCAGCTGCTGGACTCGCCCCGGCAAAAGCACGAAATGCGAGGAGAGACGGCACATTGAAGGATACGGCGCAGCGGGAGCTGGACTTGGAGAACGACCTCCATTCCTTTAGAGAGGCAGAAAGAGAGCACCGAGTACACGAGTCGCAGACACTCGGCGGACAGATTATCCGGCACGACGACGAGCTTGGATTAGGCAAGCCTCACTACTTCGTGGGCGCCTTCAAAGATGAGCGTCTCTTCCTCACCAAGATCGACGGTACTGTACAGATGCGACCCACCTTCCACCACCTCGATGCTGAAGACGAGCGCACGCGACTCGCTGCATCGCGTGCACAAGCAGATGCCGCAGGCCCAAAGCAGGAACAGGGCGCTCAGAGTCTGCTGCAGAAGCTGAAGGAGAACAAGGAGCAGAAAGAATTGAGCCTGGAGGAGAAGCTGAAGCTGATCCTGTCCGCTGCTGAATCGGAGAAATGGATACGCATGGAGTATGTCGACGACGAGGACCAGCGGGCCTACGACAAATTCGAGGAGGCGTTGAAAATTGCCGACGTCGATAACGTGCCGCATCTGAAGAGTCAAATGGATAACGATGCTTTCCTCGATGCCATTAGCCTTCCGAGAGACGGGAGCCCGACACGAAGACGAAAGAGGGCACCGCGACGGAAGCAGGACCAGGAGCACATTGACATTTCGGATGAGGACGCGGATGATGAGATGGGCGGTGTTCCCGCTGGCTGACGCCGGTGTCATTCGAAATGAGCGATGCTCTGAGTTGGAAGTTGCAAACTCGTCGCGCAGACGCCCAAGACTCGCGTGTTGTGGAAATAACGAAGGGCACTCTCCGCACGTGGAATCTGATCTCCATCTTTGGCGGCATCCCACGGTATCGCCGCCCGCCCTATGCCGCTGCCTGAAACCCGCAAGGCGCAAGGCGAAAGTTTGTCGAGCATCAACATCTGTTTCAGCGTCATCACGAGCTACGCGATCTTCCCGCGCAATGCGATTCTGCCAAGCGAACACGAAGACACGCAACCCAAGGATGAGGTCCAGGTGTATGATCGTGATTCCCAACGCATCGACGACACTCCTCCCCGCGACCGTTCGACGTGATGGGAATAGGGTCCAACGGCCGGGCGGCACAAGGCAGGACGATGATGATGCTTGGGCAGTCGTACAGCATGGCAATGCTACGTGCACTGGCCCATGACCCGATACGAAGGAAAAGTACATACATCACAACCGGAACGAGGCGCGGCTTGCTATAATGAAGATAGTAGTGTGACCTGCCATTGCGTCGTGCAACATGAAAGTAATACGCCGCACGACTGCGAATTCCAAGTTGCTGCCAGGACGATCCGATCTCGACGCCGTGGCAGTTGGCAGCATCTTGGCCCGGAGGTCGGATTGCGTAGGCCCCGCGCCAGGCGTTGTCTGCACCTGCTTGCAGCGAACACCACAGCATCCTCATCGTCATCTCACCACAGCACCCTTCCGCCGCGCACCGAAACGCATCTTATAGGCAGTGAGGGTGAGCATGGTGGAGAGCTCATCCGTGTTCTGTCCAGTGGGCACGCTGCTCGTCAGAGCGGTGGGCTTCTTCACATGTCTTCCGTGCGCCAATTGCCCGGTTCACTGACCAGGGAGCTGGAAACGTCGGCGCAGACACCTAAGACTCTTCGACTTCTTGCTTTGCACACCGCAATCTCTCCAAGTCTTGACAGCGCCCGGGCCGTTTCAGTGACAAAACGGCCACCGCCCCAGCTCTCAAATCCTGTTGTCCTCGCACTTTCGAGCCCCCAGTTTCAGAACAGCAAAGCTACTTCAGGATTGTGACCCCAGTTGTCGCTCTGGACCCCGTGCGCGTTCGAGGATAACCTTGTCTTAGCCACCTATAACACCCTAGCCCAATTCGTCATAACCATCGAGCAACACTACGATACGCTGCCAACTTCAACTCTCTTGTGCCGAAAGCCTCGCCTGGACTCGTTGCGCATTGATCCAGCACCGCTAAGATCAAGACGTGTTCAGCACACCTCCAGACCTCGCGGAACGGGTTATCGATATATATCCAAGGACTACTGCAGCTCAGCACGGCTGCGCGCCGTTGAACCCTCCTTCGTTCGACGCCAGAGCCTCACTACTGCACCTCTTTAGACTTCTGTCTCGTACCCGTCTGTTACGAACTCTACCGCCACGAGGTGCCGCTGCCCAAACGTTCGTGAGAGAACGCAACGCGTATCGACTGTATGCCGGTGGCGTCTTCCTATCCTTAAGGCATCGGACCATAACGCCGGATCTACGTTTCATAAGGACTACCGAGACGTTTCTGTTCAGCCACGAGGTCTGATTGCACTGCGCAGATCCTCTGGCCCTCTTGGTACATTGCATTGCTTTTGTGTGCCGTGCGTATAAGGGACAAGATGCTGCCGCTGTTGTTGCTGGTGCCGGTGGCGTACGGGGTGCTCTTTGTCTTGACTTGATCAACAACACACCTTGACGACCATCGTCACAAGAAGAAGCACCTTTTGGCGTACTGGGAACCACACCGACGACTTCGCTCCACATACAACATTCAGCTTAACACCTGTCCACAGTAGCAAATTTGCTATCGAATATGCAACAACGCAGGAACCGCGCAGTTCGCTCTCTGGTCACATCATCACAGCTCTACAGCGTTCCGGAACGACCTGGTGGCCCGGTGCCATCATCCATCTACAGCTTCGACAACGTATCAAAGTCGTCCAAAATCTCGACCGACACTGTTTCCACACTTCCTCCTGCTCCTCCGCCAAAATCACCACGCCGGTCATTCCACCCTAGAGGCCACGTCCGGACTGGAAGCCAACTCAACACCCACCTCGCTCATCTATTCGGCGCTCCGTGTGGCAGCCACCGCGACAGCATTGACAGTCTAACCGAATCATATGGACGCCTAGCTTGGGATCCCGAGGACCTCCAAAGAAGGAGAGCCTCGACGTCAACGAGCCCCACGCCTTCTTCCTCTTCGACTTCATCCTCTGCTTCATCCTCATCATCTTGCTGGAACTCACGCGGACGCAAGAAACAGCGAGACCTTGTCCCTTGCAAAGCCGCACTCGACGATTTGAAGGATCAGTCGCGGTCGAAAGGTTCACTGTCTTCTTCCTCGGATAGTGGGAGTGAAACATCCTCGCCGCCCAAGCCGCTTGCTAGTCACAGGGCACAAGGACACGGCAGGAAAGCGAGCAATGGAGGAACACTATTACTGAAGATGAAAAACGGAAAAGTCTGTGTGAGGTAACGGAGTCAAAATAATGATTCATGCGGCTGACTTTATGGGGCTCCTCAATTGCTGGGAACGATCTTGAAAAGCTTTGAGCGTTGCTGTCTAATTTAGCGTTCGGAGTACCAAAATTCGCGTGTGGACGACAGTCTTTTCTTGCGGGGACAGATGAACAGTCGAACAAAAGCGTTACGAAATCTTGAAATGCTTGCAATGGAGAATCGATAGACGCGAACGAGTCAAATGTAGTTTTTAATGATGAGCTGTGTCTGCGATGAATTCCTCCCCCATCAATGTCCCATCTCCCAGCGCTGTGTTGTTCTGGAGGCTTCACACTGCAGACTCCCACTATGCTCCATTCAGCGCACCATGAACAACACCGAGAGATAGAGATCTACCAATCCTTCCAAATTGCCTGTTTCCCCGCCGTCCAAGAAGCCATTCCTGTCCCAGTCGTGACACGTAGCACATTGTACCTATGTGGCAGATCGCCATCGAGATCGTCGAAAGCGCCTTCTGGAAGCCCCTTCACCAGAAGCCGTCTGGCGCCGTTCGGAGGATCACCACGTGAAACAACGGCGCTCCTGGTGGTCTGATGATACGCCCTTTTTTTTGCCTAGACTACTACTGCGATTCTGCGGCGATTGATTCCTGTTTTCTGAACAACCGCTTGCTAGTTCAATGCAGATCTGCTCGCGTGCCCGAATTTCTTGTCCCTCGTGTGTCTGACGCCTTTAGCGTCTGGTTGTACGCTAGTTTGATGCAGCTTGCGTGAGGTAAACGCCTCTGTTGGTCAGATCTGTGATCACGATGTTTCTGATAGGATGCGGTCGTGTTGTTGGTGAAGGCCGCGGCCTCTCTGCGGTGTGTCACTTGGGTACATGGCAACAATGTTGGCATCAGTGTCGTCGATGTCCGGTTCAGCCGAATACAAACGCCTCTGTTCGTGTTGTCGAGGCATTGGCGCTGCATTACCTGAAATCGAGGGCTCAGATATCGTCTTGGTCATTCTCGATGAGACGGCGGAGGTCTTGCACGTTGCCACGGACGATATTGGGCTGAGCCTCAGCTAGCTCGGGAGGGCTCGATGCATGATCTGATCGCATTCAGCTGGCTTGGGGTGACTGGAGCCTCGGAAAGGTGTCTGTGCTCATTCTAGCGGTATTACGCCCAGAGGAACTGCAATCAGATACAAGATGTTTCTTCACTTGCGTCAATGTGCTGGATGTCGAATCCCTTACCTATTGTATCGATACGCCATGCGTGCCAATGGAGAGCGAGCTTGTTGACACTCGCTATCCTCGACAGCCCTGATTATTCGTCCGCAGATGCCGACAGGACAGCATGCAGCTAAATGTCGGCGAAGGTGTCGTTTCTGAGGTGAAGGAGCTCCAAGGTCCTGCGAGTCCGAAGTCAGAGCTGCCTTTGGCGAACTCAACAGTAAGTGCACGCTGTCTGGCGATGCCTATACATCGGAAAGTCAATCATCGTATTCAGCCCGAAGACATGTTTGATCAGGTAGAAGCAAGCATTCACGTCAAGTCCCTTTAGTTACGACGTAGCCCAGGTGAGAGGCCGACTTTCTGTCCCTCCCTCCCTGCTTCGCCTGGTCAAGGGCTCGAATCGAATGCAACGAGGCACTTCTCTTGTCTCTTTGGCAGTACATGTCCCGGAAATTCTTGTGTTCGGTTGTCATCCTTGCCAGTTCAACGCGATCTTGCCCTTGCGAACAACCTCAAGGCAAGACAGTATGGGAGCTCTTCCCAAATGCCCGAAGCTGATGACGGCCATCAAATTTTCATGTTGCCCATGATACCCACAAACCTCCATCCATTCGAGCGCATCGGGGACAATTTCCAAGCACGACCGCACCTGCACAAGGAGAAATAGAGTCGGAAACCAAAGCAGAACCCTGCCGAAGTTCTCGCTCCACCAACTCCACACCACGCCGGACCCCATCCCGATCCCTACCAACTATACATTCCAGACGAAAACTTCGGAAACAAATTTCATACGCTCTTTGAACGAGGACGCTAGATTAAGTACCCGAAACGAGTGGGACCGAACAACCACAGTAGTACCAGAAAATAAGACCGATCCTCATTTCCGTCGCCGGTATGTAGAAAGGTCGTCACGGTGACCTGTGACGCGAAGATTCGTACGCGTGCCATGAAATAAGTCACTTCGATGAGAGGAAAGAAAGGCAGGAAATTGCTGAGGTCATCGACAAAGTCATATTCATTGCTCGTACCTCCATATACGTGCGTATGCATATCCCACTGAGGATAAGGGTATCCATCCATGCAATGTAATTACTACTCCGCAAGCGTGTAAAGGAAATGCAAACAATCAAGAAAAAGGCACGCTTCTGCAGAAACATTCGCGTCCATACTGGTATCATCGCTCTCGCCATGCCGGGCCAACGAAAGCTCAAAAGCCCTCAAGCCATCAAAACTTTCCAAACGAGTATCAGGAAACCGGTGTTTTCGGGGGGGTATCACGTGTACTGTGGCCACGTATGCACGTTTGACAGTCATTACTGAGAAGCCTAGTAATAGATCTTCTCTTCGTAGATCGGAGGACGTCCATCCTCGGCATCCCATACGATCTTGTTCTTCTCATCCAGGAAGGCACCTTCGTCGGTAATTGGGATGACTTTGCTGGTGTCTGCAACCTCCTGTCGGCTGACGCCGAGGTTGTCGCGTGGCACCCAGAGGAGAGGAGTTGGGCTGGAGATGGCTGGGTTGTAGAAGGCATTCGCTGATGTATCCTCGTCGTAGTGAATTGCGATTTCCTTTGGTACCAGTCGTCGCATGGTCTTGTAGTCGGTGTAGATGTCTGGGCGGAGCCACTTGACGAACAAATTGGGCTTCTTGTGTGGAGCTGGTCCCAAGTCGCGGTTTGGTCCATCAAGGGCGGCCTTACCACCATTGCCGTTGGCGGGTACGTCCTTAGCAGCAAATTTCTCACCCTCGACACCGTCGGCGCTACCTTGCTCGATCGCCAATAGGTGGCGCTCTTCAGCATCCAGTGACTTTGGCAAATAGTTCAGCAATGGCTCCATTGCGGAGTTCAAGCTGATGTGGTAGAGCGCGGTGAAGATGAGCATGATAATCATAAGGATCAATGGACCAAGTGCTCCGATGCTCTGTCCCGTGGCGATCGCGAAAAGACCGATAAGGCACACTTCGGCGACGTAAAGACCAACAAACAAGTGTCCCAGAGCTCGTGGGTAGACTAGGCCCTTGGTCTCAACCTGGACGTTGGAGACAAACATCAAGTTGTATCGGTATGCGAAATAGAACAAGAAGAGACCGATGCCTGCGAAGGCGAGGACAAGTGGTGCGATGGCAGCGTAGCAGATGGCGATGACCAGCAAGTTGGTGTAGACGGGGAATAGTGTACCCCATCCAAGTCCAGATAGTGAGATCCACCTGTTGTACATCTTGCGAGGAGTCTTGTCGAGAATCTTGCCGAGGACGAGGAAGAGTACCAGACCAACCAGGCCGACGAGGAGACCGCTGACGATGGCAAGACCTTGAAGGATGAAGTAAGACAGGTAGAAATTGCTAGCCAGCGGGATGTTGGAAGCCAGGAGCATCGGAGCGCTGCTTGGGTCTTGAGCGACGCCCTGAATGACAGAGGAAGCGGCCGAACCGAGGGTAGCAACCAAGAAGACCTGGACGAGCTGGAAAGCGAAGTAGCTGTGCTGGACCGTGAGCTCGACGGCGCTACGAGTCGGTGCACCTCCAAGCTTGGCCATGAGACGCAGAATGATAGGGAGAAGAGCCATGAGGACAGCAAGCAACACGACCGGCAAGAGGCCAGTGATGACGCCGAGAATGGTCCGTGGAATATCGTTGATGAAGCCGAGCCATGGCAGACAAGTTGTAAGCTTGTCGATGTTGCTGATGGCACCGACCACTGCTACAGGAATGGACCAGAAGGCGATCAGAGCAACAACGAAGGCAGTGGTAGACACTTTCCTGACAAGACGCTCCCACCACTGGATCCTAAGGTTGGACCAAATGACCTCGCCTGGTGTCATTCCCGTGAATCGTGGGGACATCTGAAGAACCTGGTGGTGTGTCAAACTTTGATACGCCGCCTGGGCTGCGCTGAGGGTGTCAAATTCCACGAAGGCAGAGTTGAGCCGAGTTGCCTGGTGGGACTTGTGCTTCGCTTGTTCCGCGTTGACCTCCGGGATGATTCTCGTAAGCTCGCTTCGGCACCATTCGATCGTGTCCACTTTCTTGCCACCGATGAACTTGGTCTTGTGAGTTGGGCGGTCCTTTTGGTTGAGGTATTGTGCGAAGCCCGCGTGCCCATCTCCCACTGCTGCTTCCTCTGCGCCAGCGTTGGCATTCTTTCCGCTCTTCTTGTTCGCTTTCAACTTGTTCGCGCTTGCAGTCTTGATGAGCTTGGTCTCAGCGGCCTCGAGCTTCATGGCCACCTTGTCGCGTTCCTCAACCTTCTCCTCGAGGTCCTTGCAATCGGTTGCGAGCCAGATCTTGCGCACACCTGGCTCGAGCATGCTTCGGAGCTTGCCTTCGTCCATGTACTCCTCCGGAATCGAGGTGTAGAGAACAGTGCGAGACGAGAGACGGCTGGCGTATAGCGGTGACATAAGGTAAGCCTGTCGGAGGTTGATATAGTAGATCATCTCACGAGTGATCATGTAAATGACGAAGCTGAAAAAGATGATGGCGCATCCGGCGTGGGCGAACATCTTGTAGTACTGCAATACGTTAGATCACTACATCGTTCAGCATGTGTAGAAAGGGAGCCACTCACATTGTTGGTCACATTTCCAAAGGTGAGAAGATCCAGCTGCTGCTTGCCTCCACCACCGGTGGCATTGATGGGGAAGAGAACTGGCCAGGTGATGGCACAGCCCACGAAGCAGGTCACGACCGAGATCTTGAGGAAGCGGAGGAAGAGATAGCCATCGAAGGAGTGGTGATTGAGGACATGAGTGTCAGGCAGCTCCCAGAATCCCTTGATCCAGCCAACGAGGCCTCCATCAACTCGCGGCGTGCGTTCATTTTCGCGAAGACTGCCAACGAACGTCCGCGGCCGGTAATATCGCGGAAATCTGTTCCTGAGAACGAGGAAGAGTATCGCCCAGACGAGAGCGAAGATGGCAACTGTTTTAACATTATTAGCGCGACTTGCAACCAGCCAGAAACGCGTTTCGTACCTGGTGCCAAAGTCGACAACAACTGCGATGCGGAGCTGGAGTTGTTCTCGCTCTCCTGGGACGAGCCTTGATTCTGGTCCTGGCTCTGATCAACCGACAAGCAGGAACCCATCCTGGCGCGGCTGGTGTGCTCCTGGAGGAGCTCTCAATGCCGTCGTAGCGCCTCCGGGAAGAAGGAAATAAAAACCTGCTGGATGCAATGGGAATGCGCGTGGATGGGAATGTCGCGCCAATGCGGGCTTGTGGGTGGGAGAGAGAGCGGAAAGGTGGCAGAAGCAGCAGCGGTGGTGGTCGGCGGTCGCGCGAAGAGAAGCAGTTGCCAATGTACAGCGTTGTCAAACACGCAGACACAGCAGGCACGGGCGCTTGTCCCCCCTGCTCCTAGCCTCTTCTCGAGATCGACGCGCTATGACGGAAGCTTCAGATTAGATGGCGCTTGCCCAGACACGCGACGCAGATTTTGGAGAAACGACGACCGCTCTTTTGTTGTTTGCGATTCTTGACAAGTTGCCAACGAGGGAAGACCTTGTGTCGACCATATATTCCCTTCTTGCTTCCACGTTCCACGCCCGTCGCCAGGCTGTGCTGTGCGTGCACAACAACGCCGCGCTCGCAGCGTCCAAACAGCTGAACCACGCACGTCCGCGAAGGTCTAGCCACAGCACAGCAGCGCCACAGCGTTTGGACAAGCGCAAAACAGGGAATTGGCGGTTTCGCAAACAGAGTTGGTGGGCCTGCCCACAAGAACCCTACACCATCATCAGTTCATCATCCGCCTTTCACATGCTTATTAGACCCAATATTGCCTTTCCCACACGCAAAGTTCTTCTTCACATGATGAACCTCAATATGGGTCTTCCACCACCTTCCTTCATCGCTGCATTGCCAAGTGACACGTCTCTGAAATTGTCTCGGAGAAGCTAAAGATTACTATCGCCTGTGAAGAGGACTATTGATTCGCCGGCAGAGTGACCGCTCTCGTGCCGGACGCTCAACGTCGAACGACTTTGCAGGGGGGCCGCCTGTTCCTAATCCTTGGAGCAAAAGAACGGGAAAGGCTGGGGCTGACGACGAAGGAAACGTCCGTTGTGGGCCCGAGAAGTCTCGAACATCAGCCTTGTTTGCGCAGCAAACGCCTACGTTGACAATGTCGGCAAGCGATGCACAGATGCGAAGCGAATGCAATGCGATTCTACTAGCTGGCTGTTGAGATGGTGGAGGCTGTGTATATGGGGTATGACAGATTCTCTGATATCGAGGGAGAGAGCTCAGAGGTTAAGCGAGCGACACCAATCAATCGGGTTGTTGGTAGCTTCGCACGCCCGCCTTGGAAGCAAAGCAGATCGTTATCGTGTCACCACTACTACTGAAGAGCGTAGAGGTCTCACACTAATGACCTTTCCAGCTGTCCAGCTATGAGAGACGAAAGATACTGGGCATGTATTTGAGTTCTACACGGTCACAAGGACACCTCGACCCGCTGGCTGCACAACATTGGCGATTCTTGAGCTCTTCGTCCCGTGTTCTTACAGCTTGAGGTTTGGCAAGCTGGGCGAACAGCTCAATCAAGCAGAATCATGAACGTCATTGAGTTCAGGTGTGGAGCGTTTGCTGGTGAAAGATCGTCAGGTACACGAAGGAGGATTGACCTCGCTCAGAACGTCGTACAGCAGACTACCGAGTGTGGATTCCATCTGGCACTTCTAATTGCGCAGTCGATATCATATATCCTCACAAGCGATATTGGATGCGACTGTGAGCTACATGTAAGAGGTCTCAATAACGACAGCCCCTCCGCTTCCTATCACATTTCAGGACATTGCATTTGCAGCAGACAGCCACCGTCCGTCGATGGCTTTGCTGGCGCTGCGAAGCATGCCTTCACCACCAAGCACATGTGCGAATCTCTGCACGCGATCTTCTTCGCTCATGCATATCAAAGCTGCTAAACCGTACACGCCATCACGGCTGCGTACCGGAGTGCCACTTGTGCTTTGCTCATCCGATGTGGATGTTTTGAGCTGATTTAGAATGACCTGGGCGGCGAAGGCGTTCAAGCCTGCCTTCCGCAAGAACCGCTCCCAGTAGGTCTCATCTTGCAGCAAGATGGACGTATCTCCACATCGTGTGATGATCGCTGCAAGCCATTCCACGAGCTGCTCGTTTCCACCAGGAACATAGGTGACTTGAACATCAGCGTCCAAAGTGCTGCAATTTCCGATGAATTCGCACAAAGCATCTGTATCTTGCTGATCGAGACCAGAGACTTCCGCATCTCCTTGATCAGAAGTCTGCTGGCCTTCACTGACGAGCACGACTAGGCGTTCATATCTCACAGCTGCTGTCGCCACCTGCTCGCGGATTCCGAAGAAGGCTTTCTGGCCAGGCAGGGGCTTCTGCTTGAGCTTTTGCAAGTTCGTGAAGATTACACCTGTACTGGCTGACACTGTGACATCTGCTTCTTTTTCGCGCTCGTCCGAGTCTCGGATCACCATCTCGATGGCAGGTAGAAGCTTTTGGAGTTTGCGAATCATGGGCCGGTTGTTCATCACTGCGGATGACACGGCGATTGAAAATCTCTCGTCATCTCCAATGACTTTCGGCGTGGGCATGTTGACAGAACAGTGCGGTGGTGCGTCCGGGACAGATTTGAGTCTCTGTTCGGTCACATCAAGCGAGTCTGGCGCCGTCCTGACATGAATACTAGAATGATCCTGGGAAGTCGTCACCTCCTCAGGTAGAGGTACTTCCGGCTGGCCCTGTAATATAAGAAACTGGCCAAAATGCTCCATTGCGTTCGGGTTGGTACGCGAGGTTTGCTGGTCTCCCACGGTCGGTTTCTTGACTCTTGTCCTGGCATCGCCGGTCTCAGTCAACTCCTTGTCGACACTTGCCAACTTTGCTGCGACTGCTTTGTCGAGCTTCGCTTTGCGCTGTGCTAAAACATCGCCAATGCTAGCAGCTACTGCTCTCTTGACTTGCGCGTGAGTATGTAATTTTTTCCTCCTCTTGGGAGGCACGGAGAAGAATCTCGACCGAGTGGCTCCGGCTTCATCGACATCAGCAGCGACTGCAGTGAGCATTGACTTCTGTTGATGTGCAATCACGGGGTGCGAATCATGAACTCGTGTCTTGCCAGTCGCCGCACGAGTCGATTTGTGGGAAGCAGACTCAGACACACTCGGCTGGTTATTCATGGCCTCGTGCAACCCGAATGGAATCAGATCTGCCTCATCGCTAGACCATTCGGCACGATGCAAGTCCGCTGTATCGTCTTCTTCCTTGTCCAACAGCCTGAGACCCGCTGGCTTCCACGTAAGTTGCTGTACATCGAAGTCGTCATCGAGGTCAAGATCTCTGAGGTATCTTGCACAGGAGCCATCGTCGAAGTCTCCTTCAGGCTTGATTCTGGCCAGATGGGAAGCAAACGGAGCCCATGATAGATCCTTGTCGAGTTTGCTTGCCCCACGCCATGTGCCTTGACCTATGTTCAATTCTTCGCCGATCTGCTCGAGCAGTCCGTTGCTGGAGTCTGAGAGTTCCCAAGGGGCAATTGCTTTGATCGGTGATACTTCAGGGACGGGTACTCTTGCGATTGTATCAAGCTCATCGAGTTCTTCGTTCTGAAGCCTGTTCAGGGACGGCTGGACGAGAGGTGCGAGTAACTCAGTGAGAGTAGCAGTAGCTTCTTGAGCGCCCACTTCAGAATCTGTCACATCATCCAGTGGCGGAATGGAGCCTATCACAGTCTGCAGCTCATCGCTGAACGCAACCGTCTTCACTCTCTTCGCTGGTGGCTCGGACAAATCTGATGATATCTGTGGGAATAATGGACTGAGGACCTTCAAGCTCTGCAGTGCTCGGGTCTTCTTACGCAGCGGAGTGGAGGAGGGAGCGGCTTCGTTGACCACGAAACTATGCACCTCTTCCGCTCCTGTCTCCATTCCTGCTTGAGCATCTCGTTCGTCGCGAGCTCTGATTTGCGCATGCAGTTCAGCGGCTTCGTGCAAAGTCGGATCCTCCGGAGTGGATGTAAGTGGGATGTTGGCTATCTCAGGGGGTATCCTCGCCGGACTTAGAGGGGGTGAGAGTGGTAATAACGTGGGCGAGACTCTAGGAATGACCTACAAAAGTTAACCATGCACTGGGCAGCTTTCTCTGTAAGACGCACCTGTCGCTCACTCTCTTGCCGAAGCAAATCTGCTAGAGTCTGCTCTGTCCCGCCAAGCACACCTTTCATGAAAGACATCGTCTCTGCATCGACCTGCAACCTCTCTGACTCAAGTTCGTTTCGAACTCGCTCGGGGAGGGCCAGGTCCTCTGCGCCCCATACCAAGCTCTCGCCCTTTTTGTCCTCGAGATCGAACGGCATCATGCCATCTGAGGCAATGTTGATCTCGTTACGTTGCTTCAATCTCCTCAGCTCGGTGTCGGGGTCACATTGTAGAACAGGTGTTTCTGACCTGCAGTGTCGCAAAGGCACGGGCAGATGAAAGTGCATTTTGCTGACTTGGTATTCCTTCACATCACGTACAATCGAGGCGAGCATTGCGACAGAGTCTTTGTCCACTTGCCATCGATCTTGTGGGTACCCTTCACCCTTTTCCTGTTCGAGAAGTTCTTGTATGCCGATCAATCCTGGTGGATCCTCCAAGTCCTGGAGTGCGGAAGTTGTTGGTGCAGTTGGCATATATTGGAAGAGGTCATCGCTGAAACAACGAGCTTCTGCACTTCGCAACATGCCGCACCTGAACGCTTCATCATCGTCCTCTCCATCACTGGTGCCATTCACTTCTTGATCATACTCGGACGGCTCATTGCTATCAGCCTGTGGTTGCGGCTCGAAAGGAAGACTCTGCTCCTCGGAAAGATCAGGAGGATCATTTGCTTGAGAGTAACTATGGCCATAGATCCCCTCCTCTGTGGACCGCTCACTGTAGGTCTGACCGGTTCCGGTTTCGAACAGTGGTTCAAGTGGCGTGTCATTAGAAGACACTTGAGGGAAGTCATGGCCCTTGACCGAATGATGTTCATACGGGCGCTGACCGGAGTGCTTGACTGCGAGGACGTGGTGTTGGTTGCCATAATAGCCCGAGTCGTCGTTCCTGGCGTCATCTGAAAACATGTGGTATGCCGAATTCTCTCCTGCAGCTGACTCGCCAGGGAGCTCTTCGTTCTCGACCCATTGCTGTGTCCTCTGCATGGCGGATCTGTCGTGGCGAAAGGCTTCGCCGACACTGTCAAAAAGATTGATGTCAGCGGGACACAGCTCGCGAGGTCGACATCTTGTTGGGCATGGAACTCCGGTAAAGCGGGTATTTATGCGATACCTAGGCCGACTTCAACGAGTGCGGTAGAGGTGGCAGATTGGAGTCGGGCTTGGTCACGACGCGTGCTTTCCCTGTGACTTCCGTGACTGCCTTGGGCCACACGTTCGCGATTAATGACGGCGACTTGTCCGGTACCTCAACAAGACCACTCATAGGCCACTCACGTACACATATGCGCTGCGATCTGCTTCGTGCCTCTTCTCGTGTTTCGGCTGCTGCAAGACCCAGCACTTGACTTCGTGATGTGTGTAGTCGAAGGACTTGAGATGTACATCAGTTGCAATGCCACCCTACCTTTGTCTGTGATCGCGACACGACACATCTTGGAAAGCTCCTGTACTTCTCCAAGGGCCACGTGCGATATGCATTCAGCACTCCGTGGAGAGTCATGCAGTCGGGTCACCCACTTGAGTCCCAGAGTACCGGCTCCAGAGCATCATCATCTCTAGATGCTTACCCTCCGCAGGTACCAGTAGTGACCTGGACTCAGAGACAGACAACTGGTCCCAGGCTCCAACATGAGGCATTACCGACGAAACATTTCTCACCACGCCATGCCACTAAGGCTGCTGCACTGGCGGCAGAGTGTTCACGAGTGCTGGCAGCTGCCGGCGCTGAAAGCTGAGACGTGACGGTGCTCGACCTTGCTCATCAGTGCGCAGTAGAATCGGCACGGAATCATGGCTGCGAATCCAAGTTGCTGGAGCTGTAGGAAGTGCGTCGTCGCGTGTCTGCATGTCCTCGGCCGGCGGCGCCACACCGGGAGAGGGCAGGGATCCGGGGCTAACCACAGTTGCTCGCGTGTGGCCAAAGTTTCTGTCGGCATCATCCATCGATCCCTTTTGCCATTCTCATTGCATCTTCACAGTTTCGCAGGAGTGCGAGGGAAGAGCGCAGGGAAGGCAGTCCTGCGACACTGCATGATCCGATCTGAAGATGCTGGTGCGCTCCGCCAGCCGACGACAGCAACGGCACACCTGTCGCGTCCTCGCCGCTTCCTTCGCCCAGCTCTCTCTGCCATGGCTGGCTCCAGCACAACTACGATGGAACGCAACACATCCATCACCGACGCCTTCTCAGACAACGGCATCGACGCACCGCCATCGATCACGAAGACCTTCACTTCCCACATCGCAGCTTCGGCAGCTCGCAACAGCTGCTGATACCCATTCTTCGACGAGCACGCCGTTCGAATCGACTCATACTTCGACGAGCACATCTTTCGAATCGACTCATCCTTCGAGGATCGACCGATTAAAATCGAACTTCCGCGCCTCCAACCACGATGACTACGTTCCTTTCGATTTCTCCGGCTCTCATTTTCTTGCAGGGCCGAGCGATCCGATTATACTTAATTCACCATTAAAAGCTGCCGATACGGTCATTCGTGTGAACAGATATGTCCATGGATCCGCAAAACAGCTCCTGGGCCATTTGCATACCAGCCTTTCAGTGGGGAGACGGGATCGTGCCGCAGAAATTGTACAGAGACTTGCTCAGCAATGCGGTCCGCAATCGGAAGAGGCTGTGCACGCTCACTGGCTGTATTTAGACGACTTGCGCGAGGCTGTGAGGCGGCATGGTCGAGACTCGCCGCAGACTGCAGTCCTGCTCAGTCAGATGCAGAAATGGTTCGAGGTCGAATTACGGAGCAAAGGCACGCAACCTGACGCCAACATTCTGATCACGATGATGCGGGCATCAATATCTGGACTGGAAGGCTCACGGCGAGACCGCTCGATACGCAGATATGCGGACATTGCACAGCAGCTGGGTGACGATGTCTTGAACGAGGTTCTACTCTCAGAAGTCTACAACGACATTGAATACGCGATTTTGGGTCGTGCTACCGCGGATTTCTACGAGGAGGACGTTCCTCTACAGCAGGCTGTGGAAGACATCTTGCAGGGAGCCTCCGACAACAAGGAAGAAGCGCGTGTCAGGCAGGAGGAACTGGATATGTCAGCGGTGCCAGAAGTGCTGCAAACAGAGCAAAAAGGAACTGGGCTGGAAAATATCAGAAAGAGCATGAACGTATTCTCAGAATTACCCACGTTGCCAGTTGACGCCGGCATCGAAGCCCGTCGAGAACTGGCATACAAGCGGCAACGGCTCTTGGAAGATACTGCAGTTGATGTGGCGATTGATCGATGGAAGAAGGCCGACGAGGATTTGCGCAAAGTAGGAATCCACACTTCCATGCAGAGCAAACCTGTTGCTGCGTTAATGTGGCAATGGTATAGCCAGCTGCTACCAGCCTTGCAACAAGAGCTTGCCGAGGTCAAGAAGGCAATGGAGGGTGATATGACCGATGCAGACCGGGTCGCTTATGGTCCTTACCTGGAGCTCTTACCACTTGAAAAAGTAGCTGCTGACACTATTCTCTATGTCATGACACGCATGGCTTCCGGCAAGAACAAAGCAACCAATCAGTATGAGAGTGAGGCGAAGCTAGCACCTCTCGCGCTCAATCTGTCGCGATTGCTCGAGTCCGAAGTTTTGGCCGTTGTTGCTGGTGGTAGCAAAAAGTCTGGCAAAGCGAGCAGCAAGTCAAAGCTTCGGAGCCAAGCAAGACGAGTGTTCGAAAAGGGGCTCGCAAAGTCGAAGTCCAATTCGAAAGCACGACAACAGAAATTGAAACAGGCAGAGTTGACTCAAATGGAATGGCCGTTAGCTGTTCATGTCAAATTAGGCGCCATGCTGTTATCTAAGCTGATGCAGAGCGCTCAGCTTCCAGTCACCAAGGAACATCCGCGGACGAAAATGCAGATCACGCAAATGCAGCCCGCATTCCTTCATCGCATGAAGTATTCTCGCGGCAAGAAACTCGGCGTGGTGATGCCAAATCCAGCACTGATGGAGAAGATTCGAAGCGAGCCGGTGGGCAGTCTTATTGCAAAAAGAATGCCCATGGTCGTGGAGCCTTTGCCCTGGACAGGCTGGGATCAAGGCGGATATCTGCACTATACGAATCCCATATTGCGACTAGCAGCCGGAGATAAATCTGCCAAAGACTACTTTCTGGCAGCGGACGAGCAGAACGATCTTAGCACGCTGTACAAGGGGCTTACGGCGTTGGGGAAGGTGCCATGGAAAGTTCACCAAGGCGTTTTCAAGGTGCAGTTGGAAGCTTGGAACTCAGGAGAGGCAGTCGCCAATTTTGCGCCACTCAACCCTGACTATCAAATGCCTCCAGAACCGGATGCATCCGCTGATCAGCAGCAACGGAGACTATGGGCCCAGGAGTGCCGCGAAATCGCCAATCGTCGAAGTGGAAATCACTCCAAGCGCTGTTTCCAGAACTTCCAGCTCGAAATCGCTCGCAGTATGCTGAACGAGACCCTATACTTTCCCCACAATCTCGATTTCCGTGGACGAGCTTATCCCATCCCCCCTTATCTCAATCACATGGGCGCGGACAATGTCAGAGGTTTGCTCGTGTTTGCAGAGGGCAAGGAGCTCGGCGAGAACGGTCTGAGATGGTTGAAGATCCACACAGCCACGGTCGCGGGCCACGATAAAGCGAGCATGGAAGAGCGTGTCGAATTCACTATGAAGCACCTAGACGACATATACGATTCGGTCCGAAATCCTCTGGATGGACGCAGATGGTGGCTACAAGCAGAAGATGCGTGGCAAACGCTCGCGGCTTGTTTCGAGCTTGTGGCCGCACTGGAATCCCCCGATCCCGCAAAGTTTGTCTCACATTTGCCGGTCCAGCAAGATGGAACCTGTAACGGTCTGCAGCATTACGCCGCATTGGGTGGTGACAGAGCTGGTGCTGCGCAAGTCAACCTCGAGCCTAGCGATCGCCCCGCTGATGTCTACACCGCAGTGGCTGAGGTCGTGAAAGCCGAAGTAGCGAAAGACGCTGCGGATGGCGATCCGATTGCTCAAAGGCTGAACGGCCGCATTACCAGGAAGTGTGTGAAGCAGCCAGTCATGACGAACGTCTATGGCGTCACGTTCTTCGGTGCTCGTTTGCAGGTGAGGAAGCAGCTGGAAGCCATTTTCCCCGAGGTCAATGCGCACGATGCTGTTAACTTGGGTCATAAGTCGCATTACGTCGCACTAAAGATCTTCAAGTCTCTCGGCCAGATGTTCACTGGTGCACAGGCTATTCAGAACTGGCTCGGCCAATGTGCGGACCGGGTGGCTACGTGCCTGACTCCGGAACAAGTAGCCTCATTGAAGAACGAGACGAAGGTCCTGAGGCGCGGGAAGAAACAGATAAAGGACGACAAATCCGGCGGTGTCAGGCCACATGGAGCACCCGCGACTTCTAGCAACGACAAGGCTACAGCAAGCAAGCCACTGTTTAAGTCGACAGTAGTTTGGACGACACCCATGCGCCTTCCTGTGGTCCAGCCTTACCGGGCAGCGAAATCGAAGCTGATAACCACTAAGCTGCAATCGATGGCCATCCAGGATCCTCAAGCCTGGGATCCGGTGAGCAAGCGCAAGCAGCTTCAAGCGTTCCCGCCGAATTTTATTCACTCTCTCGACGCAACGCACATGTTGCTCAGCGCTCTCAAGTGCACTGAAAACGGCATGACATTTGCGAGTGTCCACGATTCTTTCTGGACCCACGCTTGCGACGTCAATCGCATGAGCGAGGTACTTCGTGACGCGTTCGTCGCCATGCACAGCGAAGACATCATCGGGAGACTACGGGAGGAGTTCGAGACCAGGTACAAGGGGCATATGTACATGGCGACTGTCCTTGCAGACAGTCCTGTAGGGAAACGGATTATCCAGCATCGGAAGGAAGTGAAAGAGGAGGCGAAACAGTCGAAAGCGGTATCGATTCCGAGCGAGCTGGCTTTGGAAGCTGAACGAATGCGGTTGCTGCAGAGTGAAGACGCGCAAGAACGACTCAAAGGTGAAGCGATGATCACGCCTGGCAGCATCCTGAGCGCCGAGTCCGACCCAGCTGCCTTTGCCCCGGCCACAGAGCTGGCAGGTGTAACACTGGGCGAGATGCCTGTAAATCCGGCACACGTGGAGGAGGCTCCCGTCGATGAGACCGATTCAGAGACAACGGTAGTCGACGAGGCTGCCGAAACAGACATGGAAGTGTCTGAGTCAACGAACAACGGCGGTGAAGAATCTAAGTCGGAGGGCAAGAAGACGACGAAGGAAAAGAAAACTACGCCGAAGAAGCTCTATGTTTGGCTTCCGCTGACCTTCCCGGAAGTGCCTGCCAAGGGCGATTTCGACGTGCGACGACTGCGCGAGAGTCGATACTTCTTCCACTGAGGAAGTGAAGGCGTGTAATTTATTGTAATATTTGCAGCATGTGAGCGTTATGGGAATGAGGGGCGGTAAAGCTGCATAGCGATGGCGTTGGCAAGAAAGGGAACGGCATTGACCACAAAATTATGCTGTATTGTATGATATGATACCACTGCGAGAGGACCTTAGTGTATGCATAGCACGCTGTACTCAACGATACGTCGGAACATGAATCAAATGTTTCTGCCACTGCTCTTCACGTTTCACCTGGACACGCCTGAATCAGCATCTGTCGGTCGATTCGTGATCCAGAATTATGCAGCGTATTCCTTGCACAAAGTTCAAAACATCGAGACCAGGAAGTCCCGAATGACCGGAACAGATTTGCAGAATGACATCCCAGCCAGCAGGGGTTGCTGGTCATACAAGCTTTCCGGATGCCAGCGACATGGGACGTCCTGCTCGCGACCGTTGTTTGATTTGTTGGGAGGCCGTGCAGCACATGCGACGGCGGCGAGGCGGTGGGCGGGCGCGCGGATGGCGGCGGTGGTGGTGCAATGGGCAGAGATGAGGTGCGTTCGGGGGGCAGGATCTCACGAGTCGCCCGCGGTGGAGGCGCCAAACGGACGCTAGCCAGCGACACACGGGAAGGATTGTGGGCGGCTTTTGGGTTGGGGCGAGCGGACGTTGGCTTTCTTTGGGAGCGCTGGTGGAGTCTGGGTGGGCCACGACCCGCATAAAACCACCGTGCCCGTGTCGTGTGCTGTTCCGGCTCCGTGGGCTGTGAGCCGTGGGTCCCGTCGTGCTGGTTGCTTTCCTCGTCTGCCCGTCCAATCCTGCTCTCACGTCCCAGAAACACCCTCTGCTGCAGGCACGCTCGCAGCAGAAGCAACGACAAACACCACCACCACAGATCGACATTGACGGGATGCGATAGCGAGCGCTGGTTCGCGAGAGGATTCGCTGCCGCCGCTGCGTCGTCGATCAGGCATCGTCGTGAGCTTGCTGCACCACTGACGGCCGATCTTGCTCTCTTCTGAACACCTGCCCGTACCTCTGCTTGGCGGAGCCCTACGAGTACACCAGGCCACCCGCTCGACCACCTTTCCACCTCTACACGCCATGGCCGAAGACATATCACGGCCGTCGGCGGACGATCGCGAACGGAGGAGGGGGAGTCTGGCGAGACGTGCTCTGCAGCGAGTCCGCGCTGCCATGCATCGAGCAAGGGATCCTGGAGCGACCACGACGGAACGGGCTGCGGGTTCAGACGACGAGGCGAGGAATGCAATAGAGGCAGCCATCGAACCTGCGAACACCACGAGAGCCGGGGCCGAATCAAGCGACATTCCACAGGACGAGATCGAGCAGCGACATGATACAGAGCCTGTGGAAGCGCCTTCAATACCGTTCGCCACGCTCAACTCCATTGAAGTCGACTCCAGCGAGGAAGACGCCGGCGAATCTGCAATGCCACCGCGAGTAGGCCGATCTGGCTTGACTCGAGAGAAGGCGCGATCACTATTCGCACAAAACGGATTCGACTACAAATTGCGAACGTGGCGGCCTCTGGAGGAACCACCGAACAAGATCAGACGTGTTGAGAAGCCAATTAGACTCCGAGTACATTACACCTGCCACGAGTGCACGAGACAATTCGGCTTGGAGAGGACTTGCATGGATTGTGGGCATCACAGATGCCGAGAATGTCTGAGGAATCCGCCGAAGAAAGTGAGACAGGTGTCAGACAATGCCCGAAGGTCGACGGAAGACGGCCGGACGAGTCCTGTTGCTGGGCCTTCGACAGCGCCACCTGTGGCAGAATCTTCGCGACCGCAACCAGACATGCAAGTAGCACCACTGAGACCGGACGATGAATATTCGCACGACGATTTGCCACAAGACCTCGATCTTGCTATGTATACCCGACCTAGGGCAGCGATACAGACAGTATGGAAGCCACAAGCTCGACCGAAACTGAAGCATACGCTTGGTGCTTCTTCCACTTCACCGGACGATGAGGCTCCGGTGGTTCGGGCTGTGCAACGAGTGTACCGGAAACCTCGACAACGGGTGCGATATACTTGCGAGCAATGCGATACGCTGTTCGTTGATCACGATCAATGTCGGCGATGCGGGCACGAGCGCTGCGATGGTTGTCTTCGCCAACCGTCAGTCCTTTCCATTGATGCTTGTACATTCAACTTGCTGACTGTTCTCCTCAGGCCCAAACGCACTGCTGCAGCACCAGATCCAGAAGTCCTCAGGTCTCTTGAGGCCCGACTTGCTGCTCACGGAGAGTCTTCGACTGCCGGAGCCGCCGAGCAGTCATAATCTCTTCTGCATACTACCACTTCACGACAACTCTTACCACTTTCGACTTTTGTGCGGGATACGAACGAACACTTCATTCACGATACCACTTTTGTGTTTTTATCTTATTATTCTTGGGATGTTGATGATACCCTTGGGCGGATATTTTCTTTTGAGCGACCTTGGCCACGGCGGTCTGGGACGCTGTCTTTTGGGGAAACTGACGAGCATATGATGGGACGTGGAAGCGAAGGAAAGCAAAATGGGCACAAGAATACCACAGCATCACTACTCCAGCTTCTCGTTGATATCACTTTCGTCATCACGGCGACGTTGGACGAAGAAAGGAGATGAGTCCACGTAATGAATATTTCTGAAGTAGTTGGAGGATGACGGGAATCTCGTCACAGTATTCATTGGCGACTACTTGTCTAATGAAGAACCAGTACAACTACAATTCCTCAACTTCTCTCACTGTCATCCCCGCCTTACACCTACTATGTTCCCTTCACCGCCATGCAATGCCATGCCATACCATGTGCACGACCGTTATAAATCTTCTCTCCCAACCCGACCCAAAGAATAAGAATCATGAACCTCGCTTCGGAACCGAGAACTTGGAACACACTGACGACGGAGACGCAGAGACGTTGCGATTATTGGCAAGCCCTACCTTACTACTTCATTCCGTGATTTTCATTGATGATGAGGATCCCGTCGGGACGTTACGATGTGCGAGCGAAGGATTCTGCTGGCCAAAAATCTGCAGACGAAGGGCGATCATCCCTTTTCGCTGATGCCCGTTTGTTAGGGCGCACTCGGGAGCGTTCCGTTGATGAAGTGGTAGACGATGAGAAGATCTTAGGATCTGTGTTATAGCTGATGATAGGTGACGCGGATTGGGTACAGTTACGGGTATGCAAGGCGAGACGAAGCGAATGCTATGGTATTGATCGCTGTATGATTGTTTTTGTTGCTATGCTATGTGTGAGCGAGAGGATGATGCTGTAAGATGGGACTGCAAAGTGGTGGTAGCGTTCGGGGTTCGTGGTTCTTTGCTCTCGGCATCCCGTAGGGGATAGTCGGCCGTGATTGATGATGAGCAAACCGGGTTCGGGACACCACCTCCTTGCGACCACTGCAACGGAGGAGTCTGTCAATGATGCCGGGACTGGTGTGCAAGCGAGCTGTCGGCTCCAATGTTTTGATTCTATATTGGAGTCAGTGTTGTATGAAGTTCGAAGATCATTTTCGGATCATTTGCTTGTTCTTCTCGTCGTGGTTGTCGCTACCAGAATCATCAGCGCTGTTTTCGCTCTTCTCACCGCACTGCCGGGGAATCCTCCTTCATTTGGTTCCAGAAGAAGCAGTCTTACTCCACTTCGTTCTATGTACTCCTTCTCGCTACCTCGCTTCCATTCTACTCACGTTCTTTGTGCGTGGTAGATGGCTGGCTGGTGGGTCAATGGCTGATCGGACGAAACGCCAGAAGGAAGGCCACGTTGTCGCGTCCAGCCCTCAACAATACTCGACCTTTGGTCCTTTTGCATTCTACTGCATCATCGTTACCAGTCTTCACACGCAGAAATCATCATCTAATGCACTCCACTGCATCACTCCACTGAATTCTTGTCTCGTGGCATTGCATGAAATGGCAGACGCCATGGCTTGCAACGAACCACTCGGAGCACACGAATGGGAGCCAATGGGTCCAGGATTCTTGTCCTTTTGTCTCCTTCTTCGCGTGGCACGCATGCGCTCACACGCACTCACGCATGCACGCGGGAACGCTTTGCCTTTTCTTCTTCCTCATCACACGCTTCGAGACGCGTGCGTGTGATCACGCACGAGCAAGTTTTTGCGGTGGATATCTGGCACGCTGTGGATGTGGACTATCTTGCGTTCAGAAGGTGAAAGCTACGGGAACTGGCGTGAAGACGGCGTCATTTTGCAAAAAGGTTGAAGGGGTTTCCGAGCGTGCCGTACCTACTACAGTTCAGTAGTGAGCGAGGAGCACGTCGTGGCTTTTTTCTCGTCTGCTTGTTTGTCGCGACGCGTGGGCTTTTCGCTTGCGCTCGCACACGTTTCCGAATTGTGATGTGTGGCTTGCTCTGGGTCGCTTCTGGGCTTGGAGTGTCTTGGATGAAGGGGTTCAGTTTCGTCACCGTTGAAGTGCTTCGGTGTGACAGAGCCTGACCGGGGTTTCGGGTTCAGGCAAGATGCGGCTCTGCTGGAGTGTGATGATCCTCGCAGGTTCTTGCTGAAGTAGAAGGTTCGGTAGTTAGCGGTCGCTTCCATGTTCCAGCTGCTTTCGAAATTTGGGAAACTTTGACGTTTGGGAAGCGGTCCGACGGCCAGATCGATGGTATGGAAAGTCTGTTTCTGTTCGGACGTGACGTTCACCCTGTTTCTTGGTAACGAATGGCCGTGATGACAGGTGAGGTGTTTTGGCATGTGTTGCCGTGCTGGCTTGCAGCAGGCGCGTATGGTCAAACGTGAGCACGAGTAAGAGCAGCAGAGCGACATGGATGCGACTGCTTCTTCCTGCACGCATACGAGATGTTGGACTGGAATGGCAGGATCTGGGGATCAACCGGCATCGCATCGTGCGCTGTTTGAAGACCTCAACAACGCCTTCGATGCAGCGCGAAGCTCCTGACAAGACAATGAAACGCAGTTGCATGCTTTTACGATTCATCATCCCTCACAGGGTGGACTAACTGCAACGTCAGATGCTCACCACACCGGTCCCGACATTGTTTATCCTTGAAGCTCGTTGAGCTCTGAGATGGAATCACGGAGAAGAGTATGAGCTCCAGACCTCGAGTTCTCAAATTCAGTCACGGACTGACAGAACGCTATCAAAATGACTATGTTTGCGTCTCAGGCTGCCATCGAGGATGTCCCGGGAAACTGTTGGGGACAGTGACAGGCATCTCCATGCTTCAGATTTCCGACCGTGGCGCCGGTAGCACCTCCGTTCAGAAACCACGGACCCGGGTTTGGACTTCGACGCGAGATGCAGGAACGAAACGTCCTATCGGACGTAGTCAAAATTCAGGAATTCCATGACTCGAGCTGTGCGTAAACGATACAGGCGGTCTCTCGAGCTTGAGCTGAGCACAAGCGATTGCGGCTCAGAAGGTCACACCTGGCAAGAGGCGAGGCATTCCGTTCAGAACTTTAGGAGGCGGTGTGGCAGAAAGGCTTGTGGCAGCACCGCCGACCGGTTTCAGCAGAGGCCCGTACGCTTGGACTGGCCAGATGTTGAACTGATTCACAATGTCACGAGGACGCTTCCCAATTTCGCGGTATGTGTAGCGAACATCTTTCCGGCTCCTGAGCTGGGTCAGGTGAGGTGCTGGTGCCATTATTGAAGATTCGGGTCTCCAGGTGGCAGGTGCCAATATTGCGAGACCACGGTGCATGGACCGTCTGTCGGCATACCGACGAGCAGCCGGAAGACAGATTGAGATCACGCGGATACGACAGCGAACAGCAACGACAATTGGCACCGATACTTGGCAGCATTTGATGCCATACGTATACCTTTTTGGGGCATTGCCTCCCCCAATCGTAAGCAGTAAAAATACCACATCTATGCAATCTGGCTGACATCATATCCTGGGTCTTGTTGAAGGTATAAGAGATGGGTGATGTGCAATGTGTCTATCAAAAGCCCATGGAAACGAGGTCAGAAGACATGTGACAAGTGCAATCTGGGGGCGTGCATCGTACCACCGGCACAGATTCTGCGAAGAGAAAAGAATTCCCATGATCGAATTATGAGTCGCTGTGAAGATGGTCGACCAGCATAGGCAGTCTGGGGAAGACTAGTGGTCCGCGCATGGGTCTGGACTTGGTTGTTTTCAGGGCTGGCCCGCTGGATGGAGGAAGACCCATTGATGAATGATCTTGGGATTGGGATGGCGCTGGGCAGATTCGCATGTCACAAGGTCAGCATCAGCATCCCACAGTGAACCCATTTGGTGTGTCAAGGTTATGCAAAACGAGGCACGACATTGTCCCTGACAGCGCTTTGCGCGCGCCAACGTCTCCACGTGCCATTGTCCATTTGCGGCGGCAGGCTCCGCGAGGGACCTGGCGTGGGACTAGTCGCAGACCCTTTTCATCTGACGCAACAGCTCCAGGGACCTTCTGCCACGCACAATGTGGGATGTTCTTGGGCAGCATTCTAGTCTCGCGCGCAGTGGGTGAATATATATGCAGCATCGTGTGCCGTGTGCCTCTGCGTACGTAGTCTTCCTCGCAGCAATGACCAGAACTCGTGCCTCAATGCCGCTCGAGATGTCCGAGTTGTGTGCGGGTCGCTTGCTACGGACCGTGAGCCAAAAAAGTAAGGGCCAATGAGTTCCCGCCGCCGGCTCACATGGTCTCGATGAGCCCCTACAGAATTCCTTGCGAACACTTTGCGCCGACTGACCCAGCACACGCCCGGCGGTGACGATAGCAGCGCTGGCAGAATGCTCCGCCCCGGTCCACCCTGAGGTCACTCGCCTCAGACAAAGCGAGCTCTTCCCGCTGCCTTCCACTGACTCGAGGCCGCAAAGCTACTGCGAGGTCTAACAGCTCGTGCATTTGCTGTCCGCAGGAGCTCTTTCCGCTTGTTATCTCCACCGACACTGGTCCCTCTGCCTGCCGCCGACGCAGACCGGAGGCGCTTCTCAGCCTGCCAGGTCGCGGCATAACGATGAAGTTTGGCCAGCAGCTGCCGCGCCAGCAGGTCCCAGAATGGGCGTCCGCGTACATCGACTACAAGGCGCTGAAGAAGCTGATCAAGGCTGCCAAGGCGAGCGAGGGCACCAACGGGGAGCCGGATCTGGCTGGTATACGGTGAGAGTGCTCGTGGCCGCCGACAGATAACCTAACCGTGTGGCAGAGTTCTTCTTCACGCTTGATCGCCAGTTGGAGGACATTGACACTTTCTACAATCGCAAATATGCCGAGATCTCCCGACGCCTCCGCCTCCTGTACGACCGCTATGGCATGGCTTCGAAGCTCAAGGACGGCATGGAAAAGGAGGACATTCAGGACCTGACGAGTACATTACTGGAGCTCCGCGCCCAGGGTCGCAATCTGCGATGGTACGGGAATATCAACAGGACAGCGTTCGTGAAGATCACAAAGAAGCTGGACAAGAAGATTGAGTCTTCGAGACATCAGTCGCGATATCTGTCCACAAAGGTCGACCCAAAGGCTTTTGCGACGAACAATAAGCTGGAGATGGACTTGCGCAGCATCAATGACTGGTTGCTGCAATTGACCACAATCAAGGTGGTTGATGACGATGGCTCCGTCGCCTCGGGCAGCTCAGGATCAATCCATCGCATGGGCTCAAGAGCGTCGCTGAAGATCTCGTCGGCCGCTCTTGATGCGATGGAGAGTGCCATCTCGCAGGATAACACTACTGAGCTATTCGGCTTGATCGCTACGCATCTCCCCAATGTGGCGAACGATATGCTGAAAGGTTTGTACCTCGACTTGTTGCAGAGAGCGATCTCGCATAAGTCTTTCCAGTGCATCAAGTCAATTTTGAGTAAAGTACCTACTATCGACGCCGACGATGATATGAACAAGCGCAATTGCCTGCACCGTATCGTGATTACAACAGGACGCACGCGAATTTCCCAAGTATCAGGAGGCTTCCAAGCGATTGTTAAGAACTCAAACTTCATCAATCCAGCAGAGCCGCCCACGCGTCTGCCGGGTCAGTTCAAGGTCGCAGAGCGAGATCCCGACCAGGAGCCTTTCAAGGACGACACAGCGGAGCGCCTTTTAGGCTTCATACTCGATCATCTGAGCCAGAAACAAAGGAAGGCCGTATTGTCCAAGGATACCTATGGCCGGACGCCGCTCCACTATGCAGCGCAATATGGCCTTGTGTTCGCAACGCAGCTGCTCATGAAGCATCTCCAGGATTGGCACCTCTTCGAGATTTCCCATGGCATTGACTCGGAAGAGTGGCAGGATGACGAGGGGTATGCGCCTTTGCACCTTGCTGTGATCGGCGGACATTATCGGACGACGAAAGCCCTCCTCATGGCCGACGATTGGAACGAGCTCACAGATGCGCCGCTGACGAACAAGCATGTTGAGAAGAGCGGTGTCTCACTAGCGTTGGCAACAAAAGCCAACTACCACAAGATCGTGAAGCTACTGGTCGATGCTGGTGTGGACGTAAATTACCAGAATGAGCAAGGCGACACAGCGCTCCACATCGCTGCTAGGAACGGCCATGAGGAGTGCGCAACGGCCTTGCTTACTGCGTCCGTCGGAGAACATCGCACCAAGGTTGAGTTGCCCGACCGAGATTTTGGCTGGACGCCACTCCACATTGCGAGTGTGAATGGTCACTTGAGTATTGTGAAGCTTCTTCTAGACCAGGGTGCGGATCCCAACAAGAAAGATTATTCTGGCTGGAGGCCTATCGAACATGCTGCTCTGCGAGGACATATTGATATCGCTCGCTACCTGCATCCGCTTTGTCCAACGCCAGCTCTCAACGCCAGCCCGGAGCTGAAGGCTCAAATCTCGGGATCTCCGCCGAAAGGCGCAACCACATTGGCAGAGCGACGCTCTAATGGAGTGCCCAAGGAAGATGCGAAGGCTCGGATTCCCGAGCCTGTCAAATCTTTCGGACATAGATACCTCACTGACGAGTCCATGATTCTTGTCAGTCTGGGAACGCTCGATGAGAAAAAGGATTTGAAGCCAATCAGCCTTGAGGACATTGCGATTGCGGATGCACACGCTACTCAACTGGACACTGCTTTGACTCTGGTGGTTACAGCTCAGGGCGCGACAGGTGAGCCAACGCTCATCGATCTTCCCATCCAGGAGGAAATCAGTACTACGCCAATAGTTTTCAAGGCCAAGGATCCCTCGAAGGTGAAACTCTTCTTCGATCTTGTGCCTACATATGCAGGCACCACCGAGAAACGAATCGCGCGCGCCGCAGCTCTTCTTTCAAGCATCAAGCCTGGCGTGGGCTCCAAGCGTGTCACGCTACAGACGGATCTGAGTGTCCCTTTGCTGGCAGGACAAGATTTTGATGTCATTGGTTCGGTCAACTTCAACTTCCTCATCATATCGCCATTCCAGCATCCGAACCTCAACATCAGTGAAGAGAAGACATACTGGACCAAGTCGTCTACAATGGTCATCGGTCACCGTGGCCTTGGAAAAAACGTGTCCGCCAAGACATCTTTGCAACTGGGGGAGAACACGATTCAATCATTCATTACGGCAGCCAATTTGGGCGCATCGTATGTTGAGTTCGATGTCCAAATGACTAAAGATCACGTTCCGGTGATCTACCACGACTTCATTGTTAGCGAGACTGGCGCTGATGTACCTGTTCATACCTTGACTTTGGAACAGTTCCTTGCATTGAGCGATACGCCAAAGCCATCACGGCCTGCCTCACCACCACAAGTGAACGGGCGACATGAGCGGAACGGGGATGGAGACATTCGGCGCGTGCAACGATCTTACTCGGTTGGAGCGCCGTTCATCGAGGACACCAACGACAGGTTGAAGCACACGCGCGACTTCAAAATGAAAGGCTTCAAAGGCAATCGTCGTGGCGACGTCATTCAATCACAATTCACAACGCTTGAGGAAATGTTCCGGACATTGCCAGAAGACGTCGGCTTCAATATCGAAATGAAGTATCCGATGCTGTTCGAATCAGTGGAGGAAGAGATGGACACCTATGCTGTCGAGCTCAATTTGTTCGTTGACACAGTGTTGAAGATGGTCTACGACCGACGCAAGAAGCGCAATATCGTCTTCAGTTCATTCCATCCGGATATCTGCTTGCTTTTGACATTCAAGCAACCTTCGATACCGGTGCTTTTCCTTACCGATGCCGGAGTCTCACCTGTTGGCGACATCAGAGCATCTTCACTACAAGAAGCTATCCGCTTCGCTTCCCGCTGGAATCTCCTCGGCATTGTCAGCGCAGCGGACCCCTTCGTGCTCTGTCCCAGCCTCATCAACGTCGTACAATCTTCAGGCCTTGTCTGCGTCAGCTATGGTACTGCGAACAACGATCCAATACACAGCAACCTCCAAGCAGAGTGGGGCATCGACGCCGTCATCGTGGACAGCGTAGCCCGTGTGCGAAAGGGCTTGACGGAGAAAGTCACAAATGGCGCTGAAATTGCATCGAAAAAAGCACAAGTCAACGGCGTCAGTGAATTGACAAATGGTCTTCAAAATGGTCTCACCGTTGCTGCGGATCACGAACCGAGACCGAATTCTACGCATTAGAAGTGCTGTGATCGGAGAGGAAGAGATATGAAAAGGTGGTCTTTGCTCAATGGAGCTTTTGTACGAGTGTGAGAAAGAGAAGAAGAAGAACAGGACTTCAGTTATTCGTTTGGAAGAAAAGATACGCTCAGTGAGTTGCTGCAGGACCAGACAGGAATGTGGCGCGCACGATTCAACATGCGCCCAGTCATGTTTGATTTTTCCTCCTTGTCGGAAAATCGCACTGAAGTGCTCGGTACGGTTTTTGTTCGGGGTGGGAAAGGGACTTGTACTTCGGGTTGGCGTTGGTGCGGAGATGATTGCTATGTCCTGATGTTGTATTCCTTCGAGATGTCTGGAGCTGGAGGTGCTCGCGATTCTCCCGAATGGGAGCCGCTTGAGCTTCGAATCGAAACCGATGTATGTTGTGTCGTGGCCTATTGGATGAGCTTAATGATGAACGTAGAGTGAAACAAGAGATGAAGAGATAGAAGAATAGAGATGTGTTCGTGTTCTCGGTTGAGTCGTTCATTGATGGGCATGAAGTTCTTCTCTTTTGAAACCAAGGGTTTACGCCGTGCCTTATTTAGTGATGACGGACTTGGCTTCTACGCGCGAAGGACCTGTTTGATTGAGGAAACTGCGAGCCGTACGACGTGGAACAGCGCTGGCGGTGCTGGAGACCGCGACCTGATTTATCATTTACAACTATGCCACCTTCTGGCTCAGCAATATCAATACAAGCGGGTATCTCTATGCTGCACAAAATTCTACAAAGATCGAGGATCATCACAGCGAATGCCAAAGCAGAAGCGAGGGCGGCGTTGCCCGCACAGGACAGAGGTCAACATAGAACTCACTCCTCCACAGCATTCCATTTCTTCTCAAGCTCGGCAACGCTCGTCACGGTCGTCACGCGAGTGGCATCCTCTTTGCGAGCCTTTGCTTCAGGCCGAATGATCTTGAGCAGCGGCTGCACTCGTTGTCGACGGCCTAGGCCTACGCGATGTATAACTTTTGCGTTCTTCTTGATTGGCGAGTGGCTGTTCGGACTGGGCTTCACATCTGGTGCTGGTGTCGTGTGCCTAGCTGCGGTCACTGTAGCAGGTTTCTCGACCGAAGGTGCTGGGGTTGGTTCTTTGCTTCCAAGACCAGCTCTTCTGGCAGCGGCATTGGCGTTGGCATCTTTTGGTTTGAGAGCCGCGCTCGGTGTAGCCTTCGCTGAAGTGAATTGCTCCTGTTCCTTCGAGGCCACGACCCCATTTGAATTCGCCTTCGCAGGTCGACCAGGCCCCTTCTTCTTTGGCTGTGCGTCCGAGTGTCCAGTCTCATCGTCCAACACGGACTCTGCATCGGAGTCTTCCAGGATCGTCTTTTTGGTTCGACCTCGGCCGTTCTTTTTGGCCACTTGGGAAATTGTGTCCACCTCTTGTTGTGCTTCCAGGTCATCCTCGGTATCCTCCAGGGCCACGGCGGAGGATTTTCGTTTTGTGGACTTTTTGCGATGTGAGATAGTGTCATGGTCCTCCGCATCCGCTTCGCTTAGTTGTGGAGGGGAGACTCGCTTCTCTGCTTTCTCACCCAATTGCTGGTGTTGAACGACAAGCTCCTCGTCCTCGACATCTACGAGCGCCCTCCTGGATGCGTCAGCCTTGGCGGCTGTCTCAGCTTTTGAGGGCCGTCCTCGCTTCTTGGGTGCTGGCTTCTTAGCCGGCGACACCTTCGCAAGCTCGTCCTCTTCCTCCTCGTCATTCTGCACGATCGTGCGTCGTTTTCGCTTGTTCGACTGACTGGACTTGGGTACATCCTTGACAGTCGCCAATCTCTCCGCCTGCTGCTGGCTCAGGGTGGGAGAACGCGAGGCCGCGTGATCCTCAAAGATAGTCGTCTGACTTCTACGTGGCGCCTTCCTTGACGCCGATGCGGGAAGCGACGGAGGGAGCATTTTGGTCGGTGATGTCACAGCGGGTTGCTGCGTAGTTGATGTTGTTTTCGAAGCGCTCGGCCGTTCTTTGAGGCTTACTGGTGGGCTGAGCGGCGATGCCATAGGTCTTGGTGGATCGTGTCGCGCTTCGCGCCGTGGCGTGGTCGGTGTGGGCTGAGCAGATTCTTTCCCCTTTCTTGTGGGCGACGCCTTACTAGCTGCTACCTGGTCCATATCGCGCAGACTATTTGCGATGGCCAGGTTCAGCTCTGCGTCTTCGTCGCGCCTACTATGCCTTGTGGTCTTGGATACCTCAGCAGACGATCGATGCTCATTGTCCGATTGCTGCCTGTGGGTCTTCGACGTTGCCTTCGTGAGCGGTGCTTGCGACTTGTGGTTCGAGTCATCTATATGTTCATCATTGAGGGTCTTGCGTCGTCTCTTGACTGCCTTTTCGGGAACGATCGAGTAGTCAATGGGCTCCTCCATGGCAGTAGCCCTCCGCCGGCTCGGCCTCGGCTTGTAAAGTTCTTTGGGAAGCCCAATAGCACGATCATCGGAATTCATTGCTTCGGAATCAGGCTTGTGGCCATCCGCGCCTTGCTCATCTAATGATTTGCGCTTTCGACCCCTTGGCGGTTTTGACACATCATTGTTTGCCTCAGATACTGAGATTTCGGCAGGTGGTATGATGACCATTGGACTCGACTTAGGCGGTGGTCTGGGCTTGTGAGACCCAAGCTGCTCTTTTGCGGACGCGTCCACTCCTCTCTTTTGATCATTTCCTGCGGAAACGGAGTTCGAGATTGGTTGTTGTCCGACTGTTTTCGGATCTCGAGCAACGTCGATGTCTTCTTGATCGGGACAAGCCTCGGTCTCCGCGAATGGTTTGATGCGGGAGAGCTTCTTGAGCTCCTCCAGATGTGAGTTTTGACAAGTATCAGCAGCGTCATGGCTGTCTACCGGCGCGGACGTGACACTTCGCGGTAAAGCGTTGTCTGAGTTCAGCTTGGGCGTTTGTGTCTGATTCTCAGATGCGGACCATGCTGCAAAGGGGCTCGACTGCTGTGCATGTGACTCATTCGACAGCTTTTGAATTGGAGCATCAGGCATGACCGGAGGATCTCGCGCGAGCTCGATCATTCGCCGTGTGGAAGACTCGTTGTCAGGAATTGTGCTTCCCGTATCGGGAAAGAGAGTTCTTGGGTCATGGTGCTGGAAGTCCTGCAACAGCGTGCCGCCCGGGAGCCCGTCTGTAGGTTTAGCAGAATCAGAGGGCTGCAAGAAAGCAGCAGATAGCGATTCCTGAGATGCTCGCTCATTGTTGCAATACGCTTGAAAGGCCTCGTCAGGGCTCGGATGCGACGAACGCTGGCTTTTGTTGCTACTCTTGCCGTATGTCGTCGGCGTTCGCTTCACTGTTGTAGATGGCCTGGCCGCAGTGACTCCGTCGACATTAGTGTGCCGTCTGCTCAGCTTCTGCTTGGCAGAAGATGCCGGAACTTCCTTCATCTTGGAGTTGTCGGTAGCAGAGCTGAAGAAGCCTCGCGTGGTATCTGCGATCTGTCGATTTATCTCGCCTGTCGCTGTCAGCGTTGTGCAGATCGCAAAATCGTAGTTCCATTTACCAGTGGACAAGCTGCTGCCATCAGCTTCACCGGGTTCCTGTGAACCGGATAATATCTGATTCGCGAGGGCCACCGCCTGGCCGAAACTTCGATTGCTGCCGTGACTCCGTTGACTGGGCTCGTCGTCTTCCACCAAAATCTCCTCCTCGTCTTCGGAATCGCAAATTGCTGGAGGCATGTTCTATGACATCGCACTTGCCACCGACGCGACTGGGACGCGACTTGATGCCTGATTTCCAGCTGGCCTTATGGAGCAGGGTCGATCCGGTACAGACGCGTCGCAATTACGACACGATTGTAGAAAAACCGTCGAGGTCAGCGAGCCAGTATAAAAAGTGCTCGTAGCGTCGTGTATCGTTGTTGTCGGCGGATCTGTCAACACCTGATGTCGCGTCTGCCCCGCGAGACGCATGTCTTGGCAGACGCGCCTTCCACAAGCTCTCCCAGCCATTGGCAGCAACCTTCCCTCGTCCACCGACATCCTCGCCGAACTCGACCACAGCTTCCTCGCGAGAACACAACCTGACCCCACGACTCGAATCACAATCGCTCGAATCCACCACCAAACCTTTGCGTATCTGGTCCACCGAAGCTCGTTTCCGCCCTCGCGCATGCATCGCGTCCACTTCTCCAAACACACCAACAGCACATACCCTCCCCACAGTCACCTCGTGTCTCATCGTCTGAATCTTTGAGGTCGAATGGCTTCTCCCGTGAAGGACAACTGTCCTCGGACAGCGCTGCCTCCGGCTGCGAACTCAGTCGATGTGCTTGACAGCAACAAACATCACTGGATGCAGTAGCCAGAGCGTGGTCGGATGTGTCACTTGGAACGACTTAACCCTAAGCGATTTTCTCGGTTCTTCATAGTATTGCGGACCTGAACCCATGTCTCTACACATGGTAGACGGAAGCAGCTGGCAATCTGACTTGTTCGCCTTCAATCAGCTCTGTGAAGTCAGTGTGGAACGAAGTTGCTTCGGCGGCCGAATTTCTGCTGGTGGAAGGACTTGGTTGCAGGAGACGAAAGGATCGCTGGTATTGTCCGGTCGCGAAATCGAAAGATTCACCGCTTGTAACACAGCGGCTTCATGCGTCGGTTTGGTAAGACTCTCTGAGGAGGCGCGCGTCGAGGCTGCTGGCTGGACGAATGCTCTGATCACGGACGGACAGCTGAAGAGGGTATACGTTCGAGATGTTGCCAGGAGAGACTTGGGCGCAGATTGTCGGACACTTCTGCATTGGACGTGTCTTCAGGCTCTTGAGACGCTGGATCAGTCACGATATCGTATGGACATCGGCACAAGAGATGGCTATGCTGGGAACTGGATCGATGGAACTTGGGACTGCTTTGACTGATTCACTAGCACCTTTGGTGGTGTCTGTCGCCTGTGGTGCAACTCTGCTGGCGGGAAGCTCTTCGTGAAGATACTGGCAGAGCATGTCATCGCCCCACATACAGACAGCGCAGTTTGGCGGCTTCATTTCTTGCACCGTATGGCACTCGTCAGCACCATGTCAGCCAGGCTGGCGTCATGTAGCGAGGCCATCGGGCTTACACGCAGAAGCACGCCACTCTTGCACTGTCTACCAGGCATGACATAGCTCCCGCACCCCAGTGTCTTCTGTTGAGCCGATCGCCGTCAAGACGTCCACTCGTTGCAGGTGACCTGGTTGCTGCATGTGCTCGGGCCCCGCTGTTACGATTCGGTTCTGGTACGCCTTGATTCTCGCCTGTCGCTGCCATGCTGCCGGTATCGGTTCTGTTCAGTCAAGATCCTGCACAATCTCCTACGCGCTACGCTGCTATCAGCAGAAAGCTACCCCATCTCCAACCTGTCACATCGAGAACACGCTAGCCTCCAAGCCCACATCACAGCAACGGCGTACGATGTGGTTATGCTTCATTGCAAATTGTCCGATCAGCCGCATTAATCGCCTCCTTCTACGTTCAGCGCAGAGGTCGACTGGTGAGCGCCGAACACACCCTGCACCGAGCCCACTTGGCTTTCGGTTGCATCCTGACTGTTGTCAGATGACGAGCGGCTTTTGAAGATGTACTTTGTCCGTTCACTACATTGCCTCCTGAAGATCCTTGACCAAGATCACTGCTTGCGTCAATGGATGAAGGGAAGGAATCAAAGACTTGTCTCAGAGCGGGAGTGCTACAACACACTGGAGTGGACATGATTCTAGTCCGATGCATGCCGGCGAGGAGAAACGAGCTAGGTTGGCTGGTGAAACGAAGGAGTGCATACCTGCGATCGACTTTGAGACTGGGGGAATCACGGTGGTGGTTCCTCGGAGGAAGAAGAGGACCGGTCGAGGGTGTTTGGTTGGCTGCGGTTGTTCTGAGCTCTGCATGCTTTGGACTTTGCTGAATAGTCACAGATGCGTTATTGAGATCGGCACTGTTGAAGGCACGCATATATCGGCCGAAGCGGATGCACGCTCTAGTCGCGATGCTGCAGGCTGACATTCGCTGGACTGGCCTGAAACGCTAGCATTCTGTCTCTCTGCCTGACGTCCGGACCAACGAGCCAGAGGAGCGGGGCCTCTCTAGAGTGAGGATCAAAGTTTTGTGCTTGTCTGAACCTCTGGCTCGCCGGATTGTCAGCGGTTTGGTAGCGTTGCAAGTGTCGAAGAGCTCGTTCGTGGAAGAGGCTGGCGTCGTGACGAGGAAGAGCATGTAAACCTGCGACGTTGTCGATGTGCTGGATTCAAGGCTTTTCAACGTTCGCGGAAGTTGTACTGGACAGCACAAGACGAGCTGAGGAGGGATGGGGGGTCGCGAGCCGTCCTCCTGCTGGTTTCCTGCTTGCAGAGGCCAGTAGGAGGCGGCTCTTTACTTTTTGATAAGTTTCCCTTAAACACATGGCGTGGAGAGTGGCTGACTGTGCTTTCAGAGTAATTCGGCACTTTTCTGCAGGTACTTGCGTGCCTCGGAAAGGTCTGTCGCATTGAGGTGAAGTTGTGGTGCCTATCGAGACCAGCCTGGAATGGCTAGCGTTTGCGGCATTTTCGTCCAAATCCCTCAGCATCAATATAACTACACCCTGACCTCTGTCACTCCATCTCTACATCCATTTCTCTTCATGATTTGTACTGCTCCGGTTCCTCCGTTTCTCTCCAACTTGCGAGCTGCAACGGCAGTGGGAAGCAGAGCTTTTGCGTACTCCTAGTACGAAGTTCTCCCGCGGTCGAATCGAAGGCAAATGCGTCCCCAGCACTTCGAAGGACCGCATTCCTGTGTATCGCCGCACAGTGACTCGTCAGCATGGTTACGAGTGTGTTCTCACTAGTTTGTGATAGCTGGAAGGATTGATAGGAAGCCGCGGAGCGAGCTGCTACTCCGCATTCTGGTCACGAGGCCCAATTTATGTCCGAGCATCGAAGCTTCAGGATGGACGATTTGTTGCCCACATATGGTTACTGAAGATGCAATAACGGACTGGTCACCGCAAGTCTACCGGCATTCTATGTTGGTTTTGGATTGCATCGTCACTTCTGCTTGTCGCTACCATTGAAAGAAGCTTATCTGGCGCGCCTTGACCCGATGTTCTCCATGGATCCAGAACAGCGGCGCTTAGGCTTGATTGGGAAGGCACAAGCGACGCCACTGTGTTCAGCTGCTCTACTCTGCACTCTCTCGACAAGAACACCACGACGAGGGACGAAGAAGTCGACATTCCGGAATCGTGTGGTTGATCCAATGCTGGCACAACATGCAACACGTGCAGCAAGCGATGGAACGGCGTCGCATGAGGAACCACGAGGCAGCCCATGGGAGAAGAGCTCACATAACCTCCACCAGCCGCTATCTGCGGGCCGGATGCACAGCATGCGTAGGTGCACTGTTCTAGCGTGGGGTCTGATGATGGCTGAGTAGTATATCAGGGTTCCTCGTTGACCTCACGCTGCCTTTCTCTTGCTCAAACAACGACTTTCAATAAGCTTTGTTGCCTTACACATCCAGCAACGTATTACTGCCCATTTCGAAGACCCGCTCACGACTCTTCAATTGAACAGGCAGTCCGTCCGAGCATCACCACGCCGCTAGCATCCTCCTCGAGCAGAGCTGCCGCATACACGTATTTCAAGCCCGCTCCACCGACCCATCGGTAGTCACCACGCTGGCCAACAACGCGAATCGTAGTACCTTGATGTCGGACTTCGTAGACATCAATAAATCAGGACGCGCTTTCATCCCGCTTAGTAAACGGAATAGTGAACACAACTCCATTTTATTACCATCATGGAGTCAAACCACCACCAATTTGTCGCTGCAAAGAAGCGAGCCATGAATGATGCAACTCCAGAGGCTAGTGTTCACACTATCTCTGAGGCAGCAGACAAGGTCAAAGCTCTAGCAGCGAAAAGTGGTGTAAGCGGTGGTGAAGTGCGCGTCCTGACTCTGGCGGACTACAAGGAAGCCGCGTTGTCTCTGGCCGAAGCCTTCAAAGAGGATCATACCAGCACCTACTTTACCCATACTCCTGATCGTGCTCACTGGACCGAGCAGCAGAGATGGGACCTCCATGTGAAGATCATGGAATACATTGTCTATGCCCACTTACTCAAGGGCTTGGTCGTAAGTGCCGGTCCAAACTACGATGCCGTAGCACTTTGGTAGGTTCACAACTCTCCTCAATTAACGCTTCCATACCACTTGTGAACGACTACTGACCTTATCAGGATGCCACCCGGCCAAAACATGGACGACTACGCCACCATCCTCCGCAGCGGAATGTGGCGCCTCTACTACCAACTCTCCAAAGAAGGCCGCCACCGCTTCTTCCAAGAATTCCTCCCCCTCCTCGGCGACACCAAACTACAAGTCCTCCGTGAACGCGATCAAGATTCTTGGTATCTCGTCTACGTCGGCACACGACCTTCCGGTCGCGGAAAAGGTTTTGCGAGAAAGGTCATCGAGTATTGCACTTCTCTCGCGGATCAGGAAGGGAAAGCGAGTTATTTGGAGTCTTCGCATGCGGTGAATTTGAAGATTTATGAGAGGATGGGGTTTAAATTGAAGAGACAGGTTTATTTGCAGAGGGAGGAGGAGTTGGTGAGATTGGATATTATGGTTAGGGAGCCTAAGGTGGTGGGGTCGGATGCGGATAGTGGGGTTGATGTGGTGTGAGGGGTCCGCGGGTTTCGGAGGGAGAGGGGGGAGGTGGGACTTGAGAGGGCTCGGGAAGCGTGAAAGAGAGGGAGAGTTAGAAGACGAGGACGCAGTGGATGCAACAGAATGTCAGAACTTTGGGTCTTTTCGGAGTTTGGAGGCTTAGATCAGCTCTAGTCACTCTTTGGATACGATACGAATCTGTGAATAGCTTTGATAGGCAGAACGATCAACCGCTATCAAGCATATACGCCCAGATTGGAGGCGCGCGCTGATGGCATGCACTATTTTCTCAACGCAAATCAGAATTTCGCCATCGTCAGCGAACGCGAACGATCAAATCATGAACTTGGATGTTGATACGTGTGGTGATTATTCATATCATTCTATTCGTAGCCCAGGAGAGCGATCCTTGTAAGTCAGGTGTCTCGACTGGGCATCTGTGTATATCGCAGTCATCGTCCAATGTACAAAGATAACGGCTGGTAACGACGACCTCCTTCGGAAAGAAAGGCCATGCTCTCTTCGTTCCTCTTACAACACGTAGATGAAGTCTGGTCGGTTGTCGCCCGCGACCCAGATCTCATCGGGCGTCATGCCAGCGTGCATGTTATCCCGCTTGCCAGTGAGACGCTTGTGGTTCTCAGCTCGCAGCGTAGTGTACATGAAGATTGTTCCGCCCAAAAGGCAGGCTACCAGGTATCCCAGGACGACTCCGTGACCTGTCCAGAAACGTGGTCGTTCTTCGATGAGGTAAATGTTGGATGAGACGACTCCGTTAAGGTTGCCCCATCCGACGACGATACCAATGATGACACCACGTTTATAGACTCCTTCGATGTTGTTCGAGGCCCAGGTCAGAGTGTCTGGAAAAAATTGTTAGCAGATGCTCACGTTTCACAGATGACTCCTCGATCGCGCGCTGTTCGCAGTGAAGTAGTTCGAACTTTACTCGACATGCTCTCAAGGAAGGTTGTGTCTTTTAGCAACTTACTTGGAATTGTTGGGTAGATTCCTGCGGCTCCGAGGAAGGTGCCTCCGTACTGAACATTCGGGTTGCCCGATCCGATAAGCATGGCAAATCCAATGATCGAGAGAGAAACCGAGAACATGTTACAGAGACCTCTCTGCCTCGTTCGATCGGCGATGTATCCAATCAAGATGGTCATTGTCGCAGCCACGGCATAAGGCGGGACGGAAAGCAGCTGAAGTTTTGTGCCAGAGTGGCCCATACCAGTGAGGATCGTTGGGAGGAAGAGAGAGAAAGCGTAGAGTGGGCAGAGGTTTCCCATGTAGATCACGGCGTAACCCCAGCACTTCCAATCTTTCAATGCGGCAATGATGTGGCGCTTGTCGTACTCTTCCCCAGTGCTGGATTGCTTGTCCTCTGCGAGACGGCGGCGGACGCGGAGGCGCTCCTCGGGAGTCAAGAAGCGGGCAGTATCTGGCCAGTCGAAGACCATCCACCAACAGAAGGCTCCCACAGCCATAGTGGCGAGACCTTCGAGGATGAAAATCCAGGCCCAACCAGGACGTCCTGGACAGTCAAGTCAGCAAAAAGTTCGCTGTCTTTCTATAGGATGCATATTCTTACCTCCCACGCCATCCATCTGTGCAATTGCAGCAGCAAGCAGTCCACCGAAAGAGCCAGCCAGAGCGGCTGCGGAGAAGAAGGTGGCAGCACGAAGACCAAGCTCAGATCGCTTGTACCAGCAAGAGAGGTAGTAGTTCACACCAGGGAAAAGACCCGCCTCAGCCAATCCGAGGAACCATCGAGAAGCAAGAAGTCCCTCATAGTTGTGTACCACACCCATCAGTGTCGCAACGAGACCCCAGATCAGGATGATCGTCGTAAAAAAGATTCTCGGCGTGAAACGCTTGAGCAAAACGTTCGTAATTGGCTCGGCAAGTGCGTAGGAGATGAAGAAGATCGTGAGCGTGTTGTTGTAATCGTGGCCCGACATGTCGAGATCTTCTTCCATACCAGCTGCGCGTGCATTGCCGATATTCGTTCGGTCCAGGAAGGACAATAGATAGAGGAGACAGAGCCATGGAATTAGCCACAAGTCAACCTTGCGCATCAACTTCTTGTCCTGTAGTAGTTGTCAGCAGACAGTCTCTCGATAACCGCCAATCGCCCTTTTGAGGACATACCAGCGCAGCTCTTTCCTCTGGTGTAGCACCAGGATCTGGATCTGGAATTTGATCATCGATAGAAGATCTTCTGTGCTTAGCAAGGTCTTCATCTGAGCTCAGTGCGATCTCTTTCTCAATAGCTGAGTCATCCTTGATTTCGGCAGTCATGGTGGGCGGCTGGTGTGGGAGTACTGGAGGGGACACAGTATCACAGCACAAAAGCAACAAGCCAGCTAATCCGAATCAACGGCAATAGCAGCGGACGCCGGAGCTTTATAGATTGCCGCATGGAATCCTCCAAGCCCATTCGGAGTCTGCTGACATAGCAAAGGCACTGGTTGAACATGATTTCTTTCCGCCAAATGGGCCTTCATCAGCCCTCGCCTGCAGCCAACACGGTCATTGCAGACCGCCAAGGCACTTGATTACTGCGGTGTCGAACGAAGACCCTGCTACCGCTTTGCTTCCCCGTGGGCGTGTCAATCTAGTGCGACGAAGATCCACATGGCACTCTCGTGCGGCCGTGCCAGATTTTCCTGCATGGGTTCTGGTTCGGTTCACGACCAGAAGTGATTGCCGACTGGTTGCTCGCTGGCCCAGATGCTTTGCCAAGCCGCCTCTAAATCATCGGATGCTTGGAACATCGGAGACTGATACGAAAGCAGCTTCGGGGCGCGAAGAGTGTGCAGATGCCATCGAGAACGCGGTGCGACGTAGTTGGAATAGCTTTTTAGCCTGATTTGCATTGCGACGTTGGCGCAGCGAAGCCTTGTGAAGGCGTCGTCCTTCGCATGAAAGGCAGCGAGCTGGTTGGAGTGAGAAAGCCACCCCATGGGCCAAGGGTGTTGGCCAAGGTCTTGGGCATTGCGGAGACTCCAAGACTATGGACCAGGATCTCTGTGTAATCGAGGACAGCAGAATGATTTCTGCGAGATCTTGCGCGCTTCCATTCATCCCGGAATCCGAGTCTTTCTGTTCGCGTGGAGGAGGGGCTCTGCTCAGCAGGCTACCGGCCGTCTGGCCATGGTTCGCTTCAGCATCTACACATGTAATTGCACATGGTCAGGAGCGGACTCAAACTCTGTCTTTAACGTTCCGATAGCTTGGCTCAGCGTCAAGATCGGCCACATCTCTTGCTGACTTTAAGCACGCGAGGCAAGAAAGCACGCAGCGGGCTGAGCCTAGAGGCTGAACATTTTGGCAGGGTGTGAGAGCCAAGCAGAGGCGCATGCAGAACTGCAACAGGTCGCGTATTTGCGCCTCGCAGCGCTATCGTGCCTCGACCTCGCAGCTCAACGAGAAGCTGACAAGACTCGACGACGGGTCAGACTGCGGGACTCCGTAGCCTCATGCACCAATAACGACAGCTGTGGACGGCGTCGAGCGATGGACGACAAGACTGCCAATGTAGGCGCAATTCGTAGAAAGTGGTCGCAGAGACGCCAATGGCCTTAGTCGGCCGGAAGTTGGCGGCTGGCATACAACGAGCGACTTCAGCCCAGCTCAACAAAGGAGATAGGAAGCACGTCCGCTCCGCTCGTCCAGTCTTCGGACGACCGCAGGCGCGTAGCGTGCATTTGGGCCTTTCGCTAATGTCTTGCTGCTCGCTTCTGTTAGTGTATGCCCCATGCTCGGGTAAGACAGCACGTGGGAGAGCAAGTATGGATAGACTGCAGAACGGTTCCCCATGGGGCTCTGTACTGCAGGGCTCGACCGTCTGAGTGGCGGACATTCTGCTGGCAAGCATTCCAGGTCCATAAAATTCGTGTCCTCAGTGAATCCTTCGTCCAGCAATAGCTCGACAGCTTGACGATAACGGGTCCAAGGACGATTTCTGTTCCGCCTCGCCCGAAACCCTTGTTACATCGCGTGCAGGTGCGCGCTTCGCTGTACTGCGCTGCGATCCTCCGTCGTTCTCGTCGTAAGCTGCCAAGGGATGATCAAGCAGAGGTGTGGCGGTCTTCTCTCAGATACCTTCCCTAAAGAGTCATGTGCGGTCAGCATCGAAAGTCGCATCGGTGGATCGGAACTCTCGTTGGCTGTCGAGCGGCAGGTTTGAGGCTCATGTTTCGTCGAAGAGGAGCGGACTCCGTCCGACAAGGGAAAAGGGAAAGAGCGGGAACAACAGCCCATGTCCTTCCTCGCAGAAGAAGCCTAGCACGCGATCTGTGGAGTCCTCGCCATCGCAGGCCCAGTGCTCAAGGCCAACCCGCATCACCGGCTTCCTGTGCACACTCGGGACATTTGAGTAATCATGCTCATTAAGTAGATACAAGAAAATAACGCTATGCCTTCGTCTCTATGCAAACTGTACATCTGCTTCAGGCCAGTCCTGTGCCCTTCATCTTGCTTGCTTCGAAACTGTTATGGATATCACTCATCATGCCCAAACCTGACCAGATCTCCAGTCTAGCCCAAACTCATCATATGAAAGAGCCGGGATGGCCGCCTCGTTGTGCTCGCCACGTCGTCCTGACCGGCTTCTCGAGTGATGCTCGCATCGAATTGGAACCCCTCAGTCGTGCTTGTGCCATGCTCGCTTGCTGCACTCTCATGTCGCTTGGAGAGAATCGCTGACTGCCATCTCATGCCCCTCTCACAGTCCCAGCGAAGATACTACTCTGGTCCCTTGGTGACCTTGACGGGAGGTGGTGGCCCAGTCCCGCTCCGTGCTCTCCTCTCGCGCTCGCCGACTCCAGTTTCGGGCACCTTGATCTTCAGTGGCTTCCTTCCGCTTTCGAATCTGCCGCTGGTGGCCCGCTCCCATTCGCTCTGGCCATCGGTCTCCTCCCTTCCAAGCCAGTAACGCTTGCTTGGGAACCTGAGCATTGACCTTCCCAGCTTTCCTCTCCAGCCAGCACCCTCCAGTCGATCTGCTGAGAAGGGCGATGGCGCCATTGTTGAGTCTGCTGTTTCGCTTGTGCTGTATTGCATGCTGCTCGAGCTCGTCTGCGCCACATACTGTCTCAGAATACTCCGGGCATAACTCATCACGATGAGGCAGAAATAAACTCTCACTATCGTGAAGAGTGCGAGCAGCGCAATGCTGGTCATGCTGTCGCTCTGCAGTACCGCTCCACCAATGGCGGCTGGACCGCTAGCCGCTCCATATGCCACTGCTTCTTGTCCGGTGAGCACTCCCGAAGCTGGCTTTGCAATCACGTTGACCTCCGAAACATTGTGCTCAGGGTTGGTGAAGCCTGCCGTATCTCCCATTGTTCCACTGCCTGTCACGCCATTGCTCTTGTTCAGTGGGTTGTCCTTGCCAGGCTCTTCGAGATGCTGCGACAAAAGGAGGAACCATCCCATGCCGAAGAGGGCCGTGTAGACTCCGTTGACGACAGTGTCTATGACATAGACGTATGCTAGGGCAACATTGCGAAGAGGTTGGTCAGGCCGTCGTATGCTAGGCATCAGGTATAGTAGGAGGCCGAACACTATGAGCGAGTAGCTGTAGTGGCTGAGCTGAAGCCAGTTCAGCTCGTAGCCGGTGAGGAGCGCAAGAATGCCATAGAGGCCCGTGACTTTGTTGATGACCAGCGTGAAGTTGATGAACTCGGTGGCTGTCCGTAGTGACACGAAGTGCAGGAGGCTCTGTGAAGCGCGCAGGTCAGTATCGAACATGCGCGGCCGTGCGATGGGTCATGGAGAGACATACCCGCGGCTTCGGGAAGCGCAGTATTGAGAGCGCCATGGTCGTGGCGCTCTTCTGTCCGCCGTACGTTCACGGCAGCCTAGTTCGGTGGTCGTCGCGTGCCCGGAGGCCGGTCGGTCGTCGAGTGTGCGCGCTCCGTGTGCTGGACGTATACCACGTAGCGGCGCGCAAAGTAGCTTTCCCGGAGCACGAAGGGTGACTGAGGCGCGTGGAGGGCGGAGGGTGTTTCGAATTTGCTTTCTCGACCAGGAAGGGAGGCTGTGTGTTATGCATCCCCATCGGAAGTCGGCGGGTCGTCATTCATTCATTACCGCCGCTCCTCTTGGCACTCATCCTCCGTCGACACTGCTTGATGACAAAATCATTATGGCATGCTAAACATCCTTCTCATCTACCGCTCGGAGCCGCATATAACGATACTGCTATATCACATTCAACATGTCCTTACCAGGCATTCTCGTCTGCTTGGCCAGACCGAAGCACGCATCTATCCGGACTGGCTACACAGCAACATGACGCACACAGAAGACCTCCCTCCATCCTTCGCACCGGCATGGAGCGCCGTGTGCATGGTGTTGTCCAGCTGACTGCAGCGCCGCAGTACATGGAAAGTCTCTGGACTCCGTAGCTGACCGGCCGTTGTTATGGGCATGGATGCTGACGACTACAATTCGAGCGCCGTTTTTGAGCCTCAAAGTCTCTTGAGAATGCCATGCTCGTCTTCCGTGACCGCTTAAATCGGCATGGATGCGACAATTGACCGAAGCATTTCCAATTTACAAATCATTTGGATCCGTGATGAGTGAGCGAATGACATTCAGGATGCATCAACGAGGAGCGTGGCTGCAACAGCACTGATCGACGTGAAATATTTCAGCCGCACACTGAGCTTTATGGTCGGATTGGCCCAGAGGTGCTGATGTAATTTCACAAGTTAGGTCCAGGCTGTACAGTAGCCTTTCACGTGGAGAGAAAAATGTCCCTGAAGCAATCAGCACTCGTGCCTGACAGAACCTTACGATTGTCAAACTTCTTCTCGAATCTGTTCTTCGAGCTGCATGTGCATTAGTCGAAACGTGCGCACGACAAACACATATACAGTGAACGACAGTTTACGCTTTAGCGCCTCGGCGAATTACAAAGTCTACAAGCTACTGAGGTGCTCCGTACGAAGACGCTCTTTCCGCAACAAGAAAAGTACAACTTCAAATATATTGCTGCTTCCTGCGGTCGCTGAGAAGTTCAAGAGGCACGACGTGAACATGGCATCCGGCTCAACGTGTTCATGTGTACTTTGCGTTGTGTCAATTACCAAATAAACCCTTGATCATCCCAGAAACTCCGCCTCCCGACTGCTGTCCATACTGGTCCTGCTGATGCCCGCTACTAGCCGGGTCACTGCTATACCCGCGACGCTGACTGTATAGATGGGTCGGTGACACTTGAGTCCTCGGAAATTTACTGCTTCCACTGGCCCCATTCTGCTTGGATTTCTCCACTGTAGCATTTTGTATATCTTCCAGCTGCTGTGCGACTTTCTTCAAATTCGGGCCCGTCAACTCCAACGAATAGAGTTGTTGGATCAAGCTTTTGATTCCCTGTTGGTCCAGAAGTACATGTTGTTTGCCAGCTTGGACGTACTGCGTGAGCGTACTGATCTCTTCCAGGTGCTGTCTTCGATCCGCACAAAGGTCTCTAAGTCGCTTGTCGGAGCCACCGGCTTGGACTTTGTTCTTTTCCTGCTTGGATATAAGCAACATTCTCGTTGTATGACAGTCGGGAGGCGAGAACTTACCTCTTCTATTAGGTGGTCCAGATATGCCAGCTTAGAATCATTCCAAGGTTTAATCGAACTTCGCTTCAGAAAGACGGCAAATTGACCAGCCGCTTTCTGAATATATGCTCGCTCCATTTCCCATTTCCTGATGAGCTCTTGACGCCTTCTCAACGCTAAATGCATGATTTCATATGCGGACCTGGCCTCTTTTATTCTTAGCGCAACTGCTTCATCTTTCACTTGAACTGTCTTTTCGACGGGCTCCCACATGATATGCAGGTGGAGTTGCCATGAGTGCCCGCAGACCTTGCATCTGTCGGGTCCATGCCTTCTGAATGCATGGCAGTGCATGAGAGCTTCGCAAGGAAATTGGTCTACTTCGACATTTTCCAGGTAACATGGATCATGGCACCTGGCTATCAAAGAGATCAGTGGATTGAAGGGCCGCAGCTGAAGTATCATGCATACTCTTGTAATGTCTCTCGCCGTCCTTAAATTCGACACATTTTGCGCTTGAGCAGACAGTCCGAGGCATATCCAAAGCCTTGATCTCATATACAACTTTGCTCAAGTGCAAGGCGGTTGACAGGGCTTGGCCTTTTGCCAGCGCATCGGTAAGCTCACGTTGTTCGTCCTTCTGTAGGGCGATGTTGTTGTTGATGTTCTACGAAACTCAGTTCAGCTCAAACATATCACATTTATCATGCCCACCTGTGTGATATCCGCCATGGGGATGGTCAAGACTCGCACCAACTCTCTTGTTGTATACAGGTCCCATGTCTCGGAGACTTGATGTGGCTTCGTGTTCCGTGGCGTGAAATGCTCGAGCATTCGATATGTCTCAGCAGCGGACTTCTCCCGGCTGAGTCGGTAGTCTCGAATGTCACCCATGTCATGTATATTGATATTGTTGTTGTGAGCAGCCAGACATCGGAAGCTTTCACTGTCAAAACAGTAGGTAATGTTGCGGTCAAGGTGGATCCCTACTGTCTTGTCCGAGTCCAACATACTCTGTAGGGTAGCATATGTCTCACCAGGCCGGAAGGATGTGTTCCTCGCATTGGTGAATCCGAACACGATATTCTTTGCTGCGTCTCGATGCAGGTGTGTCAACAGCTCCTTCAGACAGAATGTAAACATGATTCCCAGTCGCGCATTATTAGGTTTCAGGAGAATCAGTATGCCATGCAAAACATCCACTGACTTCAGGCTGCCCAAGATATTGTCCATGTTCCTCTTATCATGTGTGGCTCCTCGAGTATCACCTATACCTGGGGTGTCGATGAGCCGAATCTGAGTGTTGTTAACTCTCATGATATAATGCTTCGTGGATTGGGTGGCTGACTGGCCCTGGGTGCCATCACGTTCGTCTTGAAGTGCCTTATCGATGAATTCGCCAGAGTTCGGTGAGACATGAATCGTCCTAGAGACATAGTCGTCGCCAACAAGACTCTGCCTAGGCATAGTGAAATTTGTCAGCGTGAATGCTTGATAGCACGAGTATATTGGGCAGCCTCACCAGGTGAACGAGCTCGGTATAACGCATTGGAGGTCCCTGGTCCTCAATGCATCATCCAGCGAGCCATAGTAGATGTAGTTTGCAAATGCGTTGATGAATGTCGATTTCCCGACACCTGTCTCCCCTAGTACAAGTATGTTGAGCTCTGGAATGCCATCAAACTGAGGTCTGTGCACTCCCATCGGAATTTGTGCTTGCGAGTTCGTCTGGTACATAGGAGCTTGACCTTCGAGAGCTATCGAGGCCATCCTCTCGGTGATACCATGAGGAGCTCCTGCGGCCTCATGATTCCTAGGCTCTGGGAGTTGTGCCGCGGTAATTTGGTATTTCGCTCTGGTACCATCATCGCCTGTGTAGGTGGGTATAGATCTATTGTAGGTCTGTGATGCAATTTGCGCTTTGTGGCCCATGTTCATATAAGCATACCTTCCTTGCCAGTTCCCTTCCGCAGCGTTTTGGTACGTGTCTTGCGCTTGATACGCATAGCTCTGGCCTTGGGCATCTACACCGCCTGGCTGTAACTGCTCGTAATAATGGTGATTCTGATATGCATTTTGAGACTCGTCACCATTGCAAGGCTGTAGAGACCCGGCCGGCGGTGATCGCGGCAGCAGCGGTGGAGATAAAAGTGGCAATGGCGGCTGAGCAGGACTCGCAGACAATGGCATGTATGTGGCGTAGGTATTACTGGTGCTCGAATTTCTTGGAATCAATCTGTTCGATGCTTGCTGATAAGGGTTCTGCGCTTGGACCATCTGCTGAGTTGGCCGGGAAGAGGCTGTGAATGTCGCCCACTGTAAGAACCTGTCGTGGTCCATTGATGTGAGGGGGCCGGTCTTGAGTTATACAGAGCAATATTCTGCAGATATTGTCTTTGAGGCCTTGCCAATTTCAAGGCGCGAGGCAGGCTGCTTATCTTCTGCACAAGAGCAGCGAGATCCTATGCTCATCGAGCCCTCCCCCTTCGCTACACATGTTGGTGCCAGCTCATACTGCCAGCCTTTGAAAGCAAGCACCACGGGTAATGGAGACCGTGGCCGATCATGGGCGAAGCAGCGCCTTCGTCGGAGGAAGGACAAGGCTGTGAGGATCTATGCTGCAGTCGGGCGTTATGTATATATACTTCCAAGGTTGGGAGCCGAATCCATCATTAGTGGTCTCGTTTGCGAGAATGTCGCTGCCCATCCAGGGGTGATTGGCAGTCGCTTCTGCGAAGCTGAGACCAGTCAGTCAGCCTATTCGTTACCAGACGATTTAGATTGTCCGGCCTCCTTCCTGAGAGGTGCCACGCAGTATTTCGCGTGAAGTACTATGCCTTTGTGTCCTGTTGCTTCATGCAATGCGGCGTTCAGTCGACAGCGCAGCCCAAACATACGATAGGCAGATGGAAGCCATAAACGGTGAGATTTGATCACTGCAAGGCTATGCAAATATTTCTAGCTTGCTGTGACAACTCGTGCCGGGCTACCTTACGCTCGGTCGCGATCATTGCGAAGCTGGCAGATACCTGGACAGCGCGAAGATCTGCCTCGTCTCGGCAACGAGCTCTAGCAGAACATTGCGTCGCTCCGGTGAGAGGTTCTCAGGAAGGCTCATAGACCATTAAAACCACGCGAAAGTCCCGGCTTCAGGCGACCTCAACATGAATGTGTTGGAAGTTGGTGGAGTTGAAGTGTAACGTTAGAGTGCCTCAGTTCTTCCGCTGCAGGAGGCCAAGAGTCCCAGCAAATGTTGGCTTATGTCAGCACCAGTCTCTCCAGGTCCATCGGAGATCCTTGTCCCACCCCGTATCAACGTTGTATCATCATTCGTTGAGATACTTCTTTGAGCAATCTGTCGAATGGCATTGCAATTGTGCATTTTCTTTCCGAATTGCTGCCGAGTCAGTCGAGAAGAGCAAAACAGGGATGCAACTGTTGTTACAATGGCAAGGGCGTTAAGAACCAGTGCTTTTAAAGGTACGTAAGTAGTATCATTACACTTCCAACAAGATCATGCTCTCTTCCGTGCTAGATGCGTATTTCTCTTCTCTCTTCTCAAAACTCTTGGTTTACCCCCAATGAAGATATAACAAAGTATACTTGTGATCAAGCATACTGCGGCCAGGACGATGTTCATGTTGCCATAGCCAATCGCCTGTTTGAGCTCGCCAGCTAGTTCAGGTCCGACAGTCAAGCCAAACGAGAACACCATATTGCTCATGCCATAGAGCTGAGCATAAGGTCCCTTCTCGCCAAAGTAATCCGGGTTGACCTCGTAGTACTTCTGTACAATCGCGCCAGCTTCAACGATACTTGGCGCTCCAATTCCAGCAAGACCGATGCCACAAAGTCCAAGAAGCACAGCGTACACGATGATCTGATCTGTTCCTCCCTCATGAGGAATGCGCAGACACACCAAGACTGGGACAAGGAAGGCATAGCTGAGCACTGCGACGGGTTTGGTACCGAACCGGTCGACGCACCACCCAAAGACTGGCCCGAGAAGGAAGTCAAAGACGCCCAATGGAATGAAGAGTAGGCCGGAGCGTAGTGAAGTGAAGCCGAACAATTGTTTCGCTACAGTAGGGATCGTGCTGTCGAAAGAGCCAAGAAGTACAGCCTGGATCATAGCGACCAGAAGCGCGGTCAGGAGCATCGGATCGGACAAGCAGGGCAGAATTGGAATCCACTGTACAAGCTTTGGGTACTCCTCGCGAGGCTTTAGTCTGTAGTAAGTCTCGTCTGGATGTTTGCCGCCAAGAAGTGGTTGCTCCTCATCGTTGGTTTCGCCATTGGGTTGGGCTTCGGTATCTTGCGACTGCTCGTTCCTCTGACCATTTGCGCGAGTGGTGTTTAAGTCACTGACTGTACTTGGGTCATCCGCGTAGTACTTGTTCGCAATCTTCTTCTCAATCACCAGGAGTCGCATGATGAAGTCCACGGCGAGAATGGAGGCACCAAGGGCAAAGACTCCCTTGATACCTGTCTTCTCGTAAAGCACGCCACCCAAGATCGGGGCAGCAAGAGCTCCGACTGCAATGAAGCTGAAAATCTGCTCTGGGCGTTAGTTTATGCCTTCGAGCACTCTTCAATACGCTTACCGAACCAATCGTCTTGCCCAAATTCTCTGGACCAACAGTCTCTAAGCACAACGCCAGGCCAATGGTCCAGACAAACCCAGCACTGATGCCTTGTAGAATTCTGGCGAGCACCAAAACAGGTACTGTAGTGCCCAAGAACAACAGTACAGTAGACGCGAGAAGTGACAACAGACCGAAGAGGAATGGAGCTTGTCGTGTAGCCACTTTGTCTGCAAGGATTCCAGCAACAGGCGAGAAGCATACGCTAGCAGCTGCATAAGCTGCCAGGAGTCCAGAAGTGAGGCTTTGAATCTGTTCTTCTGGTACGCCGACTCGATCCTCGAGCATGAACGGCAGGACTGGCACAATCAAGCCATAGAGAAACAGATCCGTGAAGAGACCAATGGCCACCGTGGCGATGATAAAAAACGTGTTCGAGCGCCATTTCAATCCTGCAGGTAGCACGGAGTAGTTCTGATAGCCCGGGATCTGCAAAGTATTGAGCAATTTCGCGATTCCCGACGCGTCTTTTGTCATGGTTGGCTGCTCAAAGTCTGGAGGAGTTGCCGGCTTGGGTCGAGTGTAGTACGAGAGGCGAGTATACCAGCCGTGAGGAAGAGCTTGATCGGACATGAAGAGCTACAAGTCAGCGACAGAGAGTGCCATGATGCTGAAGAGCGTGAGATGAGAGGAAGAGAGAGTGTGGACTCTTCAAAGACATCACGTCACCATCTGCAGGAACGATTGCTAACGGGAACTCCGATTTGAGTTTCTGGGGACACGCGGATGCGAATTTGATGCTCCTTGTTGGTCCAACTTCACAGAACGTAGAGGTCTCCAAGACGGCGTTGAGATTTTTCTCACCGGGAGCACAAGACGAGGTGCTGCTGATGGAGTGAGGTGGAAAGCAGGAAGTGCAGGCGAACAAGATCGAATAGTGGCGCCTGGCCCATGCTGAGCGGAGATCAGTCCGCTCCGTCGTTCTTCCCCGACTTCACAGCTGCACTTCCTGCTCCACAACATCACATTGCTCGAATTCTATCAAGCAGATATTACGACACATTTTCACTGTCGCAATGGCAGACGCAGTCACACCCAACGCAACGTTCGTACATTGCACATCGTACGAACTGCGCAAGGTGTGAGTAGAAACTAACGACGCGTGTAGTGTCTATGTCCGCAACTTGGACGAGAAGGTCAAGATTCCCGCTCTGACCTCGGCGCTGAAGGAAGTCTTCAGTGAGTGCGGGACTGTCGTCGATGTCATCGCAAAGAGCAGCGTAAAGCGCAAAGGGCAGGCATTCGTTGTGTTTGAGGACGTCTCCGAGGCGCAAGATGCAGTGGAAATTCTACAAGGCTTCGATCTCTTGGGCCGACCAATGGAGCTCGCATTCGCGAAGACGAAGAGTGATTGGACTGTCTTGAAGGAAGGAGGCGAGGCTGCACTCGAGCAGCACAAGAAACACCGTCTGGCGGAGAAAGGTGAGTGGGAAACATACACGCACGGAGGTGGTGGAACATGGACTGACATGGTACAACAGAGCGCAAGCAAGCTGCCGAAGCAGCTGCTGCCGCCGCGAAGCCTGCGAAACGCGCTGCCGACCCATCGTCTCTCGCCGAGCGTCCCGCGAAGGCCACGAAAGCGACTGGCGCCGCTGCAATGGCAGACGAATACTTGCCGCCCAACAAGATCCTCATCTTGCGCGAGCTTCCAGAAGACTACACGAAGGAGGCACTCACTGCGGTGTTCCAGCGGTATCCTGGCTTCAAGGAAGTGCGTATGGTGCCTGGGCGTAAGGGCCTGGCTTTTGCAGAGTACACTGAGGAGAGCGAGGCGATTACTGCCAAGGAGGCAATGAATGGGGCGAACTTGGGAGATAAGACTATCAGGGTCACTTTCCAGAGACAGTAGAATAGGCACAGTAAAAGCAACGATCTACAAATTCCTCACGCCCAGGTTCAGCGTGCTCATTGGCGCAAGTTGATCAAACTGTCGCAGGTGCGCGGCTTCACTTTCAACGGCCAGCTATGCCTTTGCGCGACTGATCACTGATCACGGACTGCCTTCGCTTTAGCGAAAAGCTTGGCTCACTTCGGTCAAGATTCTAATCCGTTGGAGGCTTTGGGCTTCGACACTTCTGACACAACGCAACACAACGCAACAATACGCCGCGGCCTGGCATCAGACTCGACACCCGAGCGCTGCTGCATCAAGCAAAACTTACCACGGCTGGTCCTTCGACTACCGCACTGCAACTGTGCTCTGCTGAGGGCAGACTCGTCTTGCCGGGCAAGTGCACAAGGCGGGGCGACAGACCAGAAACCTTGCGACTTGCGATGTGCGACAGCCCTGTGCAGCATATCCGTTGACTTCAAGTCCATTTCGCAGTCGACAGTAGTGCGTGCGTTCGTGTTCTGGACGACACTACCTGCACGTGCAACCAGCCTTGATGCGGACGACGCTGTTCAGCCGCATTTTTGTCAGGCTCTAGCACTGTATGATGGAGAAACCCACAGTGAAGGAATGCGTTCAAGCGCTTCAGTCTGATAGGCTCATCACGCTCATCATTGGCAACTCCCAGGCTGCAATGTCAGTACAAGTTCAACAGAGCGTTCTTGAGGCGGTCAGCCCGTGGTTCCAAAAAGCACTTCGAGACCAGGTATTTGTCGAAGGACAGACTGGCAAGATCTTGTTTCCGGAAGACGATCCAGCATCCTGGGAGATCTTCTTGTATTGGCTGTTGCGCCGCGAAATTCCAAGGCCAGGAATTGCCACCTCTCACGAAGAAGATCTTATCAGCTTGGCCAAATGCTGGATACTCGGAGACAAGTATGGCATAACTAAATTTCAAGACGAAGTTATGCTCTTCTACTTGCATATCGTGGACCTCCATTGTGTTGAACTGGCGCCAGAGCAGTGCAAAGAGCTCACCAAGATCACGCCACCAGGTTCAAAGCTTATGAAATTGCTTTCGGAGGAGTCCGCACGATTTTGCGAGCAGAACGGCCTTACTTCTGACGGGATTGCCACGTTGGACGGTGTTCCAGGCTTCTGGCCAACTTTTGTCGAAGCTCAACAGAAGATGAAGAAGCACAGCGATCAGTTCACTTCGCGCATGAAAGGTGTCGGTTCGACAACGTGCGATGAGGCTCACTGGAGCGACTACATGGCAGGCGACTTGCCGGATTTCGCGGAGTTCATCGAGGATAGAGGGTAACAGCTTTTGGGCGCGAGGCAAGTTCTTTCGAGCGATTTGCTCGCCTCTGTTGCCACCCCTCTCGACGGCGGTGGGATACATCCTAGCTGCTCCGCTGACAAGACCCCATGAGCCGCTTCTTTGACCTGGTCTCGAGGTTCGCAGTCTACAAGCAACGCGCTGGATCAAAGCATGCGGTCATGAAGGGCCAATTAGCTTGTGCAACCGATTATAAAATCATCTGTGGTTGATAGCCCTACTTAATATCTCTGCCCTGAATGAAGCAAAAGACAGGTTGCAATTCACCAACCATAAACTCTTGCAAATGAGTCCATTGCAAATGAGTCCATCGAGAAGGAATTTCAGTTCGCTGAAGACGCATGGCAGTGCAACCCCTCTCCTGTCCGATGCAGGAGCGTGCTTCGCAGAATTGTGACCAGAGTTTGTTAGTGCTGTCGAAGTCTATGAGGTCAGTCAGACCAAGATGACTGAACGTTTCTGATGATCAGGATGATTGCTGCGTGCAATCTGGCAGGAATATTGGCGATCCCGTCAGTTCTTGGTTGGTCTCGTGCTCCCAATCCCTGACACCTCTAGCGCTGTGCTGTTGCTATGTCTACAACATCCACAACTCGTCTACTGCCACACGCCACTCGTGCTCTGTCAGGAGTTTCTGAAGCAAACACAAAAGGCCACAGTCGCGGCAAGCGACTCGATATCAGTATTGACCCGCACCCATCTCACCTTTCGATTTCGAGGCCATCAAACCACTCACAGCGTTCTCGTCGAGCTTCAGATCAGGCAGCAACGTGACTCACCACAGACACGCTCTTTGACTCACTGAGTAATGCTTACGCCAGTCTCCTGAGCATCGAGCCAACACAACCGCTGTCCTCACTGAACTGATCCAGCCATATCACCGAACGCGCGCCATCACGACAGACAATATGGAGAACGAAGCAGTCGACGAATTGATCCGGTCGCTCGCGTCCGACAAGCTCATCACTCTCCACATTGGCAACAATTCCGAGACTTCGTTCTCAGTGCACATCCAGCAGAAGTTCCTCGAGGTCGCTAGCACTTGGTTCCAGAAAGCATTTCGAGACAGCAAATGCGAGCAGACCAGTGTCTTCACCTTCACTGACGACGATCCCGACACGTGGAAAACAGTACTGTACTGGATCATGCACCACAAGCTTCCAGAAAACAAGGACAAAACCAACCGCTCGGAAAAATTTATCCGCAACGCGAAGTATTGGATCGTCGGACACAAGTACGGAATCGCTGGATTCCAGGACGAAATCATGATTCAACTACTCAAGGAAGTCGATGATCATGGTCCCTGCGTCCTCACTGAGCGAGAAAAGTGTGCAGACCTGATTGCTGTGACCCCTCCAGAGTCCGTGCTTATGAGACTTCTTGCCGAAGTGGTAGTGGAAGACGAGGACGACCCCGGAACATATCGATTTACCGACGACATTCCTGAGCTGAAGCATAACACGGGGTTCTGGACTGCCTACGTCAAGGCGTTGCAAGACTTCAGAGGTGATGGATTATACTTCGACTCTCGCTTGGTTATGCTCGAAGACTGCTCACCGTATTATCTTCGTGCTCATTGGCGTGACTATATGGTAGGGGAGTTGCCGGCTTTGGTGCACTACCTCAAGGACGATATCTGGAGAGTGAACGATTGAATTGTACATCCCGAACGCCCGACTCCTCTCTGGCACCAGCTCGTCGGTTGAAGTCGATATGCAACTGATGAAGAAGGGTTGGGTGACCGGATTGAAGGAAGAGCCGTATTTGATTCGCCTTCATTTTCCCAATTTGATGCAATTTGACGGCATCAGATCGTGCAACGACAAGGTGCGAGTACAGACAGAGCCGATGAGCTCAGAGGCTCCAAGCTTGCGACTCTCTAGGTTGAAAGTCCACGCAACGCATGATGTAAAGGCGTGCGACAATGCGAAGCCAATAGAGCGATCATCAGCACAGGAGGGCCGTAATACAAAAGCTTTGTAGAAGTAGAACCTCGATGGTCTGGAGGTCAGAATGCAGATCACCTCGCGACCATGTACTCTCTCAAGCGAGCGGCGACAGAGTGATAGCCAACCAGCTGAACACGCGTGACACCGCGCTCATCCGTTCCCTCAATCTTGGAGTGTGCCTTCAAAAACCGCGTCCAAAATCCATCAGTACCATCGAAACATGTGAGATCATGCATGGCAAGATGTCCTTCGAACACAGCGAGTGCCACTTCTTCGCCCAACAGTCGCATCAAAATGCAGTGTGGTGGTATATTGAGTATGAGTGTCTTGGTCGCAGGTAGGTCTTCAGCAATGGGTGCAGATCCATCGCGTGTCTTGAGAAGAAGCAGTATGCGGGCCATGCAGTAATCCTGGAAACTGGGGATGAGATATTTGTCTCCAAGAATCCAGCAACAGGCGATAGTGCGCCAGTTCTGCAGGCTAGGAGGAAGTGTGCGGTGGAAGATCCAGTGAATGAAAATACTCCAGATCGACGGATCATCTTGTGGAAAGGAGGCCGTGCTTGTCTGTCCCTCCAACCATCTTTCCTCATAGAGAGCTCTGCTGAACCATTCTGATACAGCTTCGAGGAGGCTTTGCTGGATTTTTACAGTGATGTTCTCGCCATGCGGAGGACCGACTTTGATGGTAATGAACTCGTCAAGCTGGAGTCGGTCGATCAAGTCGTGCAGCGGTTGCTCCGACATGCTGGCTGTTAGTATTTCGGCGCTTTCGATACTGGTCAGTCAGGTTAATGCAGAAGACGAGTTGATGTGCTGCAACGAACCTGTCGCCAAGCAGACCTATATGCCATCTTGGACATTGTCTGGAACATTGCGCTTTGCTGTACAGTCTCACTTGATAGAGCACATGCGATGTAAGTCCGAGGTCTCAGACCTGCTCTCATCTTCAAAGAACAGTTCTGTATGTCGCAGATGAAGAAGACTTGCGACGCGCAGCCACAAACAAGGTATAGTGCTGCGCTTCACCTGTACGAGAATTACGATGCAGCTAGTCGGTCCTAGCGCGCCGCTTCCTTCGAGATGGGGCAAGCTCCGCCAGATGTAATGCGGTGTGAAATTCCAAGTACCGACTTGAGATCATGATGTCGTCGACGATGATGGTATGAAGATGACAATCCTGTAGGAAATATTGAAGGAGTGCATCGGAACATGCCTAAGGTGTCGCACGTAGACCAAACTCTGTACTTCGCTTAGGATGGGTGCAGAGAGACCCTGCATGTCGCTGTGTAGAAGGACGGCAGATGGCGTTCGAGAAGGAGGAATGGGAGTTGCGGGTAAAGAGTGTCTGCCTTGGATGGCCTTGCGCGTGGCAGGGGAGAGATTGGAGGAGCGCTGCAGCTGCAGGCGACGATGGTCAGATGGCCGTCGCGGGCGTTTTGGGCTCGACGTCGGCGGAGAATGCACGAACGAGCAGACGCGGGGCCGAGCAGGGCATTTGATGCTTTGGTGCTGTGTGCGACCAACCTTGAGCCGGGGGCGTGGTCCTCGTGGTGATGCCTGCCTTACGCATGGCAGATGATCGGGTCGTCCATGGCGGTGACGGCGACGGCCTGCTGCAGAACGCGGCCTCCAGCTTTACAGACGAGCGCGATGCCCGCCGCGGCCCGAATGGTGGAGTAGTCGAGGGCTAGTTAATTAGTCGACGTGCGGAGCGCAGAGACACCTCTGTTAGTCTCCCACCCCGTCGCCTCTCCATTCTCCGCCCCGGCGGCCTGCTCGCTCGCCTCCCGCCACCGTGCGATTGATGTCTCTTCGGCATTCAGCGCGCCCCACACCATGCCGCCGCGGGCGACGACGACTTTCTTCTGAGCCCATATCTCCGGTCTAGCGAGACAACTGCCGCATGCGCGAAAATGCTCGCGGCGAGCACGCCACAGCAGTATTCGAGCGACTTCGGGGGCGGCAATGGAGGCCTTGATGCTCTCGCCGAAGGCTCGCAGTACGCCCAGCAGCAGATGCAGATGCAGATGCAGCAGCAGCAGCAGCAGCAGCCGCAGGGTCAGGCGCTGAACGGTGCGCGACCCGAGATGAAACACCGGCAGAGCTTCAGCAACGGCAGCGCAGGCGCCGACGACACAACACTGGAAGATACAAATGGGAGCACGAAAAATGGCAAGACAAGCACGAACGGTCAGCCGGTGCGGCGGAGAATCAGTCGGGCGTGTGACCAATGCAACCAGCTGCGGACCAAGTGCGATGGGCAACATCCATGCGCGCACTGTGTGGAGTTTGGCCTGACGTGCGAATATGCTCGCGAACGCAAGAAGAGAGGCAAAGCATCGCGGAAGGACATTGCTGCCCAACAAGCTGCTGCTGCGGCGGGGGAGAACAAAGATGACAACAGTCCGAAGTCTGGAAGTGATCGACCTGGAGAAGATGCGGCCATCGCACCCAAACCACAGGCCGAAAATGCATTGAAACGCAAACGCCCGAGTATGGACTTTCAACAGCCCCATCTGCCACCTCCGAGATCAAACAGCATGACGAGCCAGCCGAACAATATGCATCCGTTGATGAATAGACCCGGTATGGAACCTTCGGGTGGGAGTGTCACTGGCAATGCGATCCCGCAGACGAATGGCATACACCAACGGCCGATGCAAAATGAACATCAGCCCCTTCCGACTCCACGAGCACCAGTTGCGCCCATGCAAGAGCGGAGTATGTCAGTAGGCATTGGTGAGTATGGTAGCATAGATGACTACCATCGCAGCATATTACATCCTGGCGCTGGAGCTACTGTGACTGGACATAACATATTACATTCTGGTCCCGGCGGCATGCCTCACTCAATGATCCAGGGAGGCACCATCACAGGCTACGGCGATCCTCCATATGGCGTGCCGTCTCCGACCAGTCAACAAGGTATTACTGGGCATCCCTACCACATAGGAGGCTCACCGATGTCCGCCAGTTTCTTACGACAATCGCCAATTGCTGGTTCTCCGGGCTGGTTATCGCTACCATCGCCGACCGCTGGACTGTACCCTCAAATGCATGCACAACCATCAAATCAAACTTTGAGATATCCCGTGCTACGACCCCTTCTTCCACACATATCTGCCATAATACCGATCGGACTTGCTTGTGACCTGCTGGACCTGTACTTCGCGAGCACATCTCAGACATTTATGCAACCGCAGTCGCCTTATGTGATAGGCTACGTCTTTCGCAAACGATCCTTCCTACGGCAGACCAATCCGCGATCATGTAGTCCGGCTCTGCTCGCAAGTATGCTCTGGGTCGCTGCTCAGACGAGCGAATCAGCTTTCCTGACTTCTGCTCCTTCAGCGCGTGGAAAGATCTGTCAGAAGCTGCTCGAGCTGACAGTCAGCTTACTGAAGCCCCTCGTTCACACCCCTCTGGACGGAACTCAGCTATACGGAGGCAACACGGTCATCAATGGCGTTGCTTTGGGAGGCTTTGGCGTCACAGTCACTGGGCAGGCGGAAGCGGGCACGCCTGGAGCAAGCGCCGCACTGGATGATGTCGCCACGTACATCCACCTCGCGACTGTTGTGTCTGCGAGTGAGTACAAAGCAGCAAGTCTGAGGTGGTGGAATGCGGCATGGTCTCTGGCAAGGGAGCTGAAGCTTGGTCGTGAACTTCCCCCGAATCCTGAGAATTCAGATGGGCCTGAAGCCGAAGCCGAGGCAACTGGTGAAGCTGGAGTCGGACATGCGAATGGCATTGCCTCTACAGATCAGCCTGGATATGTCTCTGAAGAGGAGCGAGAAGAGCGGCGACGTATATGGTGGCTGCTTTACAGCGTCGACAGGCACCTATCATTGTGCTACAACAAGCCACTTTTCTTGCTCGATGTCGAGTGCGAAGGACTACTGCAACCTGACAACGAGACTGTCTGGCAAACAGGGGAGTACTATCCTGGAGAGGGCCACGCTGAAGCGCTGCATTATCGACGGCGCGGACCAGGATTTGAATGCACTGGGCACAGTTTGTTTGGCTACTTCTTGCCTCTGATGACCATCCTCGGCGAAATCGTCGATCTAAATCAGGCCCGCAACCATCCCCGGTTTGGTATGGTCTTCAGAGGCAGCTCAATCTGGGATGAACAGGTTGCCGAGATATCGCGTCAGCTCGAAGCATATGGGAGAAGCCTGCAGGAATTTGAAGCTCGCCATCTGACACCGCCTGACCCTCCGAAGGATGCGACCAACGGGAATGAGGGAGCGCCAGATGCCACGAGTCCGCACTCAGTAGGCACATCGCATTCGAACCAGCAGCGAATGACTGAGACCACTCTTCAGACAAAGATTGTTGTAGCGTACGGGACGCATCTCATGCATACTATGCACATCCTGCTAAATGGCAAGTGGGATCCAATATCGTTGCTGGATGACAATGATTTGTGGATTTCTTCACAATCCTTTATCTCTGCCACCGGTCATGCTGTGTCAGCAGCTGAAGCGATCAACGAGATCCTGGATTACGATCCCGACATTTCATTCATGCCATTCTTCTTCGGCATTTATCTATTGCAGGGCAGTTTCTTGCTCCTGTTGATCGCAGATAAGCTGGGCGCAGAAGCTAGCCCGAGCGTTGTGAAGGCTTGTGAGACGATCGTCAGAGCGCACGAAGCTTGCGTTGTGACGCTGAACACCGAGTATCAGGTATACGTCTTCATCCCTTGTTTTCGCAGTTGTATGCTAACATCTCCGACAGCGCAACTTCCGAAAAGTGATGCGATCAGCATTGATGCAAGTCCGAGGGCGATCAGTAGAAGATTTCGGCGAACAACAACAACGGAGACGAGAAGTCTTGTCCTTGTACAGGTGGACAGGCGATGGCCAAGGCCTCGCATTATGATGGAAGGAAGTAATGACTTGACGGATTTTTCGATGCACAAAGTTTTCATGTATATGACACGCACACATGAGGAGATGGGGATACCCTGGAGGAGGCGGGCCTACAAAAATTTCTAGCTTGGTGCACATATCTGGCAAAGCAACTGACGGCTTGTGGCGTGGAATATTTCTGCAGCGTTCCAGCGATTTTCGTTCTCCTTCAACTTCTCCTGTACAGAAGAAGAGAGCTCTGGATGAACAAAAGCGTCACGTGTGCGGAGTCCATTGCCGTCGTCCGATCTCGCAATGACTGATACTTGGTAGGTAGCCACATGGCACTGGAGCTGTACCCATACTTGACTTTCACGAATATATAATAGTTCAAAGATCTCAACCTCACCGCCGACATCTCTCAACTCTACACCAAGAAAGGGCAAGGGACCCAAAAATGCTCATCCTCCCCGACTCCGCAATCCGCACCCTCCTCCACAACCTCACCAAACAAGAAACTCTCCACTTCCAACAAAAACTCCAAACCTCTCTCCAAGGTTTCTCCTCTTCCGAAAAACAACATCAACCCTCTCCTGGCATCACAACCCGTCCCAACGGCCAAAAGACTCTTTTCCGACCTTTTACTTCTCCCTCTTCCGTCGGTTGTAAAATCATCGTCGATCCGGCTCCAGACCCAAATACAGGAACAAAAGATGTTTTACATGGTGTGCTTGTAGTTTGTGATGAGAAAGGTTTACCAAAAGGTTTGATTAATGCTGAGGAGGTGACGAGTTTTCGGACGGCGTTGTGTAGTTTGATTCCTTGGGTTTGGAGGAAGAGGACGAGGAAGGTTGTGGTTTTTGGGGCGGGAAAGGTGGGGGTTTGGACTGTGAGGTTGTGTTTGAGGTTGAGAGGGGAGGAGGTTGAGAGTGTTGTTGTGGTGAATCGGAATAAGGGGAGGGCAGAGGATGTTGTGGGGAAGGTGGAACCGGGGAGCGGGGGAAGGGAAGGGTTGGAGATTAAGGCGTTGGGGAGTGAGGACGAGGAGGAAGTAAGGAAAGCTTTGAGAGAGGCTGATGCAGTGTTTTGTACTGTGCCTTCGGAGGCTGTGTTGTTTGATGAGAAAGATGTGAGAAGAGAGGATGGGCAATCGAAGCCTTATATTTCAGCCATTGGATCTTGGAGACCGAATTTGATTGAACTGGATCCGGAACTGTTGAAGCGAGTCGTCAGCGAGGAGAAAATGTATAATCCTGTTTCTCAGAGCGATGACGGATTTATCCTTGTGGATGACCGCAAGTCGGTGGCAGAGCACACTGGGGAACTTCTGCGAAGCAAATTAACTGAGAGGAAGATGATAGAGGTTGGCCAGATGCTCGAGATTCGAGAAAATTTGAGACAGAGTGAGGAAGCTGCGAAGCTCAATGCGCATCTCGAGGAAGGCTTCTTGATATACAAAAGCGTAGGGGTAAGCGTAACTGATCTGGCATCAGGAGAAGCGATATTGGAATTAGCACAGAAGCAAGGGAATCTGGGGACAGTTATCACGGACTTTTAAAGAACCACCAAGCTTTGACTGGGGCAAAGAGATTGAAAAGACGTCTCGTCAAGAATCATCATAATTCCTACACAAAACTCCAAACCGCCACCCCTCCTTCCCAAGTCAGAGATCGCCGCTTCCTCATATGCCCGCACGAGGACGCGACAGTTCCCCGACTCTGAGGACACTACGTCCCTCGAATCGTCTCGTGATATTCAAAAACATAATCATCATACCTATAATCTTCCATTCCCTCCCGAGTCCAGACCCTCGTGTTCTCTTCGATACCACAGACTTCGCATCCAATTCATGTAATCAATCCCATGCGCCAAAAATAAGCAGATGTGAAAGGGAATATGCTCCAATGCTGCTGCCTGCTGGTATGTAGTTCCTCCTCAATGCACTGATTCCATCCTCCTCCCTGTGACGACGACAATAAGAACGCCTGATTAACGACGTCTTGGTGATCCCCAAATGAGGCGTCCCATCCCTCTGAACAGCAACCCAAAATGACCGACATGTTGCATTAGAGTCGGAGGTTCGGGCATAAGCTGCAACGGCGGCTGCTGGTGTACTCTAGCGACCGTCTTGACTCGCTGAGGGAGCCTCTCGTGAGGACTTTGTGGTGGTGGCAGTGGAGGTCGAGGCTGGATTCTCTCGTGTTCGTTCTCTTGATACGCTAAAAGGAAGGGAAGACTCGCTGTCAATAAATGCAAATAATCAAGAACAAGTCCATCATCATCTCTATTCGCAACGCACCTGCATGCGAAACAGAAAAGTGACGGACTTGTTTAGAGAATCAAGCATTTACTCCGCTTCTTCTTTTTGGCAGGCAGCGTTTGGCTCCCTCTGCTGCCCAGACGTGTGCGGTCGTCGGCGAGCTCATCTTGGCCTCGTACGGCGATGTCGATGGCGGTGTCGAAGATTTCCTGTACGCCAGTGGCTTCCTTGGAGGAGCATTCCATGTATAAGGCGCCCATCTTTTGTGCAACAGTCTTGCCCTGCTCTTTCGTGACGGGTGTCAGACCTTGGGTTTTGAGAAGCTCGATGCATGTGCGCTTATGTCGGAGGTCGGATTTGAGACCGCAAAGGATTATGGGCGTTGTCGGGCAGAAGTGCAGGACTTCTGGATACCACTGGAAGGAGTTAGTGGGAGTCTCGAGCGCGAGAGAGGCTGCAGCTCACCTTGTCGAGCACATTCTCGAGTGAATTGGGGCAGTCGATTGCGAAACACACGAAGAGAAGATCTGTCTCCGGGTAGGAAAGCGGTCGCAAACGGTCGTATTCCTCTTGCCCAGCGGTATCCCACAGGGCGAGTTCGACACCTTTCCCTGATTGCTTGTGCTCGACAGTTGTGATGTAGTTTTCGAAGACCGTGGGCACGTATTTCTGTCGCAAGTCAGTTCGCCATCCCTATTGTACCAGCTCTACAGCACCCACCTCTGGGAAGTATCCCTGGCTGTAGCTGATCAACAAACACGTCTTGCCGCAGCCTCCATCTCCCACCACCACAAACTTCTTGCTGTACTCAGGCGGCGCCGTGATGTTGGTTCGTGCGCTGCTCGTGGTGTTTACGGTTCCGTCACTGCCGCGAGTGCTCCTTCGATAGCTGTCTCCGCGTCCGAGGAAGGACTTGCTGCTGTTCTTGCGGCGCAAATGGTCGTACGAAGCGTTGCCTCCGACGGCGCTGATGGTCATGCTGGGCGGTATCGATGCGGGCGTGTCGCTGGATTGTTATGCCGAAGAATGTGAAGGGAGACTGGAATGTAGTCGAGTGTTCGGCGGGAGAATGCGGTGATAATGGGCGGGTGTTGGGCGCTTCGAGTCCAGCTGCGTCGCGGCTCGCCATGTTTCCCCATGTTGGCGCAGCAACCGCTCCTCGCAGCGCCGATGACGAAAGTCAGTTCGATGCCGCTTGGCGGTGCTGTCTGCGCCCCGCGAATTGGGCTGAGAGATGCGGTCAGTATGGACATCTTTTGCACAGACACGCGCCATCGCTGCTCCACTGCTGGTCGTAGGGCTGGCGGTAGATCGTTTGGTCGCTCGTATGGTGGCAGGTGCTCTTTGGCGACGCATCGGCGAAGTGGGAGCATGGACATGCATGTGAGCCTTGGCACCACCTCGCGAAGTCTATCTCCCCTGCGCGACGACACCTCGCCCATCCCGCCGTGCTGCCGTGGTTTCAGGCGCCTGGAAAAGTCCTGCTCGCGAGCGCTGTGACGTGATATCGTCTTCCAGCCTCTTGTTCTTCGGTTTGCCGATGTTCTGGCGCAGCGAACGACTCCAGCCATATCCAGACTGACGCACTTCATCGCTGCCAAATTCGTATCGCACATGTTCGGCTTCGGCTTCGACCGAAGGCACGTCCATCCATGGCCGACTCCAAAGTGAACCTGAGGTTCCAAGCGCATTTGCGAACACCTTCACCAGACCCCGATGCTGGACTTCGAGGACTATCGCACTATGAGCGACGTCTCCCATCATGGCGATACCGCCTGCGGCAAGCGCTGATCCCTCTTGTGCGGAAGGAGACGGTCTATCTAGCCAAAGTGCAACAGGCAGCAAGAACACCACTGCTGGATTCGTACTTCGCAATGAGTGCCAATCTGGGAACGCACACCTTCTTCATGACCGCGCTGCCCATCTGTTTCTGGTGTGGCTACCCCATTCTCGGTGTGGCAATGGTTCACATGCTGGCAGCGGGAGTCTATCTGAGCGGATATGCCAAAGATCTGGTCTGCCTGCCACGACCACTATCACCACCTCTGCAGCGCATCACCATGTCTGGCTCAGCGGCGCTCGAGTATGGCTTTCCTTCGACTCATACGACAAACGCTGTTTCCGTGGCCATGTATTGTCTCCACTATCTCTGGTATGAGCAAGATCATCTATCCCTATGGAGCTATCGGTTGAGCATATTCGGCTGTCTTGCATACGCCACATCCATCAGCATTGGCCGCATGTACTGCGGCATGCATGGCTTCTCCGACGTCATCTTCGGTGCATTCCTTGGTGCTTTCATCGCAGTGTGCAGAGTTGCCGCAGGTCCTGCATTCGATCACTGGGTCTTGGCAGATGGATGGGCTCGACCTGCTATGGTGGCTCTCATCTTGGCACTGGCTGTCCGCTTCCATCCCGAGCCTGCTGACAACTGCCCATGTTTCGATGACAGTGTCGCTTTCATTGGAGTAGTCATGGGCATTACCTTTGGGATGTGGCATTATGCATCCTTGCAGACGAACAGCGCAGATCCGGTGGCCGCTTTCCAGAGCATGTACATGTTCGACAACAAGGACATCTTCAAAGCAGGAGCCCGTCTTGTGCTCGGCGTTGTCGTGATATTTGCCTGGCGAGCAACGATGAAGCCATTGCTGCTGCGCACCTTACCGCCGACCTTCCGCTTCGTCGCACATTATGGGCTACAGATGCCACGTCGATACTTTCTGCAATCGAGGTAGGTTTGCACTCACAGTGTCTGTCCTGTATCTTCTGACTTGCAACAGGGATTACAACACTGTTCCCGAACTCCGACAGGACGACAAAGTCTTGCCGCCCGCCTCCGACATCCCGAGTATGCTGAACGCCATCCGACGCCGGAAGCGCACCATCTCAGTTGGGCCGCAATCAGAGGCCGACGCTAGAGAGATGATTGCGAACCGTGAGCAAGCTCGTCAACCGAGACCACAGGCATCTGCGCCCTCGCTGCGAGTGCTGTCCACAGAAGGATCTTCGCTCGTAATGACGCCTGAAGAACCTTCCGACTCAACATCATACCTCACTGCGAAGCACAGTCAGACACATCTTTCTACGCCACCCACAAAGATCAATTCCGCTGCGAATGTGCTTTTGACTCCACCTGCGAGCGAAAATGGCACGGGCAGCGATAGTGGTACCGAAGAAGAGAAAAGCGATCGCCGAATGTTCTCCAACCTCGAAAAGCCTAGAGTCCGATACGATGTGGAAGTCATCACTAAGCTTGTTGTTTATGCAGGAATCGCGTGGCTGGCTGTTGAGGGCAACCCACTACTCTTCGCCCGACTGGGCATCACCTGAGTTCGCGTTTGATGATCTCCGCAGCGCTTTTACCTTGCGCTGTCAGTTGTCAGAACGCACGGCTTTGCACTAACAGATGAGTTGAGCTTCGTATGTCCAACTCAACTCGAGAATGCTGGACATGGCGCCCAATATCTCTTCCGTCGAAGCGTCGACATTCGATGTCATCTGCAATTGACATTGGGCACGATATGTCGCGGAACGCTCACGCGTCCAGCCGCTGCTCGAATGATGCGAAAGCCCGATTGTTCACCTCGCTCTCGGTTTCTTTCGGCGGTGAGAGACAGCATGGAGCTTACAAGAGGCTAGTCTCGCGCCCGCATTGATACCCCTGCGTTTCGAAGAGCAGCCGGCTCTGGCTTCAGACAGAATTGCAAGTGGCTCTGGGCTGATCACACGCATACGGCTTTGAAGAAAGACGAAACTGCAGGATCCATGTATTGTCAATGGTGTTGCAGCAACTGACCGGCGGGCACTCATATCGTCAACGCGAATCGTGAGCGATCATGATCAGTCAACCGTGCAGGGGTTTTGATGGCGCAAGTGACGGGATTTGGTGGGCAGCTGGGAATGGCGAAGGACCTGGAGCGACAGCTGAGTCCATCGTAGGAATTGTGGTGTACTCGGACAGTCTGCATAAGGACCGCGAGGAGCATAAAGTACACCACGGGTCGTAGGTTGACCAAAAATGGGCGTTGTAGTCGCACTCTGAAGAGAACATGAGCCACTGTCTGTGGCTGCTGATCTGATTCGCCACTTCGATTTTACTTTCGCCTCACTGCATGAAACTGCCGGCCGGTATCTGGAGGAGTCCACTTCTTCAGCGGGATGCCGCCATCCACTCGGTTGCCGAGGTCACATGCCATCACCAATGTGTTTCTGAATATCTTTTTGGGTCAATATACAGCCTGTGCCACGTTAGATTGATCTTGTCTTATCAGTGCAGTGTGGAGCTCTCGTGCCGTCCCTGGTGGTCAGCAGAAACAATCGCGACGGCTCTGATTCGCTGTTGAAACAATTTTCCGTTCCGCGAGTCGTGCGCCCGCGCATCACTTGCCCTGTGCCGCGCCGTCTTAGCCTGCTGCAGCGACATCGCGGCGGTGACAACTCTACGTGTGCCACTTCAGTCACACACACGCTTTCCGCTCGCTGAGAAACCAAGACTTCTACCACTGGACGACTGTATCTTTTCTCTGGCTCGGAATTCCTCGTACGACGGCCCTCGGGTATACTGAGTACTGCGCCTGGAAGGATCACCGACCTTATCAGACCATCAGATAGTCTCCGCTCTGTTCCATCTCTCAGAAGTAACCTAGCAGCTCCCACGACATTCAAAGATTGTCGCGCCATACCAGACTGCTCCATGCACCAATAACAAGACGCCCTGAATAGCAAGAGCGCAGAGATGATGGCGAACGTCAGCACGAGCTCCGCGCCGCCAAATAGGACAAAAGGCTTATCGCCACGAATGGCCAATCTCCTGACACAACCTTCGCAACAAGAATTGGAAGCCGCACGGCAGCTGGTAGAACATTCGCAAAGTACTACGACGACTACGCAGGCACCCGTGCAAGAGCCACAGCTGTCCCACGCGCCCTCCAATCAGTCTCAGACTTCCACGGCCTTTCCCCATGGATATCGCGAGGCAAACGAGTACGCGCAGCCTACACAAAGTTCGCCTGCAATGTCCCTGGCGAGTGCCCCCATTATGCAACCGTCACGGACATCACCATCTGCTATGAGTAATATTGGTACCCCAGGTGGCCAGATGTGCAGGTATGTCTCTTAGTCAGCACCGTCCACGCGTTCCGTCTTCTCTAACATTGGAGTAGCAATTGCGGGACGACAAAAACACCCCTGTGGAGACGATCGCCTGCTGGAGCAGTAATTTGCAATGCGTGTGGTCTTTATTACAAAGCGCGAAATCAGATGCGGCCAGTAGGACTTAAACGTGGAGCTACCAGTGCCAATCAAAACCCGGAAATTCCAACTAATGATCGAGGGACATCACCGTCTTCTGTACAAGGCGGCGCAACATATGTGTCGGCAGATCAGAGTATGCATGGGACGTGCCCGGGTGGTGGACGTTGCAATGGTACAGGAGGACAAGATGCATGTGCAGGATGTCCAGCGTACAACAATCGAGTTTCCAAAACTGCTCAAGTAGCCTTACGACAAGCCAGCGCGGAGCGAGGAGAGACATCATCAGCACCAACCGGATCAGCGCACATGCACACCGTCGTGCAAAACTACGTTTCACCATCCCAGCATTCACAAACAAACGTCGTCGTAGCATGCCAAAATTGCGGGACGACCATCACACCCCTCTGGAGACGAGACGAACAAGGCCATACAATCTGCAACGCATGCGGTCTGTACCACAAACTCCACGGAGCACACAGACCAGTGCAAATGAAGAAAGCCGAAATCAAAAGACGAAAACGTGTCGTTCCTGCCGTTTCAGGTCAACAACATATGCAGCATCCAGGCAGTCCCTTTCCGGCCGACAACATGAGCGAAGGCTCCGCCCCATCAGAACGAGGTGGACCATCATCACTCCTCAATACGCCTCTTCAACAACCCGAAAGCAGCCCCTTCGTTCATGCAGTCTCGCATGGCCCAGCGCCTATACCGGTCGACTTCACAGATGCGTTCAAACAGAGAAACGATATTGGGGAAAGCAAGAAACGATCATATTCGGCCACTCAGGATGAGCTCGCGCCGCGACTGCAGAATTTGCCACCGATTGAGAACATTGATCCCGCTTTGCCGAGAGCGAGTACTTCTGCTGCTGCGCCGGCGGGCCCTTCTTCTTCTGCGAAAGCAAAAGAGGATCGACGCGCAGAGTTGAAGAGAGAAGCGGAGAGAATGCGTGCGATGCTCGAGGCGAAGGAAAGAGAATTGGCGGAATTGAGTGATGACGGATAAGCAAAAGTCAAAACGGGAATGGGAGGTCACTCTGTGAATTTCGAGGGAGGCAAATCTGAAAGCGTTACAGCAAGATTTGTTTCTGTATCATCTCTGGTGGGCAGAATGTTATCTTTTCGCAACAAGCTGGAAGGCGGTAAACGAACAGGGTGCGGTCTGTTGTATATTTCGGCTATACTCGCACGATAGTAAATCCTTCGGGTCAGAGAATGGATCTTGTGCTCTATCAGAGCTGTATCGCTGTCCATTGAGTCGTTGTCCTCTCCAGTCCTGTGATCTGATGATCATGCTTCCCATCTGAGCATTCTTGACGCGAACATTTCACTCCTCTTCACATCCCTCGCCCATCTCTCAGAACCAGATCTTGATAAGTTCCTCGCTCACAGCACTAGGCAGTAGAACTCCCGACTCAGTGATAATGCCACTAATCAGTCCAGGCGGCGTGTAATCTACCGCTTCCTCCGGCCTCCAAGTTTTTCCCTCCTTTTGCCCCGTCTCCTTCTCATCCACCACATTCTCATTGTCTTCTCCCACCGGCCCCTCGTTCGTCCTAAATTCCACAACTTTTTGCTCAATTCCCAAGTCCCGTTGGCCTAGAGGATATAACCTCACAAATTTGTGACTCTCCGACACAACATAGAACGGTTTCCCGGCAGCTTTGGCCAACATTCCCATCTGATACGTTCCCAGTCGAGAGATGATTCCTCCGTTTTCCACGACGCCTTCAGCACCAACGAAGCATGATGTGACTTGATCGAGGCAGTAAGCAGTAGCTGTAGGTGGAATTACAGCAACGGGTATCCCACGCTCGCGAAGAGCGGAGATGTTGGCAGTGGACTCGTCGTCCATTTCTCTTTCCTTCGAAGACGACGATAGCCCTGGAGCAGGAGGTGTCACGACGTAGATCACTCGGAACCGAATTGAACCGCGTCCAGAAGAGGAGTTCGCTGTTTCTGCCGCGGATTTCAACAATGCGCCCACGACTCTTGAGCCGCCATTCGTAAGGACTGTATTTCCATCTCTGATGAAGTGCCTTCCGAATGAAGCGATGGTTTCTCGTGCGGCTTTTGCTCGTTCGACGAAGAGTTTCCCGTTCTGGATCAGATGATTGCGAACCTCGTCGAAGGAGTGGCCCGTGGTGGATGGACGCTGAAGGTTGGCGATGAGGTATTGTTGGAAGAGATCTGTGCCTGCTGACAAGGAAATACTGTTCGGTATCGAGGTCTTGAGGGATGCAGTGAGGCTTTGCACCAGATCAAGGGTTTCGGAGACGGTGGTGGAGGGTGTATTGGCGAGTGCGAGAATGAGCGATTCTATTGCTGCTACAGGCATTGTGAGGTCCGGGTCCTCGGAGAGGAGGCGATGGTAGGTCCCGACGACGTCGAAGGAGGCGACATCGTGCGATGTTGCGGATGGCATTGTTGTGGTGGTGCAGCGAGCGCTGCGACTTTGGTTGTGAAGCTACATTGTTCGAATGTGTTGCGCTTCAACTTAATTGCGGATGCGTCAGAGCTGGCAGCAGGAGGGCGGGACGGCAGGACAGAGCCGCGCGGTCCGTGCATTTGCTCCTGCCACAACTTTCGTGTCTGGTATGCGTCTACCTGAAGAACTCCATCTCACGCCCAAAGCGACCAAAAGGGGCACGAAGTGCCACTGTATCCAAAAATGGCCATTGGCGACAGATGTACTGCAGTCGGCGAACAACTTGCAGAGACAGTGCCTCCAGGATCTTTGTTCAATGCCTTCAATTGGCACAACAATATATTTCATCTCGTCGGACGAAACATGTATCCAAACGTCTTCTGGCCATTTCACTTCGCTCTCATAACCAGTTGCAGTACCCCTAGACTTATCTGGTGCACACATGCGAGCCTACAAGCAGAGTCCCCGGATCTGCGCACAAAACCAAGCACACAATTCTACCCAGAAGTTTTGTATATTCAATCATGCCATCTTCGACAATTCCATCAATTTGGAGTTCCAAAATCCTCATGCAATTGCAGGCATTTTCAAATTTCATGCCTTGCTGTTCAATAGCTCCGACGAGCGTACAGTACTGAGAGGGGCTGCGCCGACATCGGCACCCCTCACGTCGCCCCGGGATAGTCATTCACGGTAACAATATTCGAACTGTGGCTGACATAGCAACAAACAGCTGTACATCGATTCAATGCTGAGCCAATGTCTCACTTCGTTCCACAGTCTGTCAAGCTCGGGCTCCCACCCTCGTTAAGAACTCGGAGTCGTATCTCATTGCCACGCACGAACAGAGCAAGTCAACGGAACGGCATCACTGCTTCAAGGCTACACAGCACTCTACCGCTATCAGGGACTTTAGTTGTTTCGCTTGAACAAGCAATTGCAGGTCCATTCTGTACCAGGCAACTAGCAGATCTAGGAGCACGAGTAATCAAAATCGAACGTCCGGGTGCAGGAGACTTCAACCGTTACCATGATACCAGAGTCAAAGGCTTATGCAGTCACTTTGTCTGGACAAATCGCAGCAAAGAAAGCTTAGCCCTGGATCTCAAGGAGTCCGACGACCTGTCCGCCCTAAAGAAAATCCTATCGAAAGCCGATGTCCTCGTGCAAAATCTCGCTCCAGGAGCTACCGATCGAATGGGTCTCAGCTATCAAGCACTCAAGGAAAAACATCCAGGACTGATAGTCTGCGATATCAGTGGCTATGGCAGTACAGGTCCATACAAGAACAAGAAAGCGTACGATCTTCTGATTCAAGCTGAGTCAGGCTTTCTCTCTGTGACGGGTAGCCCTGGCCGGCCAGCGAAATCTGGTATCAGCATTGCGGATATTGCAGCAGGAACGACAGCTTACAACAATATCCTCGCGGCCATTATACAACGCGGTAAGACAGGTAAGGGATGCAGGTTGGATGTGAGCATGCTGGAGAGTATGGCTGAGTGGATGAGCTTTCCAATGTATTATGCCTATGATGGGGCTCCCGCTCCTGCACTAGCTGGAGCTGAGCACGCGAGTATCTACCCATATGGTCCTTTTCAGGCCAGCGACGGGATTGTTATGCTCGGGATGCAGAATGAAAGAGAATGGGGCATTTTTTGCATGCAAGTGCTTGAGAAGGCCGAGCTCTTTGAGGATGAGCGATTTGTGAGCACGAGTAAAAGGTCTGAGAACAGGAAGGAATTAAAAATGATCATCGAAGAGGTGTTCAGTAGCTTCTCAGCTGATGAAGTACTGGCAAGGCTGCAGACTGCTGGCATTGCCAATGCACGAGTCAGCAATATGCCTGGCTTGTGGAACCATGAGCAACTTAAGGCTCGCGATCGTTGGGCTGAGGTCAATACACCGAATGGCAAGATACCAGCATTGAAACCTGCAGGTGCGGCAGAAGGTATGGAGATTCGCATGGACCCGATACCAAGCGTAGGCGAGCATAGCGAAGCGATTTTCAAAGAATTCGGCATTGATCGGTGATCTGCACTGCTGTTCTACAATATATCGGGACTACCTCGCCTCTAGACAGGTCATACTGTGTTTTCCGACTCTGCTTGTGGCGGTTCCGTCCTGGTCCAAAAGATTTTTGCGCTTCACCACGCATGACCATCTTCCAAGCCCTCGGCCACATTACTACTCTTCGAAACGCGCGATAAGTACATCCATCTGGTCCTCGACGTTCTTCAGGCCCTTGATGACATTCGTGTCTGGTCCTTTGCCCGGTGTCCAGGCAGCATGAGCGAAATCAATCATCTTCACGCGATGTGTGGTTGGTCGTTCCTCTTCCTCCTCGTCCTCATCTTCGACGCTCTTCTTCAGCTCAAATGAGGTAGGAGCTCTCTCATCAACGCGCGGAGTCTTTGGAGGATTGCCCATGAGTGTGTCGAGAGCATCAGAATCGCCTTCGTAGACAATCAAGATGCTGGCGCTGTACATCCGTGATTCTGACCGCTCCAGACTGTGTCGCGCTTTCGTGATCTCGGCCAGAATCGTCTCGAGTAGTTGACGGGCATCATCTTTGCTGACACCGGCTGAGAGACCGCTGAAAAACGTCGCAAAGCCATCTTTCACGTTGTCCTTGTTGAACTGTCGTCCGTAGAACTTGTCGTAAATGTCAAAGTCCTTGCCATTCCACACTTTCATGCCAGCAATGCGGAAATTTAGCGAACCGCTTGTCGTCTCACTGGCGACTTTGTCGAGACGTTCCCCCTTCTCCGGCTTCGTCTTCTCCGGATCGTACAACAGAGCGCCAAGCTTCAAATCCAGCACATTCGGCTTCTTGAATCCCGCTTCGAGGTTCTCGAGTACAATCGCAGTTTGCGTATCCAGCGCTTTACCATGCAAGAGACCTTTGTCCTTTTCTTCCTGAGTGAGCTCCGGCTCATGCGGAGCTGTGACATCCGGAACAGCTGCCGGCGCCCCAAGCGTCAAAGTGCCCATGAAAGTCGGCATCAGCTCATAGAACTTCGGGTGCTGGTTCAGCGACTCTTGGTAGAATGCAACTTCGGCATCTGTGCAAGGCTTGATGATGAGCTCTCCGGACTCGTCTGAAAGCACTCCATCGTGGCCAGCAGCCGCATTCTCGAAAGCTTTCAGCTTCGCCTGATCCAGCGGCTTCTGTCGCGATTGCGCCGGTGAGGCCATTGCGAATGTGTTGTGACCGTACAGTGGTTTGCTCTTTTCTTTCCTAGGCGTTGCGAGTGGATTTGAGGGCAGTGAAACAAGATGAAAGCGAGGTTGTGATATCAGTTTGGGCCTCTCGGCTGGGACATACCGAACCCGATGCGGGTTAGCGGCTACGCTTTTGTTCTTAGCGCCAAGGTAGACCGGTAGATGGCACGCAGGTGAACTCTCTTGAATCATCTTGTCAAAGTGCATTCATTGTCTGCGAACATGTTTGGGATTGATTCTAATGTGTTCTATATGTACGTGGCGAGTCCGACTGCTCATACACCGCCGCCTGCTGGTCCTGTGGTCCGTTGTGGGATTTTGGCCTGACTGACATCATCGTGATCGATACTTCACACGTGGCTGAGCGACTATCGCGGCTGTCTCTGACTTCACCGCTATGCTGGAGCTTGCTGCACTGCACTCCACGCAGCCCTGCGAATGGTGCTTGCTCAGGGATAGCCTTGATAGCAGACCCTCATAGTGGGATGGAAGCAGACCTCGGCGATCTGGCTGTGCCGTTGATATGCATCTTTAAGCACAATGTGACCAGGCCTACCTGTAGGGTCGATCGTACCCATCTGCTTCCATTAGTGTAGCTTTCGGGCTGTCTAGTCCGAAGTATTCTCCTGCCGCGATCACTGCAGCCAGGAACCCCAAGGCGGTGATGACCCAACTTGCAATCGAAAAGCCAGTCGAGAAGTCATTGTCCATCGCAAAGCCGTATCCCAGTGCTGCTCCAAGGCTGATTATGATCGCAAGCATCAGTCCCATGTAGATCTTAGCGCTGTCGAATGTCTCTTTCACATCAATGTCGATGACGGCACCTGGGAAGAGCGGCAGGTAGTCAGCAAGTCTCTGGTTAGATCGAGTGACTGGGTGGCAATGAGGACAGTACTGCCTATGCACAGGGGTTCCTACCTGCTTCAATCAGTCCATCGAGGCGAGATACCCAGCGGATTGGAGGCCGCTCATCATGCTCACTCGGCGTTCCGGTAAGTGTGTTGTATAGGATTGAGTTCTTTCTACACATTCGCCGCAATTGGTTCATGAATGAATTGCGGGTCATCGCATTATCGCGAAATGTAATTGGTTGTCTGGCGGTCCGTAGCCATGCTCCTGTCTTGGGGTAGCGAATGTCTGGAAACGCGTGGAATTGCACAAAATAGACGAATGAGATCTTCTTATAAGCGGTCAGCTTCTGGACGATTCCGACTTTGGCGGTCTTCAAATTGCGGTATTGTTGGTTAAGTTTGCGCGCAAAGACGATGTCGGTCCATGTGCCGGAACGATAGGGAAAATTTTCACCTGAGTAGCGTTCGCCGTGTCGAGTGAGTACGAGTTTGAGCAAAATGTCATATTTCTCCACTTTAGAATTCCATACCGCTGCACGATCCCAGATTGCTGTTCGGTGAGGCGCACGGACTAGAAAATCACGTCTTCTTCCATGTCGTCCGGGTACTTGGTGGGTGTACGGTGGTCGATTGAAAGGGTTTTCGGGGGGTATATCATTTGGGAACATTGAACCCTGTGGCGGTCTGGGCGGTGGAGGTGGAGGAGGCTCAAAACTGACCGGCTCGTAGTCTGATCCGTATTGGAGGTTCAGACCAACTGAGGTTGTATGAGGAAGCAGAGTGTCGTCAAACCCATCGTAATAGTCATCGAGCATCTCATCAGAGCTTTGGTCGGGCTTACGTCGCCCATGCAGATCCTGGGAGGGTGACTCAGGGTACTGTCGGTTTGTGCGGCGTCTGAGCGGTTGTACGAAAGAAATGTGAGGATCTCGTGTCTTCGGTGCCGCTTTAGGTCCATGATCAGGATCAGGCTTGCGAGCAGCAGTCCCTTTCTCTTCGATTATGAGCTTTGGAGCACCCTTTTTGCCGGTATGCTCAGACGGCTTTCTATGTGGCTTAGCAGTCGACTGTTCCTCGATGATTTCGTGGTGCACGCTGTAGTACTCTTCAATACGCTCAACTGGGTCAACGGGTTGAGTGTCCCTTCGCGATGGCCTATCACGGACAGATCTCGGAACAGGTCGATGCGTTTCCAGTTGGCGGCGAGGAGTTGGTTGGCCGGAAGGCACTGCCACTCTTATGGAGATGGCGGGATCTTGAGGTGCGTGCTCCCGTGGCTCTTCATCTGTGCCCGTGCCATCCGCGGCCATGATGCTTGTGATGCTTGTGATGCTTGTATGCTCCCAGCACCAACACCAAGAGTCCACAATTCAACCCGAAAGTCTATATGAGTATATTGCACACCTTCGCATCTCAGCCTCGGCACCTCATCTGTCATCAGTGAGCATTAGTGTGCGGCTGAGGGAGATCACCTCGAAGCGACCGCTCGCTTCAGCGAAAAGACGCGTGGTAAAAGCCATGATGCCTTTGGGCACGATAGTCATCTTCCTTCGCCCGACAGTAGGGAACATGTCCAAGTCCTCTGAGCCGCGCCGGAGGCCGACGAAGGTTCACATGTTAAGCTGCTGTGAACATTGTGGAAGAGTAGTCTGGCGAAGCATGAGAAATTCTAGACTGTCGTCCCAGAAGTTTCGGCAGCCAGGCGCGGCCCGTTTGTTTGGCATTGCGCTCACTCGCGTCCTTCCACGCCTCCATCATCAGTTGTCCTCTGACAGCAGCTTCACATGCATCAGCGCGAACGGTGCACCTTCGCGCACCTTCGCGACTTCGCAATATTGATCTAGCAAACAGTCGTGTTTGCTATCTTCCTCGGCCGCATTTGAGGCGGCGCTGACACACAGAACATTAACCTCCCAGCAGACACAGTCAAACCACGCATCATGGCCTCACCACTGAAGGACGTGACCAACATGATGAAAGGTGCCGTGCAGTCCTCGGTCGATCAAGCTAGATCCTTCATTCAAGGCGCGACAACCGGCGAAGACAACCATGCCCTTCATACCAAAGAGCATTCCGAACCGGAATCGAGGACCGCTAACGTCGATGGGGAGCACGCTCCATCGCCACGTTTGTCAACGAGCGACCCAAATTCCAGAGACGTCGAATACACCGAAGATATGGCGTGTCCGAAAGTCTTCACCGTTCTGGACGATGGTGACGGCAAGAAGATCGAAAAGGCATCTGTTTCCGGGCAAACTGTTGAGACCGCCGCCGCAAGTGCTTCTCGCACTGCGCAGACTCCCGATGTTCACTCGTCACAAGTCATGGGTACGGAGGGTCTCCACCCAGAGACTGCTGCTATCGTGCGACAGGTCGAGTTCTACTTCAGTGATGAAAATCTCGTTACCGATCAGCACCTTCTGTCGCGAACTGGACCGACCGGCACTGGCTGGGTGAGTATCAACGAGATTCTGGGGTTCAAAAAGATGAGACAGTTCAAGCCTCGTAGCAAGGTCAAGGCATCTTTGGCAACCAGCAGTATGCTTGAGTTGCGGCAGAACAAGGTCATTCGGCGCAAGACGCCACTCAAAGTCGCGCCACAGGTTGAGCCACGAATGAATCCGAAGAGACAGCGTGATCAGGCCCTTGTGGAGAAGTCGTGGCTGACCAAGGGCATTCTGGCACCCACAGGCTTCGAAGAATATGCTACTGACGGACCTATCACCCCACAACAATACGAGGAAGAACGCGTACTCTTTGACGTGGAGGATGCTATCACGACCCGCATTGAATATGCAGTCACACGTTTCTCCAGCAGAAAGAAGATGCATCAAGCAAGTCTTGCTGTCTTCAGTAAGTTCTTGCTCTTGGGTGGATTTGAGTCACTCACACACATGTTTGCTGGTGGCTTGGACAAGAAGGAACTGGAAGAATACGACAAAGAGGAAATCCTGCAAATGAAGGCAAAGTTCGGTGTCTCCGATGTCGTCGTCGACGGACTCAACGAGCACTCTTTAGATGCAGATTCTTGGCTCGTGGACTTTGCGGGCATGGCCAAGGCATTCCTGTCTTCGGAGTTCTTCCAACATTTCGATTGGTACGACGAGAAAGTTCTGTTTGAGGCCACGAATGTTCTTCGCAAGTTCTACGAATATCTGCTCCATCACGACGTTTGCCCCGAGTATGAAGAGGACATCTACAGAGCCATTGACGTTTGTCTCCTTGCAAACGAGGAGGTACCTGAACTTGCGCGCCTGGACTCAGGCTTTCCGGGTCAATTCAACATGGCTGCGTCTACACTACACTCCGGCTTCTATGCCCAGGTTCGCCCTTCAGATGGGGCAGCCGATTGGGTGCTGGCTGGTGATCAGATCGGTCTCTCCGATAAGGATGCCTGGCTCGCTTTCAGTGCCGGCATCATGGCTCACGCCACGAACGAACAGATGAACGAGATCTTCAGAGCCCGCAAGAACGGCGAAAAGCTCACTGTGGTCACTGAAGAGGATATTGGCCTCGAAATCGTGCGAGTCGAGCAGCGCAGCGAGCAAGCCGCTCAAATTTACGAAGACGATCGTATCAAGGGCACTTTCATCAAGCGAACAGGCAAGTTGCATTGCAAGTCTTGGGTCCATCCTGGATCTGCTCCACGAGATCTGCCTGCTACTGTTACCGACAAGAAGACCAAGACGTACGAATTCTGGGTCGAAGAAGACATCTTGCAACACTGCAAGAAGGGTATGAAGCTGGAGGCCAACGTTGGTAGGTTGGAGAATGGTATCATGTGGCTTGATCTGGTCGAGAACGTCTATCCGAGCTTTTTCAAGTGGACTCTGAACGAGCGAATGCGAGAGTGGAAGGAGCCAGGCCCACCAAAAGCGTGGATGAAGCGTGCCAGTGGTAAGCAGCAAGTCGAGGAGAGTCAGGATGTGGCCAAGCACGAGATACAGGACGAGACGCCCGACTAGGCCACTGGATCAACGCAGGCATGGTGAGTGATCTCAGCTTGACTGACCCGACATGCTGCGGTGCAGTATGTTGTTGGTGCCTGGTTGAACTTGGGTGAACGTGCATCTTCTAATCGAGCGCTCATCATGCGAAAGTGACCATTGGAGTCGCAGTGTGGTACGGAGGTATTGATCGGAGTGAGTGACAGGGTGCAATAGCCGAGCCGGCCAGACCACCCGATCTTCGGCCACTCCCCGCGCTTGCGTCACGGTCAGAGCTCCATTGGAGAAAGCACGTTATACAGCTGACAAAACAAATAGCTGCGAAGACTCATTGAGCTTCTAATGGCTGTGTAAATTCCGTCTGCTCACTCTCATCATTCTCAAACAATTGAAATAGTTCATGTCCTTTCGAAACGTTTCCAGACGAATCCTGGCTTCCAATCCGACGCAGCGAGTAGCAGCACTTTCTTTCCAGTTACAAAAGCCGTTCACGCGCACCATGGCTTCCGTACCGAGCACGATGAAGGGCGTGATCATCAACAAGACTGGTGGGCCCGAAGTGCTCGAATACAAGACAGATCTGCCCGTTCCACAGCCCAAGGACGGCCAGATCTTGATCAAGAACGATTACATTGGAATCAACTTCATTGATACGTGGGTGTTGTGCTGAGCCGAACTTTTGATCATCTGCTGATTATTTTCCAGCTACTTCCGATCGGGCCTCTACCCAGCTCCCAGCTTCCCTTACACCCTCGGTCGCGAAGCAGAAGGCACAGTCGTGTCCACCGGGACGGGGGAACTCCATGGCTTTCAAGAGGGAGACAAAGTGGTATGGATGGATGTAGGAGCATACGCCGAATACAGTGTCATCCCCGCCGGCAAGGCTGTCAAGGTTCCAAGTGACATGGAGCCCAAGATCGGGGCTGCTGCTCTCCTACAAGGTCTTACAGCTTTGACACTCATAAGAGAAGCACATCCAGTGAAGAAGGGAGACTGGGTTCTGGTACATGCAGCTGCAGGAGGTACCGGACTGTGGTTGACGCAACTACTGAAGAGTGTTGGAGCAAACATCATTGGAACGGCAAGTACGCCAGAAAAGGTCGAGCTGGCTAAGAAGGCGGGAGCTACGCATATGATCAACTACAGCCACGAAGATGTGAAGAGCAAGGTTAATGAGTTGACAAACGGTCAAGGAGTTATTGCTGTCTTCGATGGCGTTGGCAAGGATACTTTCGACCTCTCGCTCGACATTCTGGCGAGAAAAGGCTCATTGATGTCCTTTGGCAATGCTTCTGGCGCTGTTCCGCCTGTAACGATCGCAAGACTCTCGGCCAAGAACTTGAAGTTGTTGAGACCCGCGCTCTTCGGATATTTGGTTACGAGGGAGGAATTCGAACATTACACGAAAGAGCTTTTCAACTTCGTGTTGAAGGACAAGTTGGACGTCAGAATCCACGAAGTGTACCCGCTCAGTCAGGTGGCGAAGGCACATGAGGATCTGCAGGGGAGGAAAACAACTGGCAAGCTGCTACTGGATCCTAGCAAGTAGAATATACAGAGACAACAAGCAACAAAAGTTCGCAAAAGCCAGCTCTTGCGGCAACTGAAGTGAGACCTCGGCCAGACACTGTGGAAAGATGCGCAAGCCTCGGCAAGTATTAGAGCTATTGGGCCTGGAGAGCAAGCTCTGTGCTCTACATTTCATTTTCAAAGTCAGTGGAATCGCTCTCAATATATCGACTGCATATGCACTGATCACTGTGGCGTTTTTAAGCCAAGTTCCAGGCTCAAGCTCAGCTGCGGCTGAATCCTTCCACGTCGAATCGGAATACTCACTCACAATAGCGTCGGCGCTTGTGGCACTTGCAGTATGGCCAGCAACCTCATATATGTATGCGTGGCTGGTAACCACTTGTTTCTTCTTACTGGCAAAAGCGACGATCGCATGTCAAGATGCACACTGTCGACTTGAGGCACCCCGGTTACGAAGACTCAAGCAATATCATTCTCACATTACAGGCACCAGATGATCCGAATGGTGGTATACACGCCGAGACCTTAAGGTTAGCTGGGTGCATCTTAGCTGGAAACAGATGGGATGGCTTTTTGAGTTCGACCCAGAGGGACGCGAAGCCTGTTGTGCCTGACAAAGATGGTATTCTCCGAGGAAAGAATTACTACTTCCATGTGCCACGGGGAACGAATGAGGCTGGAGACAATATTATCGATCGCAGGAAGCGCTCGGACAGCGGAGGACCATGGCCAATCGTAGCAAGGTTTGCTGACTGGGAGTGGCCAAAAGATGGTTTGCCGGAGATCTGGAAGTTGGCAGAAGAGGGTACTGCTCGCCAAGCTGAGCGGGTTAAGTCTGGACTGGAGTCCAGTCTAGTGGATTCCAATAGAGCTTGCAGGTTATGCGGACGCGACGAAGAATGTGGAATGAGTCGCCTGTGGAGAAGTGACACGGACGCTGATCAGGTGGTGTTCGAAAGGGAGAAGTCGAAGACCAATATAGCTGAGGAGTTGAGAGGTGACTATGGCGATGACGACGATGAAGAGCAAGATCAAGGAACCAGATCCGAAACTGAGAGCAACGATGGAGACGATCAAAATGACGAGGATGGCCTGACCGAGGATATGGCCGCTGACCAGACCTCCTCGCCAGAAGGAGAAGAGGAGAAAAGCGAAAATGACAGCGAATCTGGATCCAGCGACACAAATGAAAGTGATTCGGAATCTAGTGAGGATGGATCCGAAACTGATGACGATCCTCTATACGACAATCGGAACTGGATTCGCCTCGGCAGAGACTGCAGTGCTGAACCGGACGATTGCGATGTAAAAGAGGCATTTCGCTCGTATCAATGGCTGCTCGTTCCCAAGTTCGAACAGGACGGACGACCGGTCATTTGTGCCCACATCTTCAACCTTTGCGAAGACGGTATCACTGCAGCTTCTCACAATCAACCTTTGAAACTTCCTTGGAAGAGCTCTATCGAGTTGATGTTCGCACACTTTGTGCAGGCTATATTCGAGCACATCGAAGTTTTCTTCACTGCTGGCACTGAGCGTGTGGTTCGAATCATGGATGCTGATGGGAAGAAGATCATCTTGGAAGCTGATGCCGAGACGTGTGGACTTTTGACGGTGCCTTCCGTCACCAAAACGTGGCCAATTGTGGAAGACAACGAGGATGCGAAATCCGCTGATGATGACTCTGACACCGACGATGATGATGAGGAGCCCGAGATTGTTGACTCTGACGACGACGATGCAGCCGATGCTGATGCTAGCGATGAATATGCGACTGATGGTGATGACAACGCAAAGAACGAAGCAGTCCCTGCAAATGCTGATGAAGATCAACTCGAGGAGCAAGTCATAACTTCCGCGGAGTTTCAGGCTCACATGCAGGAGCTGGCAGCTATGCTTGCTGACACTGGAGTTGACGATAGTGATTCTGAGGTCCCGGAAACTGTCACAAGGAGAGTGTTTCTGGACATAGGGTGTGATGTTTGTGATCAGCAAATATATGACATCCGCTATGCTTGTCTTGATTGCAGCGAGTATGACCTCTGTGCAGAATGCGTTGGGAAGCGCGGGACAGAGCATCCCGGACATCGCTTCTTGCCTCTGTACGAGAGTGGTTGGAGACAAGAAGTCCCCACTGGCAAGATGATAGCTCGCGAGAAGGCGGGAGCGGACTCTTCGGATAACGACAGCAGCTCAAGTGCGTCGGAGCACAAGAACGATGAAGATTTGGAGTCCCGCTTCGCCACCTTACTGGAGACACATATAGAGTCAGGGGACTTTCTGCAGTATTCAAAGAGCTTGACCGACACCTCATCCGACAACGCCTGCATCCGTATCCTGCATTTGGAGCCAGGAGACGGTGAAGAACCTATAGTTGGTCATTTGGAAACTGTGAAGCTCTTGGATATCTTTCCATTTGAAGCGCTCTCCTATTGCTGGGGCAATCCTGAGCCCCGAAGGGTCATCAACATCTCTGATGCACGTCTCGAGGTGGGCACAAATCTAAAGCTTGCCTTGTACCGACTGAGACACCCAGCCAATGTCCGCAAATTATGGATCGATGGGATATGCATCAATCAGGGCGATGTTCACGAGAAAACCGCACAGGTCACCATGATGCGTGAGATATACGAGAAAGCTGAACAGACGGTTGTTTGGCTGGGTGAAGAAGCTGACGACAGTCGACTGGCGCTGGAAATGTGCAACAGAATGGTCAATGCACATGGAAATACATACATTCGACAAACGCTGGGGTTCGATGTGGAGAAACTATTCGTTCAAAATGCGGATGAAGGCGATGAGTCCGAAGCTTTTGATGAGGCCAAGCTCCAGCAAATGTTGACTGAAGCTGGTACGAGCTTTGACCTTGATCATGCTTTGTATAACCAAGCCCTGAAAGCGACTACGGATGCGATGAAGACTGGCAAGGCCTATGAAGGACCATTGGAAGGGGCGATCAACCAAGCTTTGGCGGATGAAGGAATTAATGAAGAAGAGCTTGCGAGCATCGACTGGGAAGATGTTGGCCGCAGAATTGCCCAAGGAGAGGAATATGATGGACCACTGAAAGAGTTCGTCTATGCTCAGGTCGCCGAAGCCATGGCTGAGCTCGAAGAGGAAGGCGAGGTAAATGCTGACAGCGAAGGACAAGCAGGCGAGGATCAATCAAACGTTGATCCAGGTGAGGAACTCACCACTATTGCCACGACTGAGGAGGCCACGGAAGAGAGCTCAGCGATCAAGGCTCCGAGTGGTTCAACATATCACCATAGTGTAATTCTGCAAATCCTGCGTGCCCGTCAACAGAAGAAAGACAACGCAGCCGCCGCAGAGCCACCAACGAGCGAAGAGATTGCAGCTCTCTATGCCCTTTTCGAACGCCCTTGGTTCAGCCGAATTTGGATCGTGCAAGAAGCTGGTGTCTCTTCAAATATTCTAGTCCAGTGTGGTGGCCAAAAACTCGACTGGTGGGCTTTCAGCTTCGGTTTCCTCATCACGCAAAAGCTCAAGCGTGTTGCTCGTCTAGGGCCAAAATCCCACCGCAACCTCGTTGTGATGAGTCGTACGAGATCCAGCATTCATGTTGGCAACACTATGAAGCACATGATGACCAAGCCAGATCCAGATTTGAGCATCACCTCGCTACTGTCGACCTATCGTGGCTACGAAGCCACAGATCCACGAGACAAGGTATTCGCATTACTCGGGATCGCGAGCTCGAATGAAGGCTTAGTTCCTGACTATACGAAAAGCTGCGAAGCAGTCTATCGAGACGTCGCAGCCACACTTCTCCAACAAAGCCCACATCTCGACGTACTCGCCTCCTGCCACGCTACCCCTGAACGTAACGAAAGCAAACCCTCCTGGGTCCCAGACTGGAGCGACCTAACCCGAAAACCCTACAAACTCTCTGGAAACCAAAACTTCGAAAGCAGCGAAGTCTCCACCGAACCTCTCCGAATCTTCAAAGCCTCCGCAGATACAACAACAGATTCCTCTCAACTCAAGGTCGAGAACAACAAACTCTACCTCCAAGGCTTCATCGCAGAAAAAATCTCCGCAATCTCCTCCGTCCTTTTGATCGATCAACAAGACCTCCTCATGCCCATCGAATTCTCAAAACTAACAGACGGACAAGACTTCACGTCCATGATAAAATCCCTAACCCGCTTCTTCTCCGTCCTAAAAACTTTCCCCGCCGTCATCGAAGATTGGAAAGATTTCGCCGACATTCACAATCCCACCTCCCTCTCACCAACCCCCTTAACCTCAGGCGAAAATGAAGAAGAAAACTTCACAATCTTCGCCCGAACCCTCTGGACCGACCTCAAAGACCCCTCAACCTGTGTCTCAGATTGTAAAGAATGGCTCTCAAAACTTCAAAACGTTCACACCTTGATGCAAAAACTCCCTTCATTCCATAATGTGGAACCAGATGAAGAGAATTTCATGGCGTTGATTTTTGCAATGGTGCCGGTGATGCAAGGGTTAGATCCGAATGGTATGAAACTGTTGCACGAGCTGGGTTGTGTTCATACGCTTGATCGGAGACTGGCGAGGACGGTGAGTGGGAGATTGTGTTTGGCGCCGAAGGGGACGGAGGTTGGGGATTGTGTGGCTTTGTTGCAGGGAGGGAGGACGCCGTTTATTTTGAGAGCTGTTGCTGCTGAGGAGGTGGAGGAGTATACGCTCGTTGGGGAGACGTATGTGCATAGTATGATGTATGGGGAGGCGTGGGAGCCTGAGAGATGTCGGGAGTTATGTCTGGTGTGATGCTTGGATGCGGGCAGAAGCAGTGATGACGAAGCTCGCGTGAGCGAAAGAGAATGTCAATCGAGTAATGTTATACAAATAATACATGCATTGCTTTGACGCTGCGCAAAGGCGAGCAGTCTACCATTTTTTGCGTGAAAGGGGTATTAGCCATTCCCAAAAAAAGCAGTCAGTCCTGCCACAAAGAGTCCAATCCCAGAAAGCAAGCACACATTCTCATGTTCTTCTTACAGCAGTCTCCCTCTTGTCATCTATAGAAATTTCCAAACTGGTGAAAAACGCCTTTTATGCTCCTGCTCTGCGCCTACGTAGCGTCTTGTTACTTCGTGGATGCGCCCAGTGCAGGATTCGCCAGGACAAAGAGCTTGTCGTATACAAGGAAAGTCGGAATCCCATGTATACATCAAAAAGCTCGTTGCATGTCCGTGGGTGCTCGAGCACGGGAGCGGGCAATAAAAACAATCGCGAGTGGATGAAGGAAAGTTGGTGATTCGTTTCAAGGTGTGATAAAACCGTAAGGTGTGCAACCGGTGTGTAGTTCTCGAGCACGTAGTTTATGGCGATGTCGATGGATGACAAAGGTCTGACGGACGTGCTTTTCCTAGAAGCAGTTCAAGCCGCCCTTCTTCTTTTTTTTATTCGTGTTCAGCTCTGCCATGCGCTGCTCGAGCGCTTGTCGGGCGCGTTCAGCGCGAAGACGCATCTCGCGTTCTTCCTCGACAGCCTGGAGACTGGCGCGAGAACTGCTGCGCTCCTTACGCAAGCTGACCAGCTCGTCTTCCAGACTCTGGCATTTCTTTCGCCAATTCTCCATCTCAGATTTGGTCCGGTTTGCGGAGGTTTCAAGATCGACGAGCGCCTCTTCAAGCGTTGCTGTCAGTTGCTTCTCGGCAAACAAATGCTTCTCGATTGTGCGAATGCGCGCTTCCTGATCCTCAATAAGCTGCGAAACAGCTGGACTTGGAGTAACTTCGCGAGAAGCATGTCTCGAGGTTGGTGGCGAGTTGTTGTGCGGAGACTGGCCGCGTGGCGTTGGTGAAGTGGTTCGGTCGAGAGTGTTGCCAGACGGCGCCGAGGAATTGGGAGATCCAGGGAGAGGCGGCAGGGGAATTGAAGGCGGGGGAGTTGGCAGCGTTGCTGACCCAGTCTTGCGTTGAGTGGATGAAGAAGAGCCTTGACGGCCAAGTACATGGCCAGCAGCATCGGGCGACAAGGAATCGCGGTTCCAGTTGGAGGAGGAATTTGAGGTGACTGAGAGATGCTTGAAAGCATTGAGTTGTTGCTGCTTCAAGTTAGCGGTTGTAGCACAGCCACATGTATCACGACGACTCACCTCGAGATGAATGCTTCTCGACTTGGCTTCCTCCAGTTCCTTCTCCAATGCGCTGCGGGCCTCGCTCGTCTCCGATTGCATGTTGGACAAGCGCTTGTTAGTTGCTTGATGCTCATCGTACGTCGAATTGAGCTGTTCTTCGAGCTGGTCAACAAGCGCTGAGGTCTTGTTGTACTTGTCGGTCACCTCTTCCAGCTTCTTCGCTTTCTCCTCGCTCGATTTCTTCAGCTCCTCCACCTCGCTCTCCAACTCGTTCGAGCGGCTGACTGCGGTCTGCAATTGCTCCTGCACAGCTTTAAGATCATTTGTCGTCTTGAGATGTCTGCTATGCAACTCCTTGCCCTCCTCGACCAGGCCAGAGATGTGGCCGTGGAGCTGCTCCCGATCTGTCTCGTAGCCAAGGGCAGATGACGCGAGGCGCAATAAGCTTGATACTTCATCCTTGGCCTCGTTGACTTGTGCCTCGAGGTCAGCTGTCACGTTATCATGTCTTTGCTGTAGCTCGGTGTAGCGAGCGGTATGCTCCTCGACCTCTTTGGTGTGAGCTGCTTGCAGGGATTCCAAGCTTTCTTGGTGAATGGTGATCGCCGACTTCTGAACCTGCAGCTGGCTTTCGAGGTTAGCCACGAGGTCCTTGTGTTGTGCAAGCTCCTTCTGTGCAAGGTCTCTCGCATCACTGTCGCTGTCAAGCCGTTTCTGCAAATCAGCGTGTTGCTGCTGCAAACTCTCCAGTCGACCACCGTGCTCATCGGCAGCAGTCTTGTGCTCCTTGACTTGTGCTTCGAGTTTCTCAACCAGAGCCTCCTGCTTCGAACGCTCCTGTTGCAGCTGCTCAAGGCGCTCGGCATGTTCCTCGGCGAGGGACTTGTGCTCCTTGACTTGCGTCTCAAGAGTCTCAACAATAGCTTGGTGCTTCGCTCGTTCCTGTTCCAGCAGATCATTCGCGCTAGTGTTCTCCTCGCCTGAGATAGATCGCTCGCTCTTCTGTGCTTGTTCCAGTGACGCCTGAAGCTCTGAGATGGTCTTCATGAGCGTGTTCTGCGACGCCGTCATGCTTTCAACTGCTTCGCGGTGCTTGCTCTCCCAAGCTGCGACCTCCTTCTGCAGTCTCTCGACCTCGTCGTCTTGGGATGCGCCTTCGATTGCCTGACCCTTCGACAGATCAGGCTGGGATACAACTTCCAAGCCTGGGGTCACTGGGAATTGTCCTGGTACCTCATTCGGAGTTGGCAATGAGTCAGCAGCAGAAGCTTGGTGCTCCGAAATGATGGTCTTGAGTCGCTCGACCTCGTCCTGCAGCTCCTTTTCCCTGGCAGCATGCTCCTCATAGAGGGCACGAATCTTGTTCTCGCTCTCCATGAGCTGCTCCCTCATCTGGCCGACCACTGAAAAGTCCACTCCTGATGCGCTAGCTGCTGCCAAGCTTGACCGTTCTCGCGTCAGACCGGTGATAATAGTCTGCTTCTGTTCCATGTCTTTGCGGAGGGTCACGATCTCGCCTTCCAATGTCTGCACACGCTCGGAACGCGAATGAAGCTCGGCCATCACCGTATTGAGGTGCTGCTCGAACGTGTGTCGCACATCAGCCTGATCCTCGAAGTTATTGAGTGCCATCGTGCGCAGCGACACATATGATCTCGAAGCTCGGTCGGAATTGCTGCCAAGTATCTCTTCTGACCTTCTCCTCCATGAACCCTTGGGAGGAAGTCCAGGAGATGAGCCGAAGCTTGGAGATGACGGGAATGCTGGTGATGACGATCGCTTGTTGTTTAGCACTTCTTGCTTCAATTCTTCAACCTGGCTCAATGTCGTCTCGTGTCGCTGCGCCAGACTCATGTAGTTCTTGGTGAGCTCCGCGACGGAAACCTCCTTTTCTGCATGTAACTTCTTGAGAGTCTCCATCTCGAGGAGGACCTGCTGATGCTCGCTGGTAGTCGGGCTCGGCTGAGCCTCATCGCCCGAAGGCTCCTTCGCTTTCTCTCCGGCGGCACCATTCAACTGCTGCTGCGAGGACAATTCCGAACGTGATGACCGCGAGGATGAAAGCTGCCCTTCGGTAGCCTTGTCCTCGTCTTTCATCCCCGCCTCTGCTAAAAAAGAGCTTCGGCTGCTCGCAGCAGTCGACTCTTCTTCCGGTTGCGCCTTGGTTTCAGCCTCCTTGCCATACTCCAGTTTCGCGAGCGTCTCCAGGGCTGTCCTGTACTTCTGTTGGAGGTTATCGTAGTCAGTCAGCACATTTTCGTGCTCGGATCTCAAGTCGAAGAATTCCTGTGTCAGGTTCTCAAGCTTTTCGGCCACAAAATCATCCTGCGCTGGTGTGCGCGCAGACTCTGCCGTGATCGTCTTCTTCAACTCTTCTCCAGCGACCGACAGCTTCTGCGTGTCCTCCTTATCGGACTCGTCTTCCGCCTTGACACTCGAGCCATCCCGGAATGGGTCGTAGTCGTCATTGTGGCCGTTTGTGTACGCCGCAGGCTCAGGTGAGCGACTTGACGCACGACCGTTCGTTGGAGCCTCTCGCATGCCATCGAGCTCGCCCAGGAGGTTATCAAGTCTGCCGATGCTTCTCTGCCGCTCCACCACATGCTCAAGACGGTCAATCTCACGCTGCATGATCTCTTGATCTTGCTCCGCTTCAGCCAGGCGCTCCTCGAGTGTGGAGATGTACTCTTCGGCATTGCCCTCGCTGTCCCGGACTCGCGCGATCTCCTTTCGCAGCTCATTGATCATGGTGTCTTTGCGGTCTTCCTCCGAGGAAGCGCCTTCCATCTTCTCCTCCAGATCACGGGTGTACGAGTCATTGTTGGCTTCCCGCTCCATGTATTTTGCGATCCGGGTTTGCAGTTGCTTTTGGATGGTATCCATATATGCCAATCGTGTCTCTTTCTCCAAAAGCGTGCTTTCTGTACTTGAAAGCGAAGATCTCGTCTGAGAAAGTGACGTCTCAAGAGTTTGGATCGTCTTCTCGTACTCAAGCACAACTTGCTCAACGGCCTCGGCGAAGGAGTTCGATCGCTGGATGCGTTCGCTAGCATTCTCGCCGATTGCCTCATTGAGGATTGGGGTATCGCTTCCTTCACCACTTCGGGTTTTTGTGATCTCAGCGATGAGCTTAGCGTGTCGCTGACTGAGGGCATTGTAATGTTCCTGCATATCCATCAATTGTGATTGCAGTTCGTTCTCACGACCCCGCGATCTATCCACGCGATCATTGCCATCTAACATTCGTCCAGAAGTATGCTCGGAGTGGCGAAGTTGATCGCGCAGGAAGCTGACTTCAGCCCGCAGCCGGTCAATAGCGGCTTGTTTGTCCGTCTCTTCGTGGCTCTGTTGAATTTCGGGTTTGCTTTGGATCGCACGAGCTCTCTGAGCATAGGTGACTGTATTCAGCGTCTCGCTGAGATGGAAGACCGCAGGCGTCACACAGGCGACCATGAAAGTAATAGCGTTGCCTCCAAGTGAGTCTTGCAGCAATCGGGTGAGTCGAGAATCGCGATATGAGATATGGCCACTGCCGCCCTTCGCCGACAACTGAGAGATGACTTTGCCGAGACTAGCCAGACCTGCATTGATCGAGATACCCTCTTTTGCTCTTTCTCCCGTAGCGCCGGTATTCTTCAAACGTTCGCTACCGGCCAAATCCACGAAGTGTAGTTTGCTGTCCAGAGTGACGATGCTATCGCCTCCGTTGGTCTCCGCAAGCGGAACTGATCTTCGTTTGTCCTGCTTAGATGTGAGGGGCGCATCGCCCTGCTTCCGTTGGATCAGATTCAGGCTGAAGACCGCATGTGAACGTGAGGAACGGGCATTGATCGCGGTTGCATCCGTTTGCCTGATCTGCGATCCGAAGTTGAGAGCGTTTAGCATGTCCTCAACGGAGTTGATCGGGACTTGTGTTAAACCGGTGAGCATGATCCGACCTTTCGTATCTTCCCGAATTGCTACCTGGCCACGTTCCGCCTGGGGCACAGATTCTGGGATCAAGAGATCTCGCAATTGCTCGTTGTATATCTCCACGTACGACGCGCGGAGTTCCCAATTCTTTGTGGCTGGATTGGCCTTCTGCAGAGAGAGGTAGGTCGGCAGCGCTTGAGTGGAGTAGCGTTTTGGCGTTTGCAGTCCAGAGGCTCTCACAGGGCCTTGTCCACCATTGAGCTTCTCGAACAGCGCTTCGGCAGCTCTGGGCACGATTCCCTTGACCTCCGCCTCGCTCTGCTCTGAGGGCCCCGCAGTGCCCATGGTATATGACTTGCCGGCACCCGACTGTCCATAGGCGAGGATCGAGACATTGTAGCCTTTGACAAATGATGTCACACTGTCGCTCAGGTACTCCCAGACGCCCTCCTGGTCGGTCGTCTCGTCGAACACTCGGTCGAACACGAATAGCTTCTTCCCTTGTGGTGACTGCACGGACAGGCTGTTGGGAGTCGGCACGTCACAGGTGCTCTCTCGGAATCGCTGCGGTATGAGGTCGTAGCCGGGATCGGAAGCCTGGAGTGGCGGTCGCACACGCACAGCTGTATTGTTCTGCGGTTAGCACATGTGGTGGAGCATGAGGGAAGCGTGCGGTGTGTACGAACCAACTTTCACCGCTGTCCGCGAGGCGTCCTCGTCGCTGACCCGGCTGGCCGACATGCGGCTCTGGGTCCGCGAGTGAGTGGTCCGCATGTTCGCGGTCGGCGGCCGCTGGATGGCATTCGGCGACTGCGGTGGTGGTGAAAGAGGAGGTTCCATTGCATTCGCGAACAGGGGCATCTCGCAGTCTCGACGAGCCTCCGGCCAGGCAACGCGAGACCGGGGTGGTCGTCGCTTAGAAGCTGCGCGCTCTCCAGTCCGCGTGTTTCACCTCCCCACGTCGTGTGTCGGCGCCGGAGAGGCGGGTGAAGCAAGCGAGTGTCGGGAAGCGATGCGAAGTGGTCGCTGGCGGAGGTGGAGGGGCGCGGAGGATGGCGGGTGGTGTCGACGTTTCGCGACAGCAGGAAAGCGGCCGATCGCCTTTCTTCAGAGGATTATTACGGCGTTGCCACACATCTGCATAGGGGACAAGGAAGGCCAGGCTATGGAGCTGTGGTGTTTCATGCGCCGGCGATCGTCAATATCGATATGGACCGCGCGCGGTGAATGCCGACGCCGGGCAACAGCGCGCGAACTCGATCGTGGAGGAATATACAATACAGGCTGTACAGTACAATGGGTAATGGAGGAGAAGGAGCACAGGCGCGCGCGCACGTACTTGTTGTGCGTGTCTTGTTCACACCGCGTGCCGGCCTCTTTCGCCCTCTGGCAGTCTGCGCCAGCGAAACTCAGCTTAGCCTCGCGCGGGAAAGGGGCAATCCTAGCGCCCTGCAGGTACTCCCTGTCTCGTACATATCCCACAATCGTCGAGAGCACGAGAGACGCGCGCAGCCCAGCCAGCGCATCACCGCACCGCCGCCGCCGCCTGCCCGCACGTCTGCAGAGCGGCGAGCGAAGGGGGTGCTTCTCGATTGTTCTCGACAACGCCCCGTCGCCCGCCTGCACTCGCTACCGGGCGTGCTTATTATAGGCTTCGCTGGTCCGAGACCTTCCCGCCCTGACAGAAACCCACGGTACCAAGCTTTCGGCGTAGCGCGAACCTACCCGATCGGCATTCTATTGAAACACGGCCAAACGCAGCGTCAAGTGTCGGAGGGCTGGCTTTATCAATCAACTGACGCCCGCTCCATCAATTCGTTCACCAACCAAGCGCCGAGACAGTCTCAGCCCATAAGAGAACAAAATATTGTTCCATTCGTCCTGTGTCTGCCACAGCGCCACGCGTCTGTGTCGAGGCCGTACCTGCAGCTGCGTTGACAGCTCTACTGCATGCTGCGTCAGGCAGGCATGCTTCCTCCTTTAGCGCTTCCGACCGCCCAAACTTTTCGAATCTCACGACAAGCGCGGCCAGATCTACACCTTTCGCGCCGTCCACGACGTGAACTATGCCGGCCACCGCAATCCGCAAAGGGAATACACACCTGCATGCGCACTTGGCAGCAAAGTGGACCATCAGATGACCAGCCTCAACACGCCTCTTCGGGTCCTACTGCCTTGCCGGCTGTCGTAGCCACTTCTTTCCCTCCAGCAACTTGCTATCTTCAGCCTTCCGGTGGGAGTCCGATGGCTCTCCGAAGACGTTTCCGTCGGCGACCCGCTCAGCGCACCTGCCCCCCGCCTGCACAAGAAGGTTGTTCGCCGAACCGACAGGACCACTCAGGCACACCTCGTGGCTCTTGCCATCCCGCTGGGCTGGTAGGCGGTGCCGGTCTTGCAGGTGATTGTCATCGCTAAACTCAAAGAGACCCTACAGCCCGTGCGATTACGCCTCGACGAACCAGATGCACGTGCTATGGATCTTACCTTTGTGTCACTGACGACAGGTTTGCGTGCTGCGATCTGGTTTAATGCCCAACATGTGAGCCTTACGCGCCTCTGTGCTATCCCTAACTCCGCATGCAACCATCATCACCTGATCTTTGGGCCTCGCACCCTGCAGGGCCTGAACGTCCAAGTACTGCAAGTTATAGTCCGCGATGTTGGATTTTTCACACACTGGCAGGATGCTCCTTGGCTTGTCGGATCGACGAACGGTAGTCTTGCACCCGTGCGCCATGGTGTATACCAAAGGCGAAGGCAGTCGAAATCGAGCTGACAAATGGCTATCGAAATCAAGGAAGAAAAACTTCAATGCTCTTCCACTCCTCGGAGCTTTCCAGCAGCAAGACTGTTATGCAGGAACGGGCGACAGAGAACTGGCGAAATCGATAATGCCAGCACACGGGATAGCTTGCCTAGTGGCATGACTGCCGATCTGTCACTGCTGCATGCAGCTACGCGTTCAAGCGTGACAATGCCTTCGACGCGTTCAAACGCGACAGTTGCGAGTGATGCTGCTCTGCCCACCACAACTCGACCGACGAGGCGGGCCCATTAACTACCGCCTCGCGCATTCTTTCGGTCGTTCTTCTATCTCTCACAGTAACGAAACATACAGTAAGTGCTCGCGACGAGGCAAACGGGAGCGGGATGGCACCGCGCGCGAACAGCTAACAGCTTCCTATGCGATAGCGTACCGCAACGGCACTTCGCCGCTCGAGCCATCAAAGACCCTAGATCAGCCTTGGACAAATGAAGCAGGAATTTGTCCGAGCGGTGAGTTCGCTTTTCGAAATCCAAAAAGTCAACCAATACCATGGCACGAGGATCAAAGATTGATATCAAAATGCACACTACTGACAAAACGGCATCCAAACGCCACAACATCTGCAGCTGCATCTCTTCACATTAGCAAGAAGAAGAAGAAGCAACCGCCAAGCACCATTGACAGAAAACGAACTTGTGAAACAATAGCCTCCCGGGCCTTCCCAAGCCTCCGCATCAATTTAGGAGCATTTTGCGCATCACCCGTAGCGGCCCTGGCGGGGAGTAAAATATATTAATTACGGACGCCATGTCGTCAAGGTCGGTCCGGATGGAGTGTCATCGAAGTCGTTCTGAGAGGGACTCTGCACGTGAAGTAAATTAACAAATGTAGGTTACTTTGACTTCACCTCGCCCCGTCATTTGTTTCTTCACGGGTCGCGGAGTTTACCGTGTGCGGAGATGATCTGCAAGTACGGAGTGGAGTGGAGCGGAGTGGGGTGATGAGTTGTGATTGAGGATTGCAGCTGCATGTTTGAACGGGTTGGAGTCACATTTTCTTTGATTTGGGATTTGTGTATTGCGACAGGTTGCGTCGTTGCGGTTTGGATGAAGGTTATCTATCAGCACAGCTGCTGGGTTGGTGGACTTGGCGAGATTGACAGTGCCTATATTCCATGTACTGACCACAAGCCGTTGGGGCTTGACCTCGTTCGGAGATTCTCATTGTCATAGACAATGGACGGCATCAGTGCGATGTAGAACAACATTCGGCAAAACGGCCTGTACTTTTCGAATCATCAACCTCGACTTCACTCTTCACATCCTCTCAGTACCTCATCTTCCGCAGCCCGTTCACATCTGCCACCAAGCTTGATGCATTCGCTCCATGACCCCGCCGTAATTGCCCGTGGGACCAGATAGAGGCGGATCTGCCAGGTATTGTTGCCCACTAGGCAGGAACAATTTGAACTGAGCAGTCTTCAAATCGACATCGACTGGATCGCACATTATTTGTGTCTCAGCCAGATAGACATCGAACACCTCCAGTCGCTTCTTGACCTGCTCCATCGCGGCTAAGTTCTCGAAGCGGAAACCGAGTTTAGTCCTCGTGATGACTACTCGCTCGAGACTTTCCATTGTGTTGACAAGTGACCAGAATTCAAGCCATGCTTCGGATCGGTGAACGAATGAATGGGCTGGAAGGTCCATGTCCAATTTGCGTAGGCGGTGATATAAGTCGCTGTCGAACTCGATTGATGTAATGGCATTCCAGCGTTGCGGGAGGAGTTGTTTGTGGAAAGGTACGATTTGCTCGGGTTGCATGAAGCAGAATGTAGTTCGGGAGTATAACATGTCGATCGTCTCTGCGTAGCTGCATGGAATCGTAAGCTCGGGCGTACAAAGTCTATCAAGTGGCGGGACTCACATCTGTTTGCAAGTCAATGGCAGTCCCAAGAGATGGTCACAAGCCACCAGGTCATCTGGATGATGGTTGTGTTTGTCTTGAGCTGGAAACGACGCCAATTTCGTATGCGATTGCCGTTTAACTGGCACGACTAGCATCTTCTGGTGCTCAAAGCACAGCTCGTAGATTTGATTGCGGATTTCGGAAGGGAGTTTTGTCAAGAAGAGGCTGTCAGCCTGCTTTTCTGTTCTGCGGAACCCATCAGATGTCAATTCTTGTCGTGTTCGTTTTCGAGCTTTTGCTCGACGGTCTTTGCATTGATCATACCTTGACCAATATTCTCTGCTCATGAGAAATCGCGCTGACTCTGTAAGCTTATGCGAGAGCCACGGAATGGCTCCGCGATAGAGAACGCCGGGGAAGTTGATGAGGCTGGAAAACGTCTGGGCAGGATTTCGAGCACATCGCCACAGGAAGTGAGGAACGCGAGGGAGTGCCCAGCGGGAAGTGGTAGGTATACATGCACAAATGTCCCAGGCACATTGAAATATGGATCCAGGCATGCTGTGCTTCTTCTGGCAGTGGTTTTCGAGGAGAGTGAGCACGTTGTAAGCAAAGAGTACAGACGGGTGGTAATGAGTAAAGCGTGCTTTTGTTCTTCATCTCATATTGATTCATACTTGTTGTGGCCATGCTTGCGTTGCGAACCCATGAAGAATGGACTGGTTCGTTCTTGCGGCAGACCGAGGCTTGGATGTGGCAGTGATACGAAGTGGTTGCAAGGGTTGACATGGTGAATCGACATGGTTAAAAGAGGCCGCCGATTACACACAAGTGAATGCAGAAGCCTAGACGGACGGAAAGATTGTGACTGTCGATCAGAAGCAGTGGTGAAGTTGCTCCGCCGTGGTTGCCTTTTCCGGAGGCTTCGTCATTGACAGCTTTGTTTCTCGTGACTCGCGCTCAACATCGCGTCTGTTTCGCGTCCTCGACACCACGTCCTCGCCTTTTCGCGCCGATAACCTGCCACACCACTATGGACGATGCGTACGACGTGCCCGATAGTACCGACTGGCTCGATACACCGCTGAAAGCCTTTGCGCCGCTTGAAAATGCATTGCATTGCCAAATATGCAAGGAATTCTACGACACCCCGATGATTACGAGCTGCAACCACACCTTCTGCTCGCGATGTATACGAACTTCGTTATCAGCAGACGGGAAATGTCCTGCTTGTCGGGCATCAGACCAAGCGAGTAAACTGCGCAATAACTGGGCCATTCAGGAAGTCGTCGCGACATTCTTAGAAGCAAGACCGATCGCATTGGAAGTGGCGCGAAAGTCACAGCAAGAGACTGCGACGCCAAAGAAGACTGGCAAGCGGAAACGTCCGACCATACCGGATTCAGATGATGTAGCAGAGGTGCAAGAAAGCGGGCGAACGACGAGAGCTAAGAGCCGGCGCATTGCTGCGTCCCAGAGCTCACAGCAAGAGGCGATAGAGATTGAGGATAGTGATGAGGAGGCTGAAGAAGAGTACAAACCAGAATCGCCGCCAAAAGATGGCCTTGTTGAGTGTCCCCTAGGGTGCGGGAAACGCATGAAGGAGGCCGAAGTCTTCAACCACCTGGACAAATGCGAGGACGAGCAAAAACAGGCGAGCAGAGCAAAATCGAGGACACCGCTCAATGGGTTCGTCTCGTCACGGCCCCCGTCAGGTCAAGGAGCGCGACCTCAAGATCGCATCAACGAGCTCAATTACGGCATGCTCAAAGACAAGGCACTATCCGCGAAACTTAAAGAACAAGGATTGCCGGCTTTTGGCTCGAAGCAGCTTATGATCAATCGCCATCGAGAATGGGTCAATATCTGGAATGCGAACTGTGACTCCAATAGCCCTAGATCGAGGCGAGATCTGCTGCGTGACCTGGACGTTTGGGAGAAGACACAAGGCGGGAAGGCGCCGCAGGGCAACGGGCTCACGCATGCTGTCATGCGCAAGGACTTCGATGGCGCTGCGTACTCGAGGAAACACAATGATGACTTTAGCCGGCTAATAGCCGATGCGAGGCGGAAGAAGAGCAGTTCGGCAACCACATCGGCGTCGGCGAAAGATGTTACGGAACAAAAGCAGACAGAGGCGGACGCAATTGTGCATGGTGATGGCGAGAGTCCTGTCTTTGCTGCAAAGCCGCCTCCGCTAATGGTACCTCCGCAGGACAGAAGAATGAGCTTGTCACAACCTGAGCCAAGTCCAGTCGATCGTTCACCGTATGAGCACGATCCGGAGGCACTCGCCAATGTTCGTGAGAAAGTCAAGGCTCTCAATGACGGCCGCACACCAACACCAGTGTTGAACAAGGGGTTTGAGAACCCATCATCACACGTTCCGGCAGCCAGTCCCCAGGGAACCAGACCATCATCATCGCAGCCACAGCATGAACCGCCCAGCATGTTCAGTGGCACTATTGAACGCGTTTCAGAAGGGGCAGATCCCAATCGCTATCCTCCAACTGCCACTAGGCGTTCAGCGTCAATCAGCTTAGATTCTGGAAATGGCGTGCAGCTCAGGCGTGGCAGCAGCCGAGACGAGCATCTGAGCGAGCACAGTGGTTCTCCTTGTGATCTCTCATCACATGTGGTATCGAGCCAGTCGAAGCGAGTGCCCATGTTTGCGATGCCCGAGCAGCCAGTCACAGATGTAGAAGGACTTGGCGGCTCGAGTTCTGGAGTATAGCACATATAGACCTGTACAGCCGGACATGACAGCACAATGTTAGAGTACAGTTATCTGGGAACGATCCTGGCCCCAAATCGCATAGCATGGGTTACTTCGCAATGTCCACGACACGGGCCCTGTCAGACCTGGTACAGAGGTAAGCATGATGAAAGTACGATATGAGCCGGCTCACTATAGGAATTCCCTCGCTTCTTCGTGCGACACCATCTAGGTGATGCGATAACCCCACACAGACCGCAGTATGCCATAAGTTCAGAGGTCAGACATAGCGAAACAACAGCGATCAACGCAGCAGCGCGAAGTCATAAGCCCGCTCTCGCGGACTTGGAGCGCGCCGAACAGACCGGTGCCCAGGTCCATGGCAGAGGAATATGCACGCTCTTAGGGGTACACACCACCATCCAAACGGAAGGCGGTATAAAACTCTGGGCTCTCCTTGGGCCAATACGAAGATCTCGGTTATGGTCAAGGTCTTGGTGTACCGAGAAGTGCTGCGCCGCATGCATGCTCTTTCACATGCCATGACCCCAGTTCACCTCGATATGGCCCCTTAGAATCGAGTATCGTGGTTCCCACTGAGAATGATAAACCTCACTTCAACTGAGCGCTGACGTAGGACCAGGTGATGTGTAGTGCGCTGGCCACGAAGAACTGCAAACTGTACGAGCATATGCCAAGCATCGCCACACTCCATCCTTACCAAGTCCAAAGCAGACTACCAAGAGCACACTTCGCCCACGCGACACATGGCATTTCTTATCATCGGCCTACTCCATATTTTGCCTTCCACAACTGATATTCGCTTCCTTCAAGTACATTACACAATGACGCGCGACGAGTCTGCCAACATGCTTGGCCTCCGCGGGCTGATGACTTGGCTCTCAGATAGCTGGGCCACATACGCGCAAGACCGAGAGAAAGCAACAACGCTGCACGCGATCCTGCAGCATGAGCTCGCGCTCATAAGTATCCCCAGCGAAGCTCCGCCCGATCCCTGATCTCGGGCGCACGCGAACACTTTCCAGAATTTCTCCAGCATTCATGGAGTGACACGCAAGTATATCAAGAGCAACACGCCAAGACCAAGACCATTCATCCTCACGCCCATTCACAACAACGACGACCTCGAGAAGAAATAAGACCGCGCCACAAACATGAAACTGAAAAACCCCCTCCAACCCCTCCGCGCGCGAATCTCCCGCATCCCATCCAACCCCCTAAAATGGCCCTCTGCCCTCGGCCACCACATGACAAAACCCAACCCCAAAACAGAAGACGGCCGCGACCAATGGCAATCCCGCACATCCTACGTCCTCGCCTCCATGGGCGGAGCCATAGGCTTCGGCAACCTCCTCCGTTTCCCCTCCCAAGTCTTCAATAACAACGGTCTCCAGTGGTTCATCCCCTACTTCCTCGCCCTCGGAGCGCTCGCCATCCCGGTTCTAATCCTCGAAGTCGCACTCGGATCTTCTCTCCGCGGCGGACCAGTTTTGGCGTATAATGCAGTAGACAAGCGAGCCCGAGGAGCAGGTCTGGGAAATGTCTGGGTAACATTGTTGGTCGTATTATATTACGTCCCGATGTTATCCTGGGTTTTGAGATTTTTCCGCGGAAGTTTCGAGAGTCCTTTGCCGTGGGAGGGAAGGTTACAGGAATTTTATGATGTGGATGTTCTCGGACGAGTTGATGCTGTTCCGCCTCTTGCGGAAGCCTTGGAGACGAATACCATCATGTCGTATCCTGGAATGGCCATGATTGGGGAACAAGTTGGCTGGAATGCTTTTTCGTGGTTTGTGGTTTGGATTTGTATTTATGGCGGGACGAGGGTTACGGGGAAGGTTGTTTATGTTACTATGGGGTTGCCGATTATTATGGTTTTGGTACTGATTATTCGGGGTGCGACGCTTCCTGGAGCGATTGATGGGATAAGATTATATGTGGGCGAGTTCAATGGGGGGCAACTTGCTGCGGGACAGATTTGGCAGGATGCGCTGGGACAGGTGTTTTATTCCACGGGAGTCGGTTTTGGGTATTATACGGCTTACGCGTCGTATAATGCGAACAACGCCAATGCTGTGCAGGATGCGATTCTGATATGCTGTTGCAATTCGCTGTTTGAGATTTCGTGCGGATTTGCGGTGTTTACGATTGTGGGATTCATGGGCTTGACTCCAGAGGTTCAAGGAAGAGTTGGGAGTTTCGTTCTTGGATTCATCACGCTGCCGGAGGGATTGGCACAACTTCCAGCAGCGCAATTCTGGTCTGCGGTATTCTTCTTCACGCTTTTCCTCCTGGCAGTCAGCTCGGCTTTCGTTCAACTGGATACTGTAGTTTCGATTCTCTGCGACACGGACCGTGGGAGAAAGATGCCGCGGGTGTACGTCGTGACGGCCTGTACCCTCACCGCATTCCTGGTCTCGATGATCTATAACACCCAATTCGGACCCCAGCTGCTGGATGCGATCGACATGAACACGAACAACATCGTCCTTCCATTCGTCGTCTTTGCAGAATGCTATGGAGCGACTGTCGTCTATCGCAGCCAGGATGTCATCGGACAAGTTGGTCTCATATCATTCGTCATCCACCAAGTCGGTTTCCTCGGCGGACATTTCCTCGGTCTCATCATCGCTCATATGGTCAGTATTCCAGGTGGCGCAGGAGCAGGTTTCGGATTCTTCTTCCTAATGGTCATAATTTCCTCTCTCATCGGCAAAGTCCCTGACTCCAGACCACCCGGATTCTGGGGTCGCAACGCTTTTCTAGCCCGACTTTGGTGGTTAGCCTTCTACTCCGTAAGTCTCCATTTCTCCCCACAGTAACTACCGACTCTGTGAAATCGATCCTAACACTTCCCCAGGGCAACCAGCTAAAACGCGACCTCAACATCTCCGTCGCCCAAGGCAAAAACTGGCCTCTAACCTGGTACTGGGCCATCTGCCTCCGCTACATCTCCATGCCGATCCTCGCAATCGTCTTCTCATTCAGCTATCCCTCCTTCTCCGCCCAGCGCGTCGACCCACTCGTGATTTTCGCCTTCGCAATCTCTCACTTTGCGATCTTGACCGTCGCCAGCACACTCATTTTCCCTCGATGGATGGATCCTCTGATTCCGACGGAGAGACGGGAAGAGAGCAACAGAGGCTATGCACCACAAGTTCTGATCGGAGCGGATGATGTGAGAGTTTCGCAGGGTGTAGAAGCTGGGAGAGCGACGGATAGTAGTGATGAGTTTGAGGAGGGGAGGAAAGTGAAGGAGGAGGGAGGTTTGGATGTGGAGAGGACGAATTCGAATGATGGGAGGATTGCTTCGCAGCCGACGGATGGGATTGAGGCGCTTTATAGGGAGGATGGAAAGAATGTGGTTAGGTAGAGTACACGGTTCGATACGTGAGAACCAGTCAGCAGAATGGCAAATGTTTTTTTCTTTGACGGACCTATCAGGGAGAAGGATTGAAATTCCGTCCTTTTGCATGTTTTTCGAAGCGTCTTGTATGTACGTTTTATGCCTAACTTCGTCGTCTAAGCATTATTACAACATTGCGCCGAACTTCGCTATGCAATGGTCGTCTTGGAAATGGTAGGCGAGGTCGGTCTTTCTCGTTCGATCCGCGTGGCCACAACGATTTGCGGCCAAGGAAACGGAATCGATGCGATTCGTGGTGGTGCTGAGAGTGCCTAGCGCTATCCATCGAGACCTTGCCGATCGTTGCCTCATGCATCATCTCTCATACAGCGCATTTTTTTTACGGTGTGGTTCGAAGAGTTGTAGCTTATGCAACCTCTTCGATCTTAGCCTTACCCTTATCCGCACCCGCAGCTCCCTCCTTCGCATCATCTTCACCCTCGAGTTCTGGCATCTCTTCATCATCATCTTCGGCGTCTTCATCGTCGTCACCTCCCATGCCGCCCATACCTGCGCCTCCGAGTTTCGAAAAGTCGATGCCCCCAAAGCCGCCGTCGGCACCCATTCCGCCCATGCCTCCCATGCGCGACATGTAGTCATCATCATCTGCGACTTCGTCTTGCTCGTCCTCGTCCACCCACTGTTTGCAAAGCGCAAAGGTCAGCACAGTAAACCAGCAGGCGATCACGCCAACGTAAGTAGAAGCACGATTGAGTCGGGATTGTTCAAGAAAAAGTGCATGTGCAGGAGGCCTATGAGCAGGCTTTACTGACGGAGATTCGGCGGCCTCGAATGAGGAAGCCGCGGATACGGGAGTGCAGGGTGGCGTGGGAGGCGGTTGGGGCTGCACTGCTAGCACTGCCAGAGTTCGGGCAGAGGCAAACAGGGAGTAGTCAAGATGTCTTACCTTGTCGAAGTCGGTCTTGAGGAAGTGAACTTTCTTGCTGTCCTTCAGTAGGCGATCCCAGTACTCTGCCTTCAGTTCCTTCTTTTGTAGAACGAGCTCGATGGCACGTGGAGAGTGGTGGATCTTGGAGGCGGAGGGGTCGATTTCGGCGAAGAATTCGAGTGTTACGCCGTAGTCGGCCTTCTTGGATTCGGAGTAGCCGCTGAAGGTGAGGGATGAGGGCTGGATGTCGAGCTTGATCTTCTTTGGGTCGACATCTGGCACGTTAATGGCAAGGAAGATGTGGTTCTTCTCTGCCTCGGACGCGCTCGAGCGTTGTGCCCAGGTGACTATACACCGTCAGCAGTCTGTCGCGACATGTTCTGAGCGCGTAGAAATGGTTGTAGCTGCAGCCCTTCCGCAAACGCCTGCTGCTCGTGTCTACCTTCGCCCTGATTTATTTTCTCGCAGTGCTGCATGTGCGCGATAGATGGCATGAAGCCCTCGGGCGGTCGGCGAACTCGCTGGCAAGCGTTCGCTCCCGGGCATCCAGCTACAAGCACTGCTCGCGTGGGACTGAGGTCCTACCTTCGGGCGTCAAAGTCTTGGAGCCGACCTTTGCGTCGGTGGTGTCTTTCGGTTGCGCACTCATGGTGAATGTGTGGTCGAGAGTTCTGTACAGGTAGGGTATTCGTGGAGTGTGTTGTGGTGTGAAGTTAGGTTGTTGTGGAAGTGGAGTGGAGGTGAATTAGTTGCGTTCAGCTGGAAATTCGAGGCGCAAGACGTCAAGGCACTGTTTGCCCACATATCGAAGCCTGTAGAACCTCCGGAAGCTTTGGCCAATGCGCGGGAGTTGAGGTGGGGCAGCCTCCGGGCAATGAAGCATCATTCTCACGATTTCTCCTCACATATCGATCACATAGCTTTAAGTAGTATCAATTCGAGATTAACTGATCAGAATCACCTCGATATACTTCTCTCCCACTATGAGACAGTCTGTACCATATGCTGCGGCCTGGGAGGAAGGCAAGGCTGAGAGCTGCCTGGGCGAGTGAGATCAGGCACGAGGATGCGCCGAGCTCGGTGACGACACACTTCACGTCCAGCCGTCGTCTCGATCACATGAAGAATCCCGTCTTCGCTCATCCAGCTCCACTCGACTCCCGCGCATTGCCTGTACCACTATTGAAATACTGCCTCGTGCATGATTGACCAGTCTCCAATCCCTTAGCCACATCGCACAAACACACCTCCCACCATGGACGCCGCCCGGCGCTTCTTCTACGGGCCCTCCCCAGAAGAACAGGTGCGCATCGCATCTCTCACCACCACTCCCTGAAGGCCCGCCTAACTCTCCGATTCTATTCAACAGAAACGAAAATGCAACTCCCTCCTCCGCAGCAACACCCGCAAACTCGACCGCGACCTCCAAAACCTCAAAACCCTCGAATCCAAAACCAAATCCCTCATCCTCCAAGCCTCCAAACGCGCACAACGCAACCCCTCTCAAGCAACCCAAGCCCGCGCCGAAACCCGCATCTTCGCCAAAGAACTCCTCCGCGTGCGAAAACAAACCCAACGCCTCTCCACCAGTAAAGCAACCCTCCAAAGTGTCGGAATGCAAGTCAATGAAGCCTTTGCTATGAAGAAAATCGAAGGCGGGATTAAGAATTCGGTGGGGATTATGAAGGATGTGAATATGTTGGTGAAATTACCCGAGTTGACGGGGACTATGAGGGAGTTGAGTCAGGAGTTGGTGAAGGCGGGGATTATTGAGGAGATGGTGGGGGATTCTTTGCCGGATCAGGGCGTTTTGGAGGATGAGGATGAAGAGGCGGAGGCGGAGGTTGATAAGATTTTGGGAGAGGTACTCAAAGACAGGACGCAGGCTACGCCACAGTTGCCAAGTGGGCCTTTGGGGCCGATCGAGGCGCAGCCTGCGCAGGAGGAAGAGGAAGATTTCGAGAACGAGGAGACGTTGGCGCAGATGAGGAATCGGTTGGAGGCGTTGAAGAGTTGAAGGGTGAGTTGCGATTGGAATCAAGTGAAATGTGCTACACTTTTCTGGAGTTGAAGGTGCTGGTGGCGAAGCCAGAGGTGGTGGCTCCTCGCAACGTGATCGCCTGTCACTGCCAGACGTGATCAAGGATGTTCCACTTGACTAAAAAAAATCAACGTACCGCGACCGCGACATCACTCAAATCCATCAAGTCCCAGCAATGCGATAACAGCTGGCTACAACGACATTCCGAGATAAACTAGGCAGCAACGCGCCCTGCTTGGACATGAAAGATGGCAAGATCATCTCAAGTTCGCTGCGCGAGCTTCGACGTGCCTCATGCCGAGAAGAGTGTCGATGTGTCAATTGCGCAATGGAGACTGGCAGGCCTTCAACAAGGCTAATGAAACAGGATCGCGTACGTTTCGTGGAGCGTAGTATATCATACGTTCGTCTCTACCTCTACTGCGCCGAACAACGCGCCATCTATATTTCTATACATCCGTCTTCTATACATATATCCTACACGGCCCTACTCCCATCTGTGGACTGGGTCTTTTCTTCATCCTCCGTTTCAGAAGCACTGCTCTCACCTGTGGCTGGAGCTTCGTCGACACGGTTCTTCTGTTCCTCGATGAGCCCGTCAGGTTCCAGACCCGGCTCTGCGACTTCGATATCCTCCGTTGCGCCACCAAAGTGGTCTCCCCCACCTAGTTGACTGGTCTGCTCTTCTAGGTGTTTCGAGGTGTGGCCTTGAGCAGGCACGGGTGGATGTTCTGCGAGGCCATCCAGCTGAGCCCCAAGATCGAATCCATGGTCCGGCGAAGCGCTGTCCGTTGCTGTGTCTGGGGACTCCTTCGATAACTGCTCCATCACATCCTGGTTCTCGTCCTCAGTTCCTTCCACAGCAGCATCCAAATACCCAAGTCCCGTCCGATCCACATCTTTCACCTCCCCTTCCACCTCTTCATCCTCCGCTTCTTCAGCATTCTTCGCCAAATTCTGCAACAACTGCTGCTCCCTAAACGCCGCCAACTTCCTCCTTTGCGCCTCGGAGAAAGAGAACTGACTCAAAGTCTTCTCAATCCTCTCCTCCACCAACCCTTTAACGTGAAATGCCAAATTCCTCGTCGTAAAAATTCCCGCGAAGCGATAACTTAACCACAAATATGCCACGACGCCTTTATGCAAACGTTCCAATTCTCGGAGATACTCCCTCGTGCCCTGAATTTCTGTTTCCAAGATCTCAAGAGGTAAATCTTCGATATCTACTAAATTTCCGCCGGATTGCGTGGCGATGCAGCGGGCGTAGGCGGGCATGAGGGTCTTCCACATGTCGGAATCGGATTTACCGGCGGGGACGGAACAGAGGATGTTGCGGTCTGCGACGGAGAGACCTTCGATATTTTCGATTATGTCGGCGATCCAGACTTGGTCGCGGAGGCCGCAGAGGTGGAAGCGGGTGTGCATTTGGCTGAGTTCGTGGAGGCGTGTGAGGATGTAGGAGAAGGGAGTTCCGGGAGGGAAGTAGCCTGCAAAACGCTCGAGGATGGGAGCCGGGGGGAAGAGGCCTGCGGAGCGGATGGGTTCGGGCTCGGATTCCATTGCTGAGCGGACTATGGGAAAGTCGACGCGTTCGAGGGTGGTGACGAGGCCGAGGTTTTCGTCGGCTTCTGATGCGGCTGCGATGGAGGAGTTTGGATTGATATCGCCTTTGGCTGCTGCGAGTTCTTCTGCTGTTGCTGCACCTGCTGAGGCTTGTTCTGCGATTCTGAAGCGACCAGCACGTCCGCCGATTTGTTTGATGTCTGCAATATTTAGGGTCTGTCGTGCAATACCGTTGAATTTGGTGGATGATTCGAAGATGATGCGTTTGATGGCCAGGTTGAGACCCATGCCTACAGCGTCGGAGGCCACAAGAAAGTCGTAGTCATTGTTTGGGTCGTTGAACAGACGAGCTTGTTGAGCACGAGTTTCTGGAGGCAGCGATCCGTACACTGTCGCGACTTTGCGGCCAGTAGCTTTCTCGATCTGTCTTCGCAGAGCATGGATGCCCATGACTGAAAAGGAAACGATACAATCACCTTTGCGGAGTTTCCTCAAATCGCCATCGAGAGACGTCTCAGCGACTGCCAAGGGCGAGAGACGCTGGTAGTGATGAATCTCCAGCTTCTCGCCGATGCTTGCACACAGCTCTTTGATGAGCGGCACTGTACGTTCCTCGCCACACAAGTGTACCTCTTTTGCCTTGACGCCTAGAAGAGCCTGGGTCCATGCCCAACCACGCTCAGCGCTGCCGATCATCTGAATCTCATCGATGACGGCGACATCCATTTCTTTGTTGAGCGGCATCATTTCCACAGTACAAGCAGTCATGTTATATGGACTGTCATCCGTGGCGTCTATGGTCGTAACGCCGATTGGTAGGCGTCGTTCTTCGCCAGTGACCAGTGCGCATGGCTTACCCTTGGTATTGAGTCTTGTGAAAACTTCATGGGCCAACAACCGTAGCGGACCTGCGTATGCTCCTCTCGTGGCCTGCTCGAGTCGTTGCAGAGCATGATACGTCTTGCCGGAGTTCGTGGGTCCAACATGGAGATGGATGGTACGATGCTGCGCTCTCGTGGCCGGAAACCATTCTGTCGGATATCTCAAATCTGCCATCGCCTTTTGATTTTTGATGTCCGATTCTGTGAAACGTGCTCCGGTAACATTTCCATAGAAGGCATACTTGACGCGGTCTTCCAGTCCACTTTTGCCTCTTTCTCGAAACACGCTCGCGAGGTCGTTGTATAACGATTTCCCTTCATCGATGCGAAAAGCGTTGCCTTGCGCGCCAGACATGATCGAGGATGTGAACACCTTCCATAACTTGCTGAAACTGAAATCTCGTCCACTTTTGCCATCCCATTCCTGTTGGTCTTTCGCCATCTGCTCCAGTACAGGAGCTTCCTTGACATCTTCCTTCACTTTGGCCAGCACCTCCTGTAGCGCAGTCTTGAAATCTTGCTCTCTCCTGCCCCGGCCGCTCCAGCCAGTGTTGCTGTCAATGCCCCATTTCGAGAGGTCTGCTTCTTTTCTTGAAGTCCTCCTCACAATGTTGTCGGTCCTGTCGCCCCTGCTGCGGTGATACACTATTTGGGCTTCGCGTTCACGTCCTTCTCTTGGGCCTCCCGTTCGGCGGATGATGTTTCTCTCGTGCGAGCTTGGCTGCCATTCCTGCTGCCATTGCTGCTTTGAAGCACTCGCCGTGGAGCCGAATCGTTTCTGCTGTAAGGCGCGTAGTTGGGCGCGATAGTCACACCGAATGCATCGTGTGCCACTCCGCGATGCCACAATCATCGCTGAGTTCGCCACTGACCAGCCAGAGATGGAAGAGTCGCGTCTTTCATGTGGATGATGCGACCTCGATAACTTTGGGAGAGCTAGGTACGGGATACCATAGGGAGCTTCGGGCCGTAAAGGGCGCCGCGGCACATCGTCATAGCTTTTTGTGGTGCCCTGTCTGGTCTTGTCTTGTCCGGGTCCCGCCAACATGTGCGGGCGGGCAGCATCGCGCGCTTTGTGAAACGGCGTTGCACTTCTCACCAACACGCTCTCCACTCGGCACAACCCTCGCAGCTTCACCGCAACTGCACACCGACGCCCTCGAATTCTCCCCCGCCCACCCTCCGCGCCCACCAGACCGAATGCGACGATTACCGCCTTGAAGCGCCGTTGGTGAGCCACACAGCTCCAGCGCAGTTCCAGACATGGGGGTCTCCATCATAGACGCCCAGCGCGAGAGTGAGCACATTGCAACACAATTCAGGAGGAGACACTGATTATGGACCAGTCATTCTCAATGTCATCCGACAAGTCACCCGCGACGACGTACGATCCACCATCCTGTTGCCTTGCTCCATCCTCCTGACATTTTTGTTCTGCATAGTGGAAGGTGCTCGTGCTCGACCCACAGTCGCGGAAGCTGATCGACAATGTGGTCGACCAAGATGTTATCCTCAACGAGAATATTATGAGTATGCGCAGACAACGACGCAGTACGGAACACAGCCTGACCAAATGCAGGCATCGAGCTGATCACTGATCGACGAGCTACGAACCGCGACGCCGATGCCATATACCTCATTACACCTCAACCATGGATCGTGGATTGTGTCATGGCAGACTTCGAAAAACGGAAATACAGGAGGTCGCATTTGGTGTGGACGAGCCGTGAGTTGGTCATGCGGGGAATGAGCGAAGAAATGCTGACGGCAAGGACAAGTGCTACCACCTGCACTAAGAGAACGAATCGACAAGTCGCCGCTTCGGGACCAGATTGCACTCTTCAAAGTGTTGAATGTAGAATTCTTCCCGAGAGAATCACATCTGATCACTTTCCGAGATCCGTGGAGCTTTCCCATACTTTACCACCCGGCATGCAACAATCTCGTCAGACAACATTTGGAAGATCTGGCTCAGAAGGTAGGATGGTCAGATGTAGGACGTAGGGTTCGAGCTGAGGAGAATACAGGTTGTCGGAGTGTGCGTGGCCCTCGGAGAATATCCCACGATACGATACTATCGACCACGAACGCCTACGCATGAGGCGAGCATTCTGTGCTCACACCTGGCAAGATTTGTGCAAGACGAGCTCGATCTATATGCGAAATTTCACGACGATTTTCCCCCTGCAACCACGAGACCACGAGGAGTCCTATATATTGTCGATCGATCGATGGACCTCTATGCACCAATACTGCACGAGTTCACATATCAAGCGATGGCACACGATCTATTACCGATCAAAGAGGGTGACAAAGTTACTTACCGCATGCTGGTCAACGAAGGTCAGCCTGACCAGGCAGATAAGGACGTTGAGATTTCAGAAAAGGATAAGATCTGGGCGGAGAACAGGCACCGCCATATGGTCCACGTGATAGGGAAACTCGAATCTGATTTCAAGACGTTCCTCAAGAACAACGCCAACTTCACCAACAAGGAAGCGGAAGGCGTCCACTTGAACACGATCAAGGACATGATGGCAGGGTTGCCAGAATTTACACAGATGAAAGAAGCATATTCATTACATCTTGGTATGGCGAACGAGAGCATGAACCGGTTCCAGAGGCAAAGCCTACCCGATGTGGCGTCAGTAGAACAGGTGGGCAATATATTTGGATGTTCCTGTACATTCTCCGAACTAACGCGTACACTCTCAGATACTTGCGACTGGCCTCGACGAGGAGTATAAGAAACCCAAGGGAGTCGCAGCGCAAGTGGTCGCTACTCTGGATCAAGAAGGCGTCATACCCCCAGATCGACTGCGTCTGCTGATGCTCTTCATATTATGGAAAGATGGTCTTGTCCCAGCCGACCTTTCAAAGTTACTCGCACATGCACAACTACCGCCGCAAGATGGTGAGGCCATACACAACCTTGAAGTGCTGGGAGCGCGGACGACACGAAACCTGAAAGATTCCCGACCTATACCACAACCCCTGTTCCCGCTTAAGCCGCCGCCGATGACAGTTCAGGAGGAATATGCGCTCAGTAGATATGAGCCAGTGCTCCAAAATCTGCTCGAGGCACATGCAGCCAACAACCTCGATGCAACAGTATTCCCTTACACCAAGCCGCCGCTCGATATGAACGATGGGATGCAGCAACAGCAAGCGGCCGCGTCACTACGATCTGCCAAGCCTACATGGGCAAAGACGCGGACAGCCAACGCGGGGCAAGAGAACCGACAACGAGTGATAGTATTCATGGCGGGAGGTGCAACCTATTCAGAAGCACGCGCATGCTACGAAGTGGGAAGACAAACGGGAAGAGAAACCTTCCTCGTCACATCACACATGCTCACGCCGAGTTTATTTGTCCGGCAATTGGGCGATTTGTCCGCTGACAAGAGGCGGCTCAACATTCCAGCGGAGATGCCCAAACCTCAGGCACCGCGACACTTGTTTGAGCCTGATGAACAGCCGAAGCCCAAGCCTGCCCCTGCGCCCGTACCACAAGCGGCACAGAGACCGCCGAATGCGCAACCGCCGACACAGCAGATGGGCGCTATCAATCTGAATGGAGGAAGACCGAATGGGAGTGCGCCTAGTGCGCCAGCAGCAGGAACACCAGCGAAGCTTCACAAAGACAAAGACTCTGAGAAGAAAGAAAAGAAGAAGCATCATTTTGGTTTTGGCAGGAGCAAAGACAAGTGAGCAAGCGACGTGGCATTTGCAGTGGTGAAGCACGAAAAGCACAGGAATGAAGTCAAAATTCTGAGCTTCTTCCCAACTAGTGTCACGCATATACCCACTCAATCGAGCAAGCAGCTCTGACGGCACTGTGGCGGCTCTCAGCTCAGAAGATACAAGATAGTAATCGGATGTCGAAAAGAATGTGTCTACATTTTCCATTTTGGATTGCTTTACTCACTTTCACGTTTTGAATCCATGCCTTTTACAAGTGTGGTACTCAAATCACAAGACATCAAAGCTACCAGAACAGCAGCGTCATTTGCGGAGTCCATACCAATCTATATGCTTTCATCAACCAGTCACAACCGTGCTCTAGCGTTGCAACAAGCATTCCTCGTCGTCTTCTTCTCTCAATGCAGCATTCAATTTTCCAAGTAGATTTCCCAAGCTCCGAGCACATATCCACTACCTCTGCCCCTTGAGTTCTTCCTCCACTTGCCTCACCACAATCTCTCTCACTTGCTTCCAATCCGCTTTCGACTCGGTGATGCGCTTCTCCAATCTATCCAGTCCAATGAATTGCTCTGGAAGCACAGTCTCGAATGTGAAACCTGGAACCTCTTGCAACGCGAGCTCCACGGCGTGCGAGAACTTCGCAGGATGTGCTGTTGCAAGAGAAATGAGATGTGTTTCCTTGGAAACAGTTTGAGCTTGTCGAAGAGAGGCAGCAATACCAATTGCAGAGTGAGGATCCAGGATATAGTGTCCATCGTGAACCATTCCAGTCGTCGCTGGTTTGGCGTTACCATTCGTTTGATGCTTAGCAGCAGGTATTGACCAGTTGTAGACTTCCTTGATCGTCTCGATAGTTTGCTTATCGCTCACTCGCTCAGATTCGAAATCCTTTTTAGCAGCGGCGAGAATCTCCTTCTCTACGCCGAAACCTCCATCTTTCTTGAGTGCTTCTAGCCAGCCTTTGACTTTTGATCCGGCTTCCATTCGGCGTCTGTTTGTTTCTTCTGTTGTGCTGGTTTGGAATGCGAGATACCAGAGTAGTCGTTCGAAGTTGGAGGATACGAGGATATCCATGGCTGGGGCGTAGGTCATTTTGACGCCGCTGGGGTCTGCTTTTGCTCCGTCTTCCACTTCTGCTCCTCCACCTTCGATTTCCTTGCCGTGTCGAGCCTGCTTCTCGTAGTACCCGGTCTTCCAGAAGCGGTGCAGAATGTCGTTCTCGTTTGTTGCGATGACTAGCTTGTCGGTGGGTAGGCCCATGCGCGAGCCGAAGTAGCCTGCTAGAATATCGCCAAAGTTGCCGGTTGGGACGACGAAGCGTGCAGTTGGATTTGTGGTCGCGGTCTGTCGTGACAGCGTGAAGTAGGCGTGAATGTAGTAGGTGATCTGGGCGAGGATGCGTGCCCAGTTGATGCTGTTCACAGCACCAAGGCGGTGAGTGGAGTTGAGCTCCTGGTCGGCGAACAGCGTCTTGAGAATGTCCTGCAAGATGTCAGTAATGCCTCGACAGAAAAGTCGCGTTCCTTACCTGACAATCGTCAAATGTACCCTCCACAGCCAGATTGTGCACGTTCGCGTCTGTCACCGTAGTCATCTGCGCCTCTTGAATAGGGCTGACCTTGCCCTTGGGGTACATGATGAACACGGAGACATCCTTCTTGCCTCGCAATCCATAAATTGCTGCTGAGCCTGTATCTCCACTCGTCGCGCCAATGACAGTCAGGTGTTCTCTGCTCTTGCCTTCCTTCTTCGCATTTCTCCTCACAAGGAAGTACTCGAACAAATTGCCCACGAACTGCAATGCTACATCCTTGAACGCGAATGTCGGTCCGTGGAAGAGTTCGAGCAGATGGAGGTTCTTCGTCTCGTCGAGGGTGACAACAGGCGTGATATCTGAAGCGCGGAACGAGGCATAACTGCGTTGAATAATGTCTTTCAAGTCTGCTGCTGGGATCTCGTCGGGCGAAATGTAGAGAGAGAAGATCTCGTAGGCCAATTGCTGGAAAGTGTAGTCCTTCCATTTGCTCAAGAAGTCGGAGGGCAATTGAGGGACCTCCTCAGGAATGAACAGGCCTCCATCACTGGCGAGGCCTTTGAGGACGACTTCCTCGAACGACAGCTGCAGCACTTTTCAGCGTAAGCTCCAATGCTGCTCCAACCGTGAACTTTTTTGGGACTCGCAGTCGCAGGGTTGGTGGGGCTTCAGACGTACATCGTAGGAGCCGCCTCTCGTGCTCAAATAGCGCTGTGAAGGACTGTGCGAAACCATTGTATTTTTGTGCTGTTATTTGGACCGCAGAACAACTACTTCCTGCGTGTCGCTTTGACGTGACTGTTTATCGTCTGGCCGGTCCGGTGAGTCGCATTGGCTTGGACCCCTCCTCGCCGAACACCGGACGACTGCCCTGCCAAGAGACCGCGTCTGTCCTCCGACTTCATCTCGTACAACCACGTCCATCCGACAACACACGTGCCATCACTGATCTATTGCGGAACGTCAGGTCTCACTTCCGACCTCTACTATACTGTTATGTTCATCAGAGAACATGAAGAAGAAGGTGCCAGGTCCTCGAGGCTGATTCTATCGACGACCCGGCAAGTTGCAAGCCAAAGGGCACACTACTGGAGACGATATACCATCAAGTACGAAGGGACACGGCGCGTAAACGCAGAAACAAGCACGAAGACATCGCGGGTAAGAACTTTTCTTGGCATTTGTAGCTAAATACATGCCATTGCGACATTCCCGAAATCGCTCGCAGAAGTGAAAGCATGTTTCGTGTTAAAGAGCACTCTTGAGACTCAAAACTCGACAGCCTTGGCCGAGTATACAATTCGGGTCCTGCAGATACAGCAGCGCAGACCAAGTTCCTCGACAAATCAAATGTAAAACTTTTCAAGACCACCGTACCTGCCATTGCGTCTGGCGGAAAGCGAACCACAGCTGGAGATGATCGTTGTACTTTGGAAACCTCAGAGAAGGCATCGTCGACTCTTTGCATACTTGAATAGCGCCTCAACAGATCTCGTTTCTCGGCCAGCTAGAAGAACCAGCCACGAGAGCGACGCGTCTGGAGCTGAGGGCGGCCTTTGTCGCCTGGAACATCACCGTCGGTCGATGTCTGACGAGAAGAGGAAGATGAGCCGCTGCCAGCATCCTTGCCGGAGGAGCTCGAACCAGTTTGCTTGCCTTTGCCCTTATCTGGGCGCCCCCGACGATCATCGCCACAGCCGCTCGATCCTTCGTCCTCTTCGGGCACTGGCTGGAGCTTCTTCTTGGAACTGCCAGCGCTGACTTTGGCTATGGTATCGCCTTTGCTGAGCCCAGTGCTGTACCCCGGGCCGTATGCACCCTGATCGGTGTAGAAGCTCTTGAGTGCTGGACGACCCGAGCTTGATGGACCGGCGACGGGGGTACGGTCTTGGTCTTGGACTCCGCTGTTTGTGCTGCGAGATACATCGCCAGACTCGAAAGGTGGTTTGTTGGCTTTTGAAGGACCGTATGGGCCTTGGTCGGTATAGTAGGCACGCAAGGGCGGACGCTCAGCCTGATGCGGGATCTCCGCCAACTCGAGCTCGCGCTTCTTTAGCTCGCGCATGCGCGCCTGAGTGTACGGGTTGTGACCGCCATACCAGGAGGGGTCCATGGCGTAGTCGTGGTCTTGTGTTGTTTTCTTGTGTTGTGCTGTTCTGGTGTTGCGATTTGTGGTCTTGCAGTTGAGCCCCGATGATGTTACAGTTGTGCCTTTGTGGTTAACCTGCGAGGTTGCTGATCCGAGAGGCTTGCTGTTGGGAAGAGCAAAGAGAAGAAATGATCAGTTCTTTTATGGTAAGATCGCAGTGTCTGAGTACGGAGTGAATGTTGCGTTTGGGACACGCATGGCTCGTGCACGCATGATCCTGCCTCGAGGTGAATGAAAATTGTCTTCTGCCATTGCTCACATGATCTTAGCACCAACTTGAGCTATGAACACGCTTGACATGGGAGCTTCAGCTGAATGGCTTGGCTTTTGCGCAGTTGGAAGCCCGGAATCTTGGACAATCTCCACCTAGGCCTTTTTGGAACGATACTGTTTCGGTCGATGTGGAGCCAAAGGCCAGCCACATGGCTTCCATGACATGCCATTGCACGGTGCAGAGCATGCTTGAAGCGACACTCGGCAGCTGGAAGACATGCCAAAGGACCGGAGGCACGAATGATCTGGGCGCAGGTTCCGGACAGTACTGGGCACCACGTAATGTCGACCGCAGATACCAGCAACGTGACCTTTCGACGAGCGGCAGTGTCAAGCCACGCCATCTCCGTCTCGCGAACGCGAGCGGAATCCAAGGTATCAGGATGTCAAGCAGATTGCCTGCTGCAGGAACCCGAGACTAGCCCCAGTCCGCTCGCATGGACCTTCAGCGCAGAACCTGCTTTTCCTGGACCTCCGTTTGCATCTGACATCATGCTCTGGCCCATAAAACGAGCCTGCTCTTCCTCTCACAGCTTCTTTCTCTTCACATCCATACTCTTATACTCTATTGCACTTTTCATTATATATGCAGCATCACCAGATTTTATACTCACAGACACAGAAGAAGCAGGCCGACACTATTGTGTCTGTTTCCGGCGAACCAAGAAAAGCTTCGCATTGCCAGAACTTGATCGAAAACAAGCGTCCACAAGAGGCTCTCAAGCCTGCTCTGGTGGTCCCGTCGATCCAGATACTCCCTGCCGATCCTGTATACGCCTAGGATCGCGGAAATCGACATTGGCCTCGTAGAACTCAGCGAGCAAACATGACGGACCAAGACGAAGATCAGCACTCCTCAGACGAGAGATCAGTAATATCGAACCAGAGATCGCACAGCTCCGCGAGCAGATCTCACTGCTGGAAGAACAAATTCGTTGTCTATACTCCAGAAAGTGACGAGTCCCTTCTACCGACAGGCACACACTATTCTACTGCTGCCGTTGAGAACCAGGTCTGCAGGATCGTATTACGGTTCATTACTGCTCTCTTTCGGATCATGGAAGGAAAGAAAGCAGGCAAAGCAGGATGAGGGACTCGGATGGTCGGAGAAGGTCGATTACGAAAAGAACTGTCCTCTCGGCAACGAGGAAGAGCCGATCCCAGAGCCGGAGCCCGACAATCTGATATGCATCATATGCGCCAGTCGAGAAGCCATTGCTGAGCAGAATGAAGAATTCCAGTGTTCGGAGTCGCTTTCCGATTGTCAACAACCGGATACCGGGCGTCGAACACATGGCAATCTCGTCGCCCTGTTCTACGCCTTGACGGAAGCCGTGGAAGCATGGTGCGCCAAGTTCAAGCCATCCAGGAAGTCATCAACCCGTGAGTGGATGCTGGAGTTCAATGAGCAACCTTCTTGTTCAGCAAGTCGCCACCGGACATTCCGAACACAACGCTGTCGTGCCTGATGAGCTGGCGGGACATCATGAACTGCGTTCACCAACTGCGGTATTTCACTGTGATTTGGTAAGCGGTGCCGACAAGGACGATGAAATGCACCATCTGTACATCGATCTGGTCCCTACCGGCTCTCACAGCCGTACACCAACGACTAATGAATCGAGTCGCCCAACATACAATGACTCGACCAGAGTGTTCAGCGGTTGGTCGGTCCCGAGTACGCCGCTCCGGTCTTGCTTTTCGCTCGCAAGGGCTCACTGCAGCTACGTCTCAGAGACCAGGACCCGTGTTACGTCTTCTGATTGTCGTCCAGCAGCAGGCTTTCATCAACGACGCCCTTGAGCGTGCCTTTCACGTCCAAGGTGGCATCCACATCCACACGACGCCAGCGCACAGAGCCCAGAATCCTACGAATGCGTCACTGTTGGGCATTCCCCGCGAAGTCTTGGGTGATGGGCCAGACTATCGAGCCTACTTCCTGCCGGCATTCCTGACGACCAATACATTTCACTTCTCCAGCCACGCCGACTTCGTGTGGTGGCAAAGCCGGTGCATAAAGCATCTTCGACAACGAAGAACAAGACGGAAAGACGGCCCTCCGATCACTTTGCTAGCCGTCTCCGCAGAGAACAGAGGGCCGCAGAGCTCACGGAGGCTCATGGGCTCACATATGGTGGCGATCTGGGCGCAGACGATTCTTCGCGGGCAAACATTCGCTGTTGAGATTTGATCTCCAGGCTCACAATCAACCGCATCGGCCGATCGATTCGATTGCACACGCATGCGGCTTCAAATTGTCGTCTACGAAAGATATCTGGTCTCGATTCTGCGCATCCGGGTACTCCTCTCCCACAACCTGCGAGGTTTTTAACCTGCGCGGCAAGCGTGAACTCGACGCACATGTTTCTTTGGAGATGTGTCGGTGCACTGGGTCACCAAACTCAGCACCTTCGTGTCTTTTCACATCGCCAGCAGAGAAGCTACCGTACGCCACAGTATATCATTTCGAATTCAACCTACTATACTCTCCTCCTCAGTCAGTCCATACTTCGACCGGCGCTACATGGGGAGCGTCGCTCTTCCTGTGGAGACGATCACCACAATTCAATGTCGAAGCCGCTCGCCTGTCGGCCGTCGATGTAGGCGGCAATACAGACATGACCGACGGAATGTCTACGCCCAGTTTGGAGGCCCTGTCCACGCCCAGTCCGGAGGCCCGATCCTCCACGAGCTACGACCCAAGCTCGGACGGCTCCTCAGACAAGCCATTCTTTTCGGACGACGGAGAGACCTTGGACATCGACAGTCCATCGGTATTAAGTGACTCCAGCGACGAGGAAGAAGGCCCGGAAGAAGGCTCGGAATATAGCAGTGGAGATCGTAACAGCCCAGGCGGCGATGCGGATGTTAGCGATGGAGAATTCGGGTCTAGTTCAGAGGCCCAATCGTGCGCTACTTACAATCCATCTACATCAAGTAACTCCAGCGACGAAGATCAAGACGGAAACAGCGACAGTGGTCATCCAGGCGTGAACTCAACGCGCACCACTCGCACGCGGCTCCGATGTTGGACCATAGCAACAACTTCGTGCTGGTCTGCCTCTATCATTGTCATGTAATCTATGAACAATGAATTTCCCGGCTGAGTTCGTCGCCAACGTCCGCCTGGGTGCAGTCCGTGCCGAGCTAGAGCACTTCGGAGCGCGAATTGCAGTTCACTACCAGAAATTGGTCGTTCCATTGATCAAGTCTTCTTCCACGCTGGAGAAGAGGCCAGTCGTGCTGTGGTCATCAATGGCACAGCCCTCGTCCAGACCAATTGTTCCGACATGACGTGCAGGACTCTTTCTCCAAATCTCTACGCTCTGTCAACGCGCGCTCGAGCGCCTCGTCCAGTGCACAAGGGAGACAAAGGAACAAGCCCATTCTCATGGCGGACAATGGCTTTGTTCAATTTTCACATCCCGTGCCTGAGGTCCCCGTTCACTCGGACACACGGGTTGTGGAAAGTGATGGGCGGCTACACTTCACTCGCCGCACCCTGCGCGCTGCTGCAGATATACTCTTCCCCTCCATGACCATTATACTCTTCTGCATCATACATGAGAGCAGACTTGCAAACACTTGACCACGAAGATACCAGCTTTTCTGCACTCATTCACGCAGGCGGCATCAGTCTCAATCAACCAGAACGACATAAAAACTGCCACTGCACTAGTCGAAAACATGAGCGACATGACCGACATGAAGAAGAAAGACGTGGCTGTCGCAACTGGCGAGAGTCAGAACTTCGACCACAGCAAAGACCTTGACGGCTGGGACGACTGCAGCATCGAGGTTACACCAGCGGAGGAGACTGACTTCGACATGCGCTCTTCTACAGACAGCAAAGAGAGCAAGAACACCAAGACTTCTTGTGCTCGCTCTGAAGACTGTGACACGGACGCTTCCTCTCTCGACGAATTCGAGGACGCCTTCGAATACGTTAGTCGCATGGATGTTCCCCCGAACCCTATCAAAACTTTGCAACAAATACACGCAGTACACGTCGCAGGGACACACAATCATATCCTGCCTCCTTATCGCATCAAAGGTGACACGGCAGATCTGCTCACTACGACATACCATCCGGATTCTCCAGAAGGCAAGGCTCTGCGAGCGACATACGAAGCTCAATATGAGAAATTTCGGCCAGCGTACGAGGCGGAGACCGACCCTCAATACGACCACTGGGAGTACGACCAAGCTGTCGCGGATCTCAAAGACTATCGCCACGGTCTCAAGGTCGTTCACGTGCGTGGCTTCACCGGAGAAATTCCTACCATCTTCTATGATGTCGTCTGTGACGAGACCTGTCCTCAGTATCAAGACAACCTGGCGAAGCAAATCAGCAGAGCAGCACAGAGGCTGAAACAGGATTGGTGGGACGATCTTGATCTGGGAGGACTATTCTGATTGATCATTGGAGCAGCTCAGCATCAATGGACACAAGACACCACCAGGGAAGCCATCGCCCGTGTGCAGGGAATGACACATCTCCGTGCAATCAGCCCATTCGAGAGAAGAGATGGGGGCGATCCCTACGCCTACCAGCCTTCCGCCGGCGAGAAGCAAAAGCGTAGCAAGAAGGACGTCGGCAAAGGCCGTGAAGCGAAGCGTCGTTGCAACCACAAGTAGTCGCTACTTCGCCGCGCACTGCATCAAAGCACGATTTCTCAGCATCGCATCACACAAACAAAGACTTCACCACCACACCTGACTACATGGTACCCCGCGTCCATGAACCTGTCGCACTATCGATCGAATACAAGCCTAGGCAAAAAGAGCACGATTGACTTGATTTGGCCTCCCGAGCGTCCGCAGTGCCAAAGGATGCTGCACTGGCCCTGTTTCTTCAGAATCTGAGGCATGAGGAAGTAGGACAAGATGGGAGCTGTTCCTTTCCTTACTGCAGATTTGGTATCGGGGTATTCGGGAACGTTCGGAACCTTGGCAAGGAGAGGAGACACAGAGGAACGAAGAGGCATGTGGCCGCATGTTGGAATTCCTCAACAATCGTGTTGCCTCCTAGGGTCCGCAGAGTTTCGGATGTCTGGGCAACATGAAGGCCGCGGTTGGCGCCGCTGCGATCAAAGCGGCTATGTGGGAGTATAGAACAAACAATACCATCAGTTGTTATCGAAATTTAATGTCTCTAGTCTTCCTGTGTCATATCCTACCGTGTGAGAGCAAATACTACTTACATTGTACGTTAGTGCTTGGTTAAATATATCTCAGCGCTGAAGTTACAGCTCTGGCAGTTCCTCGATCACTGAAGCATACAATAACACGAAACACAGTTGCTGCTGGCCAGGAATCTTTGAGCATCCCGCATGTAATGACATTGCCCAGATGTTTGTCGATGCCGGGGAAACTAGTGACAATGTGTAATTGACCATCTCATCACTCACAACATACTTGATCTCGATCTCTTCCATCCGTTTGTGCGATTGTTTGCTATTTTGAAACATGCTTTTCTACCTTTCAGCTTTGCTCGTGCGTGGAGACTAAGATCTTGCGCTGCTTGTTCGAAGCCTGAGGTTGAAGACGTCCACAGCCCTCATGGCCTGCTACTCATGTTCTCTTATATTCGTTCAAATCTACCCTATATGCTTAGCTGAGTGTGCTTTGCTACTCTATGCCGTACCAATTGCAGCGGTCTGGTCTTCGGCAACATGTTCGAACCCGATACAGAGCGATGCGCTTGTACGTAGGCGATCAAAGCCGTCACTTGCTGCCCATAAGGGGCATGTATACGCTGCCTTCACTTTCTCGCGAATCACGTTTATCGAGGTGAACGATGGTGAAGAGGCAATCATCCGTCTCTTCACGCTCTATCGGAAGCGTACAGCAATCTTCAGGACGCTCCCTGGTCTGCTCTTGTTCGACGAACTTCCAGCAGTAACATCAAGTTGTCTCAAGCAGAGCGGCACCCAGCTCCAATCGACCGGACCCATCACGAAGCTCTTCCACAAGTAGCAATATCAACACCGAAAGCCAAGATGGCTGGCTCACAAAAGAAGGACGTCAACAGCAGCTCTGATGAGCGTGGGTGCCTCCAGCCGGTCGATCGCTCCATTGCGACTCTTCAATCTGTGAATAAATCCGAATCTGGTGAAGCTATTCTACATGGTTCTATCGATCAAGATATAGAGGCTGGTTCCTGCAACGAATCCATCGAACCTCCCAACGCGCTTGCACGCCTCATGGCCGATCACTCTGACGCAGAAGAGGATCCCATGATGATGGCACAGATTGGTCTCGTAGAAGACGACTGGATATTCGCCGATACAGAAGAAGATGCCGTTGAGCCTGACCATTACTCATCGACTACAGCACTCGTCAAGCCTCATGAGGAACTTGACGAGTTTCAGGAGATCACCGACGACGAGATCAAGTCCAGCAACGATCCAGCAATCGTTCACGACCAGCATGTTCGCGCCATGGCCTACCACGTTGTGCCGCCATATCCTATCCCAGCAGAATACGCCATTCCACCAAAGCCCGAAGACACCAGTCACGCTGCCCAAGTTCGTCAATACAAGGCGTTTACGGAAGCCTGCTACCCTGGAAATGACGAACAGCGTGAGCAGGCAATCAAGAGAGCGAACGAGAGTTTTCCACGCTATGGCTCTCCTGCGACATTCGTCCGTATTGTTCACGTGAACGGCCAGGCACAGGAAGTCTCAAAGTGGCAAAAGACTAAGTGCGATGAGACTTGTCCAATGAAGAAGAAATCCTTTCTCAAGAAGCTGGCGGGCGTTCCAGGCAAGTTGTTGAGCAGCATGCCTTATGGCAAGCTGTCTTAGAGAAGCTGCTGCCTTGGTCCTTTGTTGAGGAGGAATGATTGCAGTTTCAGAGGTATATTCATGGCAAATGCATGCCGCTTTGACGTTGGTTGATTGATTGTTTGTATTCTAGCTGCACGATGGATGTCTAAGAGTGTTTGCTGTCTGCTCGAGCTACGTGGGTAGATGAATATATGTACCCTCCATTCATCATCTTCCAGATTGCCCACTTCTTCGTTCATCACTATATCCATCTTCGAACACATTATACGCCCACTCGCTCGCTATATTTTCAATACAACCACTCCGGCAAAATATCTTCCAGCGACAACTTTTTGAAGTCAGCGATGATGCCCCTGAAATGAAGCATAACGTGCACGCACCTTTCGCCTGCCCGTGGCCGAGCAATCCGATCCGAACACAATGCCCAACACAGCGTCTGCTACACCTCAAGTCGAGCACATCCTCCTTACACAACGCACCACTGCCAACTCACGCAAGTTGACGCCGAATGACAAAGCGAAGGAGAAGACCTTTATGGACCACCTCGTGGAGTCTTGCTCGCTGTGCTCTGAGAACAAAGGCATTGTTCAAGGTGCGACTCTTCACTCGCGAAAACGTGACATCGCAGTGATTGAACGACTGTGAAGTGTCAGCACAACGTCTTCGTGCTTCGTGCTCGATACAAGAGCAACCTTCCGAGCGCTGTTCTCGGCCTTCTTCTTACACCATAACTCAAGAACCAGAACCAGAAAAAGAACGGTCGCACTCAGTCGCAACAGCAAAGCACACGCAGACTCCAGTATTCACATCATCGCCAAATTTCTGCTCTTACCACACAAATCAATATGTCGTCGACTTCAACCAAGAACAACGTCAGCAGCTCTCCTGAGCAGGGCACTCCCATGGCGGCCAAGCCCAGCCTCAAATCCATCGAGCCACCTACGGGCATCGCCCGCCTGATGGCCGATCATTCTGACGACGAAAATGACCCGATGACCATGGGCCAGATCGGTCTGCAAGGCGGCGTTTGGGATAATTTCGACAAGGAGGATGATGATGCTGCGCGTAACTCATCTCCAACTCCATCAAAAGCGCTCGATGAACACGAAGACTTCGAGATTATCGGCGACGAGGAGCTCCCGGATGACAACGATCCCGCCTATGTGCATGACCAGCACGTTAGGGCAATGATGAACCATCGAGTTCCCCCATACCCGATCCCATCACAGTATGCAACACCGGCCGGAGACCGCGAGGATCAAATTGCTCGCTACCACATATTCCTTGAAGAGTGCTATCCAGGTAGCAGATTGACGCGCGAAAACGCCATGGACAGAGCGTTGAATAGTGCTCCTCGCCACGGAAGCCCGAATCGCTACCTCAGAATCATCCATATCAAGGGTGAGACGCTAGAGGTTCACAAAGACGACTGGGTCCCATGCGACCGTACTTGCCCAGCGCGCAAGAAAAAATTCCTGGAGAAGTTGAAGGCCGCACCAGGGAAGATTTTGGGCATGCGCTGAACGGGCTTTGTTCGTCGTCGTCGAATTTGGCGGGTTTCGAGATGCAGCATTTCTTTTGTTTGCGGGTTGGTGATGCTGGAAGGATGGTAGAAGATTTTCATCTGTTTGAGTAGGTTTAGCGTTTTGTATTGCTTTCAGGTTCGAGATGAATTGAAGATTGCGTACATGCATCCACCGGGTTTTCGTTTTTCCTGAAGCATTCGGCCATCGAATGACATTTTCTGTGAGCATCGATGTTGATTTCCGTCCTTTTGCGCCATCGAGCCAGCGTCCCGATTACGCTATTGTCAGTTGAGGCGGTCTCACCACACCCTCAGAAAGCGCGACACTATGCCGCACGTATTGAACTGCAAAGATGGTATCATATTAGCCATGCCTCTCTATAGTCTATCGTACACGATCATCATCGTCAGCCAGATCATCGCCAATACTCATATGTCGATCCCACCATTCCTTTCTCTCAGGCAGTGTCTGCTGTTGCTGCTCACTAATGATGCTCGTTCTTCGCTCCTGTAAACTTTTGCGATGCATTTCATAGTCCGCTCGTTCTCTAGCCAGGCGCTCTTGTGCCTGTTCTGCTTGTAATATTCGTCTGTCGCTGCCACCACTTCGAGTCCGCCTGTGCATTGGCGGCTTAGCTCGTGCGGGACTCTGAACGCCGCCCGGTATCGACGCGTTCGATGGTTTGTGTGTGCTCGCCTGTCCTGTGACGCTCATGCTCCAACGCTTGATCGAATTTAGTAAGCCGTTCTGTGAGGTGTTCTCGTCTGGTTTCTCCTGGGTTGAGGGGAAAGCACTGCTCTTTCGCCTTTGCTCATCGATCCATTGTCGACTAAAGCAATATCTCCAGAAACAGAAGCTGCCAAAGAAGGTTCCGTCGCTGCCAGGGATGTGCCGCCAGGGCTTCTCTCGCCAACAGAAAACACAAACATCACAAAATCCCATGATGTTTTGGCAGAATATATTGAGCACCGAAAAGGCGAAGATTGGATGCTGTGCGTAGTAGTCGCTGTAGGTCAAGGTATGGTTGATAAAAGGAAAGATCCACAGAAGGAGATACATGACCGGATAGATGAAGAGCAGCCTCAGTTGTCGTTGTATGGCCTTGCGGCGGCTCTGCATGGCTCTTGACGCTACATTTCCCGGGGCGCTCGGCGTTGTTGCCAGAGTGGTTTTCTGTTCTGTAATTGGCGCCAGTGGTGGCTGCTCGCTACACGACTGTCGAGAGGCTGCTGTCGAAATCGAGCCTCTTGGTCGGGTGAGCTCGATTGGCGGAGCAGCGAAATCCTCTGCAAGTACACCGTTGGCCGCAGAAATTTGTCGACTGCCGCGTCGTGATGATGGCATACTCCTGCTGGTCAGTGGAAGCGGCCCCGGGGGTGGCAAGTCGAACGGATTGGCTGAGCTGTTGCCGAAGGGGGATGCCCAATTTGGAACCGACTGTCTCCTGTTCGGGTCTGCGCGAGGGAATGTGTTCGATGCACCAGAGTTCTTGCTGTGCATTGGTGCGAGGATGCTATCATCGTCGGGCGCGATGTCGTCCTCGCCTACCAGCTGCTTCTCAATCGTCGCAGCGTCTGAGTGCGAAGACATGTTCCGTTGCATTGCGACTGATTTGATAGTGGTTGGGGCATTGCTGGTCGCCCCTGGGCTGTGATCGGGAATACCAGCGCTTGAGCTTTGGTCCTGCTCCTGGCCAAAAACTCTGAATTCGTACCCTACGTGCCGATATATTCTGACAGCAACTCCCATTACGAATATCCAGTTGAGGTATCTCGGTATCCAAGAGAGCGCAAGTCGATACCAGATTGGGCGTATAGGCAACGAACAAAATCCACCTTGAGAGACGAAAGCAGGGCCTGAATTGGCGAAGGCAAGCGAAGTCATAAGGTTGGGTACCAGGACCCATCCTGCGAGGACGTACCATCTGATCCGATACAGGCCATCGGCTCCTAGGCGGGAATTCTTTGGCGGAAAAATTTGGAGCATCATGTGCAAGCTCATAAGCAAGATAGCACAATCACAAGCTTCCAGACCAAGCTGGAGGAAGTATCCTGTCGCCTGACAGAAGCTCGTTCCGGTGGATATATGGCCCGTTGCGAGCGTGGTGACGGAAAAGACGAGGAACCATGTGGACTTCCAGAAATCTCCTACGATGAGAAGCAAGACCAGATCTCTTCGGAAGTTGCGTCGCATCATGCAGAACCAGTAAATAGCACATATGGCCGAAAGCATACTGATGCTTGCAAATGTGGACGCAATTACTTGTAGCTGATATTGCTGCCTCCGCGCGAGGACCGCTGAGGCATTGAAGTCGGGATTGTAGCCAAGTAAGCTGGCTCTTGGATGCAGAGTCAGGCCAAATTGGTCGGGTAGTGCAGCTGATTGTATCGTAGACATGGCGGCTGCCAGAGCAGTCGCCGGTTGCTGTGTGAGGCCATTTCCGATGCTCGCAAAGGCGCCCTGGAGGTCGTCATTCGAAGCCATTGGTGAGGACCAGAACAGGTCGGTCTACTTCGCATCGGCCGAAATGCTATAGCGGCGGCTGTTGCTCGCAGCCAGGACCAGAACCGCTATCCAGGGAGGCACTCATTTGTTCCGTCGACCACGATCACCAAATCATGGTCAAGGTCGTGAACAATCAGCACTCGGATATCCTTTTCCGCCTGGACTCGCGGCTGTCGTCTGGGGAGCAGGGCCTAGAAACGCGCAAAGATGTATTGCAAGCAGAAAGTCGACTTTGTTTGGGAATTGGCCCAGCGCTGTGGTATGCAAGCTTCCCTGCTGGCATGCGGCAAAAGACTCGGGCGTGAAAAGGACGTCTTGCGGCTCAGTTTGCTGTCGGTTCCGCGGCCAAGAACAATGGGCTCAACTTAAACCGCCAACCCGCGTCGAGCTCAACGTGTACTGCCGTGCAGTGATTGACAAGCTGCGAGCAACAGAAGCAGTTCTCCTCGCTGCCCACGAATTGATGCTGTGAAGTGTAAAAAGAAGGAGGCTGTCTCCCTTGCATGCCAGCCGCACGAACATGCGTTCGGATGGGCTGTGCCCATGACTGGAATGCAAGAAACGAATAGGGCGAATGGAACACGTTCCGGCGATTCTCTTCGCTGTAACCGGTCGATCTCTGCCAGATGTAGGGCAAAATGTGCAGCCACTTCGGCTGATAGCTCGAAACAGATCAAGATCTGCACATCGAGGCGTCGTATGGCGCCGCCATTGGCATCCTCAGGCAGTCGCAACCGGTGGAATCCGTCATTTCTCCTACTGTGCAGCGTCCTAAAAAGCCATTAGGACGCCCCTAACGCCTCCTTCGTGGGATTTTTGCGATCGCGATGCTTGACACGAACGCGTTGACCATGTAGATAGCACGTCATTCTTGCTCAACGGAGATACATTACCAAATTAGACTCACTTCTCGTGTCTTTTTCGGTCGCGAAAAGACGGCTTCTGAAGAGTACCAGCCAAGTGGTCAAGTTGAGACCACGGCACGCTGTCTGATCTGCCCCAAATTCTGCGGCTCAAAGGGTCAAGGCGACGTCTCCGCACTTCCTCGGCTGTACAACGTGAGGAGTCGTGGCAGCTTGACGCATGCTGTGAAATAGCTTGGTACGAATGATCTCCTCGGTGCTCATTGGATAGTAGAAACCCGTTCCAGCTCAACTGTCTGAGGATTCCGCGCCGAGAGGTGATGCGGGTGGCGTGTCGCGTTCCGACTCTAGGCCGGTCCGACGCGTTCTCTGGTATATCGACGTCGTGCTCGGAGTCCAGAAAGCAGACTGTGTGCAGAAGCAGTGTATACCATATGTCCAAAAACTCGTTTTCCTCCGAGGTGGTTATCAGTTTCTGAAAACCGTGGCTTTCGGGAACTTCGAAGGTACCGCAGCATACGTGCCAAGACCATGAGCTTTCGCGTGGTCATATGCATACTGGTTTCACGAGGTCGAACTCACTCTGGCAATACACTACACAGCCTCACAGCATGTGAATTCGACTACGTCGTCGACCATGGACAAGGATAGACTCACGTCTTGTAAGAACCACGAATGGGGCCTCGACTTAGTGCATGGTATGGACCTGGTCGAAGGAACGCCAGACATATGCCTGGTGCTCGTAAGCTATAACCAAGCAGAGTTGCCATGTATATCGGGCCTGTGATTGGCCTTGCTGGACGTGGTTTAATTTGTCCCTGCGAGAATTGTATCGTCTGGTCTTGGAGAGGGCTGTTACTTGCTCAGGCCGCTGCTTGGGAGCCAGTAAATGGTATGTTGCCTCGCCCTGGGTCGCAGTGTACATAGAACACAGTATCTGGAGAGTTGTATCTCACACTGATGATGTCTTTTCGATGGATCCACGGCGGGAAGGCCGCCGTAGCCTCGCACAGCCCGGCACAGTCTGACACTGTCTGGCACGGCGGAAAGCGGATCATGCGGGGCCTGGCTGGACTTCACCAGCAATCTACTGCGATGGACCTTCGTACCGCTCTTCCAAGCGAGCAAACCATCACGCCAAAAGGACACGACAAGACACGACTGAGTCGTACCCATCATCTCAGGATGATTCGACGACGGAAGACTCGCCTCTTCACACAAATCAGGCGCCTTCCGGGCTGGAAAATCACATGACGGAAATTGCATGCGAAGCGGCAATGAAGATCACGCTCGAGCCTTTCGTTCTGCAGTTCGGCGTTGAGTTCATCGCGTAGCGGCTCATCATCAAATTGATCCTCCCGTGACGGAAGAAAATGCAAGCAAGCAAGCACGAAAGCAGGAAGCAGGCAAAGTCGGCAACAAAAGCTGTGGTCCTCGACTACGATGTAAGCGGAGAAATTGCTGTCCCTTTGGATTCAATTGGGAAGGTCGAAGAATATTGGCGAAGAGCTCCCGTGTTTGTTCTTCCGCTTCGCGCGCCACGGGTCGCCCGGAATCCCTGCATGCATGTCTCACACCCATGCTTTGCATGAAAGTGCTTGAGCGTGAGAGCGGCCCTTTCCACATTCTGATTTCTGACTCTCGGATGAGTGTGGAGGATGCATTTTCGCCATTTTGTCAACAGGCCACGTTGGCCAACGTTCGCGTCATCGGGAGCCGATGCGTGCCGTACCATATGATCGCGGATGAGGGGGATTAGTGAGCCGATATCTCAAATCGATCTACAGTACTACTGCTCCTGAAGGATTTTGGTATCGTTCTGATGAGAACGGCGATTTTCGCGGCGATAGCTGTTGTGGAGGTATCGAGACCAACAGAGAATCTGGCCTCGTCTATTCCGCGATCGTACAGGCCATGTCTGTGATCGCCAGTCTCCATAAATTGCACATCCGGTCTATCGTTCCGTGTGAACAGCTCATCAGTAACCCACCAAAAAGACCCGCAGCATACGATGTGGAAAAAAGCGCGGCTGTATCGCCGCGAGAAACCAACAGCACATCAAAGCTGTTTAGCTCCTCGCGTGAACTTCGTAATAAATCTTCGGCACCGAAAAGCAGCGAGCCGGTCACGACAATTGTCTTGACTGGCGCATTAGTAGAAGATGGATTGCTCGTATGCTGCTTGCCGGGGTTTGTGGCACATTAAGAAGAATGAATTGCATATTGCTGCGCTTGTATATTCGATGTCGTTGGTTGTTCGTAGAGTTGTCACGCACATATAATCCGAAGTTCGCAAGGTCTTCACCGGTCGAGTTCCCCACCCCACTGCTTTCACGCTTGTCGACATGCCGCCCTGCGCCTGCGCCATCGACAGACACCATACCTGGTCCAGGCGTGAAGCCGAACATCGTGCAGCTCCACTGCCGCGTGCCTTCCGTCTGCCGCGGGTCACGGCGCTGTACGCTTGTGAGCCAAGTCCGGCATCATCCACGAATGACACGCCAAAGAAATCGAGCAGGGCGCTTAAAATGACAAGACTAAGCCAGTCAGGCACTGCTAATGACAATAAACATGCTTTAGACTAGAGTCCGCTCAAGCGTGAGCGTTCGCCTAGATGGCTCGGAGCGTCTGGCGCAAAGCCTCAATGGTGGCCCGCTTTGAACGTACACTTACATTTCCTAGTCAAGCCTCAGAGTGATGTCGTGAATACCGACAGCAAGGTAACGAGCTGTGAAGCGCAAATTGTGATTGTTGGTTGCTGAAGCTGCAAATGTCCGAGGGTGTTGGTATGATTCGAACGTGCATGAAGCTAACGGGCTGCCCGACTGGCTCGCAGGCGCCCTCAATCGATTAGCCTTCACGGAGAGGCAGCAGTGCTCCTTCCTCCCAAATGCATCTCCCATTCCCGTGCTGGTGCTGTTATGAGTCGTGAGTGTGATAGAAGTCGTAGCCACTAGGCTCCCAAACCCGATGAACTGCTCGCCGCAAACTCCTGTGCCCTGAGGCCCGACCTTTATGCTTCTCCAGTGTTCCAGTGATCGCCTCGATGTCATCCCTGGTGATCTGTCTGCGCTGTCTCTACTCTTTTTCTGTCTTCACCACGGGAAAGGAGCCCACATGTGGTATGTTGTTCACTGGTCGCACCAGAGCTGTGCTGCCTCCACTACTGCGCCGCCGGCCGATGCGCTTCTTCACCTCCGGTCGATTCGGACAGCCTTCATCGACATGCCTAGTCGCCGCATTAGTTTTGATACTGGGAAGATTGTTGGATTGTAACATACCTTCGGAGGGTGTCTTTGCGCGCGAACGCATTCTGACACATTGGACAAGCAAAGTTGCGGGCCTTTAAATGAACCTGCGTTGGAGCACAGTTAGCAAGTATTGCACCAGGACGTTGCTGTGAGGGCAGACTTACACTTTGCTCATGTCGAACGAGATCTGTCCGTCGCACAAACCTCCTGGAGCACCCACGGTACTCGCACACGTATGGATGTTCTCGTTGCGGGTCGTGTGTCATCATGTGTGCCCTCAGATTGTATACGCGCTGGAACATTTTCCCACATTGCCGGCACTGGCACGTCGAGTTCTCTGCTGTCGTGAAGGCCCTCTTCAGGCGAGCGTCTGCATCACCCACGTACGAGCTGCCCACCGTGCTGCTGTCGTGTGCGCTGTGCGGCGCTGATCGCACGGACAAGGGCCATGAATTGTGTAGGTATTGTAGGTCCGCTTTGTCGTGTTTCACCGGTGTCGCCGACGTAGCTCTGGGCATCGATCCATCTTGGACAAGTGTTGTGAAGATGTCGCTGGGATCGACGTGGGCCTGGTTCTCGTCTGTTGGTATGCCAGGGACAGAGTACAGATTGCCTCTGCCTTGGTCGAGCGACTCCTCAGATTTGATGTCTGGTGGACTCGGCGCCTGGAAGTATCCATCAGACTGTGCGTATGGTGACGAAGCAATCAAAGAGGAGTAGGAGCTTTCGCTGTGCACGGATTGCGCCGGCGATGTGCGCCCCGTAACTGATTCGTAAGCCGGCGTCGCAAATTCTGGCACTTGGTGCAGTGGTCTCCACTGAGCATGATCGGTAAGTGCGCTTGATGTCGGGTAGTACTGGTCCAACTGTAAGTCGCTCCGTGTGACGTCCGGGAACGTATATGTGGGATGTGTCTGTTGAACGGCCCAGCTCGATGAAATGTGCGGAGTGGACAGCGCAGATGGTGGGTTGTTGAACGTTGCTTGAGTGGGAGTTTGGAGTGAATCCAGACCCAGACTACAAGTCTCTGCTGGTAAAGTCATGGGTTGGGAGCTGGGGTAAGGATCCTGAGATGAGGTCCCGATCGAAGTGTACATGGAGTTGGGATCGGTAATGTTGAACTTTTCATCTGAGTCGTGCAGAGCGGTGCCTGGCTGTCTCATTTGTTCATAAGTATAATGCTTCCAGTCTCCCATGCTGTCGTCTTCGTTGTTGTAATGGTCTGCAGGATAGAAGCTCATGATCGCTGGTGGAAGGAACCGTCGTGAAGGATTTGCTGCCGCCTTCTTGTCCTGAAAGGATCGAGTAGATATCTGGATCTTGTGTGACGAACGTCATAAGGCTCTGCACAATAGCGATATAGACAAGAATAGATGTTGAAAAGAGGAGCAGGCAGTGTTGCTAGTCCCAGCAACAATGGTTGGACATGAATTCACAAAACCATAAGAGGCCGAATAGCTGAAGGAGAATGAGGACAATGCGCTGGTGGCGCGGGACTGAGTGCAGATAACCAGGGTCATGGCGGGCGAGGGTGTAGAGTCGACAGGCAGGATCAGGAGAGTTCGCATGCATCATGAGCTCCACATAGCCCAAAGAGCAGGCGGTCGCAGCATGTGCAGCAGTAGCGTGCTCAGCCAGGCAGAGAGAAGGCTATGCCAGCATCGCAATGAAGAAACTCCGCACAGCGAGCGAGGCCGTCACACGGCTGTTGGCCTGGCCTTGGCACAACTACCGAGCGTATGGACGCCGGTCTTCGCACTAAAAGTCACCAAACCAGTGCAAGTGCCAGAAATCGATCATTAGGCGCATCCGTGCAGGTAGGATGCATGATCCTTGTTTATTCGCGCCTATGCAATTAGTCGCGCCTGCGGGGGCATTCGCCGGCTTGATGCCCAGTCGTCTTTCCAATCGGGGCCGGACGCTAAGGGCGTGGCGGTCGCATCGTGCATGGCCGTGATTTTGCAAAGTTTCAGAGCACAATTACAGGCGCTTCCATGCATTATTTGCATGCATCTGCGCTCAGTCTCTTCTCCTTGACGAGAAGATCAGTCAACACCTGAACTTGCGCGTGTAGATCAGCCACAACAGAGTTCAGCCTCTCAGCCGAATCGCTAGCCGCCGTAAAACCATGCGCAGACAGTCCTGCAGGCGATCGTGCCGTTCGCGGCTGTTCTTCCAATAACGACGTCCGAGACATCGATGGCGCCTTTCGATAAAGTGGTCGGCGGAGGGAAGTCGGGGAGTTCTGACTGCGTTGAACGGCAGAAGAGCCGGTCTTCCGTCGATCTTCCAGCAGCGTAAGCGCCCTCTCATACAGCAGGATCATGGCCACTAGAGGCCAGTGCGTCGCTTTGAGCAGCACGATGCGAGCAGCTCGCAGTCGCTGCGGAGACAACACCAAGCGCAGCGGCCGAAGCAACAGAGGCAACAGGTTCTGTATCGGGCAATCAGCTCGGGATCAAATGACACGCGACTGCACACTAGATTGCCAGTAGTGCCAACGAGCATGAAAGCATAGTGTGCAGGTGTTGGTCTGCGGAGCACCAACACAGTCGAGCAGAAATAGCGACCATGATTCGCCGACAGCAGCTCTCCACGGGACGGTGGGGGGCTTTGGCGCCAAGTCGTGATGTCCATCGGCCGACAGGTCATCTGAACGGCAGAGCAGATGTCGAACGCACGATTGGCTTGTGCTGATCTTTCGTAAAGCCGTGCCGGTGCTGGATGTGAACATCCTAACTGCAAGTTCAAGTGTATGGGGCGCAGGCATGAGCGTCAACTTACAAGTACAGGATAAAAGTAGGTCAGGCGGTTAGAAGTCGAAGCCTAGAGGGTGCATCAGTGTGTGAATCTGACCATTTTTGGCAGTGAGAATTACCTCCAGCACGTAGACACTGTAGCTGTGCTTCACTGTCAGCTTCACAATGTACTGCCACAGCACTGCCATGTGCCTCTAAACTTACACGAACATGTATTCGTCCCGAGCATGCTCCATGACCTGTGTTGTGGCAGAGAGAGCCTGTCAGCCAATCATTCTGGGCTGGGCGCTTAAGTGAAGCCCGCTGTTGAGCCGACCCCTGCACCCACCTTGTCAAGCTTGTTCGAGAGCAACGAGATCAAAGAAGTGATGAGCAGAATGTTAGTCAGTGCGACAAAGACCAACATGATCGGAGGTCCTAGAACGGGCGAGATCTGTGGCGGTCAGTCCAAATTGGGGGTCGTGTAAGGAGCTTCAAGGCCGAACCTGGTCCGCAACATCCTTCGAACATGATTAGCGTGCAGTTTGATGGCACATTTGATGTGTTGGCTTACGAATCCTAAATAGCTTGAGCCGAAGAAGACTTTGATCAGGATCCAATTCATGGCGCGGAAGCTGTACGTGCCTCGAGCCAGAAAGCTAAAGCACGTGGAGAATCCTGGTTGTATTAGCCATGAGCTCAAAATGCCGCAGTGATCTTCTACTCACCGAAGAACATGATGACAACCAGTGAAAGGAACTTGAGAAACTCGACAGTCTGTGCCAAGAAATCAGTGGGAGTGGAGGTGATCAAAGTTGAAGGTCACGTGCCATGGCTTTGAGAACAGGCAAAAGCATGCCAAAGTATGGATGTAGACTCAGCAGTGAGCAGATTCTGTGAACAGTCAGTTCAACACTACCGGCATTATGATCTTACCCGTTCTCACCTTGGTACCAGGAAGAGGGCTTCGACAGATAGAATGTCGAACGCGATGTCGTTGACGTAGGAATCGTGGTGCGCCAGACCAATCACTCTCGCGACGAAGAATGCTATGCCAACGAAGATGATTCCTAAATCCCAGAGTGACCAGAAATCGGTAGCGTAGAATGTCAGACCAGCATCCTTGAACTCCACGAGCTCATTGTAAGAGAAGGACGCAAGCCAGACATACAGCATGACTTCAGCGCCGGTGATGTGCGAAGCTTGCTTCCTGATCAAAACAATGTAGTACAGCGCCAGGAATCCTGCGAAGAAGAGCACTTCAAAGATCTTGAGGTAGAGCGGGACCCTGAGGCGAGCATATGGGTCGCTCTGGTGTTTTCGGTACACCTTGGCTTCTTTGCGAGAGTGAGTGCTGACGTCCGACCAGAACACAATGTCACCTCTCCAAAGACCATAGATGATGTACTGGATGGACCTCTGGCTCAAGAATTTCTTCGCGCCCGCCACCGCAGCTATTTCAAGCGCGCTGAGATTGGCGAAAGTAGACGCAAAATTCGCTTGCTCGGTGTCTGTATGATGGTGTTGCATTTCGTCGTAGAAGGAATCATCCATTCGGCGCACAGGCGCTGTGGAGTTCTCAAGGAGCGGACTCTCTTCATCCTGGTCATCAGGAAGACTTGGTTCTTGCTCAGCATTTTCCAGGTCTCCGTTCTCCATGTTGGGGCCACCAAAGTGAACAGGTAAGTCTGTACACAGGTAATCAATCGTCTCGCGATACGTTAGATGGCTGATGAAGCGCCTGCGCAGAATATCAGCCCAGTAATTGGCTCGCATTGGCTTACCTACCATGCAACCAGCTCGCACGCGAGACCTCTCGTCTCGTTGACGCCTCTATCCTCTCCATCATCGAGGCCATCGAAGTGCCACTTGAGCGCACTAGATGGCAGTCAGTCACAGTCCCGGTCCTGACGGCATACTGGGCCATACTCACAGCAGCGCGCTCACGATGCCTTCATGCTGTACGTCATCGACCAGATACCGCACAAAAGACCGCAGCTCTCGCGGATAGACCTCGCGACGAAGTTCATCCCACTCATGCGGGGTTTCTATCGCCTGGACGAAGAAGCTGGAGTCGCGACAGGTCAGCCATCGCGTACCAGCCACCTGGATGGCGCGTCTGCCAGCACCGCGGCCAGGACTCACGTAGAAAGCTTCCGCACCACAGTATCAAACCTCTCACTGTCGTCGATATCTGGGATGACTGGTGGTGCTCTGCGCACCATGGTGACACAAAAGACAAGGTGAGGTGAGAAGAAGCAGTTTTGACAGGATCTGGTCGCTGGTAAACTAACTGCAGGAGCGGCACTAACAGCCGCGGTCAGTATAAGCTATGCGCGGTGTACCCGTTCCGCGCGGCTGTTTAGACGCCGCGACAGGGGTCTCGCGCTTCGCCAGGAACCTTCGTTCAGCTGCCCGAACGTGTGCTGCACTGTGCATACGTCAACGTGATGGCTGCGGGGATTGTATACAGGGTCCTCAAAAATGTTCATGCAAGAGCAGATTGATTCATATCCACTAGCTACGGCGACAGCGATCTGGTCGCACCGCCACACGGCCTGGCCGCTTCGCCTAGGCCTCACATAACCCATTTGACCCATCTTAGCCGCTCACGGCGTCGGAAACTCGAGCCTCCTGTGCAGTCTTGACACAATTTCGATGTAATTCTCATCCGTCTCCATCGTCAGATATCCATGCCGAACGAAGAAGTCCAAGAGCACGAGAGCACAGTTCGGCTTGAACTCGCCATTTCTCATAGCCTCTTTGACCTCCTCGACCGTCTTCAGCTCAAACCCTTCGACCTCGTCGTCTGAAGGTTTTGGCTCAACGTCTGGCGTCACTTCCAAGTCGTACACGTACTGACATTCTGGTTGTAGCAATCGTGTCTCACCACCGGCTCGCTGGTCGCGAATATGGAAATATGTGACTGTTCCGACTGCCTTTGCCTTCTTTCGCACGAGCTCTTCTGGTAGACTGGCCTCCTCTGCACTTTCTCGCACCAAGCTTTCGAACGGCGATTCTCCTGTTGCAATGCCACCAGCCACCGTGTTGTCCAGCATACCGCCGTATGTTTGCTTGTCTGCTGCTCTTCTCGGTACCCATATCCGTGTCTGTTCTTCCTTCTCCTCATTCCCTTTGACGTATGCTGTCATGTGGCAGCCATATGTGACGATTCCGAACAGAGCACTTGCAGATCGTTCCATGCTGAACAGCAGTTCTCCACTGGGCCCATACACTGGATACAGCTCGTCCCTCCATTTTGATAGGACCTTGAAATGCCCAGTCGCATGCATAGCCCGGATCGTTGCTTCCACAATCTTGGTCCTCTCAGCCTCTGTGTTACCGCTGACCAAAGTCAATGATCTCTCCTCGTCGTTGATCCACCAGTCTGGCAGCCCCCGGAACACCTCCGTAACGCTCGGAAGGAGATATCCCAGCTCTGTTTCTGGATAGCCCTTAACATAGAGAGCATAATATGTATTGATGTGAGCGAAGAACAATTTCGGGTTCGTTTGGTAGTAGGGAAAGTTGTCGCATTCGTTGATCAAGTCGAGATTCGATTTGGGTCCTGGGCCAATTGGTGTCGGGTCGGCAAGGACCATCGATATTCGATCATTGCGAAGCACAGCGTCTGGATCGGCGGAGTCACCTGTTTGTGCTGTCCCGGGGCGGGAATCGTACGTATCGGAATCGGCGTCGGCTGGCGTCCAAGATGGTATTCTTGGAAGCTCCTTGGGAATGAAGTCTCGTAGACGATTGAGATTGAACGCCATGTTTGCGACTGTGTTGTTGTTCAGTGAGTTCGTTGTGCTTACCGGTTCAAGCTGAGCTTACTGACCTGCTCGACCAGGGTCTGGCGACACTCTGTTCTTGGCGCTTCGGCTAAAATGCGGGACTGTGACGTTGACTGGAAGGATTGACCACTCGAACCTTCCTGTTCTATCGAGCAATTTAAGGAAAGAGCTACTGCACGCCGTGGACGCGATAAAGTAAGGACGTTTTTCTCGACGCTATACATGACTATCGAGCTACACCTAGCGTGTCTACTGTATACAACACCATAGATTAATACTCAAGATGTCAGTTCCATTCGGCATTATCATCTCTGGTCGACCGGTCGATGTTTCACCACAAGCGATTACGGAAGCCCAATATGCCTTCCGGATACCGCCTGCACCAGCATTCAGCCATATCGTGGTCTTCCTTTTACCAGGGATAACTCTTCCTTCCGGGACGGCAGCCTCTGTATATGTGCAAATACCGCCCTCACAAGAGTTCAAGCTATTGGGAGCTATCGGACCCGGCAAAGAAAGCGCAATCTTCAAAATTTCCGGTCTGAAATCTGCTACCAACGTCAACCAAAATGCTATGCTGGATGATCCTACGGCGCAAACCGGAGCTGTACCTCAAGGCGATGTAGTGATCGGCGTGTCGATTGAGCCAGAAGCACAAGTAGCAGCTCAGCTTGCTACTCTGCAAAGCGGCGGTCACTCCAACAATGCTCAACTGTCCTCAGCGCTGGTCAAGCTAGGGAGCAGTCCAGAAGGGAAGGCCACCACGAAAGTTCTTGCACAGAGAATTATTGGCAATGCTTTCAATTTCCTCGCGAGCTTCGGCAGTGATACTGTACCTCTAAAGGCTTTCCAAGACTGGTGGCAGAAATTCGAAAAGAAAATCGACCTGGACCCATCGTTCCTGGAACGGGAAGGCGCGGAGTGACGCGACTAGGCTGTTGTTCATGATGGATCAGCAATGCTTTGAGAAGCTACTACCATATATTTATGAGCGAAAAGCGTCATCGCTAGCCTGACTTTGAAGCAAGAGGCATGCCCTCTTTCCAGGGCATAGCTGAGCAGCATGATCTAGCGAACATACTAGCAGGACCACAGGACTCTCGCGACAGTCCGCACGGCATCCCGAAACTCACACAACAAGCAAAACAACCAATTCTTCCTTGCCAATTAGATCTGACTGTCGTGTGGGGGAAATATCCTTCGCCATTTTGATGAGAACGCTATCCACGAAAGCATGTTGGCGATACAGCTATTGGCACATGGTACTGTGAAGGAAGCTACGGCGCGGAATATCGTACGAAGGGGGAGCTTAGCTGAGGTCTGAAGTGTTGCTTGTGGCACCGGATTTCGGACCAAAATATCAAGCTGTGCTGGAAGAAAAGGTCTGGAGGTACGCATTGTGATGGCGAGACAACTGCGAAAGTGACATTTACAGGGTCAATGCCGATGAGGAAGTATGTGGCATAGAAACATATCCGCGCATTGGGCGAAACATTTGTACAACGAAAGAATGCATTTGAGCTTCTGGTTAGCTAAGTACTTCCCTTCTATCTTCTAGTTCCACACCTCCAGCCGCAGGACCGGCGCCCTCAGTATCTAATTCTGTGCTTCGCTCGTTTCGGTACGTGTCGCTCTCACGAGGGCTTTCCGCAATATTCGCATACTCGCCGCTTTGCAATGTTACACGCCTTCCCAGTCCGACCTTGCTTCTCGCCCAGTCGAGTTTGATTAGCACCCATATGGCAGCTGCCCGGAGTAAGACCCACATCTTTTCTTGACTCTGCAGCTGCGAGGTATCGTCTCGTGGATTTTCGTGTTGTTCGTGCTGGAATTGGAACTTGAGACAGTCCTTCACTGTGACTAAACCCGTCAAGCGGCCACGATGCTCGACAAGGATGACTCGCGGACCAAGTTTCTTGAAGAACTCCATAACTGTCTCGAGTGGTAGACGCGGATGTACTGCAAGAGGTGTAGGGTCGACAAACTTGCTGAAATCGATCGACATGCTGCCGCCTGTTTCGGGAATGTCGTCAAAGGACACGGCTGGTGCGGCAGCAGAGGGAGTCGTTGCAGTGCGTGGGCCTTCAGGCGGACTGAAATAGCACCTTGCAGACGAAGAGACGGGCTGCTCACGCTTCGCGCGTTCGATGGCGTACAAGAGCTCGACTCTGCCAATGTAGCCCAGCAGAATGTTTGTCTTAGTGTCTTCGACAATTGGGAAACCCTGAAATTTGGTGTCTGCCATGATCTGCTCAACTCGCTTGAGAGCCAGTCCTGTAGCGGGCAATACTGTAGGGTCAGCCGTCATGCATTTGCTGACAGGTACACCAAAAGTATGCTCCTCCTTGCCATCAAGGAAGGGAAAGCCATTGAACCAGATCATTCGATCCGCAATGCCTCCTTTGCCAAATCGCTCCGACACAGCTTTGGTCACTCCGACCACGATCATAGTGGGGAGAATGTAAGTCAGCGCGCCGGTCAATTCGAACATGATGACCACGACAGATACTGTCAAGTGCATGATGCCTGACAGAGCTGCGCCCGCTCCCAGAAAGGCATATGTGCCCGGGGTGATACAGGGCACATCTGGCTCACAAGCCGAAAAGAATGCTGCATCAGGGAAGGTTTGGTGCAGTGCTTCAACAATGATGCCCAGCATACGCCCGAAGGAGGCACCGATCGCCATGGAGGGCACGAATATGCCAGCAGGTACCTTGCAACCATATGAGATGATGACCAGAAACGTCCGAAGAATCGTGGCTGCCAACAGCGAGAAGATCATGTACCAGCGGTTCTGTTTGTCGCACAGTCCATTGTAATCGTTGGTACCTTCGCACTCAAGGAAGAGAATCTCCATGCTTTCCGTCATGTCGATGCGCAAAAACATGTTCCAGTAGCAAATTACAGCCGTGCCTAGAGCGAGCAATGTTGCTTCAAGAATGGGGAATCTGGTCAAGTAACGTTTCCGGAATGCCTGTGCGCGCATATTCCACTTCATCACAAAAGCGCCGTAGCAGCCTCCAAAGACTCCGATCATGATGTAGAACGGAATCTCGAAGAAGTGCCAGGTGCGATCATATTTGACAGTGAACATGACCAGCTGCCCGGTGCGGAAGGGATTCATCGCAGCCAGCACTGCTGTTGCAACCAGAGCGCAGAAATAGCTCCTCCACATGGTCTTCAGTGGGAAGTAATTGCTCATCTCCTCCAAACTGAATAGGACTCCTCCAATCGGACTTCCAAACGCAACGGCCACTCCAGCAGCAGCACATGCAGACAGAATCTCCCGCGTCTTAGCGGCATTGCGCCGATACTTGTCGAACATGCGACTGATGACATTTCCGGTGCACACGGCATAATGCACACTCGGCCCTTCCTTTCCCACGCTCAGTCCAGAGGCGATGGCCAAAGGTAATCCAATACTCTTGATCAACAGTGTCCAGAATCCAAGAAAGCCCTTCATCACGAACCCTGCGATGATGCATTTGATCTCCGAGATACCACTCCCTGCCGCGTAGGGCGCGAAGCTCTTGACCAGTCTCGCGCTGGTGAATGCGAAGAGAGTAGAGAAGATGATGTAAACCACATAGTTCACAACCGTCCAGCTTGACCAAGGCACAAACTCTTTACACCCCTCTTCCGCTCCCCAGCAACAGAAGTTCTCGTTCAGGTAGAATGCGGTGGTGCAATGCCCTCGCTTGATGTCCGATAGCCATTCCGTCACGATGTTCAGGAACGCAGCATTGAGGCCGATTGCCGTACCAATCAAGGTAACAACAATCCAACCTTGCCCAGCATCGTATGCTTCCCACACTTTACGTCTCCAGCCTACGCGACCAAAGGACTGTTGGTGAGCGACTCGGGACAAGCGTCGCGACTTGCGCCGTTGTTGTTCGCGAGCGGCATCCTGGACCCAGTCAATCGTCGTGAAGTCCTCATATCTCTTGATCTCAGCTATCTCCTCTGCGACGCGGACCTCTTCAGAGGAAATCTGTTGATCGAGCTGGCCATTCTCGGCGCTGGAGAGGGCGGAGGCTCGGCGGCTTAAGCTGTGGTGTGGGCGGTCGGAGGTGGACGAGGGCGCATAGCTGCTGGTGCGGCGGACGGGAGCGGGGCCGGTGGTGGAGATGCTGCTCACGCGCCGGCTCATTGCATTTTCATGTCGGCAGAGTGCTGATGTCGTGAGAGTCGTTGGATGTCGAAACGAGGGTCTTACACTTGTCAGTTTATTGAGCGGCCTTCTCGGTTAGCGATTGTCACATGAAAGTTAGCGCGCAATTCAGTTAGGCGCCGCCATCAATTCATTCGCGACGCGTCCTATTCGCGCCCACTCTACACGAACATACCAGCTCAACTCTTCCTGCTGCAACGACGAAAGCAGCGCCAACATGCCATACAACAATACGCCTATCGCGCCATCAAACGAGGTCACTGGCACCGTCTCACTGCCTCGTGAGCCCCCCGGCCCAGCTCCCCCTTCTCCGCGTTTCCACTGACCAAACGCTCCCAGTCGCTCGCGTCAAGAAGATCATAAACGCCGATCCTGATATCAACCAATGCTCCAACAATGCCGCCTTCGTGATCACGGTTGCCACTGAGATGTTCTTACAACATCTGGTCGAGCAGGCATACAACCAAGTGAAATCAGAACATGGACCCAAACCGAGGCGTAACATTCAATACAGAGACGTCGGTAAGTGACGTGCGCAGGCGGCGCGAGCAAAGCGAGACACTGATGGGACCTTCCCAGCCAACGCCGTAGCTCGTGTCGAAAACCTCGAATTCCTGACAGACGTGGTGCCGAGGACGATGACGATGAAGCAGTACAAACAGAAAGCTGCCAAGGACGCTGCAGCGGGAGCAGCATCCGCAGAGAATGGAGCACCTGGGAAAGGCCAGGGAACACTAGATGGACACGTTGGAGCCAATGGCTCTGCGGCTGGACCAGCACCAGCTAAGGACCCAGTGAAAGAAATTGCAGCACAGGAGGGAGCTCACGGCACAATTGACGAAGAAATGCGGGATTCATGATTGCATTCTTGGGATTTCATGGAATCCAGCGATGGCGTTCACGGGCCATGAGATCGGAGCTGATGTGGGCTTTGCCGCTGCGACAGCATGAGCAGCGCTCGAGGTCACGCGAATTTAGACTTGAGTTTTCTGCTTGTCACCCAGGATATTGACGCGGCACCATGACTGGAAAAGCACCCGAGCGAAGCCATGGTCATGTCCAGTTGCGCGAGAGCAGAAAGTTAGCAACAGCGTTGCCGCTACTTGCCGACAATGACTCCAGGCATCCGCCGCTTTTAGAGCTTGGGGCAAGCCGAATTCGAAGAAGCTCAAGAAAAGCGCTATGTGGCAAAGGCTCGCCTATGCTACATATCGTGCTTATCATAATGGCTTCCACCACTACCAAGGTCGATCGGGAGGTACCAGCCAAAACGATTACTTGGATCCCACTTTCTCTTCAGCTTTTGCAGTCTGTCCACCCTCCACTGCTGGTATCCATACAACTCTCTCTGGGTCTCAGTGCCATGCGCATAGTTCACGTATGCATTCAACGCATGGCCACTACCCTCGACTATGACTCGACGCATCTCATTGCCGTACACTGCGCCACGACGAGCCAGGTTCGCGTCGTTGGGCGCATGCGTAATGAAGGGGCTGATCAGCAGATTACTTGACCGATCTGCGAACGCCGTGCTATTCTCGGGCACCGACTGGACAGCGTTCACGCTATAAGCCTCCAATATGATGCGCGTGATGTTGAACTCGGTCGGAAGAGATTTGAGCAGATCTACTGCTGCGCGCATACCAGCAAGAGGATATGTCTCCAAAGCCAGCGGAAAGCGCTGCAGCGTCGGGAAATTCTTCGCACAAGGTGGGGCATCCACGTCAAATCCCATCATCACGGAGACGCCTGCCAGATCGGTTGCTCCGCTGACGCTGTTGAACGGCTGAAGAGCGCGGAACCCGGATGAGTAGGTGCCAGGGATGTCGTTGCCCTGCCATATCAGAAAGATCGCCAAGATGACCTGTAGCTGGATCAGCACAAAAGGCACGCTGAGCATACACTTATTACACCATACCTTTCCATCGGCCACTCCGGGAAACCTGCCTGCGAACCCGAAAACGATCAATTCCACCGGTCCTGGGTTTTCAACACCACCAATCATCCCATTCATAACTCGCAACACCTCTTCCAACTTTTCCTCTTCAAAATAGAACTGCTCGTATGCCCAATCCCGATTCTCCTCAGTAACATCATAAATCTTGTACACGAATTCTGCCACAATGCCAAAATTATGCCCAGCACCCCGCAACGCCCAGAACAAATCTTCGTGCTGATGTGCAGAAACCTCCGCGAGACTCCCATTCCCCAGGACCAGCTTCGCAGAGATCAAGTTATCTGCCATCAGCCCATATCTGCCTTGCAGCCAACCGTGGCCGCCTCCGAGCATGGGTGCCACTGCTCCAGTGCAATCGCAGGCTCCTTGGACCGTTTGCTTCGAATGGAGAGCGAGCTTGTCACGGAGCTCACCACTGAGAACTCCACCACCGACTACTGCACTTTGGCCATCCCGAAGAATCTCGACGTCTTTGAAGCTCTCGAGCCAGATTCCTACGCCGTTGCGAAGATTCGCGAGGGAGAGAGTTGCGCCGTGGCCGCCGGAGATTGCGAGGAAAGGCTTGGAGTGGGCGTTTGCGACCCGAATTGTGCTTTGAATGTCCTCGATCGTAGAAGGGTGGATGACGATGTCAAAGTGCGGGATTCCCCAAGAGATTTGCCATCGTGATGTGGCGTTCCTGTAGCATGAGGAATTTGGGTGGCAAATTTGAGCTTGTGAGGAGAGGTGAGGAGCGAGGGTTGTGGCGAACGTTGTCGATGATGGGTTTGAGATTGAGAATATACTAAACGTATACCCTACGGCGCTGGCCAAGGTTGCGGTGAGGACTGCCGGAAATGCCCCCATTCTCAAACTGATCACTTTGTGAGCTTGGAGTCTCGGGATCGAGCAGAGGAAGTCAGTAATTTGACTCTTCTGACTACTTGGCCTGGGGACCTATAGTGGGCTGACCTGAAGTCGCAGTCAACCACGAGGACGATTGTACTTTATGTACACGCTGTGCACGGCAGTAAGTGATCCACCACTTTCTGCCGATACGCTTATTCAAATTCAAATGCAGGCCTCAGCCTCACGTTAACACAAAGCATAATTCTTGCCCCGATCCTTCAGCTTTCAGCGTTGTAGGGCATCTTCATTTGTGAGCATCGCTCTGCCGTCGTCCGTCGGAGTTGATCAGCCTTCTGATTGGAATCACACTTCAGACGTCCGACGCTTCTCGATCTACGAAGGCCCTTGGGTCGCTACTTCATAAGGGACGATGTAGTGGGGAGACCAAGCCTAGCCCATATACGGTTAGCTGAAGAACACTTCCTATTTCGGCCTATCCTCAGCATGTGAAGGCCGAACAAACAGATCCGACGGCCACTGCAGCTCAATCACGCAAGACTGACAAGACAGAATGCTGACAACTGACTAGCCACACGACCTCAGAGACACAACAATTCGGGTCGCTACGTAGGTGTCCATCAGCCCATGACTCGCAGTCGACTAAAGACCCAGATTACGTCACAATCGAATGAACAACACCTCTTTCTCCGTTCTCATTCTCTAAACCGTACGTTCCCAGAGACGATACAGTAACAAATCGGAAAACTCCAAGAAAAGATTGCCCAAAATGTCCAAAGCCCCCAGCAAAAAGCTCACCGACGAAGAAAAAGCCGCCAAGCACGGCGCCCTCGTAGTCTTCGGTTCCGGCCCTGGAATAGGACGCAATGTCGCCTCTCTCTTCGCTGAGCGCGGTTTCTACAAAATCTACTTGCTTTCCCGGAACCAGGAACGTCTGCAAGAAGACATCGATTTCGTGAAGAAAGCTGCCCCGGAGGCAAGTGTGAAAGCTATTGCGGTCGATCTTGAGGATCCGGGTAAAGTAAGGGCTGCGCTGGCGGAATTGGATTCGAGGTTGCATGGGAAGTCGTTGGAATGTGTTTTGTATAATGCTGCGAGGGTTGGGCAGAGTAAGTTGATGGAGTGGAGTGCGGTGAATTATGAGTCGGACTTTAGGGTGAGTTTTCGATTTGGTGTTCTTCTGTTTTGAGTTGGGAGTGGGGGTTTATGCTGATGTGTTGGGTGCAGATTAGTGTTGTGAGTCTTTTGATGGTTGCGCAATGGGCTATGCCGCAGCTGGTGGCGGCAGGGAAAAAGGAGTATTACACGCCCGCATTCTTGGTGACGAGTGGTGGCTTATACAAGAATCCTTTCCCACAATTCGTAAGTGTTGCCTGTCTGCTGAGGATTTGAAAGACACATGATCTGACTGCAAGCAGTTCTCACTCGCATCGTGCAAAGCTGCTCAGTACAATCTCGTTCACAGCCTACACAAGGAGTACGGCTCGAAAGGAGTGCATTGTGCGGCAATCGTGGTGGAAGGCAAAGTAGCTGACGATGCCAAAGTGACTACTGCTCGGAATGTGGCGGATAAGGCTTGGGGATTATTTGAGCAGCCTGCGCCTGGCGATTTGGACGCCACTATCACAGATCCAGATTATGCAGAGTTCATGAAGAAGGTGGAAGCTGGCGCTTAGCTAGCATTCAATTGCTCTGTAAATATTCTGTTCAGTGACATAATTGCTCGTGCTATTTCGTTGTGGACACTTTCAGAGTGGAGCCTGACATCCAGAGAATCCGGATGCTGGTCCATTCTTGCCGACATCAAATTTGGCCTGTGTTGGGCAAGCGGTTAAGTTCAACTTGCAGATCGCGTATCTTGCAGCGCCGTTGTTGATTTCGGTGTAGAGCTTGACGATTTTGGCACTTGGAAGATCCACGAAATAGAGGTTGAAAGCCCGAATCGGCACACCTCCAACAATGAATTCCGAGTAGGTCGTGATAGTGTCACAGCTATGAGCAGTGTGAATCAATCGGCTTGAAGTTGGCGGCGGCAAGTGATCCGCGTAGCTCGCGAGATATTCTTCCATGCTATGCGCGTTCGTGTCATTGAGCTACAGAAGTTAGAAGAACGTTTTGCACCCTCTAGAGGTGAATTTACAGTGCCACCAGTGAGGAATGCAACACTATCCGACACGAATTGGAAGTTCGGGCTGATGAACTTATCGATCAATTCTTCGTAACCTTCGACCTCGCGGCGTATCGAACCGAAGACAGTGGGGAAACTGGCAGCACTGCCGTCAGTCAGACAAGATTGCGAATGGCCGACGCATGCGAAGAAGGCGGCGCTGGCGGCGTAAGTGAGGAAGCGGAGATGCATGACTTTGAGAATCCTTCTCTTCGTGAAATTGAGCAAGTTAATGCTGCAATCGTTCCTCATCTGCTGAGGACTTATACGACAAAAATCTGTCACAGCGCGGCAAGCATCGGTGTGACGCCAATGATGGGGGTACTTGAGCGCAGCAGTGCTACGGCAAATCTCGAGAGTACAGTCACAGCTCGATAGCGCCATGGTGAGGCGGAATCATCGTCGGGCCAATCATTTGCTGTAAGGTATAGGTGGGTGTCCCTCGATCACATCTTGTGCAAGTTTGAGGACTTGTCCATGGACGCTAGATGGAGCACAAACCAGTCCATAATCTGCAGTCTTGGTCAGTACGATGCAATGTTACGCGGCAGACAGAAAGGACACACTGGACGCCATCTTCCTTCCTGTTGTGAAGTCGATTGGTTTACCGTTCAAGTCAGTCACCTTCCCACCCGACTCCTCGAAGATGAGGATTCCCCCAGCATGATCCCATATGTTAGATCTCCAGCTTGTATACCTGAAGATACGTACCACGATATGGCTCCGGCCGAGACCTAATGCCGCGTACTTCATTAGGCTGCTGAAGAGATCCACACCAGGCCATCGCGTGTTCAGCTTTGCAGCAACCTTTTGATGCAGCTCAAGGATCGTACTCGTGTACATCGAGCAGTCTGACCAGATCAGACTATCAAGAGAAGCCTTGTCACCATGTCGCTCGAGTTTCGTTGCCGGCGCAAGCTCTCCATTCGACTGCATCGGTCGAACAAAAGTGCCTTCGCCACGTACAGCATAGATCATCAGACCTAAGCCGTGCTCATCAACCACATCTTCACTGATCGTAGAAGAGTGAAGCACGACGTTTGGGCAGCCAATAATGCCGATCTCCTCACGTCCGTCAATGAGCATAGCACAATTGATGGCATACTGCTGGCCTCGCAGAAATGTGGCAGTCCCGTCTATGGGGTCAAAGACCCAAGTTCTCCCCTCATCACTTCTTTCCCTTGTACCACCCCAGTCAAGGAACGTAAGCAATTCGTCCTTCGAGCCGGGTGTAGACAGTGCAGGAGTATTTGCCTCGAAAGCCGGTTTTGCGGATTCTGTCAGCTCCCAGACCTTGTCGAGAAGAGCTGCGTTCTGCCGCAAGTCGTCTGCTGACTCTTCGGCCAAGAAGTTGTCTGACGGGAACACAGCGTGCACAGCGGAGGTCAATAGAGCTTGTGATGCGAAATCGCCCACAGTGACTGGGCTGAAGTCGCGTTTCGAGATTTGGCTGTCTTGGCTCACGGTGTGTCGTTGCAGTTGCTTCGTGAGCACCGCACAATGTTGTACGGCAGCACAAGCCACATGGAGCTCTGCCTGCAGCCGACTCGGCATGGTGGGAGGGAAGGTGATGGCAGGATGAGAGAACATCGTGTTGGGATGAGACAGAGAGAAATGGCTTTGTCTGCCTCAGGCATAGTCTTGGCGCATGATGGAGCGGAAACTCACTCTTTCTGCTTCGCCCGAACGTGTGCAAGCACACCGACAGCGACTCAACATTTGGAAGATATGAAGCGCACAAAATTATATTGTGGAGCTATCACCGCTCTTCCATGGTCTCCACGATCTCGTGGTCGAACTCTGGATTCACCCAGTTCGGCTTTCCGCACCGCGCCCGGATCGCGCCTCCAAACCTCTGAAGCATCGCGAAGGCGGGTATGCAGACAAAGACCGTGATCATTGCGTGACCTGCAAAGGTCCACGTAAAGCCGACAGAATCCACCCATGGCACGATAAAGAACGGATCTATGAATGCTGAAAGGTTGAGCAAGACGGCGTAGAAGACGATCACCGACATGCTTTGCATGGGATACGCGTCCAAGACGTACGCAGCCACGATGGTGTTTCCCATCTGTATTCCGGCACCGACTGGCATCATGGAAGTCAGCGATCACTTTCTTAGGACAGTCCAGGAAGGTCGACTTACACAATGCGAACGCCACCTGGCCTACCATCCAGTGGTAGTTGTTCTCGATGGATACACCCCACAGCACCAGCCCTACTGAAGTCAACACTGCTGCAGGATACAAAAGCCAGATACGCATTTCCGGAGTCTTGGTTGAGTTGGCGCGCGCTGCAAGTTTCGCCACGAGCCAGTCACTGAGCCGGCCGGAGCAGAAGATCTCGGAAAACAGCGTGCCGACGATGAGACCGATGAACAGCAACCTAATATCCTTGTTAGCATGCTCACATGAAATCAGGATCGAATGATCGAGGCGTGCTCATACCCTTGAATCTGAGGCGAATAGCTGGCGTATGCGACGGGCATAATGGTGATGACGGACAACATCCACCAGTACCACCCGAAGCAGTAAACCGTGATCGAAATCGGGACCACAGCAAACTTGAATGTCTTGCAAAATCTGATCACAGTGTCCCAGACCTTAGGATGCTTCATGCCTGGTAGCGGCGTGACGTTGACAAATGGCAGGCTCTTGGTCCGCTTCACTTCTACCTGTGTTGCTGATATCTTTTCCGACACCACTAGACCTGGAGACTTCTTGGACAGCATCAAGTCGCGTGGGTAAAGGGTCTCCGGCATGAATGCCACTTCAGCCACAAGGATTACTCCCAAGAGAATCGCTGTCAGCCATTGTATCCATGTCGACGAGACAAGATCGATGAATCCACCAATCAGCGGACCCAAGAGCAGGCCCAAATCGAGGGCCAATACCCAGAGTCCGACTTTTTGGCCACGTTCGTACTCGAAGAACATGTCGTTGATAATGGCTAATCCCACCGATGCAGCTGGCGAGCAACCAAGACCTTGGAAGAATCTAGCTGCCATATATCCCGAATAATCTTTTGCCTCGGCTGCGCCTATAGTCGCCGCGATGGCCATAATTGTGCCAATGATCATAATGGGCCGCCTGCCGACGATGTCTGCGGGACTCGACCAAACCAAAGGGCCGATCGCGAGTCCTAGAGCTGGAATGGCGACAGTCCAGTTTATTTGCTCGAGTGTCGCATCGAATTGTTCCTGGAGCTCTGGGAACGCTGGCACGGTCGTTGTGGTGATGTAGGTGAACATGAAATACCTGCGACATATAGTCAGCCATTCTGACTCTGTGCCTGTGTTTCCATAACACTCAATCGTACAATGCCATCACGATTCCGAGGATCGTGTGCTTCTGAAAAGACGACCAGTTGAGAGGATCCAGGACATCTCCTTGCACGGGAACCGGGAACAGAATGAAGCCATTCTTGTCCACGAGTAACTCGAGCCCGGCTTCTGTGTCTGGACCTTCAACGATCGCGCTCTTCTTCTCGGATTTATCGTCGACCATGTTGACATAGAAGGGCGGCAACGATTGCAAGATTTATGCTAACGAGTGCAGGGAAGAAGTATATTTAATGTTCTCGGCTCTACGACCCACAGCGTCCAACGATAACGGATCGACGGATGCGACACAAAAGCAACATGCATGAAGAAGATCTCGAGCAGGATTGCTTGCTTGCGAGTGCCACATCTGCAGTGCATATCAATGTGCCTGATGCTGCTGGACGCAACAGCCTATCAAGCCAAGCCTCATGGACCCTATCGTGGAGACTGCAGCATGGGAACGCCGAGCCCTCCGCTTATCTCTGAAAGTTTTAGCAATCGCTTCGCTCACCCACAGATAACAGATCTGAAACGGAAAATCAAGGTCTCTCTGACCTATCATGTTGCTATCCACGAGAGCTCGCGTTCGTCGGCACGCGACATTGCCACGCGGTATCGTGTTGTTCCTGGTGAGTCCAGGGACTTGGAAAGCTCGAATGTATGTTCGTGTTCTTGCGCCTCTCCAGACAAATCTCCTGCGTGTCATTCCCACACGCTCGCATCTGTCGGCTGTGCTGTCTAGTGCGCGAGCGCATTCAAGCCAACAAGGTCGCTCCGTTGCGACCGGCATGCGCCCTACTGCCGGAAAACAAAACAGAAACCAGGCTTCAGACTCCGTGCTCCTCTGCCTATGGAATTCGAGTGCCCCTTCGATCCCCGTATCTCCACCTCTTATAGCGTAGCTAAGGTACTCTGTCTCGACAAGCCTAGCAGCTGCGGATTATAGTTTGCGAGAGAGACCGCAGAGTCAGCGGACCCCCTAAATTCCGTTTTGCTGTCCACAACTGGCGTCGATCCTGGATGGAGTGTCCGCTAATGCTGCCTGTGCTGCGATCGATTGTGCTTCTCACTACGGCTGTGCCCCAATCCAAAGATCCCGCAACCAGCAAGTGCAATGCCGACTATGCCGCCGTGCTTCACAGATCAAATGCCGATGATCTCTGGACACTTCCCCTTTCGGTGAAGGTCGGCCTACTATACAATGGCTTTCCAGTCGTGAGACAGACGATCAACAAGACTTGAAGGTTTAGTGCACTGTCCAAATTGCCTGAACTGACGAATTCTTCAATCCCGCAGCTGAGAACCAAGACCTTGTGGAGCAACTGGAGGAGTGCTTCAAACTTTCAAAGTAAACGCGAGTGCCGTGCTGCGGGATTGTGATTGTGTAAGTGGCCAAGTGAGCTGGATCTTCGCCATCGATCTCGGTACTGCGGACGCAAATGTTTTGCCAGAAGGTGGGCTGCAATCTCGAAGAGGCGGGTAAGAAGCGGCCATGTCACTTATCTCGAGAGGGTCTGCCACTGCTGGCGCAGGAGTAAATAAGGGAAGGAATGCGGTAGACCAAGGCCAGTAGGTGTCCCTCTGGTGCGAGCTGACATACCTCACATGCCTCGGCTCTCAATGTATTTGTGAGTTCGTCTGATTACATATTGATGCTTGTGCTTGCTGACACGGCACACTCGACCTGACAAGGCGAACCCCATGCGGGGCCCGGCATTCTTGAATTTCGTGGTATGTCAAGAGCCAATCAGCTCATGACCATGGATCGAACCTTTCTGGAACCACAGTCTGCAGTACCCGGGGCAGTCGGATGCTCTGCACAGTCCGTCACATGCATTCGAGGATCGGAAAGCAGGGCCTCTAACTCTATGCTTTCACTCTCAAGAATCTGAACTGGCAGACTTTGGACACAATGAGCTGTCTGATTGGCAGTGATCCATGCAGAATTGCGGAGTAAATGCCCTGCTCTGTACCCAGTATCCGCGTATGCATTTGACGGACTGTAGTACTGTCCTTGACGACGGGCTCCTCGATGCTCTTGGCGTACATATGGCCTCCACGAAATGAGCCTCTCCGATTGTGCGAAGACCAAAGTCATGCCTACAGTAACCGGTACCCAGCTCGTCAGAGTTTCTGGTTGTGCTGACTAAACTGCCATTGCTGTGCATAGCGTCCACTTCGTTTCCAGGCTTTCCTATTCACGGCTTCATCTCTGGTTTAAAACTATCCTCCTCCGCAGAAGCTGAGTATCTCTTCACCTTGACCGGGTTTGATAGACTTTTCAGTGCTTACGCACACACTGGGCCGAGCGACTTTCCAATGATGGCGATTACGAAAGAAAGTCCCGTCTGCACCTCCAGTACATGGGTCGGCAGACCGATCACTGCCTGTGCAGGGTAATGTGTCGCACAAAAAGCCCGTCTCCGTTCCCATAAATTGATCGAGAGACTAATGATTTCCCTGCCACGGACAGAGCTTTCTACGTTACAAGGAATCCATTATTTGTAGCATCACTGTCCGCTCGCTGGTCTCGATCAACATCACGAATCGGACACTCTCTAAGCGATGGACGCCCATCTTTCGAATGGCGGACACGATCTACCTCACGAGGTAGAGTCTTTGCCACTGGTCCTGGAGAACTTGGCACGAGAGTTTCCCGATAATATCTGGATGAAAATACCCTTGGACGCAGAGCTGAAAAAGGGATGGCGCGATATCACATATCGAGAGCTGGCAGACGCCGTCGATGCCATGGCTCGCTGGATCGTCCGCGAGTTTGGCATTGGCAATGGACAAGAAGCTGTGGCGTACATAGGCATCAACGACATGCGGTACGCCGTAGCGCAGATCGGACTGATCAAAGCAGGCTACATGGCCCTTTTACCGTCGTCCCGGAATTCTCAGGAAGGCCAGACATCACTGCTTTCGTCAACGAGGTGCAGGATTCTCCTTCACAGCGAAGACTCCGAAACAAGCGTAAGCGTCATCAAGCAAGCTGCGCCAGCCCTGCAGGCACTACAGATTCCGTCATTCGACGAGCTGCTCCGACAGGCATCGGCATCAGAGGCAGCGACGGCGTGTCCCATCGCTTATACCAATAAGTCTGAGGACAGAGTCATCGTCCTGCACACTTCCGGATCTACCGGGCTACCAAAGCCAATTTACCATACCAACGGCAGTATCGCTGTCTTCAAGCAAGTGCCACAAGTGCCTGCTCCACATGGTCGTCAAGGTGTCTATGCTATTGTTCTAGAGAGTGATACCCTAAGCTTTTCAGTGGCACCCTACTTCCACTTAATGGGCGCATCACGCATCTGGACGTCGTTACTTTGCCGGCACTCAATATGCTGTCTGCCACCGGGCAAGCCTCCTACGAGTGAGATAATTATCAAAATTTTGAATGAAACACGGCCTAAGACCTGGGCGACCCCCCCTTCAATCATCGAAGAGCTTGTACACACACCTGGTGGCCTGGAAGCCCTCACTAATGTGAAGTACGTCATTATTGCGGGCGGGCCACTAGCTCAGAGTGTTGGCGAACGCGTTAGTGAACACACTCGGCTGGTGAATGCTATAGGATCGACGGAGGCTGGCTTTATAGTGGCCCTTCTTCCGGAAGATAAGGCGGACTGGCTGTACTTCGAATTCATGGCGGGCAGTGGCGTTTGCATGGACCATCAGGGTGCAAGCTTGTACGAGATGACCATCAGACCTACGGGTGACCGTCGGTACCAAACAGTCTTTCATACCTTTCCCAGCGTCACGGAGTGGCGCACCAAGGACTTGTTCGTGGAGCACGCTACGAAGAAGGGTCTTTGGCTTTACAAAGGTCGTAAGGACGATGTCCTAGTGTTGAGTAATGGCGAGAAGTTCAACCCGGTCGGATTCGAGAAGAGTCTTGAGGGTCATGCTTTGATCAAGGGAGCACTCGTTGTTGGGCAGGCACGTTTTCAGACTGGGCTTCTGATCGAGCCAGATTGGAATTCATGTGGACACCGAGACAGAGATCTGTCAGAGCTTGTGGAAGAATTGTGGCCGTTCATTGAACAGGCCAACAAAGCTGCTCCAGCACACGGTCGCGTCTGGAAGTCGAAAGTTGCTATCGCCAAGCGAGACAAGCCTTTCAAGCGCGCTCCCAAAGGGACCATTATGCGGAGGCAGACGACAAATTTATACGCCGCGGAGATTGAAGCGCTTTATTCGAATGAGGGGACTTTTGATGAGCTTGGGCCGCTTCTGGTCGACCGGAATGTTGGTATCAACCCAGCCATGGAGTACTTGCGCAAGGCGTTCAAGGCCAAAGGCTTCGAGATGCCAGATGACGTTTCCCCAGATGCCGATATCTTCAGCTACGGCATCGATTCGCTGCAGGTCATGGCTCTTTCATCAATCTTGAGTCACGGGATAGGAAAGCCTGTATCACCTCGTGTGATCTACGGCCATCCGACTATTCGAAGCTTGGCCGAACATCTCACTGAGGTCGAAGACGACACCTCTGCTCGCCTGTCCCGCGAACAGGTAATGGAAGCAATGATCAAGAAGTATAGCCATGATTTACCTTCGAGATCAACCAAAGGCACGCCAGCACTGAATGAGCACACAGTACTCCTCACTGGCTCCACTGGCTCTCTTGGAGGTCATGTCCTAGAAGAGTTGATAAACTCTCCCTCAGTGGCTCACGTGTATGCCCTCAACCGTTCCACTGATGCAGAAGCTCGCCAAGCCAAGCAGTTTAAGTCCCGCGGTCTTAGCATTGATGGATTGCGCAAAGTAACCTTTCTCACAGCCGACTTTGGCCGCGAGCATTTCGGACTAGACTCCAGAGTGTACGATACCATGCTCCAGTCCGTTGATATCCTGGTACACAATGCGTGGGCGGTCGATTTTAACAAAACTTTAGCAAGCTACGAGGGTGTCCACATCGCCGGCACTCGCAGAGCAGTCGATTTCTGTATTCAGTCCAAGTACAACGCGCAGATCGTCTTCATATCCTCAATCGCAAGTGTCGGGAACTGGTTTCACGACCATCCGAAAGAGACCATCGCGGAACAGAAGGCCATCCCGGAAGAGATCCCAAAATCTCACTCGGTCGCTCTGCCCCAGGGATACGGAGAGTCGAAGCACGTGGCATCCATGATTCTAGCACATGCTGCCAACACAGCAGGTATTCCGGCAACGATTGTGCGAGCAGGACAGCTATCGGGTTCTGTCACCAGCACGGCCGAGTGGAATCGCCAAGAGTGGCTGCCGAGCATCATCATCACGTCCAAAGCGCTGGGGCTCATCCCAGAATCATTGGGAGTCCAAGACACGGTCGATTGGGTGCCCATGGACCTCGCTGCGCAGGCGGTAGTGGAGATGGCACTCGCGCGTGCGCATGATCCTGCTGGCCTCGATATCACGCACCTCAGCAACCCGCGCACCGCCTCGTGGAAGGCGCTCATCCCCGCTGTACGCGAAGCCCTCGAGCGAGAGACCGGCCGCAAAATGGCCGTGGTGCCATTCCGCGAATGGCTCGAAGCCCTGCGTGCGAGCCCAGTCACGCCAGCAGAAATCGAGAAGAAGCCTGGCTTGAAGCTGCTGGAGTTCTATGAGGGAATGGCGAGCTCGGGAACGCAGCAGCCCAGCATGGCCACGACGCACACGCAGGAGCTGAGCAGCACGGTGCGGGATATGGCTGCCATTGATGGGGCATTGATGACCAAGTGGCTGCGGGAGTGGCAGTAGTAGACAAACAGCTTGTTTGTTCACGCAGCATAGGATGAGATAGGGCGGAGTGATTTGACTCAGCAGAAAATTGTGTCGATTGAGTAAATGCTGACTAACACGATTTCCAGTGTGGCGTTGTGGGAAGAATCTTTTCAGAACCTTTTCCGTCTCTAGTGCTTCTACTCGTTAATTTTGAATGACAAGGTACCGAGGTAGGGCCCCATATTGGAAAGGACAAAGGTTGCTGTAAAGCATGGTTTGAGCGTCAACTTCGAATTCTTTCAGTGACTGGAAACTTCAGACCATCGACAACCTCAGACATGGTTCAAGTAGCTTCTCGACCAGTGAGTACTACATGAGAGCCTGCCGTCAGATCAGTACTGAGAAAGTGCTGTCCAGAATACTCGCAAGGACAGGAATCTTTGATACTCATATCAATTCAGGCGACACAGCAAACTTTGGAGCAAACGTGATCGATCTACAAAATCATGGAATCCGCTTACCATATTTGCATTCCATCTCCGCAGCCTCATAGCATCGTCAATTATTACAATTCGTTTCAAGCCGTTCACCACATGGCCTCGTGCGACCAATTGCCAAGTATTGCTACAAGAACCCGCTCGGTCAGTCAGCGCTTGTCACGGCAAGCAATGAGCGTGACATCGTCATTTCCCATTCCCTAGTCCGCAGACTTCGAGGTCAGCCGCATTCAATGAGTCTCAAGCTTTGGACAGCCGATGTATGTCGCGTGGTAGCTGTTCAAATGACCCTCGACTGCTCAGATGCATATATGCCGGCTTCTTCCACTCTCTGGCTTCCTTTCTTCCTATACCTGATACCAACAAAGCACAAATAACCTATACCAACACCAAGACCAACACCATCCCCGAGCAGTATAACGAACTCGAACAGTATACCGAACTCGAATAGTATACCCAATTAAGACTATCTCCTCCGCTATCCAACCTCGACAACCCATTACATATCCACCATGGCCTCTGTAGCTCTCGCCGCTCTCGTCGAAGTCGTCGGCTATATTTCCTACCACTACACGACCATGAACCGAAGTGAAGAGATCCTTCGAGACATCGGCATCTCCGAGTATTCCGATGAATGGGAAGCAAGCTACGACGCCTGGACGGACGCCAACACATCTTCACCGACTGGACAGCTTTCCAGAAAGCTAGCACTGGCATACAATACTCACATCGATGCAGCCAAAACTCACTCTGCTAGCGAGATCTGGGCTGTGGGCAGGAGTGAGTACGGAGAGGCTGTGTGGAAGGTTGTGTGTCCACGGAGACACTGATGTGGAGGATGAATGAGACTGTAAGTGAAGGCGCCACACGTGGTCTATGGTCACATGCTAATGAAATATGTGATCAGTGCGATTTCTTACATGCTTCCAGAAGAATTCGGGGAAAATATGCTCTTGTGTTGTGCGACGGCATAGATGGGCATTGAGGACGTTTTGTGGGGCAAAGGACTTTCACGGCCAAATTTTCCTGGTGTTTCTGACATGATTTCTTGTTTGATGCCATTTGGTGGCAAGGTTGCATGTGAGGAAGGACAGTACTGGGCGCAGAGAATGGCAATTGGAGTTTTTTATTTTCCATCTTTATGTTTTCATGTTTGCCACTTTATAGATAGATGAAACGAATGAGACTCCAGTGTCTTGGTGTTTCTGACATGGTCTCTTGTTTGATGCCATTTGGTAACGAGATTGCCTGTGAGAAAGGACAGTACTGAGCGCGGAGAGTGGCATATGGCAATTTTTCTTTCAGTTTGGTGCTTCCGGCGGTGTATAGATATACGAATTGAATGAGGTTTCGATGACTTACATTGAGTGTGGTATATCGCGAGTGTCATGCTTCTATGCTTCTTATATTACTCTCTGGCAACTCACAGAGATATGAATGCCGGCACAGCTATGGATGCCGGCAGAGTGCGCAAGGGAGATACCATGTGCTCATGCCTGCTTCCGTTAATCTTCCTGACTTCCCTGGCGTCGTGAGAGAGACACTGTGGCGAAGAAAGCACGCGAATCGTCAGAGCGAGACGGCAGGGCCTGGCCGCTTGTTATACTTTCGTGGCTTGTCTCTCCAATGTTCTTGCGTTGCGCGGCAATATGAAGGAATAAGCGGGATGAGGAGGATGTCAGATTTGGAGGAAGCGCCATGCTTGAGTCCGTTGGCCACTACATTTCCGGGTGTGCTATCCGGCATTGAGATCGAAATACAGTGATGATTACTATGCCCTCGTAGTCGGATTGTGGGCGGTCGCAGCATACTGTATAACCGTACCATGTTCCCGGATGAGCACGAGAGTATAACCATTGGTCGAAGCATGCAAAGGAGTAGCCGCTTGTCCTGCCGCTCCGGCGGACGATGACAGTCTCGATTTGATGGGAGGAAATTCGGAGGTGTTGTCCGGGCCGTCGAAGCTGCGGATGCAGTGGACACTTTTTGGTTTACCGTGATCTGGATCCGGTGGCCTGTGCGCCTCACGTGCGATCCTTTTAGCGGGGAACGTCATGTCTCTGTTTCGGCAAGACTACATGGTAACTATTGCTTGTCCATCTTTTGCTCGTTTTTGGCCGCCGATGACCCTTCCCGATCCTCTTAGCCGCCTTCAAGCGTGAGCTTGCTAGCATCGTCAGCCATGTGTTCAAATAGGTAGGTTTGCTCTCTTCATCGATCTCTCCGTTCTACTATTCCATTGTTCTCTATCTTGGACATACACTCCTCACTCTACCTGAGACCATTCCGACGAGAAGAGGACGATCCCATCACGAGCTCGCGCAATCACGCGACACATCTCTGACCTCCATATCCCATCTTCATACTGGCAGCGATGGCTGTGGAGAACTACGACATTGTGATCGTGGGCGCTGGTCCAGTAGGCCTGTTGCTCTCGACATGTCTAGCACGATGGGGCTACAAGATCAAGCACATTGATATGCGACCCGAGCCCACACTTACTGGGCGCGCCGATGGCATTCAGCCGCGATCTCTCGATCTCCTCCGAAATATGGGCCTGAAGCGAGCCATCATGGCCAACGAGCCGGCGAAGGTGTACGAAGTCGCCTTCTGGGACCCTCTGGACGAGGGCAAGGGCATCGCGAGAACAGGCACATGGGCGTCTTGCCCGAAATTCATCGATGCGCGATACCCATTCACGACGTTATTGCACCAGGGCCTGATCGAGAGGGTCTTCATCGACGACATTGAAAAGCATGGCACACGGATACAAAGGCCTTGGAAGATTACAGGCTTCAAGAATGATGGGAAAGACTCAACATATCCAGTCGAGGTCAATCTCGCGCATGTGAACGGAGATGAACAGGAGACTGTTCGCGCAAAATATCTGTTCTCGGGAGAGGGCGCGCGATCATTCATCAGAGAACAGCTTGGGGTCGGCATTACGCACAAGGACCCAATCGCATACGTGTGGGGAGTAATGGACGGAGTCGTTCGGACAGACTTCCCCGACATCAAGATGAAGTGCACAATCCATTCTGATGCCGGCTCAATTATGGTCATTCCTCGCGAGAACAACATGGTCCGCCTCTACATTCAAATTGCCTCATCAACCGACAAAGACTGGAATCCACGGAAAACAGCCACAACTGAGGAAGTGCAGGCTTATGCTAAGAAGATCATGAAGCCATATTACATCGAGTGGGATCGTGTAGAGTGGTACTCGGTGTACCCAATCGGACAGGGCATTGCAGATCGATATACCTTGGACGAGCGCGTGTTCATGGGCGGTGACTGCTGCCATACACACTCGCCTAAAGCTGGTCAAGGCATGAACACTGCATTCTTAGACGCGCAGAACTTGGCCTGGAAGATCCATCACGTCGAGTCTGGTTTCGCCGATCGCAGCATTCTGAAGTCGTACGAGTCAGAGCGGAAATACGTGGCTGAGAATCTGCTGAATTTCGATGCTTCATACGCCAAATTGTTTTCGCAACGAGTGCCCTCAGCAGCAGAGCGCGCCTCTGCTGGCAAGTCGAATGACGGAAAAGACGAGAACCCATTCGTGCAGAAGTTCAAGGAGTCTTGCGAGTTCACATCTGGCTATGGCGTTGCCTACCTCGAGAATGTCTTCAACTGGTCAGAATCTCATGCGGCGCAGTCACCGCTCTTCCTCACGACCAAGAACGGAGGCACGAAACTACGCACAGGACGCATTCTGACCCCCGCGACTGTTACTCGAGTTGTCGACGCCAATGTCGTGCATCTCGAACAGGAGATCCCTCTGAATGGATCGTACCGACTTTACCTCTTCGGCGGCAAGCCAACTAAGACGAAGAAGGCGATCGCAGACTTTGCCTCCGGTCTGCGCAAGAAAGGTTCATTCTACGACGTGTACAAGCGAGCCGACATCGGCAAGGTGGATTACCACGAGCGACACAATCCACATTCTTGGTTCTACACCTTCAATATCATCTTCAACTCTCACCGACCCGATATTGAGATCCGCGAGCTTCTACCCGAAGTCTTGGCGCGTTACACCGATCACGTCTACGCTGACGACATCTGGGATCAAATGGTGCCTGAAGCAAAGGCTTCAGCGCACGCCAAGGTCGGCCTGTCAGAAGAGGAGGGAGGTATTGTGGTCGTGCGACCTGATGGCTATGTCGGTTGCGTGGTTAAACTCGTCGAGGGATCTGGCACGGTCGACGCGCTGAATTCCTACTTCAATTCGTTCACCACGAAGACAATAGGGTCAGAGAGGGCACAGCTATGATGAAGCGCTTACGCCAGTTTCCTATTGTCATATTCTGCAGCGTTATCGTACCAGACTTTTGAGCGAAAATATGACAATTGGACTTGTGACAATTGACTGCATACCATTGTGCGCCCCAAACCTTAATTTCCTATTGTCAAGTTTTCTATTGTGTTTGCAATACATATTACTCCACCTTCGAACATACTTCTTCTGACATACTTCTGCACAGTTCAGACTCTTTGGCATACGCTCTCGCACAAGACTCCGATTTTAATCACATCCGAAGATTGATCGCTGGACGTCGACTTCATCCCTCTCCATCCCAAGCTCTCGAGTACGCTCCATCTCTCAAGACTTCCAAACTATCTCACACGGCTTTCGACCGCACCCTTTATACCTCTCATCACACCAGACGTATACTCTTCTTCTCGACGCAATGGCATACGCAAGCAAGCGCAAAGCCGTGGCCCAGCTTACTCCTCCTGCAAGCAAGAGACAAGCGACGGAGAGTGCCTGCGCTCATTCCAACATGAACAAAAGCAAGAGCATTGAGACCGAAACACCATCGATATTCAGTCGCTTGCAGCACGAATCAGTCAAAGTGGCAAACGACTATCGCAAAGTCCGTTTCCCTATTCTTGGCAAGTATATCACGAAGGACGCCCCAGCAGCCATGCAACAGTACGACACAATGGACCTGATGCCTGCCGACCCTCGTCAGCTACATCACAGCACCTCCGTCTCTGGTCCAGTCGCTCAGGATGGCAAGCGCCCTGCAATCGTCCGAACGCCGTACAACAGGGACCGGAAGCTCACCTTCTTCGATCTTGCCCCGGAACTTCGAAACGAGATATACAAACTCTCATTGATAAGTGCAGAAGGCATCGCTATCATGACCAAAAACCCGAACAACATCGAGCCAGCCCTCCTTTTCTCCAGCAAGAAGATCCGCTCCGAGGCTCTGAACATGTTCTACCACAACAATAGCTTCCACTTCGACGATACCGAAACAGCCATTGGCTTTCTCAAAGCCTTACGCCGAATACAACGTAATTCACTCCAATCATTCACGATCATCGATCCATTCAAGGCGGCGGTCACACCAGTCGAGGCAGAACTTGAGGACGCCCGCATTAGGAGATATGACACCGAGTATCACTGGAGTCGTGTGAGCTCAGCAAGCAAAGCCGCCCAGGCAAAACTTCAAGCCACTCTGGACAAGAGCCCCAGAGCTCTGAAGAAGTTTGGCCCCCTCGCGACGCCAGTGCTGCCACCAGGCATGGAGTATATCCACAACCATTTGTCAAATTTCCCTCACCTGCGACAAAAAGACATCGTTCTCGACAAGCCACGCACGCTGAAAGCCACGAAACATGCCCTTCGGCTGCTGGATATTTCGCTTGGGAGAAAGGAGATGAACAATGTTGTCAAGGTAGAAATGCTGGTTCACGTGCCAGTTGATGAGAACCGGCCAGCTAATGGTATTGGTGAGGCGAAGGAGGAGTGGAGAGCGGTCACGATGAAAGAGGTGGAGGAGTATAAGGTGGTGGAGGTCAGGAGACGGAAGTATGTTATGCCGATGACAGAGATGGAGAAGAGCAGGAGATAGAAGAGGGTTTAGATAGGTCACGAATGGTGCTGCTTTTGCGGTTTCGAATCTCGTGCATTTCGTCTGAGCTAATGATTTTCTAAATGTCACCTGCTTCGTATTGCCTCGTTATGTTGGAGACAAGATGGACGATGCTGTTTCTCCGTCCGTTTTATTTAGTTTGAGCCAATAATTGTTCAAATGTCTCCCGTTCATTACGATTCGTTGAAGCTGGGACAAGATGGACAACATCGTCCCTCCAACCATGTGACCCACAGAGAGCCACCTAGTGTCCAGTCGGTGCCCAACATAATAAGCTCTGGCCTTCAGAGGGAAGACCTAAACATGCTCGTCTCTCCGGTTACGTGATTGAAGCTGAGGCATTGATTATCCAGAAAGTCTGAACGCTGGCAGAAACCAGGCCTCGGAGACGTGGCTCTCGCTCCTCGCCTCTCCTCAAATCAGACGGCTGCAGAGCCAACTAAGATTCGAATGGCAGTCCGGGTGGCATACATGAACTCTGATCACCGACGGCAGCTGAAGGAAAAGGAGGTCAAGAGCATCGCGGTGCACTGGCCGACTATGCTTTGAATATGCTTCTTTGTGAATCCTTGGAGAAGGCTTTGTCATAATTACACACGAGTGACATCGACCTGTAATGGTGCAATGTGAATACTTCATGCACACTGTCTCCCAGCAAAGCCGATGTGTAGAGCACATAAAGTAACCCAAGCATGTGGTGTTGGAGAACGAGGTAATGAGGAGCGAAAGCCGGCTTGAAGTTGAAACAATTCACTTCTCGGTATGTATGCTCTGGTAAATTAGCTCAACTCATCTTGCTTCTGAGTGAAACCAACGCAACTGAGCGGCCAGTGAATGAAAAGTCAAGCTCATAAACTCCGACCAGCTCTCGAGACACGAGTCCTAACCCAGTGAAGTCTGTCAATGCGTCGTTGACTTGTAGATGTTGATTTCATAGGATCAGATGCCCAAGGTCAATAGGAGTGATGGCGTGATCGACTTCATTGATCCAAGTGATTGCCAGGCATACAAGGGTGCCCGAGTTTGTCTGGCACTGATTTAGTATCTCATTTTCACTCGAGATTCTTTCCCTTCCATGTGAATGGGATGTAACTCGGCCAACTCATCATGAAATAGCAAGTGAATGACATGCAAGCTTTTTATAGAGGCAGTCCATTGTGATTTCGAACGACGTGGCTGTCCACCTCATCACTGCCTATGCAACCGACTGGCCTTGCTTTTCGTGCTCACCTGAGAAATGCCAACGAAGACAAGGGAGATGGAACAGCAAAATGCTGAACAACCAGCATGGTAGTGTTGTGAATGAGACAACAGTGAAGCTTTGGTCGGATGCGAAAGGATAGTGCAAGCACTGCTTCCACATCGCCGTTCTGTCCCGCTGGAGGCCATGTGAATAGCTGCTCTCACTTTTGGTTTGCTCCCAATCCCAGGGCCAATATTGATGAAAGAGACCGCGTCCATGCACTCGATGAGGAGGTATTGCTCAACTTTGCTGTTGGACTGACAGGGTCCCCTCGCGTTCACTCTCGGCTCGTTCGATTTTCTGGAAGGCATCAAAGGTTTTGAAGTCGTCCGGAGCGACTGAGATTTCTGCCAGAGAGATTGCTGCGTGCAGGAGTTCAGATCATGGTCATCCTGTGACTTCGACAGAAACATCGATCACGCAGTGCATGACCCCAGGAGCATAGCTTTTGAGCTTGTTGATATGTTCGATCTCGACCTTCAGCTTCTGCTCGTCTCCAACATGCTCCAGGTGAGGGTTACTGGATCCCAGCAGAATGCGCTCGAATTCCTTCCTCGTCTCCTCACTCTTCTCCACGATCTCGTCTACCAGGAAATTCTCATGAATGTGCAACCATCCCTTCGGCTTCAACGAGACGAAAGCAGCAGCAAGCTCCAAAGCCTTTCTCGAGCTCGGCAGCATCCCGAGATTGACGTGTCGAATGTTCAATCTGCTGTACCTTGAGGTTTCTCTCAGCCGTTCCGGCGCCATCTCATTCGTTTCGTTGAAAACCAGGATTTGCGCATCGCTCTTTACCATCATTTCCATCGCGGCCTCATCTCCATCCTCAGCACCCTCAATCCTCCCACAAACCTCCACACCCCATTTATTCCTCCTCGCCCCCCTCACCAACCCCTCCACACTCCAAGCATTCAAATCCCAACAAAACACCGTCCTCGCCCCAGCCCTCACATACGAGAAGGTAAAATACCCAATCCCAGCATACAAATCCACAACGTCAAACCCCATCTTCCAACCCTCATCTCCCTCATCTCGCGCTTGCGCAGCTTCTTCTGCCGCTTGTACCACAGAAGGCAACGTCAGCAACCTCGCCTTCTCCGAAATGTTCCCTCGCGAAAACATCGTCCATCTCGGCGCCCACGTCTGATAGATCCCATTCTGCTTCGCAGTCACCCAGAACGCTTTTGCGAAATCTTCTTCTGTTGGGGGAGATGAAGCAGTCTCTGGGCCGAAGTCTCCGTAGATTGGCGTGAAATTTATCGGAGCGCGGAGGATATTTTCCGACTTGGTGGAATCCTCATTTTGAGGTGGGATGGGCTTGTTTGAGGCGACGTGTGTGATTTTACATTCTTTGCAGATACGTTGCCAGAGATCTTCGAGGGTTTCCGAGGCGAGAGGTTGAAGTGGTTGCCATTCGGGGCCGGAGAGGGCGTTGTGGGGGAAGATGAGTAGGTCGCCGTAGATTGTGTGTGATCTTGAGAGCTTTTTCCATAGTTGGGTGCTTGCGTCCGAGGTGAAATTGTGGTTGTCGCGCCATGCCTGGAAGGCGCGGTCTAGGCCGGACATTGGTGTCTGGGATGTAAAGTTCGTCGTGGTGGTGGCAGTTTCCCACAGAAAGAGCTTGATTAGACACGGTGGGTTTGAGGGAATCACGGCCACATTTTGCACAGTTCAATGTGGATACACTTGCCTCAGTTCACAGTGCTACGAAGGTATAATAAAATAGAAACGAATTTCAAATCTTTTGTATTCTCCAATAGAAGCTATAAGCTATCTCGCTGTTGATGTAAAAGCAATGTACATGTCGATCCTTCCATTCTATTGCACTTTCCCATTATTCCAAACTTTCGCATGCAGCGCTCGTTTCCACCATATAATCCTTGGTCTTCGCCTTTACTTCGGACACTCCTTGATACCAGTGCGTTCGCGAGACAATTCCCACTTCCACTGCCTGTAGTCGAACATGTTCCAGACGCTCAACTCCGACAAAGAACAATAGCTTCCTGGTGCGCGGCAATCAGGGACATAGATTGCATCAAGGGACAGCGGCAAGAGTTCTCCACCAGTGCAACGTAGGAGCTTCTCGACCCGCTCGCGAACGCTTCTTTGGATTAAGGATTTGAGGTGCATGTAGCCGAAGTGCCTCATGCCTTGACAGCTCCAGTCGGCGTAATTCAGTTCAAAGCGGCGGATCTTTGCGATGTTGTCTCTTGGTATCTTGCTGAGGAAAGTGATGGCTTCTTCTTCGGTGTTTGCATACCAGGTGTTCCCGCCATAGAGCATTGCTGTTGCTTCTTTGTAGATCTCTCGGTTTGCGGCGATGATGTTGACTGCTAATGGGAGATTTCGCGGAAGCGCCTTGCCTTGTTCTCCAGAGACGGAAATGACTTGGTCGTCCAGTAAAAGAGCTTGCTTGTAGATGTTGTTGCGTAGCTCAGCGGACAGATCGCGGAACGAGGTTGGGTTGTTTGTTCCAGACATGTTGTCTTGTGGTGTGATAGCTTGAAATGTTGATGAGTCTCGCCGATGGCTTGTCTTTCGAAATGTTGCTATGCGGTCGATGGCCTGCTCGTCGTTGTCTTCTGATATGATAGTCGGACTTGTTGGTGCGCGTGGTTGATGGCTTGTCTTTCGAAGTGTTGAAATGTGGTCGATGGTCTGTTTGTTGTGGTCTTTTGATGTGTTGGTCTTCCGATATGATGGTCCGAAGTCTGTGTGAGAGGATGTAGTAGAAGGCCTGCTTTTCGAGGAGGGCGAGTGGTATATATGCATGCAAAGAACCAGAGTGAAAGTGGCCTCAACCATGTCCTCAAAAAGGTTGCGATCCACGAAACTTGCCCTCCTGACCTTGGGTCGTCGACGATTCGTTGACCTGTCCTGTTACTACCGAGCAAATGGTGGTTCACGTGAACTATAATCCTGACATATAGTCGAGCATGAGGCCACTTTCCGGACTCTCCGCTGTTCAGACCGTTCCCAAAGCAGGAGCACTACGTGGAGGCTCTTCTACTGCAAATACTCTCCAACAGCCTTGACCGCGTTCTGAAAATTCTTTCCCTCGATCAGAATCAAATGCCCTTGAGGTTTGATTCCTGCCTCAGTGAAAGCTCGCTTCGCATCACTGGCACCTTCATCTGCTTCTTTCTCGTACTCGAAATTCGAGAAGCCCAGGGCGTGTTTTTGCCACACTTCATCTTCAGCGTGAAAGTAGAACGTCTCAGAGTTCGCGCTTCCCGACTTCTTTCCCTTTTTGCTCGGCCGCTCCTCCTCTGCATCAAGCTTTGAGTGCACTTCGGCATAAGTCTTGCTGAAGATGAGATAGTGCGTGAAGTCGTATGGTTCCTTGTCCTTGACAGCAAGCTCAACTTCCTCTAAGAGCAGGCTGTACATTGGAGGAATGACCTGGTGTGGGATGTTGATGAAGCGTTCGTTCAGAACCAGTGCGACTTGTGCTTTTGAGTCAGGCGCAAGTAGCTGTTCGAGTTGCTGAAGACCAGGATTCCCAGAAGCTTTGGCACGAGACAGGATGTATTTTGTCAAGTTGAGAATGACGGGCTTCATCCTGTGGTGGTTGAGGTTTAGGGCCGTGAGAAGCGCATAGGGATCGCTCTCTTTGCCGTCGCATTTTACTGTTGAGCCCATACCGGGCTGTGAAAGGATCAGATCGGCCAGCTCTGAAAGGTCAAATAACTGATTGTCGGCATCGAAAAGTTGTCGGAGCAAGTTCTTCAAGCCGTGGAAATCCACTTCTGGATCGGGGTCCATGAACTCGAAATCTACGTCGAGCATACTTGTGTCCTGGGCGGAAGTCAGTGTCTCGGCCCCTATCAATCAGAATACTGCTGCATACATCGTCACTGCCACTGTCCTCGCCGTCGACGTCCATCTTGTCTTTCGACGGCAGCTTGTCGTCGCCATTCGCCTTTCTTTTACCCATGTTGGTCTCTGTTGTTTCGCAGCGCGTAAGTATACAGCCAGTGAGCTTGATTGCGACAATTGCTCGCTTTGATTTCGACAGGAGGAATTGGACGAACGACGAACTTTACGTTGGAACTAAAATCGGTCCAACTTTTTTGAACCGCCGAGGCCGATCACGTGCCTTAGGCATTAAAATAGAGGGAATTGCATCAAGCAGCAGTCCATGGACCAGCAAGGCTTAATAGTGCAAAGATTCGATGTATGACAGGCAATCTAGCGTGGGCAATTACACGGGTCACGCCACTGGTAGGCTCCACTGAAGCAGGCTCATTGCACGCAGCTATACTTTTTGACAAGTGCACTATATCACGAACGTCCTTGTGCAAGTGACCTCTTTTACAGACCTGATCTCACCGACGCTAAAAACAAGATGATGTATCTTAACTGTACATGGCCTCACCTGTCTGGCTCAGCGTATACCACCTCATACCTCCACTTCTATGTCCTCTGCTCGCATCCCCTCTCCATCGCAATTCTTATGCTCCTTTTAACCAATGACCAGCGCGTTGTCCTCTGGGAAGTCATATTCTGGCACCTCCAAGTTCAATGGGGCTGGGCCCTTTCTTACACGACCAGAGATATCGTAGTGAGAACCGTGGCAAGGGCAGAACCATCCACCATAGTCACCAGCCTCTCCAATAGGCACACAACCCAAGTGTGTGCAGACACCCAGCATAATGAGCCACTCGGGCTTCTTGACACGATCACCGTCGGACTGTGGGTCACGGAGGGTCTTCCAGTCAAAGTCCTCGGCTTCCTTGATCTCATCCGCAGTACGGTGGCGGATGAAGACCGGCTTTCCACGCCATTTGATGATCACGTTCTTGCCCTCTGGAATGGTTGCAAGGTCGACTTCAACCTTGGCCATGGCCAGCACATCGGCGGAAGCGGACATGTTGACAAGGAAGTCTTTGCATGTGTCAGCCATTGATTCTCTATCTCACAGTAAAGATTGCTGCGCTCAGCTCTACTCACCCTGCACGGTATTCTTCGCACCAAGCGCTGAAACACCACCCATCGCGCCGACCATGAAGTACTGGAACAGCTTGTTGCCAGTCTCGCCCGAGTTATTCCTGTAGCTCTTGAAGGAGGGGATGATGGTAGTGTCTGGCTTGTTGCTAGCGCCACGGTGGAAAGGCGACTTGAACTCGGCGTGTGATGTTGAGGCATCGGTAGAGCTGGCTTCGCGTTTCTGGATGGCGGTTGAGGTGGTGCGCAGAGCAGGCACAGCCTGACGAGTGGCGCCGCGCACCAGCGAGGTGGCGGCTCGAGAGGAGATCGACATGTCGGCGGGTGTGAGAGGTGCCTGCGGAGGATGGATCGGTCTCAATGGGTCGTGGTGGTCGCAGGAGGCGTGAGATGGAATGATGCTTTTGCTCTCGGAAAGTGAGGAAGTTGTGGCCAATCACAGTCGAGCTGATTCAAGCCGAGAAGGAGCGGGCTTTAGATGCCTTAGAACTAAGGCACAACTAGCTAAGCTTGGGCCCGCGACTGCCTAGTCATGGTCAACCAAGGGACGGTCACTTCACTTTCTTCAGTCCGCCACCGCCCAGAAAAAATCCTTCGACGGCAGAGATCGTCATGGCGCCTCCTGCGACACGGACCAGCTTCAAGCGCTCGGCTTCTGAAGACGCAGACGACACAAGCGTCACTTCTTCGAAGCGTGCCAAGGCCAGCAGTCGATCAAGTAAAGCACAGACTCAATCGCAAGAATCACAAGACAAGTCGAGCACTGGAGAACGACCAAAGCGATTCACGCCAGACGGAAGAGAGATTCCGTACATGAAGCCACGGCCAAATGGATCTTGGCGAATGATCACTGGCGAAGACATTGCCTATACCCCAGAGGAACGACCGACTCGAGCTCCAGCAAGTGCATACAGGCAGACATCGATTACTCAATCGTTCGGCCAATCGACATACTCTGGCAAAGAACGCAAATCGAAGCCTCAAGTCAAGAACACCACATCAAGCTCCACGAAACCAAAGGCGACCACAAAACCAACGATGGCAACGGCATCGTCATCAAAGCAACCCAACAACGAAGCGATATCAACCACACCCACAACCAAAGCCGGTCCCTCCAAGTCCTCCACCCCCAACCACCTAACCCTCAACCACTCCATCTCCAACATCTTCTCCGCACCACCCAACACCCTCCTCCTCCACGCCTGCAACACCGAAGGCAGCTGGGGCGCAGGCATAGCCCTTGCTTTCAAGAAATCCTACCCCTCAGCGTTCGAAACCTACCGCGATCACTGTCGCCTCACACCGAGCGATGAACTCATCGGAACCGCACTACTCATCCCTCCATCCGAAGAAGACGACTCCGACTCGAGTAAACACTTCATCGGCTGCCTTTTCACCTCAGTCAGTAAAGGCCAACGCAAAGATTCGCCAGACAAGATTCTGCGCGCGACGGGGACTGCGGTGAAGGATTTGGTCAAGAAGGTCGGGGAGTGGAATGATGAGCAGAAGGAGAAGAAAGTTGGAGAGGTGAGGATGTGTAAAATCAATTCGGGGTTGTTTGGGGTGAAGTGGGAGAGAACCCAGGCTGTGCTCGAGGCCATCGAGGTTGATGGCGAGAACTCGATCCGGCAGATCGAGGTCATTTCGAGGAGTGAAGATGATTGATGAGAGGGTGTCGGTGACGGCGCAAAGTGGTAAGTTCTTTCTCTTTCTGTTTCTTTCGATGATACCTCGGCGGCGGCAATGGTTGGTTCTGTTGAACAAGATGTTCACTGCGAAAATCGGGAAGATCGGCGCAAGGATGGGTGATGGATCTCCGCGATGGCCGCGCTTCTGTTGAATGAGGTGTTCACGGCCAACAACGGGAAACTCGCCGTAAAAATGGATGATTGGCGGCACTTCTGGCTTGTTTCGAAGTTCGTCGACGCCTTCTTCGTGTTTGAACAAAAAGTTATGGCGATGATACCTCGGGATTGAGTTAGGTCACGAGCAGGACGACAGCACTGCTCAGACAGGATAGGACGTTCGGCAGAATTATGGAGAAATTCGGAAGCAGTTCTCCAGGAATACTTGAATGTTTATGCAAAACCAACAACGATCGATAAAACTTCTTTCATCTTTCGCTACCGCGCATGTTCAGCAGTAGTCGTATGCTTCTTCTCCCTTCGTCGAGTCATTCATCGTGCCCTTTCCCCGATTGTCATGAATGGCAACTAGTGTCGACCACTTGACACAGATCTCAACCAAGAAGCTCAACATCCAGCCCGATAGCCCTCATGAAAAGATTGACATCCGCCAACCTCTTCAAACTCATTTCTTCTGGTAATGTCTTCGACACACCGACAGTCTCCATAACGCGATCCTTGACGCCCAATACAAGGCGCTGTTGTTGATCGGGACTAGCACCAACACCCATCGCAGCCAAGAATTGCCAAACGTGGACGTCCTCGGAAGCAGACACAGGCCCATCGGTCGGGAAAATATAAGGCAAGACAGGGTCCAGAGTATCGAAAAGGCGATCGTACATTTCCGTGAATTGCTGGAAATCCGATGCAGGAGCAGATTGCTTGAGGAGTTCAGCGCGAGAGATGAGCATGGTGAGAATGCTGACGCCGATCTTTGTGCGCGAGATGGCTTGGACTGGTGTTCGTTCTAGGACCAGGCCAAGGAGACCGATGATGATATTCAGCGGCGCTTCGTTGACGTAGCTGAACAGTGGTGGAATGACGGCTTGGTTGAAAAGATTGACCTCTTCTTTCACGCGTGCTGGTAGAGCGCTGTTGTCCGCTGCTGGGTATGCGTCACGAATGACGTCCAGGATGTCGAGGTGGATTACAATGAGGGTGAGCATGGTGAGACGTTGCTGATCATCGAGGTGTCGGAATGTGCGAGGGACTGCCTTCTTGCCTTTGCTGTGCGACAGGATCTGAATAAATGGGTGTGGCGAGGTTGAGCTTTTCAAATGTCAGCAAAGAAATTCCAATTCTGCATTAGTGTACTCACGCTGGGTTGATCTCAACCATGATGCGAAGGGCTTCCCACAGCTGCTCATTCAATTCCTGCATGGCACTCCTCCATCTCATGTGGCCTTCTATGACCTCGGGTGGACTCTCCTCATTGGGTGGTGGTGGCATCTCTCGTTCGTGATCTTCGAGCCTCATGAGCGTCGTGTACAAGTTTTCGATATCGCGGAGCGCAGACTTGCGGTCAGCAGGCTTGGTGGGATGGTGCTTGCGAATATCTGCAGAATCCGGACGCTTGATATTAAGAAGCGGTCGAGGCGTCTTGGAGTTGCTGAAGGCGATCTTTCCAAGCGAGCCTTCGACGACAAGCGACTTGTTCTTTGGGCGAGACTTCGCTGCTTCGACAGCACGAGCGACTTGCTGTTCCATGCGCTGCACGTGATTGTCGCCGCCGCGAGGGTGATGCCGACTACGACCATAACCATAGCGGCTGCCTGTTTGGAAGAGGTATGTCTGAGCGAACTGGTTCAAAGGCTGACCGGGGCCGCTTCGTGGGGGACCACGTATTTGAGCATAGACTTGGTAGTAGAAGTCCTCGGCCAACTGCTCCTTGCTGCCCGGTTCATTGTCGATGCCGCCCGTGGCAGTCAGCAACTGCTGAAGCTGGATTCGGGTAATGAAGTTCTTGTCCTGGGGCGTCATGAGACCGTTGTTCTTGCTCAAGAGGAAGATTTTGTGATTTCGCTTGGCACGTTTGGCTTCCTCAGCCATGTATGCCTCTCGGTCTTCTGGAGTCATGTTCATCATCTGCTGGGCCTGTGTTATTGGCGGGCCATTGTACGATGGGCCACGGCTATGCATAGGAAGAACTGGTGCTCCACGAGGTTGGACTGGAGGGCCCGGCATAGGAAAGCCTGGAGGAGGCCCTTGCTGGAATTGTTGCTGGGGCGGCATGCCGTGGAAATCCTGTGACTGTGGCCGACCATGATTGGGAATGGGCTGCCTTTGTAGAATCTGAGGCGTACGCTGGTTGAAGCCAGGACCGGGCGAAGGCTGCGCTGGCAGCTCCTGAGGAATCTGCTGCTGCTGCATTGGGGATGGACGCTGAAGTATCTGGGGCACTCTTTGCTGCTCGAACGGTGACGGCGCTTGGGGTTGAGATGGCGGACCGCCCAAGCCCAGCATGTTCTTCAAGCCCTGCGACTGACTCTGGTAATCCGGCTGTTGCTGCACTGGTGGTGCAGGGCGTGCTTGTGCCCGCATCTGTGCCTCCAGCTCTTCCAAAGTCATCATCCTCGCCGCCGGCTCAGGCTGCCTGGCTGGCTCGGCCTTCTTCGCCACGGAACTGCCCCAGATCGATGCATCGGCCTCCAACTTGGGGATGTACTCTGGCTGCTTGTAGGCCTCATAGCCTGTCTTTGCAGGCTTCTGCGGAGGGCGGGGCTGAGCGTATGGCTGGCGTGCTTGATGCAGGACCTGCTCTTCGATCAAGGTGTCTCGAATGTTGGCCGTCTGTCCCGCAAAGTCAAAGTCTCTGCCCACGCTTTCTCTTGTCACCGGCTCGTCGCCGCCGAAAGTGTCATCGTTGAAGTCATCGCCGGCCTCTTGCAGTTGAGCTCCTAGTCCGTCATACGTCTGCTCAAAGTCAAGCATTTCGCCACCTCCATCGCCGCCGAGTCCTGCAAAGGGATCGCGCTGGTCGAACATGCCTCGCGAGCTCGATTGCTGCGCGCTCTGGTCGCGAGGCAGGGTGGTGTCGAAGCCGAAGAACGACATGTCGGCGGTGGTGGTGTCTGTATTCGTGGAGCGTTCTGGTTGCTGCGAGATGGTATTTATCACAAAGGCGGCACGGCGCAAAGGCGCCAACTCGGAGCAATGGGGAACAGCCTCGCTATGCTGGGGAAGACAAACGCCGTAACGATGGGTTCAGTTGAGGTGTGCTGAAGTCATTCTGCTCGGCAAACAATGTGGGCGGAAGCATTGACCATGGCGAGTTGTGACCTCAGTGGTGCTATGGTACGCCGTTGCGGATCTTGCTGTGATACAGCAGCAGCTCGGTGGTCCGCCTTGCCGCGCTGCAACACCTGTCCACCCCGTCCATGCTGTCGGCCAGCAACGGTCTCGCAACCTCAAATTCGCTCGCCCATAGCCTGCCGTATTCCGTGTGAAGGTTTCCCTACTATACGAGCTGTCGTGCTGAACGCTCCCAACGTGTAACTTCGTGTGGTGCAATAATTAAGAGGGCCTCTAGTGGCAGTCCAATTATATCCGCCATACGAGCTCTGCTGTACCCCTTACGACGCAAGAATTCGCGGCACGCAGACCCAAGGAATTTCTCCCTCCGAGCCGGCGGGAGACCACGTCGCCATCCCCGTCTGCCTTCGTATCATATGCACGCTGGACTAGTGGAGGGGCGCGCGTCCAAGAAGCGATATTACCTCCTTCACCTGCCCTGCCCGCAGCTGCCTTTCCTTCCCTGATTTCTTTGTTCGAAACTCTGTCTGACGAGCCTGCGTAAGCCGCGTGCGTACCGCATCTCGAAACACTCGAAACTCGACACCTCCTCCTCACCTAGTCGCTCATTTCTCGCGACTGCACCGTGTCCTCGCCATCACCGTCCACCGTTCGGGCTTCGAAGAGCATCACCACACTCCACCCGCTGCCGTCCAAAACGCCACGCATCCTGCCGAGACAAAGCCTCATCGATCCGCGTTGATCGATCGCCGCCGCATGCTGACACACCTCGCGACGACATGGCGGGCTCGACGCGATACGTGCGATACATTGTCTTCGCCTTCATCGCCCTAATCCTCATCTTCTTCATCTCCTCGTCATCATCACGCGTGCCCGGCGCCGAACACATCCAATCCGCATCAGAACTGCTTAAGGCGCAAGGGATATGGAAAGGCACGCAACAGGGTTCGAAAGCACCTGCGCAAGCACCTTCGGGAAAGACGGGCAATGCTGGCATTGTCGGAGAGGGCGAGCAGAACTTACCTGTGAACCACGCAGGCAACCCAGTTGCGGTGCCTCACGATGCTGAAGTTCCCAACGCTGCTGGGCCCGACCATCTATCCACTTCACCGAACCCAGCACCCGGCACACAGACCCATCTCTCGAACACTGCGCCAGGCCCGCGCATGAACGCCACCTTCGTGACACTCGCTCGCAACAGTGATGTGTGGGAGATTTCCAGGTCGATCCGCCAGGTCGAAGATCGCTTCAACCACGCCTACAACTACGACTGGGTTTTCCTCAACGACGCTGAATTCGACGACACATTCGTCAAGGTGACCACGGCTTTGACTTCCGGCAAGGCAAAGTACGGCAAGATTGACAAGGAGCATTGGGGATTCCCAGAATGGATCGATCAGGATAAGGCGAAGAAGGTGCGAGAGGACATGCACGAGCGCAAGATCATCTACGGAGACAGCATCAGCTACCGTCACATGTGCAGATATGAGTCCGGGTTCTTCTTCCGTCACCCACTCATGCTCGACTACGAGTGGTACTGGCGTGTGGAGCCCAGCATTGAGCTTTACTGCGATATCGCCTACGACCCATTCAAATTCATGGCTGAGAACAAGAAGAAGTACTCTTTTGTGCTCTCGCTGTACGAATACGTCGAGACGATTCCAACGCTGTGGGACAGTGTGAAGAAATTCATCTCCACCAACCCACAATACATCGAAAAGGACAATGCGATGGAATGGATCTCCGACGATGGCGGAAACACCTACAACCACTGCCACTTCTGGTCTAACTTCGAGATCGGAAACCTCAACTGGCTGCGCAGCGACGCTTACATCGACTACTTTACACACCTCGACAAAGAGGGCGGTTTCTTCTACGAGCGCTGGGGTGATGCTCCAATCCACTCCATCGCGGCAGCTCTCATGCTCAAGAAGGAGGAAATCCACTTCTTCAACGACATCGCCTACTACCACGTTCCATTCACGCACTGCCCAACCGGCGAACAGACGAGATTGGATCTGAAGTGCCACTGCAACCCCAAGGACAACTTTGATTGGAATGGATACTCATGTAAGTTTTGGATGCTCGAACGAGCATTCGCACGACTCAACTAACGCTTTCTTCCTCTCAGGCACGAAACGATGGTACGACATAAACAAAATGCCTATGCCCGAAGGCTACGAAAAAGAGCAGTGACTGGCTGGGAGATATAAAGAAATTGCCGAAGAGTGGCGCGGCCCACTTATCATTCTGGGCATCGCAACGGCCTTTGTCCTGGTGGTCTCACTCTATCGCCCCGCGATAAGATTGTACGATTATACGGTCCGAGTGACGGGATTGCGGAAATCGAGTCGTTTCTCTCAGGAACGATTTCTGGGGCCGCAGGTTGGGGAGAAGGTCAAAGCCTAGTAGGCGCTGCTGAAGGGCTAGCTACCTTTCCCGCCACGAGAGAGGAAGGTATCTCGTAGAAAGCGGCATTTGGAGGGCGTTTTCTACCTTTTTTTCGAAAAACTATGTTGTTTTAGTATCGCACGACAGGGGCGGGTTCACTAGAGCTATGTTTGGCATGAATAGCACAATCAGCGAAAAAGAGACTTGCTTCCGTTCCCGCAAATGAAGCAATTGGGTGGAGAGGCGAGAAATCCTAAAACTGCTCGCTATTTTCAAATCTGGTATTGATTACAGACACTCTTGTTAAGAAGAAGTCTCTCCATATCGACCGGTCACTGACGTCTCTCCTAGTCTCTTTTCGGCCTCTTTCGATTCAGCTTGCGGCCTCTCAGTCATAGCGTACGGTTGCGTCCACTCTGCAGGTTCGTTTCGACGCGGTTCAATGCAAATGAAGCGCCCAATCGCAAGTGCGTGTCCACCAGTCAGGCACCGCTTCGGTGTTCGATTTCAACCAATATCGTTTCGCAGATGGACACGTTCTTCGTGCCCACCTTCGGCTGGACACCTGGCTCACAGCTCTTTCTGCTGCCTGTGTGACTTGCGATCGACTACTGCAGTCGAATGTTGGTCGCTCGAGATGGATGTCTTGGCAGATGTTCACGCGTGAACTTCCTGATTCTGTTCTGGTTCGAGACATTTGCCATCTTGCCTCACTTGATAAAATCTCCTAGACCGAGCCCAAAACCTGTGTTGCGCGGATTTGTAGTGGCTTTGCGATTCGCGAGCATGGCTTGCAGATTATTCGTGGACTTTTTGTTGCGGGAGCGCTTTTTGCTGCTTGCTTCTACCGGTTCTTCGGCAGGTAAGGGCGATGCTTGAGCGGAAGCATCGTTGGGGCCAGGAGTTGATTGAGCTCTTGGGTGCGAGTGAATCGGATTTCTTTGGACTTTCGGCTGTGCTGTTGGGTGTAATATGGGCTTGTGTGATTTGGTTGAAATCTTTTCAGTTGATTTAAGACGCATGTCTTGGGTTGTTCCGCAAGGCGAACATTTGATTTTGCATGATTTCGAGGTATTACCCGCAAGGCGGTCTTGACGAGTGCGTTTTGAGGTTCTGACGAGACTGGCGTTCCACCCGGCAATGAGGAGAGATCCACAAGAGAGACACGCTTGGATCGAAGAGTCTTTATTGCTTGTGGTCAAATTTTCTGTTCGCTGAGTCTGCAAGTAAGCTGAAACTGCAGGTGAGCTTGCAAGCAGAGCCTGGGAAGCAGCGTCTAGATGGGCTGCACGTGCAGACGCGGCCATCGAAGCCATATCGTTGACATGTCTATGCAGTGGTGAAGCTCGAAGTCGAAATGAGATTTTGGTGGCGCCGGGAAGTGCAGGCGCTAGCGGCTGGCTGCATGCTCGTGCACTCGTCGTGCATGACTGCCGCACGACCCATGCCAAACTCTAATTTGTGCATCGCAGCTTCAATCCACGACAAGACAAGGGTTCAAGAAAACATTCGAGTTCTGCTTCTCGGCATCAACAAGTTCGCGTTGAGCACCGCCCTCGATGACAGTCCAATTACAAGAATCGCATGGAGTCCGACTCGCGGTCGAAGGCTGCGGCCATGGCACACTCCACGCCATCTACGCATCAATCGAAGAAGCTTGCAAACAAAAGGGTTGGCCTGGAATCGATTTGCTCATCATCGGCGGAGACTTTCAGTCTGTACGAAATGCCTACGATCTGAATTGTGTCAGCATGCCACCGAAATATCGGTCCATGTGTGATTTCCACGAATACTACTCTGGCCAACGGACTGCTCCCTACTTGACAATCTTCGTTGGCGGAAACCACGAGGCGAGTAACTACCTGTTCGAGTCGTACTACGGAGGTTGGGTCGCGCCAAACATCTACTACATGGGTGCTGCGAATGTGCTACGACTTGGTCCACTCCGAATTGCTGGGCTGAGTGGGATCTGGAAGGGATTCGACTATCGCAAGCCACATTTTGAGCGACTGCCGTACAATGAGTCTGACCTGAAGAGCATCTATCATGTTCGAGAACTGGATGTGCGGAAATTGCTACAGATCCGAACACAAGTCGACATCGGAGTCAGTCATGACTGGCCTCAGGGTATTGAGTGGAAGGGCAACTGGAAGAGACTTTTCAGCAAAAAGAGTCACTTTGAAGACGATGCAAGAAGCGGGAAATTGGGGAGTGTTGCCGCGAAGCAGGTACTGGAACGACTACGACCGAGGTATTGGTTTTCCGCGCATTTACACTGCAAGTTTGCTGCTGTGGTACAGCATGAACGCCACAATGCGACACTGCCGCAGCAGACTGCGCCTTCCGGTACTAGCTCATTCGCTGTGCCAGCGAATAACGGAGACGAGGTCGATCTCAATGGTGCAGAAGCCATTGACCCCGCTCCACCTGCTAAGAATGACGACGAGATCAATCTCGACCTCGACGACGAACCAGAGGCGGTGGTAGAGAAATCCATTGCTGCTACAAGGCCCGTCAATAATGACGAGGTTGAGTTGGACCTTGACGACGGTGACAGCGCGCCTGTTGGAACAGCTGGCAATCGGTCCCAAAGTGAGAAGGACCAGACAGAAGAAGAGGCACGTCTGGCTGCAGCGCGAGCTGCGTTGCCTGCTTCTTTCGCACCTCGCAAGCAACCCGAACCGATCGAACACCCTCCCGAGATCACCAATACCGAGACATGCTTTCTCGCGCTCGATAAATGTCTACCGAGCCGTGATTTCCTGCAGCTCCTGGATGCCTCAACTGAGCCAGTGCACGATCGTGAGCGACCACTCAAGCTTCACTACGATCGCGAGTGGCTTGCTATAACACGTGCATTTGCTCAGAGTGAACCGACAGTGGTTGGGAACCCAGATGCCAAAGTACCGTTTGCGAAGACAGAAGCGGAGTACAAGGAGTTGATTGAGAACGAGCGCAAGTGGATCGATGCGAACATCTCCGACGAGAAACTTGTAGTTCCCGAGAACTTTGTTGTGACCGCACCAGTGTACGATGGCGGCGATTTCCGCAGCCCACAGTACCAGCAGGTGAAGGAGTTTCCTAATCCTCAGACAGCAGCGTTCTGCCAACTTCTGCAAATTCCCAACGCGCTCGAAATAAGTGAGGAGGAGATTGCGAGTCGACTCCAAGCTGGTCCTCGTCCAGATACAGAGTTCCATGGGGGGCGAGGTCGCGGGAGAGGAGGCTTTCGAGGCGATCGCGGCGGACGTGGGAGAGGGCGCGGCGGTGGCAGAGGCAGATTTCGAGGCCGATGATTTAAGAGACATCGATGGACCGGTCTCCCCAATAGCGCTGTATCGGTTCCAGAATCGGACCGGGTGTCTGAGTAGACACCACCCGACGCCTCCCGCACTATGCGCTGGCGGGTTCGAGAAAATTGGAAGCCTGTCAAGACGCTCGACCTCACCGCCCACCTCTACCTCTTCCTCTACCACCTCTCCCGCCCCCACGATCACCTCTCTTTCCTCCACGACCGCTCTGCGTCCGTTCGTAAATCTTTTCGCGCCCAAAAGCAGCATCAGCCAATCTCAAGTAACTCGTCACACCTTGGTCCACAACTGCCAAGATGACGTTTTTGTAACCATGCTTCAGCTTTGTATACATTTGCGCATCGTCCTTGGGAGGGTCGTAAGGAGTCGTCTCGAGTAATGCGCTCAGCTGGTCAAGAGTCGGTGCACCAACCTCTCGAGCGTTGACGACTGCGATTCGGAAGTCCGGATCAATGGGGTTGGACTTCTTGAAGTGTGCTGATCCGGGTTTCCAGACGTGGTAGGTGATGCGGAAGTTGGGATCTGTGGTTGCGTCGTGGGGTGTTTCTGGTGCTTGTGAAGTGGCTGGATCGTGGAAGTTGATGATTGCCAGGCGGCGGTAGATGGTGTGGTAGTCTCGATAGAGGTCGTTTGACACCATGGGTCCTTCGACTTGTCGGTTATGTTGCTGCTTTAGAGCAGCTTCTGGGCTTTGCGCAAAAATGTATGCGAGTCCTGCAATGGAGTCGCGAAGTCCTGTTCGCCAGGTTCGTTTCGGTGAAGGAGGATAACACTCTGATCCGATTGGCGGGCCTGTGGATTTCCAAGATGGTGCTCGAAGGACGATGTAGCCAGCTCGCTTGAGACCTGTGTATACGGAGAATCGTTCGAAAGTCAGTGCACCTTCGTAGCTCTCCTCATCCCCGAGAAACATTGCATAGCCAGCTTGTACGCTCATTGGCAGGCCAAATTCATCCTCATCGTCGTCGCCCTCCGCTTTCGGCCACCTGATGTCCATCGTGCCTCGCTCGAGTAGGTAGAGTGCTTCTTCAGGCCACATCCAGATTCGTACGCCGCGTAATTCATCGTCGCCAAGAGGATCCTCATGAGCTGGCAGGACTCTGCCCATCTTGATGAAAAGCGGACCTTTCGGGTTGATGGCATAGCACATGTTTGTCTCTGGGTGGTAAGTGGCGATCGTGTGACCTTTGGGTTGATGAGTCCTTTCGAATGCGAGTGCATTGTGCATGGCTTGCCGTGATGCCGCCAAAATGTTAGTCTGGAGGGCCGTGGCATGAGGTTCGAAATCTTTTTCTCCGCGCTTGGGAATTTTGGCATCGCCTGTGCTGTATTGCAGTCGTTTATTAGTTCGAGTTCGAGATGAAAGGCGAGTTCAAAGGATATGATGGACTTACGATATTGAACTCAAAAATCGAAAATCTTGCGTTTCGTCCGAGAGGTCGATGTCTTCGCCGCTGAGGCCGGCGCCCCTCGGTATGGTATCCTCATCTGCGTCCGCCATGATCTTGTGCGTGACTTCGACCAAGGGCAGTGGTGCAGTGTTGGCGTGAACCTTTGAGGAGTCTTCTCTGACTGGACGAGGAAAGTCCAAAGTCTTGGCACTGGGCTCGCCACGTCCTCACTTCTCCAACTTCGCCGTGCACTTTCCCCTGCACACAACATCAACCAGAAACTGTACATCACGCGGAATCAGATTCAGACTCGACATTCAGTCACTCAATCTCGCTCAGATGGCTCAACCTACACCCGACGACGAACTTCTTCTCATTGTACGCGATTTGCCCGGATGCGCCCGGAGTCCACCATGATTAACGCGATGTAGTTGCTCCGCAACCTCCGCAATGTAGTCTACACGTTTGGCGAGAGCAGCAAGCAGCATATGTCAATGCGCGCTATGGTTCTGGAACATTTGGAGGAGATGCGACGAAAAGGTCTCACGACGAATCTCAATCTGGCGCGGCAACAGGAACGGCAAATGCAGGGAGTTGAGCAGACTTCAGTTCAAACTGGAACTCAACAGCCTGATGACTTGCCACAACTGATGGAGACTCTGGCTACGCTCAAACTCGAATGATCGAATGAGCAGTTGCACAACTACATGCGTATAGGCTCGCTGCTCATTCGAGATGAGTGGCAGGTCCGAAGACGAACGACAAGTACGGATCGAACAAAAGCCGGTGCTCAAGGCCATGAGAGCTGCAATGCGACAAGCCTAGAATGAATGTTTTGGATCCCTTGTATACTCTAGTTTCACCGTTTGCAAGAGCATTTCATTGCGTGCTTGTCTAGATGTTGGTGAAACGTCGCAGGCATGAACATCACCATTCGGTAGGCACGAATGCTGTCGGCAATGTACAGCAATGGAGAGAGCAAGTCTTGGTACGTATGACTTTCGGCATCATGCTCGAACATGGACATACTTTGACTTGTCATACGCTCGCACTATTCGATCAACACACTCGGCGATCTATGCCAAGATCAGGAGCGGGGAATAAGCTGGACCACTTTGCGGTTCCGCGTGAATCGAGACACACTTAAGGACGATCGCTGCACATCTGCAAACCCGGAAAGACAGATTGGAGAATAATGAAGCGAATGTCATTCTCGGCCAACATTCACAGCTCGCCGGACTGTAACAGTCCCTGGCAGTCTTCGACAGATACCGTTGCCCACGAGGGACGTCATGCCACACAAAAGACATATCCGTTCAGGAACTACTGGACCGCACCTGGAGGCCTGAGTGAGGCATTGGTGCCTCTTCCCAGCAAACAGGATGCCGAGTTGATGATTGATAAATTCTTCCTCCATGTTGACCCTCTTTATCCAATCACCCCACAGGCAGTATTCAGAGCTAGAGCCGAAAGCTTCTGGGCGTCCTCGCAAGAGTCCAAATTCGTGGTCTTGCATACAGTTACGACCTGACTGACTCTTTTCATTCGCTCTCAGGAACGCTGCCGATGCTATTGAAGTGGCTCTCATCTACATCATTCTGGCCACGGGTCGCTTGTTCATTACGGACCAAGGCTCTGTCGACCTTGTATCACCAGAAACGTTCCTCTCTTGCGCATATCGCGCACTTTGCCTTTCGTCGTTTTTAAGCAAGTGGTCGTTACAAAGCATCCAAGTGCTGATACTCATCTGCAATTACTTTGTGATGAACAACCGCACTGCCGACTCGTGGACATTCTCGGGCATCATTCAGAAACAAGCATATGGGCTTGGTCTTCACAAGCTGCCTCCGAAAACTGCCGCTGTGTCTGAGAAGCAGCTTCGCTATCGCTTGTGGCAGGCTCTTATGTTCCAGGACGTGTCCCTCTCTTACTATCTTCAACTAGTGCCGTTGACATGCCAGCACAGTATCGACGCAAGCGCACTCTCGAACGTCGATGAAGGAGACAACCGCCCTGGACTGCGGATGCAAGAGTTACTCGCGACGGGGCCAGTCGTCAGCGATCTTGCCTTTCTAACCTGTCAATCTGACGTGAGCTATGTTCGGGCGATGTGGCAGTTCGCCAAATTCATGCAGGTGAATATTTGTCTCCCTGGGGCCCTGGCGCGACCCGTGGTGAGAGACAGTGCTCACAAAGCCGCTTTGATCTTGGAACTCCAGAGTCTCTACAATGGTCTGGACCCACCTTATAATACTACGGCCTCCAACAACCACGATCACCGGACATGGAGACAGATAATCATGGTCGCGAGCAACTACCATTTCGCATTCACTATGCTCCATCTGGCTGAAAATGCGGAGTCTGATGTCCGACGAGATTTGCACGAGGCGCTCAAAGCGTCTGCCAAAGCGATGGCCTGCTTTTTCACACTTATCGCCGCAGAGCCTCAACACGCGGCAATGTGGGCTCCTGCAAATACCAGAGCTTACGCGCAAGCAGTACGTACGATCGGTAGTCATCATCTAGATACTGATAGCTGATGTCTGTTAAAAGGTCATGATCAAGAAGATGTTCTCGCTTGTCGACCAGCAGCAGCAACGCGAGGAAGATCCATGGCTACAATTGGTCAAAGGAGATTTCGATCGATATATCGACATACTTGTCCATACACATGGCGCACCTGGATTTGAACAGATGAAGAAAGAGCGCCTCTCCAAACTCCTCGGTGGACAAGTCATGAGTTAGCTCCATCCCTGAGAGGCGAGAAAGACTGCAAGAGGGTGTCTTTCAACGTCAGCATACTGGATTAACTTTGGGTACGTGACGTTCGTGGTAGATTCAGGCACGATGCCGGGACGCACCACTGCGGATGTTCTGCATTCCTTGAAGCAGATGAAGACAAAAGTGGCAGCCAAGTCACGGAGAGAGGCGCTGGGATTGGCTGTATATAGATCCATCTTGTTTACCCCGCACACATCTCATCCCTTCGACACGCACCTGTTGGCTGTACGCAAAACCATGCGCTCCAGCTACTATGAGCTCGCAGGACGAAGGCAGAGGTTTTGGGCAGCCGCCTGGCTCATCTCGCGACGATGCTGTTGCCCCAGGAACCTCCAGCACCGTGGTCCAGGTTGATGACTCTAACAACCAACATAAACTCAACAAGAAGCGCAACAAACCCACCTTGAATTGCCTTAAATGCGTCGAAAGGAAGACCAGATGTGATCGAGCACGGCCGTCTTGCTTCGCTTGGTGTGTATTAGCCTTCCTTCCGGGACTATTCTCACGCTCACATCCGGCCTCAGCACCCGACGCGAAACCCAGTGCGAGTACACCAACGTGGCCAACATTATTGCTGAGGCAGGCCAAGTTGGTAAATGTAAACGTCGACGGCGGACCCATGAAAGGGATTCCGAAGGCCAAGTGGGAGTGCAATACTCCCCTACGCGAACACCAGCGTTCGTGGGCGAAGTGGAAATCTTCGACAATCTCAATGCACCATCCTACACATCCAACGATGAGCAATTTCAACAGCAGAACTTGCTAATGGCTCCCCAGAATGATTGCGACATCAGTAGCATGTCACCAATCTTCGCCGACGTCGTTGCGACTTTCTCCCCCGTGGTCATACATACGCCAGGAGCACCTGCTTCGCATGAACAACATGCCTTGCTGAATCTCTTCGGCACAGGTTCGCAGCATCCCTTTCGTAAGTTCTTCAGAACGCGTCCCCCGACCGCGCTAGAATCAGGGCTAACACCACCCGCCGTGCAGAGAACTATTGGACCGAGAACGGCGGATTGTTTGAGGTTATTGCAGGTCTGCCGTCCAAAGTACAGGCCGACTTTCTAGTACGGACATATTTCGAGAGCATCGACCCAATCTACCCTATTATCGCCCACGAAACCTTTCTTGCGGAATTTGAGCGCTTTTGGCGACTTTCGGATGAGGAAAAACAGAAATACGATCCTACGCATGTTGCACTTCAGTTCGCTGTTTTCGCTGCGGCGACCCAACATACTGGCAATGATGGCTTTGTAACGGACCACGAGAACATGTCGGAGTTCTATCTAAGTTGCTGTCACCAAAGCTTATGTATATCGAGCTACTTGAACCGGATCTCTATTCCGACCATCCAGACCATGGTGCTGATCTGCCATTTCCTGATGGCTTGTGACCGAATAACAGACGCCTGGACCATTGCTGGCATCATGCAGCGGCAAATCTATGGGTTAAAATTGCACCATAAACCAGGACACGAAACGTCAAGCAATGGCGCTAACAAAACGCGGATCCAGTATCGCCTGTGGCAAGCTGCGATGTTTCAAGACACTGGCCTCTCACTGCAGATGAGCCTTCCTCCTACGACCATGTATCATACATTGGACGTCGAGTCTCTGCGAGAAGCCGAATCATTGAGCCCAAGCGGGTTCGGCACGACTGACAAAGCGTACATTTGAGCGATGTGGCAATACTCTGAATTTGTCCAGACCAATATCTGCATCCTCAGGTCTCGTGAACAACCGCTGGGTCTCGACGTCGCTCACAAGCAGCAAGTGATCGCTCGCTTTCGAGATCTCTACAGTTCACGGGACGAGCCATTCTGTCTGTTCGGATCCAATCGATTCGATGGCCTTCCTCCACGCCTCCTCTATCAAACTGCTACGGTTGCCATCAACTACTTTCATGCGCTTGCGTTGCTTTACCTCGATGAGGACAATGGTGCCGGGACTACAACTGATACCTCTGGGGTTATCACTTCCTGTCACGAAGGTATGCTGGCGTTCTTCGCGATGATCAGGCTATGCCCCAGCAAGGCAAATGCATGGGGACCTGCTCACAATCGCACTTTCGCCATGGCTGTGAGTACTTCATCCCTCTCTAGCAATTTGCATGACTGAGGTCGTAGCTGACAACGCGGCGATGCAGACTATGCTTGGAACACTATTGCCGATCCAGCGAAAAGAATCACGGCAAGTGGGCGCCGACGATTTTCAGTACATGCAAGGCAAGAGCGATCTTGACTGATACATTCGTATATTCGACAGAGCGCATGGTTCCCTCGAGTTCGAGCGATCGCGACAAGCACGTTTGACAAATCTAAAAGTCTTGCTTGCACTGGCATGACAGTTGTCGCAGACTTCTCGACATTTCGTGTGCATTGTAACCCACAATCTGCATCAAGCCATCTCCGAAAGACATGCATTCATGGTGTTGCCAAATCAAATGGCAATATGATGGGAGTAGTCTCGAGCTTGGACAACGTTTCACAGCAACGGTAATAAGATGGAGATAACATGCACCTGAAACATTCTCCGCGATTCAAATATTGACATGCAGATGGTTCACACCTCCAATTGGCAGCACAGTGTCGCAAAGATCTAGCGGGATCGTCGTGTTCGCAGATGTTCGTAGTACGACGAGATCTGCGAGCCCTCAATCGAGCCAATGCTCGCCTCGGCGATTAATCACTACGGTGTTGATTGTGGCCTAGCCGCTTTTGACCCTTGTTGTATGCACAGCTAGGTGTTGTGGCATGAACGAAAGAACCGCTCTCGGAGATCAGGTGATGGAATCTTGGACATCATTGTTCGTTTTTCGCGCTATCTCTACATCGGAACCATATCTGAGCTAAAAGGCGATGGCTTGTTCCAAACTAGAAATGCCTCTTATGCGTCGGCGCCCAAACTTTTATCCAGATTCAGTGCTCAAAGCGCTGGCATCCTACCAGCGTTGCCCGCTGCCAAAAGTTCCGCAACCGCAGCAGCTTGATTCACTGGAATGCCAAAAACAGCGGATGGGATCGTCAAGAAGCCATCAAGGGTCTTGATCTTGCAGTCGGCCAAGTCGTAGTTGAAGTTCATGTCGGCATGGATATTCACAGGAAGAGCGATCACGCGTGGACCAAGTTCCTGTAGAGAATCAGCTATAGACTCGGGAACGGAAATACAACGCTATTGACTTACGATCTCTAGCTCAGTGTGGCTCGTGCCGTTGGGAGAGTTGATGGTCGATGGGTCAATGGTTGGATATACTCGGTAGAAGATTTGCCTGACTCCCAGAGCGAAGTTTCGAGTTGTTGATGCGTCTGGAGCGATGGTGATCGGAGGTGCACCGTTGATGTATCTGGTTGACGGTCAGTACTGCCGCTTTCTGCGCCTTCAATGGCATATGGTAAAGACTTACAGCAGCAACTTGGCATCCGGCTTCAGGGGAAGCTGTTGCAAGAATCTCGCAGTAGCGCCTGGTGTTTGGTCGCTGAATGCTGGGGCCACGCCATCAAGCTGGGCCGCGCGATACTCATCGGTGCATGCTGCTTGTCGCTCCACGACAGGTGATGCAAGTGAGGCACCCAAGAGGGTCAAAACGGTGAGAAATTTGGCAATCATGGTGGAAGGAAGTATGGAATGTGATAGATGTCAATATGGAAGATGTTGAAGGTAGTATTTCGTTGATCCCTGCTGAGACGAGCAAGCTAATAAGTATGTATGCTTCACTACATGGGCGACGGAGATGTGACGGCCATAGGTGGTGCATTGGTGGCTGCGTGGTGGCTTGGTGGGGAAGGTGATGATCTTCAGCAGATCTGGGGTAGTTTTGGGTAGTGTAAAGCATCTCCTCGCTATTCACCTTCGAAGTGGACTGTATTTGATGGTCGTTCGACGGCTTTAAAGTGCCCGCCTATGCGATTCCTCGGACGTCTTCCCAAGTTCTGTACAGGTGTACTGGCTTGGAACCATTTCTATTCGGATCATGCCGTGAAGCGGTAAGTGCTAACAAACCAGAGGATGTACCTGCTGAAAGTCATGCGATCGCTCATCTTGCAGTTCTGCAGCCTCGTGCGTCGGTGGCCGCGAGTGGCTACGCTGGGTCACAAAGTCTTTGTGCTGCTGTTGGTGATATGAGATTCATCGTAAAGGCTGCGATCAGTCGCTCTCGACGTTTCAATTTTGACAGAAATGCCGATCCATCTTGATGTCTGCTCTGAGGTAATGTGTACGAACGCTACGACTTGGCAGTCCGGTACAGGCTGTGCCTGTCTACCCACAAGGTGGACGGCAACTTGACTGAACTCCCTTGATGGCAACATGCTTTCGATATGGGATGCAGCGCCAGATCGCAGCGACAGCGTGGTCGAGCGCGAGTTGGTCCTTGATTCAAATTCTGAAATCCGTGATGTTCTGCAGGCCAATCTCTTGAATTATGAACAGAAAAGTGTTGTTTGTAACATGAAATCGGAATGGGGCAAGGTGGAAGGAGTGCAAGTCGAAAAGGCTTGGCGGATGCCTCAGGCAGCATCGACTGATCGCCAACTTCCTCTACTCCACTCTACTCTACTCTACTTTACTTTAACGTGGATCACGACTACCAGCATAGACGCGTGAGAACCAAACCATTCATTGATATGCTCCGGCGCAATTACCTACTCCAATGATGAGCTCTCTTCCTTCCTTCCACCAAATCGCGACTTCGGCCCCGTGAGCATTGGGAAATCTACCCCGCGCCATGCGGAGATAGCGTGGCACCCCGGAGACACCGAACGACATCCGATCAGTGCCATTCATCATGCATCAGCAACGACGACGTATGTAAGGTCTGCCAGCGCCAACGTACTCGTGGCTTGACATCCTCACGCCCTCTTCTCTCCCTCCATAGCATTGTCATCGACCCTGCCTCGAAATCCGGCGATGGCCTCGCTCCTCGAGCTCTCGCACGAGCTTCTCCATTGCATCTTCACTGAGATCGAGCCAGCCGACCTCTCATCCCTCTCACAGAGCTGTCGAGCAGTGCACAGCTACATCAGCGGAAACAGACTGCTTCACAGAGACCTCTACGTGCGGCGATATGATGAGCCAGAAGCCGGCAAGAACGAGCCAGATTGGGAGGACTTGGTACACCGCCGGGTGAAGCTCGAGAAGCTCCTCGACACGGACGATAGAGATGTCAAACGGCAAAACCTCGATTACATTGCACGAGAGATCAACAGCTTGGTAGAATCAGCAGATAAAGACCAGGAAGAGAGCAAGAATGTTCAACTTCTGAGTGACAGCTTCATGTCGACAGATAACATCGACACGCTTCTGTGCGGGTCATCGCTCTTCGCGCCAGGGCGAGCTGGAGATAGTGACCAGATACAGGCAGAGACTCCAGAGCTTCGCCAAGCGAGTGCAAAGCTACATTGTCTGTATGGTGTTCCGGTGGACACTGTCCCTTCGCGCTCGTCCTTCTATTCAATGATTCGACATCACCGAGCAGGTCTAGCTTTGTCTCCATCATTGTGTACACGCTCACAAGTCAGCTCGCGGAGCACGCATCAGTTCGCGCGCAGTAAAGTCTATGATCTGCGCGAGTACACAGACGAGACTCTTTGGGGACCCTTCAGAAAAGATGGCTCCCAGCGGGTCGATTGGGAAAAGGTCGAAGCTGTGATGATTGTGCTTGGGTTCAACCTCCGGCGATTCACAGATCGGAGCGACGGCAGATTTCCATTGATCTGGAAACATCCGTTTGTAGGTGCGACTCCAGGATCGTACAAGTCCCCGCCGCGGATCGCTCCGCCTGAGAAGAAGGACTTCGATGAGGACGCAGGAGTAATCCGAGACCTTGCGCTCAGCCTGGACGCAATGGACCCATATGGCGTGACGGGCTCTTGGATGCGGGTGGTCTGCTTTCTCGACTACAATGACCTCTATGCCTTCAATTTCAGCGAGCGCATACCCGAGGACCAATTACGAGAGCCGATCGATACTGAAGAAGGTTTGATTGAACTTGCAGAAACGGCACGTATCGCCCATACTGATAACTCTGTTGTAGCTATCAGACTGATTCGCGTCAAGTTGCAAGTCACACGTATCGACCCGCCCGGGAATACTCGGCCACGAAGTAGCTCAGGAAATTTCGATGGCGATGAGACAGAAGACGAAGAAGACGAGGGGCTTGACTGGAGCAATTTCCAAGGAGAGAGGCTTCCCATTGTGCATTTCCGTGGCACTAGTAGGAGCCTCCACGCAAGCTGGGATCCGAACGCTAATAGTAGGATCCGAGGAACCGTCCGCCAGACACCCGAGGGCGAGATCCGATGGACGACCTTCTCCATATTCCATGGCGAGGAGCGCTGGAGAAGTGAAGGCATTCAGGTGGGCGGATTGAGATCTGCGAGAGGGGTGCTCGGCAACTGGTTCGATAAGGTAAGAACATCTGCCATTGTTAAACCTGCAAAGCTGACACAAATTGTAGGACTTCGATATGCACGGCCCTGCAGGGCCAACGGCATTCTGGAAAGAAAGCGATGAGCTCGAAGAAGAGAAGTCGTCCAGTATGCCCATGTCGTATTTCTGACTAGCGACTGTATTGTCCTAATGAAGGCACAGCAGAGCCCTCGACTTATCTGCCGTACGTCCTGAGACTACTGGACGAAATCGTTCTCGACCTTGACTGATGTGCGTAGATTCTATGGTTGAGATGAAAAGCATGTCGGAGGTGCATCGCGAAGAGTGTAATGGAAGCATACGGATGACAGTACGATACATTATTTTGGCGCGAGGACAGCAAGAGCTGGCAGCTATATAAGTCATATGGGTCGACTAGATTAGATGAATGATGGCCTATGCCAATTATCGATGAGCATATTGATCATCACCGTTCTCCAAAACTGCTTGATTTATGCTGACTAATACTCCAGATCCCTGATGCCTTCGACGGTCGAGTTTTTGCCAAGCAAACATCAGCTAGCGCGAGAAGAATATGCATGGGCTCTATTGGATCTTCTGTCGTTCCCGCTACTGCCACCTTCTCTTGTTCCACATCCTCTGCTTGCATCTGCTCGTTTCCTGCGGTAATCTCCCCAGGTATTCCACTCACAATCTCATCAATCAACCTCACCGGTGGATGTGACGAGCGACTTCGATTCCCATTGATACGCGACTGACGTCGTGCTGAACAATGGCCGCCGGCGATGATCTCCTCGTGTGACCGAAGCTCCAACCTCGTCGAACTTCATAGGCCGGAGCTGTTCTTGGCTATGAACTATACTGGGGTCGACTCCAGAATACCAAGAGACGATGCAAAGGACCTTCCTCTCCGAGCCATCACGGCATGTCGTCATTTCTGGGCGCGGACAAACCAACCAATACATGGGACTGAGGCCATGCGATCCATGCAAGAACGGTAAGGGATTGACATGCGGCGAAAGGCAGTCCTAATAATGCAAACCGATCACGTATGGCCGCAGAGGCGAAGGAAAGCGGCGGCCAACGGGGACGGCGAATATATCAAGTACTCTTCTTGGTGTCCTGCAGCTTCCTTCTCTATATTCTTCTACAAACGTTCATGATGTATTCTCGCCATACCCTGCAGCGCTTTGCGCTTGCGGTACTAACACCACATTTGTTTCATGCTCAAGCGCAATCGACATATGGCAATAACAGCTTACGAGTCACCAAGGACAGCGAGGTTGTAGCATCTGCGTTTCCGGAGGTTGAGGGCGTTGAGCTTATTGCTCCTGCTTTCACCAATCCGGAGAGTCTGCCGGCAGGGTGGGACAATGGCACGTCTGGGCCCACAGATCTCTATGAGCTAGGTCAGTACTCAGTCGAAGCGGAATAGCATGGCATGGAACTGACTGACTGCGACTCAGACTACTTTATCAGATCCATTGCCAATCGCAACGACTGGATCACATACAAATCCTCCGACTTCCTCTCAGAAGAAGGACGAGCCATTCCGTACTTGTTCTTGTCAAGCTCGCCCGGCTACACAGGGAACAATACCAAGCTGAAGGTCTACATCCAAGCTGCAATTCATGGCAATGAGCCCGCAGCCGACCAAGGCGCCCTTGCACTGCTTGGCAAATTGGATGCCAATCAGACTTATGCCGCTTCTCTGCTCGAGAAAATGGACATCTTGATCCTTCCGCGCTATAACGTGGATGGTGTATCCTACTTCCAGCGAGAATTGGCTGTCAACTTGGATCCGAACCGAGACCATATCAAGCTTGATCGGAAGCAAACGCGAGAGATCAAGCAGGTCTTCAGCGACTACAACCCTCATCTCGCAATAGACCTTCATGAGTTCAATGCCCCGACAGTCTACGGTGGCGATTATCAGCATGCCAACGATGCGTAAGTGGAACACGTTGTTTTGAATGTCGGCGCAGAATGCTTACGTCGGTGATACAGTCTCATCGCAGGAGGCATCCACCCTAATATACATGCCAGTATTCGCAGCTATCTCAACGATGTCCTGATCCCCATGATTGGAGATAGGCTTGAGGGTTACGGTCTGCGTTGGGGCCCATACGTAACTGGCTCTTCGAACACTACCTCGGGATCGCCAATTGTCTGGGATGGGCCTGCTACGCAACCACGAAGCGGACGCAATGCTATGGGGCTCACCCAGACTATCACGTTTTTGTTCGAAATGCGTGGTATCCGGCTGGCCGATCAGCATTTCCAGCGGCGAGTTGCAACCGCGTTAATCAAACTCGAAGCCATATTGGAATACGCTCGAGACAATACCGAGGAGGTTCGATCCCTGGTGGAGGATGCGCGAGCAGACTTTATCAGCTCGAGTGAGGAAATTGTCGTCACCGACTCTCCGAGAGGAAATCTCACGCAACAACCGTTCAACTTCGTAGACCGCCGAAACGGCAGCGTGGTCGAGCTTGTCGTGGACTTTTACGAGACCAGGCCTGCCGTGGTGAACTTGACGAGATCGAGACCTGAGGCCTACTTGATACCACGACCATGGTACGACATCGCTGAGCGCCTAGAGATACTCGGTCTGGAAGTGCAAACTCTGGACTACGAATACCGCGGAACTGTCGAGGCGCTGAACATTACCTCAAGTGAGTTGGACGACAGCATATACGAGGGTCATGTGCTCAACACTGTAACCACTGAGCCTCTCACGAAGGAAGTCCACCTTCCGCCCGGAAGCTTCATCGTTAGCACGAGGCAGCAGAACGCGGCTTTGGCTTTTATCGCTCTGGAACCGGAGACGATCGACTCTTATGTCTCGTTTAACTTCATTGCTCTTGCTGCGGGAGATGAGTACCCCATCTACAGAATTCTGGCGGAATGAGCAAAGCAGCAGCTGCATTATATTTCATATCGAGGTACCAAGTATAGATTCATAGACAACTGCTAAACACAAAGTTTTCTCCAGGCAGTCACATTCATGCCATCCCACAGCTCTAACCTTACACTCACTCTGGCACCGGGCACCTCACCATAACATTCAAATTCCTCGACGACCCATAAATCATACACTGCTCCTCCGTCATCCTCAAACTCGTCGAAAATGGTCCCGGTCCATTGCACGTTTCCGCCGGGCTATGTAACCAGACCTCACAATCCGGTGCTGTCAATGTGCCATAAAAATTCATGCTTCCGCCCCAGGTGATTTGTAGACAGTACCAGTGGCCTGAAGCCCAGGCTTGAATGCTCATGATTCGTCCTGTGCGGCCTTTGCCGAAGATGCAGTTTCCGTTGTCGTAGAATTCGACCTGTGTGGAGCGTTAATAGGTATGAGCGGGGTTTGTGGGGTGTGTTTGTGGGAGATACCCAGATGACTCGTGGCTCCGGGTCGTAGTCTCCGGGTTGGTTTAGGTTGATGTTTGGTTCTGGGAGGATGATGGATGTTAGGTTGTAGTCGAGTGGGTCGAGAGTGGTTGGAGTTTTGGGCATTTTGATAGATGAGATTGTTGGGTAGGCGACAACGGTTGAGGTGAAGCCGATAAGGGCCGTGAGGATTGGTAGGAATTGCATGGTGGCTGGAAAGAAAGGGCGCCGGTAACTGCGCGTTGAGCTCCCGACCACATCGCCGCTCTGGCAGGCTCTGACTACTTATGGGCGTAAACCGAACACAAGTGTGTACTTCAATGTGAGGACCTTGGCTATGTGGTACAGATTTGAGATACATTGTACCACCACTGACAACTTGCCGTTTTGTGAACTCTGTATCGCCTTGCCAGACACATATGAGACTGTGTATCATGTCGAAGCCTGACCGACGGTGAGCATCTCCTCGTCGGCAGTGGTAGTCAGTGCTCATTGGGAGACCTAGATACATAGCTACGACGAATTACTCCAAGTTGCGAAGTACGACAGCACAGGGTATTGAGTTTGACGTGTGCCGTTGTGTACACTATAAGCAAGATCGCAGATAAGCCATTTCTGTCTTGAAAAGCTCTTGAAGGCAATGCACCAGTTGATTATTGACGAGCAGATTGTCGTGGAATACAACTCGACATAAACATCGTCACCCAGGCTGAACTTGATTCTAAGTTCTCTCTAGAAGCCTACAAACAATTGAGAGAAACTCATTCCAGCTATGAGTGGCCGAGCCGCTCCACCCTCGACATCGGTCTGCGTTGCATCAGATGCCGTGCTCGTCCTTTCCGACGCTCCTGTAGCACGAGTCGCGGTAGTCGGAGTGGAAGCCGCATTCTGTGCAGTCCTTGTCGTATCAGTATCGGAAGTCCTTGTTGTAGCGGTATCGTCGTCTTCAGTCTCTTCGTCCGGATCCGAAGTGAGATTACAGTCGTCACTGTTCGGGCTGCAAGTTCGCCCAGCTCGACAGAACGTTCCATCGCCACAGTCAACTGCCCCTACGGGAATACAACCCCCAGATGGGGTACACTGCTCTCCAGCATCACAGTTCGTTCCGTCGCCACAGCTGACCTCATTTTCGTCGATACAGGTCCCCGTATTCGTGCATTTCTGGCCAGCATCGCAGTATTTACCTGGACTGCAGCAACTAGCTGTGGTGTCGATGCAGTAGTCCGATCCACATTCCTTTTCGCCTGGATCACATCCCGTAGATGATGATGAGGATCCACCACTACTGCCACCACCACTCGATCCCGAGCCTCCAGAGGAAGAAGAGCTTCCCGAAGACACACTTCCTCCTCCCGAACATGTCCCATCACCCACGCACGTCTCGCCAGCACGACAATATCCACCGCCACTTGCACAGCACACGGCCACAACGGGAATACAATAATCACCGCAAAGTTCGTAGTCGTCTCCCCCACAGCCTCCTCCTAACTCATCACATAGCTTTCCCGACTCGCAACATCCGGCTTCGTCGCCTTCTCCGTCACAGTATGTGCCTAAACGGCAAAAAGTGCCCGAGACTTGAGAGCAGCACATGCCAGTAAGAGGGATGCAGCCATCGGCGCAGATTTTCTCGCTAGTGAAGCAGGAGGATTGTCTTGGGACAAGGGATATGCCGGGGCTGCGGGATGGAGGAAGAGGTACTGCGAGGAGAGGAGTTCTTTGTTGGCCTTTCGCGTGGACGAGTGGATATGGTGAGAGCAGTAGAAGAAGCGACGAAACCGCGGGGCATCTTGTTTGTGAATGCATCTTTTCGGTCTTGTCCTGAGAATATCCAGAAGAATGACTGAGCCGCAGAAGATGCCCAACGAGCGCGCTGGGCTTCACGTCGCGGTCTTATATCCTGCCGCGCAAGGCGCACACCTGACATGCGCGATCGACTTCGTCAAGAACCATCAGAGGCCGCTTGCATGTTCAATCCATCGCGCTTCAGACCCCGAACTCTGTGCAGTTTCCAGCCGTACAAGACTCACCGCAGCACAAGCGACATGGCTTGCTGAACGCTACTCACGCCTTGGCTTGCTTGGCTGTTCTCTATGATTGTGGAGGATCTGCGAAGATTTCGAATCCTTTGAGTGTCGGTTACCTTCTTCGAGCGGAGAGGCTCTCATAACGCGAATGCGAGGTGCCGATCCCACACATACTTTATGCGGAAGTGGGCGGTGCAATGATGAGCATGCTGCTCCACAGTCAGAAATGGATGTCTCGTCGTTTGTTTTTCTATTTCAATGTTGTCGCGCTTGAAGAAGGCACAGAAACGGCCATGAAACTCCTTCCAGGTCCAGTTCGTGGTATCATCAAAACGATAGCTCCTTCGATAAGAGCGTGGGCGTGGTGGAGAGGAATCTGGAGGAGACTGGTCAATCTGTCGTCCAAACATCATCCCATATGCTCCGGGCTTCGCATCTCGCATATCAGTCAGCATCTCCAAAGCAAGTGGAACGTGTCGCTAGCAGTTTTCCCGAGATATGACCCAGACAGCGAAGTGAAGATGCCACTGTGGACAAAGCATTGTACCGCTGCGGCGTCAGTGTTTCGCTTTCGAGGTGCAATCACAGGTGATAGTCAAACGTAGCGCTCTTGTGTAGACGTGCAACAGAGCATTGTTTGCTGCTCTTGTGCTCGCCCGGTTCACTGGGCCAGTGGGGTGTACTCACGTTGGACAATGAGAGTAGAACCGCCGCTTTGTCGAAGTAGAGCAACTATCGTTTGCCGCAGTCGTCGTACCAGCTCGACTTACACGATGACCAGCTGCTCGAAAACATCATTGACCTTGCTTTCATCTCCACCCACAGCATCGAGCACAGCCTCACCATCCATGACACCTATCATCACATCAGCACTCGAAGTTGTCTCCTCTAGGGTCGGACACAGGTAAAGGACACTTACCATGCAAATAGCATGAGCTAACCAGCAAATTACCTTCCCTACCTCGCTTCTCTGTCTTTCTCAGCACAAAAGGCATCCACAGCCTCGCCACAATTCCAATCCGATCTCCAATTTGGATGTCCGGGATACAAACTCCACATCTCCCCTTCTCTGTAGCATAGAACGTGAAAAATGGCCCTCCACTCGATGTCTTATTGAGAAGTCTAAACAAAGCAGCGAATTTCTTGGATCCGCCAACCCATGGCTTATCCGGAGATGCGTCTTCTCGGGGTCCAAGGTGTCGATCTTGGTTCATATTAAAGGTACGAAGGATGATTTCATGGGCACTGTGGTCCGGATACGTTGTTGTACAATGTTTCTCATACAACTCCAGCCAATCAGAAGGTAACTTTTGCTCGACTGCATCCTGGACGGTAAGGCCTTTAAGGTCGCCATTGGTCGAAGGACCCTCATTCGGGCTTATTGCGACGATCGTATCGAAAAGGAAAGTGCCGACGCTGACGGTATAGTGGTCAATGCGTGTGAGTTGAGACTTCGTGGCGCCGGCGTGTGCTTTGAATTCGCCAGCAGAGAGGGTGTCGGGACTTATTGCCTCTGGACCGAGAGCTCGTGTGCCTAAAGCAGAGATTTTCAGTTTCGAGTAACGGAGCTCGGGGACCCAGGAGGGAAGGTCTGGGTCAACATTGCGGACATCGTAGAAGCAGTTTAGAGTCTGATGATACTGTATCCAACGCCAGGTAAACTCGCACAGTAGGTCGACGATGGGTACTTTATAGTCGATCTCCATGCCCAACTTGTTCGGGAGCAGTCCTAAGATCGCGTAGATGGTGTCATGCTCAACCGAGCATTCTGATGTTTTGAGAGCACGAAGGAAGTTATGCCATTGTTGTTTGTTGTTCAGGTCGGCAAGGACAGTATGCGAATGTTCCAGCATGTGGCCGAGTACCAAGGCGGCCTCGCCGATCGACGAAGACTCTGGGAGCCCATCATGACCCATCTCGATAGCAGGGTCCTTTTTGACGCAAAAGGCTTGATACAGCGCCAAGATGACTTGTACACGGATGTACTCTCTCAGTTTGGCAAAGACGTCCAATGGCAACTCCTCAATATATTGACCAATGTGCAGCGTTCGATGCTGCGCGCACCTGACTTCTTGCACAATCCACCTGCGTGCCCAATACCCGTAAGCGAAGAGAACCGACAGATATATCATTCTGACCTCAATTGAATGCTCTTCCGCAGAAAGGCTCTCCAGACTATTGCTCGAAGTCGGCTCGTTTATGAGACGACGCAGGACTCGACACAGCTTTTCTGACATCTCGTCCGCAATGCCTAACCAGATCCTTACATTTGTGGCCTTGGTGTAAATCTCTTGCATCAGAGTCACTTGACTGTTGCGTTCCTCGACGTCCTGTTGATTGATACAGATTGCATCGATCCAGATGACAACGGCTTTCCCTGCGGCATCTGCACGAAACTGCCGTAGTGCAGCCTCTAGATTTACTGTGACAGCAGCAACGGCGCCGTTGAGCTCGATGTCTGCCGTGATCTTTGGATCGCCCCAGCAGTATGACAGGGCTTCGAAGGTCGTATCAATTGCCGGCAGGGCCACTGTGTCCAATTCGCATCGTACAACGGCTGTGCGGTCCTCGCTCGGTAAAATCCGTGCGATTCGAATTTGCCCGACGGCCACGTCGAGAGGAGTGTAGATCTGGATGTCGCTCTCCATGTCGATGTGCAAAGTCTCAGTGCTTTGCGCAGCAGACTTTGAAGAGGTACAGCTCAGCTGAACGCCTCTTCAGCCCCGCCAAGAAACGCCGACGTCCTGATTAGGAGGCAAATGTGGTTGAGTTATGCCGAAGGCGGCCTCGTGGAGAATGTTCTAATATTCACAACGCTATCCAGCTTCACGTGGTATTATATCTACAGATCTTCATCGTCAAGTTCGACCGCATCGGTGTTCACAGTCTCCTTATGGGGCTCTTCGGGCTTCTTCCTGTTCCCACCTTCGGGTCCAGAGGAAGCAGCCACGAAGCCAACCTGTGCTCGAGCTTGTCTCTCTAGCTGAGCCATAGCGTCTGCAGTTTCGGCGTCCATTTCCTCGTCATTGCCGTTGGCATCACCGTTGGCATTGCCATTAGCAGCAGCAGCTTGTCTTGCGACAGCTTGCGAAGCGATAAAATTGACGTCCGTATTGAACTGCGCTTGCACGCTTCGCTTGATGCGCAGCATTTCCTTGAAAGTATCTTCGTTTCCGTGTTGCACCTCGAAAGCTTCCCACTTTCGCCAGAAGTCTTGCTCAACGCGAGGATCACAGAACTGTGAAGCATGGCCATAAATGGCACGAGCACGGTCAATCTCACCGAGGCGACGTTCCATTTCTGCGAACTTGATGCACATGACTGCAGCTTCCTTATCAGGCAGAGCAGCGATGGCGCGCTCATAAATCGGTCTTGTTGAGGTGAGACCGAAGTTCGAGGCAGACTTGGTGATGTAGAAGTTAAACATCTCACTGCGATCTTCGTCGCCGACGGCGCGCGTAGCCCTCTCATAGATGCGCATTGCGTGCCGTGCGAGACCCCGCTCTTCCTCGAGAGCACCATACATCAGGTACAAGGTCTTGGCAAAGCGTGGAGGACAGCCTTCCACGGCTTGTTCGAAGAGGTCGCGAAGTCGTTCTATGGAAATGCGACGATCAACGGCTTTCGTGAGATAGAGGTTCCAGAGTTCGAAAGCAACTGGGTATGAGAATAGATCCAATCCGCGTTCGTAGATCTTGAAGCTCTCCTCGTGGTATCCATTTTCTTCGAGCAGGTTGGCGTAATTGACGACTGTCTGTGGTGTTGCGATGCGGAGCTCGAATATGCGATCGTAAATCTTCTTAGTCTCTTCCAGCGACGATACCGATTCGACAAGGTCCACGTAGAATGACCATAGCTTCCATGACTTATGAACCCTCTGCTGCGGTGAGAGAGTTTCGTCGAAGTAGTCGACGTTGCTGCGCTTCGGTGCCTTTGTGGCAGTTGCCATGATGTTGACGGCCTGGTCGAAGTTCTCGTTGCGCAACTCCATTTCTGCCCACTCAGTCCAGCATTCAGCAAGCTCAGACACAGACTTATAGGGCACCTTGACAGCCTTTTCCATGATAATGCGCGCATTGATAAGGTCTCCGCCAGCTTCGTAGACCTTGGCATAGTTGACCCAGAGCTCATGGAAACGCCCAACAGCTTTCTTAGGGTTAATTGCTGCGATCGCATCCGCGTATGCTTGCACGACCATGGCCTTGTTATCGCCCCACAGCGCCACGCGTTTCTGCCATTCGTTGACATTGTGCGGGTTTTGCCGGAGCAAGACGTCGTTGACAAGGAAGGGTCGACGATCCATGAGCTGTTCAAATCGCATCATCCGGATGTCCAGATCCAGGTCCGCATCCTCGTCAACTTTGCCCTTCTCCTGTCGCGCCGCAGATTCATCCATTTTGATGGAGATTAGCGCTTCCTCCGCCTCTGCATATGTGTCAAACACGACAGAGAAGTCGCGCACTGTCATAGCTGTAGTGATTCCATCCTCGAACACATCTCTCGCTCGTTCGTATGCGCCTAAATTGATATAGTATCGGGCTAGCCCGACCCACAAGATTCCTCTCTGATCCGGGAATCTTTCTAAGCCCGATCGCACAATGGTCTCAATGTCCAGAGCACTTCCGTCCAGCAGAGGCACGGGATTGGGCACCTTTCGCGCGTGGTCGATCAAGACCTCCAGCATCTCTGTCCAATGTTGGAAAGGACCTTTTGCTTCCTGGCTTTTGAATCGAGGATTGTTCAAGATCTGAACGTAATGTTGCACCGCTTCCGTGTACCTCCTCTCACGGACCAGTAGATCGATGAACTCTTCGACGTATTCCGGGTGTAGCTGGATATATCTCCTCCACACCCTCACTGTTGTCTCACCTCCGGCACTGGTCGCGAACGGTCGGTATAACCTCCATACTCTGTTGTGCTGCGTCACCGGTAGTGCTCTCAGAGCTCGATCGAACGTTCTCCTCGTAAATGTGACAAGCGGCTGCGTGCACAGAAATTCCAAGTACATTTCCCAGATCTTCGGCATTTTGTTGAGCAGAACCAATGCCCTTTCGAAGAGCGCGTTGACTTTTTGATATTCGGCCTTCCATCGCGCAGGACTCCTGCCCTTCAAATGCTTTGTCCTCAGCTCCAAGTACATTTTCCACAATTTGTAAGACCGCGGAAGAGCAATGCATGCTCGTTCCAGCACGAAGCTCTGCTCAAGCAATGTGCCATATTGACGTTTGAAATGCGCGTAGTCGAGCCAAGCTTTCACATTCCCGGGTGATCGAAGAATGTCGTTCTCGTAAATTTCGTCATTTGCGCTGATAAGGTAGAGGCAGTTTTGTTGTTGCGGAGACTGCAAGTTCGGCGCGCCCATGTCGGCGGCGAGGGGAGAGGAGGTGATGGAGAAGATGGATTGTTCGGACTTGCGTCTGGAAGGGAGGACAAGAGTTGTTGAAAGGCGCTTCAACATTGCACCATGAGCGGCAACATGATTCGTACGGCAGCTCTCGATAGCAGAGATGCGACGCAAGGAAGTCGCGCGTCCGCCGTTACAAAAATGCTTGGCGATAGCTGCCGCCTGACTCGCGTAACTATGTCACGACGCCCGACAACTGGTGGACAGAGCTCCATTATTGTGAGCTCCGTCGTACTTTCAATCATACGTCCGCACTCGCTCTCGCCAGAAACACACCTGTATCGAATCCATTTTTGGTCACAGATCACCTATAATCACCGCCCACCATGTCGTCCGGCGCGGTAGGCCTCATTCACTTCTAATACCGCCTGCCCAGACTAACATGAGCTATTGCTGCACAGGGCCGCGAACCCGTCTTCCCAACCCGTCAGTCCCTCGGGCTTATGAAATCCAAATTGAAAGGCGCACAAACTGGCCATGACCTGCTCAAACGCAAATCCGAAGCCCTCACCAAACGTTTCCGCGAAATCACCCGCCGAATCGATGAAGCCAAGCGAAAGATGGGTCGTGTCATGCAGATCGCCGCCTTCAGTATGGCAGAAGTGACATATGCGGTTGGCAACTCCGGTTTCAGTTATCAGATTCTAGAGGGGGCGAGAAGTGCCAAGTTTCGGATCAAGACGAGGCAGGAGAACGTCAGTGGTGTGTTTCTGCCGCAATTCGAGAGTTACCAGCATGAGGGGGCGAGCGAGTATGCGATGACGGGGTTGGGTAAGGGAGGACAACAGGTGCAGAAGTGCAGGGAAACGTACACAAGAGCAGTGGAGACGTTGGTCGAGCTGGCGAGTCTGCAGACGGCTTTTGTGGTGTTGGATGAGGTGATCAAGGTGGTGAATCGAAGAGTAAATGCTATGTGGGTATATCTGGACCTACTTGATTGGAAATATGCTGACATTTTGGTTATAGTGAACACGTTATCATACCGCGGACGGAGAACACGATCAAATATATCAACTCGGAACTGGACGAGATGGATCGAGAGGAGTTCTTCAGGTTGAAGAAGGTGAAGGGGTTGAAGGAGCGAGCGGCGGCAGCTGAAGAAGAGCAGAGGAAGAAGCAAGCACTGAAAGATAAGGCTGAGGGCAAAGAGAATGTCACAGAAGAAGAACAGCAACAAGCCAAGGATATATTAGGAGAAGAGAAGGATGAGGATGTCATCTTCTAAACGTATTCTTCGGTCACCAGGGTTTTGGCAGTAGCTTGTTGCGGACGACTCGGACGACATACAGTACTCTTTACCCCTTTTATACTGTCCATGCCACAGACAAAGATTTGCGGACGCTCAAGGTATGTTCGTGAGGCAATTCGACCAGAGAACTGGGGAGACATTTCGAACGAATAGAGGAGGCAGGCCGGCACACCATTGTGGCTCACTACCCATGCCGAGGAGTTTCGATTTCGTGCATGCGGAGACGAATTCGGCTTCCTTCTCGTGACTGCAAGTCGCTCTGTAGATTATAGGCAGCTCATTCATCGTATAGTTGCAGATTCGAATAATGCTGTCGCAATGGGGATGAACAATGGATGGTGTGGAGAAACCGGCTGGCTGCAGGCAGAGATCCTGTTTCGTCACTTTCACGTCGCCTGCCGTGTCCTGGCACCACCTGCAGGGCCGGGGTTGACAGCTTCTGCTCATGCGAACATCTCGTCTGCTGTGCGGTCGATGAAAGCGATGAAGTTGAACGTCTGGCCAAGTCGTTGCTGCAGTCGCGCACGGCGGCTCAAGCGAGCTCCGAAACTCTGCTGACCACAGCATGCCGGTCCGTTGAGAACCGCGTGTCGACGTGCGTCGCGTTTGCACTTATTAGGACGACGAGGATGTGAAGTGCGACTAATCAGCTACCTCATTGATTGACCATGTCGTAGACCTGCACCACCGAATGAGAGATGCTTGCCTCTCGCGACTGTGAGCATGGAAACTGCGAACGAAGTGCCTGCCGACCTGCGAGCCATCGCCGCGTTCCTGAGTCTTGACGAAAACCCCACGACGATTGTTACACACCTCACCCGAGACGAACAAAACAGTGAAAGAGACTGGCAGGTGGTCTACAGCAACCCAGCTTTCCAGAAGCTCCAGGACTTCGCACGTCAGCTCGAAGACATCCGCCATGCTCTGAACCGCTCGCTCCCCATTGACCAACCTCTAATCGCCCTGCATGGCGAAGTGCTCCACGGAGGATCATGGCAGGCGCGTGTATCAGAAGACTATTGCATTGTAATTGCAAAGGCAAGAGTGGAACAAGTACCCGCTCCAGTGAAGGACGGCATCAGTCATACATCGAAAGCAACAGACTTGGACTGGATACAGTCCGACAGACCAGATCTTTCACCATGGAACAAGTTCTTCCGCGGTTACGATTGGGCGTCTACAAGCCTTGGTCCCATGTCCTCATGGTCGGAAGTGCTGAGACTGTACGTTCTATCCATGATGAGCAATCCTCAGCCTAGGCTGCTCGTGTGGGGCGAGGACATGGCTCTCATATACAACGAGCAAGTCGTCCCGTTGTTAGGCGCAAAACATCCTTCTTGCCTGGGCCAAAACGTCAAACATGCCTTCGCAGAGTCCTGGTCCGAAATTGTGCCTGTGGTTGAAGCTGGCTATGGTGGTGAGGTAAAGAGTGTGAACTGCTTCCCATTACCGATACTACGCCACGGCTTCTTGGAAGAATGCTACTTCGGCTTCACTGCTCTGCCGGTGGTTGACAGAGATGGTCGTAGCTGCGGCATGTTGAGCGAACTGACAGAATCTACAACCCTTGTTACAGCTGAACGCAGGAGATACACCATGAATCAACTCGGTACGCAACTCAACAAGCTCAACGACCTTGCAGAACTGTGGCCCGTCGTGCTCGCGCAGATGAATGCGGCCGAGCTGGACGTGCCCTATGCCATACTATATACTGTTAAAACCGAGGTCACTGAGTCTGTTGCATCCGAGACCACCTCCATGGATTCACGCGCTGCTCTGCCTAAACATGCACAGCTTGTTGGCACTGTTGGGTTGTCGGGAGACCATCCCGGTGTCCCCGATTCATTCCCGCTCTCAGACACCAAAGCAGAAGGGCGGGACATCTGGCAAGCCTGCAACGATGCCTGGAGCTCTGGGGAAATGCTGGTGTTGTCTTCCGAAAACGGCACATTGCCTCCTGAATTGGCCATCGCAGTACCTAATCGTGGCTTCGGTGACCAGGTCAAGATAGCGACAATATCACCTATCAAGGCCATGGCAGGATCCGAACCGCTCGCAATATTGGTCTGGGGTCTCAATCCACGCTCGATATTTGGCGGAGAATACCAAGTGTTTCGCACAGTTTTTATCGACATTCTTGCAAAAGCTGCGGCACTGATTCAGCTGCCCCACGAGCAGCAACGTGCTCAGAAGATCGCTGAGGATGTGAACCACGCTCTTGCGCAGCAATTGCGCTTGACGACATTGAAAGCTGAGAGGAGCGAAGCGAGGTTCAAACGGCTTGCTGACGTCTCACCTACTGGGATGTTCTTGTTCGATGCAAGCGGCCTTCCACTCTACGCGAACGAGCAATGCCTGGAGATGCTGAAAATCACAGAAGCAGAATACCTGGCGATCCGAGACTCCGACGGTCTAGCGGAGAGAGTGCACGAAGAGGACGTGGATGAATACCGAGAGGTCTGGACCACTATGACTGAACGAAAAATGCCAATCACTGCGGAGTTCCGGTTGAGACCGTCCTTGCAAGTAAACAAGCAAGACGGTACAGAGTCAGACACTTGGCTGTCCGTGACGGCTTTCCCAGAGATCGAATCAGATGGTACAGTGTCTTCTATGCAAGGATGGCTCACAGACATTTCCCACAGGAAGTTCAATGAAAAGTTATTGGCGCAGAGACTTGAGGATGCCCTCGAGAACAAAAGACAGACAGAAAACTTCATGGATATGCACAGTCATGAGATCCGCAATCCTCTGAGCGCTATCTTGCAAAGTGAGTACACCATTTGCCCATGCTGTCTCTATTCGTGACGGGAGGCCATGACTGATATGTAATCACCAGGTGCCGACTCAATAGAGACGCTACTCAGTTCCATTGAACTGCCTTTGCACGATGAGAACATGGTGGTCCCCACTCACGTAGGCGAAGACATAATGGATGCCGTGCAAACAATCATATTGTGTGCGCAACATCAAAAAAGGATAGTGGACGACATTCTGTGAGTGCACAAGAAATTCTTGCTTACCTTTGGCGACTAATCTTTGCAGAACATTGTCCAAACTCGACGCCAGTCTGCTCGTCATGTCTCCAGACAAGGTGCAGGTGCCCTCACTTGTAACGAAAGCCTTGAAGATGTACGAAGCCGAGATCGGACGCGCGGGCATCGATGCTCAGCTCTGTATCGAACCAACGTATGACGAACTCGACGTCAACTGGGTCGTGCTTGACTCTAGCCGGTTACTTCAGGTGATCATAAACCTACTGACGAACAGCATCAAGTTCACTCAATATTCCGAGGAGCGGAAGATCAAAATTTGCATCGGCGCTTCGTATCAGAAACCTACAGGAAAGCATCATGGTATTTCATTCATTGAGCCACAACAAATCCGAACGTCTCGCTCGCCAGTCCAAGAATGGCCTGGAGGAGAGGACCTCTACCTTCAATTCGCCGTTTACGATACCGGCCGCGGACTCAGCGAGGACGAGATGAAACTGCTCTTCCAGCGCTTTCGCCAAGCATCGCCGAAGACGTATAAGCAATATGGCGGGAGTGGACTCGGCCTTTACATATCCCGCGAGCTATGCGAGCTGCAGGGCGGGCAGATTGGCGTGTCTTGCGGTAATGGCAAGACGGTCTTCACTTTCTTCGTCAAAGCTAAGCGATGGGTGCCAAGTGAAGAAGAAGACATCGCTGCACTCCCAGTGCCCGTTCGCTATGCGAGTGCTTCCTCGAGCCCCGTGGTGTACAGCAAAGGGGGCAGCACCACATTGAACGATGAAGCTGATCAACTCGGAACACCTCGCGAAGAGAATGGTAATATGATTGAGAACTTCCACCCCAGGCAACAACCATTTGCGCGTCAGCAGTCCTTCGGAGCTGCTAATCAAATGCCCGTTTTCTACACCAGCCAAGTGAAGGCGCGTAAAGATTCTACAGAAAATGGGCAGAAGGCGCTTCACGTGCTCATCGTGGAGGACAACGTAGGATCGCGCCTGCTTGAGAATTACACAGAAAGTAATGCTGATTGCTCTCCAGTTGATCAATCAGAAAGTCATGTCGCAGCAATTGCGTCGCGCGGGCTGCACCGTGCACGTTGCGAACCATGGCATAGAATGCTTGAATTTCCTGGAGAGTTCGACGTACTGCTCATCTACAACACCACTATCCGTGGTCCTACTGGACCTTGAAATGCCCGAGATGGATGGTTTGACGTGCATACGAGAGATTCGACGACGCGAGGCGGCTGGCAGTATTATCTCGCACGTGCCTGTTATCGCTGTGACTGCAAATGCTCGCTCAGAACAGATCAACAACGCTATCGAAGCAGGTATGGATCAAGTCGTGACCAAACCTTTTCGTATCCCAGAGCTGGTGCCACAAATGGAAAGACTAGTGGCCGAGGTTGGAGGTTGAGGCTGCGCATGCTTTGGCCAGTGTATGACCTTCATAGCTTGCCGCCGATACCATTCGACTTCGACTCCAAAAGAGGCTTATACTCTTCGACGAAATCCTTCACTGCTTGCACGAACCCGTCAAGACCCGCATCCGTCAGCACCAAGCTCAAGGCAAGGAACCCACGTCTTGCGATATAATAGCCTTTGCTCAGCAAGAATAAATGCAGCAAGGCAGTCAGCCTGTGATCTTCGTCGGGCATGTCTGCAACTGTCTTTACCTGCTCCGCCGGAGTTTGAGTGAAGTGAAAGCACATCACAGAACCAAGGCCAGTCACCTTCAGCAAGGTGCCTTTACCAGTCTCGTTCAATCTCTTGCGAAGCTCTTCGCCTGTTCGGTGAAGCGCCTCTGCTCGCGCAGGCGTAAAGACCTGCTCCAACCCAGCACTCCCAGCCGCCATGGTCAGGACGTTATTGTTGAACGTCCCCGCATGCGCAAGACCACCCGGCTTCCGAGGATCAAACAATTCCATAATTTCCCGCTTCCCTCCAAAAGCGCCAAACGACATCCCGCCTCCAATGTACTTCCCTAGCGTTGTCAGATCTGGACGACAATCCGGTGGCATATCAGATTGAACCCCGCCTCCGGAGTACATGCGACTTGTCATCACTTCATCATAAATCAGCACCGCTCCCGCCGCAGTTGCGATCTTTCTCAGCTGCACCAAGAATGCCTTATCTGCAGGAATCGCGCCTCCAGATCCGATCATGGGCTCCAAGATGATCGCAGCCAGATCTTGCGCGTTCGCGTCGACTAACGTCTTCACGGATGCAATATCTTTGTACGTAGCGATCAAGTACTCGTGCGGAGCGTTAATTCTGCTGGACACACCTCCGCCAAACAGGAAAACTCCGCCATGATATGCTTCACCAAAGACGAGAACCTTCTTTCTTCCGGTATACACTTTCGCGACTGCGAGAGCCATGAGATTCGCTTCTGTGCCGGAATTGGTGAAACGGAGAAGTTCCATTGTTGGAAAGCGTTGTTGGATGAGAGATGCCAATCTGGCCTCGTCCGAGTGGTGGCCGCCGAAGGAAACGCCTTTTTGCAGGGCTTGGTTTATTGCGGACATGATTGTGGGGTCGGAGTGGCCGTAGAGGCCGGCTGTGTATTCTCCGAGTAGGTCGAGATATTTGTGGCCATCAGCGGAGTGGAGGTGGGCTCCGGAGGCTGAGATTATGTAGAGAGGGAAGGGGGAGTAGAAGAGTACGGTGCGTGTGTTTCCTCCGGGAAGGGCGTTGGTTGCATTTTGGTAGAGAGCTTGACTTTTGGGGTTTTGGAGGGTGAAGGCTTGTTCTAAGGAGGAGAGAGCTTGAGATATGGATTGAGGTGGAGGCATGGTGTAGGATAAAGACGTCGAAGTGGCCGCTTGAGGTTGGTCCGATTGGTAGATATCTCAGAGCTTGATTGCTTCTGTGCTTGATAACGGACGGCTGCTCGATCAATTGTCCTCGTTCTTCATATGTGTAAGCGTGGTTGTCTTGGGTGCCTTTTATAGTAAAGAGCAAAGCCGTCTCTTGCTACGATAAGGCCTAGACGTAGGGCGCGGAGTACATTTTCCCGCTCCCGCCTCCTCCTCCATCTTCCTTTCCCGCGCTTCGCTTTCCCGCTTTCTCGTTTTGCCCGCGTTCTCTACACTACTCTACACATTATGCTACGCTTTCACATATACCAACAAACCTAATGCGCGTGCAAATGAGGCATGCTCAACCAACAAAAACAGCACACCAGGCCACCGCTGGTCTACGTTGATGCTCAGATCCTTCCAGCTGTACATCAGAAACCCACTGCCAGACTTGCAAGGGTATGGACTTTGCTCTGATATATGTTGATTCCCTGATATCGAACTTCTTCGACTGATCCCACGTCTTTGACAGAACCTGATAGTTGAAGCATGTGAAGCATGGCAAGCGTGTCTAGTACGGCAATCACAATTCCTCTGGCCGGACTATCTAACGCTCCTCACACCTTGCTTCGTGACATAAGACACTTTGTCTTGTGCTTTGCCATCGAGTTTCGCGGTTTCGCTGCCATATATCTCCGACATCCTCGTCTTCTGCTGCTATTTAATGCTGGAGATGCTTCCGCTGCTATCCGTCTTCGTGAGTATGGTGATTTCCAACGTGATTTCATCATGTAGGGCAATTTGTATTAGAGCTACCTTACCAAACAGACCCGATTACTGATTATTTCACTTTGATCTTGCTGACTCAGTCCAATTCTATGCCCCGAACAATTGAGAATAACGCAGTATGCTTCTGGAAGCTGCAGCACAAGGGCCGCTCAACATGGCCATTGCTGCAAATCTCACTATCCATCAGGCAAGAGCTGTTTCTATCAGCCCGAATCGGAACAAATTTTTCTCCGTCCAGGTCTCCAGAAGTACATATAACCCCCATCCACCTCATCTCCTACGAAGTCCCAAAACAAGCCTCAACCTGATGGTCATGACCGCATCAACAACATCAATGTCAGACCAACCCTCAACCTCCAAAACCTCCTTCCTCGACCTGCCCCTCGAACTCCGCCGACAAATTTATAGCCTCGCTCTCTCCAACCAAGAAGATCCTCGCTGTCTCCTTTCACAAATCCATTCCATCCCTCGACACTCGCACGTCTGGATCGATCTCCGTCGCTACCATAACGGGAAACCCAATACTCTCACCTATAACTCCCCACCTCTTCTTTCCACATGCCGACAAATTCGTCAAGAAGCTACACCCTGCTATTATTTCAAGACTTCTTTCCGCTTTACGGAAGTTGCGGTTTGTGTTCGATGGCTTGAGAGTTTGGAAGTGGCGCAGCGTGAGGAAGTCAGGGAGATGGTTTATTGTCCGAATCTTATGTCGTGGATGGATCCGAGACGGAGGCCAGTGGGACGAGAGATTTTTGAGAGGGAATGGAAGGTTTTGCGCGAGGGGTTGAGAAAGTTGGGGATGGATAGTAGGAAGGTGTTGAGGGTTTGGGAGGGAGGAGACTTCGTTCTTTTCGGCGGCGATAGTTCGGAGGGAGGGCAGGCGGATCAAGCTGCTCGATAGAGACACAGGCCGATCGTGAAGCTGTGTCAATTTGTGAGAGTGTGCAAACTTATTCTGAAAAATATTGAGATTGCGGATATATATGACGAAAATGTCCTGCAAGATAATACCTTGCCGTCATCATCGATTCCAGCCAAGCGCGCTCGCTGGTTTGCTGTATACACTCGAGTCGTCGCTGAGCACCTCGCCCACTTCCGCTTTCTGTTCAGCTTGGACAGGTCGTGAGAGCTGGCTTTTGGCGCTGGATTGCCACTCTTCCTCGTCACCGAACTTGTCACTCGTCAGACCTGCACTGCCAGGGTGTTTCCAGCCTCGCTCGAGCTGGCGCTCGTAAGAGACTTGGCGCAATCTTTCAGTCTCGGCCTTTGTCAAGTGGAGGTATAGTTCTACTCCGAGGAGGTGAATAGCGAAAGTCAACCACATGGTCGCGCCAAATGAGAGTTGAAAAGTTGCAGCGACCTCTTCGACTCCTTCGGTGGTGTCGGACCAGTTCGCATGCACGACAGCAAGTCCTTCAGGGTTTGCTTGACATGACGGATATTTGTCGAAGTTGCCGCCCGCGCCTTCGATCTGAGCGCAAAGCATAGCAACGTAGTATGAGCCTACTTTCGAGATGACAAGTCCCATGATGACTTGAATAAGGCGTACAGTGATGATACCGCCGGCTATGGCCCAGGTGCGAAGCATCCAAGCACGATGCTGCTCGATCTGCAGGCGCTTGATGTTGATCCAGGCGAGGACTGAGCCGACAGTAGTGAAGATGGCAAAGGCACCGACGGCTGTTTGTGTTGCTAGAGTTCCGCCAAAGGCTCGTCGCGCTATCATGACAGCACCGACATTCCCGACGATGAGGAGAAGGACCACCACGTAGCCGTTGATGCGGTGGAAAAGTCGAGCTTTGTGTCTGATGACTGGCACAAATTGGAAGACGACCAACAGGCTTGCTGGGATCACGCACAGGAGGTGGATTTGGATACCAATGTTGTAGTAGCTCTGACGATACCAGTATGCTTCTCCCGGTGCCGTCCTGGACATGAAGTAGCCATTGACGTTCATGTACGGTGTCCGTGCCAAAGCAAACCCAAAGAGTGCTCCTGCGAAGATGAAGAAGAGGATGAAGTTGTAGCCTTTGTTGAAGCCGACGGGATTGTAGATCTTGCGAAAGAAGGCCACGAAGGCGTTCGGGTGAGGGTTATGCTTGTAGACCGCCATGGCTGATTGGTCCTCGACTGCTCAGTGTGTAGGTGTCGGTCTTTTGGTTGTGTACGAGGGAGGATGGGCCCGTTTCTGCTGCGTTATCCAAGGCATACTTACCTCTCTTATATAGATGCCCATGACGGCGACTATGCGCACTGTAGGCATATGGCTTGGCGACATATCGCGGAATTCCTTCTTGTAGGATGCGATGCGCGCAGAAGTGCGTTGTGCAACATGGGATTGCGAGACTAGGCCCAAAGCGATGTCTTGTGCGAAAGGGTCGCGTTTGCGAAGTGTGCACAGTGTGGTGACGCGCTTTGCGAGCCACGTGTTGCAGGGATCGTCGCCAAGCCGCTAGAAACGAGACACGACTTCGCGTTGCGGCCGTTGCAGCAATCTGACCAGCTTGCTTTTGCTGCGATGATCTGCGTATCACGCCCACCACACAACCCACCCACGCATTGGTTGCATTGGACATGTCTACTGCGGCAAAGATCCCGCGCAACATCGTCTTTGTGCATCCCGATCTTGGTATTGGCGGAGCAGAGCGACTGGTCATTGATGCTGCAGTCGGCCTGCAGGCGCTGGGACACAAAGTCACTATCCTGACCTCTTACCGCGACCGCAATCATTGCTTCGAGGAAGCTCGCGATGGTACGTACCGCTGCCAGTTACGGCCGCGACTCTTTGCTAAGGGCATCAAGGCTGAGACTTCCCTCAAGGCACCCTCGATGTCCGCGTAAGAGGTGACGCTGTCTTTCCGCCCTCGATAGCAGGACGTCTCAGCATCCTATGCACCGTTCTTCGTCAGCTTTCCTTGGTTGCCAGCACCGGAGTGCTATCTACCGAACTCAAGCAGCTTGATCCCGACGTCTTCATCGTCGATCAACTCAGCGCATGCATTCCATTCTTCCGCTTGCTGTACCCGAAGGCGAAGATCCTATTCTACGGCCACTTTCCAGATCAGCTCCTGGTGAAGCAGGAGGCTGGCGTGAAGCAGACGCTGAAGTCGCTGTACCGAGTGCCCTTCGATGCCTTCGAAGGCTGGAGCACTAGCTGCGCAGACGGCATTGTGGTCAACAGCAAGTTCACAAGGAGCGTCTTCAAGTCAACGTTGCCAGGCGTGAAGTCGCGAGAACTTAAAGTAATCTACCCTTGCGTAGACACCAGCACCTCCTCGCACGACCGCAGCAATGCAACTATATGGCCAGATAAGCAGCTGCTGCTCAGTATCAATCGCTTCGAGGGCAAGAAAATGCTGGATCTGGCCATCAAAGCGTATGCTGGCCTCTCGTCTCAGGACCGGGCAAAGGCAAAGCTCGTGCTGGCCGGAGGATACGATCCGCGCAACGCAGAGAACGCCAACACCCACAAACATCTCCAGCATCTCTGTGTGTCGCTCAACCTCACCCACGCGACATTCCGAAGCAACGACACTGCTTTGACCAATCTTTCCAGTGAGGACATGGACGTCTTGTTCCTGCTCTCCATTCCGAACGACCTCAAGTCCCGGCTCCTGAGTTCAGCAAGCTTACTCATTTACACCCCTACCAACGAACACTTTGGTATCGTACCTCTCGAAGCAATGCTGGCCGGAGTACCCGTGCTGGCAACGAACACCGGTGGCCCCTTGGAAACCATCTACGACGGGCGCACAGGCTGGCTGAGGAGCCCCGACAAGATTGAGGAATGGACCAAAGTTATGCAAAAGCCACTGATCCCATCGAGTGCCGACAAGCTGCGTGCCATGGGACAAGCCGGTCGTGCACAGGTGCTATCTCAATTCAGTAGAACGAAGATGGCGCAATCTTTCCACGATGAAGTAGAGCGCCTTGTGCAGAACAATGGCCCGCGTCCTCCAATCGTCGGTCTCGCATCTTTGCTGGCGATGATATTCGCCTTTGTTATCGCGGCTTTGGCTGTCGTACTCGCAGTGACGCGCTTTGTGCCCGCAGCGTAGAATCTGGCGCGAACGTTGATTTTTCAAGCAACATGACTTCGTCAGAGCCACAAGACCGGACATCTTTGCAATTTGGGATTCATCTCCCAAGCCGCTAAGGGGACAGCTGTACGATGCAGGACATTTTCGAACATACTTCGGTGTACTCAGCTCGGAGAACTTGTCTGATGCCTACAGTCTACAGCCCAAATCACCGGACACCTTGGCCGTTGGGATAAAATCGACCTTGTTGGACAAGAGCACTTGGGTCAAAGCGTCACATGATGGCGCATCACACCAGGATTGCCGAGTGGCGATAGTGTCGTCCCATCTCTCCCTCGACAACTACCGGCTGTCCAATTTCAGTATTCATCTTGAAGGCCAAATGTCAAGCGCTGCACGTGTCTCGCTGACGAGGTCGTGTTCTATCAAGTGTCGCAGTACATGGACATCGATCTTCGGTCCTATGGAAGACGACACGCTTATTTGGCTGAGCTGCAATGCATTGGGACAGCATCACACATCCTTTGTCCCGTCATCAAGGAAGTATAGTGCAGTGCAGTGCGTCTTGTCTCGCAGGACTCGCCAAACCCGATAACTTTGCTTAATGTGTATCTCGTCAGCTACTGACATGTCCACGATTTGGCTGGGCGGTAGAAGGCTTTTCATTGTAGGTATTGACAGCTAGCTACCTGAGCTTTTAATAGACCTTTGAGTCAAGGCTCAGCAGTAAGAAATCAATGTGTTCTCAAGCTTTTCTTTACTCGATTTGACATTTGTGTTACTAACATTCTCGATTTGTCGGGCAGGAAATGCGGATTGCAAGTGCAGCCATCCACGCCGCCACAACAGTAACAGAACTAACGCCAAGACCAGCATACCGTATATGCATCACTCGAATACTAATCCTCCTTTACGACCAACTCCGGATCGGATAAGACAACCGTAGAAGTCGGCTTCGGTCGCGCCATGGCTATTCAGTCTGTGACGATGGGGCGTGTTCAGGAGATTATTGCCGGTGAAGCGCTAGGGGATGATTTTCGGAGACCGGGTAGGTCGGTCGAGATTTATACGGTCCAAGGAGGGATGATGAATAGGAAGAAAATCGTACCGGATAGGAAATTCCGTCAGCTGAGGCCGATAGGAAAGCATGTGTTTGATGGTTTCTGGTTCGTTGATGTGGTGTCGAGTCGGGCAAGGTTTTTCTTGGCGGTAGGGGTAGGTGGTGGCCCGGCTGGGAAGGTGATTCGAGTTGAGTATTGGTCTTCAATTTTTTTCCAAGTAGTTAAGTGTGCTGCGTACAGAAATCCATCTCAGTCGTTGTCGAATATGGGAACATACATGTTGTTCTTCTGGCCAGCTGGCACAGCTGAGTATTGCTCGTCCACCCTTCCTCCCAGTCTCTCTTCTTTGCAATAAATTCCCAATGTCAAATAAACAAATCCAACTGAGTGGCACCCATCCCGCTTCCTTCGCGTCCAATATCCTCTTTCCCTTGCAACCCATCCCCAATCTCAAACAAACAAATCCAACTCCAAACCCTCCACAGATCCATCCGTATTCCTCCTAACATTAACCCGAAACCTCAGCTTTTCCATCGACTCATGCACCGCAACCTTCTCCCCAGCCCCCAACTCCCTTGCACAAGTCCTCAAAACACTCCTGCACAATCGCGCAGTCATCCTCAACTTCCATCGCATCGCCGCTAATTCCGGAGAGCCCGCTGGGAGGCTCAAATCAATAACCCTGCTCACATTAATGCAGCGCACAGCAGCCCTATGCTCGTCCGAGAGACCCGTCAACCAGGTTACAAGCCTTCCAGGATTAAGCCAAGGGACAGTAAAATGTGTGAGGTTGTAGTGTTTTTCGCCGAATTGTTTACGGCTTAGTTTGTCGATTTGTAGTTGTTTTGGTGGTTTGTATTTGCGATCGAGTTTGATTTCGGTCTCGTCGGGGGTCATGACGAGGTCGTAGATGTCGTTGAAAAGCTCTGTGGGTAGATTGTGCATGCGTTGGTTGAGCTCTGCGGCCTGTTCTTCGTGGGTTTTGATGATTGGTGTCATTGTGTGGTAGTTGCGGTAGGCCATTCTTGATACTCGTTTCGGTCGAAGTTTTTGGTCGGTGGTGAAGCGATCGAATATGGTGTAGACGTGTGAGTGTGAGTGTACGATCAAGTGGCTGCGGTGTGTTGCTTATATTTTTGCTGCTTTGAGGCCGCATTTTGCAACGTTGTTTGGTACTGCTGCACGTAAGTTGTGAAAGTTTTGAAGTAGATTTGAGGACACCGGGCCCAGCCAGACGTCTTCCTATGTCTGCACACACAATTGTATGCTGACCTGAAGACGCGGCCAGTGGTACCCGTCATTTGTTTGATTACACGGTCGGCGCCATTCCGTGCGAAAGCAGCCAACACGGTTCGGATACCGCTCAATTCGCCTCCCTTCGTGCCTCTTCTTCTTAGCAGAGCCTCAAGCATGCCGCCACCAAGCCTCCACGGATCCATTCTGATGGAAACGTCTGACGAACACTCGAACGCGAAGCCAACGCATCGATCGAGGCGAGGCGCCTTTCACCTCCTTCTTCAAGATATCCTTACATGTCCCCACTTGGTTGTAGCACCTCTGAGCCGATACCTCCGTCCACGGAGGCACCGGCGTTCCGAACCGGTTAACTCTCCAACGATAGTCGATCTCAACAATGCCGGAAATACTGATGCATCGCACAAAAGATCGATGCTTCCTACTGAGGCTCGACAACCAGGCTGCGACTCTAGCGGTTTCGGCTTCCTTCATGTCCAAACCCTTCGAGATGATATTCTTGTAGCCTTGGTAGTCCTTATCCAGTTCCAAGCCAGTGAAGACCGTGTTCTTGTAGTAGTCCTCGGCAAACTCTTCGCGAGTCGCCCAGTCGACCTGTAGCTGGACCGGCGGTCTGTAATCTCGATCGATTTTGACCTCGCCTTCTTCCTCGACGAGCATGAAGAAGTCGAAGATCTCGTCGAAGAGCTCGACTGGGAGGCTGTGGACCAGTTCGCGAAAGCGCGCCGCCTCTTCGTTGGAGTCGGCCATCTTGTGACAAGTCGGTGATGATGTTTGTCGACGCGAAAATATAGTCAGTGGTGAAGCAAGTAAATACCTACAGTGGGGAGGTGCAGACGCAGATGCACGTGCACATAACGTCGCATTCACCTTCCACCTTTTACTGCGGTGCCGTTGCCGCACTGGTGAATGTTCCTGCTGCAAGTGAGCTGTGACGATTCCAAGCAGAGCAGGATCCAAAATCCCTTCGAGGCCGACAGGTCGCGCGGACTGGCCCTAGTGTCTGAATATTCAATTATGTGCTATCGCTAAAAACGCAGGCAGTCGTTTCAATCGTGTTCAGTAGACCAAAATATCACTCGTATGCTGACCCCACGCATTCACAAACCCACCTGAAAAGCCTACAGAATCAATCCAGCGCCGAAAACAGCAGCCGCAACAGCACCACCCACAGGGCCGAATGTAGCCTTTGCCGCGAGACCACTGCTCGTAGATGAAGCGCCGCCAGATCCAGTCGTCAGCGAGCCACTTCCTGGGCGATTAGCTCCAGCAGCAGGCTTGATGGCCAGATTCTGAATCTCCGCGCCATTAGCGGCGTACACTGCCACTTGCACGGCAGTCTGCGTGATTGCGACGATGCTGCCCTTTGGTGCGTTGGAAATGCCATTCGAGATCAAGTCTTCGCCACCAGATGGCACATCTGGGACGTCGAAGTCGCTGCTGAAGTCACTGCTCGAGATAAGATCGGAACTGCAGTCAGGTGCTTGCAGATCAGTCGCTGTCTGGTTTCGTGTCGTAATGAGTGTGATGTCGAGTTTGTTGTACTGATCCTGGAGGGTGTTGTAGTCCGCCAGAAGTGTGAGCGTGCCATTGTCGTTCTCCTGGACAATGCCGTAGTTCGATGGCTCCTCTGTCCATTCGTAGACCAAGCCGCCGGACATCACAGTCATCTGTTCTCCGTAGAGTACCGGCACTTCGTCAAAGACACGCGGCGCAGGAACATTGCAGCCATACTCCGAGAAGAAGACCGGGATTGTAGTATTGCCGAACCACTCTACCAGCACATCATAGCCAGAAGTAGTGTAGCTGGAATCGCTACCACACCACGAGTAGCTGTTCAAGCCGAAAAAGTCGGAGCGCGACATATCTTCTCCATCCTGGGCATTGTTGCATTGCAGGTATGACCATGTATCCTTCAGAACTTCTTGCACCTGTGCAGCCGAGTAGCCGACTGGAATTGTGCGTGGGGCATGATTCTTGATGTAGTTCTTCAGATCGCGCTGCACAGCTCTGATATATGGTGGGTTGTCCTCCGCAGTCGGCACATCGTTGATAATCTCATTTCCTGCAAAGAAGCCGAGTGTGTTCGGATAGTCCTTGAAGGCTTCCACCACTGTGAAGATGTGTTCGAGGTATTCGCTGGTGTAGGTGCTAGACGGGTTCGAGCGGTCGATGTGCTGTCCGGACAGCGGCGAGTTTACATCGATGAGCAGGTAGATGCCGACTGAGTTGAAAATGGACACGCATTCGTCGTGGTTCTCCGTCGGGTCCACGTTGTACGACCGGATTGTGTTGATACCCAGCGACTGCATCAGCGCAGCATCTCTTAGGCATACTGTGGCGTTGCTCAACGGGTCGCCTCTGCCAGTTCCGTATGCATCTTGTCCACCAGGCTGATAGTCCACACCGACGATCATGAACCGCTCTCCAGTCTTCGTTATCACAAACTGCTGCTGCTGGACTTCGACCGGGTCCACGGCGGCGGCGAGGGTCGCGAGGGCGGAGAGCCCTGCGAGAAGATACTGGACATGGTCAATGTTTGGTTCGGCATGTTTGCAGCATGTCGCGACCTACCGATCGCATGGTGTTGGCGCCGAGAAAACGGTATGGCGATAAGCTTCGCTGATCCTGGATCCTGCCCTGTCCAAGCGTGCGCGTCCCTGTTGCTCAACCAACTCTCGCAATAACGAATGACTTCCAGCTCCAATTGCGGGACTGGGCAATGCAATATCGAGCGAATGTGTTGTTGATGGAAAGTGCACAGAGCAGTGGCGGGGGATGGCGCGCCAATGCAGGAAGGTTGGCTGGTGAGCATGAGCTGTCATCCTCCGCTGCGGCTGTCCCGCCGCCACCAAGACAATAACAACAGCGAGCACGAGCTGCCGAAAGTGGCTCGAAAGAGCATCAAGTTCACCGACCGAATGTCGTCGCTGAGGACTCGCAGTCTTGTCTGCAGTCGGCCACTATGCTTCGTACTGACATGCCTTCGCAGACTACAACCTTTGAGTCCGCTCCTGCAAGCCCACGCCGCCCAATGAGAGTATTTTGAACTAACGCCGCATGCTCACAAGGCCATCTCGAAGGCGGCGTGCTCTCTGAACGAACGTCGTAAAGCCGAATAGAGCGCTCTCACTGATCTGGCGGTTGATTGCGAGGCTCTACTTTCACTCGTATCCACAGCTTCCAGGGATGAACTCTTATGCTACCTTCAGGCCATCTCATTCCTCTGGCAATTCTCGGGCAAAGATGCGGTCGATCGAACTGATGCGCACTCATGTTCGAAGCGTAGTGTATTGCTGAAATCTGGCAATGGAGCCCCACGCATTGTCTGCGGAGGGCCACGGAAGCGACTGACCATGGTAGCATTTCGCAGCCAAGATATCTGCAACACACTCAAAGCAACTCACTGAGCAGGATAGACGAGCATCGCGACAAGAGTGCTGGCTCAAAAATGCATTCGTCCAGAGCGTTCAGCATTCTTGATAAAGACCCACCTCGCCCACGATATCTCGAAGGGTTTTGGCGTCGACAAGCACGGAAAATCGAGGCGGTGCTCTCATGTTTTGCGTTAAGGGGAACGCCAATTATGAATGACATTGGAACAGTCGTGCGCTTTACTATCCAGAAAGGCAGAGGCACTTCGAAACTGCACAAGCAGCGCATCTCCTTCTTCGAACTCCCAGCAGAAGTCAGGAACACAATCTACCACTATGCGCTCAGCGTCCCTGAAGGGTTGCCTATTGGTGTCGAACGGGTTCCACATTTAGGACCTCCATTGTTGTCTGCAAGCGCCAGAATTCGAGAGGAAGGATCGATCATATATTACCGCTCGAACGAATTCCAGGCACAGGATGTCGATTGCGCCGTTGACTTTCTGAAGTCCTTGTGCGTTTGCGCTCTGCCACTTCTACGAGCGATCCGAATCCCCCTCCACGGCTCCCATCGTGGTGACTTCACGCAGTATCTGAGTCAGGAGCAAGTTCAACGGCATCATCTTTGCTGGAGACTGCTTCAATCCGGACTCTTCTCTGCGGGACTTCGCGACGACTGCATCTCTCTGGGCTTCGACAATCACTACTACAATACAACCGCCGACCATTATTGCGAGAGTCTTCCTGTCTCTTTGCTCTATCTGTCGAGATACCAGTTTGATCTGCTGGCCTTCATGCTGACCAGCTCACCCCCAAAGAACTGGAGCGATGTCCATGTAATGCGTGCCATCGTTAAAAATTCTGATTCGCCTCGCTTGCTGCCGGCCAAGCGCTTGGAGGCTGCGCGGCGTCATGCGCATCAGTTCCCGTGCAAAGATCTGTGTGAGGACTGTTTGCAGTCGCCAGAGGCAATGGCCAATCCACAAGTGCTATACTGCGAATCTGAGCTTCACTGTCAGATGGAATTGCCACCGACTCCAGAGTGCCCGGGCAGTTACCACGTGCCAGTGGCAGCGCACCTCAATAAGCACTTTATTGACGTGCCTGGTCAACCGAGGAGTAAATCCCGCATGGCGTCGCGGCTGCGTTGCGCAAAATGTGATCACGCTGCTCGAAGAACTTTTCCGTGGCTGCGCTTTGCTGGGTATGGCGCTCGCCGATGAGAACCAGGAGAGGACTTCTCGAAACTCAACGTCGACCAACATCGGAATGAAGTAACCTCACGGAAGCAAGTTCACGGACTGCTGAGCCACCTAAATACCGTCAGAAGTATTTCAGAGTCAGCATCAACCATTTTGCTCGTGCTCGGGAACAAGACGCCCTCGAGATACTTCTCTCAAAGTGCTACATACGTTGCAATGGGACAAAGGGTTGTGTTGGAGCAGCTGGCAGTCCTAAAATGGGCCATGCGTCAAACCTGTGTTGGACTTATATGACCAGGAAGGTGAAATGCGGCACACTAATGGCTACAGCATCGCGGCTTGTGCCCACACCAGGAGATCTCACAGGCAGTATCTAGAGACAAGACACATGTGGGCAGGAAACGAGTGATCTGTTCCGATCATTGAAAAATAAAGTCGCGAAAGTATGTATTCCTGCTACTCACTAGCACCTCAAGGAAGCTCAATTCAGACTTTCGTAGTGGACCAGATGTCACAATCATCTGCAACTTGACAACATCAATCCATCATTGCCGTCCATGCAACCTGCAACCATATAGACCAAGCCATTGCGTGCTTCATGTCAATACGAGAACCCAAGCCCGAACGTCCGCAGTATGACGCACTGCCACACCAATGTCTTGAACCTTCTTGCTATCTTTACCATCTCTATAGCTGCTGAGCTCGTATTTAGAAGCACACCACAACATCATGGTCTCACGATCGCTGGGGCGTGTGGGTATCCGAGACAAGTGTGACACTTTAACGTGACATTTGGGCAAGTTCAGGAGGCGTGAGGTCGCACTAGTCGAACGTCATTGCAAGGATACAATGCCGACACAACGGTGTGAGCACCGAACATGCTGGCTATGCTGGGATCATAAGTATTACCAGGATTGCAACACTGGTCTAGAGGGAACTCCAATTTTAATCATTTGGCTAGAATAAACCAAAACAATAAGAAAGCAGAACCCTACCCACAAAGTTACACTTTCTTTGAACTTCACCTCACCTCACATCAAATCCAACTAAACCTACCTCCAGAACAACCGTAACCACCAGACAAAATGCGTGCCTCCATCCTCGCCTCCGCTGCGACTCTCCTCGTCGCCACACAAGCCCGCATCGTCGGCTTCTACGCACCAAACACCGCAGCACCAGGCACCAAAGTCAGACTCGAAATCCAAACCGAAAACTTCTCCCAATCAATCGAAGATGTCGCCATGTCTTTCGGTTTGACCACAGGAAACGGTGCCACCCTCGGCTCCCTCGGCCAGCTCATCAGCACCAAGATCCTGGGCGCAGGTAGGTTTTCATCTTTCGCGTCCAACGACAAAGACAATCCAGTGTCACTGACTAAATCTTGCAGATCTCTCCAACACCTTGGAGAACATCACACACATCATTGAGATTCCCGCCGATGCGACTCCGGGTCCAGCTATTATTCAAGGCGCACACTTCTCGTTGACTGGTGCTGTGTATAGCCCGCTGGTTGAAGTTTATTACGCCAATATCACTATTGGTCAGGGTAACAATTTCCCTCTTGTGCAGAGCGCGAGAATCCCGCAGGTCGACAACTAGATGGTGCGACTGAGGAGCTTAGGCATGCATGATTTGAGCGTTTGTGCTGGAAATGCTTGTATATATTTGAACATTTTGTCGGCAGACTTGAAGGGCAGGGCCAATGATTGAGGAGTTATGCATCATGTAGCAATGCAATTTCCTCTCGAGATGTCGAGGTCTTGCGAGCGACTATGGCGTATTTCAGCGCACCAAATTTTTTTTGCAGACGGCGACAAAATGGCACTTGGAGAATCGTGCAAGCAGACCGGGGGTAAACTTTGTAGAGGTGATTGGATGCCCAATCGTAGATGTTCATACCGCAATGAGCCACATTCAGCTCGTGGCGGAATCGATCATGCTGTTCACAGTCACTCGCGACCCAGCACATGTCAGTGACCAACTCCTCGTGCATACAGCACCTGAGCATTGACTAAAGATCAAGTCACATTCTTCTATCGTGACAGTGCCTCTTATCTAGCTTGCTGCGAGCGCCATGCCATCCAAGATTCCGGCCGAGTCATGCCATGAGGCAGAAGCGTATTCCTCGATCGTTGGGCTCTACAATGTAGATAGATTGAGAGATTCATGATAGTTTTTCTGAGCGACTGTGTCGCGTGGCGAATACGCAGGAATTAACAGACGATCTCCAAGATCTTCTGACCTCAAGACTGCGCTCGATTTGGCTCTTTTGCGAGGTTGCGATTGCCTGTTGCTGATTGCTCGCACCAAGAGTCATAATATTGCCTGTGTCGCCGTTCCTCATCCAGTTCATCGGCTCCATGGTGCAGTGGACAGCACATCCAGTGTCAATGAGGGTAGACGAGATCACTGTCTGACGGTGTGAGCTACCCGGTTGTAGCAGTTTGCAAGCCTCTTGGAGGTAGCTAGTGACTGGAAGACCTACGTTCGAATCGTAGCAGAGCCAAAGCATTTTTTGTCTCTGTTCCTTTCCTTTGAAAATTCCACACTGGGAACAACCATACTGTCAATGGACTTTCGGCCTTTCTTGCAACGATCCATGCGGCATATAATAACGTGTGGCGTGCGACTGATGACTTGTACATATGTGGCTTAAGCACGTGTCCTGGCCAGCATGATGATCTGTATCGGTTTGCTTTATCGACATGACCTGCTCGATGTTTTGCATGCCATCCAATGGCACGCATGCTTCTGTTGGTCTCATTGCCGCACTGATAAGACACCTCAGCGCCCACCAGCTGTCCAATTTTGCCCGACTTCTCACAGCTTGGAAACAATTCGAGCCACGATGTGTCAGACAACCACCACGCACCTCACATGTGGCCATGTAATGCAAGGTCCAGTGTTGCAATGTGATGCAGCTGCGTCCACGGCCCCTCGAGCTTCACACCGCGACGATGGAGGGAATGCCTTATGCCGCTCGCCGCATATCATCGACACACAAGCTGCAGCATGCTGCGACCAGTGTGTCACCCAGTTCTTCCGGCAAATTCTGCTCAGCATCTGCCAGCGATGTCGCAGAGGCATCATCTACTGGGCTGCACGGGCTGCTCTTCGCTCGACACCAACCTCGGCTGCAGAGTCATCAACAGGCTCGCGCACGAGGTCTCCCAGCCCTGCTGGCTCCGACGACTCGTATAGTCATTGGTGACACCGTCCGCCACTCTCTTTGTGAGTCAGACGCCTCCACTCCTCCCACACTGCACCTATAGCTGACTGATCTCCAGATCACCAATTCTTTCACGTCTCAGAGCTTCGTACCACCATTCGTTCGAGGTTGTGGAAAGACATAACCGGCAGCGACCGGGGAGATAGCGGGGTTGACCGGCAGAGGAAAGGGTGTCTTTCTCCAACTGTTCATGAAGAAGACTGGATGCATCGTGGCGGGATTGTATAGCGGCAACGGTTGTGCCAGTGGCATTGGAATTGTGTGATTTGGAGGCATGGCTTCGATTTGATTTCTTGGAGAGCGTGTGAGCTCTACCTTGGCTGTCTCGGTGTGGTTGACTCGTGTCTGTTGCTGATACAGTGGGTTCTGTGGCCGCTGCTGGCTGACCTGTACTTACGATGAGTGGTTGTATCAAAAGTTCCGATTTCTACCTCTCACCTGTGGCCTTGTTGGTTGTAATGTGGAGAACATGATTACCAGATGTTGCGACGCTCAGATCGCATGCCTCGGTGAAGTGTAGCAGCGAAAGCGGAGCTACAACTGCAAGGATGAAGCTGTTTTCCCAATCGTCATTTCTCGGACCGACCCGCTGAAGTCTGGAGTGAACGACTTCCAATGGCGTATAGCAATGGGATGACTCCAGATACAACACTTTCATCGCGATTTCCCTGCTGAGGAGATGTGGAGGCGGCTGGCTGTGAGGACGCCGCAATGTCGACAATTTCATGCGACACGCCTGTGTCGTAGCGCCGAGGACATCATACGGATAGGGAACGGCACCTTTTATCGGAATTATCCCTCAGAAACAGATGCGGCAGGCACAAATCCCGCTCTATTTTCGAAGCTCGACTTTCGGTTACCTACACGCGTAGGGCCTGACGGCAAAGCTCAATACTGGTCGGTCTTATCTCCTTCGTCCTTGGCCAGGACTACATTTCTTCAGATTCTGGCTGCCCAGCACATATGTATACCTCCGGGCGCAAGGACATATCCGCTATTGGCTGAGCAGTCCAAGGCTCCACAGCATGCGATCAAGTATGTGGGATTCGATGCCGAACGTGGCAGCAGTGTCGGTGGAACCAGCGTTCGAGGAGCATATTTGAGTGCCCGATACGAGAGTCGTCGCGAAGAAACAGACTTCACAGTGTACGACTACCTCACTGGACATACCGAACTCAATGCCCTCGAACATGAGCAGACTGAACAGGAAAAGGCGATTCTGGAAAGCGTTCTTGACCGCCTGAGATTACGAGATCTATTGCAGATGCCTGTGGCGAATTTGTCGAATGGGCAAACCAGGCGAGCACGAATCGCGAAAGCACTTGTGTCGCAACCGGAAGTCCTGCTCTTAGATGGTCCATTCATGGGCTTGGATCCCAACACGGCACGGTATATGGCGGGTCTGCTCAAACAGCTTGCCGAGGAACAGAGCCCAAGACTAGTCTTCAGTCTGAGACCGGAGGACGGAATACCAGATTGGATCACGCATCTGGTCGTTGCAAATGCAGACCTGGAAGTCGTGGCGCATGGTCCCAAAAATGACCTGGCTGTCAACAAGCCCAAGGAGGTTCAGGCTATTATGACTGATGATACGAAATCTTCCGGCCGACCCAGGGTTCTTAGCAAAGATGGTTTCGAAAAGCACTCGCCGGCTCTGCCACCAGATGAACCGATCGTGGAAATGCGAGGCGTCAAAGTGAGCTATGGCGATAAGACGGTATTGGGCAACTGGACGCAGACTGTCGATGGTGAAGAGAGACCTGGTCTCTGGTGGAGCTTGCATCGAGGACAACGATGTGGAATTTTCGGGCCCAACGGCAGTGGCAAGACCACAATGTTGAGTTTGATAACATCTGACCACCCTCAAACGTACAGCCTTCCTATCAAACTCTTCGGACGCTCGCGATTACCATCTCCAGGCGAGCATGGAATCAGTCTGTTCGATTTACAGCAACGCATGGGGCATTCGAGCCCAGAGGTACACGCCTTCTTCCCAAAGAATTTGACAGTCCGACGCGCAATCGAGTCCGCATGGGCAGACGCCCCAATGGCGAAGCCAAAGCTTACTGCCGATGCTGATCGACGAGTCGACGCAATGCTGAGATGGTTCACGCGCGAACTGAATCCGGGTTACAAAGGGGAGACATTGCTAGAATCCTTTCACCCAATTCTACAGTCACGAGCCCACGAATCGAGCAAGGAAGCTTCGGCACTGGAAGTATTTGGAGAGAAGACCTACGATGACACAGATATCCTGTGGGCAGAAGAGATTCGCTTCCGCGATTTGAGCTTCTCAAGTCAGCGTCTGGCACTTTTCCTAAGAGCCATTGTGGCAAGTCCTGATCTTGTCATTCTGGACGAAGCATTGAGTGGGATTGATGAGCAGGTCAGGGACAAGGCTCTGCTCTACCTGTCTCATGGCGAGAATATGGTGTTGTTTAGCGATACTGGTGATGATGGAAGCAATGCTCGAAATCGGAATCCGCAGAAGAGTATGATTGCGCGAATTGGTAAGACAACTTTCGAAGGACTTTCACCAGATCAGGCGCTTCTCGTTATCAGCCATTCGAAGGAGGATGTGCCGGGCTGTCTTCGGGAATGGATCTGTTTGCCGGAGCCTGGAGAGAGCAGAGTGCCGCGCACGGGAACGCTTGCTGGCCCTCTGGAGTTGAACCCTTCTGCATGGGCGAATGGAGTGTGGAAGTCTGAGGACTAGAACAATTGTATATGACTGAGAGAAGGGTAATGCGTCTCGGCCAGACGATTGTACATTTGTGATGCATCAAGGCGAGTGGGACAACGTAGAACGGAACTTGTACAGAATAGATAACTACCTTCCAGATTGTGAGAGCGCTTTACAATACCGCTCATCGAAGCCGGAACCGGCCTTCTCATCTGGTGAAGCAAGAGCAAGACATTTCATTCTCGTGTCCTGTTCGTCAAGCCGCACGGATCCGTCCGGCTCCGCTTGTGCGGAGGTTCTGTGGAGTGATGTGGAGTAGCAGAGGCTCAAAGCTCCAACCTCTTGTCCCCTTCCTCCCAAGATCACCGATTTTCGCCGCGTGCCATCATGCCGCAGCCGAGGGCAATGCCTCGTCTACCCTTCGACTCGTGTCTCAGTCACATATCACCTCTCTGCCACTTTCCAACCTGACTCTCCCACTACAGACCTGGCTGCAGATCCCAATTCACGAGATAGCATGGTGGGCTGACGTCGACAAGCTTTTGCCCTTCTCCATCACAGTACACGAGTTCCGCGAAGATGAGGACGAAGACGATACAAGCAGCTCGACAGGCTGTTAGCTCTGTGGCTGGACCCACGAGCAAGAGGAGCTTCGCAACTGCCAGAAGGCTTCAGGACAGCTATGGCTTTATCGGTCTGGGCCGAATGGGTATGTACAACAGCTGTCGAGCTTCACCCTGCAGCGTGACTGATGATGCACTACTCAGGATATCCAATGGCCAAGAATCTGCGAACGAAGATCAAGAAGGATGACACGCTGTTCATACACGACGTGAACGAGCAAGTCACGAAGCAGTTCGTCGACGAGTTCGGCAGTGCCGGACCAGTCACAGCAGCCAAAGACGTGCGGGAAGTGGCAGAGAATGCGGTGAGTCGAGACCAACCCCAATGCTAATTACACACTCACATGATGAATTGTATTATTTCCTTTTCATTTGTATGATCTAAGTGCAGCGAAAGCTGTTATACTGATTACCTACAAAACAAAGCCAATCCTCTGAAGAAGAGCTCCCTATCTCATAAATCTACGCCTACAATGATAGTCACAGCAGCTAACGAGATCATGTGCTCAACAGACAACAATCATCACCGTCCTCCCCGAACCCCACCACGTCCAAAACGTCTTCCGCAACATGCTCCGCCCCCCAACCCTCCTCACCGAAAGCCCCAACACACAAGAACGCCTCTTCATCGACTGCTCCACAATCGACGTGCGCTCCTCCGCCGAAGTCTCCAACGCCACAACCTCCTCCGGCCAAGGCAAATTCATCGACGCCCCCATGTCCGGCGGCGTCGTCGGAGCCTCCGCCGGAGCTCTCACATTCATGATGGGCGCCGCCCCGGAACTCGTCGACCGCGCAACAGAAATCCTCAAAATGATGGGTAAAAGAGTCGTACATTTGGGTCCACAGACAAGTGGCTTGAAAGGAAAACTCGCGAATAATTATTTACTGGCGTTGAATAATATTGCGACTGCGGAGGCTATGAATATGGGTGTTCAATGGGGTTTGGATCCTAAAGCTTTGGCGGATATGATTAATACTGCCACGGGGAAATGTTGGCCCTCGGAAGTGAATAACCCGCATCCTGGTGTCATTGAGACTGCTCCTTCGAGTAGAGGCTACGAAGGAGGGTTCGGCACAGCGTTGATGTTGAAGGATCTGAAGTTGGCGATGCAAGCTGCAGCAGAATATGATATCCTACCGCGACTGGGTACGCAGGCGAAGGATATCTATCAGGCGGTGGAGGGAATTCCGGAGCTGAAGGGGAAGGACTTCTCGGTTGTGTACAAGTACATTGGAGGGAAAGCGACGGATGATAAGCCGAAGGATGTGGTATGAGAAGGCAATGGGCGCTGCAATGGTCAGCGTGAAGTGTGATGTGATGCTTTGTGCAAGCTTGTTGATGTGGAAGCTGAAAGTGCGAGCTAACTAACGGCTAAATACGGATCTTATGAAGAATTCGACATCACATCGTATGCGATGTTTGCTCAGGCGTACCTGGTCGAGAGGCGCTGAAGTGTCCAACACGTGGCCGAGTGGCTGACTTTTACTATGGACCAGAACATCACTCGGAGGCTGGAACTTCATGGGGAGTGCGTCCTCCATGTTGTCCGCCGAGCAACGCCGCGTTGTTGTTCAGGATGCTAGACGCGTATACAAACACGCGTGAGATCTTGGTCAAGTCGAGTTGGTGGACACTGGCTACCTTAGCCTAGAAGCTTACGTGTGCTTGCATCAGGTCTTACACCGGCTGTGAGCTCATTTGTTGATGTGTCGAAATCCGAGTAGGTGGACCTTGCCATGAGGAGGTAATGCTCTGATGCATATCGCCAATGGCTGTGGAGGACGTGATCGTGCTGCTCGCCCACTTGGTCCGGCTGCAACGTGTGCTCACGATTGTGAGCTGCTCTTGCACCGATGTGGCTACTGCATTCACAGACAGTCAGATGGGTCGCCCGAAACATCTGCGCTTTGTTATTTCTCCTGGCGACATTGAGACCCCGCCTGGCGGGCTTCCCGAGACACAGTGCCTTATGTACGCTGCATAAGGCAGAGATACGAGAAAGAACGTTCAATTCTCGGGCTGAGTAGTGGAATCAGTTGGTGTTTTGCCTCCAGCAGTAGTCTGTATGCCTTCAGCAATCGCGTGATACGCGCGACGCAGAGTTCAGACGCGCAGAGTCGCGACTCGGGATTTGAGATATGGCTGAGATATGCTATATTGACACGTGCGCAGCCAGCAATGCACGGCCGGCATTGTTGAAGCTTCCGTGTACGGCATGACCGAGGCGATGTCGTTGAGACATTGCCAATACACTCAGGTGATGGCCAATTCGCAACCTGGACAGCGCAGGCCACATTTACCCGGTAATTGACTTCATCAGATCTGAAGAGCACATGGGATGGGGTCCGATCGCAAGGACAAGCGCTGCTCGTCGCCGCACAATGCAAGCTTGTCACGGGCCACTCCTTGTGAAAGCAGGCACAACATTCGAGCTTGTGGCAAGCCCAATTTCAACATCTCCCAGTTCTGGAGGGCAAAGTTGCAGATGCGCTGGTCGAGAGATATCACACAGCATTTGGCGTTGTGCCAAGACCGTGCACATGTGTCGCTGACGAGCATGGAAGGGACGTGTGCGATCAGCACAGTTGTGTTTCAGAACGTGTCTTCCAAATTGGCGCTCCACAAGATGCTGGCATAGAACGAAGTCCAGAATCCGACGTTATGGAGTCTGAGAAATTGGCGAACCGAGAAAGTGGGTAACGGGTTTCTATCCTGAGCTGCGATGACGATCTCGGTGGACCTCGTCCTGCTTCGATGTCATGACTTGTGCCAATGCACAGAGGTGCTTTTTGTGAAGGCACGACAGGGCTACTGCTAGCTGCGTAGGGATCAATAGTCGCCATGCGCGTGGATGGATGCCGCATATGCAGAGGTTTGACGTTGTGGAGAAGGGAAAGCAGGTACACGAAGTGCTGGTACGACGTGGCCCGGAGCGCGTGCGTGGACGAGTGTGACCAGCGATTGCTGGACCGGCGAGCCAAGATTTGGTAGAGTGGTGATCGATGGAGAGGAGAGTCGTGGTCATCACAGGTCCGAAAGACCCCATCGACGTGTCCGGCGGGAGGCGTCGATAAGAACCGAGCGCCACTGGAGCGCCACGAAATGCGGATGGGCCAATGGATCGCAGGCAGAGTGGTAGGCGCATCCTTGCAGCCACGACTGACACTTGTTTCGGCAGTGGTCGTGTCTGCATGGCCTGCCCGTCCAGACACATGCACGCCGTGACGAGTGTAGGGCAACAACAACACAACGCAGAGGAGGGAAAGCGAAGACAAGCGCGAGCGAATAATGCAGATCCAACGATTAGTCGTGCCTTAGCTAGCTTTGCTGCGTGCTGCTAAAGCGGCTAATCCCTTTTCGCCGCGGTCTGGCTCGCAGCAGTACGCAGAGGCAGCGAGCAGTCACCACCAGCACATGGCCCGCGTGCGTTGCTTCTGCGTCTTCGTATTTCCGCCTTGCCCTTGCTTGCTTCTCATCACCACCACTACTCCTGCTCTACTCTCTCTGGCCTCTTGTGCAAATCACCTTTCCGTCACTCATTTCCTGCTCCCTTGCACCTCTGCGGCCCTCACATCGAACCATCGGCCGCCGCAATTTGACTCCGTCCATCCTCTGCGGCCAATCGAACGTCCCGCCGCCCACCAGCGCCATAGCGCCCACACTGGCTCTCACGCAGTCCGCGCGCTGCTCTTACTCTGCGCTAGCCATTGCGCTCGCTGCTTCAGATTCAGCCACAGGCACTGCCTGTAAGTACTGACGCAGTCTCGTGAGCTCGCGCATCTGTCCTTTCCTCGCGCGACCAACACCACCTGCTCCAGCTGCGAAGCTGCCACCCTTCTGCCACCGGGATGCGAAGAGAGGCGTCGCCGAGCAGATCTTCGTGCGACCGTCATGTCCATATGGCCCTTCAAACGAAGGCGAAGAGCCAAGTCCGACGCCAGCCAGGAGCCGAGAGCGCTGATTGAGAAAACCCAACAAACGTCTGCCAGCGCACCACACAGTCCGCCTCCTATAGACCGCGATGCACCTCCTTTACCGCAACAATCGTCAAGACGGAGGGACAGTCGACAGGATGATTTCCCGCCACGGCGAGGATCGAAGATTGGCGACATTGACGGCGAACATGTAGCGTCTGCGGGCCAAAGTGGGCTGGACGCTGCCAACAAGGAGAATGTGCCTCCACCGCAGTATCACAGCAAAGAGGACGTTACGGCACTGCCGATGCAGCAACGGCTGGAACGGAGCCCGCATCTGAGACCCGTGGATGTGGAGAAGCCTTCCATTCCCTACAACTTTCGGCCACACTCGACCTCGCAAACGAGCATTCAGCGACATGATGCATTGGCGAAACTCACCAAATCCAACACACTTCGCTCAAAACGGAGCACAACCGATTATAGCAGCCCTTCGCGTCGTTTCTCCGTTAAAGCGAAACGCGATCCTGTGCGCGAGGAGGAGATTCGGGCAATGGCGACACCTCTGCCTATACCCAAGCGACCGGGAGATGGTCCGCTTCGCCGCGATAGCAAGAAAGTGCGCAGTTTTCACGGAGGTTCGCACGTCTCACTCCCGCCTGAAGGGTCGATCCATTCTTCCATGTCTGGCTTAAGTGAGCAGCGTGGTTGGGAAGTGGGCAGCATTGCTGCCGTTTTCAACCCACGTCCAGCCGTACGCCTTTCCGGTTTGCCGCAGTACGTCCCCAATAGCTTGCCGTCCCACACTTCTGGTGTGTTATATCGCATCGATTCGATCAGCTCTCCAAAAGAGAAGTCATCCGCGAGTAACAAAGATATCGATGCGAAAGAGCGACGGAAACGACGAACGATCGGCAAAGACGCGGACGACTTGGGAGCAAGTGATCTTAGGGCGATCATGGAGCGGGAGGCGAAGCGCAAAGAGAAGAAACAATTAGAAAGGCAGGAGCGTTTGGAGCGCAAGCTTCGAAGTGCTGGTCGAGAGCGAGCAGACAGTGAGAGGAAGAGGCGAACCTCGGAGGAGCGAAAACGCGCTGAACAGACACGCGCACGTGTTGAGCAAGAACTCCAAACGCGTGGAGTACTCACTCCACCCAGCGAGGTGCATCCAGCCCTTCGCGATCGGGCTCCTGATCCAGAGCCAGTGCCAGTATCAGAACCAATTGGGCTTGGCATTGCAGAGGACGAGCAAGCGAGTGAAACAGTGCAGCACGCCGAACACGGGCTGATCTCTGAAACTGATGAAGATACGGACAACCCATTTGTTGACGCTGCTGAGTCCCTTTCAACGGCGCCCGTGACGCGCGATGGACCTCTCGAAGTCAATACGGCACTGACCGAGTCTCCTTTCGAGGAGCCGTACGTGGGCACTGCGCAAGCTGTGCGATTGTCCATGGCCAACACGCCCCCGTTGTCGCCTATCTACAGCAATCGGGCACCTTCGAGCGTTTCTCAGCTCAACGGACTTGCTCGATTGAATACGGTGTCTCAACAAAGCGTGAGTGATCTGGGACCACCGCCCCAAATACCGGTCGAGCGACGGAACTCCGATCAAATATCAGAAAAACGCACTGGCACGTGGGCTTCTTTCTTCCGCCGCACCAGCACCTTCCGCCGTAGCTCGCAGCAAGAGCCTCGCGCGGAAGGGGGCTCCTTCTCGAACACTTCTCGCGAGTCGACGCGCAACCAGCCCCTTCCCGCTCACCTCGTCGGCACAGACTATCAGCGGCCAGCCACTGCACGATCCAAGTCGGGCACGCCGGTACGAACGCAGAGCAAGTTCCGCGAGGAGCTGCCGGAGCTACCCATCTCGCCACCGGATTCGCGAACACAGTCGCCAGAAGTCACCACTGCCGCTGCTGCGGCCGCACGTCGCGCAGCACGCGCAACGCCTGTGGAAATCCCTGCCAGAACACGAGACGGTGAAGGTGACGTGTACATGTCCGGCCGCACCGACACGCCTGTGAGCGCAGCATCTCGAGGGCACATTGCCATGTCAGCTTCACTGGCATCGATCGGATCCGAGGGCTCATGGCTTGCAAGTAGAGGCAGTAAGCGGCAATCGAATCACTCGGCACTCAGCAGGTCTCTCAGCAAGAGGAACAACGAGTTCAGTGCTAGCTATGAGGAACTTGGCGGCGGGGACAAGGATGCTGAGTACTTCAGCCGAAACAAAGCCTCGCGACCAGCCAGCAGGGCTAACCTAATCGGCGCAAGTCCGGATGAGGAGAGCGAAGAAGACGGTATCGCTGTCGAGCCGACGCCGAAAGATCCGCCGCTCACCGTACATGGAAGTGTCCGCCGACAACCGCAACTCGTTGAACACGATCCGCGCCTCGTATCCAGGGAAGGTCTCGTTCAAGAGTTCGCGGCACAAGAGCCTACCGTCGAGGCCATAGAGACACCTGAGCAGGTTACTCCGGAGGATGAGGATGTGTCGCAATTCCACACGCCGGATCATACCGACGACGAGGACCAGGAGCACGAATCTCCTGAAGTGAAGCGAGCAGTCGAGCTTGGACGTGCTCGTTCAGTCGATATGAAGCTTCATTCTGCTCGCCATTCGCGACAGTTCTCGGCTGGAAGCGCCCGCCTCCTCGATATGCCGCCTCGAGGCGGCTCAGCTGACATTTTCCGAGACGGCACACCATCTCCTCTACCGCGTCCAAATCCGCTTTCACGCTCCAACACACTAATTTGAGGCGAACAACGAATAGTCGCCCTCCTATATGTATAAGAAAACACCATCGACTCGATGAAGATTGGAAAGCCGTCCATCTGCAAAGCACGATGGCACGGATCATGATCTCACGATCTACGACATTCATTACAATGGCTCTACGCCTACTCTTTTTAATCAGCCCACAAAAAGGACCAGGCGCGCTACTTGGTGCGCGCAGGTCAAATATCTAATACTCTGGCAAGCCGCCTCCCAAGCCAGTTCTTGGGAAAATCTCGTGTTTTTATGCTTCTTGGTTTTTGTTTCACGAACGCTCGATACCCCCTTCGTTTGGCGTGGTGTGCGATGCGTAGACGAACTTGATACCCTTTTTCTCACTTAGTATGTCATCAACTTTGGGGTAGAGGAAGATGGGAAAATATCAGCTGGACCAACCCTCAGAGAGTTGGGATCTGAAGGGAAGAGGTCTTTGCGTGTGCACAATTGTATGTTTCACCGATAGGATCGGATCGAATCGCTGGGAGAGCTGATTCGAGGGGAAGCTTGCTACACATATCAAGGAATTCCTTTAAGAGGATGTACAGAGAGGAGCAGAGCTGTGGAGTAGACAGGTAGCGAGGGAGGATTTATGGAGAGGAAGAGATTTGAAGATTGATTGAGAGACTGCTGTGCCATTTCTCGATTCTGTTTGTGGCTGGTTTCCTCCAATGCTGTCTGTTGCTGTACCGATTGCTCCTATACTTGCTGATTGAACACAGTCATCTAAGCAATACCAGTAGCCTGCTGCTCCGCAACACGGAAATTTGGCTCCTGCAGATCGGCCTGGTTGCTTGTAGCAGCGTACACCTGAACAGCGGCAGTGTAGTTGTAGGTAGCACCGCCGTTAGGGTTCCACTGATCCGGAACATTAACCACATACTCCAACTGCAAAACTCCACTCTCCTTTCCAATGTACGCTCCGACATATTGGTTCTCGCCTGCAGTGGCGTTGACGACGTAGTCCTTGTTCTCGTCCAAACCGCCTTGGATGTGGACGGGAGTTGTGAAGCCGGGGTGTTCGGGGGTTGAGACGTTTCCGGGGTTGATCTCGACGGAGACGTCGAGGTACCAGTAGCAGCCGGATGTGCAGCCGAAGATGAAGTTTGTGATGTTGAAGGTTCCCGGGAGGGGTTGGCTGAGGGGGGTTGGGGTGGGCGCGTTGCAGTCGAGGTTGGGTTTGTCGAGGCAGCGGAGGGAGAAGGCTGGGTCGAGGGCGTCGGTTGGTGGGACGGCGGCGCTGGAGGCGAGGGCCGTGAGGGAGGCGGCGAGGAGGGAGGTTGAGAAGAGCATTTTGATTGGCTTTGGTTGTGGTGGTTGGTTTGTCTTGGAAGATGTGTAGACTGTGTAGCTTGCTGATCCTGAGAGATGGATAGATGTCTGGATTTCTGGCTTGGAAGGAATTGAATTGTAACCAGGGTGCGAATCTTGTTATATGTGGTTCTGTTGTTTCCCATGTCTCTGCTTCTTCTCAAAATACCTGCCGCGATCTTCTGTTTTGCGACATGCTAGTTTCACCGTTCTTCGTGATCTGAAGTCGCTATTTCCTTGATTAGACACGAGTTTTTGGCAGGGATCATGGCTTCATAGTGAAGCTTAGCCTCGTGTAGAGCTTAATTTGGCAACCTAGTCCACTTGTTCCCGGTCACTTGCTAGGGTTTATGCACAACATCTGTTTGCACTGCCCAGACTTTGCTGTAAATATGATCTCATGCTTCATGACATCAGCAGGCCTAGGTGTGCAACACGATGTTGTTTGTGATCTGATCTGTTCGTTGAATATAAAAAGGGTGGCGATTCTGTTCTCTGAGAAGGAAAGCGAGCAACACGATCGTGCTTATTCCTGATTCAGGCATGTTTCGATCGTCCCGGTAGAGCCGAATTCAGCGATATTTGACCTCAGGCCAGCGTGGATCTAGCGAAGGCGATGTGGGCTACTTCTGCTTCTGGTTCGGATGGTTCTCCGTGGAAATGGACTCCCTCATCAGTCAGCGAAGCTCATACATGGGGCCAGAGGCTTTCGATGTGACGGCAGAATCAAGAACACCTCGAGCTTCCGGCCATACATACGCACGCCATCTCTGCTCCGCTTGCTTCTGCTCCATCACGCATATTACCCCGCCTGGAGCCTTGCACGTTCACTTGAAGGCTGAGAACATCTTGCGCGATTCTTGGGGTTCGCACTCAGTTACGAGAATGTCTCGGCTTGGTGGTCAGTCGGTCTGCAACAATACGGGATTTCGCATCCATTCTCCGGTCCAACGCGCCAGGCTCAACCCGTCTCAAAGTCGCTCGTATTGGCGCTGCGACGTGCACATTCATGGAGAAACGTGCGAGATGGCGGCATTCTCGCTGACATTGGACCTGATCTCTTTCTTGGCTTTCAAGTTTGTAGACCTCTTACTTACCAAGCACTTCATTAGCCTCTTGCTCGATCTCCACCTGTTGACAGGCCTGGAAAACAACTGGTACTCCGAAGGGGGCCTCCCAATCATTGCTATCGTAGTGTCTGGTAAGAGATTCGTGCACCCGCCCAAGGAGATCTCGGTCGTCCGAATGAACTGCCACCCCAATGAAGAGCTTGGTGCACTCTAGTCGATGTGTATTGACTTTAGAGACCAGGTATCGAAGATGTGGCATCAGAGCCTTCTGTGGTCTTTCTGCTGGCTCTGTGGAGTTGGAAATCGCGGAGCAAAGCTCGAATTTGGCGGCAGGATCGCTCCGTCCCACGTTGCTGCCGCACAACTTTGCCTTGACAACACATGATGCCTCAAATGCTAATCACGGCTTGGAGGTACATCAGACTGGAGTTACCGACTTTCGTTCCACCTATGGCGCATGCATCCAGGCTTTCTCCCTTCCCTTCAGATGCCGCAGGTCCCGCCAGAATACTTGATTATCGACCGCTGCTCTCCTTTCACCTCCCTCGCACCGGCCGCACGACTATCAATAATTGTAGTTTGCACTGTCTTCCGGGCGACGCGGTGTCTTGTTTTCGCAACTGTACTTGGACCACGGTCGTCAGTGCTTCACAATGCACTCGTCGTATCACGCATCAAGCCGTCAATTAATGGGAGACACACCACCTGTATAAGTCTACTGCACTGGTACCCGTCACTGTCTTAGGCGCCTGCCTCCCACTCAGCTTACGGGCCCGAAAGCTGCGATAGGACCTTAACGAGGCCGTACCTCTCTACCATCCTACTATGCACCATGGCGCGGCGCTGCCGGGGAGTCTTCCACTAAAAGTCGTGCTCCTACACAAACAGATGGCCGAGACCCTTATGCGGCACGTTATCCAGTTGACTTTTGAGTAGCGGTCCCTTGGCGCCAGCAAACAGAAGGTCCTTAGGTACGCGAGAGAATGGATCATAGAAGCTCGTGGCCACCCATTCGTCGTTCGGTCCTTCGGTAACTTCAGCGAGCACCTAGAGACGAATAGGTCCTTGATAGATCCAGCCAACCGGCATAGCACATTCGTATTCGACTCTCCAGTCACCGCGGTCTTGTGTCAAATCAATGGCGCTACGAAGTACACTTGCCTAAGCGTTGGTTTTCTTGCGATCTCCAGTATTGTTGGCGCCACCGTTGATGCCATCACCAGTCGTGCGAATCATTCGCTTCCGGCTCACATGGATCCTGACGATGGCCGATGGCACTGCTACTTTTTGTTCACAGAGATGGGGACGGTCAAAGCAGTTGTCTCTTTTGGTCACTTGAGCATTGAACCTCTGCCATCTTTCACCTTATCGCCATAACCTTGCTCTCGAGAATTGAGAATCGACACAGCAGCAGGACGCGGAACAAAGGTAAGGCCATCCCACGCATGCCACGTGCTTCTGAACTCAGTTCTGCCGAAAGCTGTTGCGCCGACATACCTGTTCGGTTCACTGAAGTCTTGTACGATCTGGGTGCCCACCTTTCTTCGCAGCTATCCTAGTGCCCACCACCACCGGATGCTCTGCGCTCACCTGCGTTCTCGCTATCTCGCTCGAACACTCTCTCGATCTGCCCTGGGCGATAGTGTTCCAGGATTGCCACCGTTTCCGGATTCTCTACGTCCTTGTGCCATAGCCAGCGGAGATTGCTTGGATTGATGCTCAGCTCTGCATCTCGAATACCAGGTCTGCTAGACGAGGTCAAATATCTGTGGCCATCGCTACCAAGCAATACGCTCTGTTCGTCACTCATCCGAGCGGTCTAGGTCGTCTGCACTCCCGTTGCCTCTAGCGTTTGCGATCAAGGCAGAGTCTTAACCGTAGCCAGCATTACTCACCTGTGCAAAGTAAGATCTTTCCGATCAACGTTCTTCCTGGGATCTATCGCTTCTTCCTACGCGGTGCCTCAGAACCGGTCAGCAAGACGGAAGAGGCATACAGACGCAATTATGACTCCATTTCAATCGCATTCTGTCCAACTATACTCTCGTCTTACCCGGTAGCATTGCTACTTGTTGTTGGACAGAGATGAGCAATGTTGCAGCAGCTCTCTCAACCTGTAGCTCACAGTCGCAACCCGTCCCGTATCCCTTCTAGGTGCCTTCCATTTGCTGCCGAGGGCAGAGAAATAATCGAGGTAAGTATCGTGCTCTATTGATCACTGACTCGAGCGATTTACCTCGTCTTCCTACTGAGTGGCCGTACTCATCGCCCTAAGACAGAGAGTCGAGCGTAGTCAATTTTGTTCACACAAATCAAGAGCAAAAGTGATTCACCTGCCATCACTCTGTCCGGACAGAGATTCAACTTTGCACGCTTCCATACATGTGATGGCACGGTGACAAAACAATATGCAGAAATGCAGTACATTCATGCGCTAGATACATTTACTTCCCCCACCGGCACTAAAAAGCCCACAAATATCCCCAAAAGCCTTCTTCCTCCTTCCTCCTCATGTCAGCGGCGTACACCGCCCGCTGGTGACCCCTGTTCACCCAAGCCATCAGCGGCACCTCTACCTTCTTGGGCATGGCACTCCTCAGAGGCAACCGATTCCCCCCTCCCTCCCTTTCCCAAAATTCATCCCGAAAGAGATCCACCACCCATGGGATCTCAATCATCCATGCTTTCCTCACCGAACCCAGCTCCACTCGAGCGTGCAAATTCCCATATTTTCGCACTATTTCTACATCTGGCCACTCGATCATGGCCAGAGCCATTGGGACTTGGCGAGACGGAAAATCCACATCGGGACGGTAATAGCATTTACCTCCCAGTGCTTCCATCATTCGTGGCGTGGCATCGAAGTCGATTTGGCACGGCAAGCCGTCCCAGAGTCTGTATTCGACCTCGAAACCCACTTCGGAAACAGTCGAGTTACCGAGATGATCCCCACAACAACTTCCGAGCGCGATTCTCCGGTCCCTGGTCGTTGACGCTGTCACGCAGGCGTGCGCGAGCTCGTGCAGGATTGTCGAGGCGAGTTCGAAATTCAACCAGGTGAGCCAGAGAGTGTCGTTCGCTAGCTCGGCGTCTTCCAGTTGAACAAAAATTTCGTCCTGGAGGAAATGTCGCTTCCTACGCCTGGAAGGCCGGCGAGCGGACGAGAGTGATTTCCATCGGCGTGATTGGACTTCGCGTCGATGTGGACGGCGAAGGTGCAGTTCGATAACAGTGTCTGCAACCTTGCCCGGACTTGGAGAGCTTGCAGTGAGCTGAGCTTCTGCAGTGGCTCGGAAAAGAGGGTGAAGCCGGTGCTCTCCCCTTCTTTTGGTATCCATGATCTTGTCGAAAAGTCTTCTCCGGCAAGCAGCGAATACCAGATTGGCAAGCTGTGCTCTATGGCGCGCCATGCTAGTCTTTTTGCCTGTAGAGGCAGCTTGTACGTTGTCGGCATCATCCCATGTTCTTCGTGGTATTCGCCAACAAGTTCTTGATCTTCGAGCGCACTTGGGCGTGCGCTTAGGCTCGGGGCCGGCAGACTGGAGTGGTCTTCTACCTCCTGGGCCTGGTACGTCTTGTCTTGAGTCGAGTGTGAAGGCTCCGAGGCCAACATGGTCGTCGTGTTCTTGCTTGAATTCATCGCGATGGCGCAAATGAATGTCTTGATCTTGAGAGGTTCGTTCTTGCAATGTTTGTGAGTAAGGTCAGCGGGAGCTGTGGAGAACTGTTCGTCGCAAAAGATTGCAAGGTGAACAAGATGAGGAGGGAGAATGAGAGGAGCGAGGTAATATTTATTCTAGCACAAAATGAGGCCACTTGAGATGTGTCCACTTTGAAAAGTTTGCTCGACCTACCAAAATATGCTGATCAAGGACGATGCTGCTGAGTTTACATCAGCGAGTACCAAAGTCTGGGAAACTTTGTCTATTTTAGAAGTCGTGCTCGACTTACCCCCGGGTCTGCCTTTGATGACTAGTACCACGAGTTGTCAAGAGGGCCCCATACCATAGGCTCGTGAAACATCCATCTCGACAAGTCTTTCACTTTCCGAATGGCTGAGGCCGCAATCCCAGTTTTTGGGGGACCAACAATGGGGTCCAAGGAAATGTACCCAAAATCGGTGACATTGTACACGCCAGCTGCTCTCAGCTCCTCGATGCGAGACTCTACAGCCTTCATGCTTTCGGGATTGCGTAGTCGGCCTAGGATTATGCCAGAGGTTCGCGGCGGGTGCAAAGCGGAATTGTCACTCTTCAGCGCACTATCCCAGAAGCTTTGCAGTAGAAGTTGATGGATCCAGGACAGTGAAACATGCCATTCAGTTAGAGCGTCGGCAAGTGGAGGGCCTCGATGCTTGCAATAAACGTACAGATCCTCAGTGAGGGGGTCAGGATAGTCCCCAAGAGTGATCATGAAATCCAAAGAACTTGGCTTGTCGCCATCGAAATAGAAAGCCTCGCGTTTCCACGGCGCTATCCTATTTACGACACCTCCAAAGAGAAAGTTCTCCAGATCAAGTCCATGTTCCGAGAATTGCGATAGCCCTATGAACATGGTGTCGTACACGTGACGGGATTCGACAGCGAAGGTGCAAGACATGGTACTTAACACCGCAGCATGGGCAACTTCATGGACCATTGTCTTCGCCAGTTGCAAAGTATACCAGAAGAACGCCGCATGATCATTAGACTTTGCTGCACGATATAAGGCTTTGATCCTGTCGGAGTTCAGGAAGATGGTGCTACCACGGCCGCTTAAGTGCGGAAACTCGACATTGTAGTCTGGGCAGGTCTGTCCAAGTTGTGCCGGTTCGACGTCCCAATTTGGTGGGAAGCCAGGGTAGATGGTTACGCCAGTCGCGAGCTCAGCGAGCATCTTGCGTGTCTGTTCTTGCTCGTCAGTAGTCAGCGAGGCTTTTGGCTCAGGACAAAAATGCTCAACTCCACCGGTACAATTGGGAAGCGAGTCTCCTACAACCAGAATGGCATGGAAGAATGGCAGGGCTTTTTCCAATAGCAAGGATGCCAGTCGACAAACCATAAGGGGACCGTGGTGCAATTCCCCGAGGTCTTCGAAAAGTGGATGAACTGGGTGCGTGAGATCCGGAGTTCGCGGTTGGCTTGTGTCAAACTTCTCGGTGCGACCGAACATTCTAGCAGTGTCTACATCGAGTGGGACAATTTTCGTTATCATCGCATCCGTGGCGTGGAGTCCTTTTGTTGATATGCACATTTGATCTGGACGGAATCGCTGTCCTGCAGCGTAGATGTTTTTGGAAGTTGATCAAATTCGTGTCGAATGCTGTCTCGGTCCTGCCGAAGTCAAGGGGATTTGATGCTGCACAACCTAGTGAGTTTCCATAGATGGATTATATATATACTGGGTGGTCTACAATGGCATGGCGCTCTTTGAGAGACTGGTCAAGGCGGAATTGCTTTGATCCATACGAAGACAAAGGCGCCGGCAGACCAAGACTCCATTAATCAACACGATGACAAAGGGATCGAAGGGCATTGTCACGCTGAAGCCAGCCGGCCATCGAGGACCAGCGTGTAGGTTGCTGCGCAAAGGCAGAGGCCTCATACCAAAGAGACTTGGGCCATATGCAGGAGAGTCGGCATCAAGCCATCTCGGTCGGTCGGTGTCAGCGCCTGCAAAGTCTCCTTTCGGGTCGAATAATCGGGCCATGAGTAGACTTTAGATTTCACTTGTCAGTTGTCACGGATCATGACACGCGTCGCATAAGCTGAAGATCCTCAGCCTTGTCGGCACTTGGACGGCTTTGCCGCAAGCCATTCAGCCCAGCACGTTTTTCAATGCCCCCTAACTCACACCGATATCTTCCTGGCATTCGGGTCTGTGTACCTGTTTCAGCCTCTGCACTCAAGTGATCGACAATGATAGTCAGGAACACATTGTAAGTGATTGCAGGCACCGACAATCTCCGGCATTGAGCCTACGTGGCTGCCTCGAGGTGAAGTCAGGAACGGGCAGGGATGAGCTTTTGTTTGGGCCGATCTATCACAAAATGCTCTTCTAGGTGGTGCGAGTGATCGATAGAACATTCATGCCCGACGCACGTGTCGCTGCTGCGAGATGCATTCGCACTGTGATCAATGCGAATGCTCTCCTGTGCGACGCATTTCTTCGTCATGTCCAACAAGCCGACGTGAGGTGATAATGGACTTCCGGAGCGATGGAGCCGCGGTCACTGGCCTTGCAGCGGGCCGTGGAGCGAACAGCCCTGTATTCCGAGACAAGTGTGGAGGAGGCTGATATCACAGATTAGGAGCTGCCAGTCACATCGCAGCGTCGAGGTCACGTCGTCGTGAGGATTTGTGTATACGACGGCACTTGCTGCGCCCAACATTTAGCGTTTCTCCATGGCGTCGATCAAACTTGATGGCTCTGCAGAGAGGCGAGCCGCTTGGCGGGCTGGGATGGAGAATTATGTATCGATCAGAGCGCCAGCATGATGCATGCGCCATTGCTCGAACACGTTCTCGATCGATTGGCATCGGAGCGTTTGCTGCATGATGAGCAACACGTCCACAGGGATCGGAGCACGTCGCACAGTTCGCGTGTTTTCGGTTCTGCGAATCGCATACAGGAGGGAGTCGGTTCTGATGATGTTGTTGTCGGCGCCCTTCGGTGGTGACAGCGGCACTGATAAGACAGTGCATGAGGAGCTGTCTGTGTTGAAGCACTTGGCGCAGATAGACGGTATACACCAGGCAGGCAGGCGGAGGAGGGTGGCCGCTCGGCGCGAGATTGCTAGCAGGGCCGCGGCGNNNGCATGGTGGCGGTGCTGGTTCTTGTTGCGATGCCAATCCAATGCCGTGGTCCTGGCACGAAAAGAGCGTGGCACAGACAGACAGACAGACAGGCGTCGATCCGGTAGGTGTCAGTGTCAGGGGAGTTGCTCGGCCGGCAGCCGAGAGCTAGCGGCAGCCAATGTCGTCGCTCATTCTCCACATGCACTCTTCCTCCATTGAACGATTCGGGCTTCCAGCATCACCAACGTGGCCGCGCGACACACGCTCGCTTGCTTGCCCACGACCGCGCTGCCAATTTAGCTCGCACCGCGTGCAACAGCCTCTCGCTCTCGCTCTGTCGTGTCCGTGAGCACTAGGCCCGCCGCGCACACTGGCCTTGCTGGATGCCGCCCTCGAAACACTGCACCACATCCCGGCGTTCCGCGTCCCCGTGGCCGTCTTCAATGGTCAGCCTTGAATGGCGTCTCCTGTTGCGAAGGCGGAGGATCACATCTCGAACCACGTCCCTCCGCGCCACATCCGTTCCAAGCAGCACGAGCTTGCCCATGACGAGCACTTTGCTGCAGATAAGCCCTCTTCCCCCGTCCCATACCTTTCCACAACCTCGACCAAGACGCCGACGACGACTGCCCAACGATCCCGCAAACCTGCCTCTACCGCGCATCACCATGCCGTCCGCCCTCAACTCAATGAGCGAGACTCGATTTTTGCGACTTCATATTCGGGCAGCCCCATAACTGCGAGGTCATCTCCATCCCCACCGCAGGTACAGAGCTCACCGCTGAGCACCGCGGACGGCATCTACTACAACGAAGGAGGGAGGAGCGGAGGGAGCAGCAACATGGCCACGGCAACAACGACCCTGCCCGCGACTTCTTTTCTGAGCAATGGCACGGATTCGCTCGATTTCGCCCGAGGACACCAGAAACAGGACACGAGCTCGACACGCCTCTATCATTCACGTGCTGCGGATAGTCGTCGCCGTCCGACTAGGAGTACACTTGCTTCGCAGTACCAACGACGTTCGCTCTACGACATTCACGATTTGAGCTCCGTATCTACTGCGCAGCCGCTGCCCACCACCATGCATCCGCAGTCACGCCAGGATTCTCCCTTCCGCGCAGATACATTACCAGCTACACCCGATTCGATGCCGAGCAGTCCCGATACCGGTAACACTCAAAGTGCCGAGAGACAGCAGTATCGGTCATGGCGACAGGGAGAAGCAAAGATGCAAGGCCTGACTATTGCTCAATCGCAACGCAAGGCGAGCACCACGGTCCGAGATGACGTGGACAAGGTCATCGACGCCCAATTGCCCCAACCTGAGCCTGTGGCCGCAGTGCGCTCACGCAAAGCCAGTCACTACTTGGGATTATTCCGAGAGAATGAGCAGGAAGAGAAGCGGGAGACGGAGCGCAAGAAGGCGGGTAGAGCCAACGATGCTTCCAAATCACAGATCTCGCGCGATCTGGAGGAGCAAGCAGATGGGTCAAGCAGAGAACAAACAGTCACAGAAACGATAGAAGAGGAAGACGGCGACTATGTCACGGTATCGAAGAAGGAAATGGCTCAGAGATTGCCCTTGGGATTGCTGGAAGAGATTCGCAATCACCACCACCTTGTGCCCGGCCAATCGCAGAAGATACCCTTTCCAAAGGAGTCCCAGTCGCACGACCATGATCGACGCCTACACGAGCAATTGAGGAAGGCGGTCAACAAGACCGAAGAGGACGACGAGTCTGACCGCGAACACATCTCCTCCGCCACTTACTATCCTCATCAAGGCGTACAGCTCGGCGACTCGCCAGGTGACGAAGACGGCCTGGACCGAACGCCCAAGATAAAAGCAGTAGATGTCAAAGACAGCCGCAGTGAACCGAGTGCCAATGATGTGCAACTGTCATTGCAAGGTGAGGGTGCACCAGAGTTTCTTCAGGGAATGTCCCGCGTCGCCTCCTCAGCCAACTTCAAAGACTTGCCCAAGCCTGTGCCCGCGCCTGAGTTGCTCATCCACGACTCAGATTACGAGTCAGAATCAGGCTATTCAACTGTATCTGGAGATGACGAGGACGATGTGGAGACCACGCCGACGAACACACCCCATGTCAAAGCTTACGGACGTCGCCGTACGTCGCGCGGCAGGCATGCCGAACAACCGCAAGCACCAGTCGGAGCGGTTGAGCTCAAACCCTACAAACATCAAGTTGGCGGACATACGTCAATTTACAGATTCTCGCGGAGAGCGGTGTGTAAACAACTGAACAGCAAAGAGAACAAGTTCTACGAGACTGTCGAGAAGTGTCACCGGGAACTGCTGGGCTTCATGCCCCGGTATATTGGTGTTCTCAATGTGACATATCGCAAGGAAGCGAAGAAGCGGAAGCAGACTGTGACAGATGAAAATGGCAGCACTCAAGCGTCGAGTAGCGATAGCAAGGTACAAGATGGGAATGATGTGGCTGCGGAGAAGTCGAGGACTCCAGAGCATACTCGCATGATCAGCCATTCGATGCAGAACAAGTCATCGTCGGGCATTCCTCAAGTACTACTTGCAAACAACAGACATCTCATTCCAGAGAGCCTTTTCAGGTCGTCTGAACGCTCGGTGCCTGACCTGCATAGGACGCGGTCAACGCCACCGACTCCTTCTGACACGAACGGGATGCCTCAACGTCCTGCACTCAAGCCTGCCCAGTCATGGGGCTTTACTTCTGTGAACGAGCACCTCCGTGACAAGGTGCTGCGGGAAGTCTTCACTCCGCCGGTTATCCACAAGTCACACAGACGTGATCGTGGGCACGGACGTTCGCTGCGAAAGGTTCCGACTTACATTCAGAACGAGCTGTCAGAACGCAACAAGTCTGTCGACGTATCATCGTTTCAAAATTCAGAGAGGCAAGACCTTCGCAAGGAGTGCTTGAAGAGTCCTATCTTGAGGCGAGCACAGCTCAGTGCCGAGAACAGATCAGCATCTGATTTGACACAAGTACTGCTGAAGAAAAACGATGCTCTTAGTAAGAGCGCCGAAAATTCAGATCTCAGTGCTGCGCCTGCTGGTTCGAGCGACCGTAAGACACGTCGCCGTCGGCATTCTGGGGGAGGGCTGATGCGTAAGCCAACCGATATCGAAGGAACTCGAGGGGACCTCGAGTTTCACGAAGATGCCGAAGAGGACGTTTTTGCTATGGACGATGTCAAGAAAGATCTGCCAACGCATCCTGAGTCACCAGTCGCTAGAGAAGCAGGCACTGCCGACGTAGACCGTGCTAACGATAATGCCAGACGTGACGTGGAGCAGCCGGTGCCTCAGTTGGGCCCGGCAATTGACTTCGGTGTGCCAGAGCCACGCAACCCAGTGAGCTCGCTTGTGGAGCAGGACGAGCGCGTGGAGCATTTCATCTTGCTGGAAGATCTCACCGCCGGTATGCAGAAACCTTGCGTGTTGGACTTGAAAATGGGCACACGACAATATGGCGTTGAGGCTACTGAGAAGAAGCAGAGATCCCAGCGCGCAAAGTGCAAGTCTACTACTTCTCGTGAGCTTGGCGTCCGTGTCTGCGGCATGCAAGTTTACAACGTCAAACAGCAAGGCTACGACTTTCAAGACAAGTATTATGGACGAGATCTGAAAGCTGGCGAGGAGTTTCGCGAAGCCTTGAAGCGTTTCTTCTTTGATGGAATTGGCCATGCACAAGCACTCAAGCATATCCCGACAGTGCTTGATAAGATCGATGCACTCGAAGACATCATCCGTCAACTGCCCGGATACCGCCTATACGCCAGCAGCTTGCTCATGATATACGATCGCGGAGATGCCGACACCAATGGCAAACTTCGCGAGAATGAAGGAAGCGATGCTCCAGTGCCTGGCATCAAACTTAAGATTGTTGACTTTGCCAATTGCGTAACTGCCGAGAGCCTACCTTACATTCAACACAAGCCCTGCCCTCCAAGAAACCCCGACCAAATCGATCGCGGATACTTACGCGGATTGAGGACATTGAGATTGTACTTTCAACGCATTTACACGGACCTGCACAACCAGAAGTACGTGGAACGAGGAGAAGGCGAAGGTATGGCTATGGATCAGCGCGGCATTGGGCATGGAATTGCTCAGCAAAAGGGCTGGACGGAGAGAGTCATGGAAGATGATCCGGGAGAGGTCAGTGTGTGAAAGAACACATGCTGTGATTTTGGAATCGCGTTGGAATATAGAGGGGTGGGCAAAAAGTTGCGCAAGCTACGATTGGGGCGGTAACGAGTGATGGCCTTCATTTGCTCTTCATCGCGATGGCGCTTCATCAAGACTGGAATGGGATCCCGGGTTTTTGTAAATGTTTTAGCATGGCGTTGGGGGTGTTTCTTTTCTTTCTTCTTCCGAGACTGTAAGGGAATATTGGGCATTTGGGTGGAATGGGCAGGTCGGCTGGGATGGGATGGTATGGGTCTGCTTCGTTGCGCATATACCACTTCGCAGGGCTTGTGTGCTTAGGTAGGAGAATATGTATTATGTGATTGTGCACACTGCTGAGCCTGCTACTTCAGGCGCGGTACGTTTTTGAAAGTACTGAAATGCTCTTATCTCAGCAAATGGGTTGCCTGCTATCTGACTCTGCAGTCTGCACCTCGCTTTGCGGATGCTGGGATACCTTATTGGCAAGCACGCCACAACCTGGTCGCGTAAGTTCGTATCAGCCACACTGAGCATGGGCCTTTGTCACCACATCTGCACATTCATGTGGGCTTTTCGCCGCCTTCACTTGCCCAAATCCGCTATTTCACTAGTGGCGGAGCTGACCCGGTAAGCCTGGAAACGCGTCTTGTTTGTTACCTTCTCTGCTTGCCTGACCCCGCCCGCAGTCTGCAATGGACGCCGACGCAGTTGACCCAGTTGTAACTAGGAGCGCATTGCCCTCCCGCAAACCACGGGCTAGATACACTGCCAGGAGAGGCGATCATGCACAATTCGTTGCACGTCTCGCCAAGCGTGATACTTCCAACGATTCAGAAGACAATGATAAGTCTCCACGTCCGCGGAAGAGACAGACTGCCAGGAGAGGCGATCACGCAGGGTTCCTCGCACGTCTCGCGGGCAGGAATTCGAAAAGTGACGGAAATTCAAGCTTAGCCAGCCCAGAAGGAGAGGAAATCTCACATTCACGTAGACAGCAGACTGCTCGGAGAGGCGATCATGCAGGGTTCCTAGCACGCATGGCACGTAGGAATGGGCAGCGCGAAGAAGCTTCCCAGTCTGCAAGCAAGGTGAGCGAGGCGGAACGTTCGACCGGAGAGGAAGAAAAAGCACATATAGACGAAGAAATCTGGACCGAAGAAGACGATTCGTATCAAGAAGAAGAACCAAGCTCATCTAGCTCACCAAGTTCATCGAGCGAAGAAGAAGATGATGGCCCTCCGCAACCACGAGCAAAGCAGACTGCTAGAAGAGGGGACCATCTAGGATTCCTGGCGCGAATGGCCGGCAGAAGCTCAATCAGGAATGCACACTCCAGCACTCCAGAGGCGGAAGAAGAAAGTCGTCCAGGCCCACGGAAGCAGCAAACTGCTCGGCGTGGCGATCACGCAGGCTTTCTTGCGCGCATGGCTCTTCGAAACGGACAGGTTACCAAATCAAGCGGTCCCTCAAATGAAGCACCAGGTCGTCCGAGTCGTCTGGGAAAGCAGACAGCACGTCGGAGCGGGTTGGCAGCCAGTGATTCGAAGCGCTCCGTTCAGAATCGTGTCAATGACCCCATCGAAGATATAGAATGGGACATTACAGGTGACTGGGAAATTGAATGCGACACGCTCGCCAACTGGAGTGGCTACGGCCCGCAAAAACTCAGCCTGGCGATATATCATGATAAAGCGCGACCGGGCGGTCACATGGCCTTCTTTGACTTCCACATCAGCGAGGGTATCATGCGTATCACTTGTCCGACACCGAGGACCACGGACAAGAAATTACGAGCGACCTACGTCTATCGAGGAAGAGAGACAGGCGAAGGGGAGATTCTGATCGGGTCAGACAGTCGTGTCTATAAAATTGTGTTCAAGGATAGGGGGACGAGGCTGAAAGGGAAATACGCTGGTGCAGGCTCTGAGCGGGTTACTTTCACAGGATCGAAAGTGAAAAGAGGATTGCAGCGTCGAACCTCGAGCACAAATCGGTGGGAATCTTTCTCAGAAGAGGAGTGGGCAAGGGCTTCAGTGGGTCGATGGGGTGGATGGGTAGGATGACCTCTTATCTTCGGCTGCAAGCTTAAGGTAAGTGTAATACATCTGGGACTGCATTTCTTGGGGATGGCATGTCACGCAGCTAGAAGCGCGTGGATCGTCCACGAGTTACTCAGGTTGGGCAATTTGGAATGAGACTGAGGAAACCGACGATGTTGGAGCTCATGCCTCTGACGAAACCATTGCTTGAGCCGATTCATGCTACATTACGGCCTCCTACCCTTTGTACAGGGACACATTGGCGACCTCGTCAGCTGGGGTTTACCCTGGAGAAAATTGAGCGCAGCCCCAAGGAAGTCAACGCATGAAGAGCTGCTCACTCTCTATGCTTGCGAACTCTCCATGATTATTCACCTCGATTCACCAAGCTCGCTTAGTCACCAGTGGCGGACTCGATCACTCTACTTAAGCAGCTGTCTGGTCCGCCGCACACTCCGATCTCTCCGCCTCCTCAACGCGGAGTGATTTTGACAAAAACGGAAGTTGACGCAATGGGGCTGTATCTCAGTGCACCATCACCACCCAGTCCCAAGTCGCGAACTACGCAGACGGCCGGACGAGGCGACCTTCTGGGAGTCCTTGCACAAGCGGCTTCTCATGAGTACGAGAAGAACGGCAAACAATCAATTGTCTCGACTTCATCAAGCAAACAACAAGAACGTACATATCAGCGAGGAACGCGAACTGCTAGAAGAGGCGGCCATCTAGGATTTTCAACTCGCGTGGCTCGCAAGATGGAGCAGGAGCAAGATCACGACTACTCGGTCTTCTTATACGGAGATTATGACGAGGAAGACGATGAAAACGACACAACCTACGAGTTTCATGAAGCAGACGATGTCGAAGAAGAAGAAGAAGCCGACGACGACGAAGAACTGCATGATGAGGCGGACTACCTTCTTCGCTCGGGCGCAACGCAACACAACACCCGCATCACCGGCGACTGGCACATCGAATTCGAGTCACCCAACAATTCCTGGCTCACACCTCTGAATGGCCTGACCCTGAAAGTATCCTGCGACACAGACCGACCGGGCGAATACATGGCTACTTTCGACTTCAAGATCATCGAAGGCGTTATGCGCATTTCTTCTCTCATGCCAGTGGTTACGAGCCAGGATGCGACTCAGAAGGAATTGCGAGGAATCTACAAGTTCCGAGCTATCGAAAAGAGCAAGACTGGGAAGAAGGTTCCAGTGGAGTCGAATCTGGAATGTGAGGATTTTCCCATCACACTCAGGTACTGAATGGATGTGTCTAGGGTCGAAGGAGCGATTGCAGGCATTGGTTTGCAGTGCGTCACATTCACGGGTATTAGAGTCAGAGAGGCATGGCAGCAGCAGGAAGCTTCAAGTTCAAGCACGGAGCAGTGGGAGTCACTGTTCTCGAAGGGAGACTATGAGCCGGTGGAGTTCACTGACTGGGAATGAGCTCCCCGGAGATTGGAGGTTGGAAAGTGTTCTGAATGTGTACGTCTTGCGAATGTCGGAGAATTGCCTGCCATGCAGTAAACGGGCGACTTGTTGAGTCGGTCTCATGGTCAGCGAGCTCGAAATACATGCTTTGTCGAAGTAAACTAGCGTTTTCTACCAATTTTCTTCACGTCATGACCTTATGCTCATCCTTTCACAAACTTACTTGTCCCAATCAATTCTTCGTCGCCCCCTTCACAGCACCCACCTCCTCCTCCAACGCCAAAATATCCGGCACAGGCCCCACAGGCGTAATCCCAAAAGGATTAATCTGCGCATGACTCTTCGTATAATGCTTCTTAATATGCGTAAACTCCGTCGTCTCCCCAAACGCCGGAACCTTCCAATACAATTCCCTCATCCACTTGTGCAAATTCGGGTATCCCGATCGAATATCCCGAATATTACATTTGAAGTGCTGAACATAAACTGGATCGAATCTGATCGCTGTCGTGAAGAGTCTGACATCAGCTTCCGTGATGCGAGAACCGTGGTAGTACGGTCCATCACGGGGTTGAGAAAGTTGTTCTTCGATTTTATCGAGAGAGGCGAAGAGGGTTTTGACGGCGGATTCGTAGGCTTCTTGGGTTGTGGCGAAACCGGATTTGTAGACGCCGTTGTTGACGTCGTTGTAGGTCCATTCGTTTGTGGCTTCAATTGTATCTTTGAGATCGGAAGGTAAGAGGTCGATTTTTGCTTTGTCTTCTGGGAGGAGGTGGTCGAATTCGTGGTAGAACATGCGGATGATTTCACTGGATTCGTTGCTGACGATCTTGCGCTGTTTGACGTCGTAAAGGGTTGGTACTGTGAAGCGGCCGGAGTAGTCGGGTTCGTTTTCGAAGTAGATATCACGGAGGTGGGTGTATTCTTTGTGAATCGGATCGGGTTCGGTGAATTCTCCTGGTTCTTTCTCGTCTGGGGTGGCGAATCTCCAGCCTTTCTCGCCGAGATGCCAGTGGACTGATGTGTAAGGGATGATGTCTTCTAGACCCTTGAGCTTGCGCACGATCAAGGCTCGGTGCGCCCATGGGCATGCGTAGGAGACATAGAGGTGGTAGCGGCCCTTCTCGGCTGGGAACTCGGCATTGGGGTCTTTCGATACCCAGTTGCGGAAGGAAGAAGTTTGTCTCTTGAACTCGCCAGACTTGTCTTTGGGATCAACCCAATTCAGAATTGACTTCTTATCAGACTGTAGCAAGGATGTCAGTACATACCTATTTTGACAGAGAATTTGCCTTCTTTCGGCGCCTCACTTACGGACGCCATGATTGTTCTGGAGTAGGTTTTGCTGGGAATCTGTCTGTTGATTAAGGAAAGGCGATTGCTTGCAGTCCTGAGCATCGATTGAGATGATGACAATGGTCTTCTCTTTTTGCAGAAGGCGTGAAGTTATAGCATAGCTTGTAGCTTACAGAGCTCAATCATCGGCGCCGACGTCCAGAGACTTGATGTGGTCATGATTACATGATGCCTACTAATTGCTGCTAAGTGGCGGCTAATTGTCCGGTCTCGGCCAGAATTCATGCTAAAGCTTTTGCCCCTCCAAAGCTAGCCTCTTTCCGGCCCCGAAATCTGCATCTCTGAAGACTGCATTGTTCATGCACACCTTCACAGTCCTCTCAACTGCGCACGATGATTTCCACTCAAAGGGGGTAACTGCATCGGCGGTACATCCAAGTCCGCCATGCCAGACGACGCAGTGCTCATCGGACTTGGCGCCACCGCCGGTCTGACGCGATCAATCTCATTGTAAAATTGTCTCAACGCCTCTTCGTTCTTACAAAACGCCTTGAAGTGTTTCTGGACCGTATCAACAGTCACATCTGGACGGTCGAATTCAGTCGTAGGCCTCATAGTAGACGTTAGTTTGCTTGTTGCAAGCCTGTTGGGTAGTAAATAGAAATCGCCAATGTCATTTGCGAGTATTTGCGCGAGTACCAAACCAGATTTGTGCACGAACTGTGTGTATTGGTACGAAGGTGGGCCAAAGGAGTATCGCACATTGATCGAGGTGGTAAATGTGCTGGCTGCTTCATAATCGAGGACGAAGTCGAGCTTTTTCAGCAGGCGTTTGTGATATGCCAGAGGATCTTCGACTGTACGCGGAGAGAAAGTGTGTGGCTCCATTAGAGGCGTGGCGAGAACTTTGTCTGGTGGACGCACGGCAAGTTTGACTGGCTGTGGCTGGTCGTACGGATGGTGCTCTCTGAACTTGCACGCTTCTTGAAGAGGAACCTGCATCAGCTTTAAGCCATATCCTTCGACCGAACTAGACCACCGAGCAATAGCTTCCCGGATCAGTTTCGCTGATGTTCCAAGCCATTCCAGCTGGATGTGATAGCAGTTCTCTGGGTTGTGAATGCGATCGTAATGCAAGTCCATGATCTGAAGATGGTCAGATTTCTTCTGCGGGTCGACGTTAAACTGCATAGACTGGCTGAGCATGATTTGTTTTGGTTCCGTGGGATATAGGCCGGGTGTTCCTTTGTCAGATGATGAGCTCGAGTCGGTGGCGCTAATGCCGCTGACTGGTCTCAGCATCGGTGACTTCATGGAGTCAGTCATAGGCGTGGGAGGTATCGATCTCCATGGCGCCTTGCTGAACAATCCAGTGGTGTTCGGATACTCCGTCGTTCTGTAGGCGCTGCTGATCTGGTAGAAGTAATGGCCATCTCGGAATTTGTGCTTCTGTCGCACATGAGAAAAGACACCGCGACTCATCAGCTCGTTGCCGACATTGACAGCATCCTCGCGCAACTCTAGATCTCTGAATACACCCAGTAGCCACGTTGTCATCTCATCACCTCTAAAGCATTTCAGATGTGTGACGGTGAGCCATCTTCTATCACGCACTTCTACACCATATGGAGGTGGTTCTTGCATCTGTTTGACCAGCTTAACGATGTCGAAGTTGCTGCTGTGATGCTTCTCAGCTTCTGAGAACAGAGAAGCATCAAGGTCACCCTCTTCGAGTTGGCTGGACAGAGCAGGACCATGCGCATTGACAACGACACTTGGATCTCGAGTCTGATACTCAATGGCCAGCGGGTTCGGATCGCGCTCGGCCGTGTACGGTGTGGATGCCGACTTCTTCACCGAGACCTGGTGCGATTGGTCTTCGGCGGAGAAGTATCGCTGGCGTTGCCATAATTGTGTCAGTCGCTGAATACCCTCGATGCGCCGCTCCTCATCAGAAAGACCCCCTAGCCGGCTTTGGTAGTCCGTCTTCGATATGTCTACTGGCAAGAGTACAAGCCGTACTTTGAAGGTAACATTGATTTCTGGAAGAGGTGCCAGGCGTAAGATGTGCTCGTCAAGCTCTGTCCAATCTGTAATCGGTGCCTCGGAGTGGTACGAAATCTCTGGCTTGATATTCAGACCGAGGATGGTACGCATCTTTGGCTCGTAGGATGTCACATAGTGTTGCGACTCCAGATCTTCGCTACCAATGCCTGATTTTGGAGAGTACTGAACAATTTGCACTTCGAAATCTGAGATTCGCTGTATCTCATGGTACCACCGGCCCAACGAGAGCAGGATAGGCCTTCCTTTGCTTTGGACAATCTGCTCGCCGCCACTGTTCCTGATCGCCACAATCTGGAAGCCACGAATAAGACGCACGTCAATCAGTCTCTCCACAAGTATACTCGCGGACTCTTCTTTGAGCCCACTGGAATCGCTTATGACATGTCGTTTGACCTGCTTGCGGTAGTAGAATTCGAGCTCAGCTGGCGATGGCTTGTACTCCGAAGTAAGCGGCAAAGCAGCAGGAGCGCACATCGACGACCACTTGAACGAGCCAGTGCTCACGGGACGTGGGAAGACATGCTGCCATTTGCGGTATTGACTTGCCACTCGCATGTTGTCTCTTCGAGGATTGCAGGGATTTAGAAGCATGACCCAAGGGGACATCATGTCCAGTGCCTCGTGTGTCGAATCGTGCCGGCTTCTGCGACCAAAGTTCGAGCCACCTCCCTTTGGCGTAGTGGAGAAAGAGGTATCATTCTGCAGAGCCTTGGTGACTGTAGTGTTCTCCATATTCTGCTCCAGAATCTTGACGAGTTCATCGCTTTCCGACCCTCTTCCTTTGTTGGGCGTGTGTGCGTGCTGCTCAGACTGTATTTCAATTGGCTTTGAGATGTGATATGGGTCCGGCTCACTGAACTGTTGGGAGATCATGCTCTGTTGTGATGGTTTTCGTCTCAGGCTGGCTTGGAAGGCCTTTGCAAGCCCACTGTTTTTGTCGCTTGCAGTTATAGAGGCGAGGGAAGCCGCATAATTGATCTCCTTCTCCTTCTCCGCGTGCTCGACCGACAATGTTGTGCTCGCCACGCCTCTACTTGGCGCCAGACCTTTGGGTCCCAGGCTGATCTTACGGCCTGTCTGCATCAACGGATGGGGCGGTAGACGATTTCTCTTCGCACCGTAAAGAGCAGCCTTAGTTGCGCTGCCAGTGGTGTCAGGTGCAGCGATCTCAATTGGACGACTCTTCTCGGGGCTCGCCTTTTTGGGCTTTTCATGAAAAGGCAGGCCACGGACAGTATCCGCCGAGCCCATCGATGGCTCCAAAGAGGGCACTCTCACCAAATTGCGCAGCGCTGCAGGCTCTTCGCCAAAGACTTGATTGTCGTGAGAATCCATGACGCCAGTATCAATTTCACCGAAGCCAGAGTCCTTCAGGAAAGGTAAAGCGATGTCATGAACAGGTTCTTCCGTTTCCGACAATGTCCATGTTGTCAATTGCTCTTCGAGAGAGGTATGCCAGTATGAGATGTCGACCCAGTGTGGTAAAGCGTACTCTGTAGTCCCATCGTGATCGTAACGGAACAAAGGCACTGGGTGCAGTGGTCTCGGTGAAAGAGCAACGATATCCACGCCAATGCTATTGCCAACAAGCAAGTCAGTAGTCTGCTTGAGCAGCGTGTGGTCCGCATCAAAGACCCCGATTCCAGCTGTGATGGCAATAATTGAGGTGCCGGTGCTCATCAAATGTGCGTCGTTCTGATCATCTGCGAAGTCCATAGCTGTCAGATGGATAGCTTCGAGTATGTTGCTTTCTGCCGCAAGAGAAACCGATCTTGACAGAGTCAAATCGTTGAATGCTTTTTTAATCTTGTGCAAGATGTCATTCCACGTGATACTGGTCACTTCGGACACCAACAAGATGTAAAAGTCCTCGCCATGCTGATGGGTTTGAGTGTCGCGCTTGCTAATGCCATCGGTTCCCGTAGCACGTCCAAAAAGGATGACTGACGCGAGATGCCGTGCCTTGGCCCTCTCCCACTTTTGGAACAGCTCCTGGAGGAAATCGTCAATCAATCTCTCATACATGAGAGATCCATTGCTCCAGCCTTCGAGCATTTCTCTCGACACTTCGATGAGAATGGAGTAGCGGGCGCTTCGACTCCTGAAAATGGGCTTCGTATAAGGGTGTGAGACGAAGGCAGAATCGACGTTTTTGCCTGCCACCCAAATCTGCTCGACGTCGGCAATCACAGAGCCAAGATACTTGAGCACCTGACCTTCAAACATAACCGTGTCTTCAAGACATTTCATCAGCTGCCACATATCCGCTCGGGACAGATATTGATCGCGGAAGAATATTTCAACATGGGTTGCGGTCGCCACGTCGGTGTCGTCGATGAGCTGGATCTTGCCTTGTGTCCTATTCTCGAATCCAAATAGAGACGCCAAAGAGACATGTATCGAGATCTCATTCGCGCCACCGGCCTGACCAGCAGGACATATGCAGAGCGAGCGCGCCCCTGGAGCAGATAGGTGTGCAACTTCGCCGACATGCATTGCTCTCGGACCGGCGAGAACGTCGAACCCGGAAACGCGGTCATCGTGAAGCACGATGGTGCAAGGCTTTTCCACACCATCACCGGCCATTATGTCTGTCCTCAGGAAGACCTTGGGCGGAGAATGGGATTCGATTTGTGGAATCCAATTGTTTTACGTCGGATGTCGCTGTAGATGTATCCTAGCCCGCACAAATGCAGGCGGTCGATGGGTACTGCAAAATTTCATGGCTGGTCATGTATTACAAGCGGACCGAATCTTCATGGAGGGAAGGAGAGGAAACAACAAGCATAGCAGTCGTCAATGATGTCGTGCAGGCGATGAAGACGCGAAGTGCGTGAAGTGGAGTCGCGTGTCGGAAGCGTGGGGATCCACAACTCGCATCCCCTGGTGCCCTGATGGAATACAGGACTTTGTATCGTCACTTATCGCCAGCGCCACACTCTGCTTCAACAATCAATAGCCACTCGTTCATGATGTTCCTCTTTGCATTCGCTGTAGCTACGGCAGGCCTGCTACAGCATGTCCAGGCGCATGGCGACCATGCCCATGAAGCAGCGCCTTCCGTAGACGCCAACGCCGACTGGGCGACAAGGCACATGGCGGGTAAGTAGCATCTTGCACTTTGATGGTCATCTCGCTCGGATAGCACTGACCGGCTGTACTAGAGGAGCATCACATCGCCGACTTCGACGCCGGCTCCTTCTTCAACCTGCACGATTACGACTCCTCCAACTTCTGGACCATGGACGACCTACTCAAAACATATGGCCTCCGCGACGAAAGCACAAACAACATCTCGGAAGATGATAAACGTCGAGGCGTCCAGCGAGTCATCGAGATGTATGATCGTGACCTGGACAACCGAATCTCGTTCGCCGAATACACTATTGGAGTTGCGCAAGGCATCATTCTTCCCGATCTAGGCTATGGTCCTGGTCATCACGGAGATGACGAATACGAGTATGAAATTCATCACTGGGAGAAATACCATGACGAGAACACGAAAGAGGAGGATTTGACGCATCCGGAGGACATTGAACATTTCAGAAAGCATGAGGAGATGGAGGCCGCTCAGGAGAGGCAGGAACAGATGGACCGCATGCCGATCATCGAGTCCAATATTCCTGCCAAGTTTCGGAGGAAGGAGTTGTAGGGAACATGAAAGAGCAGAGAAATCGGCAGATGCCCTTGGGGAAGCCAACGCCTGGCTGGAGGAAAATTTCTCGGGAGCAGGACACTCGTCGTCCAGCAGAGAAGTGACTCAAGGCGAAGAGAAACAGCATGAGTCGAAGGTGCCATCTAGGAATATGGATAAGGATAAGGTAGACACGCCTCGATTCCAGCGCCAGTGGTACTGGGTTGCCTTGTCCATCCTCTCCTGGGGAATCTTCTGGCGCTTTGCAGACGAACATGGAGAGAATGTCCTGGCACGCAGCCTTGCATGGTTCACGGTGCTGGTCGCCGTACTCCTGGCATCCCTCATGTGATTGTTGAGGCTACGAGGCACGAAGGAACCAAGTCTACGAATGCACGACTTTGCGATTGTCACGAACATCAACCGGCTGCAGCCGCACATTCAGGGCGCTATTGCGCAACTCCCACATGTACAGTACAGTAGAAGTGCAGCAGCATTGTACAGTAGCGTGGTCTTTAGCATGGGGGTTGCCCAGCTAGCCCATGCTAGGGCACCGGATCAACTCGCGATCTGTAGGACAGTTCCCGAGGTGATGTATACATCGGCTCACTGCCCCCAACACGTCCCCAATCGTTCTTCTCTCATCTCTCGTGATTTTTGCTATGACTGCCAGCAATACGCGTCCTGGTTGACTCGGCTCAAGTAATCTAGGGCCGCCGATTAGCGTTTGCCCGAGGCTTGGCTTCGCCTTAGCCATGACAGAATTGAGCTCGTGACATTACCAGCACGACGCAAGGTCCTCTTTCACGAACGGAGCCACTCTTATTCCCAGTCATAAGTATTCCCTTTCACCTTCTCACCCACTCTCCCATATCCATACTGCCATCACATCTCATACACATAGCGCTCGTACGGCACGTCCAACCATGTTCTCGAACCCATTGAAGCGAAGCTTCCTCTGTCTTACAGCGGAACCAGGGACCGTCTGCGCCGGCCTCCCCACCAAGAAGCCCCGTGCAGCAGCAGTACCAACAACACAGCATCAAGCCACCGCACCTGCGGCAGTTCCTCCGAAATCTCAGTTCCTATCTCTCCCCGCCGAACTCCGCAACGAGATCTACAACCATGCCCTCGTGCAATCCTCCCCCATCTCACTACCTTACGCGTACGAAACTCGCAGCACGACGCGCTCTCCGTCAAGCAGAAATGGCTTAGCTTCAGCATCATGCACAGCTACGACTTACTCTGGCGAACCACCTTTCCTGCGCACATCACGTCTCATCCGCTCCGAAGCCATGCCCATCTACTATGGCTGCAATACTTTCAGCGCGCCCAGCCCCGCCTCCGCGCATAAATTCCTCAAACCGCTGAGCTCAGCAAAGATGAGCATGTTGCGCTTCTTCCGGCCTGTGGAACTGGCACTGGAGTTGCAGGGAAGTCTACAGGTGAGGAAAAGGTGGGAGGAGAGCGTGAGGCGGACCGTAAATCGTTTGGTGAAAGATGTGGGGAAGGGAAGTCTGAGATGGGAGAGTTTGCAGCTTGGTGTGAAGAGCAGAGATGAGGGGACGAGGTGGCTCGGTCTGCGGGAGGTGGGATTTGGAGTGAAGAGGGAGGCGGAGGGGTGGAGGTTGCTTGGACCGGAGGAGGAAGAGGAGGCTATGGAAGGGGTCGTGGCGACCTGATGCGATGAGGGTTTGAGTATCAACCAAAATTCTTCATCGAGCGCTGCCGGAGAGATCTGAGTCATTCGGACAGGGATGGACAATTGCAAGGTCGCGTTTTCCACGCGATCTGTCTGGCCAATAACAACATTACAACCATTTGCACGTCTGTGATGTTGAGTCTCGGGTGTTCTGGTCTGTTCGCCCGTGTGCCGAGGAACACTGCGCGCCGGAGGGCAGCTATTCAACCAACAGTCGGCAGTCGAGCAACACGAAGATCCAAAAGCTTTCAAAACACATGAGAATTCCTTGTCGCATTTTCAAAGGGTATTGGAAAAGAGTTTGCATGGAAGCATTGTATTCATAAGCACTGTATACTTCCTACAGCGCAGCTTTGCTGGCGATGGCGTGTTAGACCAGCAGCAAGGTCCCAGACATAATCCTAATCAAGAGAGCGATTTCGAGAACGGGACCAGGTGCAAAAGAGTGTGCTCAGTGGTTCTCCCAAGTCTTCGCCCTCACCTAAGTCCTGCTTCCATTGTCCCTCTACCTTTCGTCTTCTGATTCCTCCTGGACATCCGGGAGCTCCTCGTCCTCCTCAGACAGCGGAATCTCTTCTTCATCGGACTCTGCCTTGTCATCAGTCGCCCAAGCGCGCTGTGCCGTGCCTCTGGTCTGTCTGGTCGATGCGACATGAGTAGACTTGGTCTTCCGAAAGCGTGAAGCTCGCTTGATAGCCGAAGGATTAGCTGGTGTCTGCTCGACATCGTTTTCCTTTTCGTCGTTGCTCTCGTTGGTCGCCGACGCTGCTCGCGCTCTGGTACGACGGGGAGAAGTCACTGCAGGGGTAGATGGAACCTTCTGACGACTTGAAACTCGTGTGGATGCTGAAGGTTTTGCTGGGTCCTGCATGATCTCATCCTCACCTTGTTCCTCCTCTTCATCGTCGGGCTTTTCGGGCGCTACGGGCTTTCTGATTTTGCCCGAATCGACAGCGGCCAGGTGAGCTGATAGCAAGCTCTGGTTGCGAGAAGGTCGTGCAGGTGCTCGAGGTCTGGTGGGTTTCTGGCCCGCTTCGGCGTCCTCGTCATCCTCTATCACTTTCGCGTCTTCTTCATCCTCCGATCCTGCGGCAGTTCTGGCTCTGGCTTTTCTGAGAGACGGAGTAGGCTTGGACGCCTGTCTCGCGTTGGAATGTTGCGTTGCTGTAACTTTGGCCGGAATCTCATCGATCTCATCCTCCTCCTCCTCCTCATCTCCACTGGAGATTTCAATGGGCTTCTTGCTTGGGGTCTTCAGCTTGCCAAAGGGCTTGTTGTCAGCTTTGGACCTCGTACCGTACGTACGAGAAGGGTTCGATGGCTTTGCTGGCTTCTCGAACAGTTCACCGTCGTCATCATCCATGTCCTCATCTTCCTCCACATCGTCCTTGGCAATCGTGGCTTCGAACTCCTCCACCTTATCACGCCTAGATCGGAGATTCCTGCCTGACTTCATTTCTTGCAACTTTGCTTGTTTCTCCTTGCGAGCCTGTTCGCGGTCTCTCTGTTCGATGTGCCTTTGCTGCCATTCTGCGGATCCCATCGATCCAAATGGGGCTTTCTTTTTGCCTTTGCCAGTCTTTTCTGGAGCTTTCGTGATCGGTTCAGTTTCCCGGTTCTCTTCATCCGACTTCTCTTTGCCCTTGGCCTTTGGCCGCTCTTCCTCAGCCTTGCCCGCCTCTTTTTCTCCAGCTTGACTCTTCGATGAACCCGCATGGCTGCCAGCTCCATCTCCCCTTTTCTCACGTTCCTCCCGCTCTCGACGGAATCTATCCGCCGTGGCTTGTCGCCAACAATCGCCATCGAGATAATGCGGCCATGAACGACTCAAAAATTGATCGAGCTCTTTCCTCGTCGCTTCATCAACCGAGCTCGTGATTCTTTCAAACAATGCCATATTCGTGGCCAGTTCCTCAGTAGTGTATGGTTCTTGGCGTTCTTTGTTGGGTCGATCGATATCGTACCAGAGAGGACTCGTGCCATCTCCAAATCGACCGCTGAACTCTCGGTGTAGAGCATGTTGAGTACCTTTCCAGTCGGGAAAGATCGTCGTGAAGACTTGGTGGACGAGCTTCCTCTGCTTGGAGAGATTCCATTGTGTGTAGAGGAGGAGAAGAACGCGAAGCTCTTCTTCTGACCAGGGTTGTTTGGGCGTCATGGTGAGGCCCTGGAGGTCAATGATTCTACAGAAGTCAATATCGACAATGGAGGGGTGAAAATACAGTGTATATACGCCACGGAAGCGTTTCGATGAGGAAGCAAACGACATCTTTGTTTCCGAGCAAGCAGAAAACAACCGAGTCATCTAGTGAGTGCTTCCAGATAAGTGCGTAGACATGTCGAACCTCGAAAATTCGCACAGATACCGGTCGACTTTGCCACACGACCACTCTAGGTCAGCTTCAGGTGGTCTTGTTGATGAAATCGATCAGCCCGACACACGTCGTACTCCTGTTGAATTTGTTGCATGAAAATTACAGGATTCAGCAGATATTTGACAAAGCTGTGGCAATTCTGCAACCGATCCTCTCGAGTTGAAGCAAACTTGACTGGAAATCGCGATCGCTACTCAATCGTCATTTGCTCTAGGTCTGTGAGGCCCCAATGACTACAGCCAGGCAGGACTATCCCCAATCAGATCAAGATATAGTATAGAGCCTTGATCGAAGAGGCTCAAGCGTTGGCACGCAGACCGCGGTGGGGAGGATATGGTCGGAAAGGTAGACATCTTGCTTGATCTGATCCGGCGTCTGTTTGCTGGCATTGAAGCATTCACGTTGTAGCTTGCCACTGTAAGTCATTTAGACTGCCGTACCCAATGAGCCTTGTATCTCCAATGTGTGCCTGTTGGGATATGCAATGAAGAGGAGAAGGAGCGAGGTTGGCCCATGCTCTTGGCACTGCGAACCGTGCGCAGAACATTCTTCACTTCACGACGTCACCGCTCCGATAACTCCGGAGAATGACTTCTCTTCAACACCGACGAAAGTAACTGAGCGGAAAGCCCGCGCGTGGAAGCGCAAATCCGGACGAAAGTCGGCCATGCCATCTTCACAGTGACTTCAAGCAACAGGCAGCTTCGCCAGCTCTTCGGTTTCGCGCTGTAGGGAAGTGGAGCCTTCAACGTCACCAAAAGGCAATTACTCAGGAGCATAGTACATGAATGTACACATAGGTTAAAGCTTGATCATGATGGCTGCATTGACATAGCTCCCAGAATTGATACATTTCTCCTTCATCTTTACACATACAATGTCCTCCTCAATCCCCAAGACCCAGAAAGCCCTCAAATGCTTCGGGCCCAAGAATGCCAAAGTCGTCACAGATGCCACTGTACCCGAACATCCCGAAGCCTACTTGCTGGTCAAAGTAGACTCCATTGCACTCAACCCGACAGATTGGAAGCACATCGACTTAATCGCCAAACCCGACTACCACCACACCGTAGGCTGCGATTATGCCGGAACAGTCGTCTCAGTCGGCTCCAAAGTCAACAAGAAATTTAAGACTGGAGACCGTGTAGCAGGTTTTGCCCATGGCAGCAAACACGAAGACCCAGAATCAGGCTGCTTCGCCGAATACGCCAAACTCAAAGGCGATATCCAAGCTCATGTTCCGCAAAACATCAATTTTGAAGAAGCTGCGAGCTGGCCGACTGGGATTAATACTGCAGGACAAGGAATGTATGGACCTGATGGGTTGGGATTGCCATGGCCTAATGAGCCTGCAAAGGAGAGATTTCCGGTTCTGATATACGGAGCTTCGACGAATACTGGTCTGTGGGCGATTCAGTATGCGAAGCTGAGCGGGCTGAGAGTCATTGCCACTTGCTCGGAGAAGAACTTTGAAGCTGTCAAGGAGCTCGGCGCTGACGAAGTTTTCGATTATCGCGATGAGAAGTGCGGAGAGAAGATTCGGGAGGCGACGAATGATCAGTTGAAATACGCGTTTGATTGTGTTTCTGAGGGGAGTAGTATGGAAGTAGGTACCAACCTTTGTCTTCATCGAGATCGTGGCCAGCGAATTCAACGTGGAACATGTGCTTACTTCTGTGAACAGATCTGTGCCAAAGCACTCAGCAGCAAAGGCTCCGGGGCACAATACAACTCTCTTCTACCAGTCGAATTCCCGCGCAAAGATGTCAAGACCTCTTTCACAATCGGCTATTCTGTCAATGGAGAAGAATTCACCTTCTTTGGCAACCATGTACCAGCTAAACCCGGAGATTTCGACTTTGGTAAGAGCTGGTGGGATTTGGCTGAGAAGCTTCTGGCAGAAGGCAAGATCAAAGCGCCTGCAACAACAATTCGCGAAGGTGGGCTGCAGGGTGTTCTTGATGGATTTGAGGATATGAAGAACGGACGGATCAGTCGACAGAAACTTGTCTATCGTATTGCAGACACTGCGTAGGCTGGCTGGTGAACAGATAGCCTGGACCAAGACGCTAAGAAACGATGTCCATTTCTGCGGTATACCTGCGCTGTTTTCACAGTGTAATCTATTCACTAATTTGCCATGACTCTGTAAATCGGATACTCATCATTGACGTCCAATGGGATGAAGTTGAACGTCACGTAAGAATCCGTGCTCTCTGGCTCCAGGACTGCGAACGCCAGCCCAGCATTCTTCTGACGAGTCGAGACCAAAAAGCTGCCCGCAGGAAGACTGACTTCCTTCGTGGTGGTGTTCGTGGTTACGGTGTTCAAGACATGGCCTTCGTAAAGCGATGTGGCTAGCGTATTGTTCGTAATCGTCATGGCTTCCACCGTTCCGCGATATTCGTAGTCAAGAGTCTGAACTTCGAGACCGAGGATTTCCAGTTTGGCGACCACATCCAACCATGTACGAGGGATTAGGTAGGCCTCTGGACGAGATCGTGTCAGATTTGCAATCGTCGGAGTTTCGATGAATGTGACGGGCACTTCCACAACGGACCCGTTCTCGCGTGAGACGAGAGGATATGTCCTGTTGATAGTGGTCGTGGCATCCGTGATGACAATGTCCTCGTTGCTGTTGATGAATTCGGAACGAGCATTCTCGATCAGGTTGTAAAGATTGTCGTCGTCACGAGCGGTCTCGAGCACAGAAGTCAGCTTGACTAATTGAGAAGCGACACGACGCTGGAAGTGCTGATCGGCCAGACGGATTCCGCGAGTCTCGAACAGGAAAGCGATAGCCTGTGTGAGACCAGTCGCGCTCTCTGCGAAACGCGCCCCTGTGCCAGACTGCGTGAATTCTGGAACGCTGGTGTTTGCTGGTCCAGTCACATAGTAGTCGTGCCGGAGTCCGTAGCTCTCCAATCGATCACCAATGTTAGGCAGAAAAACATTCAGCGCCTGATCTCGGATATCTGGATGGATGTTGAGGTCGGCTGCAATTCCAAGCATGACATCTACCGCGTGTTGATACTCGCCATTCTCGCCAAACGTCGTCGATGCTGTGTATTCGTGCATATCAATCTGCGCAAGTTAGCATCTCTTCTCCAGTCTAGACCCTTGAGCGACTTGCCATCACATGAGGCGCATATTCGTGAGTTCTCCTCCAGATATCCCGAGTTTGCTGACGATCAAGCTTCACGGCTTCACGATTCGGGTCGAGGTTGCAAGCCATTCGGCGTTGAAAATATGCCACTCCATCTGCGTTCCAGCGTGGCTAGAAGATGATTAGTATGCCTTGTACTTGGTGCCAGAGTATTCGTTGCTCACCAGCATAAGGATGTCCATCTTCTCCAGGAGCGAGGCGGTCCAAGTTTGGTTGGCTTCCATCTTTCCGAGCAGTGCAAGAGCGCCCTAGAACTGTCAGCGAGACTGCAGAAGGCAATCTCAGTGGTAACAAACCTCGTCTGCGGCAGGCTCGTTGCCATGAATTGCTGCTTGGATGTAGACTTTGAGCTTCGTGTTGTTGGTCGCTTCACCAATAGAGGCCGATTGAGAAAGAAAGACATATGGCAAAGGCCGTCCTTCCTCAGTCTTGTAGTCTGCAGGTCGGTACGTGATCCAGTCATTGCGGTCTGCTATCGGTAGTCAAGTTCAGTCAGACTGGTAGGCCCTTCAGTTCCTGATATAACGTCAACGCTCTGATCCTCTCTGATGCGGACAACTCGAAGGCTGGATGGCTGAGTTCTAGGCGTAATTCCAAAGCTTACCATTGGCAAAGCCGGCATTCGCGCGATCTCGGTTCAAGAAATACGGCGACCGTAGCTCTATATCAACTTCAGGAAAAGCCTGCGATACTGTCTCGCTGTCTTGAATCACGGCCAGACTGTTGCCGCCATAGAGGTCGCCGGGAGGAGGTGCTGTTTCCGACTGTGCGTGGGCATAGCCAGTAATAGCCAGGCCAACTGAAAGAGCTCTCGCATACATCTTGAAGCTCTGCCTTCTCTTGGAATGATTTTCGGTAAGTCAAACGAATGAATACACCTACAATGCTTATGGTGGCCGGCCTACGACTCTTTGTATCTCCACTTCTCGTGTAAGATGAGACATGTTTTCGGAGAATCACCAAGACTTTTACGTGCACCCAGGTTCACTCGCACGATATCGAGTGCTTAGCGAACTCGCCATCCCCTAAGTAGGCAGGAGATTGTGATGCCAATGGAGGTTGTTCTTGGCACCGGGCTTTGCTCGCGGCATGTGCGGGGGCCTCGTGGCAAGTGTGGCCATCGCATGTCAGTGGCTACTAAAGCAAACACGCCCCGTCAAGTCTTCCGATATTCATTGATCGCTTGTGGCCTTATGGTAGATGTGGTCGAGGCTACGTTGTTGTGGGGCGGGTGAGGTTGATGTACAGAAGGAAAGTTGCGGTCTTGGCTCTAAATTCTGCTCGTCCCATTCTCATCGACTCACACGCCCGACTTTCGGAGGAAGGCAGATCATCCCGCGCCTTCGCTCAACACAAAATGGCTGCACAACATCATCTGACCTTTCTCTTGACCATCCTCGGTCGTCAAGACGAAAGCACAAATGGCTGAAAGGTCACCGCAGGCGACGCGCAAAGAAGCGCAGCAGGACGAAGCAGACGCCGAACATGGTAGCGACTCATCCGACCTCGCGATGAGCGACTCAGCGAAAATGCGCAAAATCTACAGGAAACTGGACCTCCGCATCATACCGCCGTTCTGGCTTCTCTACTTCCTCTGCTCCGCAGTTCGAAGTAATGTTGGTCTGGCTCAGACCATGAACACCTCGAGTGGCCACGATCTCGGAACGTATCTCGGAATTTCCGCTCATCAAGTCTCCACTGGTTTAGCGCTGTTCTACGTCAGCTATGTGGTCTTCGAGGTTCCCAGCAACCTGGCAATGAGCAAGCTCTCGCCTTCAAAATGGCTTGCACGGATCGTGATCAGTGTTGGAATCATCGGAACAGCCATGGTGGGGATGAAAGACGCTGCAGGGTACTATGTGTTGCGGTTCCTACTTGGAGCCGTCGAAGCCGGCATGTGGCCCGGGATGTCGCTCTTCCTGACGATGTTCTATCCTCCTCATCGAATGGCAAAGCGGATCGGATGGTACTTCACAGCATCGCAGGTGTCGGCCGCCGTGGTGGGGCTTGTCAGCGCGGGTTTCCAGGAGATGGATGGCGCCGGAGATCTCGTTGGCTTCCAATGGATGTTCCTGATCTGGGGCCTTGTGACGTTGGTATGCGGCTTCGGCCTCGTTTGGTGGCTTCCCGACCGACCTCTTGCACCTGGCGAGGAACCCAAGGTGACTTGGTTGAACCGCTATCTTCCGACTGTCAGGCCTGCGTTGCAGGGAGAAGACGCTATTCTACATTATCAGGATTTGAAACAGGCGTACCATAACAGTAACTGGACGATGAAAGACCTGTGGAACGTCATGATCGACTGGCGATTCTGGCCTCTGCTCGTGATGTATTTTGGCGTGGTGGGTGTGGGCAACGGTGTGCAGTCGTACGGAACAGTCATTCTCAGGGCGATCAACCCCTCCTTCACTGGTGTGGAGCTCAGCCTGCTGTATGCTCCAATATGGATTTGCGATCTCATTGGCATACTTTGCGTAACGCCAATTAGTGACCGCTTCTACAAGCATAGGGCTTTATGGTTCAGCTTGCCGACTGCCTTACAGATACTGGGGCTCCTTGTCACAACATATGCTGGCGACTCGGCATCAGCCAGGTGGGGCCGCTACGTTGGTTTGCTGATCGTTGGGTTTGGCCTGGGTCCTACTGTACCAATCACAATGACATGGACCGCGGAGATCTTCCAGCCACGGCATGGTGAGATTGGTGTTGCGGCTGCATCTGCTCTGGTCTCCGGATTGGGAAATCTAGGCAGTGTTGTGACGAACTATGCGCTTTTCTCCGGATGGCCTGAGGACAGACTCCGGTCGCCAGTGTATCTGGGCTCTAACTGGGTCATGATCGCAATGCTTATTGCTAGCATAGCAAGCAGTTTTCTCATGACTTTGCTGCTGCGAGTTACAGCCAACTCGAGAGTAGCAAAATAGCAGAAACTAGATTGTGCATCTCATTGCCGGAATCTGCCCAAGCAGATGATCGTCAATCCTCACTTCTTCTCGCCATCTAATCCTTGTTTAGCAATCCGCATTTTCCCAGGATCAGCTGACTTCACTTCGCCTTTGTTCCCGTCAGACTTCTTATCCCCTCGCGCCAAGCGATTCTCGCTGGATCTCCCGCGGCCATTCTCCATACAGAATGCTGCTCTCAACGCATTGAAATCACAGCAGCGGGTATGCAATATACGCCTTTGGGCACCCTGTTCAAGGGCTAGGGTAACCATGCATGCGGACAAGCAATTTCTTCACATATACACCTGGAGAACCCTGCTTTCCAGCCATTGTTGCAAGTATACATCATGGTATGTTGGTGATTCCTAGACTCATTGCCCGGGGCTCCTCAATGCTTCGTAAGCAGTTACCCACGATACCTAGTTGTGCAAGTTGTGCATAGAAGTTATTGGGAGCATATATGGTTGTGGCGGTGCTGTTGAAGACCATCTACTTCTTCGCTCACAACTAGCTACAAGTGGAGCAGAACAGCACGCCTCATCACATTTCGCAATATTCGATCGAAACCAATTCCATCTTCGTTCACGCCCGCTATCTTTTGCATAGCACACGATAGCTCCAATAGCACAATGGCGACCACATTTGGGCTCGATCTTGTCAATCAAGCGCCCAAGGTACCAAAGTAATGAATGTCACAGGTTATGGCAATTGCTGACAATGAATAGGGCACCAAGCTATGGGTGCGATGAACACCCCCTACATTACTTTGATATTCAGCTGGCCGCGAGCGATACAGCTACTGCACACCGGCAACATGGAAGCCGATGAGGGTTGGTTCACCAGAGGCGGTGGCACAACGCTGGCCTCAGCTCCCAATCAACCTGCTCCGCGCCGCAAGATCGTCAGTGTCTGCGTTCTCATTGAGCATCCGACTGAGGGCCTCATTCTCTACGAAACCGGCGGCGGGAAAGATTACCCAGAGGTAAGCAATCGATCGTAAATTGTGATTAATAGAAACGGCGCTGATCTTAGCTATGAATAGGTCTGGGGTGCACCACTCAACGATATTTTCGCTCGTGTCGATTACTCTCCCGAGCACGAACTCGCAGCTCAGATCAAACAGACTGGCCATGACATCAAAGACGTTAAAGCTGTGATCATGGGACACTTGCACCTCGACCACGCTGGTGGCTTGGAGAACTTCAAAGGAACTGGTATACCAATCTATATCCATGAGGATGAGCTGAAGCACGCTTGGTATTCCGTGGCGACCAAGTCCGATATTGGAGTCTACTTGCCAAAGGACTTGTCCTTGGAACTCAATTGGAAGGCATTCACTGGACCATTCTTGGAGATCGCTCCGGGGATCAATTTGAGGCATGCACCAGGTCACACTCCTGGACTGGTCATTATGCAAGTCAATTTGAGCGAGTCCGGCACCTGGATCTTCACCACTGATCAGTATCACGTCCATGAGAATTATCATTCCAGCGTTCCGCAAGGCTGGCTGGCAAGAGACCATGATGACTGGGTCAGGTCGGATCAGATGATCAAGGCTTTGCAGAAGGTAGGCGTCTTTGTTTCGACGGTAGAGATGCTGACGCAATAGCTAATTTGGAACCAGAGGACAAACGCAAATATGGTTTTTGGCCATTGTGGTGCGACTCTGTCCAAATATAAGCTTGCTCCGTACGCATACCAGTGATGGACTTGCGTTCCTAGGAGCGCCACGAAGTCTTTTGCCAAGAGTTTCGGGCTGAATGATGAGGTTGATTGCGGTCGGTTCGTGAATCTATAGCTCTAATGTCTATCGTTGTAGGGTAATCATGGCTGAATCGCACTTTGTTGAACGCGATTCCAGATTTGACGCCCAGTCGTTAAGGTGGATACTGTGCTCGCAATGCCAACGGTGATGAGTCCAACAGGTATCCAGCCAACAGCAGCACCTGGGACTACTAGGTCGGAGAAATCAATCAGTAGCTGGGTCCTAATCTTCGGATTCGGTGCCCATGACTTTGCAGTCTTGGCTGTACTCGCTGCAGTCGGTGTGTCCGAAGTCGCAGTGTCTGCTTTCTCGCCTCTTGGACCATGCTCAGCTTTGCCATTGCTCTGCTCCGGCAAAGGCTTTGGCATTAGCCACGTGTAGAGGCACAAGAAGATGGACACGGAGATGGAGTAGAACCAGCATTTGTTCGCTTCCATTTGCACTTTCGGCCCCCATTCATAGCTCGTAGCTCCCAGAGCATTGGTCTGCAGTCATATCAGTATCTGAAAGGTAGGCAAGTTGTGAAGAATCCTCACAATGGTGAACATTTCAAGGAAGAAGTACATGCCCAAAAAGCCGAACTTGATAACTTCCAATGTTCGCCTCAGGCTTCCAAAATCGGGATTCCCGGCAGCAGACGACGCGTTCTTCCAGCACGGATGCCATTTCAGTAGTCGAAAGTACCGTCTCCCTACAGACAACACACAATCATCAGTGGCCCGACACTCTCTGCGCTGTATGATACGTACCCAACGCGAATTGGCCCCTCAGCTTCAGCCAGAAGTCGATATCCTCCTGTGACTGCGCGAGACCGACGGCAATGGTCACGAAACCTTGAAGGCAGCGGAGTGTCTTCTCGAGCGCTGCGGCATCCTCGGAGAAGCGTACAATGGATTGCAACATGCCTTCAGTGCAACATGAAAAAGGAAAACACGCCCTGCAACCTCCGAGAAGGCATGCGTGGTCGGCTGCTTCTTGACCGCATCGGCTTTGGGAAAAGAGTTGCAGGGATATCGCTACGATAGGCCGGCCAGCAAGATGGATACCCTCATGCGGGCAGCACACAGAATGCTCGGCCCGGGGCTTCATTCACATTCTACGTGCCACTCGTAGCGCAAAAGCAAGATCTATAGCTACGGTTGGGCTTTATCTGCGGAGTGCAAAGCCGTCAATTATGGAGGGGAACAAGAAACAGCTGGCTCGGTCTTCAAAAACGATTCTGCTATTCTGATATTCATGAACGTCTCATTATGCTGATTCTATACTGACCTCTAGTAGCTGTAGCGGAAGTTGGGATTTTCAAAATCGGTCTTGTCCTCTATCACGCCCTCTGTCAGCGCCTGGGTTTCGACAGCTGGGCCATAGAGCGCATCACGCTTCTTGTTACGACGAATCAACAGCGCGCGGATCATGAAAGAGAGCACCACTTGGCCGGCCGCGCAGCACATTGTTACTGTGCAGCCGGTCGAATACTTTGGCGCTTCGCGTTCCAAGAAAGCATGCGGGCCTATGATATTGCCCTGCAATATGATTAGTTTCGGTCGAGCATTGACAGCAAATAATGTTTACTCACAACACAATACGCCAGGAACACAAACGCCGTGGACGTCACGCGCTTCGTGTAACCTCCAACATTATTGGCAGGCAGTTGTAGCGCAATCACCAGGCTCGCGACGTACGATCCTGCAATGTAATTGCAGATCAACAGCCCCTTATTATGCTCAGCAGTATGTGGTACCTGCCACAGGAGTGCGGTTGCCAGTATGGTTGGTACGACATACAGCGGCATGATCAGAGTCCGAATATTTTTGAATCTGCCGGCCAGCCATGGTCCACTGAACACGAACATCACCTGCCAAGCGCCAGTTGGGATGCCGTATGCGGTCGTCAGCAATGCGTCGCCGTTGGCAAGCCCTTTGATGATCAGCTTCGAGAAATTTGCGAGACCTCCATTGACTGTCTCGTTGAGCAGGACGAAAAGGAAAAGCAGCCAGATCTGCGGGTCGAGCAGAGCCTCTTTAACCTGAGCGAGCTTGATCTTCTTGTTCAAAACACCAGTCTGGTTGGATTGAGCTCTTGCAATGAGCATGGCTTTCTCCTGGGTGCTAAATCGTTTGGCGTCCATGATGTTGTCGGGAAGGAAAAAGAGGAGCAGTACTCCCCAACAGACTGTCAAGCCTCCTGCGAGGATGAAGATTGTTCGCCAGACGTCGAAACCTTTCGCCTGGCCGACTGCGAAGAACAAGATACCGCCGGTTGACGCGCCAACGCCATTGAAGCAGTAGAAGAGACCTGCTCTGGCCGACTGCTCTCTTCGTTGGTACCATTGACCAACGATCATCATGAATACTGGTGTGATCATCGATTCGAAGCATCCGAGGAAGAAGCGACACACTGCTAAGCCAGCAAAGTTCTGGCATGCTGCCATGAGCATCAGGATCGACCCCCAGATTATAACCGAGATCGACACAACCTTTCCTGTCGGAAACTTCTGCGCCAGGTATGATGCTGGCCATTCGGCGAACAGGTATCCGAAATAGAACAGAGACACCAACCACGAATACTGGTTCTGATTGGTACCTGTTGTTGGGAAGAGATCGAACACCGCAGCATATGAAAGAGACTGTTTGTCAATGTACTGCAGCAGGTAAGTGCCGCATAGCAGCGGCATGAGCATCCAGTCTACACGCTTCACGAGCTGCTTCATTCCGGACGAGTCCTCGAGAAGGGCATTCAGGTCATGATGGCTGATGTTGTGCTCGCGCAGGAAGACTTCTGCCTGTAAGGACACTGTCAGTCGTCAATCCGTGGTCTTCATGCTCAACACTGACCTGGTCAAGGTCGACGACCTCCCCAGCTTTAAGATCCGAGGGCGCATTGGAGACAGTCTGTTCCAACTTCTTCTTCTCATTCTGCGCTTCCACCTCTATCGCGTTGTCGGCTCTCATATCTGCCATGCTGATCTTCAACAGATGTCGGGCTGCAGTGAACAGTCGGTAACGCCCGCACAGGTCGTTGCCGACTGCTCTTATATTGCTTGAGCATTGCCGCAATCATTCTGCTATCAATCCCCTCCGCTGCAGAACTTCGGCATTCTCGCCTGCGTCGCCCGTCTATCTATTGTGCGGAGGCGTTTCTTGCCCGAAAACAACCCTGCCCAATCTTGCCCTATCTGATCTTCGTGGGGTCATTAGTGCGGACATGGAGGATTGTGAGCATTTCAACTGCTCCAGGGTTGCGCTGACAACATTCTTGCAACATTTACACAGCCGTCCACGAAAATATTAGCGAAGTACGAGTTCCTCCATATTGGCTGCGTCGTTTGCATCGGCCAAGCCTACGGCAATGGGAAGGCTGCCGACCAAAGCGATAACGATGCCGGCCGAGCTCGGGCCAGAACGGCTTCTCCAAGAAACTAAAACGACCCACAGTAGATTCTTACTTAAGTATTGCAGCACACGACATTTCACTTTCGCAATGTGAAGACTGAGCAATGGAGAAATCTGGCAAGTTTGAAAGCAGCCCGCAGGGCTCCAGACCCAGAAGCTTCGGCATTCGATTTCTGGCTGCTCCTCTACTGGCTTTTCTGATTCTCTACAACTTTGTTCCATCAGTGCACGAATCTGTGCAGTCTTTCTTTTCTCTTGAAGGATGGAACATCGAACAGATCCCAACTGCTGAGACCTCGCAAGGTAAATTCATTGGCAAGGTCCTCGAAGAAAATGATCATCCCGTCCCTATCGAAGCTTTCCTGGGCATTCGATATGCGGAAGCACCAACAGGAGAATTACGTTTTGCGAAGCCAGTGCCTCCTCCCAGCACCAACGAGACGATCCAAGCTACAGAGTACTCGCTGAGGTATGCATTGCGTTGCTGCGGTAATTGCGACTGCATCAAATGCTAACACATCGGGCAGATGCCCCGGCAAGCAGCTCCTTCGCATCCCTGGCAGGCCTTGGCTCGAATCAAGCGAGGACTGCCTGACCTTGAACGTGTTCCGATGGAGAGGAACATTCACTAATGCCAAGCTTCCCGTTCTGGTCTACATTCATGGCGGTGCATTCAATCGAGGCTTTGCTGCCATGCATAATACTGCTTCTATGCTCGCAAATTCCGAGGAACCATTCATCGCTTTATCATTCAACTATCGAATTGGCGCGCTGGGTTTCCTCAACAGCAAAGTTACTGAGAACCTTGATCTGCTGAACCTTGGTCTTCATGACCAGAAGCTTGTGCTTGAATGGGTCCAGAACAATATTGAGCACTTCGGTGGTGATCCCAACAAAGTCACGATCGCTGGACTCAGCGCTGGTGCCCACTCCATCGGACATCACATCACGGACATCAACGAGAAACGGCAGCTATTCCACAAGGCCATCATCGAGTCGGGTGCACCTACATCTCGAGCAGTGCATCCAGCGGACTCGAAACTTCACGAAGTGCAATTCCAGAAACTTGTGGATCAAGTGGGCTGTGACATCAAGGCTTCAGATCTGGACTTGATCTCATGCCTTCGAAAAGCCCCCACCGATGCAATCCAGGCAGCTCAGACGGCAGTGTTCGACGAGTACAACCCATCAGTTCGGTGGGCCTGGCAGCCAGTCATCGATAATGACATCATCTCTCGACGACCTCTGGGCGCCTGGAAATCTGGAAAGTGGCACAAGGTCCCAATCATGACCGGCTTCAACCACAACGAGGGCACGATGTATGTCCCCAAGAAGTCTCAGTCTTCAAGCGACTTCAGCGACTTCTTCGCAACGCTTTTGCCACAAATCAGCAAGAAAGACTTGAAGAAACTCAACGAACTCTACCCGGACCCTGCAAAGGACACCACTTCGCCATACGTCGATACCAGAAACTTGTCGGCACTGGAGATTGGCGAACAGTACAAGCGTGTGGAGGCTGCTTACGGCCAATACGCATACGTCTGCCCCGTGCGACAAACGTCACACTATGCAAGCAAAGGCCAAGACGCTCCAGTATATCAATATCACTGGGCAGTCAACAAGACCGTGATCGGAGGTGCCAACCACGGAGATCAGATCTGGTACGAGACCATGTCACCTCTTGTACGAGATATCTCTCCAACGCAGGACGAGATTGCAAAGTACTTCAACTCCTATGTCACGAGCTTTATTGTGACGGGCGATCCGATGAAACTGCGAGGACGTAAAGCCATTGAGAGACCTGAATGGAAGGCTTATGATGAAAACGATGAGAACGGGAAAACGATGATCTTTGGACTTGGGAATGACGAGGCAGCAGGAGGATCCAGTGTCGGTGTCGCCGCACAATTCGTTCACGATGAGTGGGCGAAGGAGGAATGTCAATTCTGGTGGGAAAAGTCAGAAGTACCAGAGGATTAGACGATTGGCGCCAGGACATATAGATTGATTTGCATTCGCTAACGAAGTATGTACAAAATTTTGACGATGACTGAATGCAGAAACTGCTTGATGAACAGCAAGTTGACGACCGGAAGCGATTGCAAGACTGAAGTGGTTGCAGTATTTCGTCAGGCCCATTCGAGTTCCACGACATGAACGAGGCAATTCTCAAGCTTACGGCAGGCACTCATTCCATGCGCCAGCTTGCCGAGCCTGGTTTCCGCTCTGCTTTTACAAGCCATTAGCAACTTAAGGACCAAGGCCAGATATCGACGAATCCCGAGATTCCACATCTGCTGCACGCAATGCCAATATTCGGTGGCCGTTCGTGTGGCGGGCAGCTTGCTCATGTGTGAGTCCGTCATTCGCTCAGCAGGCCTTCGATGTGGCTCGTCAGTTCGCAATGCCTGGAACCTGGTTCCTTGGACGCGCTTCTGCTACCCAATCGCGTCTTTCGTAGTGGATATGATCGAATGGAATCCACATAACGCAAGTACCTTTCCCAGGCCGCTCATGCCTTCTTCGGTTTCGTGCTTGGCCCAGAAAAGGTCTCCAATACCAGGAAAATTCCAGTCAGAAGCTCCCAAGCCAAGACTGGGTAGATGGTACCTCTTTGCCAGAGTCCAATGGGAGTCTCGTAATTCCACTCGCCCAGCGCGTTGAATCGGTAGTAACTGTAAAGGCCAAATCCAGCAAGTACGGAGCTCACCAACTTATAAATGGGATTGCCTTCGAATTGTCCAAGTTGATTGGGTTTCAATGCTGACAGCAAAGAGTTCAAATTGCCCGCAACACCGATCAAACCGAGACCCATCCAGTGCCACCCAATAATCTTCCAGAACACCTCTCGTGGCCCACCATGAATCGTCGCAAAGAGGGAGAAACCAAGCAGAACAAAGAGCGTCAAAAGAGTCCTCGCAGTTCTCAGAAAAGCCGTCTCCGATGTGACATTCTTCCTCGTGAGGAAGATCAAAGATAGCTGAGCGACGGCGAAACAGGCTCCAGCTTGATAGAGGTTTCCATTGAACCACTGGTAAGCGAAAGAAACGACGTTATAGTGCTTGAGTTCGTGAACTTGTCGATAATTTACTCCGAGATCGCTGAGTGATTCGATTTTCCAGTCGTAGCCTTCGAGACCTTCTTCGAACCAGAGATGGCAGTACATTTCGATGGGAAGCCATGCCAGAGAGCTGAGGATGAGAATAGCTGCTGGGAAGAGTGGTGCGAGGCTTTTCTTGCCGGCTGTTTGGGCCATGGTTTTGGTGGTGTTCAACAATGGCGAGTATCTAGCTTTCGGAAGCTATGTATGGTGGTTAGGAACAACGATATGCCCAGGTGCAGCAGGGGGAGAAGATCAGAGAACTTAAATTGTGTCAAGCAAAGGGACAAGTGTACGTTGTCGCTAGGATGTTTCTTCTGCAAGAGCTCTGTGGTGCTTCGACCGCGTTTACCGTTCAACCCCTCTGACTGGCCGAGGTCATGAAACTTAACTTTATTCCCAATATGGCGTCTGCCAAGATTCACGATCAAGACCACGACGTGCCAGGATCTGCAGTCCATGTTAAAGATCCACGGGGGAAACGTCCAAATTCTGAAATTGGAACTATCACTGGTCACAATCCCAAGCCTATGCTGCATTTTCCTAGATAATGATCTCTGATCTCGTACTGTATCCATTACTTCGACGCATCAAGCGCCGCTCTAATAGCGTCACAACTCTGCTTGGCATCACCGAACAGCATCTTCGTGTTGGGCGCATAGAACATTGGGTTTGGAATATCAGCATAACCACTGCCCATGCCTCGCTTCATGACAATGACTTGCTTGCTCTTGTAGGCGTCGATGATAGGCATACCTGCAATAGGGCTAGAATGGAACTGTTAGCGAGATCTTCAATACAATCAATGATGGACAGTCTTACCTGTCCTTTTGCAGTGCAATCGGATTGACGGTGTCGTTGGCACCAATGACGAGTGTAAGGTCAACATCGTCGAAGCCTTCTTCATTGATCTCGTCCATTTCCAGAACGATGTCGTACGGAACACTGGCCTCTGCGAGCAAGACGTTGCATTGTCCGGGCATGCGTCCAGCGACTGGGTGGATTGCGAATTTCACCTCACAACCCAGTCCACGAAGCATTTGGACGATATCCGCAATTGGATACTGAGCTTTCGCGACGGCCATACCATAACCGACAACGATCACAACCTTTTGAGCACCCTTCATGATCTCTACAGTTTCGTCGATGGAAGTTTTGGTGATTTCTCCTTCAATCTTTTGGTCTGTCTTTGCGGGAGCAGCAATACCACCGAACAAGACATTTGTGATGCTGCGATTCATGGCGACACACATGATGTAGGAGAGAATGGATCCTGAGACGCCGATGAGAGAACCGACAGTTGTGAGAATGGGGGAGTTCAACATGAAGCCTTCAGCCACAAGAGCAAAGCCGCTGTACGCGTTCAGCACGGTGATGACCACGGGCATGTCGGCGCCACCGATAGCTGCAGTTGTTGTAAAGCCCTTGGCGAAACTCAGAGCAGTGTTAACGCCCAAGCACGTGGCGGCGATCACGGGAGCTCCTGGCGCGGCAGTAAGGAAGAAACCCATAGTGGCGGCATTAGCAGCCAACATTCCGCCGTTGATCAGATGTCTGCCTGGCAGAACAGTGGGGCGCGAGGACATCTTGCCGGCAAGCTTCATGAAAGCCACAATGGAACCTGTGAATGTGACACCTCCGATCAGGACGCCGAGATAGCCAGTGACCATGTGTAGTGGATCCAAGTGGGAGACGGAAGCCATGACTGAGCCAATACTGGTTAATACCGCTGCGAGACCGACCACAGAGTGCAGCGCAGCTACAGTCTGTGGAAGCTCGGTGGGAGAGATGCGCCGGCCGATGAGTCCTCCGGCCATGCTGCCAATGCCAGCAACGGCAATGAATTGGATGAGGGTCTCAACTGGAAATCCGACAGCTGCCAAAGATGCTAGAACGCCAGATCCTACACCGAGAATGCCCATCAGGTTACCTGTTCGCGCTGTCGCTTGGGAGGCAAGGCCAGACAGAGAACCAATACATAGCAGACTGCTGACTAAATAGCCTGCTTGCACCAGTCCTGCCATTCCAGTCGTTGCTGCTGCCAAGAAACCTCCGCCGAACAGCACACCAGGAATGGCGTATAGCCATGGGTACTCCTTTGGATCTGTTGGTCGTCTGAACATGTCCAACATTCGTTTGGTGATGACGAACCCGCCAGCGACGTTGACGAAAGCCAGCAGTACAGATGCGGCGCCCAGATACTGCGGTAGAGTCTGCGGCAGGTAACCACCTCCCATGATGAAGAAGCCACCAATGCCGACCATACCGGATATAGCATTCGTGACAGACATAAGGGGCGAGTGAAGCGCAGGGGCAACTCCCCAGACCACGCGGTACCCAATCAGACCTGCAAGACCGAAGGTGAAGGCATTGCTCATGAAGATAGGTCCAGTCGCTTTGCCTAGAGCGAGAGCGGTGGTCATGCCGCCTGTGATGACACTGACCTCACGCACTGCCTGTTGCCAGGGCGTCAAGGCTACGACCTCTTCCTTCTTGTCCTCTACCTTTGCGGGGGCTGGCGCTGGTGGCGCGACTGGTGGCAGAGTCGGTAGTATCTCGCCATTGTGGGTCACTATTGACCTTCGTACGACTTCATCGTTTAGATCGATTCCAAAGTGACCTTCCTTGGGCGACATCGAAAGCAAGTACTTGGTGATGTTGTTGGAGTAGAGCGTGGAAGACTGAGTCGGCAGTCGCGAAGGCAGATCCGTATATCCGATGACCGTAACACCTTGATGCTGCGTCAGCTCTCCTGGAACTGTGACTTCGCAGTTACCGCCAGCCTCAGCAGCCAGATCAACAATCACCGAACCAGGCTTCATTGCAGAGACCATTTCTTCAGTGATCAATGTCGGAGCCGCACGACCCGGGATCAAGGCGGTGGTGATGATGATATCGACCTCCTTTGCTTGTGCCATGAAGAGCTTCATCTCAGCCTCGATGAACTCTTTTGACATGACTTTCGCGTATCCACCACCACCATCACCAGTCTCTTCGATGTCGACCTCGATGAACTCTGCACCGAGAGACTGTACCTGCTCACGCGCAGCTGATCGGGTATCGAAACCTCTGACGATGGCTCCCATTCTTCTGGCAGTAGCGATGGCACTGAGACCTGCCACACCGGCTCCGATGACCAGCACCTTACACGGAGGCACTTTGCCGGCTGCAGTGGTCTGGCCTGTCAAATATCGTCCAAAGTTATTAGCTGCTTCCAACACTGCTTTGTAGCCTGCGATATTGGCCATCGAGGACAATACATCGAAAGATTGGGCTCTGGTGATGCGAGGAATCTTGTCCATGGCAAAAGTGGTTATCTTCTTCTCGACACATGCCTGTACAATTTTCTTATTGCGCTCAAGATCCGGTTGCAAGATAGAGATCAAGACGCCGCCCTCCTTGAAGCCACGAACGAAGTTATTGGGTGACAGTGTGGTGCTGCGAAGTCTTGGTGGGCGGACTTTGAGGACGATGTCACTATCATCCCACACACGACTGGCATTGACGAGAGTTGCTCCGGCCTCCTCATAATCGTGGGCCGAGAATTGAGCAGCGTAGCCAGCTCCTTGCTCAACCAGAACCTGCTTGAAACCTTTCTTGAGCAGTAGCTTGGCATTTTGAGGAGTGATGGCAACTCGCTTCTCTCCCGTTCGAACTTCCAGCGGAACACCGATCGTCAGGTTGCCATATGGGATTGCCTTGACTTCTTCAGCTGCCGGGGTGGCGGATTCCTGCTTGGGCGTCGCAGCAGCTGCAGCTCCTTGTCGCCTCACCGAACTCTGGTAATAGAGCCTGGTCCTGTTCAATGCAAATAGCACGGACCATCGTGTTGATTTGGAGGTGGATGTGAAAGCAATCTGAGGCCTTAGCGGCCTACACGTCGGCCACATGGTGGCGGTCTAGTCGCTATCATGAAGCGGCTCGTTACGCAGCGTGTGGTCCGGTGCAGGTTGGCGATGCACGACGCGTTGCTGACAGCTGTTGTGAACCGCCCAGTCCGGTTGCTGACAGCGCTTTGGACCCTCAACCTGGCGGCTGGCCAGGTCCTGTCGAAGTTAATGACGCGCCACGCGTTGAGCAATAGGTTGCTTTCTGCAGCTCAGCAGGAGGAGGGAGAAGGTACAAGGTGGTGAGTACCCTTCAGCCGCCTGGAGCTGGGACAAACAGATGAGACAGTTTGCTCGCGAGTCGAGCGGGGTCGCGCATCGTGTCAGACCAGATCACGCGTCTTCTCACTGGACAAACGCTTGGCCAGGGACGTGCGAAGGAATAGAGTGTGCAGAGCTTGTCCAGAACGAGGAGGTCGCCCTCTGGAAGTGGAGAAGCCGGACGGTTCGGCGATCACCCCGCGTTCCAAGAACCTGTGGCTGTGGGGAAATTGAAGATCACGCTGCTTCGCGTCAAAGCGCGAGTGAGAATCGATTTCAGGAGTTTGAATCCTGCTTTGGAATTGTACACAGAGTTCACGACTCAATCTCTGCTGAGGCTGAGGAGTGCCCTATCGTCCGCTCTTCTCAATCTCAGCCAGCAACTCGCGCGACCTCTTGACTTGCACATCACCGTTCTCAAGACCGAAGTAGACAGCCACAGGCTTCTGGCCACCTCTTCGGCCATTCGCTTGTGCTTGGAAGCCGTTCTCGCCATGAAACAACCCAACCTCAAGAACGCCCTCGATAGCTCTTATCCGTGCCGCGAGAGCATCGACTTCCCAGACGCCGTCGGTTCCATCACCTTTGCCTCTCCCTGCAACCACATCCGCCTTCGTGAGCAGAGTCTTGAATGGTGCATCGATGATGTAGAAGCTCTGGTCGGTCTGCACAGGTCCGGTCTTGGAGAGAGTATGCTCACGCAAAATGGGCTTGATGGATCCGATGTGGAGCAGCTCTTGCATTACGTAGGCGTGAGCAATTGGGGCTATCTCAATGGGGATCGATGGCCACTTCGTGATCAGTCGCGTTTGGTCCTTGCGGTAGTCCGCTATGCAAATGAACTTCTTCGCCATTTTCGCGACCTGTCCGAGTCAGTAAATGTCTGCGTACGTGGCGCTTGTGGAGCTGTCAAGCTCGACTTGTCCTCACCAGCTTTTCCTGGAAGAGACATGCTCCACCACCTTTGATGCAGTTCAAATCCTCATCGACCTCATCTGCGCCATCGAAAGCCACCTCAAGCTGAGCATTTGCAGGAATTGAGTCAAAGGCCAATGGGTCCAGACCTATGCGACCCCATCAGCAGAGCTCGTTACAGCAGTGTGACTCGTCCTTTATCCTGCCACTGTTCATGCGCAGCTGTTGCCTCAAGAGTGTTTTGTAGCCCACACCTCTCGATCGAGAACATCACCTACCAAATTGTTCTATGACTTTCTTGCTGTTCCATCCTGTTGGCACAAACCAATTCCTATGCCCTGGTGGGGGTGGGTTCTTCTCCAGATGCGCCTTGATAGCTTCCACGCCGTATACAATTGTACTGCCTGAACCGATACCCACAAACTGCATGTCTGACCGGAAGTGCTCTTCTACAGCCTTGAATGCCGCCTTCCTCTTAGCGCCCTCGACTATCGCAGTCGCATGTTTGGCAGCCTCTTGCACAGCGAAGGCATTGTCGGCTGTAGCCATTGTGGGTGCTGCTTTCGCGAATGCTCGCGTGAGTGTATAGCTCGTCGTCGCTCGATATATTCGGAAGAAGCTGCTGAGTTTGGGGGGTACTGTGGCCGTGGCACGAGCGAGCATGTGAGAAACTTGAGAGAAGAGTGTAACGCAGAACTTATTCCGGATGAAATCTGACTGTGACGTTGAAAGTCAAGGCGTTCGCAAAGACTAGCCCCACTACGGCAGTCACGCCAATGCATCTTGACCCCTCCATTTCGGAGTATCAGATGCCACGAGGTCAAGATTAGCAATGGTACGCGGAGGTGAAGAGACTCATGATAGCGCTTGTAGCTACTACGATTACCAGAATGGCACTGCATCAGCATGACAAAGGTCTGACAGTGCACCTACTCACGGATCAAAGTTGATGCGGAGCGCGAGACAGTCGGGCTCAGTCACGTCAGCCAGAGCAGCTCTTCATTGACAATGTACATGGGTCACAAGCGAATGGCAGACGTCGATTTCGAGCATTTGAGCAGCGAATGACAGTTTTGTACTGTGATATTGTCTTCAGTCACTCGCTCTTGCCTCAGCAACTTGTTCGGCAAAACGCCACTACAATCTGCGCCACAGACAGCTATCGATAGTTGATGTGGCGTCTCAGTTTCAGGCACGCGTCTCCGTTTGACGCCTTGACGCCATCCACTTCTTCTCCATCGACATCAACTTTCGCTGAACTAATCTACAGCAAGCCGTCATGGCGAACGGACCACCGCAAGAGGTGCCCCCGCCACTACAGGACATTCCCACAGCGAAAGAGAAGAAATACGATCGACAACTAAGACTTTGGGTACGATGGGTCTTGCTCAACCGTAACGACTCGAAGCTTACAACTTTCTAGGGTGCCGCAGGCCAAATAGCATTGGAAAAGACGAACATCCTCCTCATCAACAACGGGCCCGGCGTCACTGGAGTGGAGACGTTGAAGAACCTCGTTCTCCCAGGAATCGGCAACTTCACAATTCTCGACTCGGCAGTGGTTTCTGAGGCCGATCTGGGCGTGAACTTCTTCCTCGAAGACTCGTCATTGGGCAAGTTCCGCGCTGAGGAAACTGTGAAGTATCTCGAGGAGCTCAACCCAGACGTCAAGGGCCATGCCATTACAGAGCCCATTGCCAGCTGGGTGGTCAAGGACAAGATCTTCGCGCCGTACACGCTGGTAATGGTGGCGGCGCCCATAGACCCTGCCATCTTCACGCTCATTCAAAGTCACGTCGCAGCTCTGCAGATTCCGGCGTTCTACATACATTCGATTGGATTCTACTCACACTTTTCTCTGCAACTGCCACCTGCATTTCCAATCGTGGACACGCATCCCGACCCCACTGCCACCACAGATCTGCGCCTACTCAGCCCATGGCCCGCCTTGACCGAGTTCGCCAAACGAGAGACAACGAATATGGAGAAGATGGATGGCGAACAATTTGCTCACATTCCGTATGTGTGCTTGCTCCTGCTCTACATCAATCTATGGAAACTGGGCCACGATGGGAAGCCACCTGTCGAATACAAGGAAAAGCAGGCATTTAAAGACCTCATACGATCAGGCAGCGCCAGCGAAGAGAACTTTGACGAGGCAATTGCTGCTGCGACGAAGCTCCTCAAAGCACCCGAGATACCCAAACAAGTTCACGCCATCTTGACAGCGCCTGAAGCGCAATCGTTGACGCCAGAATCGCCTCCTTTCTGGCTCATCGCCAATGCGGTTCGACAATTCTGCGACAAACATGGCGAGCTGCCCCTACCAGGAGCTGTCCCGGACATGAAAGCACGATCGAACACATATGTGGAGCTGCAGAACATCTATAAGACCAAAGCGCGCGAAGACGCTGCTGAAGTTCTCGCCACCGTACGCTCGCTGGAGCAGTCAACACAGCGTCTCCCTTCCCTTCCTCCGATTGATGAGAAGGAAGTCGAACTCTTCTGCAAAGGCGCTGCTCACATCTCCATGGTTCGCGGAAGACCACTCAAAATTGTCCAGCCTGGCACGCCCGTTACTTTCGGCGACCAAGCCGAATTCGTCTACAAATCTCTCAAGAATCCGGAGAGCCTCATCGGCCTGTACCTTGCCTTCCTGGCCTGGGACGAGTTCTCCGCCACCCACAGTTCTTCTCAAGCCCGCGGTGGGGAGACACTTCGCGTTGCAGGCGCGGCGCCGGACGAAGATGTGGAAACCGACGCCGAGAAGCTCACCGGCATCGCGCATAAGCTCGTTGACTCTGCGATCAACGAATCCGGATCGCGGATCGAAAACCCGAAGTATTCAGAGATCAAACAGAAAGTCTCTGAGTACTGTCAAGAATTGGCGAGAGCAGGAGGAGCAGAACTACACAACGTTGCTTCGTTGACCGGTGGTCTGATTGCACAAGAGGTTATCAAGGTAATCACGAAGCAATACGTGCCGATCGATAACACTTGTGTGTTCGACGGTATCACGAGTCAGACGTGGGTGGGACGGATATGAGGAGGTAGTTCGCTGGAAAAGTTTGAGAGAGATGAAGAGAAGAAAATGAGTTCGCTGAGCGTGTACGGGCGTGCAAGCCAGCTAGAACCGTATGATGAATGTGACTGATGACTGATGCAGCTCGTATGCGCCGTGTCCCTGTCAGTTGCCAGCAAAACGGGCGGCATGCGGACGGAGACGACCGTTAGGATTCTGCGTCATGTGGCAAAGTGGAAGTGAGGTATTCCGGTTAACGTGCAAGCACTCACATGCAGGTGCGCCATCTTTTCACATGAATACCAAATTATTGCCCGCTAAATTTTCTTTAAAGCTCGCTTTTCCAACTCAGCTCGCGCTCATCGTTCAACGTCGCCAACATGGCCGACCACAATACAACCTACAAGCGCAAGGTTCCGCTAAATCTGCCTGAGCCGCCTAGAAAGAAGGGAAAACTCGCTTTCGAAGAGTGCGCTCTGTGCTGCACCGAAGTCCTCATCAGTCATTTCGCTGAACGACCACACGCGAGCGCCACAAACGAGTGCAGAACATGTTTCAAGTGCTGGGGCAAACACTTCCGTCACCAGCTGACTGTGAAGGATTGGGACGAGCTAAGCTGCCTTCAATGTGGCACAATCCTTACACTCGAAGAATACGATGAGATCTCTTCCGGCATCAAAGACAAAGACGAAATCAGCACGACGTAAGGATACTCGCGAGATCCCCAAAACACTGCAAAACTGATTCGTGAAACAGCTTCCAGAGAAAAGCCACCGAAAGCTACCTACGCCAGGACTTAGGCGATGGCGAGTGCTTCGTCACTTGCCCGTCGTCCACCTGCAAAGGTGGTGCCATCATGGCAGACGGCCATATCTTCACCTGTCCCGATTGCAAGGCTCGATACTGCTTCGATTGCGAAGCTCCGATGCACGAAAACATGTCCTGCGAGGAATTCCTGGAAATGCCAAAGAAGCGGAATAAGGAGAAGGCAGAAGAGGAAATCCTCGCTGCTGCGACACTCAAGAAGCATTCGAAGGAGTGTCCGAAGTGCAAAGCTCGCTTGCAAAAGATCAGCGGCTGCGATCACTTCACCTGTAAGTCACCCCTAGCAAGGGACAGTGGAGATTTAACTGACGATTGCAGGCACGATGTGCAACCACGAGTTCTGCTGGTTGTGCTTTGCTCCGTACAGAGGCGCAGATGGTATTGCGGGCCCCAAAGGAAACGCTGCACACAATGGCAGCTGTCAGTACTATTCGGGCGGGCCAGTGGAGTCACCTCGTATACCAGTACAACGAGCTCGTCCATCGGCGGCACGAGTTCTTCTGCCCAGGAAACAGGTTCTTGCCAGGTCCAGTGCCCGTTCCCGGCCAACCGTTCGATCCCGGCCAGCTACTCGTGCCAGGCCAACTGTTCGTATCAGGCGGAACTGACCTCAGAGTCCGAGTCTGAACAAGCTTAGGGCGCGCCAGGCTGTTTTCAGTCCACAGAGTCCAGGAAGAGCTGTGCTCAGAGGGCAATCTCCTTGGTCATTGTGGTGATCTTCACAGATTCGCGCAGACATGGAATTTGCTCCTCAGTTACAGGCGATTGACGTAGACATCGTCGGTAGACCATGCATATGAATCGAATCTTTAGACATCCACCTACCACGTCCTGCAATGCGCTGGACGATGAACAGTCTAGGCCTGAACTCGTTTGTTCTCGTCGCGCGAGAACTTGCCGGCTTGTGCCAAAGAAGGCAATGGCTGATGTGCTTTGGCAACAGGCGGCAGATCTATGCATAGCCACCGGTGAGTACGGCGGGGTATACTATTGACCAGAACGTCCCGTGCCATCCGCGGTACTGTTTCTAGGTCCAGTGCGAGAATCCAGTCTGTCGGTTCTTCACAATCGTGTTCGGGGAATTGTTGTTGTTGGACGGCCACTAGACAACCCCGGTATCCGCCAAGACCTAGCCCATAGCAGGGCAGAAGAAGACGCTATAACGCGCTTCAATTCGACGCCGGCCTTTGCGTTCGTGAAGTATTTTCACGCCTCGAGCTGCTTGCACTTCTCCGAGAATAGTGCAAGCCAGTCTGACATGAGTATTTTGCTAAGCTAGTAGAATTAGTTCCACAAAGAGACCGAACAGTCCATGGCACTCCAGCGCACTGTGATGGCTTCAACACTCAATCTGCCGAAGATCCAGTTTATGCGATCTTCGACCTGTATAAAGTCGTTTGAGACCGCAGTAACAGAATGGAGTAAGTCACAGCAGCATCTCTTTCTGTTCTTTCTTTCTTACGCATTAATTTTCTTTTCGAGAGCACACGATCGAAGCCGGTCTTCATCAAAATGCAGTTCAACATTTGCTCCATTCTCCTCGCCTTGAGCGCTGTGGCTATTGCAGCTCCAACACCGGTGGCATACAACGAGGTACGCCAAGTCATCCTACCGCGATACGTGCATGGTGTCAAAAGTTGACAATGTGATCAGCTCGAAGCTCGCGGGCTCGGTGCAGCGATTGGCAAAACGCTCATCAAATGGGGCGATAAGTTACAAGGCAAAGGCGACAAAATCTCCGCGAGTGGCCAGGCTGCAGGCGAAAAGATCACTGCAAATGGGCAGCGTTGGGGAGAAAACATTCAGAACGCTGGTCAGAGAATGCAGGGAGGGAAAAAGTGGCCTGGATGGAAGAAAGTGCTTGGCGGCGAGGAGGAGTAGGAGATTGCACGGTGTTGGCTTCGTCCGCTCGGCAGAGCGTGAAAGGTGAAATTGTAGCGACGTGAGCTGGTTCTTCGTCGTCTACCGCGCCTTTTAGCTTGAGGTTTATCAACTTGGGGGTTGTATGATGAAAAGTCCGAAAAGTTGTCAGTGTTCGTCCGCTGTCGCTGTCGCTGTCGCTGTCGTGCGAATGTTATGGTTCTGGTTCTTGCCGAGCCGTTGTCTGTCGATCCCCGCCTCGTCATCTCTCCAATCACGCTTCGCGAACCTCACAACGAGCCTGCAAACACCAACATACGTCTCACCAGATGACATCGACAGATGACACAAGCGAAGCTCTGCACATCTGCATATGAGCGCATTGCATAACGTGTAGCTTGGTCCAACCAGCTGAGAGATGAGGTCTCACGGCAGCTGCAGCTTCCTTCCTGCCGCATCATTGTGCATTCCAGCAGGTGATCAGGCAGTCACCAGGGGCGATGGACCAAGGTCCGGTCGATGCAGGTCCAAACGTGAACAGCGAATATGGCGATGATGCCCGCCGCGCCTACTCACCCGAAAATGATCGAGCGGCACCGCGTGCCAAAGGTGGATTTCGAAGTGCTTCCATGAGGCGGCAGGCAAGCCAGGCAACTTCACTAGACGGCCAGAGCAAGACTTCGGAAACGGCAGCTGCAGATGCTCAACAACAGCTCGACGATGGCACCTTCCAGTTAGCCGCAGACCATCCCACTTATGTGCGAGTCGGCGCCACTGCTGAAGAAATCGCCACCCAAACCGCGCCCGATGCTGACGAGCACCTGAGAGATCCCAGCGACACCGAACAGATCACCGACGAGGCCTCGAGACCTCACAGGATGCATAAGTTCATCTTGTACGAGACAAACGCGCGCTACTGGATCACTGGCGCCGACATCACCGACAAGTATTTTCGTCTCTTGCGCATAGACCGCAACAGCCCGCCTGGCCAGATCGCGCTGTTCGAAGATGAGACTGTCTACGATCGTCGACAAATGAACGATGTGCTCAATACTATCGACCAAGGCAATCGGTCTACGGGCGGCCTGAAGATGCGCTTCAGCTTTTGGGGCATGCTGGGCTTCATACGCTTCACCGAAGCTTACTACATGCAACTCATTACTAAGCGCAAGCAAGTTGCAATGATAGGAGGTCACTATGTGTATCAAGTGGAGGGAACCGACCTCATCCCTCTAACTACAGGGTCGAGCAGCAATTTCCTGCGCGACCGCAACCCAGAGGAGTCGCGATTCCTGAGCATTCTGAATAACCTGGATCTCACCAAGTCATTCTACTTCAGCTACTCATATGATATCACACACTCCCTGCAGCGCAATATCATCCGCCAGCGACAGGCGATGAATGATGGTATCGCGGTCGCGGCGCATGAGTATAATGGCATGTTCGTTTGGAATTCCCACCTACTGAAGCCTGCAGTAAATGCGCTGACACATCCCTACGACTGGTGCTTGCCAATCATACACGGCTTTTTGGCACAAGCTGCTTTGGATGTATTCGGCCGGACTGTGTATATCACAATCATTGGCAGAAGGTCACGCTTCTATGCGGGAGCTCGATTTCTCAAGCGTGGAGTGAATGACTTGGGATACGTCGCAAACGATGTCGAGACCGAACAGATTGTAGCAGAAAAGATCACCACTTCATTCCATGCTCCTGGTACCCGGCTTTTTGCTAATCCGACATACACCTCCTACGTTCACCACCGAGGCAGCGTGCCGCTGTACTGGAATCAGGACAACAGCGGCGTCACGCCTAAACCTGGAATCGACATCAATCTGCACGATCCGTACTATCAGCCAGCAGCTTTGCACTTTGACGATCTTTTCGCGCGCTACGGAAGTCCAATCTACTGCTTGAATTTGGTCAAGTCCCGAGAGAAGACGCCACGTGAATCGAAGTTGCTGACGGCGTACGAGCACTGCCTTGAGTACCTCAATTCCTGCCTACCGGACGACAAGAAGATTTTGTACAAAGCCTACGATATGGCGCGCGCCTCCAAGGGCCGCAATGGTGATGTGATAGGTGGGCTCGAGAAAATCGCACGTGAAGTGTTTGAGAAAACCGGCTTCTTTCACAACGGTGAAGAGGGGCGTTGGGAGCCCCAAGCACAGAATGGGATTGCCAGGACAAACTGTGTCGACTGCCTTGACCGCACCAATGCGGCTCAATTTGTCATTGGCAAGCACGCGTTCGCGCAACAGCTGAAGTGTCTCGGGATAATCAGTGCAGATGAGGTGGACTACGATACAGATGCCGTCAATCTATTCACGGCGATGTTCCACGACCATGGAGATAATATCGCCATGCAATATGGAGGTTCACATCTCGTGAATACGATGTCGACGTATCGCAAGATGGGCCACTGGCAAAGTTCGAGTCGAGACATGGTCGAGAGCTTCAAGCGATATTACCACAACTCGTTTCTAGACGGGCAACGCCAGGAAGCATACAACTTGTATCTGGGGAACTACATCTGGGCACAAGGACAGCCAATGTTGTGGGACCTGAGCACCGATTATTACCTTCACCACAGCGATCCGAAGGCCTGGCTGGAGCGCGAGAGACGAAGTTACATCAAATGGTATACACCTGAATACCTAGAGCCACGTGCTGTACCTCCCAGGCTGCCGAACAAAAGACTCACGAAGGAGCTGCAAAGGACCGGAATCGCAGCTTTTGATGACTACTGGCGAGAGTGCTATCGCCCGACAGCACTCTCGTCACTCGAGAAGGTCTACTCGTACAGGATGGTATGCACCAATAAGACTCTGCTCCCAGAACGTTCATCCGGCGATGTCAAGTTCGATTTCAGTCCCTTTGTGCGCCGCACGGATCCTCAAAAACACCATAATGACTCTCCCGAGAAGCAAAAGCCTCGCAAAGGCGTGAAAATCGTTGATCCTCACGACACAATTCCAGAGGAACCCGACAATGTCCCTACATCCCGTCCACAGACCGCAACTTCCTTCGACAACAATGATCTCCCCGCCGGCATCCTCCGCGAACCCACAGTGTACAAACTACGCAGTGGCGACAACAACTATGCTACGAATCCCATAAACAGCTCCGCACAAATGTCAAATGCCGCAATCATGAACTCTTCGACCACAACTGGCACCGGCACATACAAGTCCTCGACATCATTCCAGCCGGCTGATAAAGCGCAAATGCACCTCTGGACTCTCAACCAATTCCATACGCAGTCGCTTAATCCTCACGTCTCGGACGATGAGGAACAGGAATATACAAGATACATCTCTCATCCTACAAACATACCTCTGGTTGTCAGTACCGAGCTGCCCGCATCGGATGCCAATCTGGATTACTTGGAATATGTTCAGAAGGCAGGCGGGAGTTTGTTTGGCGTGGAGCAGACGGGTGATGAGGAGGATGGCATGGAAAGTTTGGCGATCGGAGGAGATGACGATGTGCCGGGTGAAGGGGTCACTGAGGAGGACTTGCAGAGCTTTTGGGAATATCTGGAGAGGAAAGAGGATCCTCTAACAGTGAGCGAGGAGGATGGGGCGAAGAAGAGATACAAGGCGTACAGGCAGTGGTTGAAGGGGAAAAGTTTATTCAAGCAGAGTAAGGTTGATCCGGAGTGGAGGGAGGGTGGAGTGGAGCGGTAGAAGAAGGGCGAGGAGGCATTCCAGTCGAAGCAGAGTGCTACACAAATAATAAAAATCGTGTTACGAGATGATTTCATCACTCTCTGGTAATCATGTCAACAACTCTTCCTCCTTCCCACCTTCCCCGAGTCTCCTCCTCTTCCGATTCTGTGCCCTCACCACACCTCGCAGCACCAAAGTCAAACCCGCCACACACCCCATCGCCACCGCACAAACAGCCATACCCTTGGTATAATACGGCCCTTCCGCATCAGGATACAACCTCGTCCCCACCAACGGCCCCATCTGTCCCACAAGATTCAAAACCGCCATCCCCGTCCCCTTCCCCTCATCCGACTGCTGATTATTCACCGTCCAAGTAATAATAATCGTAACACAAGAGAAAAATCCCGCACAAACAGGAAAAACCGCCGCATACCGAATCCCATGCGAAAGTTGGAATGTTCCAGCTAGTGTGAGGAGAATGTAACCTGAGGCAGCGAGGAGGGAGTGGAAGAGGAGGGGAATTGTACGAGTTTGGAATTTGTCGGAGAGGTGGGCAGACAAGAGGACGGTGAAGAAGGCGAAGAGGTTTGGTGGGGCGGCGAGGAGTTGGGATTTTAGAGGGGTGGAACCCATGGCGTTGAGGATTGTGGGGAGGAAGACGGGCATGCTGCTGAAGGCTACGTTGCAGCTGAAGAAGATTGCGGCTGTGAGGTAGGATTTGGGGTCCTGGAGGGTGGTGAGGACGGAGGACCAGGAGAAGGGTTGTTTGTGGCGGGGTACGTTCGTTTTTGTGCCAGGTTTGGTTGTGGTGGTGGCATTGAGGACTTCGCTGCGCATGCGCAGGGAGGCGATTTTGCGTTGGCGGGTCGTGAGCCAGCGGGCTTGCGAGGGGGAGTCCGGGAGCCAGTAGTAGGTCCAAATTGCCACGATGCAAGCGGGGAAGCCTTCGAGAAGGAAGAGGAGTCGCCAATTAGCGATGGGGAGGGCGTTACCGAAGCGGACGATGAGGTAGGCGAGACTGCTTGCGAAGCTCGTGGCGAGAGGTGCTGCGGCGATGAAGATGCCGGTCCGGAAGGCCAATTCTTCGCGTCGGAAGAAGAAGGATAAGTAGATGGGCATTCCAACGAATGCGGCTTCTCCAATGCCGAGAAGTGCTCGCAAGGCAAGCAGGAAGCCGAAGCTGGTGACGAGGGACTGCAGTGAAGCGATGACACCCCAGACGAAGACGCATGTGGCGATGTAGATGTGCGGCGGGAAGATCTTGTAGCAGAGCGTCATCCATTCGAAGAGGACGTATGTTATGTAGAAGGCGGTCAGGAGCCATTGGAATTGCGCATCGGTGAGCCGAAGGTCGGCAGTGAGGCCAGCGGTTTTGGCATTACCTGTTCGCCCATGTCAGGACTGCATCCTCTGTCATTACAAAGTGGACGGAGAGGGAAGACGCACCAATATTGCTGCGGTCGAGAAAAGCCATCATGTATAGAAGTGCTACGAACAGCACCAGCCTCGTGTCTAGCTTGTGTCGCACCCTCGCCTCTTCGTCTGGTGTGTATAGTTGAAACGACTGCAGACTGCTTCGTCGTCTGCGCCGTCCTGTCCCAGCCAGAGGTGCTCGATCGTCTTCATCTGCACTGTCCTGCTCTTCCGCTCCTCCCATCGCTTGTTGTACATCCTCGTACTCTTCGTCTATTCGCTTGCCGTCTTTGCTCATCTCAGCCATCTCGTAGCCGTCGTCGTCTGCGTCCCATAATGGCTCAACAGAGGCCGCAGCCTTGTCATATACTCTTTCGGAGCCATGGTCTTCTTCAGCATCAGGATTCGCGTTCCCTGGCTCGGTGGGCCTCGTGGGCATCGTTCACGCGACCTCAACTCTGCACCATTGCATAGCGGTGAGCCAGGGTGTTTGCACTGATTGCCGGTCAATCGCTGGTCACAATACACTCCAAGTGATGATGAGTATGTCAAGCTTCTCGGCGCAAAAGATGAGAGCTGTAGTGTGCGACACACGCGGTGGCTGCCAAACCTTGTCGATCTACGGCGGGAGCTCCACGAGCTTGTGCTTCCCCGTGGAAGCATCATCTCAAATCGCCGTGGCAGTCACAAATTCCGGCATGTTGTCGGAAGGAGTTGAAAATGCAAACAGGTTCAACCACTGTGATTCTGAGCGTTGGCAGCGGGAGCAGTATGCCCGCTGACATGTGCAACGAAGCCATGTCGTTGGGGAAGTAATCGAGTCTCGAAAGGACGTGGTTGTTTGTGCCACGCCCGTTTGTCACGACTTCATCTCACCAATCATGAGCACATCGGCGGTGACCCGCTCTCCGCGCGAGCCAGGGTGCATGTGGACGCTGATGGAAGATCTCCGCGCTCTGTGCAACGCTCGTCGACTGCGCCGTGCTGCAAGCGATGCCTTCTCCAACACGACAACGACAACTCCTGCACCTCGTCTGCAGCTGGCCACAGCCCCGATCCAGACCGTGTGCAGATGTGAGTTGCCGTGTTGGGCGAAGCTGCCATCTTCCACCTCGGTTTGGCGTTCAGCTTTGTCTGTCCTGGCCCTGGCGCGCCTTGCCGCTTTCTTCCTAGACGCCCGCAGCGCAATCGAGCCTAAGTTAGACCTGCCCTGCCATCGGACCAAATGCGCACCACCCCCAGCGCCCGCCTGCCACCACCCACGACGCCTTTGTCCCACCGCACCCTGCCAGACCGAACACCACCACCACCGACATCGACCCGACGACCACCCCCCGACTCCCGCCCGCGACTTCCGGAAACGCGTCCGAGTCCATTTCACTTTCGGCACTCCACGTCCATCTGAGACACGCCGCATCGATAACGTCCATACGATCTGCATGTGCACTTACCACCACGCGCATGTCCCGTGACAGCCACTTCGACACGCTTCGCTCTTCAGCTCTTGGCCTGCGGGCCTGAGCAAGAAGTCATCCTGGCCGGCATCGCGAACCAGTCTGCCTTGCTGCAGTCTGGCTACGAAAACAATTATGCCTCCTTCCACCAGCCCCATGCCTCCCGTGCCAACGCGAATGCCCCTTCGATGACATTGACTCCCGAGAATATTGCGCCCAAAAAGCGCAAAGACGCGCCTAATCCATCTGGAGTGAAGCCCGTGAAGAAGGTGAAGAGAGTGGGTCCAAAGGAGAATCCCAAGCCGGAAACGAATGGTGATGGCGATAAAGATGGGGAAGCTGCCAAACCGAAGCGCGTACGGACTGGGTGTCTGACATGTAGAGAGCGCCACCTAAAATGTGATGAGGGCCTACCCAACTGCAACAATTGCAAAAAGAGCAATCGACAATGCAAGCGAGGCGTGCGGTTGAACTTCATCGACACATGGTGTCAAAGGCCGCCTATACTGTACAACTCTTGGGGCACGTCGAACTGGAAGGTGGCCTTCATGGACGAGTCACGGGAGATTGCGAATGAATACCAAGGAGGTATTGAGCGGTATCAGCATCTCAAGCTGGAGCCGGATGTGCAAACCACTCAGCCACTGGACTCGGGCATTGCTTTCGACTATCCGACGGCCACATCACAGCTACCACCGATGAACCAGGCACTACCGCCTATTGGTGGCATAGTGCCAGACACATATCCCGAGCCAATGCAGCAGCCACACATGAACAACATGTTCGATCAGCAGCCGAAGCTGGATCTCAGTCACCTGAATTCTCATCAAGGACCGCCTCCGGGATCAGGCTCCACTCAGCATTCACATCACACAAACGACTCAAACCATGGGATGCGTGCCATGCAAGGGTCAGTGGCGAGCTGGAATGGCTTGGATACCGAACTCATTGACACGGATAAGGAAAAGAAGGAGTATCTGGACAGCCAGGAAGAGACGCTCTTCATGCAGGTGTTCGTGGAAGAAGTCGGCCTGTGGATGGACAGCATGGACCCGCACAAGCACTTCTCTCGACTGCTGCCATTTCACTCGCTCTCTGAGCCCATGCTACTCAATGCATTCCTAGCATGTGGCGCGCGTCACTTGACTCTAATCAATCCTGTGTACACAGAGGAGAAGGCATTGCATTACTACGACACCGCAACACGCTATCTGCTCAAGAACCTGCAAAATCCGAACCGAGACACAGTGGTTTGCGCAACGACCGCCGTCATTCTGAACGTGTACGAGATCATGTCAGAGAAGGCGCTTCAGCGGATGAATCACATCGCCGGTGCACGAGCGCTGATCAAGGAGTGCGGGTGGAACGCGCGAGCCCAGGGAGTTGGGTCTGCCTGCTTCTGGTTGAACGTGGGCCTGGAAGTGCTCTCCTGTCTGCACTTCAACTGGCAAGTCGCTTGGGATCCGGAAGATTGGGGGGTCGACATGGACTTTAGCCGCGAGATCGCGAATGGGCGGGAAGAAGTCTGGACCCACCGAATGCTCTTCATCGTAGCGAAGATCTGCAATTTCCGCGCCACGATGCCACGGGAGCAGCTGCCCAATCAGCGAGACGAGCAAGTTCGGCTGCAAGCACGACACGAGCAGTGGACGCGTTTGAGACGAATGTGCGATGCTTGGAACGATGGCATTCCACGGACGATGCATCCCATGGCGTATCTATACGCTTACCAGACGAGCTCAAAATCCGTCTTTCCTGAAGTGTGGCTGGTAAAGAGAACGACAATCGTGGCACGGCTGTTCTATCATATGGCCATGCTGTTGATGGCGCAAATACATCCCTATTATGGGCTGGACAATCCGGAAATGCTGGAAATGCAGACGCGACACTCGCAAATGATATGCGGCATCGTTGCGCATGTCAAGGATCGGTGGGTTCGACGTGTCTTGTCATTTTGCTGAGTTTTATGCTAACTTTGAACAGCGGTGTCGCATCTGTGGCCATTCGCTCCCTCGCTCATGCAGCAGAAGTTCTCACTGATCGTAAGGAACAAGAGGAAGTTCTGACCATCTTCGACAAGATCAACAAAGAGACAGGCTGGCGTATAGGCTTCGTCTACAAGGAGCTCAAGGAGAAATGGGGCTGGAACGAAGAAATATCGCCTCAGCAATACGCGCAAACACACAACGCTGCTCGCCAAGCCAAAGAAGCGCAAGACGAGCAGCAGCGGCAGATGCAGGAACAAGCCCAGCGAGCTCAATCCCTGTCTTTGCAGCAGGGCTTCAACTTTGGTCAGCAGAACAACATGTCGGTCATGCAGCAACAGCAAGTCACCCCAACCCAAATGTCGCCGCCACAACAACCACCGCCCAGTCAGCAGCAGTCGAGACCCAGGACATCTGCCCCGGCGAAGCCGAGGATTCCGTCCGGCATTCCAAACCCGCTTTACGCGCAGGCCGACTTTACGCTGTCTCAACACCCCTACCAAAAGTTCTACGTCCCGCCCAACGTCTCACAAAGCATGGGCTTCACGGCGAACGGACAATCGAATGGCGGTGGCGTTCCTGCCCCACCGCTCTATTACAACTAAGCGTGTGGCACTCTTCTTTTTACAGCATTGCAGTTCAGTTTTTTTTGCATACGACACAGGGACAGACGGATACACAGCACGATCAGGGAAAAAAGCTTTTTCAACACAGCAGTGATTGGGCAAAAGAGGGTCTAATCATGTACGAGTACGACGATAACGAGATCCTAGGGAAGGAAACCTTTAGCTTTTATTATCTGATTCGAATTTGTTGCGAAGTTTTGGGGAAGAGGAGGATGTTGAAGAAGAGCTTGGCAACAAGGCGAGATGTGATACCCATACAATTGTTTTGGTTCGGTTTTAGTTTAGGGGAGGTGGCGGGATGTCGGCACGGCAATACAATTCGGAGCAACTTCTATCGTGGACTCTGTCTACATCGACATTTCTTCCTGTCTCCGAGTCTTGAAATGCCCCAGCGATACGGAGTGCGTTTGGGACGTCTGGTAATCGCAGCAATAACCAGGTCGGATGTGGTGCCGATTTCTGGTGTGCCAACATAGGGACTGCAAAGCATAAGATTTGTTATTATCCTAGCTCGTCCATTATGCTGCCATATCTGCAGATCGAAGATATTAAGACTTCGTCGATGGGGCTCTCTGCATGAATCAGAGACCGTTGAATGATCATGTTACCATTAATGATCTGTCACTGAATCCATCTGGCAGAGCGACTTGCTCTCTCCGACCAGGATGTCCCGGTCTCTGTGCTGGAACACACGGCAGACGCAATCGCATCTCTCCATCGTTCCAGAGAAATAACAATGGTATCCAAAGCGATATCGCCGCCTCTGCCAGCTTTCAGTTGTGAATTCTAGCAGAGTTATTTGCAGGCGTCAGTCGAGTCCAGCTGCATTCATTCGTTTTGGAATGTCAAGCTCTGGAACTTTCGAGCGCATAGTCTCGACCATGAATGACTCCATGCATGCTTCGAAGAATGCCTATTGGCAATCGCTAGCTCTGGTGCCTCACATCTAAGCTTTCCAGCAGAGTCAACCATGAAGTTCGTTTGGATTCCGCATCTGCTGGGCTTTCAACGTTTGGCCGTCTGGCTCCTTCTCGGCCCTTCATAAACTCGTCTCTCGGTCGCTCCGTTTGACTCTCTGGGCACATCCGGCCCCATTTCCACCTCTGGCAGCTTTCTCGCACGATTTCCGTCAGAGAAAGCCGGCGATTCCAGTCAAAATGGCCGGATCTTGCCATTACATTTCCTGTACCCACCACATTTCGCCCCACCAGAAATCCAGAAACATGGGATCCAGAAGCTATTTGTACAAGGTTTCCGTACAATTTCTGCCATAATACTACCCTTTTGAATGCCCAATCCCATCAAATCTCCATCAAATCCTCATCAAAATTCATTAACAATGAACTCCTCATTCTCGTCGTCCTCCTCACGGAACCTGTCATGGTCTTCTTCATTCTCCACACCTTCGGCGAAAATGAATGGTTGGCCACCCTCGTCATGACGAACTTCCCCGAACATACGCAGTAACTCTTCGACTGTGAGCTTTTCTTTGAGGCGCGGGTTCTCCATGACTCTGCGGACAGGTTAGTTTCTGAGTCGCCGGGCAGAGATTTTGGGGTAAATTTGCAGATTTGGGGTTTTGGAGACAACTTACTCATCGATTTCTTTCTCCTTTTTCTCCTTCAAGGCCATCATGGCGGCGTCGATGGTATTCTCGACGACGAACCGCGTCATGCGCGTTTCTTTCTCCTGACCGATGCGGAAAACTCTGCAGAAGGCTTGCTGTTCGACGGCGGAGTTCCACCACGGGTCGATGAGAATGACGCTAAATTGCAGGTTAGTTGGGTTCACATATCAGGATTATGGGTCAACTTACTGCTGCGCCATCGTCAAATTGAGACCCAAGCCACCGCATCGAAGAGACATGAGCATGACGTTGCACTCAACGTTTTCGCCAAACCGCTTGATAGCCGCGTCTCTGGCGTCTTGAGACATGGACCCCTGATAGATGACATGGTTCCACTGCTCCTGCAAGCAGACCTTAGTCATGATGCGGATGATGGGCATGAACTGGGTATAGACGATGATTTTGCATCTCGGATCCTTGCCTAGCCACTCCAGGATCTGCGCTTTGCACGCGATGGTCTTAGTGGATGGGAGGATGTCGCCTTTCATACCAATCCAGTCGTTCTCGTCTTTTCTCTTCTTACCTCTGCCCTTGGCACCCTTGCCGCTGCCGGTGAAGGATTGGACGTCAGAGGCGGAAGAAGCCACACTGGACTGCGGATATGTTGGGTTGAGAGCGCAAGGATCGACGGTGGTGTACTCAGTGCCGCACTCGACGCATGTAGCACATTCCCTTCCGGCACGTGCAGCCTGATGTTGCAGCTCATTGACGCAGGTCAGGCAGTAGATATGGAAGCACGAAGTGACATGCGGGTTCTCTGGTGGCTGGCGGCACGCACTGCACGTGGAACGTGCCTCGATCTCCTCGAATGAACTCGAATCCGCCAGATTCTGCATGTACTTGCCAAAGTTGTAGCTGAGGCCATGCTTCCTTCCGGCAAGGCCCAGACTGTCAGCATATTCGACGATGTTGATCGGCGCAGTCTGTGAGGCGGGGACCACTGTGCCAACGCCACCAGCTCCCGCTTCCACGGTCTCTTCGTTGTCTGTTACACTCTTCTGCAACACATGTCGGAGGTGGATGAGGACGGAAGCGCCTGCATCTTCCGTCATTTTGTGGCGGCACAGTGCATTCAGCTTCTCAAAGTCCTCGCGCTTGAGCAGGTCAACGATGGTACTCTGGACAAGCAATATGTGGGCACAGAGTTGGCGAAGTCGAAGAAGCATGGTCCAGATGTGGTTGTAATGTTGCACCAATACGCCGTTCTCGTTCTTAGAGATGGTGTTGATCCGCTGAATGAAGCGTGCTCTGACGATCTCGTAGATCTGGCGCTCTGTCTCATTGAAGCTTAGCCAGACCACAGTCTGTTTCGGCTGAGGCAAGTCCACGAGCTTCGCACCAAATAGGGTATCCAGATGTGTGCGGCGGATCATGATCTTGCGAAGGAACACAGCCAACCGAGCAGTACCATCCGGATCGTCTGGTGTGCAGAAGTTCTCCTTGAAGATCCGGAAAGAGCCAGTATTTGGCTCGCGAAGAAACTTGAAGTAAGGGTAGAACTCGGTCAATCGATTCATGATCGGTGTGCCAGTAATGGCCCAGTAGTGCGTAGCCTGCACTGCCCGGCACGCGAGACTCGTATGACCTTTGTGGTTCTGGATCACAGTTAGCTTTCTCCGTTTCGAGCGTTTAACTTGAGAATGACTAACCTTGATCGCCTGAGCTTCGTCAAGCACCACTCGATGGAACTTGAGACGGTGGAAAACACCCTTCTCTTTCTCGTAGTGGTCCTTCCACCACGCATCCTTCTGAGCCGCAGTGACAAGATGTGCTGGAACCTGAGGCTTCGGATAGGACTTGCAGATCTCGCCGTAGGTAGTGAGACATATGTCGGCTTCGACTATGCGCTCGCGCACGATGTCGGCGTTGGAACTGATCCTATGTCCGGCACGATGCTGAACGACAACCTTGATACCATGCTTGATCGCGTGCTCAACATGACGATCATTGTTCTTGCTGAGGGTATGCTTTTGAATCTCGGCCTCCCACTGATTGCACAAAGCTGGGCTAGCCACAATAAGGGTGCACTTCTGTTGTGGATTTGAGGACTTGCCGTTGATGATGTTGGCCAGCATCATGACAGTCTTGCCCAGGCCCATTTCGTCTGCAAGAATGCCGCCTCTGGGCTCATGAAGCTCGTTCTCGCGCTTTCGCATGAAAGCAGTGCCCAGGACTTGATAGTGCTTCAAGGTTGATCTCATCCCTTTCACGAGCCAATTTCCATCTGGACTTGCTTTGACAGCGCCAGTGCCATTGAACGACTTGCAAGCTTCGTCGAGGAAGCGCTTGTCTGCTGCGGCAATCTTGCGATTCTCCTGTGGTACGGAAGCAATGAGTTGCTTCAATGCATCAGCTTTGCGCTTGGTGCCACTGAAATTGGGTTGGTTGTGCAGGTTGGCATTCTTCTCGGTGTCCTTGAACACATTTGTTCCAAACATACTTTTCACGTTTGTCAAATCTGCCTGTTTCTTCCCACGCCCGCTGCCCTTTCCTGCAGGTTTGCCTGCGCCCTTGCCCTTCTTTGCCTTGTCTTTTCGTCGCTCGTCAGCCTTGTTCAAGACCGCATCAATGTCGACATCCGTGAAAGTTTGACGCCCGGACTTCTTGCGAGGCTTCTTTGCGTTCTGAGCGGCAGACATAGTAGTAGTGGTATCGTCATCATCAGCATCCTCGACAGTGGCTTTGCGTTTGCCACCTGATCGCGTTCTGGTGGCGGCTCGGAATGCTAGATCATCTTCATCATCACTAGACTCCATGCTGTACGGCACGAAGTGGTCTGTAGTGTCGCTGACAAAGAGGCCACTCTCGTTGTCCGGCTCTGGCGACATGTCTTCATCGGCGCGTCGATCCATATCGATCTTGCGTTGGCGTGCATCACGATGAGCACTGGTTTTCATGAAGTCGATCTCCTCTGCCGTGGTCAGAGTACCAGCCTTAGATTTCCTGTCATAATTGGCTTTCGCAGTCTGGTACTCTGCTTCCATGTCGGCGTCATTTAGTCGTGGAGCCGGCGGCGGTGGCATTGAACCCATCGCTTCCATGGAGTCATGGCGCGAGATCACCGGTTCTGGGGAGCCTTCTGCTGGTGAATCTGCGCCACGGCAGTGGCGTTGAGCCAATTCACGCTGTTTCTGCTTCTGTTTTCCGAGAATGCTGTTGCCGAAGTCTAGTTGACGTGGTGCCTCTGCTGGGCGTTCAGACTCGCGATTCGGTGGAGACACGCCGGCATTCGCGTCACCTGCCTCTGTCATCTCGTTATCGAAGTCCAGGTCAGCGAAAGTTGTTTGTAGTTGCGGATCCTCAGTGTCGAAGCTATCGAATGGAGCGACTGGGTCGCTGTCGCCCGTTTCGGACTTGACTGTGTCAATCTCCTGGCCGTTCTGCTCAGCTGCAATCACTTCTTCGTCGTCCGGAAACTGAGCGTATTGCTGGAGCTCGTCAAGAGCCGAGCCCAGACCTTCAAATTCGAAGTCGCCGTCGCCGAAAGCGTCGGGTTCCATGAAGGAGTTTTGTTCTTGCGCAGATGGCGGCGAGGCAGCACGGTCGCTGTCGCCCGTCGCCATTGGATCTGGAGTGCCACTAGCCATGGCGCTACGGTAAGCTCGTCGGTCTGGAGTCAGTGGTAACAGCGGATGTGAGTGGTGAAGGTTAGATGCTTGTGCAAGGTGGTGCAAGGTCGTTGTCAGTGGTTGGATGTGGAGTAAGAAGGACAAGTTGAGAAAGGCAAGCCACAAGCCTCAAATAGTCGCCTGGGATGTTTATCCGGGTAAGCAGGTGCGAAGCATGTGAGGCAGTGTGTGCCCACCATGAATGGGTTGTGAGTGTGCTGTCAAATGATATGGCCGTGATAGCATGTGAGGATGTGCGAACTTGCTCCTGATACTTGCCATGAAGAGCCCATTATGTATTGGAGGCAAGGCTCTTGGCCCAGCCTCCGGCGAATCCAATGAAGGTTGAATATCATGGTTCAAACCTCCAGAGGGTTCCACGGACCAGTGTCGGGACCAAAGGCCAGCAAGAAGCAGAGAGAGTCAGAGCTGCACATCGTATACCGACCGCATCCTAATGGCGTTACTCTTGTTGCCAGAAGCAAGAGCTGAAGTATCACAGGACAAGCTGTGGTGCCTCACAAGTGGCATACAGCCTCAAGCTCGCGAGGTCGATTCAGGCCTTCAGTTAGGGCGTCTGATCATGACGACCATCAAATTGTGAGTTTGAGCGCACGAAATGCTTCGAAGTTGGTGCTTGACTGCTCGGCTCTGGCAGAGCATTGTCGCGTCGCGCGTCGAGTTTTGCTCGTGTCTGGAACCGGAACACGATGGCATGAACCCAGCAGAGCAGTGGAGCCCTTGCATCTCCGACGCGATACGAGCGCCTCTTCGATGCACGAGAAAACGATCTGTCTTTGAGGTGTTGTCATCGATGTTTAGTAGAGCAGCAACGGAGCTTGATGGAGGTGACGTTCTGGAAGTGTAAGCCAAGCCAAGCTTCGGACGAGGCTGCATAAAATTTTATCCGGGCTTCTGCATCTTCTCGAAGTCGAGACTTCCATCTACAACTTTCTCCATTCTACGCACAATGTCTGTCCGCAAACGCAACGAATTCTTGGAAGGCGACGAGAGTGAAGAGGAGCTGGAAAATGGCTATGGCTCGGATGCAGAAGAAGGACGAGGCGCGATAGCGAACAAGCGGCGCAAACTGGACAGCGAGGAAGACAGATCAGACGACGACATATCAGAGGACGACAAACCGCCTGCGAAGTCCACGAAAGCGACTGGCACAGACTTGCGATTCGACTTCTCCCACTTCGACGCCGAGGACGAGGAGGATGGGCATCCAGCGGAACACCCAGAAGACGAGGATGAAGCCAACCTCTCTGGCATCGACAACGACAACGACCCCAACGACACCACCACCAACCCCAAACTCAAAAAACCCAAAGACCTCCTCGCCTACGAAGCCGCAACCCGCAAACTCCAAAAATCCGGCGTAATCTACCTCTCCCGAATCCCCCCCTTCATGAAACCCCAAACCCTCCGCCACTACCTCCTCCCCCACGCCCCCAAATCCGGCCTCGGCAGAATCTTCCTCACCCCCGAAGACTCCACCTCACACTCAAAGCGCATAAAAAACGGCGGAAACAAAAAGAAAACCTTCACAGACGGCTGGGTCGAGTTTTTGTCCAAAAAAGAAGCCAAACTCGCAGTAGAAAAATTAAACGGGAATATTATTGGAGGGAAAAAGGGCGGGTTTTATCATGATGATATTTGGAATTTGAAGTATTTGAAAGGTTTCAAGTGGGATCATTTGACGGAGCAGATAAGGGCGGAGAATGCGGAGAGGACGGCGAGGATGAGGGAGGAGGTTAGGAGGGTGAGGAAGGAGAATCGGGCTTTTGTGGAGGATGTGGAGAGGGGGAAGATGGTGGAGGGGATGGAGAGGAAGAGGAGGGCGAAGGGGGAGAGGGAGGGTGGTGGGGATGGGGAGGGAAGTAGTGGGAAGCAGCAGATGAAGTTTAAGCAGAAGAAGGCGAAGCAGAAGGAGGAGAGGGAGAAGGTTGCGGAGGAGTTTAGGTTGAGTGAGGGGGTGAGGAAGAAGATATTCTGAGGTGGATTTTGGCGGGAAGTTGCCCCATGGACTTATCAACTTCGTGTACCTTATGGACATTGTGCGGGCAACACACAGCATGCTGAGCAATACCTCGCTTCGTCACGCAATGGCTCCTGCTCAGCCGTACAGCTAATACGAAGACCGTTGAACGAGCTCCAATTCTGAATGTTCCGCCTTTAAAGTTGACCCTTCACACACGCAGGTCCGGCAGTACGATCCAAACCCGCGTGGTCTTTTCAGGAGCCTCGCTGGAAATCACTGTATCGAATGAGTTGCCGCAATAGTCAGATAACATCGAATTAGCGCAGAGTACAGCTGAAGTCTCATATCACTGAAGAGGAATGGCCCTCGTATCAAACATGCAGAAACTTTGTATTTCTCTCGATTCTGTGGGTATCTCAATCTCAAGCTCAGTCAAAAAGACTCAAAAGTGTACAGTACAGGTTATCCTCTCCAAGCCTCTTCGCTTCCCTATGTAACCCTGAACGCCAAACGCTTGCTGAACTCATCGAAAAGGGAATAGGAAAAATCCAACGATAGTCGAGCCAGCCTGCGGCCCTCCAACGTATTCGTACAAAGGGATTACTTCAGTAGCCAGGATATCACCCAGCAACTTCTCCCTTGGCAGGATAGAACCATGCACTGATGGCAATGATGAGATAGGTGATCATCAGCAAAACGCCTTCTAGCCAATGTGATTTTCCGTCGTTGATGAGGTAATTGACCAGCCAGATCGAAAGAACGAGGACGACGACGAGGAACCCATCGAAGTCGAGGTTCAAGACTTCAGGGCTGCCAACGCCGAACCAGCTGAGGAGGACCATGATGGGAAGGACCAAGAGGGCAATTTGTAAGGAAGAGCCCACTGCGACACCGATAGAGAGATCCATTTTGTCTTTGATGGCGACAGTGACGGCGGTGGCGTGCTCGGCTGCGTTGCCCACGATTGGGAGCAGGATCAATCCGATGAATTCTTGCGAGACGGATTCGGCTACTGAGTTGATGGCCGAGACCATGTATTCGGCGCAGAGGGCGATGAAGACAGTTGAGATGGCGAGGGTGATGATGGCGCCTAGAACGCTCAGCGAAGGAGTCTCCTCTTCTTCCGGCTCCTCGTGCACGAGGTAGTCTTGGTTGACTCGTCCTCCTGCTGATGCGGCTCCAGGTCCAGCGCCCATCATAGCGAAGGCCTTGTTGGCCTCACCAGCATCTTTCTTGCCGGTTGAGCGTTTCGGGGTCTTTTTCGAGGGTTCATTGTACATGTCCACGTGAGTCTTGAGCTGGAAAAGAAGATAGCAACCGTAAACGACGAGCAGGAGGACCGATGTTCCTCGCGATGTCGGCGTCACTCCAGAGTCTACATCGGCGAAGATCTGGAATGCAGTAGGGATGATGAGCGATCCAATTGCCAGTGCCAAAAGAGAAGCCGCAGTCTGGGCCACTGTGATGTTGAAGTGTTGCTCTGGTCGATTAATACCGCCAAGGAAGAAGGACATTCCGAGAACCAGGAGCAAATTCGAAAGCATACTGCCAATGAGCGAAGTTTGGACGATCAGGACTTTGCCTTGGGTCAGAGCGATGATGCTGACGATCAATTCGACTGCATTGCCGAAGGTGGCGTTGAGAAGACCTCCGAGGACTTCACCAATGTACATAGCCAGTTCTTCGGTTGCATAGGAGAGCACTGCAGCCAGAGGAACGATCGCGATGAAGTTCATGACGAAAATGATAATGCCGTTCTTCTGGATAGACTTGTCCAGAACATATTCCAGCGCGATACCAACCGGGACGAAGACCAGAAGAATGTTGATCCAGGAGCCGAAGACAGCCTTGACTTGGCTCATGAATGGTATTTTCGGATGCTTCCTCCTCTTGGATTTCTCTGTGCTGACCCGAGACAGGTCGCCGTCCTGCTCATCGTGTTTTCCCTTCCCGAAAGGCATGAACGCTCGCAATTTGCGCTTGCGTGGTTTGCCCTCTGCATCTGTGGGGCCGGCAGACTTGGATATTGAGCTCGGCGGCAATGTGTCTGTCTGTCCCGAGTGCGCCTTTTCTGACTCCCGACTCTTGTCAAAGGACTCGATGGGCTCTCTGCTGTAGCCTGCATAGCTGCCTTCTGCCGTCTCAGGACCGGAAGGGAACGTGTTGTGATGGTGTGGGTGCTCTCCCAGGCGTTCGTCTACCGTCTTCCCGGTGTCGTCGACAGGCGAAGAGTCTGGCGCACTTCGCACTTGGCGCAAACCATTCTCGACATCGGTCCCGTTCCGCACCCGCGGGTTCATTCTCCCGAAGACATTGTAGGTCTTCGTGGTGTCGTTTGGGTCATTGTACCAGGCGTGCTTTCGCGCGGTGTGCTTGATCTTGTCTGCACGCCACATGTCTGGTCAGTACTCGCACTCATGTCGACGCGGCAAAGACGAAAAGCAAAAGTAAGCGGAGCGGAGCGAACTTACGCATGGCGAAAGGTGTGGTGGAGCGCTCGAACACAGCCTCGTCGGACGATTAGCTCAAAGGGTGTGTTGTGGTCCAATCCTAGTCGCGGTAATATGAGGTGTGCAGGTAAGCTGCTGCGCCTCTACCACTGAAGGTCGATGAGGCGAGAGAATGCAGAGTTGGTGCGTGGGTTTGTCGCAGAGTAGCCAAGGTGCAACGGACGCGCTCAACGACGACCGTTTCCTAGGAATGGCACTCCTTATGAGCGAGTGGCTGCAGAGTCGGGTTGTCGATCGTTTGTGGAGTGTGTGGCGCAAGGGCAATGCAGGAAATTAGACTCGCGGACGCTCATATGGCTGAGCAGGTGGTCCCAGTGGCGCGCGCCGCCGTTCACTCGTCATCGATGAGCTGTTCACCCGGCGGCAGAGGTAGAGATGTTGTTAGGCGGGTGGGATCAGCGGGCAGACATGGGCTCGGTTCGCTGTTCGCTGTGCTGTGCTCGTCTACGAGATGCAAGCAAGCTGCTTTTCCAGGCCGACCGCGAAGATCAAGCAGTGAGCGAAGTCCACGTCATGGCGCCGCGCAAGGCGCTTGCTATGCGCCATCCGCCTTGATTGTCGACAAGCTCGGGTTGGCGAACACATGGTGGAGGGTGAAGACAGGAGCAGCACGCAGAGCAACATGTCAAGATTCACAAGCCATGTCGTACTGAGCAAGCTACACTGGTAGCATTGGCATATCGACAAGCATTGCCATCGCACAGGAATCTGCTGCTTGGTCATCTTGGCGCAGCGGCGGATTCCCGGGACACTTGTGCCACTTCGTTATACCGCACTTCTCAGCTCTCACGATCCGAGGCGCAGCATGTTTGGAATGCCGACGACTCAGCTCAGTTGATGATGCAAGTCTCAGAGGCAAAGCGAGACGAGAGCTGGAAGAGACGACTTGCAAGATTTGTGTTCGAAACTTGGCAAATTCCATCATCGTGCAGCGCGTGCAAAAGCTTGGTGTCGGTCACCCGAGTCACGAATAAAAACATGCGACACTCGCCGAAGATGGTTGTTGCCAACTTGATGGGACTGCGATCACGGCACGGCATACACACGTGGTTGTTCGGAAAGCGCTACCGCTGAGCCTCTGTCAAACATGAAGCCTTGCACAGCATTTTCCCAACACTCGTCGGAGAAACGCGCCCGCGCTCCGTGAAGCTGCCGACGACGCGTCCTGTACACGACAACATACTTCGATGCTGTTGCCTCACGCCTCAACTTCTTCCTTCCCGCGCCTGAGCTCCATCTGCGACTGTACGCAATGTTACGCAAGAGCACCAACCTCAAGTCATCTCACCGACTTCACGACTCAAATATAAAGGACAGCCAGCTCGAATCGCACAGCCTCCTGCTTCATTCGCAGAACTGTCCTCTGACCTCGGAAACGTCAGAACATGGGACTTGTGCTTAGTCTACGTGTGCAGTCAGCCTCGAAGCATTGACTTCTCATAGCCCGCATGGCCCGGTCTCGAATCTGAAAGTCATCCAGGCACATCGCAGGTCGTGTGCTTACTTGCCCTCAACGTGAAAGACGATCGGGATATTCAGGTCCAGCAACGAAGCACTCTCGCGACATCGCGAGCGGCCAAAACGCGATGAGCGGCGACGAGGCCCGATTCACGCACTCGTAGGCTCTCGGCTGCATTCGACCGCCCGACGAGCAGGGATTACCTTGCTGAGGCAAGCCGGCACTTCGTGGATCGACAGCAACTCGAGCTTGGTTTTGCGTCCAACTCACTGCTGTAGGATTCACCTCTGTGACATTGCACCAACCAAGCAGGCAAAGAACACTACAACATGCTACACACCGATAGCAGAAGCCGTTGCAATCTGCTTGCGACAACGCTCGAAATGCCGAGTTGCACTAATTGATGGCAGCCCTACGTGGCTGTATGCGAACCCAACCTACTCGTGCTGCCCAACGCTGTGACAGCAAAGTCTTGGTTCCATGCCGGCATCTACACGTATTCGCCAGGAACATCCCATGAGGCGATGCTTTGAGCGTCAAATCGGCTCACAGTGCTGAAACCATGTGCCATGCACTGCATCATGACCAAGTCGATCGAGACGGCGTCCAGATCTCCATTGAACACCGTCTTTCCGTAATCACCGCTCAACGCGTACGACCACAAGAGACCGAGTTCCGATAACAGCCTGTCAGAAATCCCAGCCTCACCGTAGACCCAGCCAGTGCTCCCTGAGCGATTCATTATGGGAAGACGCTCCTCATTCGCGCATTGCGCACCTCTCCTCTTTCCGTGCTGACGGTCAGTGCGTGTAGGCAGCGGGTGCCTTCAAGCCCAACATGAATTACTCGAACATGATAGAGGAGAAAAACCTCAAAGTTAGTCGGCACAGCATTTCTCATGGAGCAGTACTTGTACTCACAAGATAACCTCCGCAGAAAGGATTCATTATCGCGACACTGGCCTCAACCATCATCGGCACATTTACAGCAACCTTGGCATTACACGACAAAATCAAAGAGCGAACGGCCAAGCAAAAGGCAACAGACGGGCAGCAGAATGAAGAGTTGAAGCAGCTCAAGGAGCAAATTGAGAAGCTCACAAGTCAAAAAGAAGAGGAAGATAAGAAAGATGAAGAAAAGGCGCCTACTTCACGGTCCAGGTCACGGTCCAGGTCCCGGTCGCGGAGCAGTCGAAGAAGACGCAGGCGGACCTACAACTACGACTCGGATGATGGCCCGGAGGACTATGCCATGATCCAGCACGTCGTGGTCGGGGTGATCCAAGACGCCTTGCGCAAGAATCCGAACTTGAGCGAGGCGGATGTGCAGAAGCTTGTGATAGCCGCGGAAGAAGCTGCTCGGGATGGCACCGTAGAGACACTGCAAGGTCACTATCAAAGATTGGTATTACCTGCTCAGAAGCAGCTGCCCCCTGATGAACAGCACAAAAATCTTCCCATTCCGCTGGACTTGCCGAAGGGCCAGAGACCGTCGCAAGAACGGCCACTTAGTGATGTGGGACGACTGCCTCAGACTCGATCCTACCATCCCGCAAGTGTCGCTGGATCCCGTCGGTACGACGGCCACTATGCCAATCTTCCCGACGTGGACTTTGATCACAGACCTGGACTTGGTCGACACCTGGAGGAGCGCACCGCTGTAGGACCAGTGCCTCCCACGCCAGGTCCACTACCGAGGGCTCCCTCACAAAGAGCGAACTCTCTACCGGCGGACCCTCCGGCCCCGGCGCCCACGCAAAAGGCGGCATCTCAAAAAGCGCGAACAGTATATTCAGATCCTTTCGAACAATTCCAAAAGATCCCTCATGAACGACACGCACAAAAGCAAGGCTCAGTTGGAACAGATCCCTACGCGACCTTGCCGGCTATTCCCATACAACAAATTCCCAAGCGCGATGAGAAAGACAGCAAGTCGACCAAAGCTGAGGCACCCAAGTCACGAGCGCCTTCGCAGCCTGCACCAAGCGAACGCAAGCCTGCATCGCACAAGACCGAGGCCAGTAAGCCAAGATCTCTACCTCACCACCCGGACTGGCAGCCGCCGCCTAAGGAGAAGTACAATGATCCCTTTGGAGGAGCGAAATCAGTCAAGGCATCGACGCATGCCGCAAAAAGTGTTGCCCCTGCAAAGTCAGAGGCTGTGAAGTCGGAAAAGAAAGCCTCGATAAAAGACGAAGCCCCGAAGAGCAAGAGCGTGGCGACAGTCATCGATGGCGAACCTGTCCGATCGCAGCATCCCGCCAAGTCTGAGGGACACCCGTCCAGGTATGTTAGCGTGGAGTATACCATTCCGGTATGCTACATTATACTGACATATCACAGATCTGCAGCACCCAAGTCTGAAGCACCAGCCAAGTCTACAGCTGCCAAATCTGGAGCTCACAAGTCCGAGGCGCCCAAATCTACAGCCCATAAGTCAGAGGCACCCAAGTCCGTAGCGCCCAAGTCCGAAGCACCACCCAAGTCAACAAAAGGCGAACCTCCCAAATCGACGAAGACGGAACGTCCAAAATCGCGGACCGGTTTCGTCGCACCGATGCCAATCCCAGCTCCACCCCTCGGCCCCGCCGCCGTAACGCCTCCCAAACCCCCTCCGACCCTCCGCTCCCACCACGCAAAACCCGCCCCCATCGTCGAAGAGAAAATCAAAGAAGTCCGCGAAATCCGACGCACCTCCCCACCCAAAGCCCTCCCCGCCCCACCCAACAACGACCTCTTCTGCCGCTACGCCACAGACCTCCAAACAACCCCCCTCCCTCTGCACCCCAACTTCTCCTCCTCAGGCTCCCACCGCTGTCCCTCCTGCAGTATCAGCATCCCAGTCGACACCCGCGATGTCTGGGTCCTCAGCACCGCTTTTTCTGCTTCTCCCTCCGGTCGTCCGAAGAAACGGGATTATAGAATGGACGCTCGGTTCGTGGCGAAATGTCATACGGAAGATGGGAAGTTTGCTTGTGTACTTTGTGATCGGTATCGAGAGAGAGATTGTATTTGTAAGAGTGTTGATGCGCTTGTGAAGCATTTGGGGACGGAGCATACGCCTGAGGAATTTGAGGGGGATGCGGATTTGGTGAGGATGGAGGAGGGGAGGAGGGTTGTTAGAGGGAGGAGGGGTGGGGAGATGGCGTTGGCTTGAGGGGGGAAATTGGGAGCTGTTGCTGAGCTGTCTTTGTGTTTGGGAAGTTTCAGTGTTCGCTGTTTGAAGCGCGGAGTTCTATGGCTAAGAGATTGTTACGATATGAGAAAGGCAGGAATACTGCCCTTCTGACAATTAGATTGTGTTATAGTCATGTCTGATAAACTATCTTCTCTTCGTGTCTATTCGCCTCATTCCTGGTGTCTTTCTTTCTTTTCTTCTAGATCTGCCGATTTATCATAACCTTCTTTCTCCCCCATTTCAAAACCCAAAACCTTTCCGCACTCAACTCAACTTCACCTCCAACTTTCCATCCGCTCTGACTCCCAAAATTCCCGCATACGCCGGCCTCACGCCATGCTTCGCATGCCACACCACATGATCCCCATTAATCGCCACATCCATGCCTCCCGGAGCCTGCAACTCAAAAGGCCCACTAGACCTCAACAATTGTCCTTGTCTCTCATACGGTCCTCTGATATCCGTCGCTGTGGCATATTGCACATCGTATTTATCCCCTTGGTAACAGTTGGTGCTGAAAAAGAGCGTATACTTCTTGTTGAAGTATGTGAGAACGGGAGCTTCAATGTAAGGTCCATCGGAGGGGATGTTGGTCATGATGGGGATCGGAGAACCGATAAGGGTGTGTCCGTCTGTGCGGGAGACTTCTTGCAGCATGACGGGGGTTGGTACAATGGGTGGGACGGTGTTGCCGCAGGCTCCTCCGTGGCCGAGGGCGTTTCCGTCGATTTTGTAGACGATGTAGCGGCGGTTTGTGAACTGCTCGTCGGTATAGCCTGCGATGTCGATGGCGCCGCCTTCGGAGTAAGGGCAAATCCAGGGTTCTGTGGTGTTGTCGACGAAGGGGTCTGTGATCTTTTTGGCGGTGGCGTAGGAGAGGCAGTGGATGTTTGGACGGGCTTTCCAGGCTGCTGTGTAGTATAGGAGGTACGTTCCGTCGTCGAGGCGGACGACGTCAGGGGCCCAGACGCGAGGGTCGCGATCGACCCACGAGGGTAAGGTTGGGAGCGCGTCGACACCGCGGTGGAAGGAGAAGGTCTTCCAGTCTGTTGTGGAGGCTCGTTGGACGTTGACCCATTTATCGTCGATTTTGGCGTTTGTGCTGAACAGATGCCAGCCTGAAGAGGTCCTGATGACGGCCTTGCCGCCTTGTTAGAGTGATACGAATGTTCTCCGCGATGCACTTACTGGGTCTGGGAAGTTGACACCGTTCATGATTGGCACTGCTGCTGCCCTCTTCACAATACCGGCATTGGATCGTCGAGTCAGGAATACGAAAGCGCATACAAGCGCCGATACCGAAAGAACCACCATCGTCACCACGCCACACCAAGTCCACAAAGTCTTGCGTCGCGGAGACTTCTTGCTCAATTTCTCAACTAGAGCCGGCGATAATGGTGAAGGGGCGCTGGCCAAAGAGCGTTGACGTAGTGAGACTGCAGGATTGATTCGAATATTCGAAGTATCAGGCATGCCAGGCCTGTTTTAATTGTAGTGAATGTAGGTAGTTGGCCCGTTTGCGAGTACCCGTGAGCCTTGCGCATACCGAGCTCCGCCAGGGTTGTCGTAAAGTCTCGCCATGATAGCATCGTGTGAACAAAGAGGTTACATCGGAAGTCCGAATTAGACCATAAATTGTGGCTCACGCCAAGTGAAGACAAAGAAACACGGGCTGGATTGTCCTTGTAATTGAACTTGGCGTTTCAATATGGAATGTTGTATCAGAAGTGAACTATCATGTGCGACTGCATATGTCGACAATTGCCTGAGTTCGTACAGATATAGCCATGGAAAGAGAGCCATTGGGTAGGGAGGAGTGGAGCACTAATATCACCGGATTTTTGAATTCAGAACGTCGGTGGGTGGAGGGTTGCACTCAACGTCGATTTCGCTATGACCCAGATGGTAGGTTCACGGATGGCTCCAGTCATCGCAGCTGCTCACGATGTCGTAATTCTGTATGTGCCGCACTCAAGAGATCTCCGTTGTGACAATTGACGGACTCCGTGTCAAGCGCATAGGCGCTTGATTAGGATGGCGTAAACTTCCCCGAATGTGATAAGGATCCGGGAAACCCTGATCGCAACTCCTTTAGAGGTCATCGGGTTTGTCAGGACGCTGTGCTGTGAGGTTTCTTGCACGGTATGCCGCTTTCGTACGATGCCGCATCACGCGGGCTAGATTCGCTTGGTCGTAATATTCACTCCTCTGACAACACTTCATCGGGATTCTCGCCGACCTCTTTTGCAACTCCTCTCACAACCTCAATCAGGGCCTTGCATGCCGGTGAATCGCCGTAGCTGTCGAAGAAGCTTTCGCCATAATCACATGCCATGCCAATTCTTGGGTCCAGCGGCACAGCGCCCAGGAATGGAACGCCAGTCTCCTTTGCCAATCTTCTGCCGCCTCCTGTAGTTGCTCGGAATATCTCCGATTGATGTGTGCATTTAGGGCAGACGAAGCCGCTCATGTTCTCGACCAGACCAAGCACTTTGATTCCAGCTTTCCGGCAAAAGTCGATCTCTTTCCTCACATCGAGTAATGACACTTCCTGCGGTGTAGTGACTAATAGTGCTCCATCGACGCCACTTTCTTTGAGGTAGCTGTTGACCGAGAGATGCTCGTCGCTCGTGCCGGGAGGTGTGTCGACGAGCAGATAGTCCATTTCGCCCCACTCGACGTCCTTCAAGAACTGCTTGATGAGACCATTCTTCTTCGGACCTCTCCAAATGACAGCATCGTCGCGGTTCGGTAGCATGAATTGAATAGACATCGCGCCTAAGTTGTCGGTCACCCAGATCGGCTCCCATCCAGTATTTGCCACATGGATCTTTTGGTCTTCGACACCCATCATCTTGGGTATTGACGGGCCGCAGATATCTGTATCCATGACGCCAACCGTGTTATCTGGGTTCGATGCAAAGGCATGCGCAAGCATTGTCGTGAACGTCGACTTGCCGACGCCACCTTTGCCGGAGAGGATCAGGATTTTGTGCCTGACACCTGATAGCCTTGAAGTGATGACCGGGATATCTGGATCTGGGCCTTTTGGAGCTGTAGCACATATTTGCTGGTTTGGACATCCTGCGCATGCATCTGCCTTTCCTGCTTGTTCACCTTCTGGTCCTGGGCAGTTTTCGGGCTCGGCAGCGATGAGGTTGGGTTTGTTGCTCAGCGCCTCATCGACTGCCGTGTCGATGGGCTGCACGGGATCCTGCAGTAGAGGGGACATTGTCGTTGTGATCGGATGATGCTACAGCACTCGACGAAGAAACTGAGATGTTGAAGAGGGAGTGGACATGTCATATCTGCTGAGTAATGCAGAATGCGCCACTGGCGGACTCGACTCCGCCGCTGCATGGATGCCCTGCCCGCATTCGAACACGCTCTCCCAGTGACAACACCTCTGCTGAGTCCACACTTGGAGCCATGCTGTCGAATCTGAGTGTCCGGTCGTCGCGGGCTGTCTCTCGCACGCCCGTTCGCGAAGTCGTTCGACACCGGAGCGCGATCTCGGGTCCGTACCTGCTGGACGAGTACATACCGCGATTCCAGCTCCTCACGTCGGTGCAGGAGGCGAAGAAGCGCAGCCTGGCCTATGCGCATTTGAGAGAATGCAATTTGTGCCCGCGACTGTGCGGCGTGAACCGCTTCGAAAAGCGAGGGACGTGTCTCGTGGGCAGCGACGTGGTCGTCAACACGATTGCGCCGCACTTTGCAGAGGAGCCGTGCATATCAGGGCGCAATGGCAGCGGCAGCGTCTTCTTCAGCGGATGCAATCTTAGATGTACAGCCATCTCGAGGTAGGTCTACAGACCACGAAAGCTAAGTGACTCCCAGGCGTCTTCTGCCAGAATCACGACATCGCGCATCAAAAGAACGGCTTCGACCTCACGCCGGAACAACTGGGCGAGTGGATGGTCAAATTGCAAGAGGTAGGAAACGTGCACAACATCAACTTCGTCACGCCCGAGCACGTCGTCCCGCAGGTCGCCCTGGCCATCCTCCACGCGAAGACCCTCGGCCTCAATCGGCCCATCGTCTACAATACGTCCAGTTTCGACTCGCTTGACTCGCTCAAGCTGATGGATGGTCTGGTCGACATCTATCTCGCAGACTTCAAAGTCTGGAAGCCTACGACTGCCAAGCGCCTGTTGAAGGCCGAAAACTACGTGGAAGCGGCAATGGAGTCCGTGAAAGCGATGCACGCCCAGGTGGGAGATCTTAGCTTCACTGCCGATGGCATCGCGAAGAGAGGCCTGCTCATCAGACACCTCGTGATGCCGGGCCTGGAGGATGAAGGAAAACACATCGTCAAATGGCTCGCCGAAAATGTGAGCAAGGACGTGTACGTCCACATCATGGAGCAGTATCATCCGCGCGCCCACGTTGGCAAAGGCAAGCGCTCCACGCGTGGGCGAGCGCAGGATGTGGCCACTGGCACAGTCGACCCAGGCGGCGTACCAGCTGAAGAAGCAGCCAAAAAGGAGATCAGATATCAGGATATCAACCGTGCTGTCAGCCTCACGGAAGTCGACAACGTGCGAAGAGCTGCTGAGGATGCAGGTCTATGGCGGTTCAACGAAATATCGGAACACGCTGGTTTCGCGTGAAAGCTGGCTGTCTCATCTTCGTCACCATTCATCTCCGAGGCTCGCCGTGTCCTGCTGTAACTCCGATTACCGCATTGGTATGTGGGTGCAGAGGCGCGGCGATCCTGCTCCAGCCGACGACTTGCCGGCATCACCCACTGCTCCGGATCCGTTGCCACGAGCATGGACAAGATTGAGCTCAATGTCGATGATACATGATCGCTCCACAGATCTTGCTTAATCAACGAGGCGAAGGTGCCGACCGCGTATCGTTCCAGAGCGGTGGATGAATCTATCATATTCAGATCTGGAACGTACTTAGGTTTGACCACAAGGGTTTCAGAGCCGGACTACCCGTGGCCACTAGTGAACTACTCGCCTGACGGACCTCTTTGTTCCACACTGGGAACTTGTTTGTCACAGTGCTTTGAGCGTGGCGCTCGTGACGACTGCGCGCCAACACTGCTCAGTTGCCATGCAGCTGCCATGCTCCAGGAGCGCTCCCCGTGATCTTCACTGCAGCCATGTCGCTGTGTATGCGTGGACGAACTGCCATCAAGCTACCTGCGACAATACGTTGCGTTGGGCAGTCTACGGGTGGCGCGTTCTTTGTCCGCAAGCAGAGCAGGATAGCCGCAGGCATGGCAATCACCGAGCCTCAAAGGAATTCATTGTGGTCATGCAGCCACCGCGGCAAGAGCTCAGGAATAGCTTCGTGCGTTTGACTCTGAACAAACGTGACTATCAGCGCAGGAGTTGGGCCAAAGAAGCGCGGTTTTGGCTCGAGTGCAGATAGAAACACTCCGATCAGCACTCCTCGTTGAGCCTCGTACGCAACACCTTTGCGCGACGAGCCGGCCTCTTGCGCTCCACCAGCATCGATCTATCTTCCACCCCACTCTGAAGAACAATAGAACATGTCCTCCTTTGCGCCGCCTCCTGACGTGCTGGGCCTGCTCTACAATCAGCATCGCAATTACACTGCAGAGCTTGGCAGAACACATCAGACCTTGAGCAAGTTATATAAGAAGATCGCCAAGACGGAAAAGGTGCTTGCAGAGCGTGAGCGAAAGGAGCGACACCTTACAAGGGACGAGCGGAAGAAGTGGCAATATTCTCGCGTTTTGACGAAGCGCACAATCACAGATTTGGAATCGCAGCAGGCCAACCTCCACGACGCGTTACGACAGTGTAACGATTTGATCGCGTCATTGGAGCACGGCTTCTACAGTGCCCCTATGATGACTCCATGGACTGGTGCCATCGTTCCGCCTTCGCCTTATCTGTTCAGCCCATTCAGCCCAGCCTTCACTCCTGGTGCGCCACCGATCCAGCACGAGCCTAGTGGTCATGGTCAGACGCAATACTGGGATCTGTCCAGTCTCCCGGAACGTCAGGCCTCGCCGTCGCCATATGGCTCAAGTTCCGCGGACAGTGGCTTCCATGAGCCTCGGTTGCTCGAAGTAGGCATTGTCACAAATGCAGACCTAAACAATGAACAGCACGTCTATGCGCACGGAATGATGTCCAACTTCGGGTTCAACACTGATAACATCTATGCTGCGCGTCTGTGTAAGAACGGAAACGTCGATCCAGACCTCCTGCCCGAACTGCAAGACTTGGTCTCGCCGATGACTAGGCTAGGAGCCTCGGAAAACTCCCCCAAGGTCCGCTCACACAAGAGATGCGTCTCTGAGAGCGTTGCTCAGCTGAACTTGGGCGATCTGGCGCCGCCATCAACCAAGAGAGGTATTAGTGTAGGACCCGTACCAGATCGGAGGAAGAACAGTCCCGACGATGGGCTTGGTGGCAGATCATAGATCAGGGACAGGCTAAAGAGTAATCCTGGTCGCTGGGCTGTGAGAGGGCGCTGTGGTGAGGCGTCGCAATTGTCATGACGAATGTGTACAGTAGAATCCCTATCTTTGTCTGCAATCGGATTGTTCTCCTGTTCTCGTTTTGGGTACTGCTGCCTAAGCTTGTTTGAAGTCGGAAGATTGTGAGGATATGGACGATCTAACTGATCACATTGTGATGGCACACGATTGCCTATTCCGTCGGGGGCGGCGTTGCGCCACGCGAGGCCGAACCTGAAGTTCTCCACGTTTCTTTCCACCTCGCCTCGTCGTTCAAACAACATCGAGTGCTGCTTGTTGCTACGGCAAAGTGCGCAGCGCGAAGCGAGGACACATTTCAAGAAATATTGACAATTTTCCATCAACCAGGCTACCGTTCGGCGGAGCACAAGAACTTGCATCAATTGTGCTACGCTGGGGCGCCAGGTCCAAAAATTGTTCACGACATTTCGACCAGGGTCACTCCTTGTCAATCTGTGCTGCAATGCAGGCACGGCACGGCAAAGCCATCAGCACCACGCTGTCGGATACGGGCTGATGGTATGCAGCATGCAATCCAGTTGCCGGACCATTGAATTCGCCAACCACAAAACGACGACAACAACACGTCAACACGTCCTCCCGTTCTCCGCTCGCTACGAAGCTGTGACACCGGGCTCTGCGCTGTTGGTCTGTCAAAATCATCTGGGGAGCAATGCCCGCGCCGCGTGTTTGCCTGCTCCCGGTCTGGTAACTTGCAGCGTTCCTGCGAAAAGATGGCCGTGAAAGTGATACGAAAGTGGACCTTCGCATCCTCCGCCCCAACGACCGAATTCGACGCGTTTTACGATCTGTTCGTCGCGCCCGACGACCTGGCTGAAGCCATGTCAAGCGTGGGATCCTCGTCTCATCTTCGTCCGCCTGCGTTTGATTCTCCGTGCAGCCGAACATCAGATCTCTTCATGCAGCGGGCTCAGACCGCAGGAGACCGCGCCACTGCTGCGTGTCTGGCGCGGAGGCAGCAGCAGGAGACGTCAGACGTCGCTTCTGTAGCAGCGGCCCAATGCAGCCAGGCCTGAAACTGTTCGAGCTGACTGCTGCCACAGCGTCTGCCACTGTAGCGCTTCTACGTACGCACGCATACGGACGACGCACTCGCGGATCCAGCTACGTTTGGGCGTCTCTGGTTTCTGGTTGATCAACACGTCTTGCAGCTGGCCACGTTGCGGTACACGTTTGCATGCTGCGAGGCCGAACAATTGTGTTGTGCACCATGCTACCCTCCAGTGGGCTTGCATTAGTACACCTCACAACGAGAGAGGCCCATGTCAGAATCAGGGCGAACAGAAATGCCACAATTCTACATGTAACCATCGCCTACACATCCGCGTGACTGGGCAGACCAGTAGCGCTTCGCGGGGATCTATTTCGCTCATCAGTAGAGGTGGGTCCTGATTGCATTCTTCCTCTCACCCTTTCCCTACGCATACAACAAACACCCTCGTCGTTCTTGGGTTGATGAATGACAGCCGCCGGTCCCGTGTGACTGGTATGCGGTTTGTTAGTCGCTCTCCACCGACTCCACTTTGTCCTGTCTTCCTTACTGCCGCCTTGCATATGCAGCCATCCCGGTCGGATTCCTGCATTTGACAGCAAACAAGAAGATATAAGACGGACGTGTTGTCCGACAGTGCTTGCTACTCCCACGTTGCTGCATACCAGTCACAGACTTGCTTGCGTTCAGAACAGAGTATCCCGCTTGTCAGATCTTCACTCTACACCAACATCCGAATCGATCGATCATTCAAGAGCATACCTGACATCACACTCCTGACACACCAACAACAAACTTCATGGGCTTTACTGGCAACCTGCTGCGGAGACTTTCGTCTCGCCGCCGAAACGAAGGAGGAAGAGACGATTGTCAAGATGAGCAACATCAGCGCCCAGTATCACGATCCCACAGATCGATCAAATCTGCCTTCTCAACACCTCGAACATCTCTATCCTTCTCCACGAAGGCCGCTGTCCACGCCCGACCTCAAAGCCGCCAAGCGGCGGTCGAGCCTCTTCCACACGTCTACACCACACTCCCCCTCAAGGAAGCTGAAGAAGTCTACTGCGACCCGGACTCGAAGCAGCGGGCGCCCGACATCAGAGAATTTCGCTGGTACGCGCGATACAAGCGACAGACCATGGACGGGCTCATCTTCGACTACCCAAGTTCCTGCACCGGGGTATAATGATGCTGCTCGGTATAGTTTTGGCAATCAAGAAACTATCACGACTGGGGCGAGCGATGGGAATGATTGCATTGCTCGGCCTGTGGCCCTACCGGCTCCGGCTTTCAGTACTTCTTCACGGCTAGCGACGCTTCACGCGCCAGTTCGCCACTCTTCACTGCGATTCGAAAGCCGACTTTCACGTGTCGATCCACATAGATCGCTCGCTCCTTGTGCTAACATGGAACCAACATTGACTGATGACACGCTTGAGAACAAATCCAAGCGTCCTCGCAGTCATCCACCGAACTGTGCAGGCCAGGAGCAGTCCCGAAAACTCGACATCGCTACAAGAAAAGCACGTGCAAAGTCACAACGAGACTTCGTGCCTGGGACTCACGACTCCTGGCAGCTTCCACCATTCCACGAACCTTCCATCTCAAGGAGCAGTTCACGGAAGTCCGCCGTGATGCCGCTCAAGCCTAAGCCATCCTTCACTCGACTGCAAAGTCTCGACAGCCTGATCACCTATCGCAAAGAGAAAGCCGAGTGGAAGCGAGTCTCATCCTATCTGCAATCTGCCCAGACCGATGGAGATCGAGAACAACACGAAGTTCCCTACACCGATTCCCAAGCCCCAACTCGAGCCCACACAATCCGATCAGAAACCGACACGGTCGCCGGCGCCGACCTCGCCTTCGACGAGAAGCCATCCTCTTCACCTCCTCGTTCTCCTGGCGGCGACTCAATCGACGACGATGAACACCAAACAGCCTTACCAAAACTCCCTCCACCTCCTCCCCCGACCTCTGAGCAACCAAAGAACACATTCCGCACCTCTGCCGCTGAGATTGGATTCTGCTTCACAATCGCCATGACGCAATTCCTAGCAGAATACATGATTTCCGGCTTTGCCATCGAACTCCCCAAAATCATGAACAAATATGCCAGCAATGATACCGATCCAGGCTCGATGGGAATGTTCTGGCCTGCATCATTGCTGAGTCTGATACTATCCGCCACACTCCTCATCTTCGCTCGCATCAGCGATATGTATGGCGGGTATCTTCCATTCATGTTCGGCGTCATCTGGCTCGGAATTTGGTCTTTGCTAGCAGGTTTCGCAAAAGCAACAGTCCTACTCGACATCAGTCGTGCGATGCAAGGGCTGGCCATTGCAGCGTATATCCCTTCGACATTCGCTATGGTTGGCAGCATTTACCCCGAAGGCCCGAGGAAGAATCTTGTACTGGGACTGTATGCTGGTTGTGCGCCTTTGGGATTCTTCGCTGGATTCTTGGCTGCTGGTGCGTTACCGGATGACGCCCCAGGTTGGTATTTCTGGATTGCGGCGATCTTGTCGTTTGTTACGGCAATTACTGCTTATTTGACTGTGCCGCATGACAGAACTGATCGGAAACAGTTGAGTTTGAAGATGGATTGGATAGGGGCTTTCCTCATTACTGCTGGGTTGATCTTGGTGGCTTATGCGCTTGCTGTGGAGCCTTATGCCAGTCAGAATGGGAGAGGACACTCTGGATGGACGACTCCTATGGTTCTGGCACCCTTGATCTCTGGGATTGCATGTCTTGCCATCGCATTTTGGGTCGAAGGATGGTACGCTGCATGCCCATTGCTACCTTTCGACTTTTTCTCACCAAAGAGCGTCAAAGCTTTCTCGCTGGCTTGCTTATGCTTCTACGCATCGTACGGAGTGTGGCTGTACGAATCAGCTCAGTACTTCTCGAACGCTACTGCGACTGGCACAGCCAACGGCGTCCATGGGTTGACGCTGGCAGCCTGGTATACACCAACAGCCATCGGTGGCCTGATCCTTTGCGTTGCGGGCGGCGCATTGCTTCACGTCATCCCTATAATGATATTGCTAATCATCTCTGGTATTGCTTGGATCGGTGCACCACTTCTTCTGGCTATGGCTCCCTTGCCAGTACACTACTGGTCATTCGTCATGCCATCAATGCTTTGCGCGACAATCGGCATCGACCTCACGTTCACGATCTCTTGCGTATACTTGTCCGCGGTCTCGCCGCTGCGATACCAAGGCTTGGCTGGAGCTGTTTCATCGATTCTGGTCAACTTGGCAATGTCTTTCTCGCTTTCGATCTCCGAGATTGTGGCTGTCAAAGCTGAGAGTGCGGTCGTCGTACCGGATTACGCTTCACCGGCGGAGCAGATGGTGTTTGCAGACCAAAAAGCCATTCGAGGTTACAAGTACGCCTTCATCTACGCTGCTGCCTCCGCTGGGTGCGGTCTACTCATCGCAATGTTATTTGTACGAATTTCTCGTTCGGTTGTGCAGAAGAAAAAGACTTTGGACTTGGAAGGCGATGGCACGCGGCCGTCATCTGAGGTTAGTACCCTCGTTGACTCGCCGCGGGCTTGAGAGAGAAAAGAGCTTGTGTCCGAATTGGAGAATATTGGTTTGAGGTTTCTATCAGCGTTCTTTGGGAAAGGCGTTTCAAGACTGGCAGCTTCACAGCTACTTTGTGTACATATAAACATCGCAAGCGACGGGTACGGGCGACCACAAAATCGAGTGTCCGGTTTGGCACTCTTGTATCAATATCATGTTTGAAAGAGCATCCTCTGGAAACAAATTACAGTCAAAGTGTCTGTCGATCGTGACAACCGGGATTCCGATTCCTGTTTGGGTCATTCATCACGGTTGGAGTGCCTGCTTCTGGAAAAAGCGGTATGTGTGTCGTTTCCATCCGGGCACAGTCTATTCTAACCTCACCTGTTGTTTTAGTAGACTTCATCTGTTGTATACTCTCTGCTTTGATGCTATTTGAGAGCCTGTTGTGTTCTTACGCCACGTCGTCGCTGCTGGAGTTGTGGCCAATGACTCGTGGCAGCGGCAGCTGCGATGGTGGGGTTGCAGTTAGTTGCAGCGTCTCTCCCGCACAGCATTTCCTGGGTCTCGAGAGCGTCAGGGAAAGACACTGGACAGCTGCTCCGACTGCACTTCGTCAATAGTGCGACGTACACTGACAGCAGAGCACAGCACAGGCACAAGCGATGGCAGCTGCCGCGTCATTGATTGCTGCGTGATTTACTGCTTGTTTTCGATTGAGCTAGGAGGTAGGGTTGGTGCTGGTGCTGGTGCTGGCTGGAAGTGAAAGCGTCCGGGTGTTTCTTTCGATGAGGATAGAGGGCAGCTCTAGTTTGATGGGATTTGTGGAGTAGTGTGGTCGTCTCACATGCGTGTGCTTAAACTCAGAGCGGCTCTTCGGAGCTTGAAGGTCGAACAATCTGGATTCCTCCAGTGGAGACTGATGCATCGTGCACTCAATTGGCAACGATGACTTCAATGCGAAGAGTATGGATGCAATGATAAGCGGACTCCATGCGGAAAGTGAAAAGATGCTGTAGAGCTCCATAGCGAGACGAGAGATCAGGTTGCTTCTTGCTGGTTGCGCCTCAACCAGCTCGATCGGGGCCTACTCCGTAAGCAGTAATTGTCCATATGCATATGCCGCAGACGCGGGATGTATTTGCATAGAATTCCAGCTGCAAGCGAGGTGGGCGGATGCCGATTAATGTGCATCCTGCTGGTGGAAAGACAGCTGTGCTCTTGGCTGCGGTCCACTCCGCATCGATGAGGTTCTGCTATGTTCTGCGAGGCAGCCGTTCAATGAACACGGCAGAAACGGGCGCCAGTAGCATTGTGTTGGGTAGGCTGCAGTATTCCGTGTCTAAGCTGCCCTGGCGGATGCGAGACAGTCCGTGGTGTATTCCAATGACATTTCTCTTGGCGAGTGTTCTCCCATCGAGCACTGCAGAATTCGTGATCCTTTGGCATTGCATTGACATATGCCATCGCTGGCAGTCTATTGTCAGCTGGTGTGGTGTCGCGTGGAAGAGCATCGCCTTTGTTCCGCGGTTGGGAACTGAACAGCCGAGAATAGCCATAGAGTACCACCATTACTTTCGCCAACCCTCGCCGGGCCCGTGGGCCTCCGTCATTGCTGCAGCGCGCACTTCTGCACAACTTTCGGCCAATTGCGCCAGAGCATCAGACAGAACACGACTTGTTTCACGCCGCCAGCGCAGGACAAGCACCCATACTACTGTCCCCGCCGACCTCCCACTCTTCAAAGCCTATACTGCTATGAGCGCATACATGGTCCTTCGGTAGATACTCTTGCTCAGCGATCCACTTCCTCAACCATTGCTGCTGCCAGCTTCCTTCAACCGGACGGCAGCAGAAGATACTTCGACTTCAACTCGAAGCACCGCACCATGTCCTCTCTCAATGGCAGTGCCGCTGAGAACGGCGGCCTGCGCGAGCGGCTTACCCAGAAGCCAGATGCCCCACAGAAAGCCCCATCGATCGAGACGGCATCCGAGACTGTCAAGGCATTGAACCGACAAGAAGAGAAGACGAACAAAGATGAGAAGGACAAGAAGACGTACGGGCGAACGCTGGACGGCATTGGTGAGTTGATTCAATGTTTGGCAAGAGTCATGCTTGCGAGCAGGCCCTGCAACATTGCTGAACTACAGCCAGAGGCACGCATGGGTCGTCGACATGTACTCGACTCTATGCTGCCATCCGGGAGAATTGACCTGACAATGCTGACTTGTCTTGTGCGTAGTCTTCACAGTGCCTCACACAGAGGACATGGTGTCCCAGCTGTTTGATCCTCGTCAGCCAAAAGCAGCATCTGACATTGCCATTGTGGTCGCGTTGGGCCTGCAGTTTTGCCTTATGTGGATCTTGCCCTCCTTCCTGCGCGTGCCGGTGTTTGCTATTGTGTTCTTGTTCTGGAGAGCATGTTACAATTTCGGCATTGGTTGGCTCCTTCACAACCAATCCCATCACAAGCGCTTGGTGTCGTGGGCGAAGAAGACGAAGATATTCGAGAATCCCAAGACAGGTAACAATCCACGACCTGCTCTGTATTCGTTCCTCAAGACGGAAATGGAAACAAAAATTCCCAAGGACTACAAGTTCGAAGATGCCCCACTCGAGTACAATACCTGGCTTCTCTTCCGTCGCGTAGTCGATTTGATCCTGATGTCCGATTTTACCGCGTACTGCTTGTTCGCGTATGCCTGTGGAGGTCGGCCTGAGAACGAGAAAGTCGCCATGACACTAGCTCGTTGGACATTTGGTTGGGTGCTGATTGCTTTCAACCTGTGGGTCAAGTTGGACGCCCACAGAGTCGTGAAGGACTTTGCCTGGTACTGGGGCGACTTCTTCTACCTCATTGACCAAGATTTGACCTTTGACGGCGTATTCGAGCTGGCTCCTCATCCCATGTACTCCATCGGCTATGTGGGTTACTATGGTATTGCTATGATGGCAGCGAGCTACAAAGTGCTCTTCATTTCCATCATTGCACATGCTGCGCAGCTTCTCTTTTTGGCCTTTGTCGAGAACCCACACATCGTAAGGCGCAGTCTTTAAAATTTCTATGTTGTACTCGCGACTGATATGCTGCGCAGGAACGCACCTACAACGCCCCTCCTCCCTTGAAGCGCACCAACGATATCCCGGACTCGCCGCCGAACCGACCACAATATTCCACCCGTCTCCTGAGCGCAGGAAATGTGAACTCTATTTCTGGTCCTGGCCTTACTTCTGCGCCGTCGCCAGTCCACAATCTCATCGGGCTGCAGAATATCGATCTCCACAGGGTCACTGATGTCTCGGTCATCCTGCTGCAAGTCTATTTGTATACTGTGGCTTTCCTGACGCCATCAACGTGGCTGTGGCAGGCATTTTTCGTGCTCAGCGCGGTGACATGGCGTCTTTGGTACTCCGTCGGAATCGGCTTCATCCTAGATCGTCAATCCAATAAGAAGTGGTGGACACGCCATTTCTTGAAGTTCGGCGAGAGCACAGAAGAAGCGTGGCGTCAATGGAAAGGCATTTACCACATCAGCACCGTCATGTGTTACACTACATTCATCTGCGCCGCCTGGAAGATGTACGGTACGTTAATAATAGCTCCATGCGCCTCTTGCATAATGTGTGGCTGACAGAATGGACGCAGGCATGCCCGACGATTGGACTTATTCGATGGCCTTGTTGCGACACGTCATTGGTTTGGCCCTCATCTCGCTGCAGGTATGGACCATTGCAAGCATTTACGAATCCTTGGGCGAGTTCGGCTGGTTCTTCGGAGACTTCTTCTTTCCACAAGAAGCGCCTCAGCTAACATATGGCGGTATTTATCGCTTCTTGAACAATCCCGAGCGCACGATAGGGCTTGCTGGAGTCTGGGGCGCCGCGATCATGACGTGGAGCAAGTCGATATTCTTCTTGGCCCTACTTTCTCATGTGCTCACATTGTGCTTCATCCAATTTGTTGAGAAGCCGCACATGCACAAGCTTTATCGCCAGAACATCCGACAGCAGTCAGGAGTGTCCAAGACGATGCAGCGAACGCTGCCATCACCTGTAAAGAAGTGGCAATCAAGCGCAAACCGAGTGCTCGATGAGACTCTTGACTCCTTGGAAGATTTCCTCGATCAGGCTGGACCAAAGCTTGCGTCAGGTTTCAGCTCTTTCGTACAAGACTCACAGACGCTGTTCAGCCAGTTCCCGGCTCGCCTCACTGTTACTCGGCTGGCCCCAGATCTTGCTGGCTACGACCCCAAGGATTATTCAGTCGAGATTGTTCGCACCGATGCTCTGAAATCTGATGCTCCTCCTAGCGGCAGAGAAGGCGAAAATGGCCAACAGCCACTCAAGCGTACCGACAGCTTCGAGAGAGTCGTCGTAGAATATGGCGCACCTATCCGGGTCAAGTGGTCAGCACCTCTCCAACACAGCAAACGTGATTGGATCGGGTTGTATCGCGTCGGAGACAACGCGTCTCGAGAGGTCACCAAGCTCGGTTCTCAAGGTCGCTGGTCAGCCACCAACCCCGGCGTGCACGACTACAACAAGGCCGACACCGGTATCCTCGTCGCTGATCAGCGTATCTCTGCGGCTGATCGTAAGGACGGTGTTGAAAAGGACTTCCTTACTGGAGAAGTGGAATTTTCAGGTGATAAGCTCTGGTGGACTCAAGGTGTGTTCGAGTTCCGCTACCATCACGATGGAAAGTACAATGTCATGGCGACCTCGCTGCCCTTCGAGATAAAGATCCCTCGTGTCGACGACGAGGCACTTATTGGCAGTCAAGAGGGTCTGGCACGAAATGCTGTCGAAGAGGTGCTCCTGCCAATCGTGCAAAACTGCTTTGACCGCGATCCGGACGTCGCCCCTAGGAGTGCCGACGAGCATTTCGGCCCAACATTGGAACGCGAAGGCAAGTACGCTAAGCGCGTGGTCTACGCTGTTCAGCAAATGTTTGGTATCGAATTCGCACCTGAAGTGGTGCAAGCAGATGGCACTGTGAGGAACCTAGCCTGGAGGATCTGTAATGCGAAGAAGGTTCTGGCGCCTTACAGTATGAAGACAGGCACGGTGACGCCGCAATGAGTGTGCTGACAGCAGCGCAGAGAGCGGGAACCAGGAGTCGAGGGCCTTGAAGCCTGATGAGGCTGCTGAACACAAATCACTGCCAACAATGGCGACTTAGCGCGACTGCGATCGCTGCTAATCTCAGGCAATCACAACATTCCTGAGCTGAGAAGGATGATGGAAGATTACGGCTGACAGATTGGCCGTTGCGATGAGAATTTGTGTTGATGATACCAAGAAAAGTTGTATAGTGACTTTTGATAGATCAAGATGTTCAAATGTACGAGTTCGAGAGTTCATCACGTCGCTTGACGAGTCAAAAAGTGGCGAACGTTGGTTGTTTTTATTAGAGCGCTGTGAGCGAAATGGACCACGAAGTTTGTCCGAGGTGACCGGGATGTTCTCCGTCTCTGTTGGACCTCACCTCGAATTCATCTTCCTCCACACTTGCTCGCTGCGTTGAGCGATCATCTATGAACCAGGAACTTCAGCACGACAAGACGGCATCGCGTGATCGCTTGCTTCACCACGTTGCTGATCCGGCATTGTCGCCCCTCTTCGGGCGGCGCAACGACCTATTCGGGCAAAGCAAGACAGCACGTTGCATTGTGCAACACGCCAATGCACGGCACGATCATGTAAAAATCCACAACAGACCGACCTATCACTGTTCTGCCCAGCATCAACGAAGTCTGGGACTTGCTTCTAGGTCAAAGTCTGAACGCTGGTTGTGCTGGAACTTGCTGCAGCCACATGGCTCAACATGGCAAAGCGTGAAACAGCGAAACAGGCGCACGAGTAGCGGAAGCTGCACCTCATCTCCCCACGACTCCTTCTCGCACTCTTGCCCGGTGCAAGAGACTTTGCAAGCGTGCTGCACACCGGCTACCGGGCTCGTAGCATGCGTCAAGCAACAGGAGAAGTAGCAGAACGGTGCGGTGCGACGGACGTCGCGTTGTTGGCCTGCTTGACCGCAAACTCGCCCTCCTCTCGCTCGTGCGCGTTGGACATCTTTCCCTCCACTCATTATACTTGCCAGGCTCAAACACGATTGACATTTCCTGCAGCGGACTTGTCACATTCACGTTCTTTCTTCACACATTCTCATGTTCGTCACACTCGTTTGACGTTGGAACGTCCAGGACCGGTTGGCCAGGGCCATACCAACAGTTGTCGCCATGCCTTTTACTAATCACAGCCTGAGCCGGGCTCTGGCACTTTTATGTATACTTATCACGAGCAGTTCTGCGCAGAACTGCTACTTCCCTGATGGATCTTTGTCGAAACACACGTCCTGCTCTGCGACTGGAACGGCCTCGGCGTGCTGCGCATCGAATGCGTTCTGTTTGGATAATGGGTTATGTTTTGAAGAAGGCGTGGTTACACGTGGGAGCTGCACGGACAGAGCGTGGAAGAGCGGTGCATGTCCTGGATATTGCAAAGAAGGTGGGCCGTGGACACGTACATGGGGAAAAGACTCGTGCTGATGGTCACTAGAACAACGGAATGGAAGCATAGCAATTACACCATGCTCGCTGGATGGCAGCCAGAGTACTTTTACCTGCGGCTTGAACAACACGGCCTGCAGGAACGAATCCCGGACATTCGGCTTGCCAGGAAGTAGCGCCCTGGTTCTGCGACCTGCACAAGTATCAGCCCTGGTTGCGCCAGTGTTGAGCAGTGTCGCGGCTCAAGCTTCTGCATCGGCTTCCGAACAGGCGCAGGCGACAGTGACATCATGTACCGGAGCCCAGGCGATTCCAAGTGGGATGTATTATACACCAGGCCAGATGGCAGGACTTGGAGTTGGGTTAGGGATCCCTTTGCTCATCGCTGCGTGCACTGCTATCATGCTATGGAACAAGGAGAGGTCGCGCCATCCCAAGCTTATGTACCAATTGCCTGATGAGCTGAACATGGATCTCAAGCCAATGCCGCCGAACATGTTCCCAGCGCATCCGGCAGTTCGATCAATTCCTCCATCCCGGGATGGCTATCCAACATCGAGAGATGGAATACCGATTTCACGAGATGGCTTTCCCACGTCGAAAGAAAGCTATGACTATGCGCATAGCTTCCGCACTGTAACACCAACAACACCAATCCAAGGCAGAGAAACGCCGCAACACATGCAAACCTTTGCAGAGCGATATCAAGCTATGAACAAGCAGATGGGCCACAGCCGGATGTCAGAGCAAAGCCGCTATGAATTAGATGGGCAACCTGTAGGCTCGGCTTTTAGATTCACAGCATACGGGAAACCGTTAGCGGAGAAGGAAAAGACCGTCACTGCAACGACTGTGGAATTGGGCAAGCGGACCACGACTATGACGACGACGAATTCGAAATCTTCTCGAGAAAGGACACGATGACAATTGCTTCCCAATTGAAGGTATCAGCACTTCTTTGATATGTACATGTAAAACTTACGAAAGTTCTGTAGCATCTATCATGCTTCTTATGAGAATCATATGTACAATGGCATAAATTTTGAACATTCTCTTTTCTCCGAAGCCATACTTTCGTGGCTTCCGTCGAAGGCGGAGAGTTCGGCATGGCACTCCGAAGTATGGGCCGAATTTTGCACCTTGTGCATCCGGAGATCCTCGTTCTACGATCGTCCTCGTACTGCATCCGAACGGACTCTGCAGTTGAGTACAGCATGCACATCGTATTGGCTACTACGGCAAGTGAAACCCAGATTCTCGCTATACTTGGACAGGGATCTCAGGACTGCCTGAGGTTCACTTCAGATCCGAAGGTTTGAGCTTATCTGCGAAGCACCGGGATCTTGTACAAGGAGTCGGACAGGAGAGTTCTGGATTGACCGTTCCGCGTTGCACCTCCTTGCCTATTCTGCGAAATGCCACCTCGTCATCTGGCTATACATAGCTTGGCTGCGCAGCTTTCGTGGACAAGCTTTAGATCTCCGAGACTCAATATTGCTTGTGTTGACGACGCATAGCTCAACGGTCTGGCGATCGCAGTGCCGTCGATTCCGAAGTATTACGGACGTTCTGATGCAACCTGTATCCATAAAGCATCGAATGGACAATGTCGGTGGTATTTGAAGTTTTCCATTTTATGACCTTTCTCCCGTACAATTTTCCACCAAGTCACACAATTCTCAGCGTCTCGGAACAGGATGAAGCCACAGTCCAGCATGATCGCCTGCCTACTTAGCTTGGCCTCGCTCATCTGGGCTGAGCGACCAGGTCATCAGTACCAACCCCATCAAGCAAGGGACAACCTCCTCGCTCGGACAACGAAGAAATCACAAGATTCAATCTCACCAACACCATGCCCAACAATCCTTACTGCGTCTCAGCGAGTAGACTGTGGGGGCTGCTACCAGACCGAGTACTCTTATACCAGCACCGAGAGTATTGACTGTGGAGGCTGCGAAACTCTCACCACTTCGACGCAATACAACCGCTTCGTTGGCGTCTGCCCGGTGAGTTTTGCATAGCGTCGATCTTCGAAGAGATGATAAAAGTGTTGCTGACTTCAACTTGAGGTATGCATTGGAGGTGTACAGACGAGACACGATAGTACTGGAACGACGACTGTGACGTCTTGTAAAGCTACGCCACTACACTACTATTCTACTACTGCTTCGTAGTAGTCCGCCGAGGAGGCATATTACCTTGCCGGCCTCCCCGCTGGAAGTGCGTAGCCGTTGGGTATCAGAGAAAACGACATCTTACCACTAACTCATTCACTCATCGTTGCCCACCTTCTTCTTACCCCTACTCTTCTTTACCGCTGGCGCCCCCGACCCATCGCCGAGCGCAGAAGCGAACGTGCGTTTCTTCTTATCTCCAAGCACGGGCACATACTTGATGCCATGTGCCTCTGCATTCTGCTTATTCTCATTCTCCCGCTCAGTTTTATTCCAGTTGCCCCGGAAGTTAGCAATCTTGCGGGAGACGGCGCTGGTGGTGCAGCACACCAGCTCGTCAAGACGTTGCAGACGGACGACGTCGTATCGGATCACAGCGTATTTGCGGATCGCGGAAGCGACGAGGTCGACGTGATCGGAGCATTTGATGTTGTTCTCAACTTTGTGGTATCGGAGGGCTTTCATGCCGAGCTCATGGGCCTCGATGAGGTGCTTGAGGAGAACCCAGCAGGCGGCTTCTAGGGTGCGGTCATCGTACTTGTCCATTTTCTCGACGTGGCCGTCTTGGTAGGCAATCCAGCGGCTCTTGTCGCTTGCCTTGGGTAGGGCGAATTGTTCTGGCTGCTTGGCGTAGTCTCCTTTGAATGCGGAGAGCAGCTTCAGAACGTGCTCGGCTGGATTGGCTTTCACCTCGGGCCAGTCGTCGTCATGGAGGAGGGAGCGGGCTCTGCTGAAGGCTGCTGCTTCTGCTTCAACGAAGTGGCTGTAGTACAGGCCGTTTGCCTTCTTGGTGCGTGGGCTTGAGTGTGCTGAATCGGTAGCAGGTGGAGTCATCTGCGGGCGTGGCTTGATCACCTTGCGTTGTTGGATGATGCGGCAATCTGGGTCGTCATCCTGGTCCGTGCCTGGCTGGCATAGTGGTGCATCAGAGGGGGACTTCTGAGAAGAGCACGAGTGGTTACTGGCATGTCGTGTGTGTGATGAGGAGGGGGCGCTGGAATCCCGATAGGGTGATTGCTGGAAGTAGCTCGGTGAGTTCCAGTCCTCCACATCAAGCTCTCCGGCACGACGATCTTGCGGCCGGTTCTGGTAGTGATGGTGTGGCGCCCTGATCTCACGGTATGGTGGCAGAGAATACTGGTCGCTGGGGCGGTAAGAGGCGTCTTCGTAAGGTGCGAAACGGGCTGGCGATCGAAGAACGTTCTCGCGATCCTCGTAGAAGGTGTCGTATGCACTCGGAGGCTGGTAGATGTTGAGTGATGGATTGGGACCCGGCATGTAGCTCAGAGATGGTGAGTACACGCGTGACTGAGTAGTAGCTGTGCCATTGAGGAAGGTGTCGCGAAAGGGCGTGGGTGGCTCGATGAATGAATCGTTACGATGAGTCTGGGTGGAGCGGTCTTGTGCCTGATCAAATGGCTCTGGGTAGAGAGGGTTCTGAGAGCCAGGCCTAGGGGCTGATGTGTGGCCAGAGTAAACCAGCTGTCCGGTGAGATCGTTCTGTTGATACGAATACATATCTTTCGCTGAGCTGGGTTCAAGAGTGGACAGTTTGCGTGAATGACGAGACCTCCGAGCGCCTGCGCCCTGAAGTCGTAGAGGTGGTAGTCTTGAATTCTCTGGTATATTTGAGAAGCTTGACGAGCAAATTCTGGGACTTCTTTGCTGAAGTCGTTTCGTGGCTGTGGCACCTTCTCTGCGGATCTGGAAGGACGAGGAAGAATTCTTGGCACGAGATGCGGTGAGGAAGAGGTCTGAATCTTCTGAGGTGGGCGCCATGGTGTTTGAATAGGCCGTTCAACTAGCCACCGTGATTGTCTCCAGTGGCGATTGTAAAGATGAAGTTATTGTTATTGACAATAGCACGAATGAGATCCGTGATAGTGCGAGTCCCCGCACAATAGGAGAATGGTGAGAGTGACTCCGCTGCAGGTCGTCGACAATAGGTCTAGCACAAATTGTGGTCGATGGTGAACGACATCGGTTGTTCGTATGCTCCGTGTTGAGAGTATCCGTTGCAGTCACACAATGCCAGTGTGAAACTTGAAACTAGTGTCGAGATCGACGTTGACGGTCGACAGGGCGCCATCGCAGATTTGATCTTCACATGTGCAATACGCAACGGCCATTGCGCTGAAGTCCGGACAGGGCGGCTGATCTGCATGCTTGATGGCACAAGCTCGGGGAGAAGGGGTCATGGCAATTGCAGATAGCCCGGTTGCCCTATTGGGAAGTCTAATAGGCGCGTCAGTGGTTTGCCGCCGCACTGGAGAACAATGTATGAAGCAACACGCCCTGGCGGACTCGCGGCGACCCTTTCATCCTAAGGTCTCGCTTCGCCCGTTAGCATAGAGGCCTCCGCACTCATAGTGAAGTGTCTCTGTCCTTCGTCCTGACGGTGAATGAATGAGCCCGTGAACCGCTGCGAACGGCTGCAAATTGCGAAGCCGGCAGTACTAGCGCGCACTGGAGCGCGCTTAGCAACGCGAGTGCCCCAACCCTCCTGCTCACGTTACGCCGTTGCCGCTAGATCCCTGTTACCGGACTCCGGCCCAATGCAGGTGAAGTTGTCAAAATATCAGCCACTGAAGTTCGCGTGAGTATAATCGCTAAGCCGCATTGGTCCGAGAGCGCATTGCGGAAAGGCCGTTGTTCTTTTGGACAGCAGAATATTGCCCCATTGTCATCGCGCGCGAAACATGAAGACAGTGAAAGCGAAGTGAAGACGGCGAGTCCCGCCATCGCTAAGCGCGCGCAGGCAAGGTCAGATCCACAAAGAGCGGCAATCAGGTGATGAGATTATGTTGCACCGCCGGAATTCACAGGGGCCCTGGGAAAGTCTTTCGTCAACGTGGCAAATGGCAATGCTCATGCTGCTGCGAGTTGTCGTTCCGCGAAGCGACGGAGAAGGATATCACACCAGACCTTGAACGATCTGTCGCGACAAGACTTCCTCTCTGCATTTCGTCATCAATGCACCAACAGTGCAGACTGCACTGCCTGTATCTTGTGCCCGAATGGATCAGAGGAGCGCCAAGCACACTGGGAACGCAAAAAGGGGGCTACTATCTTCATCCGCCGATGCAAGAGCTAAGCGAGGCTAGGAATTGCCGCACTTCGCATGCCGCATAGTCCTAGACGGTAGACCACGGCCTTGATGGACCAAGCTACCCGACAGCGACTGTTGGGCAATTGCCAGTCAAAGGAAGTACGATCGAATGGCATCCTACGGTCTTTAGCAGATCCACGCTGATAGACTAGAGCGCAAGTGAACCGTTCGAGGTTCGCAGGCGAGATACTGTACCAAAACCGACATACCATCATGGTATGCCTGGATCCTGGGGATAAGTCATTTCCTCGTGACAACAGCCCTCGGGCATCGCAGGCTTCTTTGCGGACCTCGTGTCGGTGACCCGGAGAGCGGCATCGCGGACGAATCTTGGCCCGCAGTGAAACCCAAATACTTCATCGAAGACGAAGACGCCATACTCTTGGCCAATGCTGATGAGAGGACGTCGCTGTTTCGTGCGCGGTGCTAGAGCGCTACTTGGACATGTCTCTCAAAGGCGCAGGGAGTGACCTGCCTGTAGCAATCAATAACAACAGGGTTACAACGGCATTGTACAATGTTTGCCCGGATCGACAGATGTGCTGTGTCTACCAGCGAGCGCCCTGAGGATCTTCTGATCCGCTCGTCGACATTCACTTCCAAGTTGCAAACTCCGAAGGGTCGTGCCGCATGAAAGGTGTCGTCAGAAAGCAGCAGCGTTCTTGTGTGTAGTATTGCCGCGCGATACCCATGTCTGTGTGGTTGCTTCGGACGAGCGGCTCAGGTATCGTGCTTCAGCAGAAGTATCAGAAGAGGCGTGGCGGGTGGTGTTTGTAATTTGGGAAATTCAGAGCACATCGCTGCCGCTTGTGGTGAAGTTGAAGTCTTCGGCGCTTGTTTCATCGTTGACGCGCGAGCACGTGTTTCGCATTCTTAGCGCAGCCGAGGCATTGTTTCGACGATCTCGCCGTACCTTGAGATGCAGCATTGCCTATGAGGGGCGGGACACTCGACGAGACACAGCGCTGCGTTCATATTACGGCCATGGCAGGTCGTCGAGCAAATCTCTCCCCAGATTCCCCTCTGAACAAGGAAATGCTTCACTGACACTCTCCGCACCCTCCTACTCACCATGTCTCCGTCACGGCCAGCATCTGGCGTAGGCAGCGATGCTTCAGACCTCGCCATAGTCGGCGACTCCCTGCGAGTACTTCCCACGGGAGACTCCGAACAGGAACTGCTCGAGCCGTATGCCAAATTCAGGACAGAGCCCTTGAACGCTCTCCAAGAGCTTGGACTACATCTTCTTGGGACGAATTGGAGATCTTATGACAAGGTCGTAGGCCCACCGGTGTTTTACAATGGCTTCAGTGAGAATATGAAGAGCATGGTCATGAAGCAGCCCATGCTTAAAGCACGTATTCGGGAGTTGGCCAAAAAGAGGGTTGAGGTCGAGATACACGAGGATCGGCTGGGTCCCAAAGGTCTTGAGGGAGAAGACGATGCTACACGTCAGACCCGGCGAGCAAGAAGAGAGGAAATTGAAGGGCAGCTTGGAGAAGTGGCATACGACTGGCTGGACAAGATGATCTTGAAGATGGAGAGCAAGCACTTCATTCGAGGAGCCTATTACTTTGCGACACAGTTATTGACGAGGGCATACCATCAGGGCATTCACGTGAGCACACAGGAAGTTCTCGCCCTGCGTGAGGTCGCAAAAGAAGCCGCGAGAAAGAAGCAGAGCATCATCTTCCTACCTTGTCACCGCAGCCATGTGGACTATGTCAGCATGCAGCTCATTTGCTACCGGCTTGGATTGGCTCTGCCTACAGTGGTGGCTGGTGACAACCTCAACTTCCCACTCGTGGGCCCCTTCCTACAGCATGCAGGCGCAATGTGGATCAGACGCAGCTTCGGCGATGACCAGTTGTATACCACACTTGTGCAAAGCTATATCGACACACTTCTGCAGAATGGCTACCCATTTGAGTGTTTCGTAGAAGGAGGCCGAAGCCGGACAGGGAAGCTGCTGCAGCCAAAATTTGGTATCCTTGGCTTCCTCATGGACTCTCTATTATCTGGTAGAGTGGAGGATGCAATGGTATGCCCCGTTTCAACGCAGTACGACAAGGTTATAGAGGTAGACTCATACATTTCCGAACTCCTGGGCCAACCGAAAAAGAAAGAGGACCTTTCGGGCTTCCTATCGGCATCGAATGTGCTATCTTTGAAACTGGGAAGAGTTGACGTGCGATTCAAGAAGCCCTGGAGCTTACGTCAATTCATTGACGAGCAAAGCAGCAGGCTGGGCAAGGACACTCAACTACAGGGCGGATACGACGCAAATCTACGAAGAAGACTCCTTACAACGTTCGGCTACAAAGTGCTCAGCGACATCAACGAGGTTTCAGTCGTGATGCCTACGGCTCTAGTCGGTACTGTGCTGCTTACTCTCACTGGACGCAGTGTCGGCCGCACCGAGCTCATGCGGCGCGTAGAGTGGCTGTCCGAACGCGTGAAAGCGAGCAACGCCCGCGTTGCACATTTTGCTGGGATCTCGACCGAACAAGTCGTCGATAAGGCGCTGGAAGTGCTCGGACCCAAACTAGTTGGCAGAGTCGAGGATCTGCCGGAAGAAATGTACTACGCCGAAGACCGCTTCCAGCTTTCGTTCTATCGCAACATGACGATACATTTGTTCATCTCCCAAGCACTGGTTTGCGCGGCTCTCTATACCAAGGTTAAGATCGGCGGCAGCGACAGCGAGCAGATCATGCCCTACAAGCAACTCTACGATTACGTCTTCTTCCTCTCGCAGCTTTTCCGAGCGGAGTTCATCTTCCCCACCACTCCTCTGGAAGAGAATCTCGCAGCTACTTTACGCGGCCTCGAGAAAGATGGCGTCCTCTCCCTGCAGACTGGTCAAGACGGCAGGATACAACATATTTCTATCGCGCAATCTGAGCGGGACCTGGACCTAGAGAACTTTGACTTTTACTGCTTTTTGATCTGGCCATTCATCGAAGCATCATGGCTCGGCGCTGTCTCCCTATTCATGCTCGCCCCGCCGCCTTCTTATGCTGGCAAAGAGGCGTGGTTGGACCTGAAACTCGCACAGGACAAAGCTCAACTCCTTGGAAAGACGCTGTTCCATCGAGGCGACTTGGGCTACTATGAAGCCGTAAACAAGGAGTCCCTCAAGAATGCCTTCGGACGTTTCGAGGAAGAAGGAATCATTATGGTGACGAGGCCCTCAAAGGGCCAGAAGACGAAGGAGCGTGTACGTCTCGGCGACGACTGGATGCCCAAGCATGATCAGGCTGGCAGACTGATGCCGGAGGGCAAGCTATGGGAATTCGCTGAAAGTATCAACCTTTCGAGACGAGATTTCAGAGGAAAGAAGGAGGGCGGAACGGTCACGAGGAGGATTCTCGGTCTTGCTGCACTCACTGGGCAGGACATGTGGGATGATGTGAGCAGCGAAGCTGCAGGAGAAGTAAAGAAGAGTCGAAGGAGGCGGGGCATACAAGCTGGCGCGAAGTTATGAGGAACAGGTCGTTGTCGACGATTTGACGATGTTTAGCGATACCCATTAGCACAAATCTTATACATAATCTGATATGAATGTTACGTTGCCAGAAGATCGATCAGACCCCATATCTGATTTTACATTCCAACTCGCTCCGATAAGTGCACTCCTTGCACGATATCAGAACGCGAGAAGACGCGTTCTCTGACATTACAATTCTCTGTCCTCTTGCGCAGAGCTTTACCTTCTCATTCATCTGTACCATGGCGTCGAACTTGTATATGACCAAATCTCTCGGCAAAGAATGGCTTCCATCGCCGGTTCGAGGAAGTCGCTTCGCCAACCATGACAGCCACGATGGTCCATGGTCACCACTCAAAAGCCCCAAAGTCAGGTCTGCACCTCGATACGAAGCGCCCAAGACCTGGAAAAGCAGCAGCAGATACAGTCGCTGGCGAAGATGGACTCGACCTTATGAACGCATTCTCCTCGCCTCCATTATTCTTCTGATGTTCTGGACCTTCCACGGCGACCTCCAACAACGAATCTCGAACTTCCAACACAACCTTCATGCCCTTCTGCACTCGTCTGAAGGCTCGAACCAGCATCTCCAACACTCAGAAGACCCCACTTGGTCTCAATACGCCTACCACTTCCACGCCCACGACCCTTCCACCCTCTGCTCTGCCCTCATCCATCTCCAAACCCTTCAACGCCTCTCCTCCAAACCCACTCGCCTTCTAACTTACCCCTCAACATGGACAACTTCTTCCGCTCCTCTTCAAACCAATATCCTTCGCCTCCTGCAACGCGCAGAGAAAGACTTCCACGCAATGCTCCAGCCCGTCGACATTCCCACATCAACCTATGAAGACAGCAAAGCCAGTGCCGAATACTCCAAATTCCTCCCTTTCAACCAAAGTCAATATACCCGCATCGCCCACCTCCACCCCAAATCAACAATTCTCTCTCAGTCTCTAGACGACATCTTCCTCTTCTCCTCAGCAGATATTGCAATGCCGCGCAAATACTGGCTACAAGGCTCCGACTCGAATCTCCTCTCCGATCTGTTGCTATTGGTTCAACCCGACCAACTTCTATTCGAAAGATTAGTCAACCTCTTCGTTGCTGAAGATGCAAGTGAAACTGGAAATAATGTTCTATCGACTACTCAACCACAACCTCGAAGAACATTCATGTCCACACTTGTCAAACTGGTCGAGGAAGCAACGTTTCTGCCGCATAGGGAATATTTGTTAAGAGATGGGGAGTTCTTCCGATCGGGAGATCATGCGGCATATCTGGGTACGGAGGAAGAGGTCTGGGATCCGATGAAGGTGATTGACGAGGCAAAGTTCGTTGTGTTCGACGATGAGGATGGTGGCGAAGGAATGGGGACGAGACAAGGAGGTTCCCCAGATTGTGGAAGTCGGAATGGGGAGCTGAGGACACCAGGTGGAGCAGCGACTTGCGCAGAAAAGGAGATCTGGAAGCGGTTGGTCAGAGATCGGAGAGATAGAAAGATGGCTCTTTGCGGCGTGGAGTTGGCGGAAGAGGATGGTGAGCGTGGTGCGGATCAGGATCCAGAAGCGTTGGAAGGTAAGAAATTAGTTATAATTGAAGCGTGATGCTATTATGGAAGTGAATAATTAGCTCTGAACGCGTCTGCGCACATGCGGTATCTCTGCCCGACGTGACATGACTTTCCAAAGTAGCTGCGAAGAGTATCCACTCAGGCAGGTTCGTGATCCAATTGAGGATCCCAAATGGCTGAGGTATGCCGACCTCTTCTAGTTTGCGGCCTGCCACAATCGCCAGCGCAACATATGCAATGGAGAGGAACATTTGCCAACAACGGCCACAATCGTCTTTCGCGCCGCTCAAAACGGCGCGTGCCACCTCTTGTCCACCCAACTGTTGCGACGTTTCGACCTATTTGCGAAACAGTCATGTTGATGTAGTAAGACGACTGGGTTTCTCATGTTCGCCTCGACGCTACAGTCCTTGATGCCTCGCGCATACGCTGGGTCTGGGTCACATCTCCATTCTTGAGCGCGTTCCCATTTGCTTATCAGTGCAAGATCTGTCAGTGAAGGATCGCGAGATTTTGGCAGAGACTTCACAAGCTTGACCGGTTCTCTGAAAATGGCTTTCTTGGATCGTCCCGTGTGCGATTCCGTTGCGGCTGTGGCAGAGGCGATGGCCGGATCGTGTTCATCTGTACGGTGCTTGTTGGATAGCTTACCATCGCTATCGTCCGTTGTAATCTGCGTGGAATGGCTTAGATCGCTTGGGCGTCTCCTCTTCCCCACGCTGTGCTCCGCCTTGTGAGTCGGCATAACTTCGCTTGCGCATGTTATCTCTTTGCCAGCGGAGGGGTCGGGGCGTGACATCGTCGTCGGGTTCTATGTCTTCAGGAATGCCGAGTTGAAGTGGAGTATCCTCCTTCATATGGTAATCGAGCGGTTTCCGGGGCGTGTCGTGCTCCTCCGGTATGGCGGGTTGCAACACGTGAGTCGTGGAGCGTGTACTGGCTACCGAGCTCTCTCTGCTGTGCCGACTACTCTTGCTTTCCGGCGGAGGGCCAAATGCAGGTCCAGGCGTCTGATACACGGACTTGGGCGATCCGCTAACGCCTAGCGCTGCCAGAATGTCTTCTTGTGCTGGATCCCGCACAGCTTGAAGGACCTTTGGACGGGTGAACTTTGTCGTTGACGACTGGCGGCGGTGATGTGAATTGACAGACCCAGCTCGGGAGTGTGAGACTGATCCAGCTCGGGAGTGTGAGACTGATCCA